AAAGTCCGACCAAAGACACACGGGTAAGGAACTCAATCATCTCTCGACTCGTACTATCGTTCAAGAACTTGCTTTCATCCGAGGAGCTGTTGGAAGAAGACGAGGACGCATTAGTTCATCTCGCGATATAAATGGTGCCATTCTGATGACTGGTGAATATCCAAGCTAGAATGTACCTTTTGAAATCGTCTCCGCTCATGAATAGGTCGTTGTGGTCTGCTTTCGTTGGCTTCGCAGCCTATTTGAAGAGTGGCAAGAGCAATAATTAGACCAGCAACATGACTTGCACTTGTATCTTTGTATTTTATGATGGCCATTCGTTTCTTACCTCATCTGTCTTCAAGATGACTTCCAATGGGATGGGCAGGGGTCCGGTGGAGGTGTCGTTGCTTTCATTGACGTAGCTCATGTAATGATAAAGATTGAACAAGATCTTCCGCACGACCTCAAACTTGCCTAAGTTATCCATAACATTCAATCGTTGTGCAGTTAGCAAACAACCCTAGAGTACCATTCTTAAAGTAAAATATGAACCAAGCAAAGAGACTTACCCCACATGAAAAATTCAACCAAGAGATTTGGGTGGTAGTCAGCTAGTGGTCCGTGCATGGACGACAGGGCGTGCTGGAGAGTCGGGGCCATCTTAAACTCTTCGAAGCCGGGAGAAATAGTCATGTAGTCCTCGCTGAGCCACTTGCTATAGAGCAACATTGTGCTTCCAGCACCAACAGAAAGGGTGCCCATATCCAGCCACGCGATGGATGAGATCGGATGATTGACGAAGGAGGGAATGTTGATGTTGAGAAACCGTTCCCAGATGGTAGGACTTGTGACAACTTCTGTGCGCTGCTGCGAGTACATCGAGACCGTATTCTCGAATGCCACCGCGAGATTGTGTCGGGCATCGGCGGTAACCATCCAGTCTAGGTCATAGATCTGTGGGAGGCGTGTGAACTTTGATTCCAATCGACCAATCGCCCTTCCTCCAACTGAGCCCCAGATCTCCAAGTCGCTCGTCCTATGGCTATTTGGATAGACTGCAGCAGGTCAAAGAATCCATTCGTTAATTCTCAAACCTTACACCTCGCTCTTTTGCATAACCTGCCGCGTATTAGCTGAGGGTGTCACCTACCGAGGGCAAGTTTTCCGTTGGCTCCGCATTGGAAAAGTTGGAGATTATTTTTGATTGGTATACTCTCTGCCTTGCGCCAGACGCGTTCGCCTGGATGAAGGTGAAAGTCGTGTGCGCATTCCCAGTAGGAAATGCTGGCTGGATCTTCAGAGTGTGTGGCAAAGACGCTCATGTGGGTCGAGTGCAGAGACTTTGGTAGTGTGCCAGCAAATGACTCGACGGTAACAGCTTGCTTAATCACTGAAAGCGGGAGACTCTCCTTGGAAAACAAAACAGGCTTTCCGTCGTCCGTTCGTTGCCACGTAAAGACCGTGTTGTTCTTGGCACTGAATCCCAAGATATAGCGACGCCACGATACATTTGTCGTTTTCTTCCCAGACTGTCCAATCTCTTCCACTAAAAACGGTATTTCGAATGAATCCAGCAGTATCAGAGGGAACTCGGGTTCATAATCCGGCAAGTCCAAAATCGCTGTGCACTCAGCGTTCGCCTCAGCTGTGTAGAGTGTGATCCTTGACCCATCATAAACCATGAACGACCCTCCTTCCCAAGCTGGAGTAACCAGCTTCACGTCTCGAGCGCCTATTGGAAGTGAGCCGACCTCGACCAATCCGGCTGCTACTCTATGTCCAAACTGCAATTTAAAAAAAAATTGTTAATGTTTTAGTGTCACTATTGCGGAAAAAAAAATGGGCAGGACATTTGTGAGATGTTGCCTACTCTGGGTGTCTTCAGCTTCCAAAGTGAGATATCTCCTAAGTCTCCGACAGATGTGAAGCACAACTGACGGTGGTCCTTCACGATCGCCTTGATCCGACTTTGCTGACCGGTCCATGATTGCCTCAAGCTGAGTCCTGCTAGAGTGTTTGCGCTGTCAAACAGTTCCATCATGTTGACTGAAAAACAGCTCACCCGCCCCTCACGACTTTGTCCAACTATAACGACGTCCGCGGGAATTCCTACGTTCGATAAAAGTGGCAATAAATAAAGCGGTGCTACGTTGAAAGGTCATAACAAGTGCCATCGCAAAGATATTTCCTGCGCTCTTACCTCTTGATCTTGCCAAGGCAGTGTCGTGATAAGCAATAATGTTTCGCATGAAGAAAGGTGTTTCCAAGGGCGTGACAGCCTGTGAAATGCGCAATACAATGATAACTTTTGGCAGCCGCTGAGGTACTTTACCGAGATTCTATTTCCGTACAAAGCGATCGGCAAAGGTGAGAACAATATAAAACTATGTAGTCCCAAGGCACATGCATTTGCTTCTGTGAAACATACCTGAATACCCCAGATGACCATGGAACCGTCACCTTGGATCTGGAAGAAGAGGTCTGAGGTTTCCCGCACAATCTCTTTCAATTTGCGCAGGCGGATGCTATTGGCATCGTTGTTTTTGTCCACAGTCTTGCTGGCAGCATGTTCAACGGCCATCGCGAACTCCATGCCATCCAAAGCGTGAATTGGGTATTGTGTGATGGATTGTTGCTGCGAAACAAGCCATTGGTTGGGGTCAATGATGGCACAGATTGACATCGACTCCGGCTGCAGGAGTATGAGAGGTGACCAAATGCGACAAATCCCGTCCCGAGCCATTGTGAAGAGTACATTGGTAGGATCGTCCAGTGACCTAGTTGATTCGCACATGATGTTAGTCTGGCATACAATATTTTTTTTCATGTGCGGAGGAAATCGCCACAATGAGATAAGTGATGTGTTATACATACGCCGAACTTGGTTTCTCTTTGCGCCATGAAAAGTTTGTGACAGCTCTTGGGTGAGGCAGGTAGAAGAATCCAAAGTCGATGTGCTCGCCTATTGAGGTGGTACGTAGTAAATGGCAGTTGGTGAGTAGTCCCAATGAGAACCATTGTTTGAGGACCGCGTGCAAGACATACCTTTATGTTGGTGCCAGATCTTCACAAGGCGGTCATTCTAATGGTAAAGCGTAACAACATTGAATGAGTGAGCGGGGATACAGTCAACCGAGTCGTCATATCTGCAGCGGGTGAAAAAAACAAGGCACTGTCGTACCTTTGCCATCGATGCAAATAATTTGCCATCCGGTGAGAACTGGATAAGGTCAATGCATGATCCTTGCCTAAAAGGAGTAAATGGCGAATGCTCGTTAATACGTGTTGACAGCGTGCAAATGAGCAGAGAAATAAAGCAAGGTTGTATCGCAATGATACGGTTATTACTTTTGGTGCCAAAGTTGAGTCCACTGACTGTCCTGCTGACCCCATAGCGTAAGATGATCGCCCCCAGTCAGTAAGCGGCCTAACGGGTAAAAGTAAAACAAGAGTGACATTTCGTATCAGAGCTGCGTTAGTTTCAAATGCTCATCCAGAACTGGTTATGGCAAGAAGGTAAGATCCGTTACCATCGTTCGTCCACGCGAGTGAGGCAATTCCTTCGCATTCCAACGTTGCATGGATATCCCAGGCCTGGATCTAAGATGTCGATTTAACGGCACGCAGAGCGTATAAATTGTGTCAACCATAGGTGCTACCTTTTCGATTATAATCTAGATAGCGGCATCTTTTGTAAAATAACAACGCGTGAGATCTGCTTACCTTTTCGCCTTCGTTGACGGCTGTCTTTGGCGCGTACAGGAGGACATGGTGATCTGTCGTGACTGCGATCTATGGTTCAAAAGAAAGGGAGTCCCACGGTCGTAGAAAAAGTCACTCAAGTCAGTTAGCAACTGTGTGGTTTAAAGTCTCAATAGAAACGAAACGACAAGAAAGGTTAATTGTCTTGGGTACAAGATACATGCCTTTCCGTCAAACTCTGACATAACAACTGCCGACACAATCTGGTTTTGGTTCTCCTTGGAATGGCGTTGCAGGAACAAGATTTGGATGGGCTTGAAGGAATCATCGCAAATAACGACGGAGTCTGTTGCCGCGTAGAGCTAAAAGAGAGCGTGTTTTTTTTATTGGTAAAGGTGTGTTAGGAAGAGGTCTCGGGAATAAAGGCAGCGTTGTTGCCGAGCAAGTCGCGGCTGGTGGCGATGAAGACGTGGAGGGCAACGTTACGATGTATCGTCTTGAGTGGTAGCTGGCTGAATGGATGCTCTGGAGGGACGCGCATGTCTTTCCTGGACAGACTTGCTGGAGCAGCATGGTTTGTTGAAGTGGGAGAGTGTAACTTTGGTGTCAGTCGGTAATGATGGAAAGGAGTGTGAGTGTGTGTGTGTGTGTGTGCGATTGAGAGCAGTGGGTTGAGAGTGAGCGGAATCGTGCTGGGAACTTGGTGAGTAGGGAAGGGCAAGAGTCGAAAGAGAAAGGGGAAAGGGGAAGGAGGGGAAGGAAGAGAAAAGGGAAGAGGGCGTGCAGGATAGAGAGCAAGATAGATATTACACACGAAATGGATTGCCTGGCACATGGGCATGAAAGACAAAAAATCGACTGGTAAAAAGGCAGTCGCAATTGTTCAAGGAAGGAAGGAAGGCAGTCAAGCCAAGGGTGATGATGGAGAGAACTTTAGCTGTGCGCACGACACAGACAGATGATACAAAAGTCAAAGGAAAAAAATAGGGGCCTCTGCTTCCCTTTTTTTCCTGCCTTCTGGCTTGATCCTGCCCATCTTTTTCTTTTTCTTTTTCTTTTTCTTCCCTTCTTCCTATCCTTCATCCTCCTTTCCACGTTTCCTCTTCCCCTTCCCTCTCCTTCCGTCCTCCTCTTCCCCTCACTCCATCTTTACGTCCCTCTCTCAGTATTACCGCTTCTTTCTCTTTCTTACCTTTTTATATCTTTTAAACTTTTCGTGTCCAGCTTGGACATCTTTCACGACCTATTTCACACACACATAAAACAGCCTCAAGAACAACAACAACAAAAGAACAAAAAAGAAAAGATACACACTCATGTCCCACTCCAGAGCTAACAACGATAGTGCCGATCTGGAGCACCTCGAACTCACCGAGGACATCGTCGCCTCCTCTCCAGACGAATCCCGTCTCGACCCTCCACCTATCCACACCGATCCTCGACGGGTCTCGATCAACTCGGTCGATTCGGCCTCTTCCAACACAACCGTCAAATACCACCCTCACCCTCCCCAGGCCTCAGAGCCCTCGTCTTCGTCTTACGCCAGACCGGCAGCCTCCCTTCGGCTCTCCTCGAGCGGATCAATTGCTTCGGCTGCTCGACGACCAAAGTCGTCCCCTTCTTATAGACATTCCACAGCAGGACCGTCCACTTCGACCCAGACAAGTCGACGACGACGCTCGCACGCTGGGAGACCAGGATCGACTCGATCTTCTGTTCGTCATCGAAACCGTTCATCGGATATTGAGGAAGAGACCTCGGAGAACGACTCGGATGACCGTGTTGAATCTAGATCCAGCTACAGCAACCTCCGCCGCGGTGACTCGAGACGATCCGTTCGCCTTCACACGGAGGACGAGGCGGATGGTCGGTCGTTTGATGAACAAGGAAGATATTCTGCCGGCGGACACTCGGGGGATGACCATGACGATGACGAGGATAGCGATATCGAGCCCGTGACGCTGAAGGACCGCCAGGAGGTATGTCGGTCTATTATCCTTTGTTACTACTATTGATAGTGCGCATACAAACTTGAACATGCCCCTACCTGTCCTCTGTTTCTCCACAGAAAATATGCATGTCGCGAGTCTGGTGGGCACATAACGCACAACAGGCCATGGGTGTGCCTGTCTGTGTTACCCCTGAGAATAAGACTCTCGTGACTTGTAGACCAGCCCTCCTCTGAGCACCATTAGTTCTCTTTTGGATTAGCCACGGGGGAATAGGGGAGGGTCACACACCTCATACCTCTTGCACTGCACATCCCCTGTTTATTGTTCCTGCGTGCCCCTATGCTTCGATCACACTGGCACTAACCATGGACATCCCCCTCTACGACTGCTCCCTCAAATGACGACAGCCAACTGGGCTCTCACTACTTACTCTATCCTTTATTTTGTATACTAAACACTCCTATGATCTCTTCATCATGCATCTGATATAGACCCTCAACCAGACCCATCCTTTCGGTCTGCCCCTTTGGAAGCCCGCCCTGTACAAAAAGTCGCGCTCTGTCACCCGCAAGGCTGACTCAGCCCTTCACTCCCAACCATCCTCGGATCTCTATCTATCTGTGGGCAACCTCCTCTGGACCTTGGTCTTTGGTTGGTGGCTCGCTTTGGTCTGTTTCCTGGTCGCCATCGTCCTCTTCTTCATACCCTTTGGCGGAAGCGACTATGGTCAGGTCGTCTTGGGTCTGAGTTACTATCTGCTGTGGCCCTTTGGACAATATGTTGAACGTGAACTCAACCCTGGAGAAATGGGGACCACCGGCCTTCATGGAGCGAATGCATCGGGTGTCAGTGGGCATAGTTATAGAGGTCAATCCAACGGTCATGGACATGTCAACGACAGTACTAATGGCAACGGATATGGCGTTGGCAGCGGCAGCGGGAACGGACGACTCAGTTACGTCTCACCCTCTGAAGAATCTCGCCCATTACTACCCCGCAGTAGCTCTACATACGAAAGGGAGCGCGAGCGACAACGTGTCCCTCTCTCTACAACCATCAAGAACCTTCCCCGTACTTTGCATCAACTGGGACTCGGTGGCATCGTCTACTATGGCTTTTACTTTACCATCATCGGTACGCATCTTTTGATCGTCAGCTCTATCTATGTAATACGATTTGGGTGAGTGTCAACACTAACAGTCTTCACCCTCTTCTGACATTTCCTTAGGCCCACTGCATCTTTTTGTCTCGTGCATTTGCTGGTTCATGGTTGTGTCCATCCCCATGGGGAAGTTGACGTACGTCCTGGCAACCCACCTTCGTCAACATCCATTGCAACTTCACTTCAAGCGTGGAAGCTCCTTGGCTCTATCAGCACAGCACTCGGAAATTCTCCTTTGCACATACGACGCCATCGGTTTCCAGTACTACAAGTACACCTATGATGGCACCAACATCATCTTCATCAACCTGATGCCTGTCGTCTTCTTCACCATCTTTGACGAGTACGTGCTGACTCACGTTTTGGGTCACGACTCGAAACTCACATCGCCTACTGTGATCTTTTCTTTGGGATTGACATCTGTCATACCCCTCTCGTACTTTATTGGAATGGCCGTCTCGTCGATCTCTGCTCAGTCGTCTTTGGGCATGGGTGCCGTCATCAACGCAACTTTTGGCTCCATCATCGAAATCATCCTGTACTCTGTTGCTCTGACGCAAGGAAAGGGCTTGATCACAGAGGGGGCTTTGATTGGAAGTTTCTTGGCCGGTCTGCTGCTCATGCCTGGATTCAGTATGATGAGTGGAGCAATCAAGAAGAAGGAACAAAAGTTCAACGCCAAGAGCGCAGGCAAGTTTACCATACTGTCGACGTGGATGAAAGCTATCTTGTATACGGACAGAAGTATTAACATCCACTTGCGCTTCCTTACAAATAGGTGTCACTGCCACGATGCTGATCATGTCGCTTATCGGAGTCCTGACACCTACCCTTTTCTATACAATCTACGGACGGGTAAGACACCACGCTCGACTGTCATTCGTTACCAGACCATTGGTTACACCTCCTTGCTTTGATCAGTTCTTAACCTCTAAGTTGACCTCTTCCTATAGTTTGAGCTCCGCTGCACACCTTGCCCTGAATCCGTTATGGCCGCAGGCGAAATCTCATGCCAGCGATGCTTCCATCACCAGCCCAACCCGACCAACGACGCTTTTTTCCAAAAGAACGTAAAGCCGCTCATGTACTTTTGCTGCATCATCCTCCCCTCTGCCTACCTCATCGGGATCTGGTTCTCACTCCGCACCCACGTCAAGCAGATCTGGCATGAGCCCCAGCCCCGTTCAGTCCGCGACTCGTCAATCTACAAGAAGTTGTTGCCTATCCATATTCTGCAGCAGTTGCTCCACTACGGAACTGGAAACAACATCCACGCTGCCGCCACCAACAACAGTAACAGACCGCTCTCGGGAGAGGAGGCTGCAGAGATGGGACGGTTCGCGCCTGCTGATGCTGGATACTCGACCTCGAACTACCAGTCGACAGGAGTCCATGGCGGACTCAACGAGAGACATCCTCAGACGGCACCTGATGCACATGGCGCTGGAGGTGCAATCCATCCAGCCGCACAGGGCTTGCTTAACTCTTTGAATGTCGCGCCTGACGCCCTCAAGAGCGACCACGGCGATGATGAGGAGGAAGACGATGAAGCGCACGGAGGCCACGACTCGCCCAATTGGTCCAAGGCCAAGAGTGCAACCGTTCTTATGGGATGCACCGTCCTCTACTCCATCATTGCAGGTACAGGTTCATACATTTCTTCTGCTAATTCCTGTTCTTAAAGTGGCAACAAACTCCTTTTTTTGTACGAGTGACTAACCCAGCATCTTTCGTTCCCCCCCCCCCCCCCCCCTTGTACTACAGAAATCCTGGTTGACAGTGTGGATGCCGTGTCGTCCATCGATGAGAAGCTTCTGGGTTTGACTCTCTTTGCCCTGGTGCCCAACGTGACCGAGTTCATGAACGCCATCTCCTTCGCAATGTACGGTAACATTGCACTCTCCATGGAAATCGGATCCGCCTATGCGCTCCAAGTCTGTCTAATCCAGATCCCGGCCATGGTCGCCGTCTCTGTCTGGTTGAACCGTGGAGTCGCCACACAGCTCTGGAACCATACCTTCAACCTAGTCTTCCCTCGCTGGGACGTCTTTTCGATGTTGTTCTCGGTCTTTTTGTTGACCTATACTTATATTGAGGGAAAGAGTAACTACTTCAAGGGAAGTATCTTGATCCTGAGTTATTTTGTCCTCATGGCTGGCTTCTATTACGCGCCTCTTACACCTGGCAGTGGTGATGTTGATTTCTTGTAGAGGGAAGTTTCCTTTTTTTTTTTTTTTTTCTGTTTCTTGTTATATACTTTACTCTGTTTTCTTGCTATATTTTTTTTCGAATCCAAAATACAAATACAAATGCTGTTCTACCCTTCAATATCTCGCAAAAATGAACATAATGTAAGAAAAGATTGCTTTAATGGTCTACAAAGTTAAAGTGTACATGAAATATGTATGGGGAAAGATGGGAGGGAGAGGGGTGGGGGTGTTATCTAATCTATTGGTAAAGACGGCGACGGAGAGTGGCCGAGCAGGCAGCACCCTTGACCCAGGCAGCAGCCGAGCCAGGGGTCTCGCCCTGAGTCCACCACTGGGCGGTGTAGATAAAGCCGCCATAGGTGACCTTGGCTCCACCGCTGTAGGCATCGGTGCTCGAGAAGGTGGTGACGCCAGAGCAGCTACCAGGGGCGGTAGTAGCAGTAGGAGTAGGGCCAGTGGCGCTGCCGGTGCTGCAGGCGCCGTTGTCGGACCAGGGGCTACCAGCGGTGGGGAGGTTGTTCTGGGACCACCAGAGGGCGGTGTAGAGACGGCCGTTGTACGAGACCTTGGAGCCGCCGGCGTAGGGGGTCGCGGCGTTCCAGGCATCAGCAGAGCAGGAGGCACCACCGGTAGTGGTGGTGACGGGGGCCGAGGAGGTGGAAGAGACGGTCTTGGTGACGGTGACGGTCGCGGTCGCGGTCGCGGTGACGGTCGAGGTAGGGACAACACCGCCGGGCTGGGGGATGACACCGGCGCAGCGAGGGGTCGAGGCTCCGAGGGCAGCCTTGCAGATCTGCTGGGCAGCCGAGGTGACGTCGACGTTGGCCGAGGTGCCGGCAGCCTTGTAGAGCTCCCAGAAGAAACCACCCTTGGCACCCTGGACGTTCAAGATGCTGGTGAGCTCAGATTGGATCAGGGGCAGCTGGTGAGTGGGGTCGTGGTCCGAGGCGGGGTAGGCAGGGATACCGATCTCGTATCCAACCTGGGCGAGCATGTTGTTGTCGGCATAGGACTTCATGTAGTAGTTGACCTGCTGGCTGAGGGAGCAAGTGCTGGCGTCGGGGCACTCGTGGAACTCCTGGTTGTTGGAGAGATCGTAGGTCATGACATTGATTCCTCCGGTGTTGGCGATGAAGGCGTAGAGGTCGGGGTACCACTTGTTGACAAAGTACCAGATGTTCTTGAGGTTTCCGCCCCACCAGGGGGTCGAGAGACCACCAGCAGCCGAGGCTGCGGTCGCGAGCATCAAGCTGGGCTGGATGGCCAGGATGTTCAGACGGACATCCTGCATGATGGCAGCGTACTTGTAAGTCGTCTGCTCGTTAGTCCATGGTCTAGATGATTTGTTTTCATTGAGGAGAGAACGAAAGAATGAGCAAAAGAAACGCGCAGTGTCATTTTTTTTGTTTTTGATTCGCGAGACCATCAAGTGCTTACCCTGTGGTAGGACCGGCGCGCAGATAGTCGGCGTGCCACATCTCCTCGTAGTCGATATCAACACCGGTGAGGCCGAGATCCTTGGCCAAGTAAACAAGATCCTGGTAAGGGTCGCGGTTCTGCTTGACAAAGGCGTCGCTTCCGGGGACGACGACAGTCTGCTTGGTGACAGGGTCGGTCCAGCTGCGACCTATTGTTGGTTTACGCGTTTAAGAAGCAGTCACGAGAACACCAGAATTGTTATTACGATGCAACCACACAGGAATGTAGCAAGTACATATTAAAAGAGAAATGTACCTGGGACGATCTCGGGGTGGAAGACAGGGGCAGCAGCTCCGGCCGTGGAGATAACGTAGCTCTGAGCGCTCTTCCAGGTGGTCGAGTTGGTGGGCTCGGGGAAGATGTCAAAGTCGGCAAGAACGGTGTTCTCGCTCTTGGGCTCGCAGGTGTAACACCACATGTTGGCCTCAGTGCATCCAGCAAGGGTGCCGCCGTTGTCCTGGATCTTGTAGTAGTTGGGAGTGGAAGTTCCGTAACCTCCGACCGAGTAGTAGGTGTAGAGGAACTATATAGTTATTGCATAAACATCAGCCGTTTGTTGGTTTAGTAGTTGATCCTTAGGAACCCCGATTAAATGTTTGCGACCATATTATTTTTTCTTGGGTCGCATCAAAAAAAAACTTACAGGGAAGCATCCATAGTTCCAACCTCCAACTGACAGGAAGACCTCAACACCGCCAGCGGTCAATTGAGCAACACGGGTCTTGAGGTCAGCGAAACCATAATCGCCCGAGGTACCATAGGCAAGACCGACGTCGGCAAGGGTCTTGGAGCCAGGGACGTAGACCATACCGGGGCGGGCAAAGGAGAGGAAGATACGGTTGATGGGGATGTTGGCGGCATTGTCGGCGAGAGCCTTGAGCTTGGCAGGGCCGTTCTGGGGGTTGAGGAGAAGGTAACCAGCAACAACAGGGGTTGCAGCCTCGACCTGCGAGGTGGAGCAAGCCAGGACGATAGCCGAGGCAATGGTGACCAAAGCGGTAGTAAGACGCATTTTTGTAAAGAGAAAGGAGGAAAGGAAGAAGAGGGAAGAAGAGTGGATGTAAAAGGGGATTTTTTGTGGCGGGAAGGATTGGTTGGTGTAGAGGAGAATGAAGCTCGTGAAGAAGAGGATGAGGATCGAAAAGAAAGGTGGAGAGTGAGCAAGGTATTTATACCAAAACACTCGAATCTGGACGTTATGTTTTCTCACACTCTCAGCATTTCGTTCCTGGGTGAGTGTGAAATAGGGTCAAGTTCGTCAACGGGATCAAGAGAGGACAGCTGTTCGATTGAATTAGAGAGCATGCATGGGTCTGTTATTACTCCTTACTCAATAGCATACAAAAGCGCGAAAAATTGTATTCAATATCATAACGCGTCCAATGGGTAAAATAATAACAAAAAAAAATGATGGCGTATTGACTGGCGGACAGCCAAGGGTCCAGTTGGTAACAAAACAGTTGTTGTCCACGGGTGAGATGACTAAGTGAAGAGTAAGGGACCATCATGAGAGCCATCGCATTTTGCCCTTGTCTTTGAACGGGAGGCAAGGTAAATCTTTGTATGGTCCCCATACGAATGTGAGCAGAAGATTTAGTCAAATGTGATTGTTGTGGTCGCGATTAAAGATATCTTTTTTGAGGGGATTGTTGTTGACTCCATGGACCTGCATAACAAAACAATAACAACAAAAAAGGCATTCATTCACCTCAATTAAAGACCATTGTGTCTACGGTTGAATACAATGGACTATGCACCACTGTAAACGGACACCCATAAAGTGGACATTGTTTACTCTGACGTTCACTCCTTCCCTTCGCCTTTTGATATTTTTTTATCGCGTCTCTCCTTTGTCTAATCTTTTGCAGTCTAAGCTTCAACTTTTTTCGACCGTTCGTCCGTCCTATCTCTCCAAACAAGGAACACTTGAATGACAAACAGACAGATAATAAGAAGGCGATTGTGATTATTGTCTCCCTTTTCATTTGTTTTCGCTTCTTTGTTTTGTGATAATGGGCTATCAAGGCAACAGATAATGCAAGATAGACTGATTGCGCGAGAACGGACAACAGAGAACATGCCGGAAAGTGTTACAAGCCTGGACTCGGAATGTTTTTTTTTCAGTGTTTTGTTCTTCAGAGTGTTTTTGTTTACTTGCAGGCCGTGTGTTGTTAAGAAAAAACAAAAAAAAGAAGCAACGAGGAAGCGAGAAGAAACCCATTGTAGAAACCATTAGTGATATTCGTTTCTTCACTCCAAAATGAAGAGTGACATTTTCAATCCTCTCATCGGATTTGCTTTGCATTGTGTCCATGGTATGGTAGTATATGATGTCAATCTCACTGGACGCATCAAAGAGAAAGAGGTACATTCGAGCAAGTACACTCTATCCGATTGTCCGTCTTTCCGCCTTTTGCTGGCATCCACTCCGTTTACAGTACGATCGTATTCTCCCGACTGGGCGGCTTGAGGGTTTTAATCACACGCGCAGGTGTAACGCGAAGAAGGTTTTCTTTTATCATCTCATCCTGCCCAATCAGCGACACGCGATGTGGAGATACCGTGGACACTTAGTGCGCTTAATTTGTTTTTCACGGACTTCAGGGGGGTTGGGATGGATGGGGGCAGGGGTGGGGGTGAAGAGTGTCCACTTTCTTAGTCTTCTATAGCAAATAAGGAAACGTCAGCCTCGCAAAAACAATGTCGACCCTGCTTTATCAACAGAAATGATCGCAATTAGCGTCTGCTCAAGGAAAGAAATGGGGCACCAAGGGGGCGAATAGAGAAGGGTGAGAAGGATGACCGCAAGAATGAGGGGGGAGGTGCATGACATCCGACAGTTCACTATGTGTCCCCTTGGACACCATCCATTGACTTGAAAATACATTGGTGGAATCCGATGCGACCAGACAGGCTAGGTTGTTCATCTCAGACATGATCATGTCCATTTGTTTCTCTTCATCCGTACATATCCATTGGCTGTCCACATCGGCACATGAGAACCATGCGTATGAATGTTTTCTCGGATGTGGGTTCCTTTTGTTCATCATCGTCACCATCACCATTCATTCTCGGTTGATTGCATTTGAGGGCACTTTTTTCATTGCTGTTGTCATCGGAATTGATCGAGAACATTATTATTATTATAATAACTGCAGTCGGATTAGATTATGCGCTTCCTCGCTGCCTGTCGAGTTTTCATCCTGGTTGTTGTTGTTGTTTTCCACCCCACATGAATGAATGTACCCAGTCTTGGTAAAGAGGAAGAAAAAACAACAAACAAACGAAGGATCATTCAATCAAGGAGAGGGAATGGAAAAGAGAAAAGTCGACCCTCTCAACCTTCTCACGCCGCGTTTTTGGCATTCACTTGGAAATGCTACCCTCGCCCTTTAGACGAAGTATGAAAAAAGTAATCGGGCTGTTGTTGTTGGGTCCTTTTGTACAAGGCGAGTTATTATCTAGTCGAAGGCTTCTGTTGCTCTGGCCGAAGAAGGAAGTGATGATGAGTGCTTGCATTTTTTTTTGGGCCGGCCAACAACTTTTCACCCCCATGGCTTCAATAGAGGCTCTCATTGCTTTTAAAATAATCTAATAGTTTATGCTTCCGTGGGACTAGAACCCTCAACAAACACTGGCAGGGTCTGCTATCTTTTCACGCTCAGAAGGAGCAGAGACAGTATTGAGCAGGGGCAAGGGCAGGGAGGTCAGTAGAGATGAGGATGGATGATGCCAGACAAGTAGCTAAAGGGAACCTTACCATGCAAGGGACATAAAAATCCAAGATGCCAAAGGGACTCAAACCTTGATAACAAGTGCAAACAATCAACTGGGCGTTTCCCCCTTTCCCAACCATATACAAAGTAAAAAAGCCAGAGAGGATGGATGAGAAAGAAAAAGAAAGAGCTAGCTGAGTACGGCTCAGAAGAGAAGGCAGGAGGGCAACGATGAAAAAGGGAAGGCGACTGAATTGGGAACCAGTTCCTTCCCAATGTGGGTGTGTATTTGTACAGAACAAGAACTACATGATCGAAGTGGAGCTTATTAGGTGTTTTATTATGGATGGTCGATGTTCACATATCGGGGAAATTGGATAGCAGGTTTAGATGACTTTCCATCCAAGGTCATAAACAACAAACGGGTACGCCTCATCTTGCCCACTGACAAGGCGCATGAACCTAAACTTGGACGCCTCATGGACTACAAACTTGCACTGTGTCCTCCATCCATAATCTTCATAGTACGACAGTTCGGGTATCTTTTTGGGTGATTGTTGCCCGTTCTGGTTCTGGTTCAGGTTTTGCTCCTCTTCTTCGTCGTCGTCATCGTCCTTGTCAACATCGAGATCGTACTCGAGTTTGTCCACTTCCTTCTTGTCAAAGATTAGGTTGTCCCGGGCGCGGTTCAGGAATGCGTGCTCGATGTTGAGGGTGATCTTGCCGTTGTAGTCCATGTTCCGGATGTCTTTGCAAGTGTACTGAAGTGGGATCGTTCGCTATTGAAAATGAACAGGAGGAGTGAAAGATGGTCAACACATGTGTGCGTCAAACATGAGGGTGAGTTTGAAAGAAAGGGAGTGCAATGGTACCCATACCGTATCCAATATCCATAGTCGCCCTCTTTCCTCTCTTCATCTCATGTCCAAAAAAAAACTTACATAGACGGCATCGCTACCCGCAACCTCCAGTTTAGCATTCTTGATCCACTGGTCGCCCATCTGATAGAGAAGCCTGTACTCAATCTTACGATCTATCTCGAGCAACATGTCCAGTCCAATATAGTCGCCCTGCGCAATCGGTTGTGTGCTTTTGTAGGCAGTGTTTTCCATCCCATCGACGGCTTTGCTGAACGGGTAACGGATGTAGATAGAGGGATCCTCATACAAGGTGTGGATCTTTTCCATCTCTTCGATGTCGATGTACGGGCGGTACTTGAACATCCGGACATCGGGAAACGGGTGCTTGTTGGAAATCATGAGACATCGGTCGTCGGCACAGGGGGATCGAACGTCGCGTTGCAGATATGTTGGGTGCAGTTCTTCCTGTTCAAATTCTGGGTCCTTTCTCTTCAGTGCATCCCAAGCCTTTTGAGCTGCCTTGTGCTAATATGAAGTAGGAGTAATAATGGAAAATGAGGGGTGGGCGGTGTTAGAATACGTTGTCATCAAAGACGGGAGGATGTATGTGTGTCCTGTTGACACTTCTCCAATTACCATGTATTCCTTGTTCCTAGACTTTCCAGAAGACCCTTTACTAAAGGCAGCCTCATCCTTGGCAGGGTCAACAAGTTCCTCCAGATAGTTCTCGAGCTGGTAAGGGACTTGGTTCAGAAATGTCGAAAAGTACATGTCGCCATAGGCGAATTCCAAGGGGTCCATGTCTGTCACCGAGGCCTGTTTCAGGAACTTGACTACACTGTCCCTAGTTGCCAGAGATCCTGTTCCAAGCCATGAGAAGCAGGAGTGCATGTTCACCTCTATTCTCAGAGAGATAAAAAAAAAAAGTCAGGGTGGAGTTAAGGGCACACACACACGCACATCACTCACATCGCCCACACGCTACCAAGGGATTCTCAAGTGAATGCTCCTGAGGGCGTCTCTTACCATCTTCAAAGAAGCACCAGCGCCAGTTGGTGAGTGCCCAGACATCGGAATTGGTATCGGTATGGAGGAACTGAGGGTGTCGCAAAAAGTTGGCGTACATGGATCGGAGGTAGTGAATCTTCCAGTCGTCGTCTTGGAAATAGCAGTAGGGCGACGAGGCCATCGCACAGGCCATGTAGCGAGCAACAAAAAACATATTGTTAGGCGAATTGAACACTTTCACTTTTGGGCAATTGAACATCTATAGGCGTCGAACAATAGAGCACATTAGATATTAGTTTTCAGTCTTCTTGTCATTAGAACGAAACAATGGGAAAAGAACGGTCATTTTGTTGGGTACCTTTTCTTCAAGATGGATATCAACCTTATTGTTCCAGATCATGATCTCCTTGAACATGACATGCGGACACAAGTGGACAACAATCTCCTTCAACGAGTCCATTCTCTCCCAACTAAGCAGGATCGCCGTCGTCATATTGGTCCCCTCCACAGGCCGCATCTCCATCTCTGATATATCGCCACGATCAAGCCACGTCGGAGGCTTCACTGGTCCATGTCCTGCGGGTCGTCTGTCATTATTGCTGCTGTTCCTGCTTGGTCCAAAGAAGAGTCCGTAGAGAAGTGAGTTGATGAGGCAGAGGAGGTAGAGGAAGAGGCATATTGCGGGGAGGACGATGCCGAATCGCACTCGGCGAGGTTTTCCTGTAGAGTTACGGAATAGTGTGATTGGACTGGAGATGTTGCTGAAGAACGGCCGTGTCCGGGTTGAGATGGTCCGTGAGACCTGCTCGAATTGGTGGCTGTGGTCGTACATAGGTTAAGGCTTGAAGTGTGAATTAAAAGGTATCCTCTGAAAGGTGGAGGCAAAGGTTTGCAGAAATGTACAAGAAAGGTGGAGAAAGGAAGAATAAAGGCTAAAATATGCTAAAAACGAGAAAAGGTTGAACAGGAAGAGGAGGGAGACCGCTCCAGAGGAGCAACCAGGCGAAAGAGCTTCGGTCAGGAAAGGTAAACCTGGAGATGAGGCTGGGGTTCGTTACAGTGCCATGGGGAGTTCCATGTTTGACCCTTGCTAGGGTGGAGTCAAGGGGGCGAAATGAAGTGCGAAGATACAGATGTTAGATCAAGGGGTCAGGCCCATTTCGCAGCCCGTATAGGAAGAAGGGGAGAAGGAGAAGGGTGACAGAAGGAGAAGGGGACAGAGGGAGGAGGGGACAGAAAGAGAAAAGGCCTAGACAAGACAGGAGAATGAAGGGTAGCGAAAGGAGACAGGCGAGTTTCCTTTGAACCTGCTCCCTTTCAATACTCCTGTTTTTTATTCTCCTATGCCAGTGTGAAGGTTGCCGGCTCCTGCTTAGTTCATGGCGTCTTCGGCCCTAAATCATTGTTCTTCAACCACCCCTTTCACAGCATTATGCATCCTCTTGCCTTCGGACAACGGAATGAACGGATACTGTAAAATCTACCTTCTGTTTTATTATTACGTGTGCTCGACAAATACATGAGTCAAGTGGTCGAGTTCAACAGAGTAGCCCGAGATAATATCGACAAGCCGGATGCCGCCAATCTTTTGCACGCCACTAGTCAATGGGAACCAGTCCAACCGCACCCGAACCTCGCCGCCCGCAGGAACAGCACCCAGTTGCCGACTGTTTGGCCCACTCAACAGGATGGCGCCCATTTTTTGCTTCACTCCTGTCAACATCAGCTTCATTGCGTTCTGATCATGAGGCATGCCAGATGGGTTCTGTTGCTGTTGTTGGGGAGGTGGTTGGTTGGTTGCGCCTGCTGGGGTTTCGACCGGACGGGTAGCAGGAACGTAGCCACCTCGTGCAATCGCCGCTGGAGGTCGAGCAAGCGAGCCTGCAATTCCTGCAGGAGATGGCGACTGAGGGAACTGGGAGGCACTCCCTTGCCGCACTGGAGGTCCAGGGTGGTGACCTTGTTGTTGCTGTTGTTGTTGTTGTTGTTGTTGTTGTTGTTGTTGTTGCTGCTGCTGCTGTTGAGATGAGCCGGCTCCGCCCAGCGACTGGTTCTTGACCACAATCTCGATCGAGAAGATCTCCTCCAGCCGGATTGTCTCCGGGATCTTGACTACTTGAACTGCAATCTCATCCAGTGGCGCCGGTTTCCGTGTCAACTGACTTGTCTGTAGACGTCCGGTCTCTCCGAACTGTGATCTCCAGAGGATATCCATCTTGCCGAGCACGTTAGTCGTTTTGGCAAAAAGTTCCTTGCCGGGCTTGGGTGTGAGGACGTAGAGGTACTGTCGGACGTCATTGGGCGCAAAGTAATCGTGTTGGCCAAAGATACTCACAGCCCCAGCCTCTGTAGATTCCTCTGCAGCCTTATTGTCGTCTTCTTTGGCGGATTCCTGCTCGTCGATCACTACATTAAGGTCCTGAACCGTGAACGCGTCCGCCACTTCGAAACGCATCCGCTCCATCCACATTGTTACTCCCGACACGTTCTGGACCATGGCCTCCAGTAAAACACGTCCTCCATTCGAGACATGCAGAGTTGTCGTTCCTGACTGTTGGCTATTGGGGTCCTGAGGTGGGGCTGTCGAGCTAGGCGCCGAGTGGTTGACCTTGGTCTTGACTGAGAGCGGGTTCAGGACTTGAAACTTGTAAAACTTGCGGAATGACTTTTGTTGTCCATCCAAGGTGGTGTACTGGATTGAGCAGACGAGGATATGGATCCCCAGCTCTTTGATCTCATGCGACACGATCATCTCGTTTGTCTTTCCCGACTCCAGCAGCTGAATATGGCCTCCCGAGGCTGGTGGCGATTGAGGTAAAGATGGCGAATCCGTCGGTGACCGGCGTCGATTGGCAAGGGTATCTGAGAGAGCGAAGCGCAATGTTGACGTTTGGAGTTCAGCCTTGAGGATCACATCGCGAACTGGGTGGGCCGACTCGTTGTTGGCGCAGATATACGAAGTAAAAGTCTCGCCGAGGTATATGTTGCCAAAGGAGGCAGGCATGGTCAGCAGCTCTGACACGCTGAAGTCGCCAATGTCCAGAGTGCCGGTATTCGCCTCTGCTCCTGTCCTTGCGTCCAAGTGCTTGGCCTCGGGAGATGTGGTTGGGTGAACAGCTTTGCCAGACGACGGAGGGTGAACCCGCTCCAGTTGACTGAGAGAGAGGTCTGAGAGGGCGTCTGTGAGGATTGAGGTCATGTTGGGCCTCTCTCCCAGTGGGGAAGAGGGTGTCTCGGCGGCTGAGGGCGATGGTGCGGTGTGGGGTGAGCCAAAGTAGAGACTGTGTCCTGTGACGAGCGAGGGACGCGAGAGACGCATGACCTTGAGTGAGATGAGATGGCTCTCGCGCTGTTGGTCCTGACTATTTGAGGCCATGGTGGGAGCTAAGAGATGGGTGTAGAAGGGGGTTGATGGATGGTTCTACTTGTGGTTGCCTCAACGAAATGAAGAAGAAGAGATGTTCCTGGAGGGAGATGTCCTTGTGTCGGCTTGGTTCCTGAACTGAACGCGAAGGATGGGGAGAGAACAAACTCCTCTTAGAAAGACGAAAGGCAACTGTCGCTTTCCAACAAGAATCGCAAAGGCATCAACACATCACGTGAATTCTGTCGTTTGACTTTTGTCATTTATTCATTCTACTTCAAAGGGCGGGTTGCAGACCTCTGCGTTTGCGAAGGTTGCTTGCCAAACGATCCATAAAGTCAAAAGTGTTGAGGTAGTGCTCGCGCTTGAGGTTCTTGCCGTGGATAATCAACGCCAAGTCCTTGGTCATGTCGCCAGCTTCAATCGTATCAATACAGACACGTTCGAGCTGCTGAGCAAAGTCGTTCAATGCCGCGTTGCCATCGAGCTTGGCGCGGAACTCAAGCCCACGTGTCCAGGCAAAGATGGATGCAATAGGGTTGGTCGAAGTCTCGCGGCCCCGCTGGTGTTCGCGGTAGTGTCGAGTCACGGTCCCATGGGCTGCCTCTGCCTCGCAGCACTGACCATCCGGTGTCAAAAGAACGGATGTCATGAGTCCGAGGGAGCCATACCCCTGGGCAACGATATCCGACTGAACATCACCGTCATAGTTCTTGCAGGCCCAAACAAATCCTCCCGATGACTTGAGCATCTGTGCGACCATGTCGTCGATGAGACGGTGCTCATACCAGATCTTCTTGGCTTCGAACTGTGACTTGTAGTCGCGCTCATAGATCTCCTGGAAGATATCCTTAAAGCGGCCGTCATATTTCTTCAAGATGGTGTTCTTGGTCGACATGTACAGAGGGTATGACTTATCCAGTGCAACCTTGAAGCACGAGTGAGCGAAACCCGTAATCGACTATGATTTCCAATGTATCAAGTAGCGCAGTCAGTTTTTTTTGTGTCCCTTACACCTTGCTTTCTGTCCATAACAAAAGTGCTATTCTCTACGATAGACATACCTCATCGTGGTTGTACATAGCAAGGGCAACTCCGGGCCCTTCAAAGTCATAGACAACGAAGTTCTTCTTCTCGGATCCATCCTTTGGCGTAAAGACAAGCTCTAAACGGCCAGGTCCGTTCACAACGATATCGGTAGCCTTGTACTGGTCACCAAAGGCGTGGCGTCCCAAGACGATAGGCTGAGTCCATCCTGGGACCAGTTTGGGAATGTTTTTACAGAGAATAGGCTCACGGAACACAGTACCTCCCAGAATGTTGCGGATCGTGCCCTAGAAAAGTAACAACGAGGGTTGATAAGAACCTGTCTTCAGCGAACAAGAGCATGAAAAAGAGCAAAGAGGAAAGAAGGCTTACGTTGGGAGATTTCCACATCTGCTTGAGGTTGAACTCGATGACACGAGCCTCGTCCGGAGTAATGGTGGCGCACTTGATGCCGACCTTGTACTTCTTGATCGCCTCGGCAGCGTCGATTGTGACTGGAGAACAATTGAGTTCAGGGCAGAAGAAAGTTAGAAAATGCTGGATCCGGTGGCGAACAGCCTGACGAGGATACTAATAATGGAGTCTTTTGCTAATTGCTCACCTTGGTCGTCGGTTTGGTCGCGGTGTTGGATGCCGAGATCGAAGAACTTGATATCCAAGTCGACGTATGGGAGAATCAACTACGAAACGAGAGAACAACAGAGATGTGAGAATACAAAGTATCAAAAAAGTTACCGAGCAAACCTTCGGCCGATTTACGAGCCGTACTGCCGCCCAACGCGAACAATGCACGGGAATAAAAAGCAAAAAAATTGAACCCTGCTCACTTCATCTTCGTGTTCACTTGCAATCTCCCTTCAGAAAAAGACGGAAGCGTGGAGGGAAAGACGACAATCTTCACACGGTATTACCCCCACTCTCACATTCAAACTCTTCTCCTTGCTACTACTACTTCAATGATATTTCCTTGTTACCTTGTCTCGAATAATGTCCCAAATGATACGGGTCATTTCGTCGCCCTGTTTTACGAGGAAAAAGGAAGAGGACGAGAATTAGGAATGAGAAAGTTGAAATAAACCAAAAAGGAATGCATTTGCTTTCGTTGACTCTCATGGTAGTGCATGTCCTTTTTCAACTCACCTGCATCTCGACGACAGTACCGCCTGGAGCAAAAACGAAAAGAGGGCAAGTAAAGCACAGAGTGCAGCGGGTTAGTGACGAGAGAGCGAATAAAAACTTGATACCACTTGTTAATGCAAGAGTCAGCGTGTCCCGAACCTTTGATTTTGTTGCCAAGGTGCATGATTGAAAGGGTGGATGAGGAAAGGTAGGTGGTGAATGGGAGCGTGATAAGAAACGATAAAGAGTGAGAGAGAAAAGGAAAGAAAGAAGAGAACAATATCTCCAAGGCTGGTTCGCGCATTTATTTATCCATGGACAAAAGGCGAATTCTTGACATCACACACTCCATCTCACGCATACACCGGAAATGATCGAGAGAACCTTTTTTTGCCGGCCAAGTCAGCCAATGGGCAAATTGTGGGGAAATCCCAAGAGAGGACACAAGGTTCAGGGCGGCAACATTTCGATCCGTCCCTGGCTGGCTGAGCACTTCCCCGAGACGGGATCCGATCAGATATTCCAAACAATGGGCTGCGAGAGGTGCCAGGAGCTCAGGACTGATCTCTCGATCACCCAACCCCATATTAATAATCATTGTCACTTCCACACAAGGAGGGGACTCTAGCATGTTTATTTGGTGACATTGTTCAATTCGTAGATCTGGTTCAACAAGCCAAACACTCCTTTCTTCTGGGACTCGCGTTCGTCCTCAAAAGAGTCTGCCATATCATCCTGTCCTTGCTCCCGCCCCCGTTCCCGACGAGACCCAGATCCAGCGCGGCCCGAAGATCCTCCAATCTCAGACACAAACGAGTCGCCTAGATCGCTTGGGAATGCCAACCCAGATGTTGGTTGTACCCTGGTCCGATGGCGCTGATCTTCTGCTGAGCCACGGCCGTCATATCCTCCTGATTCTGACCCACTGTCACCCTCAAACCTATTTGGGTATCGGTCCTGTCCTCGCGCTGTTCCCTGGTTCGATGACAAGAAAAACTTGACACCTGGACCTTGACCACGATTCCTCACATTGTCGTCTCCGGCACCATCCTGGTCATCATCCTCATTTTCTTCAGAATGGCGATTATATATGCCACGACCCAGTCGACTCTTCGCCTGTGAGGATTTCTTCTCACCGTGGATATAGTAGGAACCACCAGTCCCCCTTGGTCGCATGAATGCAGAGCTCTGGCCCCATTGTCCGGGCTGTTGGTAAGGATCATCTCCGGGGTAGAATCGATGGTGGTTGCGATGGTTCTGTGCTGACTCGGCTTTCAGCAGTTTTGAAAGGTATACCGATCCTTCAGGGTCATTTGGCTCCCAGTCAGGATTGTTGTGCTACGTGGGAGATAGATGAGGTTGAGGGATATGTTAATTAAAACCATATTTTGTACAGCGAGGCTAGCGAGCTTCGAGCTAGGCAGTGTGACATGACTGTTACCTTGAAGTTCAGGAACGACTTCTCCATTTTGTTTTCGTTGGCGACAACATGCTCGTTCATAGTGCCTGCCGCGTTGTTCCCATACTAACAAGTTGCATGAAAAAAGTACATATGTTAACGTTGGGAACTCCCATCGCTTGTTTGCGCAACTCTCTTGGAGACACGATGACAACTTGGTGTTCGTGCGCTTGATTACCTTAACGTTTCCTTGCCGCTTAAAGTCAAAGACAGCGAAACTACAGACATATCCTATCCCATCGACATGGACTGTGAACTCCCGGAAAAAGTCAACAATCTTCTCACTGCAATTTGCCAAGCTCAAGCACAGCATCAAGGGCGTCAAGACCAAGCTCATAAACTCCATGAGGAACAACATCGCGTTGTACTCGAAAAGCAGCGCAAATCGTTTCCGGACCTAAGACCAACGGATAAGTAAAATTAGGTGAGACCTATGATATAGAAGTAAATGGAAGGCCAGTGCATGAACAAAAGAATGTACCTCGTCGGTGTGTAGCTTGTCTTCCCACTCGCTGGGCATGTAGTGGGTATGCTCAACAACTCCTCGAATCAAAAGTTCCGGGTCAAAACTCTCTGTTTGATCTGGGATCATGCCTCGACTCACAGCCATGATGGTTCCAAAGAGTCCCAGATAGAAGAACACGGTCCTGTCTGTAGTAATCTCCAGTCCCAGGAGCAACTCTTGGTCGAAAATCGTAATCAAGGCGAGAACAGCCGCAAAAGATCCAGAGACAAATGCAACAAATCTATCGACAGGATGAGGTAGGCGATCAATATCTACAAGAGCGAATAAATAGTATTATATGTAGAGAAAAAAAAAGCAAACCCACCTGCAGAGCAAGATCGTCTTCTCCTTGGGGAATTGATTAATGTACTTCAACGCCAGTGGGTAACTTGCATTGATCCTAGCCTCAAATAGGTGAGGAAGCTCATTAAACTCCTTGAACTTCCATTTCGCCACCGGTGTATATTGTCTGGTGCCGATCGAGCTTGGGTTCTTGTGATACTCCTAGAAGTGCTCGAAGAGGCGAGTGAGCCGCACGATTCAAACGAAGACGAGCATTGAGTTACAGCAATACACATAAAAAGTAGATATGCGTTTTACCTCAAAATACCGAAAGAAAAAGTAAAGCGTGAGGTAAATAGAAATGAACGGCGAAAAGAGCAACGTTGCAAGACCCATGAACTGAAATCGTCTTCTCAATCTATAACAATTCACGGACAAAAGTGGCATCATTAGCTTCTGATCTCTTGTCCCTGTCGTTATAGCCTTTACATCAAGTATTAAGATCCACCCAGGACCTACCCGTCGACAAGTTCAGTCCTGCGAGTGTCCTTAAGGAATCGCTTTCGGATTTGTCCGCGTTCGTCAAAAACGTAGCCCAAAATACAGAAACTTAGACTCCACTCCAGAATCCGCGTGAGAATAGTCCGGTTGTGCATCATCGGCACAGGTATCGAAAGGTCAATCAAGTCTTTGTTAAACATGGCAATCATAAAGTTCTCCCTGCGCATGATTCTGTTGGCGATGTCATGCGCATTGAGTCGTTGTGTGTCTGTTGTTTGGATCGTAGCCGTTGTTGAGGTATTGGGGTTGTTGTCACGGATCTTCATTATTCTTGCCGCCACCTCATGCCACGAAACGGTCTGGATATCTTCCTAAGAAGGTTAGGCAAACAAGAGGGTTAGTTTCGTGTACTTCTTTATAGCAGAGCTGTACCGCTTGACTATGTTTTAGCGCTTACATCAGGGATCTGTAGCAGATACGTGAAAAAGTTGCGCATGTCCACCATTTCGGGCACGTCGTAGATGAGTCGAGTCAACTGACCGATCCAAAACGTCGCAAAGAGCAGGAGCACGATGAAGGTGCCTGTTGATAGCCTACAAAAAGGGAGACGGTAAATGAAGAGGGGGCAGAAAACTATCAGGGATCGAACTCATGCTCAGAATCATCGAGCAGCTCTGTTCGCAAGCAGAGCTTATGTCGCTCACAATTGGCAGTTCGAAAAGGAGAGCGTTCGGAACTTACCTGTGGACACATTGTGGGATGATGACCTCACTGAGGTGTCTCGAGTGCCTTAACCGAGGGTAGTCCACGCAGCCGATCAGGTAGGTTGCAAACCCGATAACAAAAGCAAACGTCCTAAAAAATGAAGGCAAAGGTCAGAGAAGGTTCAAACCGACATCAACTCAAATGCTCAGGATTGAGCACGACACTCTGACACACTTACAGTAGATTCAAGCACCGCTCGAGTAGAATGGTGTACATGCCCTTTCCAACATAGTAGTTGTAGACCTACAAGGAAAGAGAGGGAAAACATGTTAGGTTCCATAATGAGGGCTTACAGTAGCAGTTTGCTCATAGATGCATGTATAAGAAAGATATCCTGTGTTCATCGAACTTACTCGGGCTAAAAAGTTGTCCAGGTTTTCGACATTCACCCATTTCCACATGGCCAGTTCCGCAGCATTCATTCCTGGTCGCTTGTACTGAAGTCTGCGTCGAGCCCTGTCGCCAAAGTTCCAGTACCCTGTCGAGTCGTTCTCGTCTTGGTGCTGCTGGTTCATCTCTATCATGAGCGACGCTGGTGCTTCATGGTCCGTGCCAATGTCAACATTGGGTCGTAGTATTGAAGGGTTATTGTGATGACTCCTGGCGTTGCTGTTGCTTGGCCTGTTGAGTGAAAATGGGCCGGAGGTCAAAGGGTGGTTGCCTTGGAAGTATGCATTATTACCGCGCCTCCCTCCGTCCGAGGAGTGCGTACTGCTTGATGCTTCTCCTACCCCAGCATAAAGAAGATTTCGCCGAGAGGATGCATCGGGATCGGCTTCCTCGTTCTCGTCGTTGTCTTCCTCTTGACTGTCGTGGTGACGATAGTGCTGGCGGTACTGATGGTGGTGTTCGTGGTCGTACTCCTCTTGGTCGAGGTTGTCTTGAAAGTTCGACAGTCTAGGTTGATGACTGTATTGGTCCAGGTCCTCTTGGTCATAGCCTTCTTGCTCTTGAAGGTGGTTGTCAGTCAGTGCTTGCTCAAAGACACTAGACCCATACTGACTTTGAAAGGTTTGGAGAACGGGGGTGAATAGGGGCATCAAGGGGGGTGGATTATGGGTCGTCGTCGTCGTTGTTGTGGAGCTGGTTGAGAGAGGGTTGTTGTTTTTGCTGTTGCTGCTGTCATTGTTCTTGGAGAAGGACGACTGGCGCAGAAAAGAGGAGGAAACAGCTGCAGCACTGGCGGAGGCCGAGTCCTGAGGACGGTAAGGGTTGAATGAGTCGTTGTTGTTGGCAGTGTTGTCGTGTGTGTCTCCTGTGGAGGTGTTGTTGTACGGCGAGTGTCTATGCATGGCGGGAGTCTAGTAGGGAGTGGGAATGAAAGGGAGGAAGGACGGAGGGTGAATGTGAAGAAGAGGGAAAAGAAAGAAAGGCAAAAGGTCAAGTTGACGTGGCTCTCCTTGGCGAAAGAAAAGGCAAGTGACTGCCGTCCAATGGTGGTGATGCTTTTGTAAAAAAATGGTGGCAAAGACACTTTTGACTGGTTGGCCACTCACGCACCGCTGCTATTCTTCTCTTCAAGTACGCGCTGAAGAATAGAAAAAAAAACCAGTGCATTTCACTTCCAAACAATAAGCAGAGAACATGGTTGACGCGATTTTTATCCGGGGTGTGGTATTCCTTGAAAGAGTGGCATCCAAGGAGCAATCCCTTGTTTTTTCTGTCGTGTGTTGGTGTGGTGTGGTGTGGTGTGGTGTGTTGTGTGCCCCTTCCTTGTGTGAGCGAGCGGCAATTGTAACACACACACACACACACAAAAAGGCTCGAAATGAAAAAAAAATTCAATTTCCAGTATTATTTTTTTTATTCAAATAGCGGTTCTCACTTTTTCGTTTCTTTCTCCGGTCAACCACAGGACATCGACAACAACAACAACAACATCCTTCCCCTGCCTCACCTCACCTCACCAAGAGACAACAACAACAACACCAACGACGACAACTATCGCCCGAACAGGAGGAACATAACCCGTTCCAACTCCTCGTCGTTTTTTTCTTCCTCTTAAAGAACTCCACGATTCTGATGCACCGAGCGACAAGAAAAAAAAAATAACAATCAACAATCAACAATCAACCAGACGTGAACACACCAACAACACAACAACCCAAGCTGTGTTGACATCCCTCTGCTCGCGTGCGGGAGACAAGCGTGTATTTCGGTGCAGTCGACCGAGCAATCCTGTGCCCTGTTGATCGGGACGACCGAAACGCACACACATACTCAAAACACACGACATTCAATAACAGCCCACATATTAACAACAACAACAACAACAACAAAGGAATCGGATCCTACTGGACGTGATTCACAATGGACCTGCAGACGCTTTCAACGCTCGACGATCTCTTGTCCGATGTCCTGCTCGACGGAATCCACCTCTGGTTCCAGACCCACAAGATGAGCAAGGACTACCGGTCGACTAGTATTCCACCTGGCAAGATCCTCGACATCATTCAGCGCAAGGTCATTTTTGAGCGAAAACTCCCCGAGGCTGTCAAGGAGTTGCTCGGGTAAGTGCGAGCCAAGGATTGTTGTGCTATATGTTCTTTCGACTTACCTGGGTTGCAAGCAAATCGTCGTATTATTAACTGTGGTATCCGCTCATATGTTTTCTTAGACTTGAACCTATCAAGAACATGTTCACAAAGGAAAAGGAGATTCAGGATTTCGGCACGTACGTTTATTTTGCAAAGGACGCGTTGTATAGAACGACATTGATTTCAATTGAGATTCAACGATTACTCAGCGGCAATAACCAACATCATCATCTTCACCCCTGAACAACTATGCCCCCCACCTGATAGGCATGCGCGGAGATACCTCAGCATATATCTCCCCTCCGCAGGATTTGAGATCTCGCAGACAGATCGCTATTCGGCCGTCACTAACAAGTCCGAGGCATGTGTGATTGCTAACCGGTCTTTCGAAGCTGGGGACGAGCTCCGCTACTGTGCTGGTACGATCGCCAACTTGACCGAGCAGGAGGAGAAGGATCTTGAGACGAAAACCAGCGACTTTAGTGTCATCAAGACAAGTAGACGCGGAACTTGCCTCTTCCTAGGGCCAGCGCGGTTTGTCAATGTAAGTTTTTATTGATTTGATTCTTGGCCTTGGATCACAGCGCTTCGATTTTCACTGCATGCTGACGCTTGTACCCTTTTTTTTTAATTTCATTAACGCGTCCATCCTTGACAGCACGACTGCGACCCCAATTGCAGCTTTATGTCTGCTGGCTCTAGTGCCATCTACTTCAAGGTCCAAAAACCCATCAGTGTGAACGACGAGATCACAACGCATTACGGAGACAACTATTTTGGTGTTGACAACCAGGAATGCCTTTGCGCAACTTGCGAAAGGTGAGTGCTGGCAATATTTGCACCTTCATTTACGCGTTCCAAATCGCATCAAGCATACTAAAGATTGTTTACCTTCTAGGCTTGGACAAGGTGGATATAAGGGTAAAGCCCTTGCAGCAGAAGAGTCGCAGGATGATGTAGAAACACCTGAACCTGAGCTGGAAGATTCAGGAAGAAGACTTCGTAACCGGCGAGGCAAGCCAAGTAAGCAAAATCATTTGGTATACTCGTGATTTTAGATTGACAGGAGCTGTACTCAAGTATACTCATATATCTATCCAAAAAACTGCCTCTTACCTAGTCAACTATTATCCAACCTTGATGAAAAGGCCTCGGAAATACAAGGAAGATTCAGTGCGACCCTCGACACCCCTGCCACCAGTCGAATCTGACACCATCCCTAGCACCAACACACCTTCCACTCCAAACACGCATGTCGATCTCGATACCGTTGACAATCAGTACTCGGTTGATAGAAACATGTCGGGAGACATCGGCACAATTGCAGTATCATCTGCGGCGCTCTCAGTTTCTTCATCGACAACATCATCCGACGTTCTGACGGCCTCTCTCACTGAGCTGGACAGCACGTTGCTGCAACAGAGCATTGCGTCTCCTGTGCCCCATGTCATGGAGCTGCAGGTAGAAACCCCTCCACTCAGCTTCTCTGCCTCGTCTTCTGATTCGGACAAGCTTGGTAGTAGTGTCTCCTCAGACCAGCCAGTGGTTATGGAGAGTATGCTCAATCAGAACTCAGTCCTGACAAATGCGAAGTCAGACCTGTCACTGCCGACTCAATCACCAACCGTCAACAAACTATCTATGGACGATGACTCTCCCTTTGTTGAAGACACGCGTTCGCACGACATTCAGTCATTGGAGAATGACTTTCTTTTGAGCGACAAGCCTTCCGCGATTGGCAGTACTTCCTTAATCGACAATTCCTCCTTGGTCGATGACACTCCATTGACCAACAATACCTCCACACTCGCGGCCTCCCTCTTGGATAACACGCCTCTTGTAGCTGAGACCCCCACCGACGTCTCATTTTCGATCGATATCCCTCCCATGATCGATAGTCGTGAGGCGACTCGAACGACTCAACCAGCACCAGAAGGTCCCGAGAGTCTCCTAATGGATCCAGTGGAAGCTACTATCAGCTCAACCCAAGCAGTGGACCCAGCTCTTGTCGATATGATGGATATCTTACACCTCTCTACGGCGAGCGATGACCAGGAATCAAATCTACAGGATGGGCTCGGACAGCCGCGAGCGATAGAGAAGGAAGCAGGAGAGCATGACGAGGATGACCCTGCCTATAGCGACCAATTCGACGGAGACTTAAGCGATGCCGGTGTTGACGAGGACATTGTCATGCTCTCGCCTAAGAACTTTCGCATGTCCCTCGATTTTCTCTGTCATACCGGCGCACGTGCTTCGACGGCCGAAAAGGACAGCAACCAACCGGACCCAACAACCCCATGGAATTACGAATTTCAGGATGGCCGTAGCGATACTACCAACGGAAACTCACGTCGAGCATCGGTTCAATTGAGTGAGGTCGGGGACGAGATGGGCAAGGTATTCCGAAAAAAGGTTTCCAAGCGCGCCAAAGCAGCAACAGTCGTGTCTGATCCGGAGCATTGTGTGACCTGCAAAGCCTTCATTCCGGAACACGAGCGCAACGATTCAGACGACTGCCGCCGGTGCTACCGTCACTTTGCCATTTATGGCATTGCCTGGCCGTCAAGGAGCAGGCATGTCATTGCCGAGCGATATAAAAAAGCCGCCCAGGAAGTAAGTTTTTTATTACGGCTGTGCTTAGTCATACCTTTCAGTGATCTGACAACACCTTTCAACTTTGGCTATGGTGATTAACATTCATATCTTCCTTGTTGCATAGGAGAGAGATAGGGCCAGGAAGAAGCAGTTGGCTGAAGCTTCGCGAGCCGCAGCCAAGGAAGAGGCCAAGGCGAAGCAAGATCATGCCAAGGAGGAGGCTAAGGAAGAGGCCAAGGCAAAGCAGGACAAAGCCAAGGAGGAGGCCAGGGCGAAGCAAGAGCAGGCCAAGGCTGCGTACAGAGCCCACCTGGAAGAGCAGAGACAGTTGGCCATTCTAAAGATCGCGATGCGGAGGGATATGGGACTGCCGCCAATAGAGAAGACCAAACTTGTTCTCAACAAGAAGCGCCGGATGAAGGCATCCAATGCACCCGGGTCCTACAACAACGGGTACTCTTATCCGGTCGATCCTTCTATGCAGTCGTTTCATTACGAGAGTGTCGTGCCTTCAATGGCGCATGGCGGCATGATCAGTATGAATGGTGAGATGGTCTACCCGCAGATGGAGCATCCGCAAGCGACGTATCAGGGAACAACCAACAACCCACCCGGCCCTTACCAGCAAGATTTCTACTATCCTGCCCAGCACGACCACTCATACGACCATTCGAGCCAGCCCACGATGCTTGTCCATCCGTTCCATTGCGCGCCCTACCTCGTTTTCGTTGATCCCATGGACGACAACCCGAATACTATTTGGTGGGTGGCGGTGACTGTGCCACGACATCAAATGGATGAGTCCATGCCTCAGTGCGGTTCAGATCCAGACCTCATTGTCGTTCGATTTCTGGAGGAGTATGCCTATGCCATCTGCAACATTTCGGGCCTGAAGCTCTTCCACCCGCAAAAGGAGCCGTACACAAGCTATGCCGAAAGAGGTCCCCTTTTCTTCAAGATCCCATGCGTAAAGCGGGCGCTCGCGTTCTTGAATGAGGGTTACATTCCACCACGTCTCCCCTGGAAGAACATGTCTTTTGTCGGGCAGATGAGCTTATCTGACACTGACAAGGCCATCCTGGATTTCCCACGCAAGACTCTGGAGATGCACAACTTGATGCAGCTTCACCAGCTCCGATGCAAGTATCAACAATCCATTCAACATCTACAACACATGCGGAACAACAACTCGATCGATCCTTTCGCCATCCAAGAGCATGAGCAGCGACTGGATCAGGAATACCTACATAAGGAGGAGCAGCTTCGGTGTGAGATGCAGCAGATCGAAGGTCCCATGGAGGATTACCAGGCGACCTCGATTATTATGGTGAAGCGATTCGCCCTCTCGTTCATGAACGACACTAGCATGGATATTCAACACGTTCAAGTCCAGCAACAGCCGCCACCCGCCACAAAAGCCAAACGCGCACGGAAACCGAAGTCCTCCAGCCAACGTGACGACGCTCATGGCCCTATTGAACCGAGACCGGCGAGCCAGAGCAAGGACCTATCACCACCAAAACCGCTGGGGGAGCCCCTAGAATCCAGCGACGTCAGCAACCCCAAGTCCAAGAAACGTCGAGGTCCATCAAAGAGGCAGCTCCAGATAGACCTCCAGCTTTCGGAGCATGCCCAGCTTCTTGAAGCTGCCAATATGGGACTGCATTCTTTCAAGGCGGCCGATGGAACAGTGTTCACCCTTGCGAACGTCGCGCCAGTCCAAGTCGATTCGTCCACCGCAGCATCCAAGAGGAATTCGACTGGACCCAAGCCTAGAGTCGACAGTATGGACCCCACAATTCAACTCGCCTCGAGCATGTCAGCAGTAGAGGCAACGGCGACGACGACGACGACGGTACCCAAGGCGCGGAGACGACGACAGACAGTGGATGTAGGTCTTTCAGACCGTCCTGTCCTCTTACCTACGATGACACTGCCACGCTCTATCTCACTCGAGCCTGTAGCCCACCAACTCGTTGTTACAGATTCCTCCTCTCGCTTTGCTTCCTTGCCAGGCCTTCTCATGACCAATAACAGCAAAGGTCGATTATCTTCAACATGGGACATGTCTGGTTGCGAGTACAGCTTGACGGAGAGCAGGGTTATTGAGGGTCGCTACAATTGTATCGAGATCACAAATCACCCGGCTAGAACGGTTTTTCATGGAAAACCTCAGGATGGCGACGCGTTTCTCCTTGATTCTGACGACGTCGTTGGAGTGAGTACGCCAGCCTCGTCAGACTCAACCGAAACGGATGTATCGCTTGCCCCCGGAGGAAGTCCTGAACCGACTGCAACATTGAGAAAGGCTAGGAGGATGGGGAAGACTAACAGGGAGGATGCATATTGGAACGAGTGCGATAGGGCGGAGGCAGATGGCGGAGGAATCGACACTATCGATAATCGCTCAATATCCGACACCTTTGGCGCGAGCGAATTGTCTTCCTTAATGCCATCCACCAGATCTTCTTCTCTAGGTGCAGGTGATCAGGATATCGATGTGCTGAGTTACTATGATGATCAGGTGTCCAGCTCCAAGGGCGCCCAGGATGACGAGGCCCAGTTTATCGACATCGAGAGCTTGACGCCTGCCGACCACGAGGCCCTCGAACTATTGACGCCTGCCGCTCGTGAAGCGCTCGAGGGACTGAGCCTTTTGCTGTCGAAAAGTCCCGACTTTGTCGCTTCGTCTACGCCTGCACCTCGACAGGCTCCTCCTATGGCTGTATGGGACCACGCTGTAGCGCATCGGGACGGAGCCAGCGCCATGGAAAGCTCGAGCTCAGCCGACACACCAAAACGTGCTCCCAAGAAGAGAGGTACCAAGAAGAGTCGAGCTACCTTCACGCCGTCTAACGCAAGCCCATCGACGACATCAACAACAGCATTGCCACCACCACCGGAACTCAAGACCACCCAGAGTATTTCGGAACAAGATACCGCCGTCTCGGAAGTCGGCCAAGTTCAGAGTCGATCCCGAAAGGCACAACCTGGAAAGTCACGTAGAGCTTCATCATCTAAGGCGAAGGTGACTATGAGTGGAGTCAAGCGTCAGAGCTCTTCGACAGGTGCGGGTGGAGACGTGGACAAGGGATTAATTGTTGCACAAGAGAGGCGAGCCTTTACCAGCAGAAGCAAGAAGATCGCCGTCAAGGAATGGATCGAAGGGCGAGCAGGATCACCCAAGGATCCTCAGGAGGTGGAGTCTACTCGACGACAGTGGAAGAAGAAGAGCCGCAAGGGACGCGAAGCCTCGGTCCAGGATGAGTCTTCTCAGGTCAGTAGCTCTGCAGGATTCACGGTGACTAACCTCCAAGGCGCGATGACGACGGAGTTGAACAAGTATCCAAGAACCACTCCTGTACCACCTTTGCTGGAGGCGGACGACTCGAGGGCCTCGCCTTCAGCATCATCGTCATCGTCTTGTCCCGCCACAGAGTCACCCGAGCCATCTTCGAGCTTTTCAGCCGTCGATGTCGCCGACAACAAGGAGCTCCAGTCTCTGAGGCAGTGGAGTATCAAAGGCGGAATCATTGGGTTTGACATTGATTCGAGTGTCCGATCCGTCCGGTCTCGGAACAGGAGCGGTGAGTCACCCGTTCCGGATGTCGGGAAGCATTCTGGTGTTCCCAACCCAACAAGAAGCAGTCAGGCTAGCAAGCCACGCGTCGTTGATGGAGAGGTGGATGGGGTCAAGAGCAGGCCTCGAAAGCGCAGGAGGCCGACTGTTGATGAGGAAGCGGCTCAGAGTATCCCCGAGACCAAGTCCACAGTGATCGGCGACGATTCCACCTTGACAGACAATGCTGAGCTGGGCGAGCGCGAGACAGTTGCAAGACCAGGGGTGACCTCTAAGGCAGAGCCTTCGGCCTTGGAGACTGTGGAGGACAAGCAGACGAGCGATGATTCTCTTGCGGCTGTCGCTGTGGGCACGGTCGATACACAAGAAGACCTTTCGTCACCCCTCGATGCTGGAATTGAGGAGAGCAGAGTCATAACAGGAAAGGTGACTTCTTCAAAGAAAGAACCTGCGTTAGTGATGGTCAAGTTTACTCTTGCAAAGGCAGATTCGGACAAGGAAGGTACGGTGGCGTCACAGGACCAACTAGCTGTGACCGAGGGCTCAGGAACGTCTACGGAGTCGTCTTTGTCGATCGTGGTGCCTAAGAAGCGATCGAGGAAGAGGACGGCGGAGGTACCAGATGATCCACTTGTTCAGCAGCCCATGGCGATGTCTACTCGCAAGCGCTCTATTCAGGACGCCGCAGATGTGGGGTTGGCAGTTGAGGATGAGTCGACAGTGACTAGATCTGCGGTCCAGGGGATGGAAGATGAAGCGGAGGCTGCCTCTGAAGCTGTTGTTGGCGCAACGGCGACGAAGCGTCGTCGTGTTCAGAAGTCGCTCAAGTCGAAGAAGGACGAGTTGCCGTCGGAGAAGGTCGAGGCACCATCGAGGGTACCATCGACGAAGGACCAGACACCTTCAGAGCAGGTTGAGGCGCCTATGAAGCAAGTCAAGGCACCATCGAGGAAGGCCAAGGCATTGTCGAAGAGGGATGAGGCAGCATCGGAAGAGGCGAAGACAACATCGAAGTTAACCAAGGCACCATCGAAGAAGGGTAAGGCAGCATCGAGGAAGGCTAAGGCTCATTCGAAGAAAGGCAAGGTATTATCGAAGAACGATGAGACAGCAACGGAGGAGGAGGTAGAGGCGGAATATGAGACAGCGCCGGAGGAGATGGAGGAGGAGGAGGAGGAAGAGAACACTCTAGGACACTCTGAGGAGACGGCTGTCTTGCTGGTGGGAAAGCTCAAGCTCACTAAGAGGCAATCGACGCGTCAGGGTCGAGCACCTGCTGGCAAACCTGTTGCTTTGGCGACAAAGGGTGCTAGGTCATTTTCTGCTGCTGCCGCAACCACGGTGATGGCTCCCAGGAACAAACGTGACAAACCCGAAAAGGAGTCAAGGAATTTGGTGAGCCGCCTCATTACACTGGACAACATTGCCGAGAGTCGACTCCGAGACAGGAACAAGGAGGGCAAGTTGCCCAATACGTCGAGGCCCAAGTTCGAGGTGGGCGACTCTGTCATGGCACCCGGGGAGAACAACATTATGTTTGAGTGCGAGGTCAAGGCCAGACGGGACCACGAGACGCTGCCAGAGGTGTACGAGTACAAGGTCCATTATGAGGGATATGCACAAAAGTAAGTTATTTGTTGTTGTCGTACTTGATGTATTGCGTGTTAGAAGGATCCGTCCGAAACAGCCTCAGATTAATTAACCATTGATTTCTGACTTTCTCATCATTTTAGGTACGACGCGTGGGTCGAGGAGAATCAGATGGTCGCAAACTAAAATCGCATCTTTCGCTTTCTCATAACATCATACATTTTTTTTCAGTTTTTTTTTTTTACCATCATTGCTATCATAATTCGTTTTTCATTTGTAAATTCACCCAACAACCGTAATAAATCGCACCTTTTTTAAGCGAAACTCTTATTATTTTATTACAACGAAAGGAAAATCTATTTTACAAAGACGACAAGGGAAAGGCTGTCGTGGCCGTGGTAGGAAAGGAAGATGATGGTTCAGGGTCCTGCAAGTCGCTGCTGCTGTTACCGCTGTTGTTGTTGTTGCTCATGGGTCGTATTGGTCCCAGCGACCTTCGTCGATTGGATCCTGTCACAGGGATCGGGATAGACGACGAGGCAGAGTCACCCCCGACTGCCGGTTCAACATCAACGGAGGTCGTCCGAGGTAGGGCTGCCATCATGCTCACACGCCGCTTGCTTCGCGTCGGTTCTGGTTGCGTGCCTTGATTGTCTGGCATCACGGGGGCGCCTAATTCGCCAGGGGCGAAGTGGTAGCCGAGACTGCTGGAACCTCCTGTTCCTCCATTACTGCCCAATTGCTGGAATGGTGGGATATCGAGTGGCGGTGTGAGTGTGAACTGAGCACGGATCCTCCGGCGTGTGCTCGCATCTCGAATGGGTCCTCCACCAATGCCACTTCCCACTGAACTGTGACCCGCAGCGCCTCCGTTGGCCTTGTTGCCTTCGTCCGCATGAAGGCTGCCGCTCCCTTGCCCAATGGAACCCATACTGAGTCTGCGCTTCGTTGAGGCCGAGATTTTGGATACAGTGGATGTTGTGGATATTGCTGAGGCCAGGGCGGCAGAAAGTTGCTTGGGAATCGACTTTTGTAGGTCACTCTTGTCCAGACGAAGAGGTTTTTTCGCGCCGTTCACGGGTGGTGGCGGAGACGGTATGGGGATACGGCTTGATCCTTGACCAGAGGGCCCTGACGAATCGGCATCAGTCGAGCCGTGAACCTTGGATGCATGTCGACTGGTACTAGCCGATTTACTGCCGTTGGAAGGAGACGTCATCATAGAGTCGCTACTCTTGCCGTTGGGTAATGTTGCTACTGCTGTTGATGAAACCTTGAACGGATTCCGATTGTCTGGCATCATACTCTGGCGGCGGGCGATCCGGGCAGCTGTGGCGGACGAGGCTCCGTGGAGAACAACTGCCGGCTGTTGCGATAGGATAGGTGAGCTACGCTGTTTCTTTCCACCATGTCCAATGCTGTCCCCATCCAATTGTCGGAGTCGTTTGGTTGGACTTGAAAAGATGTTGGGTGGCGAGCCATTGTGATTTCCAGTCACAAACGGATTCAGTCTTTGCGGGCCTTTTGACATCTCTCCCTTGGCCGACTTGATACCGGAGGGTACTGTGCTACTGGTGACAACCATCCTCCTTGCTCCTCCTCCTCCTTGCCCATTGGGGGCCCCGTTGGTTCCGTTGCTGCTGACCACGAGTCGCTTGGCACCACCACCCAAACCGAGCCTACCAAGAGATGATGACGAAGAGCCCGACGCTGGTGGTGGGGTACTGGTCGGAGAATCGTCTTGCAAAGCGCTTAAAGAAGGGAAGGGAGTCGGCCGAATAATGGGTTGTGTCGGATCGCGCCAACCAGTTGAATACCTATCCTCATCCTCGGCAACAACGTCGAGCAAAAAGTTGACGTTGCGTTTTGTTGGTGTAGGAAAATCTCGATGTTGTCGCAGTCCTCCGCGCGGACGTCTCTTGGGCGAAAAGATGACTCCTGGCATAGCGTTGGACTTTCTGCGGGGAGTACTGGGGCGCCTGCTGGGGGCTGGAGGTGGGCTCTGGAAGGGATTTTGTGGACTGCCCCATTGATTCCTTTCCTGGAACATCCTGCTAGGTGACTGGCTTCCATAGAGACTGCTGGATCCTAGGGCGAGGTTGGTGTCAACGGTATCCATGGATAGGTTTGGCAGGACGTTGCTCTGTGAGTGCCGCTTGACAGGTGTGCTTGGAACCTCGGGGAGGATCGACATCAGTCTAGAATCGCCAAGGCCGATCGTACCACTAGACATAGCGTCATTGGCGTCTGAGCCAGAGAAGCCTTGATTCTGTGAGAGAGACGTCCCGATTCTCTTGGTCATATCCGTGAAGCTCGTGATCGACGACATGTAGATATCATTCAGGGTCCTCGTCGCCAGTCCAGCCTGTTCAACCGCCTCGATCTCCGACCTCAACCCGACAAGAGACTTGGCGCTCAGCTCCATAAAGTCCTCCGTGGCCAAAAATTGATCGTTCAGTGACATATCCGACAGCTCCAGCTTTGTTGTGAGAATTTTGTTATGTGACTCCAATGCCTGGCATTTCTTCTCCAGTTCGTACAGTCGGTGGTATGGAAAGCTGGCCGACGATATTCCTCCTCGCTTCTCAAGGGTCTGGATCGAGACTGCGTAGAGTTTGAGGGAGTCCTCCTGTTCCTGCATTTGTCGCGTCAGCATCATAGTTTGGTCGTTTAGATCCTGGATCAGGTTGTCGACCATGTTGATGTAAGAGGAGGATGCGTTCATCGAATCGTTCAACTTTTTCGCCCGAGCAACCACCGTATCATCATCCATCGCACCGCCTTGACCGTCCTGCGCTTTGATGTCCTTCTCCAACTGCTCATATTGCTGTCGTGCGGCCTGAGAAGCCAGGTGAAATCCTTCTCGCCACCGTTGGAGCCCAGAAAGTCGCGCCGAGATAATAAAATGCCGAGACTGGAGTTGTGCATAGCTCTGCTCCTGAGACCGTGCTGTCTGGAAAGTCGCGCGCATCTTCCTAACTGTCTCCTCAACCTCCTTCGATATAGCGTCCTGCCTCTGTTGCGCCCTCTCAATCTCCTCGCCTCTAGCTTGATTCTGCAGCTTGCCCTTGAGCTCTGCCACCTCCTGCCGTAACTCGTAGATGGCTTGGACGTACTCGGAAACATGTCGGTCGACATTCAGCGTGTTCTTGGTGACCTTGGTCTTGATGTTTTTCGCGCGATTGGCGTACTTGAGAGTGTTGTGTGTCTCTTCGTAATGTTGGTTGGAGGGGCTGACACAAGCGATCATGACTGTCCTACAATTGCCTCCCAACGAAAACTTGAGCAATCGAGTGAGCTTGCTGTCGCGATATGGTATATGGGCCTTGGGTTTGTTATCGCAAAGTGCATTGATGCAGTTGCCAAGTGCGAGAAGAGACTTGTTGATGTTCGCTCCTATTATACAATAATCAAATCGTTAGAGTTAGCACTGTCATTGTCATCGAGTTGTAATATACGTAATTTCATCCGCAAATGCTTTCAGTTGGATATTGTACCTTCAGTCAAACGTGTTCCTCGGTTTTTGGTGGCCGATGCTCGCTCACTTCCAGCCAAGTCGATCAAGGAAAGTGTCGCAATAGTAAAATCCTCGGACACGTTGGCAGTCTTGAGTCGTTGGCAAATGTTGATCTGAAGAACTGCATGTGAACGCGACGACGTCGCATTGGCCTCTGTTGGCGACATTGTCCTGTTCTCATTCCCCATCAACACCAAATCCATGAGCTCATCCATCTAACAGTAAAGTAAAATGCAAGAAAAATAACGTGTTAGCCACCACTTTCAAATGCAGACACGTTGCAAGCAATTCTTTTCTTTGGTAAGACAAGGTCGTTTGCATAGACTATTTACTCCTTTCGGATGATGTTCTGAGAGGCCGGCGATAGAGATCTTCTTGGCAGAGTCCTCCCGAAGATGCAAGGAAGCTGGCTTGACAGACTCTGAGCCAGGCTTAGTGAGCAGGTCACGGATCGTTTCGTTGTAAACCTCCAGGTACGACAATGAAACTTCGATGGTTTTCTCATCCTCCACTTCCTTGATCCGATCGTAAAGCTCCTGCATAGTGAGAAAAATGATTCCTGGTTTCTCGAGTGTGCCGCTGATTGTGTGCGTCTTGCCACATCCGGTAGCACCATATGCGAAGAGAGTTCCGTTGTATCCGTTCAAAACGCCGTCGATCAAGTGTCGTGTCGTGTTCTCAAAGACCTAGTCATACCACAGACGATTGACAATATTAGTATCATTCGCCATCATAGTGTTCGATGGCCATATCGAAACGTCGTCTACGCCGTGAATTGCTTACCTCCTCCTGCTGAGCATCCTCGTGGAACACGCGATCAAACGCATACCGCATGTCCTTGAACCGTCTATAGGCCTGGACAGGGAGTAGCGCCCTCTTGTACTTGGAAATACTTTCTGCGTCTGGTGCGTCAAAGACCAACACGCTGTCGTCTAGAACATCGACAATTTTCCTGATCCCTCCCTGTCCCTTCGAACCAGTGTGACCCAAACTGTCTGAACCATCGCCTCGACCGTGCCCTGTTCCTAGACCCGCCAGGGATGCATCTGCAGAAAAGTTGAACTTGTTGGTTGATGCTTGAGGAATTCGCAGCTGTTCAGAAGCGTTGAAAGGTCTAACTCGCACTACATATGGATCGAGAAGAATGATGTTGTGCTTTAGCTACTTTGGCAGTTCTGAGTGTCGATATAACGACAGGACATGTCTGATGCTTTGCATGACTCACCTGCAACAAGGATGGCAGACTCTGAGGGCCACTGTGGCGTTTCCCGGACTCTTTTGATTCCTTTGACAGCCTCGGCAGAAGGGGATCCAGTGTCCAAGTCCATCATTCCCGTGCTACCGTTGGGTCCGTTGGACGCGTTGTCGTCGCCGCCATCACCTGTCTGTGAGGACACAGGGGCGGCCTGGGTCAACTCCAGATCCAGATTGGGGCGTGTACCGTTTGTAGTGTTGTTTTCGTGTGGATTGTAGTGTGTGGTGCTGGACCCTGGTAGATTGTGAAGAGTACTGATGACCTCCAGGCCCTGCATGGACAGAGTAAAAAAAAAAAAAAAAGAGGGGGTTGTTGTGTTCCTGAATGAAAAACTGTGGCAAGAGAATCTGTCAGGCGTTGGGTGTGCAAGGCATGAGAAAGTGTGTTGCTATGACGGTGCGGTGGGTTTGGACACTTGTGCCCGGTCAGATCCTGGTTGCTTGTTGCGTGTGGTGCCGGGTGATGATGTCGACTGGCGAGCTGATGAGTCGAGTGCGAGTGTCCGTGTTCAAAGGTGCGAAGATGCTCAACTACAAGGTGGCAACTCGCATAAACAAGAATTGGCCGTGACTGTCAATCGCGTCGTATGCCCTTTTGCAACCCATGACCTACAGCCGCCACCAACATGGTCTGGTTGCACACGACGTGGCCCACTCCACCATACATTGAAAATAAGCCTTCAAGAAAGAAACAAGTTGCGATGGTGGTATATGCAATCGAATGGGAAATAGAAGCATGCAAAGAGAAAGGAGGGCAAAGTGGATCCTTTGCTTTCCATGTGGACTACTACGATAGAAGGGCAAGGAATGCCAAGGAATAAGCTCAGATATGACATGACGACAAAAAAGCATTTGAGCAAAACGAAGTAATGGTTTCCCGAAGATCGAACACAGTACAAGACCTCGGGGATTAGAGGCCGTTTCCCCTCTGCGAAATGACGGATGCACAAACTAGGGTGATGTCATTTGGGCCGCCTGCGACTTAAAATTACAGAAACCGGCATCCCTCTGAGGGGAAGGGGGTGTTCTCGTTATGGAATTAGGACAATTAGGACATACCTAAACCTTCTTCATACGTCACAGCGATTGATGATCACATATGATGTGAGACAATTTTTTTTTTCCTTTCCTGCAAGGGCTATATAAGGTCGTCTCTTTCTCTTCCTCTCTTTTTCATACAAAACACACAACTCAACTCAACGCAACTCAACACAACCACACAACAACACATATCCGTCAACAATGTCCTCCATCAAGTCATCCAAGCCCGAACTCGGCGCCTACTCCACACCCGCCGTCGGCAACACCACCGCAACAACAGAGACAGCAGCAGGAGCAGCCAAATCTGCCTGCTGTGGCCAGAAGGACTGGGACCTTCACCCCGCCTGCATCCGCAAGATCGAGAACGAGGGATCCCCCGAAGACGTCAAGCTCCTCCATGAAATGGAGCATCAGTGTCCCCGCGCCGCAAAGAACCAGCTCTAAAAATTACCCAACAAGAGGAAACTCAGGAAATTGTCCGCTTTTTTTTTCTGCCTAGCCTGAGCCCCCTTGGGTTCACCCCAACTACACCCTGCTCAACAAGTCCACAAAGCAACAACCAACAAAACAACAAAACATCAGCAACAACAACCTATAATCACTAACCGCCATATCAACACGGCATGCATCCCTTCCAGCCTTGCCAACAAACTGTATATAACTTCAAACCAATAAACCCAGCCTCCAGCAATCTTCTTTTTAAAATACCTGCATGATGTGTTAGTTTCTTCGGGATGCCACACAAGGACAGTTTGTTTCTCCACACCGTCGAAATGGAGGGAGAATCTGTGCGTGGGAAAAAGTCATTTGGGCGCAAAGAAACCAAAGCAGCAGTTCAATCATCAAAAGATAAATTGCATGAGCATGATGAGCATGAGCATGAATCAGAGGGGAAAGGAAGCAACAGAAAACAATCAAGTCGTGTCTGACAAAAAGGGATGAGCATCGTTACTTCGTCGTCGTTGTTTTTATGATGATTGACAAAGGTTCTGCGATGGGTGCTGAATCCTATCTTGACTTCTCTTCTACGGTGCTCTCATCTCATTCAATCTCAGCTTCAACTCGTTCTTTGTACAATAACTTGCGAGCAAAGACGGTCCGGAAAGAAGGGGCGAGAAGGGAAGCAAGTGGCTCGTGCATGTTTTTTGTTCGTTGGTGCCACCACGGCACTTCTTAGAATCCGTGCAACTGATTGCGCGAACAATAAAAAGACGGAGCGCGAGTCGACAAGGAACAAAATGAGAAAAGAGTGACAACAGCTCTCTGACTCTAATAATGAAAAGCCAGGAGTTGTCACCCATGTCAGCGTCTACATAGGAATAGGAAAAAAGAAGGGACAAAAGTAAGCAAGAGTCTTCCGCATTCAAGTTGAGCTATGCAAAAATACAAGAGGAGCTAGATTTACCTTCCACCAGACCCACGTCCTCGACCCGACTGTCCACCAACAGGTCGACGCTCATACCCATCAACACCCAAGTTTGTCAGCGCACTTTCTGTTCCAAACCCGGCGCCAACACCAACAGACTGGTTACGAGCCCATCGTGTGTTGTTTCGATTAGGATCATGTCCGTGGCTATGTCCACCTCGATCACCACGACCAAGACCACCCGAAGCGCTCGCTGAATCACGGTAGCTCGGATTTCCGGCGCCGCCACTGCCGCTACCACTACCACTACCACCTCGTCGACTGTCGTCGATAAAGTTCAATCGGATACCTTGATTCCGCAAGGACTGTTCCAGTGCTAAGATTGGCAGTAGTCAACATGAAACAACATGACATTGTATTAGATGGGTACTTACGTCTCAAGCGAGGATTGATGAACCATCTCTTGTGCCATATAACTCAAGTAAACAAACCTGCGCGCTGATTGGCCTCCTCACGGACTTCGTAGTCTAGGACTAGTTGCTTCAACTGCTGCTGCTCCTCACGTTCAGCTTCCCTTTGATTCCTGGTGTTGATTACGAGAGAGCTGTCGCTTGGCAAACCAACCGTCTTCAGCTGTTGCTTGTTTCCTTTTTTTGTCAAAAGGGTGAACGCCACATGGTCCGGATTACTGAGAGCAGGTTCTTCGCGGCGATCTACAGGACGCATAGCAAAAGCATATCAGGTTAGAGTAACGGTCAACGCTGCGATGAATAGGTCCAAACAGAAACATAAAAAATATCAACAACATACCTGCGGATCTGAGAACAGGGATTGCAACATCAAGAGTCAAGTGCTTTCTCTCAAACTTTCTAGATTCCAGACTCTCTGTCATCATCTTGAGGTACTCGCGCTCAAAGTCTTCATCGACAGCCTCCACAGGCTTGTGCTGATTCGTAAGGACAACGGCTTGCTCGTCATCGTCCATTTGTCTCATGGCATGGACCTCCTCGTCATCGTCCAAACCGTCTTCGTCGTCCTCGCTGTCATCATCATCATCGTCGTCCTGCTGGTCATCGTCACCGTCATCATCTCCCTCCGAGTCTTCCGAGTCCGAGTCGTCGTTCTGGAGGTTGGCGTTTGGATCGTTGCCTCCAAGAGGACCATGAAGCGCTTCGACAGCTGCGTAAGCTTCCTCATAAGTTTGGAAGCGTCGCAGCTTGGGACGCAGCTCCGTAAAGGTATCTTCGATCATGTACTCGATTTCCAGTGGGACGGATTCCTTGGCGAGAATATACATCTGAAAGAGGACTAGGAACGAGTCCAGTTTGATCTTGGAGCTTCCGTGATCGAAACACATTCCGCAAGTATCAAGCAACGTACAGACAAGTCGAATCCTGAAGCAGTCGTGAGGAGCATCAATGTGCGAGGGGTGATCTGGGGACGCTCTTCCTTGCTCTATACGATGTAGGAGCGAAAGTCATCGTAAGCGACATCCCGCAACTAATCTACAAAGGTTCTCATTGCCTGACTATGATGCACTTCAAACATACCGTGGCCTATTGAGAGAAGGGTGTCCAAGGTGCTGAAGATCAGAGGCGAGTCGACCATGCGGTAGTTATACAACTCTCCCAAGAACTTGACGATGGCGATACGTTTCTGATTGTGTCGAAAGTTGTTCTGCTCCAGATCAACCCGGATGTCTTCGGCGATAGAATCGACAATGGCGATCGAGAAATCAGAGTGGTACCGACTGAGCCCGTTCACAAGGATAGCCATCAAGTGAATATTGCTGAACTTGATCTTCCAGACCTTGCTGAAGAGGCGAACAACGAGGTTGTAAATCTATTTCAAGATTGAAAAGTGAGATGCTTCATTTTAGCGTGGCTGTCATATCGGCAAGAAAGAAAGGAATCGCCCACGGTGACATTTACAACTTACTTCGGGATTGCTCCAGTCTAACTTTCGCAACAACTTGTGAGTGATCTCGACGTTCTTTTTGCAAAGATCAAGATAGAGCAACTTGCGGATAAACTGCTCGATGGGAGGGATCTCGCGCTTTTGTCTTGTGCTTTGTTCTGGGGGGTTGCACTATGATTGGAAGAGTAAGAACAATTCGTCAGCATACATGTTTAGCAATGAATAATCAAATCTGCATACATACTTGCGGGTTGGTTGTATTTTTACCTGGTAGTAGGCATTGTCGATCATTAACAGAAACCTGGGCTCAAGATGAAGAGCAGCCTTTTTTCGCTTGAGGATATCCAGCATCGCGTCCAGGCGCGTCGAGGTGGCAGTGCTCTTGAGCTTGAGGAAGCGGCCACAGGTCTCTAGAAGTGCACAGGCTACAATGATGTTCTGAGGGACAAAGTCTTCGAGAAGAACCTTCAGACAGTGAAAGATGATTGGAAGCGGAGTGAGGCCGAACTTGACCAGCTCGGACAGAAACTTGATGTTCTTGACCCGTGACTCCGAGAGATCCAAGTGCTTCTTGCGCAAAAGACCTCGGAACTCGCGCTCCAGAGCATTCAGGACCTCCTCTGCGACATCCGGATAAAAGGGCTTGAAGGTTGCAATCATACGAGAGTAGTAAGGAAGCAGGTCGTGCCTGTCGCGAGGGACTTGTACAAGCGTCTGAAAGTAGAAACAAATGTTACCATGGCCATTAAGTTAATACCACATTTGCGTCTGCTCATTCCAAGGTGAAAACTCGCAGTCAAAAATATACCTTGATAAGGCGATTCCGGCTCAGCTTGGAGTTGAGGTAACAAAAGTCGACTGCGGCCTGGTCGATCATGTCCCTGTTGCACATATTGGGGAGTCTCGCCATAAATGCGTCAATCTGGGTTGCGGTTGTCTTGGACGCTGTTGTTAATGGTTCAGTTGCAACGGTCTCCTCTGCAAGGAACGAGTCCGTTCCGGTGTGATCGTTCAGCTCCATGTTCCCCAGTTCCGCGTCTATGCTTTCCATCATAAGGTCGGTCGAATCGTCGAATTCATCAATCTGATCCGCAGTATCCTTGGAGGCATTCTCAGTATCGGCGGTGGTGGTGTTGGAAGTGGCAGTGCTGTCCTTGCCTGTAGACTTTTCCCCATCCTTCTCAGACTCAGCTCCGTCATCCTTCTTGTCCTTTTTCGACTTTGAAGTCTCGAGGAAGATCTTGGGTACCAAAGTTCTGAGGTCCAGAATCTGTTCGTAAAAAACGACGTTGTCCTCGTCCTCGAACACACTGCTGCCTGCGCCCTTTTCCTCTGCGCCTCCGGAAGATTCGATAATTCCGATCAGATCCTCCTTTTCATCTTTGAGGACAGGTACGTCCACATCGAGAGCATCTGCGACAGACTGAGTTGAGGTGGAGAGTTTCTCAAAAGCCTTGAACTGCTTCTCATATTGCTGTTGGCGCTCCTCGGACAATTCTCCGCGAGAGAAAAGAGACGCCTCGTTCTTTCGCTCTACTCTCTTCAACTCCTAAATAATTGATCCGCTCAAGTGTGAGAAAAACTCATTAGCCTATATTCTCCTATTCGTCGTACACAAAACGGTAGTCACAAGCTTCGAGCAATCGTACCTTGTGGTCGCGAACAAGATGAGCCTCCAAGCTTTTGTAGTACTCGGAGAACAAGGTCTTGAAGAGCTGTTGTTGCGTTGGAGATACATATGCGTCGGACTGTCCTGAGCTAGTATCCTCTGCCGTCGAAGTCTTCGGTTCCGCGTCCTTTCCATCACCAGCAGTTTTCGCCTTACGAGGAGTAATTCCTGTCAAATCCTTGCCGTGAATCTTTAACACTGTGAGAACGATTGGAAGGTTGACGTGATCCCTGTCTCCCGCAAGCTATTTTTTTTGCAAAAGATAAGAGAATGCAGGCATTGTCAGGCAATTGATGAAAAGGCCACCTTGAACTGTCTTGCTCACAGGTTCCATAGAGCATGCGGGCATACCAGATCAAAAAGGATTGTGTAGATAAAGTTGGGCAAGCCCTTGCCGTCAGCAAGAGCTCCCTTCGAATCCTTGGACGATCCTGTCAATGCTGCAGCAGCGGTGTCCTTGGTCGCTGATCCAGATTTGGACACCCCTGTTGATCCCTCTGTGCCCAGGGTTGCCACGCCATCCTCTACATTTCGCAATACGCCGACCAACCACAGATCTGTGGCGACGCGACTCAACACCCGTTGGCGGGATATCCTTGAAGACTCTTCCTTTTCGCGTTGCTCAGGTGTCATTCCTGCCTGCGCCAACTGCTGGTGGGTTAACTTTGGGGAAGGAGCAAGTGCTTTGGAGAGGAGGTAGGTGAACAGCAGGGTGAATGTATCCGGGAAACGCTGGTGCAACGCGGAAATGACCTACATTCAGCAAAACAATAAGACAAAATATTATTTAGGAGCTCTTTCTTTTCAGCTGCGTTACAAGAGGCTGTTTTTTTTTGGCGGTCATTCTGATCGTTGTGGTTGGTTGGGTCTATACCTCTGTCGCCGCAGCAACATCTGCGCTGAGTTTGCATCGTAAGAGGCCTTCCAGAATAGCGGCGACGATTTCAGAGATGTATTTCTCTAGGCTGAGCTTTTTGATGTCGTTCAAGAGCTGGGTGGAGACATCGGCAGTGAGTCCTGTCTTGCACTTTTTTATGAAGGCGGTGTTCTTTTTGATGTTAGAATCCAGATTCCTGAGGGCAGAAGGATCTAGTTATGAGAGGAGGGTGCGATTGTGTCAGCAGGTTGTTTCCGTTGAGAAGCTTTCTTTGGTCACTCGTTGAGCAAGAAAGGAAGTAGGAAGTACCCGGCTTTTGTTGCCATGCCCTGAGGTTGGCCTGTCTGAGATCCTGTCTGGTAGCCAGTTTGGAGGATTGTGTGTCTGTTGAAGCGGGGGGGGGGGTGTGTAAGGGGAAGGAAGGGAGTGAGAGTCGAGTGACAATGTGTGGATGAGAGGAGTTGGGTGTGGATTGAATGTCAACGTGGATTTGGGGCCAGTGGAGCAGAACGATCGCTTTCTTTCCCTTGACCCGCGTCACTGAATATTCGAGTGAGACTGCGGCTGAGTGTGGTTGCAACTCACACGCACACCTTTCACCTTTGCCTTTTGTTTTTCTCCCCCTTCCTTCTTCCACACGCCACTTCTTTTTCCGTTCATTCAGAAGGGTCTGACAGACTGACTCTTTTTATCTTCCTGTCCTTCGCCGTTGCCTCCACCCCCCCACCCTCCCCCATCGTCCCATTGCTCTCGCTCTTCTCTCCTCTTCTCTCCTCTCCTCTCCTCTTCTCTTCTCCTCTCCTCTCCTCTCCTCTCTCCTCGTCCCTTCAGCCACCACACTCTACTCTTTTCACATTCTCCCCCTCTCTCCCCATTACACCCAACTCACTCCCACCCGTCCTTTTTCCTCCTCTCCCCTCCTCTCCCCTCCCATGAGCACCCGCATCCAGTCCGTCAACTGCTTCGCCTTCACCCTGTTCAGCAACTCATCGCCCTTAGCCATGCTACAGTCAACCGTCAATAACAATAGATCCATACTCGCCTAAAAAAAAGCATCAAACACACGCACACACTTTCGTTCCTCTTTTGTTTTATCCCTCCTCCTCTCTTTCAACCTCGCTTCTGACAAAGAAACGCCTATCATCGTCGCTCTCCCACGCCAACAAATACCCTCGATTTCTGCTGTTTGTTCCTGGATTGGGCTAACTCACATCAAATACGCCCTTCTGACCCTCCCTTTTGTCCTGCATACCCAACAGTTGTGCCCCCTGCGGTAAACCCAAACAAATGCAGACCAACGAAGAAAAAGCTTCCAAAATGGTTCGTAATTTTCATAGGCAACAGGAGTTTCCCACATTGCTTGATATCCGGTCCAGTACTTCACCCAACTAACACGACAACCTCGCACACCCTATACTTGCGTAGAAGTCCTCGCGTCGCCGTAACCACCACAAACATGCCGCGCAGGCTCAAGCACAGGCACAGGCCAACAGCACTCCTTCCTTTCCTCACCAGCGACGTCAATCAACATCTCAAGGACTACGGCCTGACCATGGTAAATTTTCCGCTGAAAAAATAAAAATAAAACGCCGCCAAAATAACCCACCGCACAGAACCTTTTCGAAGCACTCGTCAACGTTCAGCCCAAATCGCTCATTCCACTTACCACAGCGTTGTATATGGCATCGTTTGTAGGGAACAGACAAGCTGTCGACTTTCAAACCGCAGAAGTGATGCTGCACGACGCCGAGGAGACGCTGAACAAGGTCGAGGATTGTAGTCGTCTGCCGCCAGCGTTAGACATGCTTGCCAGTCTGTCCAAACAGCATCCAGCCGCATGGCAGGCTCGATTTGGGGTACTTTTTTCTTAGGGACAATGGATCTTTTTTTGAGCGAGCCGATACATACAATGTACAAACTATAATCTAACATGACCACCTTGCCTATCAATCTAGGACATTGTCGATTTACTTGTGGGATGGTTTGTGGACAAGAATACAGCATCGGCTGTCAAGAAGCAGATTGCTGGTAAGAACATCTTCTTGGCTTCAAATGCTATACTACTGATGAGACATGCATGACCAAATACTCATCTTATCTTTCGCATCTCTATGCTTCCATCTACGTAGATCTCATGGGGTCATTCACGGTTCAATGGCTGGATGCTGCAGAATTCGGGCAGGATCTACTCGAGATTTTCATCACGGATATCGAAAATATCGTGAGCGATGAAGCTCCTAGCGACGAGGACGATGGTAGGAAAGATGCGGCATCCTTAGAAACAGCGGCATCTCTGATCAGGTATTTGTTCACCTCATTAACGTATCTTCTGTACATGCAACACGGACCAACCGGGGAATTTTCTAACGCCTGTTTCCATATCGTTGGTTCTCGCGCTTACATATTCAATCTCACAGTTGCTTCAGCATCATTCTCAAAGCATTGGTCGCACACGCCTCGCAAGCAGTAACTCGAATGACACATCTCCAGGAGCGGGCTCTGGAAATGCTTGTTCTCGTGCGGAAGGCTACCTCTTCATCGGATACTCAAGGTAACACAAGGAACGGCATTCAATTAACTTTGATGCGAAACCGTTACTCTAACCACGCTGCAAACCACTAGAAAATGTTCTTACATATGGTTTACATTACGACCTTCTAGTCAACGAGATTATTTTGACACTCAGTCTTGGCAACCCGGGATCGTTCTACAACTTCCAACCCAAGGCGATACAGATTCTCATGGATCAATTTGACAATCTGCGGTTGGACAATGCGACATGGAAGGAAAAGATGGATTCCGTCCGCAAGGTATTCTATCCGGAGGATTGACTCTCTCGGTTTCGTCTATTACGTTCGCTTACACCTTGCGAGGGCTAATACGACCGACCTTTTTTTATTGCAATTAGATTCTGGCGGTTTGGCGTCCAAATGTTCATCCAGGAGTCGTCTTGGAGATGTGTCACCCCAAAACCGGCCTCATGCAACTGCGTTGGCTTTTGCAGAACAAGTCAAACAGGATCAAAGACGTCCTCGAAGCCATACTAATTTCATTGCCCGACCCAAGCCATGGACAGGAATATCCAGCCTCGGGGAATGACCACAAGGACATTCATTTGCAGGCATGGAGCAGTTTAATTCACGAAATTCGTGGAATTGCTCACGAGCTCAACCAGGAGAGTTGTTTGGCTGAGGCGACAGACATCGGTACAATCATGAAAGACGGCTCGATCCAGCATCATGACCGATATGAAGAATCACGACTTTTGGATATGCGCTATAAAGAGGGCCGGTACCAAGGCTGTCGAAGGACAGGTTCACCTGAGGCTGCGTTGCTCACAAATTTCACTTTCGACGTCCTCCTTGTCACTCAAATGAGCCGACTGTGGCCTAAAGAAGCATCATCAATCTTTCTGCGACTCTTGGAGATTCTCAGCGCTGTACCAGAGATCCGACTTACACTTGTTGTACATGCCTTACGAGAAATTTCAAGCAGGTATGATGCAAAGTGCAATGGGCATTGCTGACCTATAAGTTTTCTTGCAATAGCTAACCACTGCTTATTTTTTACGTAGCCGGAAACATTTTATACCAGCCTGGCTCGAGTGTGAAACTGGCGATGCAGCAGAGGACGTTAATTGGGATTCTTCGACTTTGAGTGTTTCTCTCAAGATGCTTGGCTCTCTGACGAAAAACTGGAGACTGCTATCCACATCTCTGAAGAACTGTCTTATTTCCTGGAACGCCGACATTTTGAGAGCCGTGCAGGCGTACCACGAGAAAGCCTTGCCTCTGCAGTGGGAGTTATTGAAAGTTGCTCTCTCTTGCAACCTTCATCAGCTCATCACCAACGCAGGTACTTCAACAAGAACTAGCACTGTGCCTATGAGTATGATAACTGGATGGATTGCGATCTGGGTTTATTGACAAAGATTCTTTTTGATGTGGTGGATAGGCGTTGATGAGGATGAAATAATACGAGCTTCGATTTCGACCATCTTTGAGAACTTTATCGGTGCCTTTGGGTCTTTGAACCTGGGACCTCAACTTCTTGCCAAGATCGGGGATCGGTAAGAAAAGCTCTTCCTGAGTAGTAAGCTTTGCAGAAGGGTGTCGCTTGTACATGCAGCTAACATCAAATGCGATGTCGAATGGTCAACTAGATCTCAAGATGTATCGCCAAATGTTCGAGAAGCCTGGCAAAGGGTTTTGTTCCAGTCCAACCCGTTCGCCTTTGCGTATGAATGCTACAACATTCAAGAGACTGACATCACCCGTGCTCTAAAGGTATAGACTTTGACATTGCACCTGCGGGCGAAATGGTACCTTCCAGACTGTGAAGATGTAATTGCTAACTGACATCATTTGCTCTATGTAGATCCTGGTACTCAAAAGCCCCAATTCAGGCGTGTTCCGATACCCTCACTTTTCTGCGGTTTTGTCCAGTCTCAACTCCAGTGATGCCAAGGCAGCTCAAACATCGAACGCCAGCACTCTTGATATCGAAACCCAGCCCGACACCGACATGCTTGAGCGACTCTTCCATTCATGCCAAGGGAAAGATATTCTTGCCAAAGTCAACCTTGACGGAGGCTCAGGTAAGAAATTGTTCGCATGGATACCCACAATCTACATGGTATCGTTTGAAAGATGTCCCAACTAATAGCTACAAACTCCATATATTTTGAATGTAGATCTGATTGCGACAGACCAAGTCAACACATTCCAGCACTCTAGGCATCTGCTAATGTACTGGTCCCTCTGGGAGGCAGCGCGATACTGTGTATTGTCAAGACTTCGGACACCATATGGTGGCCCGCAACAAACACTTGACGCGTTGGAAAAGCAATTGAACGCACTTCTTCAGTCGGAGGACAAAGAAGCTACAGGGCTACAAAGGTACCCTCCCACTAGTTCATTATCGGACATATACACTGTTGCTATTTATTACTGCGAAATGAAACAACTAACAGGAAGGACCTTCTTCCTAATGCTCATTGTAGGTTGACTCGCCTGAGAGATTTTTTGACGCTATTGGACCGACTTGAGCTGCAATTTCAGAACGCGTACCATGGAACTGCGCTCGGTGTCATTCCGCTGACACCGAAGCCCAGCATCGTATTTGTCAGGTCGAACAAATCCTTGTGGGAAGATTGGTTCGTTCGGGTTCGAAGTCGCATTGTGGAAGGCGCCAAAGTGACGGGCGAGTACGAGACCGTCATCCGTAATGGATACATGGTAAAAAATGACTTGCCGAGATTCGGCTTCGACGATCTATGTCTAGGCTTGAGCAGACGCCCAAGATCTCTTACTAACCATGATCCGCGTTCCAGCTTTTGGCAGATCACTTTAGCACTTTGTGTCGTGGCGCTGTCATTGACATCTTGCCTTGGCTAGACGACTTTGAAAGCGTCTTGGTAGATCTCGGTAAGGCAACACTAGGCATCACATTTCGCTCGAAACTTCTTCGAAGGTATCACTAACACCCGATCGTTGGGGTACTTGTAAATCATAGTGGAGGCACTGATGGTAACCAATGGGTCCGATGCTATCTCAGGTCTTTACGTGTGGTGCAGGCGAGCCATCAAGGACATGACGAGGCAATCATCCTCAAGCAGGTCAAAACACTCGCGATCTGAGCGCTCAACCCAATGTAAGAAGCCTTCGCGCTTAAACACGGACTTTGCTTGACGTGTCACGACATTCAAAGGACGTCTTTTAATAGATTGCGACATCCATTTATTTAGATCCAAGATACAAGAATTCTTGTTTGAAGGAAGGACAGGCGCTCGCATTATCGCAGATATCGCTTGACTGGATCAATACGGCTGTCTTGCAGTCTCAGGTACAACATCCTCTTCCACTTGAACTGACTGGAATGGACGAAGACAGAAACATGTGCATTTTCTTACCAGGCTCTTTTGGTCTCTTGCTACCAACAATAGAGCCGCTACGAACCGTCAACAAAAGATGCCATCGCAATCGTCAAAGGATACTCCGATGTGGAATTAGCAGAGGACGTCGGGCCGCCAGCAGAGTTCTTGTGCCAGGAAATTACGAACAGTCTGAGCGATCTCTACAGTTATCAGCAGCTTCAGACATTCCTGGACTCTATTCCTATGGACGCATATGCGGACAGGACTCTGCCTTGGAGTGATACGTCCATGATGCAAGCATTGAACGGTTTTTGCGCAGACGAGGCGTCCCACGCGTGGAAGCATTTGGAAGACTATTACGACCAGGAGAATCTCGAACAGCTAGCACCTGATGTGTTCACGGCGGACCGAACAGGGCTGGCTGGACGTATCTATCTCTTTGCGGCGAAAGCTTACCTTCAGTCGGATGTTCAAGTCGAGGACCTGGATCGAATTCGACAAATGTCTCTACGCATCGTACAGCCGCCGGCTGAGTTCCTTCTCAGCAACGGAGTGAATCACGCCAACGGAGCATTGCTGGACACCTTGATGCTCAACACCCCTGCGCCCGCCACCCTCAAAGCCCTTCGAGAATTCACTGAACATGTCGCTCAGGTTCCTGAGGAGATGAGGATGCACATGTTTAACAAGGACCTGCGTTTCTGGGCTCGATTGGACGCGGTTGTCAATCTCGCCAAGCGTCATGCTTCCTGCAAAAATACGGCGGTCATCAAACAATCAAACGAGTTCAAGTTCCTTCTCTCGAAAGTTGCCCGTCGGTCCGAATGTCATGATTTTGCCAGCAGCATCCCCCGAACTTGGGAAGGCCCACTGTCTCCGGAGATCCTGCTTGAGGAAGCCAAGGCAGCTATGGCGAAGCACGACTACACAACTGCTCTGAGTACGTCTGGTCGGATCCTTAACAAGGTCAAGAACTCTCTTGGCACACACAAGGACGACGACCAAGCGTTGGCTGTGCTTCAAGGCAAGATCTACTTGAAAATGGCCAAGTGGTCACGATCAACCAAACCACAACTTTCAGAGGGCAATGTTGAGGCGTTCGAAGACATTCTGGACCTGGAGCACGGTACACAACAGTCTCCACAGGCAAGGATAGAAACCATCACGGCCACTTGTTTTCAGAAGGCGATCGAGATCGGGCCAAGCTACAGGAAGTCTTGGTTTGCTTTGGGTACGCATCACTACAAGCAAGGGTGGGGCATCTTGGACGAGCTCGGATCATTCCGCTTCCATCACCCTATTGCCATTGCTTCCAACGATACGTTGAAGGATATCCTGGGAAGAGCAGGAGTGAGCAACCTCGAGGAGCAATCCAAGGTAAAAACATGCGCGTTCTCATCGAGTTGAGATGCTCGTGTTCTATTTGATATATATGAAGCTGATCCTATTTAATTTACCTGCTTCCTGCTGGATTAGAGTATCTTTGGTGTTTTTGTCAAGCATTGTGCTTCAGGCCAGCCATTCGATGAATCGACGGCATACGACAGTATCAGGACGCATGTCATGAAGATTGAGCAGGTGGCAGCCTCAGAGGAAGTTGTGGCCGAGATTATTGGGTCATTTCAGACGTTGCTGCAGAGGATCCTCGAGTCTTATCGTCTGGCTATCCATGGTTACTTTCGCTTCCTCCAGTTTGCTGCGTTGGAGTTTGAATGCAGTCAGCCCAAGGCCAAGGTAATGAATGACCTAATCTCGAAGAAAGTTTCTTTTTCTTTTAGTCACAGAGAGCACACGACATTGTTGCTGACATAATCGATGTTTTTCTTTGGAACGCATAGACAACCTCTGGAGAGGAAGTGGAGAACGAGGTCTCACAGTCTGCTGTGTCAGACGAGATTACTGCGACGCTGCGCCTGCTCCGACTTTTAGCCAAGCATGGAGGTCAGCTTTACGATGTTTTCCATGAGAACCTGGTTGACATCAACGTCAGTCCGTGGACCAATATTATCCCGCAACTCTTTGCCCGGCTTGACCACCCAGAGAAGCCCGTCCAGTCATTGATCGCAGATCTTCTATGCAAGATCGGTTTGCAGTTTCCGCAGCTGATCGTCTTTCACTGTGTTGTCGGTGCCAACTCTGCACACAACAGCGCATGTCAGAGGCGACTTCTCCGATTTATCGGAGAGTTCTTGACAAAGTCGCACCCGGAGCTCGTTTCTCAAGTTGAGCATTTGATCCGCGAGCTGGAAAGGATAACAGTCTTGTGGGAGGAGATGTGGTACAAGAAGATCATGTCGAGCATCTCTGAGCTGAAGAACACGTTGCAGGAGCTTATGGAGCAATATCAGGGACTGGACGCCATCTCTGGTTTGGGTTTGGAAGACAAGCATGCTGTTATGCTGGACAACTATCAGCAATCCGTGTTGCCTCTACTGGTGCCATTGGAAAGTCTCCAAGAGGCGCACAGCGTGCCCGAGTCCAACCATGAGCGGTGGTTCGTTTCGACCTTCAAGGGCAGGATTCAATCCACTCTGCTTGCACTTCGCTCACCAAAGTCTTGGGATAACCTCTTTGAAGGACTGAATTTGTTGAAAGAGGTAAGCAGCGTGGGCTTCTTTCGAGGCAGGTTTTATTCATCCATGTACTCGACCTGAAGGATGGAGATATTGACTCGTAATGATTCATACAACGCGTCATAGATCTGCATGGACATTGGAAAGGAGATTTCTGGGACCCGTATTTTGAAGCTATCCGATCTTAGTCCTGGGCTTTCCGCCATCCAGTCTTCTCAAATTGCCATCCCCAGCCCAGACCAAGGAACAGGGGTAACCATCCAGTCATTCGATCAGCAAGTGGTCGTTATTCCTACCAAGACCAAGCCAAAGAAATTGACATTGTTGGGTTCGGATGGCAAGCGCTATACATATCTCTTCAAGGGCTTGGAGGATCTCCACCTGGACGAAAGAGTCATGCAGCTCTTGCGGATTTCGAACGGGATGCTTCAGCGGGACAAGGAATCCAGCACACGGCACCTCAACGCTCGGCACTACGCGGTTGTGCCTCTGAGTGATAACTCGGGCATGATTCAGTGGGTCGAGAGTACGGTGTCGATCTTTGCAATCATTGCTAAATGGCAACATCGTGAGCAGATGTGTGCTCGGTGGATGAACGACGACAGCTCGACGGCACCGCTCCAGGCCCCTCCTCGTGCCACAGAACTCTACAATGAGAAGGCCATGTTGGCGCTCAAGAAGGCTGGTCTCCCCTCCAACCACCCTCGGCGGAACTGGCCAAAGTCGATCCTGCTGGACCTGTACCATGAGATGGCTAGCGAGACGCCTGCAGATCTTTTGGAGCGAGAGATTTGGGCCTCGAGTCCCACGCCGGCGGAATGGTGGAAAAAGTCGGTTCGGTTTGCGAGGTCGACGGCGGTGATGTCGATGATCGGCTACGTGATTGGGTTGGGCGACCGTCATCTGGACAATATCCTGATTGATATCACGACCGGTGATCTGGTGCACATCGACTATAATGTCTGCTTTGAGAAGGGCAAGCGTCTGAGGATACCGGAGATTGTGCCGTTCCGTTTGAGTCGAAACATGCTTACGAGTCTGGGCGTGACGGGCGTGGAAGGCAACTTTAGGATTGGATGTGAGCAGACGATGAAGGTGATGCGGAAGAATAAGGAGATTTTGGTGACATTGCTGGAGGCGTTTGTGTACGATCCGCTGGTTGATTGGCAAATCGACGCCACGACTGGGCAAGGTGGAGGTGCTCAAGGTGGAGCGGGAGCTGGAGTCGGTAATGGTGCAGGAAATATTGTTGGAGGAGGAGGAGGAGGAGGAGCAGACGTGAATGGTGGTGGAGGTGATCAAGACAGCGAAGGCCAATTGTCATCTCGATCGCTTGGCCTTGTCCGTCGTCTGTCAGAGGAGAGTTTTTGCTCGGTCAGCAGCATGAGCATCAAGTCGACGGCGACAACGGATTCATTGTCGAAGAGGTGGACGTCCTCTGGTTGGGAGCCAGCAGATTTGAGTTCGTCGAGTCTGTTCAATGGACAAGGACAGAAACTTCACCAGCAGGACCAATATCAACAACAACAGCAGCAGCAGCAGCAGCCACCGTTGCATCAACGAAACGCGTATGCGGTCAACATCCTCCGACGGGTCCGACACAAGCTAGAGGGGCGTGACTTTGAGGCGGTCAAGAAGTGCAAGGTGACGGAGCAGGTTGACAGGGTGATCCAGGAGGCGACCAATGTTGAGAACCTGGCGAATATGTACGAAGGCTGGACGCCGTGGTTGTGATTTTTTTTTTCTTCAGCATCAAAGCAAAAAAATAAAAAGAGAAAGAGAAGAGAAGAGAGATTGAGAAAAGGAAATGTTTGCAGACTCGGACTCTGGGCCCACAAGATGGTTTATTGTGTTCACTATCATGCATGTCGGCAATTGGTGATATGAAAGTAGGGGTTGCAAAACAGATTAGTGGATGTGGCCACTCGCCGATGACCCCCAACGGTCAAGCTGACGCAAGCGAAGCGACAACTCCAAGGAGAATCCCCAACCTCCTTAGTCACTTTAGCTCGCTGGTCGCGTGATAGAAGGATAGGACTAGACAGTCAAGACAAGAATTCATATCGGATGTGACAGTTCATAAATGATGAATGATGAATGACTTTTTAGCACGATGTTTTAGGTTGCAGACGTGGGTAACTCCACTTGTGTCGGTAGAAGAAGTACAGTACAGTCAACAATGAAAAGGTAGGTACAGTAATAAGGTACTAAGAATAGCATTGAACTCAGCCACAGTGCTCAGCCAGAACAGAGTCAGGAGACAAGAAAAGGGAGAGGAAGAACAAGGAACATGATGACATGACAAAGGGTGCGGGTTGCTGTGGCTTGATAAGGTTTCCTATTAACAGTGCGCTGATGCGGTCATGCCCAAGGAAAGAAGGCAAGGAAAGGGCAAGGAATTCCACACTAAGGAGAAATAAACATTAAACAAGAGGACACTTGCTTGCCAAGAGAGGAGGGGAAAAGGTATGGAAGAAGTGAGCGAGGGAACAGGTCGTATGATGACGGACAGATTATTCATCGCTTTACTTTTGTTCTCGGTGATTCCTCGGTTCCCATTCTTCACTTTCTCCTTCTTTATTCTTTCTGTCTGCTCTCCTTCCATTTTCTTCTCACACTCCCCGCTCTACTTTTGCATAACAACACTCACACCTTCCTACAACCACTGTACATACTACAACCAACACAAACAGGACTCAGGACAGACACATAAACATGTCCCATTTAATCGACCCGTGTCTGCGCGCTACCAAGATAGCACATGGAATCAGACGTGGCATCGACGGGTTATCTCCTCTGAGTGGCCTGGTTCCAGAACTCAGAATCCTCATCCAGGAACAGAAAAACGTCCTTACCTCCCTCAAGCGCACCGCCTTTGAAAAAGAAGAAGGTACAAACATAATACCCAACTGCACTTGTACTCGTGCATCATTCATCGAGCATGCCTGAACCAATATCTCATTCTCTCTCTCTCTCCCTCTCTGTCTCTCTCTCTCTTTTTCTCTTGATCTGCTGTCTCGCATAGCTGCGAAGCACCTCTCTATTTATGCCAAGACGGAAGGTCCAGATCTGGCAGACACCCTCTCAAAGCTGAGTCTCCTAATCCGAAAGGCCGCCGACCTTGAACGAGCCTATGCCGATAGCCTTGGTCAGAGCAGGGAACTGTTCAAGGAAATCCGGGTCGCAGAGGATAACAACTACTCCATCCGGAAACGTAAACTGGACCTGGAGCATCGATTAGGGTCCTCAGGGGTATCATCATCAGCAATATCGACAACGACTGTCAACTCGGGAGCCTCGACAGCATCCTTCAAGAAATCAGGAACGACGCCACCTGGACCGGAGCTCCACCCAGAGATGAAGCTGTTGAGAAAGGAAACTATGACGGCTGAGAATGACCTGGAAGACCTCAAGCGGAAAAAAATCAAGATGGCTACAGCCCAACAGCTGGACGCATTGGAAAAGTTGGGCAAGGAGATGATTGTGATTGCGTACTATGGACGGGAAATCATGGACCAGGTCGACGATACCCCTACCGAGGCTGGACAGTATGCAGAGGATCGGTATGGACATTACGATGGTAAGCAACCGAGCAAGTCACCCTCAGAAAACACGGAAACAATAGAATAACATTGGGGAGTGGGACAGAAGAAAGTACTGGCTGTTCTTTTTTACCCTTCCGGACGGATAATATTCCCTCTCTGTGTTTGTTTGTGTTACTGTTGTTCCCTTTACCTCTTTTTTTTTTGCATGAAATGAGACCTTGTCTGGCTAACTGTGGAATGCTTTTATTCTTTTGCTACTTTAGGTGCCGCCAAGTCGGCATACTCACTCAAGGCCTGTCTCGACACTCTCAAGGACTGGCCCACGAATGCCCCGATTGTTCAGATGCTCGAGGTCGACATGGGCAACTTCCCCAAGGACACCAAGGGAGCCATGGATGCGATGATGCACGACTTGGCTATCAAGACAGGATCGGACTGGTATAACCTTCAGCAGCCATCGCCTACTACATCAACGGCCTCCTCCATGCGACCCAGTCATCATACCCGCAGCAGTTCAGCTTCATCGACAGCGAGTTCCATTAGGTCTGCGAGTAATAGTATATCGTCTGGAATGACAACAGTGACCTATGTCGATGGCGTGCCGATGGTTCACGAGATCCCCCCTACACCCGAGCATGAGAATGGACCTATTGTTCTAGATTCTGCCTCGACGGCGAGTACGGCAACAACGGCAGCTCCTTCTGCGCAGGAGCCTATCCCCGAGACAGCTGCTATTGCGACGGAGCCAATAGTACCAGCAACTACGACAGGATCGACACCAGGCGCGACGACACCTACGACCGCGCCTGCTACGCCCATCGTCACTGCTGCCAACACTGCCTCCTTCCCTAGTCCTAAACCAACCTCGACTGCTCCCGTAGAACAAAGCCCCTTTATCCCTCAGTCGACCTACATGCCTTCGACAACTTATCAACCCGGTCATGACAATGCCAACAGTCAAGGTGCTGGTACTCCTCCTATGAGACCTCGTCCCGTTTCGGCAGACAGATATCCCGGCCATCCCAGTCCTGGTCCTGGCGGATTCCACGCACCTCACCCCTTGATGATGCAACACCAACAACAGTATCCTCCAGGCCCCTCTCCTGCCTCTCAGGTGCCCATGTCGATGCCCATCCCTGTGCATAACTCCATGCCTCTGCCGATGCAAATGCCCGTCCCTCATATCCCCGGCTCCTCCGACCCGCAATACCCATATTCTAACGAGTATGGCGGTCCAGGCGGCAACAAGCGGCACTCCAACCCCATCTCAGTCTCCTTCCCTGTTCGGCAGTCATCTCCTTACGCCAATGTCGATTCCCATCTCCCCGTAACACCGTCTTCTGCCACGTCGCCTTCACAAACACCCTCACCAAGACCAAACCAAGGTCCTCGCGGCCCACAGGCTATCCTGCCACCTACAGAACCGGGGTTCCGGATCCCTGTTGGTGTGGATATCGATGAGGATGGAGAGGTCTATAGTTCTTCTGCACCTGGTGACGGCGGGGGACGGAGACATCCGCAGGCAATTGTATATGATGGTCCACCTCCTGACTATGCGGAGGCTGCTATGAACCCGCCGGCTGAGAAGTTTGAAGAGAAGAAGCGTCGTTAAACGCGCGATTGTGCTAATTGAACTGATTAGTGGTAACCACATGTACTTTGATAATAAAAAAGTGAACAAAGAAATAACGCGCACACACACACACACACACACACACACACACACACACACACGAGTTGGTTGGGAGGTTGGTGATATAAACATGTGAGGTGGTCTTGACAAAAAGTGAGCAATGGATGTTTGATACGAAAAAGAAAAGTAGGACCCCCCGACAAAAAGACACGAAATGTAAACGCGAGCTATGTAGATACGAAACGATTAAGGCGAAAAAGAAAGAGAGAGGATGCAGTGAGCAGCATGACTTTTTGATGAGCAAAATCCTTTGAAAAATCTGGGTGCTACGTTTTTTTTGTGTCATGTGCCAATCCTTGGGCAGACAAAACAGACTGGAATGCAAGAGTGGAACTAGAGGAGCGAAGGGGGGGGGGGTCAGTCAGAAAAGAAGGTTTTCTGAGTGATGAGTATGACTCCGCCCACACCTTAGAAAAGGGTTATATCGACTTTTTTTTTTTTTTGCAGGTTGCCGTTCCGACCCTCCCATCTCAAAAGACACCACTAAACACCTGTCCAGGAGAGCACGTTTATATATTTTTTTTCCATGGACATTTTCATCAATCAAGGGCCACAAGGCAAAAACTAAAGAGAGGTGGTTTTTTTTTTAGACGATCCAAATCGCAATGACAGAAAAGGACTTGACAAGAAAGATCCAAAGTGTTGAGATCTCTTTGCCCGCGCGTGCCTTCCCTTCTTTTTTCTGTTTTTATTTTTTGCTAAGCTATGTTACATTGCCGCGAGGAGCGCGATAGATGGGGGAACTGATAGAATGGACAAGAAACTAATGCTAGTGTGGTAAGGGATGCAGCAATTAAAAAAAAAGGGAAAGAAAAAAAAAGCAAAAAGCAAAAGAAAAAAGAAAAAAGAAAAAAGAAAAAAGAAAAAAGAAAAAAAGAAAAGAAAAGAAAAAAAAAAAGATGATGGTAATTTACAGGCCAATGCTTATCTGACCATCAATAGGTCAGAAAGCTTGGTGAAGCCGGCCATCGAGAACGAATCCGCAGAGGAAGGAGCAGAAGCAGACTCGTCAAAGTCAACGGGCCGAGAGAAGTCCATCTCTTCCTCATCAGCCATATCCGACCATGACCGGCCAGAAGAGGCGAGCGACCAGTTGTGCTGCATCTGCTTCGATCCAAAGTCGTCCTCCATATGGAAGATCGAATCAGTGTCGGAACCATTGTGACGAGGGTAGGATCCATCAAGGGACATGGACGCGGACTCGGCCAAGGAAGACTGGGAGGTCGAGGTCGAGGTGCTGGCGGAGAGATCGGACGAGGAGCGGCTCTCGCCGCAATCCTCCATACCAACCTCCTGGGGGACAATGGAGTCGATGCGGTGGAGGAGCTCAAGGGCCTCAAAGATATCGGCACGCTGATCGGGATCGACACAGAGGACGCGGTGCAAGAAGTGAAGGGCATTGGCTGACAATTCGGGAAACATGCCATCGAGGACGGTTGCATCCTGGGCGTAGGCGGCAAAGGTAGCATCGGCCTCAGGATGGGACAACTTCCAGGGGTTGCGACCAAAGCGCAAGTTCAAGAAAATGATACCCAACGACCAGACATCAGACTTGGCGGGCAAGTAGGGGCGACGAGGGTAGTGTGCAGACTGCTGCTCGGGAGCCATGTAGAAGGAGGAACCGCAACCGTAATCGGTCGAAATGCGATCCTTGGTGGCGAGACCAAAGTCGGCCAACTTGAGCGAACCATCGCCGGCGACGAGGACGTTCTCGGGCTTGAGGTCACGGTGGAAGACTTGGTGGCGGTGAGAGTGAGCCAAGGCGGAGATGATTTGGTGCATGGCATCGAGAACAGACTTGTCGGAGTGGACGTTGAGATGGCGGCCACCAGTGGTGTTGGGGGCGGCGGCAAAGCCCAAGCCAGAGTCGGAGGCGGCGGCGTGCTGGGAGGTGATGGCGTCGTAGAGGTCACCGCCGGAGCAGTACTCCATAACGAGGTAGAGCGAGTCCTTGGTCTCAATGACGGAGGACATGTCGACAATGTTGGGGTGCTGGCCGTTGTTGGCGGAGGAGAGGGAGAGGTGGATGTCGATCTCCTGGCGCTGGATCAACAACTGGGAGGGGGAGAGGCCCTGCTTAGAGAGGGACTTGATGGCCTTGTACTCGGAGGGGGAAGAGGAAGAGACGGTCTTGGCGAGGTAGATGGAACCGTAGGTGCCGTAGCCGAGGACATCCATGATCTGGTAGGCGGTGTTCTTGGGGGCGTCCTGAAGGACGGACCCGACCAGGGACCAGGCGTCGGTAGATACGTATTCAGCGGACATTTGGGATGCTTTACAGGGAATAGAAGGAGGGGTATTTGAACCAATGGGAGGAGGATGTACAGATTCGTGTCACAAAAGAGTGTTCAAAAATGGAAGTAAAAATGTATGACTCTTGGGTAGGTGTGGTGTGTTCAAAAGAAGAGTTTTTTGTAAGGTAAAAATGGGTGTTGTGTTGGCTGTGTGTTCGATATGGATAGGATGTGTTGTTCTTCAATGGTCAACAAGAGAGGAGAAGGGTGATGGTGTTGATGAAGATGAAGAAGAAGAAGGTGAGGAGGATATGGTGGGTGCTGTGAGGCGGGAAGGCTGAGCAGAGGTGATCATGGTTCGATTAGGATATTGGGGGGGGGATACAGGTTGAGGGGTGCAGGTTGGGTTTGGGCGTATTATTTTTATGCAGAGGGTGTGTTGTGGGAACACGGTGAGGGTGTTTAGTGGGAGGCCATCTTGACTACAAAGGGTATTATGTGTATATGTGAAAAGGGTTAAAAAAGGAAGAAAGAAAGAAGAAAAAAGAAGAAAAAAGAAGAAAAAAGAAGAAAAGGTGGTAGATGAAGGAAAGTAGATGAAAGAAGAATGGAAGAGACAAAGAGCGAGAGAGGGAGAGCGGGTGAGAGAAAGAGAGAGAGAGATGGAAAGAGAGAAAGAAAAAGGCTATTTGTAGTCTGTCAGGTTTGAGGGAAAGGGAGGAGGAGAAGAAGTGAAGAAGAAAAAAGAAGAAAAAAGAAGGGAGGAGAGAAAGAAAAAAAAGAAGTGGGAAAAGGGAAAAAACGGCCCGCTCTTTTTATATGACAGAACACGGAAGGCAGCATTTGGAATTATGTACGCATTTACCTCTGCTGGGTTGACTCTTGTGACAACAGCAACAGCATCAGCATATAACAAATATTAGAATATTAGAATATTAGAATAGGTTATTTCCCTTTTAATAATAATAATAAGACTGAATGGATCATGCAGACCAATCAGAGGCAGCTGCTGTTGCGTTCTTTTTTTTTATTTCTGGGGACGACGATGACGAACAGCAGCAGGCGAGAGTGAGTGAGAGAAGGAAAAACAAAGGGGCACACTCACCCACTCACTCGACACTCACACACACACACACACACACAACAAACGATATACCTGATTAGTCCATTCTCTCGCTCAGTCAGCAAACAACCACAACCACAACAACTTTTCCCTCCTTCAATTTCGATGTTTGTCGCCCAACGACATCTCTCCACCTCCACCCTTCACCACCACAAAATATATTCGTCTGCTCTCACTCCCGAGGCGAGACGTGTTTACACCATTCTGCTTTCGTGTCCTCTCTAAATGGTCCTGTTTCTCTCTCCTCACCGCCGTTTTTTCGATCACACCTTTCCCACCCTCTCTTTGGCTGGTTAACGATTCATCGCCCTTCTTTCTTCGTCTTCTTTCCAATCTGTCGGCTTCATTCCAAGGGTGGGTCTAACCTAGCCAACCCTGCCCTGCCACTTGTTTTTGCAGCCAAGTCTCAAAGGCATATGATATTTACTACGGTTCCGTCGTTTCCTTTTCCAGGACGAGCAATTGTTTTCTTTACTTCCTCAGGGTTATCGGCGGTGATGGTTGTGCAGGAGTCATAAAGTTCACTCTTTTCTTTTCGTTCCTCCGACATCCTGGAGGTTGAAATATGAACAAATTAAGGAATAAACCGCAGCCGGTCAAGTTGGAGGAGATGAGTACGTAGACGCTCGGCCTGGAGGCGAAGGTGAAGAATGAAGAAGAATGAAAAAAAAAAACGTAATTTTTTGAAGGTCAGAAGCTTCGAGAATGACAAATCCGCTGTCGTCTTTCAACGATAAATTATGTGTGCGTGTGTGCAACCATCAAGATATGCGTAGAAAAGGATAGAACGACCTGAGAGCAGCAGCAGCATTCAGCGGTTATCCGCCCTTTTTTTTTTTACTAATCGCCTCCTGTTCGCTGGCATCATCGACAGCATCATCGCCGTCATCATCCTCCTAGATATCGAGCAAGTAAGAAGCGCGCCCCTCCTCCCCTTCTTTTTTTTTTTTTTATCTCTTGGTACTTTTCTATCCCCCATTTTCTTCTATCCCATCCTTCCTCTCAAAGAGAAGGAATAAGAATTGTTCCACCAATCCGACCCCACCCCCACACACACACTTTTTTTTGGGTTGTACTGTACGTTTATGCAATTACTCGTTTCTTATTTCTCATCCAGATCCAGGCCAGGCCCCATGGCCTCTGTTTCAGGCAACCCCAGTTTGCATCACCCGTGTCCCCAAGCGAACGTGCCGCACAGAAATTCTGGTTTATGTTCTTTCAGACACACACTGCACAAAAAAGGAGCTCTGCGTCTGTTACCTCTTTTGGGCGGACACAGGAGCAGAAGCAGGAGCAGGATCAGAGCAAGCAAGCAAGGTGAGAAGAAGAAGAGGCGGGAGAGGCAATTGGGGTAACTGCTCTCCGCTCTGTCTGTGTGTTAGAGTGCGAGCCGTAACAGGAACAAGCAGATGCACAAAACACAAACACACACACATAACAAGGAAGAGGATTTAAATGGGGCCACAGTGACATCAATGGGCAGGACCTGGGACAAAAAGGAGGAGGAGAGGCGGGGGAAGAATAATATTATGAGTATGAGGTCGAACGACGGGAGATGGAGATGAGGATTATGTGTGAGCATGAAGAGAAGAACCTTTTCACTCTCGGTCCACATGGCTGGGAAGACAGACAAGGTAATAGAACATGAAAAGAGAGGACAAAAAAAGATTCCCGCACAACCTCACCCCATCGTTCACCCTTCATCCTTTTCACCCCACCTGCTAGCCCTGCCTCTGCTATTGTGCTTCTTTGTTTGTGTCTTTGTGTTTGTGTGTGCTGTCAACGTAGTTTTGGCTGCAGCATCCTCACCATCCGCCCAACTATCCATCCGCCCAACCATCTAACCTATCCGACTGACAAGCAAACACCTGAACAAAACAAATAAACAAAGCAGCACACACTTGATTTTAACATGGATTATTGGGTTGGATGTTCAATGTGTTTCCGACCCTCGTCTCTCGTGCCTATTCGTACCAGTACCAGTGCTACTAGACGAGCTAGTCGATTGGTTCTCCCTCACCCATCCAGAATCATCCCAGCAACGATGATGATGCTGATAATAGACAGGAGTGAGGGGACAGACCCTTCCTTGTTTTCTCCACTAACGATGTCAATTGTCGTCAATGCTCAACCCTACCTTCCAACCGTTTTTCCTTTAATTGACAAGAAAATGGAAAGGGTCAAAGTTTGACACAAGTCGAGTAGCGTGGTAGGCTAGCCTGCGTTCTTTTTTCCCTTTGACTGGATGAAGATCAAGAAGAAGAATGAGGACAAGGACGAAGCTCATTATTTTTTGTTTCCCCTTAGCACGCATGAATCGCAATTCATTTAGCAGGGCACGCCACGACAACGAGCATATGTGTATACAACACTATCCAAAAGGCGCCATTTCTTGACTCGCCAGCATAGCTTGCTGACCATGTGTTGTTCGTGGGAAACAGGGATGAGAGAGCTAGGTAAGAGGCGATCTTTGTAATGTTATCAGCGAGCAGTGTAGAGGTCAAGACGACCCACCCTTCTCCTCCTGTATTGTTGCGCACGAAAATATAGAGAGGGGAGAGGCTAGCATGAAGAGATGCGGCAGATATACGGACAAACAAACAAAACGTTCAGTGGGTACACGATAGAAGTGCTCTTTGGTTAAAAAAAAATCCGTAGTGAAATCATGTTCAGCTCAAGGAAGGAATTACTTTTGAACTGCAAACTGCAACCTTGTCCTCACGACGACACGGCTCGACTCGAGAATGAGAAGCTACAAGGAAGGCGATGAGCACCCTCGTTATGCATTGCCCATGGCAGAGGGCAGGGACCTCTGTGTCGGGCAATGTTGAAGACGATTTTACATCTCGTCAGATACAAGGGAAGGAGAGGGCAAGTAAGAAAGCAGGCATGAACGACCAATTGAACTACAAACAGGACATCGAACGATGTTCAGGTGGATTGGACGGGATGGATGCATGTTCATCTCCTCTCCTTCCCTCACTCACATCACACGCATGCACGCCCAATTCATCAAGAACGATACACACAACACAGAGTTGATTTTAGTCCATTTTTCGGGAATGTGGCTCACTCTTTGCCTGAATGGCACGAATTACAAGGCAAAAACTACATTGCCCAAGGTCAACTCTTGCATCAAAAAATGATCCTTCTCTGTCTCTGTCGTTTTGCATTGCTCATTCTCTCTGTTGTTTTGCATTTCTCTGAATTCTCTCTGTCGTTTCCAAGGCCCCTTTTTCTTTCTCGCTACTGCCTGCCTGTCGCTCTCTTCGTCGTTCGTCGTTCGACGTTCGTGTCACATGGATCATTTTTATCGTAATGGCGGCCTGCCCCTCTCATTTCTCAATCGTTCTAGTGGTTTCAATCGCATCGTTTATCTTGCCTGCATTTTTTGTAACACCTGTTGCATGTTTCCCTTTTTTTTCTTCTAGGAGGTTCGGTCTTGGCGCGTGGCATCATTTTAGTGAGACGTTGCAAGATTGCAATAAACGGACGACTCCAGCAACAAAAATATAATCCACAATAACCACTGGACCTTAGAAAACATAAAGAGCTTTCTTTGATCAGGGCACTCTCCCTCTTCTGTCTTAGGGGTTGAATGGAAGGACAGAAGACAGGGCAGGGCAGGGCCAGGAGAAGGGTGAGTGAGGAGACAGGACAGGGCAGGGCAGAGCAAGGACGAAGCAGAACAGAGCAGATCAGAATGCACAACAACATCATCCTAACAAAGTGTAACCCCACCCTTCTCCCGTCACCCACCATAAGTCAAACATCGCATTGCATCTATTCTTACAAGCCCATTCTCTCGTGCTGACCGTCTGTCTATCTGTTTGTCTGTCCGTCTCCTACTCCGTTCTCCTTCTTTCCCCTGTCAATTTGCCCTCATCTCGCCTCTTCTATCCCCTCCCCACTCTCCCCTGTCTCCTTGTTCTCATTTTGCCTCCCTCTCTCTCTCTCTATAGCTTTCTGTCTCTCTCCTGTGTTCTCTCTTTCTTGCTCTCATCCGTCTCAGTAGTCCATCCCCCTGGCAACTTGTTCTTGCATTCTATGGTCAATTGCCGATGGCTATCTCGGTGCCGAGACCCTTTTTTCATATATGCACATTGCTCTACCGCACGAACCCTTCATTTTCTTTTCTTCTTTCACAAATCACAAAGCCCAATAAAGACACTGAAATGCCAAACAAAATAATGCGTATGATGGATCAAGATCATGATGGAAGGTGACGAACGCCTGCTTAGCTATGCCCCGGACTATTTCCAACAGAGCCCTTTTGGCCTATCGCCCCTTTTCCTCTGTTTTTTTTATGTATCCCGGACGAAAGGAGCATTGCCTTCCTTCCCTGTTTGTATCTCTTCCACTAAAAAAAAAAAAATGTCCCGCGTGCCCGCGTGATGTTTTTTTTTTTTTGAATTATGATGACCTCTCTGTGTGGGGTCACGCTTGTTCATCCACATCCTTTTTCCCCAACATAAAAAGGACAGAAAACACAAACAAACAATAAAACAATAACCTTACTTAGTCTTGTATCCCTGCATGAATAAAGGGCTAACCAGTGAAAGAGAGGAAAGACAAACGGACGAGTCGTCTCTGCTGGGCTTTTCTCAAGAAAACAAAACAGTCGAACACAAAAAAGTCAGTAGGTACAAAGATTGTGGAGTACAGTTGAAGAGATATCAAAGATTATCTATTTTGACGCGCCTAAAGGGAAAATAAAAACGTAGAAAGGTCTGAGGTGGAACAGGCGGGACCAGCATTGAGGGGAGGGGTTGGTTGCACAAAGGGAATACTGTAGTTGTGGGTAACAAGTGCCGTAACCCCAGAATTGTAGAGCTTGTTGACAACTGTGTTATTTACTGACCAAAACATATCGAAACAAAAATCATCTAGAAAGTTCGTCAATGGTCATAAGCGAATGACCTACTGTACGATTCTTTATTATTATTAATAATGCCCCGAGACTTCTAGAAAGAATGTGATGGCCAGAGTCAGTCGAGAAGGGCAAAGTCGACTCTACCTAATCTTAATATCATACACAAACCGACTCTACCTAGTCTTAATATCATACACAAACCGACAAGCTTACTTCAGTGGTCGTTAAGCGTCATGGGTATCCTGGCAGCCGCATACTCGTATTCGCCAAGCCGTCCAAAAACAGCACTGGAGTATGCTTAACCCCGTCGATACCCGCAATGAAAGCAAGCTCTTCAGACTCGGATGCTTTTGGCGATGTCTACGATTCTACGATTTTTCGGATTGACTCTCTGGCGCGAGTCAATTATTCGTGACTGCGAATCGTGCATGACGTTGAAGTAAACAAGTGTCTGTGGTCTATGAACACACATAGTCCAGCATTCTTTTCCTTCTCTCTCTCTCTTTTTTTTTTTTTGTTGCTCTTCAGACGACACACTTTGGCATCACATGGATTACAGACGCAACAACCAAGGAGGCGGTGGAGGACCCGAGAGGAGAGGAGGTTATGGTAAAGAAACCTTACAGACAACGGAAACAGGATGGGAATGGCGCGCGTTGCATTTATACCCTCCTTTCGCGTGTGTGTTCGTTCACCCAGAACCTGATGTCTAACCTTTGCGCCATCATTCTTCTGTTGATGCTTCGTTTAATTGCTAGGCGGCGGTGGTGGCGGTGGTGGCGGTGGCGGGCGCCAGTATGAACGCAACGACCGCTACGAAAAAGGTAAAATATTCAAAGCCACGTCCGAGGTATCGACTAGCAACGCCTTCACGAGTCAGCCAGAGGACTAACAACTAGCTACTCTTTGCAACAAATAGGCGGACGAGGCGGACACAACAGACGCCCTTATGACAGGCCACGACATGACCAGCGCGACAGAGAGCAGGAGCGTGTTCAGGATGAGCTTGGAGATATCGAGAAGCGTCTTGGAGGACTCATCATTCGCGTTGGAGACAAGGTACGGAGCCTTCTTTCGTTGACTGGATCAATAATCGTGTTAGAGGATAACAGCCGAGCGATTAGATATGGAGTACTCATGCGTTTATGACTGATCGTTTTGTTTTTAGATTACGCCTACTTTGGAGACGAACTTGAACACTCTCGCAGGAATTCTGGACAACGACTATGCCAAACACTCTGCAACAATTCTCAAGTCCTTGAAGGCCTGGTAAATTCAGCGCTGACTGGACAATACGTTTACAAACGCATGTTACTATGTCATGGAAAGTTCATGCAATGCAATTCTAACGATAGCCACACCCTTGTTTGCGCACATGAAACAGCATTTTGGAGCTCCCTATGAAGTCGGCCATCTATGGAACATTGACAGGACTCTTGAACGCAAAGAACGCAGAGACAGGAGGAACGATTGTCAAGATGGCTTCGGACTTGCTGCAAGAGAGTTTGGCTAAATACCAGTGGAGAAACGCCAAGTTGCTGTTGAGGTTCTTTGGCGAGCTCGTCAACTCGAACGTCATCTTGCCCACCACTCTTCTTCAGGTCATGGAGCAGCTCTTGGTTGTCTTGGAGGAGCCCACCGTTCTGAGGGTAAGAATGGCGTTTTATGACAGGCTGAAGTATTTTCTTGCTCTCAAACGAGTTATTGACCATATCGCCACGATATTATGTCTGCGACACATTAGGCTCGTGCAGATACCGCTGTTTTCTGTGTCCTCGCTACTCTGCCATGGTGCGCCGCTGATATTCACGACCGCAACCCCCACGACTTTGAAAAGATTTTGGGAAGGATCGAAGACTACATGACAGCCAGAGAGGATGGAGAAGGCGTCGAGGGATTCGAAATCACCAAGGTCTTCAAGGATTCTCAGTGCCCCTACGTCCAGGAGGAGGTATGCTCACAGGCGTATTTAGATCTTTGCCTCACTTGTAATAATAGGTTGTACAATGGATGCTAACTGTAACTATTCACCTTTACCAACCTCATAGTCCTTGACTTTGTTGTGGAAACAGATTCAGAACTTGCAAAAGGATGACTGGGATGTGTCGATCTTGATTAGACCTTCGCAGACGTTCGATGCTGTCTTGGGAATGTCCTCTCAACACGAACTGCCAACTTTCACCTTTCCCCCACATGTCGACAACAGCTCATACTACCTCCCTCCACCCCTTCTCAGGATCTTCATGGACACAGAGGGAGAGCAGACAAGCCAACTTCCCGACCCTTACTCTATCTCACACTTTATCGTCCACGACAACTTGAGCGACGTCCTCTGCCTTTTCGAGATTAACCGCAAGGAGTGCGCAAAATACTTGTTCATGGTCCAGTACTCCTACGCCATCGGCACATTCGCAGACTTAAGCGCACCAGCACCAGCACCAGCGACAGCAGAAGGAGCGGAGTCAACAGACATGGAGACCGATAGCCCACCTGCTGGTTGGTCGGTTGATCAGCTGTTGGCCGAGGTGGTATTCACGGAATTGTTCAGACTTCCCAAGCCCGAATTCAAGACGGTCTACTACTCATCCCTCTTGGTCGAGATCTGCAAATCCTTCCCCGACAGCTTCCCCACAGCATTGGCCAAGGCGATCTCAAAGTTGTACGAGCGTCTCCCTTCCATGGATATCGAGTGCGCACACCGTTTCTGGACCTGGCTGAGCCACCATCTGAGCAACTTTGGCTACCTCTGGAACTGGGCCGATTGGTCCGCTGCACTGGAGTTGCCCGACAACCACTCTCAGTGTGTGTTCATTCGCGAGACTTTGGAGAAGGCCATGCGTCTGTCTTACTTTGAGCGTATCAAGGAGGCCTTGCCCGAAGAGTTCCAAAAGTTCATTCCATCAGAGGCGCCCGGTCCTTCCTGGAAGTTTGAATCACCAGGTATGTAATTTTTCCAAGACTATGACACGGCATCTTGCTGTGTTTTATTTCTGCTGCAGCCTATCACTTATTAACGTGATATATTCCATTCTATTAGATCACCCATATCACGCTATGGCTTCGGCTGTTCTGAACTCGTTGAGGGCCAAGAACTCGATTGAGCAGATTGAGCAGACACTGGAGAGTATGAAGAACGCACCAAGACTGGAGTCATTGACAGCTAACGAGCGCGAGGATTTCATTCGGGAACTGTTCACCGAGTGTGTGTTGATGTTGGGATCCAAGTCGTTCTCTCACGTGTTGAACGTGATTGAGCGTTACTTGACGATCCTGCAGCGGATGAACAGCACACCCGAAGCGCGTCTGCACACGGTCAAGATTGTGGCACAGTTCTGGAAGAACAACACACAGTTTATGGGCATTTTGCTGGATAAGATGCTGAACTACCGTGTGGTGGATGCGATTGCGATTGTCAAATGGGTCTTTGAGCCCGAGGTCTGGCAGAACGAGTGGCACCGCAGCTTCCCCTGGGATATCCTCAAGAACACCCTCAACAAAGTCATCTCCAGAGTTGGGCAGGTCAAGGATAAGCTTAGCGAAGTCGTCAAGGAGTTCAATGGTAAGCCATATGTTTCTATGGATGAGGATGGTTAAAAAAAAATTGTATTCATGGTGACTCAATCTTAAATAATCATATATGTTTTGATCATTTTGTAACAATAGCTACACCACCAACACAGACAAAGGAGGTTGTGGAGGGAGTAGAGAACACATTGTCGATTGTGAACCGCGAGCAAAAGGAGGTCTTCTTGATCATGTACCAAAAGTTTGTCCAGGTCTTGCAGTCTCAATTGCGGGAAATCGAGGCCTCAGGGGAGGATGTGGATAACTCTCGTTGGTGGCAGATTGGATTGGGCTGGTTCTTGGAGTTGGGCCGTCGTTACTCCAAGGAGGTGACGACGTTCTCGACGACGCTCGAGGCGATTGTCTTTTCGTCCGATAGCGAGACAGGTGAAGCGATCGATGCCCGGATCACAAATATCTTTCAGGAGATCTGTCGTATGGAGATTGGGCGTTCTGTTGACATGAACTAGAGAGGTGGGAGGGAGGAGTTGAGATTGAATGGAGGGAAAGGAGGACTTTACTTCTTTGTTACTTTTACGCCAGGCAACGATAACATACGTGCCACATAAAATAAATTGAAATCATCGCCGTTCTTGTGTACTGGATGTATTAATGTTGAAAGTAACATAAAAAAAATTGAGAGGATAAATGTTTTTATTCTCGTTAGACGACTCTTGCAATAGCTTCCTGCTGCAGGTTCACCAAGCTGTTCATCCAGCTGGCGCCGATCTTGAGCGTCTTTTCCTCGATCAACTTTTGGTGGTTCTAATCATCATATCATCAAAAGCATGAATAAAAAGTGGATAAGCGCGAGTTAGAAAAAGAAGCAGGACGAAAAAAATGAAAGAAAAAAAAGACTCGCACGTTGATGTCTCCCGGCAAGAACAAACAAAAAAAAAAGACAAACTTACAGGAGAGCGGACAAAGTCAAAGGCAGACCCATCACAGATCTCATAAAGCAAACCGGACTTGATACGGTCCGGCTTGACAACATTCCTCAACGCCATAACATCAGTCTGAACAGCCTGCAAAGCCTGACGGCATTGGGCCATGAACTCCTGAATAACTGCATTGGCAGCCTTGAACGTCGCCTTCTTGTTGGCCTTTGTCGCGATCAGGTTCAAAAGACACTGGTTGGCCACGTTGAGGTAGGCGACGGTCTCGACAGTGGTCGTGAGGCTGTGGAAGGTCTGCCAGGGGATGACTCCCGTGGATTTGATGGCGCCGTCGCGTTTGAGGAGAGTTGCGGCGGAGGTGAGGAAGTCCTTGATGGCGGCGGCGGTCTTGGAGGGTTCTTCCTTGCTGGAGCTGTTGCTGTTCTGGGCAACGATTGCGGTGTAGAGGGTTTGGAAGGCCTTTGTGACGGGGACTAGGATCTTGGCCAGCCTGATCTCTTCGGTAGTCAGCTCGTTGGTAGAGGCTCCCTCTGGTGATGATGAAGCGGAGGTGGAGAGGGCAGTGAGAGTGGAGAGGAGCTTCTCGTACTCGTCGTCGATGGGTTTGAGGTGAGCCATGTGCTTGAGGATACGGGGGATGACAGTGAACAGGGTCATCCAGACGCGATCAGGCTGGGGGGCTGCGCGGGTCAAGAACTCGACCGAGGCTGAGGACTGGGGGTTCCAGTTCAGCATAACACTCGTGTCGCGATTATCTACTCTCGCCTTGTTGAATTGGTCTATTCATACAGTACGAGAAGAAGAAGAAAAAAAGAGAGCGTGTTAGGTGTAATTCACAACCATAGATCGCAGATGCAACCGGAAGAAAAAAAAAGAAGTTCATATTTTTTACCATCATATTTCAGGTTGCCGAGCTCGAGCTCTTGCAGCCAGGTGATGGCACGGCTGACAGAATCCTCCTTTAAGAACTCGAGACGGATCATCTCACGGTCGGCAATCATCTTTTGCAGAGAGTTTTCAAGTCGTGACTGGAATTCGATAAACTCTTGCATCTTGGAGAAGGTTGAGTACTTGTAAGCCTGGAGGATCATCTCTGGGGTCTAAAAGTCAGCACAAAACACAGGTGACAAAGGTTAGTAACTTATTCCTCCATTCAAGAAAAGTACGGCAAATAAACGCATGATCTACTCAAGTTACCTCAGACTCGTTGCTATGGTAGATCTCATGAGCACCATAGAGCTGAGTCAAAGCCTCGTTGAACAATCCAAATGTCGTGGCACGATCAGTAATGAAGTGCGACATGGTATCATGCTGCACGTTCTTGATCGCCATAGTGTTATAAATGCCAATGGCGCAGTTGTAAGCACCTATAAGACACAGCAGGAGAAATGTATGAGATAATGTTTGCTCGCAGAAAATAACAGTATCATGAATCTCAAGCAGGTGTCAAATTGAATGGGAGCAAGAAAAGCATACCCAAAAGCTCATAGACACGAATCAAAACGAGCTTCATCTGGTAGTTGTGCTTGCTTGCGCTTAAAGCATGCTCCAGCATGAAGGTGGCATTCAGAAGTGGGAAGTACGATTCTAAGAAAGCAGCAAGATCAACATATGAGTCAATTAAATGGGCGCACAGACACTCCAAAAAGCAAATATTCGAATGCTGTTTTCCAGAGTTTCTTACTTGTCTCCTTGTGCAAGTCGATGAGAAGATGTGCAGCCATGATGACATAGTCGTCACCGTACTGGCGCTCAGTCTCTTCCAAGTCCTTGCCTGCAACAGAATCAAAACAAAGAGAGTGTTAGCCAGGCCAAGCTGGGACATCCTTTAGTCGACAAGATCAAAATCAACCCGACGAACGGCGATTCACATACCAAGGGGCAAAGCCTCTTCATAAAGCTTCCAAAATCTGTTGACGAGGGCATTGGTTTCGGTCGATTTGAGCTGCGAAAAGTTGCCAATGAAGCGCTCGAATCGGACAAGGTTGATCTGCATGCTGATCTCTTTGACGGTGTCCGATTTGTCGCCATAGGTGTCCCTCAGTCTCTTGCAGAACTCCTTTGCGTCCTCCTTGTCCAGCTTGGAAATATAGTTTGAAAGATCCTCGAAGCAGCAAGTCTTGGAGCCAAACCTGTCAAAGTAGGCTACAAGGAGCTCAAGTACTGTCGTCTTGTTATCGCCTATGTGACAAAATGTAGAGAGTTAGAAGGGATTATGCCAACGACTTGTGGACTTCAGCTCGCAAGTATGAAAGCAAAAGCACGTACCGATCTTCTCCTGCACGCGGTGCTCAAGTTCGATCTGGGCAAGGAAGGGACCACGCTTAGGGTTCTTGGTCTCGTTCTTGACTTGCTCGGCCGCGAAAGCACGTGCCTCCTTCAAGTTCTCTGAATCCTTGAGATCGGCATCCTGTACAGGGAGGAAAATCGTCTCAAAGTACTGCAAAATTGTTCTCCAGTCGTCCGAGCTAAAGTTCAAAAGGGATTTGGTAAGTTAGCGTGAGGTCTTGTGCTGACGTTGCATGTTGCGTGTTCCAGTGCCATATTGGTCTCCGACAGAGAAACGCATCGGGGCACGTACTTTTCCTTGAGGATAAGAGCGGTAGCATCCCTGGCGTCCTTCCAGCGTCCGGTCTTGATGAGGAGCTCAATGCGCAAATGACGGAGCTCGACATTTTCAATAGCTTTGGTCTTGACACCAATTTCGCCCTCCAAAAGTGCAAGCGCGTCTGCGTGGCGATCCTTCTGTCCAAGCAAAATGATCAGGTACAGCTGAAGCTCTATACGTTTCCATATCCGTGTCGAAAGAAAGGTCAGTTCGATGGTATACTTCACTCGATCTACATCACATACAGACTACTGCCCCAGAATAAGCTTACCCTCGATGGTTTGGACCTTTCCCTCAGTGTTCTGCTTGGCCATCATACGCTCAGCCAATGAATAAAAGAGATTGGGCTGTCCAGCGGGGATGTTTTGACCCTAGGTGCACAAATAAGGTCGTCCGTATTTTAGTTCCTTGATATTCCTGCCTGTGCTCCTGAGGATAACCGGCAATGCATAAGTCAGATATGTTGCTCTACCTGAAGAGTAATGCTCATGATTGCCCAGAACATGTAGTTATCCCGCTTGAAGTTCTTGTGAAGTTGAAGTGCCACCTACAGGAGCGCAGAAAAGTAGAAAGATAAGCGGTCAGTTGCATGACGGCTTGATAGGAATTACGTCAAAACATAATTAGTTCCGCTTGTGATCTAACTGTACCTGCTGTTGTCCCTTGAAGTCCAATGTGCGCGCAAGAGACATGAACCACTGGCTGGCCAAGTTCTCGTTCTTGGGGTTGACCTTCGAGGCGTTCTCGTACAACTTGATCATGGGTTCGTCTATCACGAATCGTTGTTCCGAATCGAAAGCGAAAAGGGGCAGCGTTAGAGTGTAGCCTCTGCGAGAAATCTAGCGGTGAACGACGCGGTTTCTGATTTCCGAATAAATAATAGATATATCCTGCTTTACATTTTCCTGCCGATCTCAAGACCATTGACAGGGTCCTGAGGGTTGTCTCGTCAGTTGGTTTTGCCCATTGGATCTCTTCGCATAAGGCGAGAGCCTCGTTCATCTTTCCGCTGCGCTCAAACGCCAATGCCTTCAAGGCCTACGAGGATAGAAAAAGGGATGTAATGCAGTGTCAATTGAGCTCACGATCGAAAAGATAAGCAATGTTGCAATCGAAGGAAAATTGATGGAAGGAAAGATCTTTCCACCTACTTTGACGATATGCAGATCGGGTTGTCTCTTCAGAGCCTTGTTGCAGAGCTGGATTCCCTCCTTGTAGTTGCCAACCTCCATCGCATCTATGTCAAATCAAAAATATGGATGAGAGAGAAATGGTCAGCAGTGACCACCTGTACAGTTTTCCCGAGAAAAAAAAGCTGCAACGTGTGTCTTGTGCTATGCTTGAGGTGTCCGGAAGTTCAAGTGTGTCTGGACTATCAAAGATGACACTGAGGTAGGGGTAGGGTACCATAGATGGGGCGCAGCTTCTTCTCGAGGTCTGGATTGGATGCCATTGTTTGTCGACTGGGGGAAGGGTCGAGATGTGATGCGGGTTGGGTTGAATGTGCAAAGGCGTGTGTCCTCCTGTTCCTGAATGACTTAATGAATGAATGCAAGAAGTTGATCCTTTTCCCGCGAGCCACATTCACACACAAAACGCGCACACATGTTTTTTTTTTCCAGGGGTGCTCCAATTGATCAGGTGATCAGGAAGTCTTTGTAAATGGAAGAACTCGGGTAAGACTATCACTGATAGTTTCGAAATGGAAAGGGCATGACTAAAGAACATTTTATCTGATGAGCAAGAGGTTATCAGATTTTTTTATCGTGCGCTAGATGTGTGAGTAAAATGAACGCAGGACATTTGTCCCACCCACCCACCTTCTCTGTCTTTGTCCAGACCCCACCTTGAGATTCAAGAACCGCCCACACACACCACCAAATACTCTTTTGGATCAGGGAAAGGCTGATTTTGAATCTACTTTTTTTCTTATTCCTCTTTTTTTTTACACATCATCATCATCCATCATCCTCTCCACTCCTCCTTACTCCACTCCTCACTCTCCATTCTTACTCTTACTCCTACTCTCCACCTCATTAACCCAACAACACATTCAACTCTCTTTGTCCTCTAAATCAACAACTGGCAGTAAACACCCCCGTTCTCTCTCTCTCTCTCTTTTCGATCAGATCGCCTTCTCTCTTCCTTGTGAGTGTAATGAACGTCCATCAACTCACCCAGTCTCCCTTCTTGAATGAGGGTTTTATTCAAGCAAGGAGGCAAGGAGGAGCCAAACCATGCCATGCCACCACCATATCAGCATATCTTGATATAAATGACTAATCATGTCCCTTCCCTCTCTCTTATATCCCTCCAACCTACTATCCACCGTGGTTGTCTCCGTTGTGGTTCCCCTCTTTTTCTTCTCCCTTACGTCCCGGTGACACATTGACCTCTATTTTACCCACACTCACCCACTCAGGCGCCTTCACCCCCTTCCTTTCAGTCTGGTTCTTTTCTTCCATTTCTTCGTGTTCTTCCTACACCAACCACGACTTTGGTCTCTCCCTTCTCCTACCTCGCCTCTTCCCCCACCACCATCCCAAACTCATCCTGTACACCTCTCCTCCTCCGACTCCAACCGTTATCAGATCCTCGTTTCTAATCTCACGCCTTCATGCTCCCCCCGCGGCTGAGCTCACCCCGTCGTCGTCGTCTTTGAGCATCCCGGTCGGTGGCATCGTGAGCACGCAGGAGGACCGTCCAGCCCCAATCCAACCCAACAACAACTCATATACAAGGCATCCCACCTCCACCAACTCTTCTTATTCGTCTTCTTCGCCGACTACTTCTGCTGCTCTCCTTTCTTCATCTGGATCTTTGTCATCATCTCCCCTCTCGCCTTCTCAATCAGATCATCTCCCGATATCCTATTTACCATCCCTGACAACCGTTGTCTTCCCTTCCAGAGATCCAACTCCAAAAATCTCGCCGTTGGAACGCTCGACAACCATGTATGTGCCTACCGCCTCGGAAGGATGGACAGATATCGGAGCATCCGACCGCAATGCCAAAGTGTTAACACCTAGCCCCAGAAGTCTCCAATCTCGGGCCATGTCTGCATCTCCACCACCACCATCTCAAGCTCATGGCCATCACAAGAGCAACAGCAACAGCAGCAGCAGCAGCAATATCTATGCTAGCGCTTTACCACCACGTCCTCCCACATACTCAATACCACCGGTGGGGTCATCTTCTACCTCAACATCTCATCTATTTCCACAAGGCGCGTCCTCATCACGACGCACGTCTGCTTCTTCGTCCTTTTCTTCCTCTTTGATGGCCAAGCCCAAACCCGGCAGCTACAGCAACTCTTTTTCTCAATCCCACTCTCATCCTCACTCTCATCCTTACACATCAAACTCTGCAAGCAGCCCCGACAACGGAGACGACGTGATGGATATCGAATCATGTATCGACAATCCTATCCTGGCACCCTTGGGTCGTCATGTCAACAAGAGAAGGACACATAAACGAGCCGACAAGGGTCACATCGACATCAACGTCATGCCACCGACTTCGACGTCCACGTTCATTCAAGAACAAGAGCGCGAGTCTCACGCCCCAGTAACGTCTTTGATTCTGCGTCGGAGAAGACTCGACTGTGCACAGCTCGACAACTACCTCCGGAACCTGCAGCCCACGCTCGATCCACAGACCATGTCGATCCTTCAGTCACCCCTCCTCCATTTGACTGAATTGGACTTGTCACGAAACCGTCTCGAGTCGCTCCCGGACCAGATTATGTCGCTGGTCCCTCATCTCAACTACCTGAACCTGTCGCATAACCTCTTCACAGAAATCCCCCTTGAGCTCTGCCAGTTGACGGAACTGCAAGTCCTTATCATGTCGCAGAACCGGATCCATGGCCCTGTCCCTGACAAGATCTGCTCCCATCTCACACAACTCAAAACGCTCAAGCTCTGTGCCAACCAAATCACGTCACTACCCGACTCTCTCGCGCATCTCAACAAACTCGAGTCTTTGTCGATGGGCTCTGTCTACGGTGGCAATCTCCTGACGACCTTCCCTGCCGGTTGTATCCGGTTCATGACATCCCTGCGTGAACTAGACCTGAGCCACAATAAGCTCCGATTCCTTCCCGTCGACGTTGGCCACCCCCACTCGCATCTGCGCCAGTTGGTCGCCTCTGACAACACGTTGGAGGCCATCCCTAAGTCGATTGGTCTCTGCCGCGAACTGAGAAGCCTGAACCTGGGCCGCAATCAGCTCACCAGCCTGCCGACCGAGATTGCCGATCTTAAGCAGCTCGACACCCTTGACCTGAGCGAGAACTTGCTCTGCGTCATCCCTGGAGATGTGGCTGACTTTCTGACAAAGACGACTCTCTTGCTGACGGGTAATCCCTTCACTCGAGGCTACTGTGACGCTAGCAGAAACCCTGTGAGCGCAATTGGTGGGCTGGGAATCAATAATCCGTCCGATGAAGAGCGCTACTCGGCCGTCCTCAAGAGTCTTTCCAGGCGAGCGATCCTCAACTCTGCTGCCTCCTCTTCCTCCTCTCATACTCTCACACTGGCCCGTCCCGGTGGAGCAAGAGAGTCGCCTCGACTGACCCCCACTACTGGCACCGACGCCGAGAATGACTACGAGATGGACCAAGATGAGAGGTTGGATTATCATTTGTATTATACCCGCCATGCCCTGTCATCGAGGCCCCCGTCGCGCGCAGAGTCTATCAGCAGCTTGAATGAGCTCGGTACTGCTGGCAGCGACTATGGCAGCTCCTATGGTGGCTCGTGGATGGACCCATACGGTTCTGGCACTGGCACCTCAACTCCAAGGGTCAACGTCGAAGCCGTCGTATCGGACATCGACTCGTTCTTTGACTACTTCCCTTCTTCCTTGGCCACAAGCACCAACAGCACGGTCACGACAGCGATCTCTTCAAGTTCCTTGACAGTGGAGCCGTCCATCTTTGACAGCACACTCTCAGAGTCGCCGTTGTCAGCCTTAAGTCAACCACCGCTGTCCGCCCCTGTTGTGGCGCTCGGATCTCCTCTCTCACCCGATGTAGCGGAGGAATCGACTCAGTCTCAAGATTATGCCGTGACAATGCCACAGTACCACAGCGACACTCCCCTCCAAGGTGGACAGCCTGTGGCGTCTTCTGCGCCCAGCTTCTTCCCCACTTTGAAGGAACTGGCCGCGAGAGCAGTTCTTCACGGTGGCAAACCCCTGCCACTCGAGTACATCCCTGAGTCGATCGTCGACTACTTGCAGCCTGGAGCGAGACCCTGCGCGTGGTGTCGAAGACCTTATGCCAAGGAGTGGGTCAGCTCTGTCCGTGTCAAGTCCTATCTCGGCCACCCCGCTGTCGCCAGACGTGTCCGGTTCTGTTCAGTAGCCTGTTGGAAGACTGCGAGTGCACAACTAGAGGCCGAGGAGGCCTCTGGACTTAATGCTCTTGTCACATCTCCAGGGGCTACGACGGGCCACCTCCCACCTGTGGTGACGGTCCACTCAGTAGGCAGTGACAACCAAGACGGTGAACTGCCTCCATATCTGCTGGACTCGTCTTTCCCTTCGCCGCCAGCACCTCTGGGCTCGTCCATGTCCCGACTCGACGCGATGATGCAGGGAATGAAGGTCTGCAAGGGAGGACAGACGTACTGGCCAGTGATTGCGCGCGAGCGGCGTTCACCGACACCACCACTCATCCAACACACTGTTGATTCTACGGGATCGATTGCGCCCACTACCGAGGTCAGCAAGCGAGACACAAGCGTTTGTTCTGGTCGCTGTCTTGGTGGTAGCGTTTGCGAGTGGTAACTCGTCACATCGTTTTCTCTCCCCTTTTTTTTTTTTTTTTTTTTCTTTCTTCACATGCGACATGTCACACAAGCACCAATCTGTACCACTCTTTGTACCATAGCGCAACAACATAAATAAAAACGAATGGATGCGATTTTGTGCCATGTTGACCGAACAAAAGCAAACACTGATAACAACGGCAATATCAAGCATACAACAAAGGGTCGTAAAGTAAACAAACAAACAAACAAACAAAACACCGAAGATGCATTCTTCCGATTTCCCGAAGGGGTCAGTGCCTTTGTTTTATCTGATCTTTCGTTGGTTGGAAAGAAGCGCTTTGACTCATTTTTTTTCTCTCTCTCTCTGTTTGGATCTGATAAAGGGGGGGGGGGGGGGGGGGGCAAGGTGGGCGAATGGCGAATGGCAGCAGAGTAAAAATAGGGGTACGTTTGGTCTAGGGACTCCATTGGTAAGAATTGCAGAAGATGGGCACTGACGCCTGTTTGCCTCTTGCAACCAAGTCTCTCATTCGCTGTGCGCGCAACGGACTTTCATTTCTTAAAAAAAAAGAAAAGAAGGGCTTCCGAAAATAAAGCACGTCTTTCTACGTTGTCCTTGTTCACCACCACATCTCATAAACAGAACATACTGTCACAGCACGTCTTGACAAAGTAAAAAAAAAAAAACCATAGAGATGAATGATTTGACAGATGTATGAGAAAAAAAAAAAAAGACTAGATTATGTGCATTAGATTATGTACGAGCCCCATGCTCCCAAGCCATGGACATCCTGAGCGGCTTCCTCCGGATATGACAGCTCAACAGCTCTCCTCAACCACTTCAAGTAGGCAGTGGAATCTTCCCGGACAGGCTCCACCGCAAGATGTTCCTCCATGAGTATCAAATCCCGATCAAAGACACCGCCAAACAAGGACCTTGATGACGGAGCTGCTTCGACAGCCTCAGCTTCAAAGCCAGCATCATCGCCCCTCTTCTTGAGTCCAAAGCCCATCCCGGCAAGACTAAACTCAATCTTCAAGAAGACGCCGACATTGTCCTGGGCATAGGTGATCCCTGCCTCGTATCCGATACCCTTGTTCCCGTCCACGGTCGCGATAATCTTGGCCGTCAAGTCGACATAGACCGTGGCGCCCGTGAGAACACCCAAGTTGGCGGGGATGAACCGACTGATCATGAACATCCAGAAATCGTATGATGACGCGATTTGGACCTTGACCAAGGGGGATGTGTCGACGCCGCTGGGTTTGATGGGGAAAGTCTGTGCGATATTGATGCTTCCGAATGGATAGGTTTGCCAGAATACATCTGCGGCAAGGTTGTGGATCCACAGGGTGACAGGGAGAGGATTCAAGATCTGGACCTGGAGCATGATTTCATTGGTGCTAAGGAACTGACCTACAGAAGTGTTTCCGCCTCCTCCGACAATCAGCTTGGGCGGAGGGTTCATTCCGGGGACAACACTTGACATCTTGAGGTTTTCCATGATGGGTGCTAGCGAGACAATGGGACTCGAGTTGGCGTCTCCGTAGATCGATGCTGCAAAGTTGGCACCCTTAATGTACTGTGTAAAGAAGGCATCACGGAAAACAGGGTCCTTGGGCATGAAGTGGACCTGAGCCTGGAGAGGGTTCGCACCGGGGGCGAGGCGGAGGTTGGGGATAAGGACGTCTCCGACGTAGGCGGTCATGTTCTGGACAGACGCAACGATGTGTAAGGTAGCTGGTCCTGCTTCGACAGTAAAGATGGAAGGGTTGGGGATGTTGACGGTCGCGTTCAGGATGACATAGTCCACCGTCGATCCTGCGACCACGATCCCGTCGAGTTCTGGCTTCATGTTGCCAAAGTTGATACCTTGCAGCGCCAGACTGGTGTTGAAAGGCACCGTGATGTTGACGTTACCCAGGGCGGTTGCGGCTGAACTCTTGGCATGTCCCAGGATATCAAACGTGGCCGAATCCTGCTGAGTGACAGCAATCAAGAAGTCTCCAAAAGCATCGTGGGCTTGAGGTTGGATGGGCATCGAAGAGGTTGGTAGCGTGAAGGAGATGTTATTGTGAGCCATGTCGGACGAGGTTTGGTTCCAAACCGCTGTTGTGATATCGGCGATGGGTGTGCCCTTGTATCCGATGGTCAATAGTGGTTCGTAGATGCTGGTGATGTTGAGAGTCATGTTGAAGGGTAGTTGGAAGGCAGCGCTGATACCGGGTGAGGCGACGATAGGAGCCCAGGGTTGGTCAGGCGTCATTTTAAGGTCCAGTCCTGCAATGTTGATCTGCTTGATGAAGTTCAGCGGTGTCGGTGGCAGCAAAGGGATAGACATCTTGGTTGAAGTAATAGCTGTCGTGATCCAAGAGACAGGGTGGACACCATCAGGGAGGACAGAGACACCCTGGCCATAGGCGGTGGTAGGAATGTTGGCGAGGTAGTTGGAGATCATCGACGAGAGTTCCTGAAGAGAAATAGGATCAGTCTGTCGAAGAATAGTACCCTCCAGGTGCAAGATAGTCTCCTGCCCTCCAACGAGTTTGACATTCCTGGCGGTGATCCTGCCAAGGTACGCGGTCTCGAGCTTCATGTCGAGCTCCATGGTTCCGAGTGAGATACCGATGGGCGAAGAGTTGGGGATCGAAACCTGGATCGAGGCTAGGGCTCCTGCACCGTTGGGGGCATCGGATGGGATGTCGAACGCAAGGATCTTAAGGTTTGCGAAATTGCTCAATCCTAGTTTTCGGATATGAGCATAAACATGTATGCTTCCTCATGTTAGTGGCGAGAACATTTTTTTTTCCACATGAGCACCATTGAGGAACTACGTTGAGTAGGATGAAAATGGATGAAATTTACCGCTGAGGGTCAGGGACTTGTCCATGGTGAGGCCCTTGATGGTCCTACCAATGACCTTCACGTTGATTGTCGACTTCATGTTCCAGACGAAAGAGTCCGCTGCCAACTACGCGTACAAAAAAAATAGACCCGAAAGACAAACCGAGTTTTAGTCAAGGGCGATCGTTGTTGATGTCAGAAGACAGAAGGGTGGCCATCGACGGAGGTGGCACAAAAGAGCATTGTTTCCATTATCACACATACGACACATCGAAGGCAAAAGGTATTATGCTGTTGTGAGCATTGCGGAAACTTTCTCTTTTTCAGTCGGACAAAATCATGCGTCCCAAATCCCACTCTTCAAACTCCACTTTCGCTTTGAACTTCACGGTGGCAATGTCATGCTATTTTTTCGATATGTGTGAAGAAGAACGAGAACTCACCATGACTTTGGCAAACTCGCCAAACAGCACTGGGTCTGCAATCTGAAAGGTTGTCGCCTGGGTGAATTCCGCTTTCGCAAATGCCTTCTTCTCAATGACGCCCAACGACATTTGTCCCACCTTGGGAGACTGACCGCCACTACCGTCTCTAACCCAAAACACCTGCGCAGGCTCCAAAAACTCGACCGTGGCCGCAAACAACGAAGGGATGCCCTCGATAGCAGCCTGGACCGAGACTTGGACGGACGTCTCCTGTGGATTGGTCATGTTCATTTGGATGATATTCATGGTGCTGCTGTTGATCATTGCCTGGGCAACCTTGGGAAGGATGACGATCAACAGAAGGGGTATAAAGATGGCCAAGAATACCACTGTTGATATCAGGCAAAACACCCAAAACTTGCGACGACGGTAAAAGGGCCGTTGGTGGGGTTGGATAGAGCTCTCGTACTCGTACCCATGGAAGGATTCATGGTCGTTGCTGTCTGTGTCCCCGCTGCCAGTGGCACCCTTCTTTTCCGAAATGATTGTGGATCTCCGTGCGTGCGATGCGAGTAGTTTTTCGTTGTTGCTGCGATTCCAAGAGTTGTCGGATGACGATGTGGAGGGGGAAGAAGGTGTTTTGTGCCTAGACTGAGTCGGACCTGAATTATTTGGCGTTTGGTCTTGATATTCTGTCTCTTCTTCGCGGTACGGCATTCCTGACGATTCGACGTTGTATTTCTCTGAGCGACCCATGATCGAGATGGAGAAGGGTGGAAGGGAAGGTGGGTGCGCTGTTTGCTGGATAAGGAGAGAGGGATGCAGGGGTTAGGGGCTTTTGGGCGTTGAAGAGGTAAGGAGCGTGAGAGGTAGGTATGGGAGTGAAGAGGAAATGTGGCCAAAGAGAAGGTGGCGGAATGGGGTGGACTGAGGAAGGAGGGAAAGGGTCCTTGTTCAGCAGGGCATTAGATGGTAGGGAGGAGTGAGATGGTTGAGGCGGAGAGAAGGAAGTGGAGGAGAGGACCGAGGTAGAGGTGGAGAGAAGAGAGGAGAGAAAGAAGGAGAGGATAGAAAGATAAAAAGACGAAGAGGGAAAAATCGAAAAATGATCGAAGAAAAGCATCGACCGTCCTTCCTCCTTCTTTTGGTTGATGTCAAGAAAAAAGATGCAAAAGGGGTTAGAGGGAGGAGCCCTCCCTTTCTTGCACCGTTCACCATCGAATCAATGTACCTGGCGACAAGTACCCTTGGGATTACGGGCAGAAGCATGTGCCCCTTTTGTTTTTTGTAGGCAGGAGTGGATGTGTCAAACAGAGCATAAATGGGCTCAGACCATGCTCAGCACCTCCCTTCCTTCCTTCCTTCTTTTCTTGTTGTTTTTGAGAGTGTTTACAGAAGCAGAAGGACGACAGCAAGCTGTACTCCCACGCGACATCAAAACATCGTACGATCTCTCCTTTCACACACACACACATACAAACAAACAAACAAAAAAAAACTCACACAATTCAACTCTCACACGCTCCATAAGCTGGGCTTCCATCCTCACATTTGTTTGTGGCGATGGTCATCACCTCCATCCAAAACAGTTATGCATGTATACCAATCATGCAGAAGGGCGTAAAATAAAGCGGCGCTTCTTCTAATCAAAATTCTCAACTGCCGCATTGAACTTATCTTCAGAGCCAAGCTACTAGGATACGTACCTCTTAAAAGCATAGCACAATCCCTCATTTTTCACAAGAAGACTTGGTACTGTTGACAAAAGATCATCAATTTCAGCACAGGCGGAGAAAAGAAAAAAGCAAAGGGAGGTGGGTATCCATGTACTCTCATCTGGAGTGTCAAGTGTCAACGTACCATAGATACATATGCTTTCCGATTGTTCGTCTCCTCCCTCGTTTTGGGTCTCCGTCTTCTCTTCTGTTTGTCGTTCTTCTTTCTCCTTCATTCATGCATGTGCGTGCCTTCAATTTTTTATGAGCAAGAAACAGACAAAAAATTCTATATACTTTTGACTATTGATAATCTATCAGGCACATGCACGCAGAATTGGGCCATGGTGGAGGTAGCCTCGTATCCTATGGGAGACAGGGTGATGGTGGTTCCTTAGCTGATATGTATCTACTAGCGACCTTGGCACTAAATGTGTAGTCGCATTCGTAGATGTGAAGACAAACGTGTTTCCTATGCGACGTGAAGCTTTTTTTTTTCTCCTCACACCACGTACCTTCTGGTTGGTCGTAACGCGATTATCGTCAGTATCTGAATTTAATGAGTCCGACTGTGTCCTGATTTCATTTTTGCAATTCAGGCCCTAGGCAACGCGTAAGGTCTCAGATGACAGTTCATCCAAACGACCACAATAGGGGGGAAAAAAAGAGTCGTGGTCAAACTTTGTCCAAAAACGTGGACAAACTCGCATCGTTTTTTATTTGAGAGGAGAACAGAGAGCACCAAGGGATTGTTCATCTGCGTGATCTTGAACGTTTATCAGCAGCAGCAGCAGAAGCGCTTCTAAGCCCATAAATGACAGCACCTCGAGCAACAGCCAGCTCGGCTTTGGGAACCATGACAACGTGCTCAATCAGCCCTGTATGAGTACCACTGCCTATACCCATACCCATCTCTGGAGCTTCCTCGACTGACGCAAGGTTGCTTCTGGAGGCATTCGATGATAGTCGAGAATGCAGCGATCCAGAATGGTGCGGTGATGTTGTGGATGGTGGGCGAGGCAGCAGGAACGTTTCCTTGAGTTTGTGGAGGAGATACTTGTTGCTCCCAAACCCACCGACAAGAAAGAGTCCTGCAAAGATCCGGGGGTGTTCCTGAGCCTGCGCCAGAATAAGGTCCACTATTCGCTCAATGACCGGGTCAAACACTTTGTCGCAGAGCTCCTGTCCAGAGACTGCCATAAAGTCGTCGTCCATCCAGTCCGGCATCGGGTTGAGCTCAAAGATATCCAGTCCCATCGGTACCGATAAGTGCTTGATCTCCTCCTTTGCCCGGGCATCAAATAGCGACTTGATCTCTGCGAATCCATCCAGCAGGGTCTCAAGCGCCTTTTGTCGTTGCGGCCGTGCATCGAGGTCCAGTCCAGAGAGTCGTTGTAGGACGAGATCCTTAAAGTTCTGGTCGAGCATGGCTGACCCACAGTTCTCGGCGTGGGAGGACGAGAGGTACTCAAACTGGCGAACACCCAAAGAGTCGTCCACCCGAAAGACAGTGACTTGAGTCGTTCGACCTCCAGCATCGCAGATCATAAAGAGGTCCCCATCCTCGAGCGAGTCTGTTTCGACACAGTGTTCTCGACAGTAAGCCGCTGCTGCCTCGGCCTCCGAGATGACGACAACGTTGGGTGCTCGTATCTGTGGAATGATACCGGCGTCAACGTAGCATCGCAAGATAAGGCCCTGGGTGGACCTACTCCATGACTTTGGCACTGTGACACAGTAGTGTATGGGGACTGTTCCTGGCTTGACGACCTGGGCTTTGTTGATCTCTTCCATAAGGTATTCATGAACTCCTCGAAGGTAATGCGTCAAGACGTCTGACAGGAATAATCCATGCTTCAGCACTGCTTGCCGTCCTTGATCAAAGAATTGTAGTTTGTAATCCGAGATTAGTGTACGGTCGCCCTTGGAACGTCGAAAGCTTGTCGCTGCAGAGGCGCCCCATTCCGTTAGTTTCCTGACGTCCGTCTCCGAGTTGTAGAGGTTTACTGTCGGCACCTTAGAGTATGCGCTTGTCGACTTTGGCCTATCAGTTGGATTAACATGCACAATGAAAGCGGTGGTGGTGAGCGCCTGAGCGTTGTTAATGAATCGAAAAGATTTTTCTCCCAAACATACCAAAGAAATGGAAAGCGTACCATTTCACAACGTCAATCATCTCTCCGTCGTTCTGGTGGGCATAGGACACGCCGGTAAATGTGTTGCCAAAGTCGATCCCGACCACAATTCCTGACACTTTGCGCGATTTTTTCTTTGCCTTGTCCTTATGCGACGAACTGTGCTTTTGTCGAGCACTGGCAGATGTGTCGATGACCTTGCCGTTCCTGTTCACGTCCACGTTTTCGCCACAAAAGTCTCCCAGCAATGTGTTGAATCGCTTCTGAACCTAGTTTTTTTTTATATATCAAGTGAGATGAAGAGATGAAAGAGAATGGACGGATCTAAGCTGTTTGTTTGTTTTTGTCAAGAACAAGAACAAGTGAGAAAGTAGCAATGTATAAAAGTAAATGAACAAGGTTACACAATTCTTACGGCTATGCGAGGGACAGGGCGCTCGAGTAGAGCTTTTATCTTCTGGGGGTTCTTGATGATTTTCGGAGGCCCAGCGGCTGTGCAAAACACAAAATAAAGAAGCGCGTCGAATCGTTAACGCCGATGGTTAAAAGAAGACTTTTGCTTTTCTTGCTCTTTGAATTTTAAACAGGGATATCTCATCCCCGCGCACCCCATAAGATAGCCCGGAATTAATTGCCTTGCAGCCGAAAAAAAAAGCCTTACCAATGAAACGATGGCCGTTGAGGAAGGACATCCGGACGAGGGCTGGTGCCCCAACAACAGTGCCTGATTTGGCGAGAAGTGTTGGCTCTGAAGGGTATACGATCATGGATGGTGGCCGAGTGGCGGTTGGGATGGGAGGTGGGATCAAAGTAGGGAGTGAATTGGCTTTGATGATTGTAGGAAGGACAGAGAGGTTCCTTTGCTTGTCCTGCGGTACAAAGGTTGTTCCATGGAAGGAATGTTGTTTTTGTCCATGTTGATATAGTGGTTGCCATTGTAGGTTTTGGTGTTGGTTTTGTGGTAGTTGCTGTTGCTGCTGTAGCGATGAAGGAGATAGTGGTAGTGGGGCGGATAGACGATGGGGGTAGTGTGCTCGATTTCGGGGTAATGTTTCTGGAATGGACGTTACCGACGAAGAGGGCAGAAGATAGGTAGGCTGGGAGTGGCGACTGGCCAGAAAGTAAGGATGTTCCTTAGTCTCAAACCTGTCCGACGTTGATGGTGATACGTTGCTGTCCTGGGCGAAGGCCCTTGGAGTTGGCTGAAAATGGTCGTATTGCGGGTCTATTGTAAATTGCTGTAATTGGTGTTGCAGTTGGTTTTGCTCTGGATGGTGATATTGCTGTTGCTGTTGTTGATTTGGCTGAGGATAGGCGAGTTGGAGGGAGGGCCGATTGTTGGAGAGTTGAAAAGGGCGAACTGCTGGTGAGGTGGAGACAGGCCGAGGAGGGATCGGGGGAGGAGTAACAACAGGGGAGTGGATCATCTTTTGATGTGTATGTGTGGGCGCCAGTTGTTCGTGTTTGTGAGCGGGGTTTGAAGGGGGAAGAAGGAAGGCAAGCGGGAACAATGGGGGCAATTGAAAGGTAAGGCTGGGGAGTGGAGTGGAGAGTGGAGTGAGTGGGAGGGAAGAAAGGAAGGAAAGGAAGGAAGAAAAAGAAGAACAAGAAGTAAAGAAAAGTGAAGAGAAAAAGAAAGAAAGAAAGGGATGGACACGGTCGGAAAGAGAATGAGTCGAAGGAGATGGAGAGAGATGACACGTTTTGTTCTTTGTTCGGAGTGTGTGTGTCTGTGTGAGAAAGAGTTTGCGCAGGGGTTAATGTATGGAGGTGCGAACAAACAGGAGGATCAAGAAGAAGAAGAAGAAGAAGAAGAAGAGGAAGAATAGGGAAAGAGATATAGGTCTATGCATGCCTCGGTATGGAGTGGCAGGGCTGGACGGTGGGACAAAGTTGCAGACGCAACAAACAGGATGATTGGCCTGAAGGTGAGTGTCGTGTAGTGGCACAACTAGAAGTCGTAGGAGAGCCGCCACACCAGCGACAAAGGGGAGTGAGAGTTCTGGATGTTCATGTTGTCTGTGGTCAGGAATAAGGGAGGGAGGGAGGGAAAGTGAAGGTGATTGTTCTCTTTTGCTCATACCACACAAATACATAATACACGAATCGCATGGCAATGGCGTGGAGCACGCGGAGGAAAAAAAAAAAAAAAAAAATAGAATTTCAAAGGCTGGCTCACAACCTGGCCTAGATTTCCCCCTCTTTTCCTCTCTCTCTCCCTCTCTCTCACGCTGAACTCGACTTCTTCCTCTTCTTTTCATTCTTTTCTTTCTCACTTGTGCCTTCCATCATCTTCTCTACTTCCTCTCATCTTCACTTCTTTCTCCTCTTCTTCCTCTTCCTCATCCTTCGACGCCACTGCCCGGCTCACTAGCCTGCCTTCATGATAGGCGTAAACCACAGGGACCCCTCAAGCACAGGCATGCACCCGTCCAACATCTCCAGCCAGGACACCCCTGAGACTGACATCTCAATCACCAACAACGGCAACAACGACAACGACAAGACGTCCACTAAGAGTACCCTCCACGTGAACGACGACAACATCAACAACAGCCCTGCCGAGTCAGACACGACGACCTTGCCTGAGATGCCTGCCCTCGATCCTCTGTCCTCGCCTATTAACGAAACTACCGCACCTACCTCGCCAAAGGACTCCACTGATTCTACACCTTCGACACCGACTGCCGAGACGAATCAGGATGCAGTGACCACTGTCGATGGAAAACCGGATGCTGCACTCACTGAAGCCATGACCGACGAACCAGTCAACGCCGCAGCGGAACCGATCGCACCTGTTGCCAGCAATGGACAGCCTGTGCTGCAGAGGTCATCATCATCGCAACACCAAGGAAGTATGTCGAAAAATATGCCCTTGGAGCAGCCTGTTGTGAAAAATGCCTCGTGAGCAATCAAGAAGGACGACTGACTAACTTAGAAAACTCCTTCTCTGCCACTTTGTAGTGATAATTATCACAAAGCCCAAGCTGAAAAGACCCCCTCTGCGAGCCATTGACCTGAGCAGTACCCCGAAAAAGTCCATTCTCAGGAAAAAGACTGCCTATCCCTTTATCGAGCAGCCTGTCAGGAGCCCCGTTTTCAAGTCACAATGGCTCCAGAGCACCGTCAGCAAGCTTGCCGCCATGAGTGGACCTACGACACCGACAGCCTACACAGCCAATGGCCCATCAATGTTTCAAAAACTAGTTTCTCAGGCAACAGCAGCAGCAGCAGTAACGCCTCAAGGACATCCGCCAATCCCTTCAGGACCTCCTGTAGGACGACCCAGGACAGGACCGCCAGTATTTGTCAACAATGAACGACCCATCTCTTTCCTGGAGTCCAATGGAAGCGTCACCTCACTACTTTCCGACAAGTCCTTGAAGCGCGTGCGGTTCTCCGTAGGGCAATTGAGGACCGAGCATGTGTTTCACAACGACGACGCCTACGAGTCAGAGGAAGAGTCAGAGCCAAGGAGGGTTCCTGTGGCGCCAGCACCAGTTCAGCCCAAGAAGGTCATCATGACAAGCGAAGGGGTACTAGTCGACGACAACATCTACACGGCGAAGGAGATCATGAACTACTACCTCACAGCCTGCAACAGTCGCGAAGAGTTTCCCATTGAGCGCCTCATTAACGACATGCAGGTATGGAGTAAAACGTACCTATTCCGGGTTCATTCCAAGTTTATTTTTGGGCTCTCCACATGTTGTGGAAAGACGCTGACTGTGTTCAATTGTCAACTACACTTCTAGATTGCCTCAGGCCGTACATCGAACCCACTGCTGACGACAATTGACCTGACAGGTATGGATGTCAAAAGCCTGCCAGCTCTGCACCGTAAAAAAATCAACGGTGGTTTCGATTGCTAACATTCGACTGCTTTACGACTTTTAGGCGAACCTTTGCCTCGGAGAGCTCTGGACCCTATCTCGGATGTGCTCACGCTCGAGTTCGGACTGAAACATCTCATTTTGGACAATTGCGCCCTGGAAGACGATGTAAGTTTGTACACGAGTTTTCTAATGTTCTGGATTATCAAGGTCAAAGGTGTGCCTATTAACGCTGCTGCTCTGATTATTCCCATAATCTAGACTCTGAAAATGCTGCTGTACAGTTTGCTGCTCACCGACACATTGACCCTGCTCAGTCTCCAGGATAATAAACGGATAAAGTCACTGGGATTCAAATACGTTTCCGTGTTTGTAAAGAAGGTAAGCCTAGATCTCGACATGAAACGAGGTGTTGGTACGACGGAATTGTAAGGCAGACCCCAGTATCTAACGACGTCGGTATTCTAACTGCTTATTCTAGACTAAAGCACTCAAGAGCCTCAACATTTCCGGTATTCCTATGGACAAGAAATCTATTGAGTTCCTGGCACATGCACTCAAGATTGGACGACTTGGATTTGGATCGAGGCTCGAAGAGTTGCGCATGGATCGTTGTGGACTGCGCGGAAACCTCTTGGAGACGATTGGTGAGTATTACATCTACGTGTCGTTGCTATTGTTGGTCTACGCTTTCCCCCAAGAGTTTACAGCCTAACATAAGTGTTTTGTTATCTTTTCCAATCCATAGCACCCGCGATCAGAGAGTCCAACCTGCGACAGGTATCGATGCGCTCAAACAGAATCGGTGCTACAGGAGGCGTCTGGATCGGAGTGATGATGCGTGATTATGACGACCAACCCAACAAAGTCATCCCAATCAATAATGAAGAGCAAGGATTCAAACGAGTTTTCCCAGGCATCGTGAACCCAGAGTTGCTGAAGCGCACTCGCGGTATCGAAACTCTAGATGTATCCGACAACGACCTTCGAGTAAGTGCTAAGCATGAATTTGGTCCGCACGACAGCTGTTGTAGCCTCTTTACTTGTGGGATGGCATGTTAACTAAACCACTCTACATTGTTGCTGTCGAAAACTATTTTACAGCAAGGAGCAGATTACGTGGCTCAGACATTGCGCAGAAATATGTCACTCAAGTGTCTCATCCTCGCCAACAACAACCTGGATCCTGCACGCCTTGTCGTCCTCGCCGATGCACTTGTGAGTATACCAGGGATATGCAACGTATTGTACTGCGTCGTCACCGCGTGCTAAATGTTGAGCCATTTTTATCCATACTTGATAATAGAAACTCAACATTGGATTAGAGGCACTGGATCTCAGCGACAATCGTGTCTGTGGGCCTGTCATTACTGGCATGAATGCATTGACGCAAAAGTTGGTCTACAACAAGACTCTGACCAAACTGTCACTGTCCAACACTGGCATCCAATCCGAAGGCGCTATTGCTTTGGCAGAGTTCCTTCCCGAGACCCGCACCCTAGTTCAGCTGGATCTGACAGGAAACGACCTCGTCGATATTGCTGGTGTTATGGCGCTCTCTGTCAGTATTCGCATGAACAAGAGCATTACCTGCTTGGACATGAACGTTCCTCCAAATGATGCCGAGTTTGCTCGCCTTTCTCGCGATATTTTGAGAGCCTGCATTCGCAACATGGAGGCGAAGACTGGATCGAACGAGGGAATGCCCTCACCCGACGACATGCCCACCAACACTATCTTCCGACACCCCTCAGCTGCCATTATACCCGAGCCTGTGGCTCCCTCTGTCGAAGATAGTCGCTGGTCACTTCTGGAGGTGGTTGCTGGCGAGCTCTACCGGACAAGAGAGACCCTGACAGCATTAGAGAGAGCTTTGAACCGTGAGAAGGCCATGCGCCGCGACTGGTATGAGCATCTCTATGGCAGAGTCGCACATGAATCTAGAAACTATCAAAATGGGCATACTGGGGAGTACAACGAAGATAGTCAGACACCCTCCACGCCAACGACTCCCCTTGTCCACACTCCTGAGGACAAGAAGATGCTTGATATTCTGAAGGGAGTTCTCTACCGTGCACCGCCACCAATCGAGGTAAGACCCTTTTTACTAACTAATGCATTGACGCGTACTGGGTGAAGATCTAAAATTAATCATATGCGTTGTTGTTTGCGGTATTTATAGCAATTATACCACCAGTGCAAGCGCCACCAAGCGAACATTATGAATCTTTTGACGAGGGTTGACAACGAGAGGGCCATGTTGGAGCTGGAATCATTGGGCAACACCATCAACTCATTCCTCCAAGCTTACCGAGCCCTGTTTGCACTTCCAGAGATGCCTCTCAACATGATGGTTGGCAAGAGAACCAACTCCCTTCCACCTGCCACCCCCACAGAGCAGTCATCTCCTGAGGCTGACAGCTCCTCAGCAGTGCCCCAAGGCCAGCAGGAGCAGGAGCAAGGGCACGATGATGCTCAGGTTGTCCCTGATGTTTCGACTGAGGAGGTAGCGGATGACATGGAGTCGTCGTTCTTGCTTGAGGATGACGATGACATGGATGACGAAGTGTTTACCAACGACGCCCTGAATGATGTCCGACGGAGTTCCCTCTTGGCATCTGAGCGCCGGTCGCCCACGTTGACCTCGACTGCCACCATGGCCGCCGATGAGTCTGCACCAGAGACCTCTGACAACACGTACCGAGGACGAGGCCTGAAACCTACGCCCGTCAACACTCTTGACACAGATGGAGTTGAGGGAGAGCGCTCGCCTTCAGCTTTGGCCAGTCCCTTGGAGAAGCTCCGCAAAGCCGCCGAAGTAGAAGAAGGAGAAGGTATACAATCTTGTTTTATTGTCATTTCGGGTTGATTTTGCCTTGTCCCCGCATCCTTTTTAACCAGACTTCTACAACCCCCCTGATAGTTTTGCGTCGAGGAAAGGATCTTCTCGAGAACGCCCTTGTAGAAGATGTCCCTGTCGAGATGTCAGGAGAAGAGCTCAAAATTCAGGTATGAATATTCATGAGCAGTGTGAGTGTGTGTGTGTGAGAGAGAGAAAGAGAGAGGGAGAAAGCAAAGAACTGATGCAAAATTTCTTTCCCCCTTCGTTCTCACGCCATTAGATTCTCGCCAGCGACAATAAACCATAGAAAAAAGTAAAATAAAATTTCATTCCGTTTGGACTACGCTCACACTGAGATGGGGTGCACTAAAGGGTATGCTTGATAGCGACGACAAACTTTCGCTGGTCCATCATGCCAAGGTCCTCTCCGCGCTGGCTCATCTCCTTGCCGGTCTTAATCTCCAAGTCGTGCACCTGGTGATCCTCCTGGCCCTGGCCGTTCTGCTCTTCGCCGACCTCCTCTTGATCGACACGCTTCAACCCTGCGGCCCTCAGTGCCTCACCCATTTCGCCACTGTCGTAAAGACGCTCCTGATAAAACTGGTCCCGAATCACTCCTTGAGCAGTCTTGATAACAACCTCCCTACAGACCAACCGCTTCTTGTCCTCGCTCAACCACCTCTCTCGACAGACCAACATCTCGTCATCGACCCATTCCCACCCACGCGGGGAATAGTTCTCACGCTGGTAGGCGCCGTCTGTGATATCCAAGACTACGACTCCGCCAGGGCGGAGGACTCGGTGGATCTGGGTCAGGAGAGTTTCGTCGTCTTTGTCGTTGGAGAAATAGCCGAAGGAGTTTCCCATGACTAGGACGAGATCGAAGGTCGAGTCAGAGAAGGGGATCGAGCGGCAGTCTCCGATTGTGAATTGGATCTGTGCGCCTTTTTTCTTGGTGGTGGTGGGGGAAGTGGTCAATGGTGCGTCATCCTTGGTGGAGGCAGCGGCAGCGGCTCGGGAACGGGCCAATTGGATCAAAAATTCAGACTGGTCATGTCCATAGAGTTCCAAGGCAGGGTACAGTTCCGCGAGCTGAAGGATATGGCGCCCTTGTCCACAGCACAAGTCCAGTACCTTGATCGTCCTTGCAGATGCATTAGAATCAGTAGAGGCCTGGAGAATATTGCGGATAGCGGCGATACCCTCGAGGACCCGGACTTCTTCGCGAGTGATGGCCGAGTCTTCGACAACGTCGCCGTCGGTCTGTAGATAGAGTTGGTCGCTGAAGACAGTCTTCCACCAGGTCTTAGGGACCATTGCCTCGGGGTTCTTGACGCGGCCGTGGCATATGGTCCCACTCGTGTTGTTGGTGCTGATGGTACTCCCGCTGTTGGATCCGCCTTCAATCTCGTCGGAATCGGAGTAGTCTGGGGAGGGGAGGGCTGAAGGGATCTGGCGATGGTTGTGGGGATGGTGGCCAGGGGCTTGTTTAAAGGACTTGAATGTTTCTGAAGAATCCATATCGACTTGTTGGCTCGTCAGGTGGTCGAGACTAAGAGGAAGAGTGGTGGGAGTTGATGCAGACATTTTGATGAGAATTTGCGTGTGTGGGAAAAAGGAGAAAGAAAAAGAAGAAGAGAGTAAAACGTAAGGCAGCGTAATGCTTTATACGTGAGGGTTATTGTTGTATGACAGCGAGGAATGTGAGAAAAAAAAAGGGCAGAAAAAGTAAGGGAAAGTTGAGCCTGTACTTATCTTTGTTTTGGCTGAATGAAGATTAGGGGGCGAAGGGCGTTGTTTTTCGTTTTTTCTTTTGTTTGTGTGTTTGGGTCTGTGTGTGGTTCTCTTTGGGAGTGGAGGATGGGGAGCGGGGATAGGAAGGAGTAAGAAGGTAGAGAAGGAATCGATCAATGCATGGGGCGATATTTTGAAATTGGTTGCGAGTTGGAGCACGCAATGTGTCGTATCGGGATGGGTCCGAGCCATTGAAGAGCATGAGCCTTTGTTTCTCCTTCCTTCTATTTTTCTCGCAAATTGACGACACAAGATAGGGGTGAACAAAGAAGAATATCGCACATGAAAAGGGGACTAAGTCTGCTCTTTAATCTGCGGATTGAAGCCTTGCGAAAATGACATATTGACCTGATAGAAATGGAGTACAGACAGGTTATGCAGGGGTGCAGGTTGAGGACAGGGAACGGTGCCGTTTTTTCTTTAGTTATTCATTGCGTAAGCGAGAGGAGGTGTAAGAAAGATGGCGTCGCCATGGAATGGTGCCCGGACAGTGTTGTGCAGGGGGGCACTGTAAAAAGAAGGGTGGGGGGGTGGGGGGGGACTCATGTCTTTTTCTATCGCCTCTTTTTCGTCGGCTAGTTGGTGTTGATGGAGCGCGTCTGGAACGTAGGTGGAAAAGGGGGGACGCGTTTGTGGACGACGCGGAGGAACAAAAATTTGACGTACAAAGGGGCGACGAATGTACGTGACAATGTTCTGTGGAGACCCTTGACTTGCTTGAAGGTCCTCAAAACTGCAACATTATATCTCTTCTTCTTTCAACAACCGAAACAAGCACATCAGCCCAACCCGACCCAACTCAGGCAGGAACCGTAACCGCCTCAGGACCAAGAGCAGCATTACATTCTTCACGCACAATACACAACAAAAAAGCTCATCACGACAACTCGCACCATACCATCATCATGGTAAGAAAGCGAATGAGCAACGACCTTTTGTGCATCAACTCAATAAGACGAATGAACCGTCTCGTTTCGTGGCAGGCATTCACCAGCACGAGGCCTCGAGGAAAGCATGCTCTAGTTCTCTAACGATTTTAAGCTCTTGCCTTTGTTTTCAACCTACTTTCTAGGGTATTGTGTTGACAAAGCTCTGGCGCAAGCTTATGAGCAAAGAGGAGGTCAAGATTGTCATTGTTGGACTGGACAATGCAGGAAAGACAACTGTCCTTTACAAACTGTAGGCAGGAGCGTGTTTTGTTACTCTGTTGTTATCGTATTGATTGGAGAATGTCAACGTCTGTGAGTATTTCAGTGGCGAAGGTTGCCATTTGGAAGAGTCTTCTTTGTTCTAACAGTTTCCCGACATCTCTCTCCTTATGCGTTGACAACGTGCACTCCCCCCGCTTCCTTTGATCCCGCGTGATACATAAAAGTCTGCTGAATGAAGTCGTCGTCACCACGCCAACGATAGGAAGCAACGTCGAAGAGATTACATACAAGAATATCAAGTTTCTCATGTGGGTACGTCAAAAAAACAATCGCCAGCGTGAAAACGTGGTGTGCATATCTATTTTTACAAAGAGCTCGTTTTTTTTTTTTTTTTTTTTTTTTGGTATTCGGCTGGGAGAATTTGGACGACTGACACATTACACTACTTTATTACTTTTTTCATTTACCTTTTGTTAATGAACACATAGGATATAGGAGGACAGGAATCACTTCGGGCGTCCTGGAAGACATATTATGTCAATACGAAAGCCGTGATCATGGTCATCGACAGTTCAGACAAGGAGCGCCTTCATATTTCAAAAACAGAACTACACACCATGATGGATTCTGAGGTACGCTGAAAAGTCATCCTATTTTCTTGTACTCGTTGTTGTTTGGGAGATGGATGCAGATATGTCACACAAGCGACGAGACAAGAAGAAGTGGGACCACTGACCTTTTCTTTTCTTTTCTTTTCTTTTCTTTTCATTTTTGCGGGTGTTTTACATATATATATATATATATTTTTGGATAGTCGCTCAAGAACGCAAGTTTACTGGTGTTTGCGAACAAGCAGGATGTGAAGGGAGCACTGAGCGCAGCCAAAATCTCAGAAGCCTTGGCTTTGACGTCATTGCAGGATCGACAGTGGTCCATCCAGGCGTGCTCTGCCCTGACTGGTGATGGGTGAGTGAATTGACCCTCGCTCGGGCGACCCTTTGATTGACCATGGAAGTGTATCATTGCTATTGACACTGATGATTAATTGATGATCGTACCTGAATTGATAGATTGTTTGAGGGACTCGACTGGATTGTGTCGCAGATTGCAACTCAATGAGTGCTCTGCTGTAGCAGGACCCACGGCCTAATGATGTTATTGCGAGTACAGCTCCAGTCGCCTTGGAAAATACCATGCTTGTTTTGCAATGCCATTGACAGCAATTGAAGCAAAGAGAAGCAATTGAAGGAATGCAGCCCCCACCTCCACATCGTACCACAATAAATACAAGGCCAAGGCGAGCAAAGCGAAGCAAGGAGTACCGCGCAACAACAAAAAGAAGACCAATAGGTGGCCGCGAGGGTACTGCGAGCGAGAGGTGGAGAGTAATGTCAGGCGGGGAGGTGTCTGCAATTTGAGTTCCGTCCAAATAAGGAAGTTGAGGCATTTTATTGAGATTGTGTTTGACAGGACACAACAAAGGCGGCCTTTTTGTTTTGACATACTTTCACCCTTCCCCTTCCTCCTCTTCTTCCATAATCGACATCCATCCAGTTTGTTTTTTTGTCTTTTCTTTTTCTGGCTGATCCTCCCAACTCATACCCCTCTCTTTTCACATCATACACATACACGCACGCACACACCCTACCAAATTATACCGCCTTCACACACACATACCCTGCAAAACATACATCTTCCCCTTGTACGCCTCCTTACATCACATCACACACTCCAATGGAGGCAACAGCCACACCTTACTCGAATGGAACAACAGCAGAGACGTCGCCTCCACTTGAAGATGCTAGAGACAACAATAGCAATGAGCCAACACCTACCGCTGGCCCCGACACCGCGACGGCACCAAAGACACAGTCGCACTTTGAGAGTCGGGGGAGCCTTGACACCCTCGTCGCTGCTGCCTTGAAACCCCCGGCTGCCGCTGAGGATTATCCCCAACGCCACCATTCTCCACCCCAACGATATGAGTCCCCTGGCCACAGCCATTCTATCAGAAACAATGCCAACAATCACACCAGGGGCATTGATGGTAGTAGTAACAACGAAAGCCTTAACGACAGGAACCAACACGGCAGCAGCACACCACATATCCCGCATCATAGGGAGAGTCCTAGTCGCTCGTCACATCATGCAGATAACAGTAACGCCACAGGAAGTTCTGGTCTCGATCCCAGTCGCCTGCAGACGCCATCCTCATCCTCAGAGGTCGTAGAAACAACGACAACAACAACGACACACTCACACCACGAGCATCCCTCTTCCAAGTACCACTACCGTGAGCAAGGGAGAGGAATCTCTGATGAAGATTCTGAAGAAGATCCTTCGCCAGCTTCTCGGCAACATAACCACCATACTCGCCCAGAAGTGCCTTCAGAGTACCCCTCTCGCCCCTCACATGCATTGCAAGAACAGTCAGATTCAGCGTTCAAGGTACTACAAAACAACTTGATGCCTTCAGCAACTTTAGAGTAGTGAAGAATTTGTAACTAGCACTGGTTGCCTGGGAGATGTTTTCATGGTATTCATGCGCTAACTTCCCACCACTTCTTCTATCCGTTGGCGTAGTCGAATACACGTTCAAGCATGTCTATATCGTCATTACTTGGTAGGATTATATCTCATTCCCCACGCAGCTTTACTATTCGTTCGCTCGCATCACGCAACCCAACTCAACCCTGGTACACCTCTGCCGTCCACATTTTATTGTTTTGCCTTCTCTGGGTCTCTAACCTGATTGTACCACTCTTATTCCTGCAACTTCATCAGGAGACTCGTCAGGATACGCGCGCAGGACAACAGGGGACGAGGAAGATTCAACTCCCGATCATCATGCAACGGCTCGCCATCTGACGCCCTCGCCTGTTGTTCGACCCAACGGTGCACAGTCGGAAGGCTTTTTTGAGCAAAGGTGTACGGAAAGGGTCGCCAAGCGTAAGTTGATAAGAATGACTAAAAACGGGAAGGATGGTGGGGAGAGAGGGAAAGGGTCTGTCCCTGTCGGGTGTTCTTTATTCTCAAAGTATACAAACAAATAAGAGAGGACAGTCATTGGTGTTTATCCAGCCTTGTTTGCGATACAAAGTTTATTGACAACGATCATTCTCTTTGCTCGTGTCATTTTTTCTTAGGAGATAACTGCCCACAGAGACAGAGCGATGCCAGAGATGAACTTGAGGGCCATGACGACATGGATCAGGATCACCTGTCTTGCGAGCCGCATCCGCACTATCACCACCATGGCCGCCTGCATTCGCACCCGCACCCGCACCCCCCGCACCCAATTCGTCACCATCATCATCATCGATCCTCAGAAGATCAGATAACAGGAGCGATTTTGCCAGACGCAGCAAAGCTGCAAGGCCAGCACCACCATCAACATCAAGAAACATCAGCCTTGGTTAATACCGTGTCACGGCACCACCACCACCATCGCCATATACCCCATCAACACCAGCACCATTCCATGGGTACGCACTCACATAACTATCCCCACGTGCATCATCATCCTCAGCACCTAGGTTTACAAGGACCTCAGCATCCAAAGCATCCGCACCACCACCATCATCACATTCACCACCACCATTTGCATATCGAGAAGTCTCCTTCGTCGGCGCCTTCTGCCTTTCATTATGTACCAAGATCGGCGGGCCTGGTAAGGATTGTCAAGTTGATTGCTGCTACAGGTTGTGGTTTCAGGAGTACCAGTGAGAACAAGTCCTGAAATATGTTTGTTTTGCCATCGTTCTTCGACTTTTAGAGTCTCAACCCGCGATTGAAAGTGAATGCGACCCAGGTCTACATCTCGTACCTGATTCAGCTAGATCAAATGGTAAGCCATCGACTCCACTCCTAGTATTTTACCCTATGTTCTGAGATCATTCCAATATTACGACCGCAGACAAACACTGACTCGATCCTGTTGTTTCTATCGCATTTTTATAGCAACGTGCGCAGCATCTGAAGAGATCGTCGGAGAAGAGGAAATCAACGGGGGATATGGCCAATGGACTTGGGGGAAGCCCAACAACTCAGGGAAGCCCAACAACTCAGCGACCCCCACACGCCCGTACACGCAGTGTCGAAGAAAGCGGTAGGAGTGTTCAAGTTGTTCCTCACCCAGAAGAGCTTGCTGACCGTGATCGCGAGGATAGGGCTTATTCGCCAGGAATGGTTGGATCACCTGAGGACCGAAAGCGGCGCTCTTCTTTCAAACCAGATGACACTGAGGCGATGGCTGCTTCGATGTACAAGGCGGAATCTTTGGCACCCGTGGCTGTGGACCCATCGTCGAACCCTGTCTCTTCTCGGTCTCAACACTCACACGGCCATCTTCACCCTCACCTTCATTCGCACCCACACCCACATCATCCTGCGCAGTCTCAACCGCCACCACCGCACGCGCACGCGCATTCTCATTCGCACCCACATCCACATCCACATCCACATCCTTATCCACATCCTTATCCTCACCCCTCACACGGTCACCAACACAGCGCGCCAGTTTTGCCAGCCCACGTCCACCCAGCTCAACACCACCATCATATTGTGCCGTCACCTGTCAGGGGAGAAAAAGTTCCTATTTCTGCTGCGGCCGCAACGGCAAGCGCCAAAGCCAACCATTCGCAGACAGTTCATCGACACCACGCGTTACACCACCACCACCCTCATCACCACCCATATCATCCAAATCACCCCAACCACCAGCATCACTTTCACCACCATGGACACCCAGGTGCTCACGGGTACGGACACGGACACGGCCATGGCCACGGACACCCTTATCATGGCCACGTGCATCTTAACCATGTTCACAATCACAGTAACCATATCCATCCCCATGGGCATGGCCGCTCTCCTTCACGGCAGAGGAGCCCCACGGTAGACAGGATATCCCGAGACTCGGCTACGCCTCCCATTAGTCGCTTGTCGCATGTTGCTCAGCCGATCGCCCATCCTACTATGCCCGCATCATCTGCTTCGCCCAAATCAACTGCTGGTTCCATTACAGCTGTGTCAGGGGCTACACTGGTAGTTTCTGAGAGCCATCATCACGGTGGAGAGGACCGTCGCGCTTCTAGCCCTTGTGTTGCGAGACATGATCGAGGTGGTGCCGTCTCACCCGGGCATGGCGCTAGAGGGTATGAAAATGTCGCAAGGACAGAGTCGATCAAAGATGTCGCCCTTGAGATGGATAATGCAGTCCATGAGAACTCTTCCGCCCCACCACCATCCACCACACCAGCAGCAACACCCATTTTGGAGACTGCGATGAATGTAGATTAACTATGTACTTTTAATTTATTGATAAAAAAAAAAAGGAAAGCTTTAAGATACGCTTCCACTCGCACACACTTACATATTTTGGGGATCTATCTTGTTTTCTGAAAAAGAGCATGCGTATGTCTAAATCTAAAGTTCGCGTGCTATCCGGGCGGCGTCCTTGAGTGACACCCAACCCAACATAGGTGTTGTTGATCGAGGCGATGCCGATGGCCTCTCTCCTCCCTGTCCTCCTGTTTGAAATCGACGAATCCGTGCTAGGCGATCTAACGCGAACCGCGTACTTTCCTGAGCCGTCGACGCGATCTCGAACACGGGTGCTGTCCACAGTGACAGGGTGTTCCCGCAGGCTTGGATCTGTGATGTCGGTGGTCTGTGCTCATGCTCATGCTTTCGATCGTCGATGTAGTTGTTGTTGTTTGTAAGCATTTCTGAGACGGGCACTGATTCAAAGATCATGAGGCGTTTCAGGAGGATCTGGTGGGTATCGTCATTCGTTTCTTCGAAGGGGGTAGTAATCGTGGCGGAGACGGCGCGTTTCATGTCGTCGTTGACCGAGAATGTAAACGTGACAAAAGCGTGTTCTTGGAGCTGGAGCGTAAACATACATGTGTGCGCGGGTATCTGGACTCTCTCTTCGCATCCTTCCTTGGTGTCGGGGAGGTTGGTATCGACTAGTACGGATCCAGCGCCGATCTGTGCAGTTGGTGGGATGTGACAGTTTTCAATGAATAGTGGAGATTCTAGCTGCCATTGTGGAGTTTCTCGATCCTGCTCCTGTTTCTGTTGTTGTTGCTGGATTCTAGCAATTGATAAACTAAACGCAGAGATGATACCGACCCCTGGGGTAGAGTTCCGGATATTAAGTTCAGACATGAACGCGCGATCGGTACAGGTGGCGAAGATGAACTCTAGCATGGTCCCGAGATGGTAGAATTTGGAGGCGTTGAGGACCATGACATCGAGTTGGACGTTTGCATCACGGAGGGCTTGTTTCAAAGGTTGTTGTTGTGTAACTGCTCGGATGTTTGTTTCTGTTTCGTGGTTGGAGGAACAGGAGTCTTGGAAGCTGAGGACGTCAGCCCATGCTTCTAGGTCGCATTCTGGAGACAGACGTGGGTATACCTATTCAGAAATATCAGCAAAGGGATGTTAATTATGAGTGTAGAAAAATGAGAATAAGTTGATACCTTTGATGATGTCGCGTCTTAAGAGGTGGAGCTTACGTTGGCCATGAGTGCTGCGGTGAGCGGATCAAAATAATAACAACTGTCCGTGTAGACTTCCTCCTCCTGACTTTTAGAAGCTGACGAGTTGTTGTAGATCAAATTGGATGTCCTTCGCATCTCGTCTATCAAATCAAACCGAAACATGCGCAAAATATGTTCAGTAAGTCTAGCCACAATCATTTATTGACCCAAAGAATATTCATAACTGATCATCAACTTACCAAGAGACGGTTTATGCAGGAACTTGCGGCATTTCAACAACAACGCGGACTGGTCTTTCGGTATCCGAGCACGGTCTGTAGGGATGAGTCCCTCAGGGTCATGTAACAGGTAGACACCATGAGTGCTCCCGATCTGCGTTGAGGATGGGTGGGCTAATGCTGTGATGGTGAATGGTTTTGGGTCCTTGGGGAAGGGTGAGCATGATGAAAAGAGTTCGATTCCGTCCGCACTCGTCAGGAACACCTATTGTCGGAAGAGAAAAGACATGGGTGTTCACGTTAGTTTGACGGCTCGTCAGTTCCTTTGGCGATGGGTGGAGATAAAGCTGGTTGCTGTTTGCTTACACCGGGTGGCATGGATTTGAGTAAGTGAAGGTAGAGGACGAGCTTCAGGTCCAAAACTTGAATGCCTTCTGGCTTGTCGGCTAAAAAGGGACATGCATCGAACGGATGAAGTTAGAAAACGCGATCTTTTAGTTGACCATGGTGATTCGTTTCTCAAACAAGAATGTAACGGTGACAGTCGTTACCTTGTGGAAGCGCGGTAAAGACCTTGCCGCGAGCACTGACATGGGGCAAACGAGTACTGTAGCCACCCGCATGAATCAAAAGGGTCCGGGCTAATGACAAGAAACAAAATATTGATATTTTGATCAGTACGTTGGAAACATATAAACTTCAGGCACCATCAGTAATTATTTCCGTGGTATGATTGATCTTCACACCTTGCAATAGGAAATCGGCAGGGAATGTTTCCTGGAGGATTTTCATGACTAGACACGTCGAGCCAGCGCTTCCGATCTTGGAGTTTGGCGGGTCTTCGATGACCAGGTATCTGCAAGGAACAAGGCGAAGTGTGAAGCGCTCAGTACTTCGTTCTTTGATGAGATGTTCCCCAAATGTCATGAACGCCAAGGGAGGAGGAGTGCTTTACCTCACGCGAGAAGGTATGGAACGGTCAGTTAGCTTTTGTTTGATTCTCCGTTGGTAACAGTGCTTCTGCTGTTTGTCTCCCGCAGTGACGACGACGATATCCCAGAATGGCACTTCATTGTCTACAGTTTTGACAGGTTCATTCTCCGTGGTCCTGGACTCTTCTTTTAAGAGGCGACTGTAGGAAGCTAGGTTCTGGGCATGGACATTCCGGAGTACATTCGAAAGTTCATCCACACCCTCAACTCTTGTTCCCACCTCTGTAATGTTGTCAAGGCTTGCCATGTCCGAATTCGAGACGAGGGTCTGTCTGTACTGTTTGCGCTGAATGTATACGCAAAAAGAGAAGAGATGATTCTCATTATTCCTTCCAAGAACCAGCTTAAAAGGTGACTGCAAATCCCATCTTCGATTGTAATTGAGGGTCCGCCTCCACCCGTGAGAAGGAAATTTGTTCCCTCTCGCTTCACACCTTCTTTTCTTTCCCATCTCTCCACCCCTTTTTCATTCCATCAACTCATGTCAGCCGCCGCACCGGAACCCACACAGGAGTACCACAGCGACCCAGCCAGGGTCCAAGAACTCCGCCGCCTACTCCTGGCATCCATTGCAAAGTCAACCCCTTGCGACTGTATTCTCCTCTCTGGCGGTGTCGACACCTCGATCCTGGCCGAGGCCGCCTTTGCCGTCTACAACCAAGCCAAGGACACCAACCCTGACGACGATCAATTGAAGCGGCCCCTGACTGGAGCAGTGACAGTCCTCTGCACCGATCAAGCAACTGACGAGTTCTACGCCGCCCAGATCGCGCACCGGACCGGACTGATCCAAAAGGTCGTCAAGATCACACTCGACTCTATATTGGAAGAGCTTGAGTTCTGTATCCAGACCCTGGAGACGTTTGATCCGATGGAGCTCCGGAACGGGATTGTGATTGCACGCGGGTTGGCGGTCGCCAAGTCGTTGGGGTACAAGACTGTCATGACGGGGGATGGCGCCGATGAGTTATTTGCGGGGTACTCGTTCTTGCACAACATGTCTGCTGAAAGGTTGCAGGCCTATTCGGATAAATTGACCAAGACCATGCGCTTCTCGGGCGTCACCCTCGCCAAGGCCTTGGGACTCGAGTTGGTTCAACCCTATCTTGATCCGGAGCTGATCAAGTTTTCGCAGCAGTGTACACGGGACGAGAAGATCAACACCCACTTCCATGCCCAGGACCGTGAATGGCAGGACCGTCTCTCGGGAACCCAGATCCACGGAAAGTTTATCCTGAGGGAGGCCTTTGAGAGGGAGGCTTTCTCGGCATGGCGCAAGAAGGAGCCTATCGAGGTTGGGTCCGGAACCACAGTCTTGCCCAAGCTGTTCCAAGAGTCGATGAGCGCCGAGGATTTAAAGAAGGAGCAGGAACGGATCTTGGAGGAGGAAGGGATCAAGATCAGGGATGTCGAGCATTTGAACTACTTCAAGGTCTTCAAGAAGGTCTTTGGCAACGATCTGTCGACGTACCCTGCGAAGCTGACCAGGGACGGACGGGATCCTTGCCCTGGATGCGGGTTCAACTTGACGACGCCTGATCAGACGTTCTGTGTCATCTGTGGACAATGGCCCGCTCGTGTGCTTCCTCCGCCAGAAGAGATCGCAAAGACTGCCACTGCCACCTCTGAATAAAGATACCGTTTTTTTCCACTATTATTGTTATTAAAATATATTGTGCGGACTAAATTAAGCGGTGGATATTTCACTATTTTGGATGGCTTGCATTTCACGACGCAGCTGACGAACTGTTCGCTCTAACCGTCGCCGTTCCTCAACCTCCTTCCGCACTGCCTTCTCTTTCTCCTCTCGAAGCTCTGTCATCACCCTCCGGAACTCTTTCCTCAGCGCTGCTGTGGCACTGGTGATCGCGGCGTTACTTCCACTAGACAATGTCCCCGCTCCATTCTGCTGCTGCTGGAGTTGAGAAGACTGACTGTTGTTGTTCGAGAAGGCGTCGACATTTGAAGGGATCGGGGTGCTGATACCGCTGGAAGACGCTGCCGGTTCCGGTGAAAGCTTTTGAGACAAAGATCCAAAGCTGAGCGAGCCTGCTGCGCCGAGGCGAGAGCTGAGCCAAGAGGTTGTTGAAGTGGGCGATGAAGGTGTGTTGGTCGATTGGAGAGCCTTCAGCAACTGGGCTCCAGATCCGGGTCCTCCATAGGCGGCCTCGAGTGCGGCAATGATCATCCGCATCTCACCGTTCTGCCCCTCCAACTTGTCGCACTGGATTCGGAAATCCTCCAGAGCGACCACATCAAACGAGCTCAACGGTGGCGGTGGCGAGCCCGTGCTGCCTCCAGAAGTCGTGTGCGCGTGCGGGATCACAGCTCCTGATTGATCAGTAGCCTGAGCCAACTCGGACCGAACCTTCAAAAGCGTTTTCTCTTGCTGCTCGACCAGTTGATCTCGTTCCCAGAGCAACGTATCCTTGATACGAATGATCTCGTGGAGTTCGGCCAGAGCATCGTCCTTGCTCGGTGGCCGAATCATGGCGCGTAGATCTACCGAGCTCCTTGATGGCGGGTGAGAGACTGCGGTCGCCGAAGCTGCGGCTATCTCTGCCAGTCTGGCGTTCTCGTCCAACAACATATCGGTGTGTTGCTTGAGAAGCTCGATTTCCTTCTCGAGTAATTGGATCATCCCTGCGTTGGCTTGAAGGCGTTCCAGCTCCGAGTTTGAAACCCATGTCGAGTCCTCCTGTTGTTGTTGTTGGTTCTCGACGGCATCGGCTTGCTTTGGTGGCAACAACGTAGAGCTTTGGTGGCTGGTTTGGCGGCTCCCTGTAGTCGACTGGTTGCTTCTTGGATGCTTCGACTCGGAAGAATCCTGCTTCGGCTGTTGAGACCTCGCGACCAGCTCCTTGACTCGCACAATGAGCGTCTCCATACTGAATCCAATCGCCGCGTTTCCGGACGACACCGACGAGATACTCCCAGCCGGACTTGCACGACCCGAAACAGATCCTCCTGTGCCACTGCCACCGTTGCGCTGCTGTTGTTGATGAGCTGAGAATAACTGCAGATGGCTCTTGCGACGAGAATCTGGGATGATATCAAACAGTTGTCGCATTGACTTAAGACTGGACTGTTGCTGCTGGCTCAGAGTATCAATCTCATCAATGGCTTCCTGTAGCTGTTGTCTGAGCGTACGAATAATCTCCTCCTGTGCTGCCGCTGAAACTCCATCCTCATTTGCTCCATCCAAGGATGTCCTGCCGGTCGCCGATGACTTTTCGCTGTCCTCCACAGCAACCAGACTCTCCTCCAAAGCGCTGATTCGGTGGTTCTGGTCATCTTGCCATCGCTGTCGCTCATTCTCCAATTCCTGGCGCGCAATCTCCTTCTCCAACAAGGCGTCCTTGAGGCTCTTCTCGAGTGCGGAGCGGATGGTCTCCTCTGCTGCCCGACCTCTTACGGACGAAAAGTTCTTGATCTTGATGCTGTTGTTTCGGCTCTCACTCAGGACCACAGACTGGCGTCGCAGGAGACTCAGTTCACCCTCGAGGATCTGGGATTTTTGCTGAGACTCGGCCATGAAGTGGTCAAGGGCATCCAGAGTCGAAAAGATGCGTTCCCGAGAGACGTGCTGAGGCGCAGCTTCTGCATGTTCAGTCTTGTCATTGACAAATGTTGACCCTTGTGAGCTGTTGGCGGTCCTGTCCGAGACGACGGTCGTTCCTAGATTGCTGTTGCCGTCCCGAGTAGACGACGATATGGAATCCTCACGTCCCGGACTAGTCTTGAATGACGACTCCTGAGCTGTTGCTGTCGGGGACGAACGCTTCGAAAGCAGAGTCGAAGTAGAAGGCCAAGTCTGGGCATTCCGATCTCTCTCGTCGTCCTCTCGGTGCTGATCATCACTGCTGTTGCCGATCGCATCAATTTTTGATGCTCGCTCAGTAGCAGAGACCTGCTTCTGATGTCGATACTGCTGTTGCTGCTGCTGTTGTGTCTGCAAAATCCCTTGCAACCTCCCCGCGACTTTACTCAAAAACGCCTCCAGCTCAGCAACCGTCTTTGCATCATTCCTGGTCTTGTCCAACAGGTCGAGGTCTTTTTGTTGTGATCGAGAAAGCGCCATCATCTTTTGTTGCTGCTCGTCGAGGCGGACGTAGAGGTTTCGTTGGTGGTCGAGTTGTTTCATGAGTCGTTCGATCGTTCGGTCTTTGTCCTCTAGGAGAGATTGGGCCTCGAGCGTGTCTGATTCTAGACTCATTATCGTCCTCGACATCGACTCACTTTTTTCACAACCCCATAAGCCAGCACAAGGCAGTAGGCAAGAAGCAATAATGCAAAAAAAAAAACAAAAAAATGTAGATAAACTTTTGTTAGGATTGATAGCATCAATAACAGTAAAGCAGCATCACACAGAGGGACAATTATCAAAATCTCCGCTTTTGCCTCTCCCTTTTGTCACTTACAATTGCTCTTCGACATCCTTGCCAACTCTAGCCTCTTGTAACTGCAAGGCATTCACATCCCTCTCCCTACGGCCTTGATCCTCCAGTCGGACCACACCAAGAGCCAGCACGCCCGACGTATGCTGCAAGAGCGTCCTCTGCAGATCGGCGGCCAATTGGGTAAGCTTCCAGAGTTCTGTCGCAACTTGATCCACTTTGCGATTCGCGGCCTCCAGATGGTCGCTTGCTTGACGGGCCAGCTTCTTGTTGTCTGCGTGCAGTTTTAGTAAGGACTGGGCTGCTTCGCGGATCTTGGACTCGAGTGATAGGCGGGCTGTGAGGGCTGCGATCCTCGAACTGAGAGTTGCATGATGCTATCATATATATTTTTTCCGTAAAGCGTGTACTTGTGTAAGGATGGTACATCTAACATAATAAAGCATGCATGACTGTCACAGAAAAAGGCACTTACGCGCTTGACGCTCTCAACAGATTGGGGGACTAGCACTTCAAAGCCCTTGGAGTCAACAGCAGCTTGAGAAATCATGACCTGCATCTGAATATCGGCGTCAGACTCGGGATCGTCGGGGCTAGTCAGGTACCGTTGCATTAGCGCCATTGCGGTCCGGTCCTGGAACGCATCCAGTACTCCAGAACCCAAGGGGCTGGTAGCTCGAGGAGAATTGGAGGAGCGAACCGTCGACGTTTGTGATGGTGGTGAGAGTTGGTGTTGCTGATGGTATTGTCTCAGTTGACTGGAGTGTTGTTGCTGTAGCTGATGTTGGTGTTGGTGATTAGGATGACGCTGTTGGTGTTGAGATGACGGAACAGGCGGAGGATGGTGGTGGTGGTATTGCTGCTGTGGCTGATGATCTGCATATTGGGAATGTGCCTGAGAAGAAGATCCCTGTCCTGGCTTGAGGTATGGTGACGATGAAGGTATCCCTAGATGGTTTGGCGATTGTCGTGGTACGATTTGCGCCGATGAGGCAGAAGGTGAAGGTTGTTTCGAAGGGAGCGATGCCAGACTGTTCTTGAGGTTCTTTCGTCCTAATGGCCCTCCTCCAACGTCCGCTGTAGTAGGTCCTTTCCTGAATGAATCCAAGTGTTGGGTTTGGATAGAGAGCGGACCGCCACTGGAGGAGTGTCGTCTGCTACGAGTGGCCGTAAGCATGGTTGCGGGGCTAACTGGCATACGTTCTGTTAAGTGGGTGGATGGGTGTGGACTAGATGCGGCCGACTCTGTAAGATAATTGGATCGAGTGTTGGTTGACAAAGCTGGCGGTGGAGGATAATAGGGTTGAAGGCCGGTCGAGTTGAGCAATGGCTGCGAAGAGAGGTGTGGAGTGGTCGTTGGTGTCAGTTTAAGTAGTTTCTTGGAGGTAGTGGAGTCTGTGGGCGAGTAAGAGGACGAAGAAGCGGGTGGGGAGGCAGACGAAGAGACTTCAGGAATAGGAAATCGTGCACTAGGATGTGGTAGGCTGATCATAGACGACGGGGTTGCTGAGGAAGAAACAGCGGGTGATGCCAAGGGTGAGGCTGTTAGGTGTGGTTTAGCCGCAGCTTCATCCTGAAGGAGTTTGTTCTGGTGCTGCTGTTGGATAGACTGTTTATCCGCAGCTCCGTTGTTGTTGCCATCCCTGGTGAAGGATGCTGGCGAGTGCTGGGGGTGCTGTTGATGATGATGCTTCTGCTGCTGTTGAAAAGGGGGCAAATGGTAACCCTCTCCAAAACTTCCTCCATATCCTTGCCCTTGTCGATTGATTTGCTCCTGTGTCTGTCCAGAGTCAAGCGCGTTGTCGCCGCGGAGATCAAAGGTCTGGCGTAAACTGGACATGGATGGACGACTCTTACTGTCGCCACTGCCGTTGCTGCTCATGCTTGACTGATGTTCTAATACATGTCGCCCTTGGTTCGTCCCGGAAGAGGTCCCGTTACCCTGGTTGAGGATTGTGTAATGACGAGGGGGACCCGTGCTCATCCCTTGCTCCCTAAACTGAGGCGACTGAGGAACATATCCATTAGGGTGTAGTCGATTGGAGTTGAGGACATGCGGGGAAGGCAAGGAGCCATCGTCGTTTACTGGCACTTTGATCGAGTCGTCGGGTATGAGTGGTGCTGATGCTCTCCTCGACGACGTCGTAGGCAAGGCTGGTAAGGGTCTCAGCGTAGATGACTGGGAAAACAAGGGTATTTGAGCATGAGAGCCAGATCGAGGTCTTTGCTTCGGTGGTTGTGTGCTGTTGTTGAAGCCATTATCGGATGTGGATAGAGTTGATGACGACGAAGGGGTCCGGAACGCTGGTGGTGCTGACTCTCGTTTTTCGGATATTGCTGTTGGACCCTTGTTGACGTTGGATGGAGAGCGCAACATGGACGAGAACGAAGAGGATAGTGGCGGATATTGCTGTTGTTGTTGTTGAAGTCGCTCTTTGGCTGTTTTGAGGAACTCGGCGGAGGAGGGTCGTCGAGGAGGATCGTCCACAAGTTCGAGAGGAGACGAGAGGCCTAGGGAAACGGGTGGAGGAGGTGGTGGCCACTAAGGGAAGAAGTGTAGTTGCAAGAGGAAGGGTCGTCGACGAAAACAGAGTAGAGTGAGTCAATGGTGGGGGTGTGAAGAAAAAGGTTTTTGCTTAGCCATCGTCATCGCCAGTCTTTTTACTTTCTCTTTGCTTTCTTTGTCAACCTCATGTCCTTCTCTTATTGGAATTTATATGGTACATTATGTATTGTCCCAAGGGAACAAGATCCGTATCCATCCCAACCTTACCGCCATCGACAGGGAAACAAGACGAGCGTAAGCGAGAGAGGAAGGAGGCGAGACAAGTCGCCGATACTTGTTATGGCTCCCTGTGCAGGTCAAAGAGGGATTGACTGGATAAAACGTTGGTCCTGCTCGCTGGGGTAAAGGACTCGGTCGGGTGTCGTGAAAAAAGGTGGCAGTGAGAGGGGTGTAAAGGAGAAGAGGTGTGAATCAGCCGTCAGCCATTGCAGCTCGGTTAATCGTTCAAGGCAAGAAGTGATGGGGTGAGTGTGTTGACATTCACTCCCTCATTCTCTTCGACTCACGACAAGCGACGTGTCTGTGCTGAGTGAGGCTTGTGAGTGAGCGAGTGAGCGACATGCTGGGTGTCATACACACAGTCGTCCAAAAAAAGGGGGACGACTGGGCTGACCACGCGATCAGTCGACAGTGAATGACCCATCCGTAAAAAAAAGACAACCTCTGTTTCTTTATCCTTCATGAGAAAACCCGCTCATTCGTTTTCCTCTTGTGTTCTTTTATCCTTTGCGTTCTCCTCGCGTTGAAGGTTTGTCAAGGCCATGACTTCGCCTCAGGTTTCGTCCTAGGAGTCCTTGTCTCAGGTCCACGACAATCGCCACCAACCCTGCTCAAACTCATCGACAAATCAGAGCGAGGTGTCTGAGTGACGACCGCAGTCACGCAAGAGGGTATGTACCGTACAAGCTATCGATCCATATCCAGCCGAGGGACCGACGGGTTGAAAAATAAAGAAGCGGACTTTTGAGAATGGTGTAAAATAAAAAGAAGGAAGGACATCGATCTCCACAAGTGCTCAGAAAATAAAAGACGAAGAGAGAAGGACCCCGTCGGGAGATTTTTTAGTTTTCTGGTCGGTCTCGGTACAAGAGATTCAAACGAGGAAAAAACCAGTGCCCATTCTCTAAAGTCATAGTGATAGCATATCTGAAGTGTGAGTCCTTTAACAGAAGTGGTGTATTTGTGGAAGTTTCCTTGCATCAAGCGAGCAAAGGGAAAAGTGTGTTGAGCTGTTGAGCTGTTGGCCACAGAAAACAAACACAAAAAAAAACCATCAACGTGGTCACAATTCAACCGTTGCATTTGACAGACGAGAAGGTGGTCTGTGTCGTAAAAAACAAAAAGAGCACGCAGTTGAAATCGTCCCTGTGATAGGCGCTGATCGTACCTTATTTTCTTCCAGCAGGAGTGTCGAGAAAAAACAGCAAAGTGTGCCCTTTGTTCATTTCTATGGGAGGACAGAAGAGAATTCTCCCGCCACAAAGCACACAACAACAATAACAAAACGGCACAGGCACAAGGAAGGCAAAAAAATGCTTAAAAAAGGGACTCCGCGCGAGAGAGCACGTTGTAAAAATGTCGCCCTCTGATTGGATGGACAGCGTACCCTTGACCGCTGGACGTGAACAAACCGTGGTTCTTCTGCGCAATGTTCAAATAGACCTCGAAAGATCAAAAGGCCCCATGATGGGGAGGGGTATGGTGTAGTCGTTGTATCATTCATATGTATGAGAAGAGTCTGGATGATAGATTATACCCATGTACAGTACAATCAATCACTCGACCGCACCGCACTCGAAACTGTCGAGCAATCGAGCCTTGCAATCCAAAGAACGCTCCTCGACATTAGGAAAACAACATTGTCATTTCCTACTCCCTTTTTTCCTGTAACTCCATTTAACCGCAAAGTGCACAAATTTTAACCGTTGACCAACTGTCAATACAAGCATGGAAAAGTAAGGTCGCCATCGCCCGCATTAAATGCGACATAGGAAAGTAGTTGAGGTGAGCACGCGTGTTTTACAGACAAGCGAGGGCCAACTGTTAGCGGCAAAAGTATTGCATGGGGACAGAACGAAGGACGCTTTGGATTCAAAACTAATCCCCTCATTTGAGCCTTGAGCAATGGTGTGTTACGGTGGAATCGGCGTCCAAAGCGATTGCATTCTCGAGCACATGGACTTGGACAAAGGTGACGGCAAGGAGAGAAGGGAGAGGGCGAGTAAAGTTTTGGAGACATACAATCTGAAGGAAACATCTTGATGCCAAGGTGACCATGAAGAGGTGAAGGAGGCGAAGGAGGGATGGAAGAGGAAAGAATAGCTACATGGAGAAGCTCGAAGATGTGTTATCGGTGATAGGGGGAGGAGGATGGAAGAGGAAAGAATAGCTACATGGAGAAGCTCGAGGATGTGTTATCGGTGATAGGGGGAGGAGGAGTGATACAAACGCGAGAGAGAGAGTGAGAGTGTGAGCACGCTCCTTCCTCGTCCTTCCCCCCTCGTGTTGTGTCCATGCCATAGGTTGTTGTTGACATTGTTCAATTACTGTTGATATCCTTCTCTGCTTGTATCTCAGTAACCTTCTGTCCGTTATAGCGCAGGCTTGTTTGTTGGCCATTGCTTTCGACCACCTGTGGCCATCGGACAGCTTCTGTTGGCTTATCGCATTTGCGTCTGGTCTTTTTTGAACACATTGGGCGCTTCGCTTCTTCTTCTGCCTCTTCTTCCCTCACTCCCATTGTTTAATACACAACTACTCACAAACTCTTTATCCACTCCGTTCATCGCCACCACTCCGATAGCCGCTGTCCCTTTATCTTATGCTCGTGTTCGTAATCCTTTTGGATTTTTTTTGCTCTCTTCCTCTGCATTTTTCTTTCTTCGTTTTCTTTTCACTTCCTTCTAGCTTCTTTTCGCTTCCTTTCTTTGACCCGCATCAACCATATCTACTCTCATCCAACAGCTTCATCCCCCTTCCTCCACTTTCTTTCATTCTTTCTTTCTTGACATCCTTTTTTCAGGTCCGATCCGTTTAAATTATCACGCGAAGGACAACCGGCCCTTTCATTTATTCTTTTTTTTTTTAATTGTCACTCGTTTGTACAAACTACTACTTCAATCCAACTACTTCGTTTCCGTCTATCTGAGCACAATTGTTCAGACCACACACACTCCTCGACTCACTTTACATTTGAACCGATCCATCGACCGCCTTCCATTGATACCCACTGCTACTTTTATTTGCACAAGGTGAGCCTTGATTCCTTTTGTTTAATGTCTTGGCTTTAACGAACACTGCGGCACATATTGCTTTATCATTTGTGCATTATCACTAATGACTCGCTTTGCTTCTTCCTTCATCCACCTCTCTCCTCCACCCATCGCATGCAGTCAGCCCTTTCCTACTTTATCTTAATCTCCTTTGTAAATGTCTTCCTCCTCAACTCTTTCCGGAAGTGCGCCTCGATCCCCCCAGTCAACAGATTCTTTCACAAACAGCGCCTTCAGCTCGGATGAGATCCCCGCAGTTATTCCACAAAGACCACCCCGCTTGAACCGCTCCAGGGCAGAGTCAACGTCTTCACCAACAATGTCCGGCGCTCAGTACTACCACCACTACCATTCTGGCCAACAACCACAACAATATGACCAGTACGTCGCACTCTCACCTCGCCCAACGCCCAACACCTACAGTCAAGCCTACTCCTCTCAACCCACCTCACCCTCAAGCTTCATCTTACCACCCTCAGCGTTTACACCAACAAGGGAAGAACACATCCGGTCCGGCTCGATATCATATCATCCAACAAATGGACATGCAGGCACTCACAGTCATCCTATCCAGATCCCGATGAGCTTGCAACAACAATCATCTTACACCACCCCTCGAATGTCACCGGGTATGAATGGAGGATCGGCAGGATTGACCATGGCATCCATGCCACCCCTGAGCCTCCCCGAGTCTTTCTTGGAGGAACAGTCAGATTATGCCGAATACTACTCGGACGTGGGTTTTGCGTCGGGTCCTATAACTATGCAACCTCATCGACCGATCCTACCAACTAGGGAGAGCTCAATTGGGACCACCGACGTTCGCCAGTCTCATCATCAATCAGGCTTGTTCTTGCCTTCACCGCACTTGACACCCACACTTGCGCCTTTAGCAGGTGAGTTTTCATCCATGTCTTTTGGTAAGTGTGTTTTTTTTACGGGCGATAAAAAGAAGAGAAGTGGAAAAGAGGAGTAGAAAAGAGGTGTGTGTGACGGATTCACCAAGACAGAGAAGAGACCGAGAGAAAAGAGGTGGGATGAGGCACAAGTGCATCAGAATTGCCATTCTGTACATTTTCGTGCATACACACTTGTTTGCATTGAATGGGGAGGTTGTTAGTTTCAATTGTCCCACAGTTGAGCCTTGTTTTTGTTTGTTTGTTTACTCCCCATCCTATTCATACTATCCCATGTCATACATTCCCTTCCCCCGTGGCAAAGGACAGGGCGATTTGAAGGGAGAGCGAGTACTCATGGGTGGGAGTGTGCAGTAAAGGGAAGAAAGGGTTGGTCGGGCGTGAAGGTTTGAAAAGTGAAAAAGTGAGCACAGGACATGTCGAGTCGTTGTGCAGACTCAGGAACGTGCCATCCAGCAGTCACAACGACGCACCTTGATTTGCAACTTTGCCCAGATATCCAAAAGCAGGCGATCGATTGAGAGGCTTTCTTGTCGGGGTTAACAATCGGCAGAAAATATGACGTGGGAGCCCCCGGTGCCACAAACCACATACAGGACACATAATATCAATCCCCTATGCACTAATCGCATCCACTTCTTGTTGCTACCATTATTTTTAACAGATGATTCAGTACCCATCAGGACATCGATTGCACCCCGCTTCAACACAGAGGCTATCCTCGCTCGCCCAGAGGGATACTACCAGGGCCGGCCACACGTCCCAGTCGAGTCATTCCTCATGCCGACTCAGGACCAATACCCCGTCGATTCGCTCATTCTTTTCGGAGGCACTGCTTCCCACTCTGAGGGATCCATGTTTCGGAAGGACGCCAAGGAGTACCTGATGCTCACCAACTCGAGTCTGCTCAAGTACAAGACCATGGAAAAAGCTGCCAAGGTCTTTGGCAATCAATCCGTTTGGTCATCGTCCTCAGGTCACCAACTCCTCACCCCTCAACAAACCGCCCTCATCTCAAAGGACAATCGCATCCTTGCACTCAACTCCATCGTCGGCATTCACGCCTTTCAGCCTACAGGATCCGATGTTCAGATCCAGATCGAGTACTTGGTCTCTATATCTTCTCAGCCGGCATCGATGCGGTTCACTCCTGCGCCAGATCAAGCGGAATTGTGGCTCAAGGAACTTCGTCAGGGCTGTAACTATCATGCCGCCCAGGCTGGTATCGTTGCAAAGGGAACTCGGCAGCGTCAGTGGGTGCTGGACAAGATGCGAGACGATCACATTTCTCTTCCTCAGAGTGTCCCCGAGACGGATCCCACAGCATTGACAGCAGGCGGGATGTGGCGTGCGTACTTCAAGAGCCAGAGGCTTGTCGGTGTGCCCATCAATGACGCCAGTCTCGGCGACTCCAAGGTGCCGCTGGAGGGCAAAGTCGTTGTGATTGCCATCGGAAAATCGTACATCCATCTTGTACCACACAATCTCGGCAACGGAAGCAACAAGGACGACTTGAAGGACGAGCGGAACATCCTGCAGTACCCCATTCTCACCACCAAGGCGATTTCGTACCGTGAGCGAGACGACACCTTTTCCCTCAGTTTTGGTACCACCCTTCGACAACGCAAGGTCGTCATCACCTTTGCCTCTGCAAGGGCTCGCGAAATCGTTATTGCGATCCGCGCCCGTGTCGAGAGTCTGCGGTGGCTCTATCCTTTGGGTAGGAAGGGAATCGAGCTCTCTCTTTCCGAGACCCTTTCTCGTCCGATTCCTGTGCCATCCAAGGAGTACATGGGCGACTTGGGCTTTGAGGATTTGTTACGCGCCGAGTGTAATGCGATGAATCTAGATCGCGGCGTCTTTCACAACGTCCGAGTCGACGGCTTCAAGGTGGTGGTCGGCAAGGCAGGAGTCTCGCCCGACAACCGCAGTGACTACACCGTAGACGAGATGAAGTGTCTCCTTCGTGCCCTCCGGTTTAACACGACGTTCAAGGAGATCAGCTTCTACAACATCTCCTTTGCGGATCTCCAAAAGCCAAAGACGATGAAGGATGGAACGACTCGGTATGGACTCCGTCTGGACAAGGAATTTTACGAGCTGGTCATGGGCAATCCTCATATTCGCTCGTTGGATCTCCACAACTGCAACTTGGATACGGGTACGATCGGTAGCATTGGACGCGCTATCCGCGATGGATTCACAGCAGGCCTTCGTCTCGAGTACTTGGACATCTCGGGCAACAATGCCTCGGACGGCGCAGATGTGATGACCTTGGCCAAGGGCATCGTCAAGCACGCCGGCACACTTCATGGACTGGAGCTCGGTAACTGTCAGATCACCGGAGATGGCATCAACCAGATCATGCACGCCTTTGTCGCCAATCCAGATGTCGCCACTCACACTCTGGAGACGTTTGGGATCCAGGGCAATGCCGAGAGCAAAGTCAACTCGTACATCCTCGACATGTTCCTCAAACACTCGATGCAGCTCCAGCGCCTGGATCTCTCTGGTCTTCCTTCTTGGAGCAAGTCCCCTATCCTGATGTCCGAGACCCTCTCCAACTGCGGCGGGTCGTTGACACATCTCGATCTAAGTGGAATGGCCCTGCACCCCACGACCTTGGACCAGATCTTGGTCTGGATCTCCAACCCAGGGTTTCAATCAATGGAGGTGTTCAAAGTTGAGGGCTGTGGACTGGATGGCGCCCAGTTCGCCAGCATTCTCGATGCTGTTGGACAGAGCCGGAACGCCAATGTTGAAGTCCATGCTGGTCGCAATCTACTTTCTGATGGCAACGATCTTCCTGAGGTGTTGGTGAACATTCTTGCGGGCAGCGAGACTCCATCTTCGATCAACCTGCGCCAGACTTGCTGGAGCGAGTCGTCTTTACGCCAGTTGTTCGTCAGCCTAAGCCAGAACTGGTCACTGAAGAGGCTGGATCTGAGTTCTGTCTCTCTGGCCTCGAACCGGGATCCTGATGTTGAAACGTGCAAGCTGCTTGGCCAAATGCTATGCGCTCATTCGAGCCGGCTGGAGGAGTTGTATATTCAGGGAGAGGAGACTGCGGAGCTGACCTCAAGGATGGGCAAGAATCTGTGGCGGTCGTTCCAGGGTATGGGTATGAGTCGGTACCTGACCAAGCTGGATGTGCGGAGGAATCGATTCAGAGACGAGGGAGCGCATGCCCTGGCTGAAGCCCTCCGCGGAAATCAGAGTCTTATCTGGCTTGACATGGACGAAAACGATGTATGTGTAATTTTTTCGGGACAGACTGTGGATTGATTTCATCGTTTGCATATGTTTTATTTACTTCCTAGCAATTTTACTGACCAATATTATTTTTTCTTACTGCGTTCTATTCTTAGGTCTCCATGGAGGGATTCAATGCGATTCTAGCAGCATTCCACCAAGGCGGCACAGAGCATGTACCAACGGGCACGATGGCCTACAACAGCACGCTATGCTACTTTGAGACGCCCGTCAAGGATGTCGAGACCCAGACGCTGGTCCTGCGAGAGTCGATGCTAGAGACCTATAAGAAGGAGCAAGAGACGCGGTTCCTATTGAGTAACTCTACAGGCAAGGATTCGCGCGAGTGGAAGGAGAGATTGGCTCAGATCATCCGCACCCGGAATATGAGCGCTGAGGCGATTGGTCGGCTCGACCGGGCGATCAAGGGGATTGCAAGTGCAACAGAGAGGAACAAAGCAGCGGTGGAGGCTGTGTACAGAGATCGAGAACGCCGCCGGGACCGGGAAATGGACCGTGAGCGAGAGAGGGAGCGTGATCGCAATCGCGACAGCCAACTTGGCCTCTAAGGCTAAGGAGAGAGAGAGAGAAAAAAAGATATATACTATTCATACCCAAACTTTTAAATAACGCCATGTACAAATTGAACGAACCACCCTAATGTAGTTTTAATAAACACTTTTGCTCTACGAATACAAGAGCGCATAATTAGCACGAACCTGCATTGCGAACCAGGGGTGGTGGGGGGTGCGGTGTTTCATGTTCAGAATCGAAATGATTACTATTATCATTCAGGCACCATCAGGGCAGCAGTGATCAGTTTTAGTCACAGATCACTAATAGTCTTCTGGTCCCTGCGCTCTCCAGCTCTCTTTCTTATGTTCACCCCCTAATCTCGCAGGGTGCGCATGGGGACATCCACTGGCTGTCGAGGGGTTGTGTGTTTCCGAGAGAGAAAGAATATTGGATGAGAGAAGAAAGGGGGTGCTCAGGCTTCAACTGCCGTCATTCATCAGGCAATACGGCAGCGAAGAAAAAGAGGGAAGGGAGAATGAGGCTTTGGGCATGGACAGCCCAGACAAGGACAAGGCGAGGTGGGACAGGATTGACTCAATGACCCAAGGACAACAACAACGACCACACACAAGAAAGAAAGAAAGAAAAAAAAATAACAACGCCCGCCGAGAGCCCTTCGCTGCTGTCGTTACTACCTTTTGTTTTTCTCTTCTGCTTGTTGGTCGCACAATGCTTTAACTATCGTACCTTTCCCTTTCTTTTTTTCTTTTTTTCTTTTCTTCTTTTTTCTTTTTCTCTTTCGCTTCTTCCCTCACCTTTTGCCACACCCCACTCACAGTCTCCCCTCACCGACCTCCGTCTTTTTTCATCCACACTTACCCATATACCCCTTCTTCCTCGCCCCTTCCCCCTTCCCCTTTACCCCCTTTACCCCGTTTCTGTAAGTCAAATAATACTTTTAAGCTCATGTCTGCCCTGAAGAAAAAATAACTAGTGCGGTTCATTGCTCATGCCCCACATGGACAATGACTTCCATGTCAGTGAAAAAAAAGAAAGCTCCTCCACTCCTTCTTTTTTACTTTCAGTTCAGCTTATACTCTACAGCACCGCTTTAATTCCTACCCTAGTAGAAAACAGCAAATACCCTAATAATGCCACCATCAGTCGTTTCTCCTCCAAGCATGGGTTTCGGGTCCGGTATCATTGGACGGGAAAGACCTCTTCTTGTCGGCAGTGCGCTCAACGGCGGCAACGGCAGTGCCGCCTTTCGACAACACACCTTTCGACAGCCACAGCCACAGCAGGTTACTTCACTCGACTCGAAGCCTAATTCAGGAGCAGGAGCAGTTCCGGCAGTGACAGTGACGCCGATCCCCTCAGATATCATCATGACCAAGATTCCTCTCAAGCGCAAGTGGACCTTTTGGCACGACAAGTAAGCTTAAAATAAGCGGGTGTTACGAGAGGGAGAGTGTAAAGCAAAAAGAAAGGCACATACCATACAGTTTATTGCGCAATAATGAGAAGGGAACGGGAGGATGGGCAGAGGGAGAGTATTAGTCTTGAACCTTACTAAAATTATGCCTTTGCTTTGGATAAATAGGATTGTTGCCAATCCCACTCCAGCATCGTACACCGAGAACCTCAGGACAGTAGCAGAGGCAGACACAGTCCAAGTATGAAGCAAGCAGATACCATTTAACTGTTTTGCAATAGTAGACATGCCATCATGCCACTTTCGTTATCGTGACGCCAAATTTCGAATCGATGGCGATCTGAACATGAGCGCAGACTGCTAACATTCACTTGTCACCTCTTTTTCGTTTTCTTTATTAGGGGTTTTGGTCAGTGTACAACAATACGGCCGGTCCAGAAAAATTGGCATTGCGATGCTCGTTGCATTTCATGCACAAGGGAGTCAAGCCACTATGGGAGGACCCCCAGAACGAGCGAGGTGGCGCCTGGAACTTTAGGATAGCCAAGGCGAGCACTCCTGTGGTCTGGAGGGAGTTGCTCATGGCCTTGGTTGGCGAGCAGTTTGAGGATACTATCGCGCCAGGTACTTTATCCGATTTTTTTTTTGGCTTCGCATCTTGTTTGGATCTGTCGTCTCGCTGTACTTTTTCGTCTGTCTTCCTTTATTGACGCTATCGTATGACAATTGCACTACAACCATAGGCGACGAGATTTTTGGATTGTCGGTGTCAGCGCGGTGGAACTCTGACATCTTTCAGATCTGGAACATGGACTCGTCGCTCAAGGAAAGCAGCACGGTCATGGATAAAGTCACCGCGATCTTGGCCAACGTCGACTCTCTCAAGGATGTCGAGATTCAGTCGCCCTTCTACAAAGGTAACTATCGAGGCTAGAGGTTCGGGTTCACGTATTATCGAGATGGTTAAAGCTATACCGAAGGGTGCGTTTGGTCTCTATCTCTCCTCTCTAACTCACCTCGCTGTCTTGTTCTTGTATATGTTGTAGCTCATAAGGACCATGAGCATTTCAACAAGTAGATGTGGACAGTTCACCGTTGACACATGATTTGCATAGACAGTTTTCAACTAGCCGTCTCGCGCTATGGATATAACGAGTTCAGATAAGAAGGCAGTTCATGGTAGTCGAGGCACATCAAAGATAATGGTGCCTGTCTCCTCTCCCTTAATAAGATTGACGTTCAACAGGAAGAAGGTCGATCCCTATCCAGGCACCATCACCGATAACTTTACCTGTGTCACTGATCAAAAATAAAAGGCAGTCGCCGTGCAAAAGAGACCTCACGAGCAACGATCCTCCACTCACAACTCTGTGTGAGCCAACTGCGATAGACAAAGCGAAGGAAGAGAGCAATAGGGAGTAGGGAGTACAACAGAAAGAAGAGAGAGCAATTGACAAAGGGGAAGTATCTTTTGATTGAGTTTTGTGACTCTCTTATGCAAGAAACGTTTGAGGAAAAAAAAAAGTTCAGTTGAGGAGATGCTCTTCTCTTTATTCATCATGCCTTCAAGAGACGACATCAGGAAACAACAAGAAGCACTTCCGTAAATGCATAGTCTCTCACACATACCAGTCAACCTTCACAACCAATTGCCATAACAAGGATTATCACAAGCAAAGAACCTGGTCTAACATAAGCACAATTTTTTGTGACTCCAACCAAATAGCATATACGACCACCGAAATGGGTTGATGGATGCGATCCGCGACAATGAGATCCTTGTCATCATCGGAGAGACCGGTTCAGGAAAGACGACGCAGTTGCCTCGATATATCATCGAAGAGTTTCGAAGCATGCGTATTGGTGTCACCCAGCCCAGGCAAGTCTCTTACCTCAGAATGTGTATACCGCAAGTGACGATTTATTCTTTACTGATAATACAGATCGAAAAAGAGCTAATTATCCACGTTCTTCTTGTTCAACTGTAGACGTATCGCAGCAATCTCGGTGGCAAAGCGAGTAGCAGAGGAATATGACTGCAGGATCGGCGATACTGTAGGATACACTATTCGGTTTGATGATACGACCTCGTCCAGGACGCGATTGAAATACATGACGGACGGAGTGCTCCTGCGCGAGGCGACGATGGATCCCTTGCTGGAGAAGTATGATCTCTTGATCATCGATGAGGCGCACGAGCGAACCGTTGACACGGATGTGTTGTTTGGTAAGAGCTCTTTTCGTGGACATTAGGAGGACAAGCAAGACGGATGATGCGCAATGAGAGAAGATGGAATTAATTTCACTTCGATATTGAATATTTTAATAGGCTTGCTGAAGAGGACAAAGGCAAAGCGGCGGGATCTCAAGTTGCTCATCATGAGTGCTACCTTGAATGTGACAAAGTTTTCCGACTTTTTCAACGAGTGTCCGATCTACTCCATCCCTGGCAGGACATATCCAGTCGAAATCTTGCATTCTCGCGACACTGCCAAGGTGGGCGCACTCAAAGCGACATATGTCTCCAAGTGTGTCGACACTGTGACGCATATCCTCAACAAGGAGGTCCGACCGGGCGAGGTGGGCGATGTATTGGTCTTCCTGACAGGACAACATGAGATCGAGCGGGCGTGTCAGGATCTGAAGAAGGCGGTTCAGGACCAGTCTTCGAAGGATAGCAAGTCGGTCACATTGGATCAGTTGCAAATTTTGCCCCTGTACGCGTCACTGGAGCTGCTGGATCAGACTACCATCTTTGAACCGTCAGCGCGGAACATGCGCAAGATCATCTTTGCGACCAATATTGCCCAGACCAGTATCACCATACCCAACATCCGCTTCGTGGTCGATTCAGGATTTGTCAAACAAAAGATGTACGACCCCACCACAGGAATGGACGCCCTCCTAGTTGTGCCCATCTCCCAGGCTGCAGCAACTCAACGTTCAGGACGTGCAGGGAGAACGAGGGCTGGTGTCTGTTTCCGGATGTACTCTCGAGAGTCCTACGAGACCGAGATGGAGAAGGAGACTGTGCCAGAGATCCTTCGGACAGGGTTGACGGGCACTGTGTTGTCGTTGAAGCGGCTAGGGATCTTGGATGTCAATGGGTTCGAGTTCCTGGATCGCCCTGGGGAGCAAGAGCTTCAAGCTGCGTCGAGAGAGTTGTATCTAGTGGGAGGTATTGATCGGTTTGGACAAATGACGGATGTTGGGCATGGGATGATTGCCTACCCGGTCAACCCACTCTTGGCAAGAGCCCTGGTCGAGGCGGAAAAGATTGGGTGTCTGGACAAAGTCATCACTATCGTTGCCATGCTCTCCGTAAGTTCCTGGTTTCATTTATTGTATGTTGTATTAACCTTGTATGTTTTGTTGACAAAGAAGCCCAAATGGGGTGACATGAAGCAAGGCGAATAATAATTTCTCGTGCCCTTTACTTTCGTTAGGTGGAGGAGCCGTTTTATTTACCAAGGAAAGAGGAAGAACAGGATGCAGCTCGGGAAGCCCACGCAAAGTATTATCACCCATCCGGCGACCACGTCACACTCCTCAACGTCTACGAGGCATGGCGGGAATCCGACTATTCCAAGGACTGGTGCCACAAAGAATACTTTAACCTTCGACAGTTGCGGATGGCCAAGAACATTCGCTCGCAGCTCAAGGATATTGTCGATCGGAATTCTCAGAATGATCGGGATACTCACCGCCATTACGATTCGAACTCAAGCTCAAGGAAAGATGATGAGGAGAAAGGTCAACGTCGTCAGTCTCCGGACCGGATATCGGGCCGCCGTGGTGGCGATGATAATACGAGGAACAAACGCTCGAGAAATGATACAACGTCATTGTCATCGTCCTCGTCACGGTCGATCCTGGAAGCATTCAGCCAGGGGTATGGAATCCACCTCTCGAAAAAACACCAGCATCGACCCATGTTCTACCACTACCTTGCCTCAACCTCCTCTCCCTCCGCAGGAGCCGCAGGCCCATCAAGCACACTACTCGCACTACACGTGTCCCCACTATCAGCACTCTATCTGGATGAAGAGAGATCGATGACCAAGCATGGCCGTCGAGTGGCACGGGATCTGGAATGGGTGGTATACCATGAGGTGGTGTACCATGTCAAGGCGGTGATGCGTTATGTCAGCAAGATCGATCTGAGGTGGGTTCAGGCAACGTTGGATCGGGCCAAGATCTTTGACCAGGGCTTGGTTTGGCTTAATCATGAGCGGTCGGATTTACCGCCTTTGAAAGATGTGAGAGGGAACAATGGTGGTAGTAAGACGTCGACCCGTGATGATGGAAAGGAGGGCGACATGAAAGAATCAGGAACAGCAGCAGCAGCGGAGGAGGGTGAATCGGAGGAGCAGGCCAAGAAGAAGGCACGACTTGCGTTAGTTGAGGCGGCCCGGAAACGAGCATTAGAGAGGCGCCAGAATCAGTAATTGCTTCTTAATTAAAGGGAGTATGCACAAACCCCTCGATTCAATGCCCGACCAAAGACACCAGAAAATGGACCTGCCACTGGATTCTTTTCTTTTCTTCGTGCGTTTCACCTTGGTACAGTACGAAGATCTGTTGCTGACGAAATGAATGAAGTTCGTTAATCTTTTGCTTATCAAAACATCGACTGGGAGATGAGCAACACGGCTTCAGCGACGACCTGCCTGGCCTATGGCGAAGAGCGCTCAGGAAATAATGGGTAAATTCGTTAAATGATTTTAGTGACAATGGTTGTCCCCGCGCCGTGCCGCCATCAGAACAAAGTAAAGATGAAACAAGAGTTCCTGAGGTGACTATTGTCCGGGGTCCTCTTTTGCGTCTTTCTAGATAGAACAATAACAGTAGAGTTGAACTTTTTTTCTTGTGAATCTGTGTCCGCGCCGGGCGCCAAAAGAAAATGAGGGATGAAGGAAAGGAAGAAAAGCTGGAAAGGACGACCCTAAAGAGGGGATGCACGGACGTTGCCTTCTCTCTTGGTTTGTGTTTTTGAGTTTAATGGTTCAACAAGGGTGGTGGGTGGTCCTGACCTTTTTCAATAACTTTAGCCGTTTTGTTGAAACTCTTTTAGGACGTCCACTATGGGCACAATTCTGTTACTGTGGTGCTCCCCACTCGGACGCGTTCGATTTGTTATGTTTTGCACACAAAAAAAGGTGAAGGAGTATATGGAAGACGTGGCGTAACGTCGTGCAGGAAGAAAAAATTGCTTTTTGATCCCTGTCCCCACCCCTTCTCCTTTGCACACAGATGGAAAACAGTAACACGAGACAAAGAGGGGCAAGGAGCTGAATGAGAAAACCCCTTTGACCAAGAAGCTCACACAGTGTGGGATGTGGGCACACTAAAATTAAGCAAGACGAATGAAGGGTCCAACCCATATCGCGACAAATTGTTGTCAGTAACAAACTTACAACCAAAGTGCGTTGAGCTAACGCAGAGTATGAACAGGAAGTGGTTTTTGGTCTCTTTTCATTCACACGATGAGAGAAGAATGACCGTTCCCGGTGGTTTAGGTTGTGGTGGCTCATGCTTACTCCATGGTTGAGTTTCTATTTTTCGCGTTCTCCATTTGTGAGCTTCTGCCAATTGTTTTTTTTCACCTTATCCTTGCGCGAAATGTGATATGTTTGTGTAGCTGTCATAAACAATCATCCAAGGATGTGTGTGAGAGAGAGGGTGAACAAGCAGCAAAAAGATAAATAAGGAAAACAATGGGTCATGTTCAATTGGCCAGTGGAGACAAGAGGGGGGCAAATAGGAGAAAAGGGGAATAACATTAAGAGTTTTCAGGCACAGCCTACGTCTGTTTTCTAATGTGATCGCGCGGACTTCCTTTTTTTCTTTCTTTCGCGCTCCACGCACTCCTTCTGTTCGCTTGCTATGTTTTTCTTGTCTTCACCCTCGACAAGTTTTGCATTAATGCCAGGCAAGAGCTATTCGTTCTGCTTCATCCCCCTTGCATTACTGTCAACCCCCTCCTCTGCCCCCCCTTACCCCTCCTCGATCCAACATGCACTTTGCTTTGAGGATAGGGAAACTAAGAGAAGGAATTCTGAGAGGCAGGACAACTAAGACGAGGAAGTAGACGGCTGAATACGGACCTGCTGCGTTCCTTGCTCATAGCCCACCTCCCTCGTCCCCCCCCCCCCCTTTTTTTTTTTTATACGAGTCGTGTCTATATGCAACAGCAACAAGATCAAGCATAACAGGGAAGTAGGGGGCTTAACTCTTTCTGACTTGTAATCATGAAAGTGCGCCTAAATGAGATTGATATTTTATTACAGCCTTTCCTCCTCAATGAACAATAAATGCACGCGTCAATTTTCTCAGCGTTCGTGAGCCCTTAGTACGGTGAGTACGACCATGGCGCATTCAACTCAAGATCCGTTTTGGATTAGCCCTGATGGAAAGTGACAATGCGATTGCTCTTCCCTTCCATTTCATCCGTAGGTCTAGCATGGGGACATGATCTTGCCGAATCATGTTCACCATCTGTAACTCTTCTGTCTCTTTCCTCATTACTGGAGTAATCACACTCTTTTGTACTCTCGTTTTTTGGCAGGACAAGGCTGTTTAGGGTGTTGCTGAGATGATCTTTGCGACAGATGCAAACTATGGTCTACTGCCTTTCCTTTTTTTTTCTTTGCTTTTACAAGTTTCAACTCAATAGGTGTGAAAGAGTGAGTTTTATTTGGGCGTGCTTTTAGGGTAACCACCCTCGCCTCTTCGAACATGCCATGAACAATAATTTTCTCAAAAAAATTCTACTCCGTTATCATGCTTTGCTGTTAATTGTTCCACCAAAATCAAGTAGTACGCTTCACTCAGGTTTTCGAAGATCTCTCCGGTCTTTAATTGTTCCTTATTTAGTTATTTTATCCTCCTTTCCTATCGTTACTTAAGCGTCTTGAGATTTTTTTCAGAAGGTGAGTCCATTGCACATGGTTCAATGAACTCTAGGAACACTAAAAAGGGAGTAAGGGGAAGGGGTAGCCAGCAAAACAAAGCAAAAAAAAATTCGTCTTGTATGCCGAGAGTCTGTTTGTTTTTTGTTTTGGTTTATTGCCCTTCTTCCTTCTGTAATTCTCTTCGCACTCCTGTTCCTATTTTCTGTCATCCTTGTTTTCTTCTCCTGCAGGTATCACTCCATTTAAGCGATGCAATGCAATGTGATGGATGGCCAGATGGTGTATTATTTTTTGGCTGGGTTGTTTGATTTGCCAATGGGCCAATGGGATGAAATTAAGAATCGAATGAATGAATGTGGGAGAGAAAGACAAGCGTAACAATACAACTGACAATCGATATCACTCATTCTCGCCCTTGCTCTTGTCGGTCGTTATTGCTCTCATGTTATTTGCAATTGTGCACACACATCAACATCACTATCTATGACACACCTCTCTTTTATTTTGCTTCGCCCTAAACACACACACACACACAGACACACTACCACAATCAATAACACAGAAAAAGTTTCATCGCGCGAATCCTGAGTGCGATTATTTTCTTCTACTTCAATACGCGCTTGAATGACTATCTTATTCCATCGATTTTTGATTCATTAGTACAACGCGCACTTACACACTCACACACGCAGTTGTCTCTCCCTTCAGTCTTCCTGCCCCCTTCCCTTTATCCGCCCCTGTCTCGCTCTGTGCAACCAGACAGCCAGCTGGCCGAAGAGAAACTGGCCCAATCATATCGATCATAGTGACATTTTTTCTGCACCTGAGACACCGACACGCACCTTGGCACTTTGAACCCGCAATCAAAAACCTGCCCAATCCCTTCGACTCGTCGGCCCCATAATCGCCACTCCTTCCACCTTCCTCCTTCCTCGGACCTGTTTTATCGTCGTCAGTCACTCATTTATTCAGTCATTCAGTTAGGACAAGAATTCTCTCTCTTTCGTTTCTCGCTTTACCCGTCACTCCCCTTCCCTCAGCCAACAAACAAACGACCTACTTCAACACTGCTAATCGTAAGCGTCGTTATCTAACAACATTCATTGGGGTACAGACAGTCCCAAGCAAATAACAGCAACCATTCCGGCAGCAACAGTACTTCGACCAGGCGCTATGGTATCTGAGCGATGTAAGCACATACATGTATACGTACATACACGTCTGCCCATCTTCCACCCACACAATGACACAACAGCAACAACGGTTCATATGTGCCCTCCTCGTGCTAATGCATCTGCCTGCCGGTCTGCAGATGCAGAACAACAAAGAGCGAATGACTGTGGATGCAGTTTAAACTCCTTTTTTTTCTCTTTGTCGTTTCTTCTTGGCTGTCCTTTTTCAACAAAACAGCCTTCTCCCGCCATAATCCATTGTCATATCAATGTCCTTCATTGAATTAAATCCCCATTGAGTGCTCTTTGCATAATATCTCTACTTTTTTTGTTTTTTTGTTTTTGTTGTATGTTGTGGTGAGTTGTTTGTTGTCATTGTTTGCTGCTTCCCTTCTTCCTTTCCTTTCCTTCCTTCCGTCCGCCCATCCTTCCTATTCCTTCGTTTGTTTACATTCATTTACCCTTCCTATCACCTCAACAAGCTACTTACTATCTACATACTATCCAACGATGGTGGAGCCTTCGTCGTCATTCGCATCCCGGTACTCATCCTCTTCCTCGCCTCTCTCCCTCCACCCCCCCTCATCGTCATCTTCAGCATCCACGAGCGACCGCTATCTTGGCTACAGTCCCAGCGCCCGCCATGATCGCAGCCAGCACTACTTCTCCTCCAACAGCGCCCCCCATGATATTGCCGCCTCCTCAACTGAGAGCCCACAGGACGCTCCTCAATCATCGTCATCTTCTTCCATTCATGCACGCCACTTCCGCGGATACTCGGCTCCCGAACGAGAACGGGAACGGTATCGCTACGACAGCGATGGACGACTTCGCGAACAGAACCAAAAGTCTTCACCCACTGCATCACCTTCCTCCTCACCCACTCAACAACAACAGCAACAACAACAACCTCATTTGAGGGCACCACATAATCAGCATCACCAGCACCAGTTCCATCCTTATCATTATCAACAGCATCAACCCCATAATAGCATCCACCACTATCCGCAGTACAGTCAACCGTCGTCTTCGATGCATGAGAGCAGCAGCAGCGGCATTCAGCAACATGGTCTCCCGATGGGCTCTCATCTTCGGCCCACCGTTGGTTTTAATAACATCGACCCGCCTAAGAAGGACGACAATGACCGTCGATCTTCTGTTGTCGCACAAGCTGTAAACAACAACAACGGTCATCCATCGATGCAGGCTCATGCCCTGCCTCAGTGGACTTCTCCCTGGGAAAGAGGAGAGCACGAGCACGAGCAGGGAGCAAGCAGCGAGGTCATCAATGTTAACAACAACAACGATGACCCTCATTGTCGATATCCCATCCACTCGTACACCTACCCTCCGTCCATTAGTAACAGCTACAGGAGCAACCCTCTTCCTCTTCAACCTTCGTCGTCGTCTTTCTCTTCTCCTCCTTCTCCTTCCGCCTCATCGCCATCCTCCTCTTCGTCAGTATCCCCATCATCCTCTTCGCCCCTCTCATCATCCTCTTGTTCGCCCGCTTTTGTCGCAGCTCGCTTGGCCACAAACCATCCTTCCTCAGAAACAACTTCAGCCTTCCCGCTGCTCACCTCCACCTCTACCGCAGGAGCCCTGCCCTTGTCGACTGCAACCGTGCCCTGGAACCGGTCCTCATTGCGCCATGAGATCATCTCGATGGAATCACCTCCCCCTCCTGCCTCATCAGCCTCCCTCCACTCTCTTCACTCTTCCTCTTCCTCTCGCCATTCGAATCCCTCCCACGGTCACACTCATTCCCACTCATCCTCATCCACTACTCCTTCGCCACCTCATTCAGCCACGCACTCTCCAACAACAGTTATGAAAACACCACCACACCCCACTCCTGATTCTTCTTCCTCACCAGAGACTCAGAAAAGGAGGAGTAGGCCCTCTATACCCACCACATCAACAACAACACCATTACCACCACCGCCACCAGAATCACCATCGACAATGGTCGTTTCATCGTCTCAGAATCCTCCTGGCAAAGTGGGGGTGGGTCGACCTTCGACAAGAACAGAGAAGGAGGAAGAGGATGACACTCCAGAGACCGACACGGGATCAACATTTGACTCTAGACAGCAAAAGAGACGCGGCTCAGCGCTGACGATGACAGAGGAAGAGGATCAGGAGGTGCCTCGGGCAGCAGCGGCAGGGGCGATGGTAGGACGAGAACGAGGAGGAAAGGGAGGGGAGCAGAGTAGCATCATGAGGGCACAAAGAGCTACTCATCATGCCAGCCAAGCAGCAGCCGCAGGAGGTGACGAATACGACTACGACAGAGACAGGGACGAGGACAGGGCAGCAGGAAGTTCTGCTTCTCCTTCTTCTTTATCGGTTTCCTCTTCTTCTTTTCTTCCCTCTCCTCACACAACCACATCATCAAGCCATGGTCGCATTAACAACAACAGCAGCAGCAACTATAACAACAACTACAATAACAACAGCATTAATAGTAATAGCAGCAGCATACAGCAACAACAGCGAGGCATTCGCCCGGACCAGCCATTCCACGATTCACCCCCTCCTCCTGTCTCCCCTTTATCCAAGCAAGAACTCCCTCCGCAACACTCTTCCTCTTATCTTCAACAACAGCAACAGCAGTCAATTGACTATTCTTCTCAAGAGTACCACCATCAACAAAAGAGAATGATGGGAAGAGCCTCAGGCCCCTCTCTTTCCTCCTCCTCCACTTCCTCCCCTCCCCCTCCCGCCTGCCTCTCCTCTTCTGCAGCCACTTCCGACCACCCATCATTATCCTCACCCTCCTCACAGCCTTTATCCTCCTCATTCTCCTTGCCCACAGGAACACAACAAGGAGCAGCACCACCTGCACACAGTCGATTTTCCCCTTCTATGAACGACACCCCTCTGTCCTTCGACCAGACAGGCCACACCCCCAACTTCCCTCCCGTCCACAGCCCCGGCGGCCCCTCCCTCAACAACAAACGCAGGAGTCTCGCTGATCTCCTCTTTGTCCCCACCAAGATCAAGGCCAAACGGAGCAGCTCGAGCAGCGTCAGCAGCGTGGATTCTTCTTCTTATCGACAGGACGAGACCGGACAAGAACTCTCTGGCAACTTTAACGTCGGCTGGTCAAACCATCCAAAGTCAGCCTCCGCAACATCAACCACCAGCACCTCCTCTACCGGCGCCATGTCTGGCTCAGCTGGATTAACAATAACATCGTCATCAAACGTCCCCCACCACCACTACCAACAGCACCACCACCAACAACAGCGCATGTCGCTAGAATCTCAAGCCTCGCCACCCGCCCGCAAATCTTCGACGGTCAAGGGTGTTGGCAAAGGAGCGGGTAATGGTGGGCATGGGTCCAGCTCTTCTCCAAAGACATTCCAGTGCACGGGCTACCCGGGATGCAATATGGTGTTTACCCGAAGTGAACACTTGGCCAGACATGAAAGGTAAAAAAAAAGATCTATTAGTCTCTTTTTTTTCTTTTTTTTTTCTGGTTTATCTCTCTGTCTGTGTGTGGTGTGTGCGTGTATGTATCTCTCTATCTGTGTGTCTGTGTGTCTCTTGTGTCCCTCACGCAGGGTCAAGGTGGGACACAGGACAAGTTGAGAATGTTTTCTTTCCGTGCTTGTTGCCTTTTCTTTTGCTTATTGTCGTTGATGAGATGGGTATGGCTATGTCCTATGTCCGTGTAGTCCTTTTTTTTGCGTCTCCTTATTGCGGCCATCTCCATGACCTGACTGACCTCCTTTTTGATGAACCCGAACCTCCTTGGGGTGCGTTAAACCATATCCCTCATATATATCCTTCTCATTCTCACTCTCTCTATCCTTATTTTTTTTTTCTCTCATCTCTTTTTTAGGAAGCACACGGGGGAGAAGCCATACAAATGCATAGTCGCGAACTGCCCGCGTACCTTCAGTCGCTATGACAACATGATCCAGCACACTCAAACCCACAGTGATCGCACCAAGAGGGACTCACTCGCCGCTGTCGCCTCTGCCGCCTCTGCCGCAGGAGTCATAAGTGGACCCCATTCCCGGTCATCCTCAGTTCAATCGACCCCACTCTTGCCAGGAAGACCCAGAGGAGGAAGTAATCCCGTCGTGTTTGGGCCTAGCTGGGATGAGCATCTTCGACGGACACAGAATAACTCGCCTGCTGCCTCGCCCTACAATGCCAGCCCCGCGTTTTCTCATCATCATCAGCAGCAACAGCAGCATCACCATCCATATTCTCCTCACTATCAACACCACCCGCAGCAGCAGCAGCAACCACATCATCCTATTCAGTGGTCTCTCCCGTCAGGCGTGCCCGCCGGTTCGTCGCCGGCCTTGCCGACCCAGTACTACGGTCATCACCATGGCGCCGAGAGCCACCCCTCTCTGCCAGGATACCAAAGTTCCTCCACGCCTGTTGTTCGGACTCTCAAAGCCAACTCTCGGAGCTTGCCCCATCTCCAAGCAAGAGCATCACCCATAGCATCATTTTCCCCTACCGCTGACAGTCCTAGCGTCGGGTTACAGCAGAATATGTCGACCATGGAGATTGAAGAACTTAAGCGACGAAAGAGTGAAGTGCTATTGCCGTCATCCTTTTCCGGGGCTCGAGCTGCATCACCCACATCGACTGGATATGATCAGGGGATCGGGTTGGGCATGGCACCTTTCACACCAACGACCTCGCACTCGCAGTCTCTTCCTCAGGTGGAGAAGTTGACAGCCGGAGAGCAGGAACGACTGAACGAACATCGACGGTCGGCGCAGGCAATGTTCTTCAAGATTAATGCTGGTCGTGAAGGGTCTATGGATACCAGGAGAACGCCAGAGTATTCGGAACACCCTAGCTCCACTGTTGGGCCTTCTCAACAGCAGCAACACCATCACCAACCTTTGGCAGTCAACACAACTCCGAGTTCTGGAAGTACAGGGTCAGGCCTTCCCCATGTGCAGCAACTTTCAGCCTTAGAGAAGGGTCGGTTGTTGGAGCATCGTAAATCGACCCCAGAGCTCATGTACGACGCGAAGATGAAGCGATCTAGCAATGATCCAACCGATATGGTCGTCCAACCCCTGCCTTCGCGTGATGCCCGGTCGGGCATGCAATGGTTCTCCCAGATTAGCAATCAGGTGACTTCGTCTCCAAGGTCCTCCTTGACGCCTCGAGAAGGTAGTGGTGGCGGTGGTCCTTTCTCTGTCCAAGATCCTGGTCATAGCTCCTCCTCATCCTCCTCTAGACCTTCAAGCGGAGACTCCTCCATGATTTTGCCGCCTATCTTGGGACCCTATGAAGAGCAACAGCGTGACCGCCAGGGTCGTCTCCGATCTCATTCGTCGCATATCCACCCTCTTTCGACACCCTTGACTCAGTTGGACTCATCGAACCTAGCACAGTTTTCGTCGAGCGAAGAGTCCAAGGACCAACGGCAGCAGTTTGATACAGCGCTCTCGCCTCGTCTGGAGCATCATTGGGAGGAGCAGTATTTTCCGATCCGTAAACGACATGTTGTTGAGACGATTGACCAGATTGACTTGCGCGACTTCTTGGGTCTCAAGTATCAAGTTGCCGAGCACCATGCCAACGAGCAGTTCAGGAACCCCGAGTTTTTGGGTAACATGACAGCCATCCTTTGTGTCGTCCGCGCTCCGCATACGGCTTGGAAAGGTGGCGAGAGACGTCAAGGGAGCCAGGGAAGCGTTGTTAGTGCTGGTGAGCAAGGGAGCAGTTTTGCGGGATCCCGGCGGACTTCTGAAGACATGGAGGTTGACGAGGCTGAACAAAGGAGTATGGCTGCTGCTGCCGCAACCAAGGCGACTGTCATCAAGACTGAAGAAGGTGCCAGTGCGGTCAAGAGGGAACCTATGTCGGAGTCGATGGATGTGGATGATGGCAGTGGCGGTGGCCAGTCTGTCACGACCTCGAAGGATGTTGTTGTTCAGCCCTGTCGGTTTGCACTCGATATTGATGTCGACTTGTTCAGCCGCGACCCAGAGCCTAGTTTGCGAGGATTCGAGAGCTTGACCATCAACAGCCTCTTTCCGACTCGGAGCTTTGTCGCTGGTTTCGAGGACACCTCAGCCGAGTCTCACACTAATGCCACGGAGAAGGAGCGCTACCTCTCGGCTCATAATGGGTACCCGTCGAACTCACGTCTGGGCCGGTTCTACCTCCCGGAACGATCCTTCAGGACTCCCGAGTCCCTAGCGACACAACCGGACCCAAACGACCGCTGGGTCTGCTGTAGGTTCGAGGAGTACCATGGGGTGTCGATCTGGGTCCTGGAGAGCGTGCTGGACAAGTACCATGAGATTTCGCGTCGACACAAGATGGCCTTGACGCTTGTTGGAGCGACGGTTTATCATCGTGAGGCGGTGTATAATCGCGAGGACTGGGAGATCCATTCGGGAGAGCAGTATGAGGTCAAAGTCAAGGAGTCGGTGCTGTACCCTGAGATGATCCATCAGGTCTGGAGGGATATGTATCATCAGCATCATCAGCGGACTCAGTACCAACATCAGCAGCAGCAACGCGCGCCGCCAATGCCTCAGGTTGCGACGTATGAGGAATACCAACGGAGTCTCATGCAGTCTGATCCTCGACGTGACAGTTACCAGCCTCAACAGCAGCAAGCGCCTCCACGCGACCGGACCGGTCCCTACTACAGCTACAGCGACTACCGTCAGCAACAGCAGAACCTGCACCGCGAGGATCTCTCCAGTGCGCCTTCGTCGCCCCAGTCCCCTCGGCACGACGATTTCCCAGACGGGAGCCCTCAACATCATCATCAGCAGTACCAACAGCATCAGAGACAAGGGTCAAGTGCAAGCGCAAGCGCGAATATGCACCGTCGCATCTCGATTGCCGAACTTTGTAACCCCATGCAGAGTCTTGCGACTGAGCGAGCTCAACGGCGCGAGGAGACTGCCTCCAAGAGGACCTCCATGTAAACCACAAAAAAATATATATCATTAAGCCCCACAAACACACAAAGTAAAAATCAATACACCTCAATACTCCCTGGAAAAAAAAAGAAGTTGAAATAAATAATAAAGCGGCTTTATGATTATTTGTGCAAAAACGGGTCATTGGATCCGCCGGTGTTTTTTCCTTCGCGCTGGTCAGTATATGCAGAAGGTGATGATATAGGAGCTGCTGTAGTGATGGTCGCCTTCGTTGTCATTGTGGTAGTGGTTGCGTTGGCCGGTACGGGTGCTAAATCCGTCTCAGACGAGTGATGAGGGTGTTGTTTCTGATCGTAGTGCCCCTGCAGATCGTTCTTCTCTACTACAAAGAACTGTTCGTCCTGTCGGTGCTCTTGTTCGTGTTGTCGATAAATCTCATCCTGCTGATCCTGCAACAGCAGCTGTTGGAAATGGGCTTCCTGATCATCTGCATCTCCCTTCTTCAGCTTCAGTTCTCGACTCCTCACACCATCACTCTCCCCACCAACAACCTCATACTCCTCATCCGCCGCCTCTGTCGGCACCTTTATCGCCGCCGCGTGGTGAACCTCCTCCAGCTGCTGCTCATCAGTCTCATCATCTTCCTCGGGATAAGGATCAAACACCCACTCCTGCTGCTCGATCAGCGTGTCGATGATACTAGACTGTTTTCCAGTATTTATAATGCTGGTCAGATCGTCGACTTCCTGACGGAGCAAGTTGGGTGCAAAACAGATGGCCAGGTTCGCAGAGTCCATTTTGGTGGTCAGGTACTGGTCCTGTACGCGACTCAAGTGCAGCATTAGATATTGGAGGGTATTGAAATTGGCTTCTGGGAGGGAGTGGACAAGCGACTTGATCGTGTACAGCTTCTCATTATAGTCGGTGATATCTAGCTCCCAAGAAAACAAGACAGGAAATTGACATTATTAATTTCCAAGAACATAACACTAAAGAAGAATAACGTAAAAAAAACATGAGAAAAAGAAGACTCAACTTACCAGCGGCGGCAATAAAGCTGGGGTAAAAGTCGAACAGCATCAGAGGCTCCCGCAGTTCTCGGAAGTAGAGCTTGAGCAGCGCCGCGATCGTGTTGACATCCGGTTCCTTCTCGATCAGCTTTTCGACATCGAGCCCCTCGTTAAAGGCTCGCTTCAAGTTCTGGATCGACGCCATATGTCCCGATACGCGATAGATTCCTGCTGTCGACAATCCACGTGCCTCAATTGCCTTGATGCACAACTCTACTACTTTGGGCACTGTCCTTCCAGACTCTACCGTCAGCGACCCTCCAAAGACTATTGTACATGAAAAACGCGAATACTATGATTAGCAAAATGAATGGCTTAGCTTTGATGTAGTCGCAGGCATGAGTGTCAAATGCTGATGTTTGTTACCTCCTTGGGCAGACTTGAAAACAGCAGACTCCTTTTTGACGACCTTGTCCTTGTACTTGTCTTTGATCCTGTCCTTGGGTTTATCCTTGACTTTCTCCCTCTCCTTCTCTTTCTCCTTATCCTTCTCCTTTTCTTTATCCTTGTCCTTGGAGAAAAAGCTCCTGCTCATGTTGGTCAGCTTTGCCTTGGCACCTTGGTGAGAGCCACTTCCTGGTGAGCCAGCGTCACGATGTGGCTCGCCGTAACCTTCGCCGCTAGCCCCATGTTCTTTTGGCGAGTCGCGATTACTCCTCCGTTTGGGATCGGTGAAGGTTCGCTGCGTAGCAGACTGTCGTTGCTGTTGCGGCTGTTGTTGCTGTTGCAGGTCGAGTTGTGTCGCGTCAAAAAAGGCCTCTTCTTCCTCTGGCAATCTGAGCTTTTCGTCCTGTCCTGACTTTCTCCGTGGAACATGAATACCGTGCGCCACCATGCTGCGGATGCCTCGTCCTTTCTCCATCTTGAGCGGGTTCTTGCTGCTGGTCTTTAAGTCCTTCTCCTCGATCCTCTTGTTCATCTTCAGGTTCGACGACTCGCTTCCTCCAGATGTTTGGCGCTTCAAAACTTGGATAACATCTATTACCACACACATTGTTTGTTACATTTGGTTAGAGCAAGATAATTCATCCACAGCATTAACGTATTCCTGGACTAAAAAGAGTCATAGTATATTGCTTACAAGAGTCTTCGACGCCAGAGAGTTCTTCTGCCTTTCGGCTGGCAAGAGAAGTACCAATGTCCTTGATCCAGATCTTTTCATCGCCGCCAGAGGGATCCTGAAGCAACAGCCGTACATTGGTTCCGGGCGTAATATAAAAGTAATTCTTCTTTTTGGTGAGCGCCTGACCGTTGGTGGGTAGATCCACAGCTACCTTCTCCAGATCAAAACATCCTGATGGCTTGACCTGCGTTGCCTGTCGCAGTTTGTGTAATGACTCTGTCGAGGCTTTGAGGGAATGGACGTTCCTGATGGCGCCACTGTCATCCCGGTAGAACAGGAGAAAGCCTTTGTAAACCAATACCCAATAGTCTTTCCATGAACTGATCGTCGCGTTGGTCGAGACCTTTTGAGATTTCACTCGCAGGGAGCCCTTCCGTTGAATACCCTCCACGGGCAATTGGTTCAGTTGCTATAGGAGAATTGATCAAAATTAGATACTGTTATTCCAAAAGTCATTTATCTTTGTGACGTTCAGCCTGAGAGTCAAGTCGTTCCTTACCAGCGCGTGGAGTTCTTCTTCGGATAGACTCAGGCCCAATAGCTGACTCTGAAGCATAGTGTCGTCAGCAGAAGACTGTCTCTTGGGTGTTGCCCGGGGTATTGTTGGTGACTTGACTCCTTGCGCCTTGCCTGACGTGGATAATGCCGGACTAGAGTCGAATGGTCCGTCTGAAGACTCGGAGGGGCGAGGTGATTGAAACTGGCTTCGTAGGATTTCTGGACTTGGTGGGCGATTCCAAGTTGTTTCGCCTGTCGAAGCGTTGAAAAAGTATTGAGAGCCATCGTCGTCTATCCCACCAAAACGTAAAAAAAAAAAAGACGATGAGCACTTGTCAGTTGACTTGCCACGCACACAAAATAATACCTCGGCACAAAGAACAACATCGTTTACACAGCATCCGCCAAGGTTCACCCTTACCTTGAGCACTGTTCCAGCCCTCTGGGAGGGGTTCCTCTGTCGTTGAGCCATAGTCCTGATCCAAGACCTCCATCTGGTGCTCGTTACGCTGGCTGGCGAAAGGATCGCTGTGGGTTGATGGTGGGCTGTTGACGGAGGGTAATTTCCACGAGGTTTCCTTTGTGACGATGTTGTAGTAGTACAATCGCCCTTTTGAGTTTGTGGTGGCACTCCAATTGGGTGGCAGCATAACCTCATCGCTGTCTGAGCCATCTGAGGGCTCTGGTGGAGGAGATCGGATCTGTGAAGCTGGTCCCTCGTTGTCAGAAAAAGGACTCTGTGCTGGTGGAGCTTGACGGGCAGTTGATGTTGGGGGAAGTAAATGATGCTGTTGTTGCTGGTCCAGGTATTGGTCGACGGTGTGATGTGGACTGGAGATATCCTGGGGGGAGGTGTCGGTGGCTCCATATGGGTGGACTGAGTTATTGCTGGTCGGATCAAGTGTGTCTGTATGGCTGGAATGGGTCCGATCGGCTCCTTGCCCCGCCGGTTTCTCCTGGGACGACACACGCGGAGGGAACACGATTCCTTGAGGGACCTGATCCATATCTGCCTCTTGTCCAATTTCACTCGCTAATATGGCATTTATTTATTCAAATTATGCATATAAAACAATGAGAAAAAAATGCGTGAGATCGTCCGTAATTGGGTGCCATTCTGTCAAACATCAGTGCTTGTTTGGGCGTTCCTGACTGACTGAGAACAAAAAAAATATGAAAAGCTGACAAGGTTCATGGTCAATTGACACCGATTCTTTACCTTCCAACAGTCGGCATCGGTTTGCAGGAAAGACCCCTGTCATGCCATTGCAGTCTCCTAAAAATGATTGTTATTATAAGATCGTTCAAGGGTGACATGATCAACAGTTTGTCGCTGATACAACCACCACCTGCAAGACTCCTCGTTGCAATGACAAAAGCGCGAATGCCAGATATCTGCTGTCAACGGCCGTTACCTTCCCACCTGGAGGTCATATTGCCAACATAGCAATTGGTGTCACCGTGGAGTAATATCCAGACAGGAGACATTCGAGAAAAAGAAAAGAGGGAGTCAGTAAGCGAACAATGGAAAAAAATGGTTGGGGGGAAGGGGACCTGTCAAACAAAGTAAAAAAGGCAGTGGCAAACTGTATTCAACCCCTGAGAGGCCCCTCTCAAACACACAACGACGGCAACTCTCCTTCAAAATACCACCGAAAGGATACTCAGGACACAACAACCTCACGCATACACACGCACGCACTCTTCCGCCGATACATTTGTTCGCTACAGCTCGTCCACACATGGTTGTTACATGAAAAAAAAAGAGCGCTGTGAAAGAAAAAGAGACTGCTCTCATTACCATTCGTCATGGGAGTCGTCTTGAATCAGAATGTGGTCGCCTTTACGGAAAGACTATGCGCATTTGTTTACGTTGGGTTGGTTTTGAGGGAGAGGACGTAGAAGAAGAAAGACGACCGAATGTCAGTTGTCATTCAGGCGATCAGTTTGCTGTTTTTCATGGTGTTTATTGTTGTCATGTTGTTGCTGTTGCGGTTGGGTTGTGAAGCGAAGAGGAAGAGAAGAAGAAGAAGAAGATGAGGAAGAGAAGGACGAGGACGAGGCTGGTGGTGTGTTCGTTCTTACGAGTTCGTCCTCGTGGGTTGCGACGTAGTCCCACTCTGCGATAGCCCAGTGCATTTAGTTTTCAGTCGGACAAGGAAGAAAGAGGAGGTGCGGGGAGAAAGAGAGAAGTGTGAAGAGGGAGAGAGAGAGTGAGAATGTGAGAAAGAGGGAGAGGACGTCCGAGCTGGATGAGAGAGAAATTCTACACGTGATTTAAAATCACCTGACCATTGGGCGTAGGACAGGTGGCAGGATTCTATGCCTTGCCTTGATTGTCCAGGGAATGTAAGGCATCGATCGGACGGAAGAAGGCAAGGAAGAAAAACACTGCTGGGGAAGAAACATGTATCATTCAGTCCCATGCTTCTCTGTTGGCGAGAGCAGTTTTGATAACATGGGCATGGTTTATGAACAGTGCAAACACCTCGTTTCTTTTGCACGAGGCTCACTGGCAAAAGAAAGGCAGCGAGGTGGGTGGCGTGGAAGAACAAGGTTTGTCAGCTCTCTCCACACACACACAAGCACGCTAACCAAGGGCTGAATATCATCCAACCCGCGGACCAACAAGGTTGGAGAAAAGAAGCAAAGAGAGAAGGGAAGGGACTCTTGTTCAATTACTTCAAGTTGCTTGTCGTCTGCCTGTCCCGCTTATCCTTCTTTTTTCTTTCTTTTTCTGGTTGCTCACATCCTCCTCTTCTCCTTCTCTTTCTTCTCTCTTCTCAATTCTCTCTTTTCAACTCCACCTCTCTTCTTCACTTTCACTTTTCCTCATCGCACTCATCTCCATCTCTTGTCATCGCTCGGGAACTCCATTCCACGCAATAAAAATAGTCTTCCTTTCCTTCAGCTAAAATTATTGCAATAGAACCTCCTTCGTCCCTCTTTTTGTCCTCTCAACCTCTTCTTGTTCTGAGTATTCATATCCCGCTCCAACGGTCGTAATTGGCAAACAATGACTGCGACAGACCTCAAGATCATCATCGCAGGCTGTGGTATCGGTGGCCTCTCGGCCGCCATTGCCCTCGAGCTGGCAGGCATCGACTACACTATCCTCGAGGAATCCCCAGCTCTGGATTCAGACCTCAAGCCCGGCGCCAGCGCCACCAATGTCCCCACCAAGACGACACATGTTGGAGGTGCAATCCAGGTTGCCCCCACCGCTATTCACTTCTTGAGTCAGCTCGGCATCTACGACGAAATGAAGGAAATCTCCAAGCCGGTCAGTGGTCTCTCCATGAACGAGCACGATATGAATTATGTCGGCCGTATTGATTTATCCACCCATCGGGAGAGGCAAGTGTCACTTTTGTCTTTTTGTTTGATTGTTTGTTTGTTTTGTGTGTGCTCGTTTGCACATGCACGCCCACAATTTCGTTATTGTGCTTGCTGTACTTTTCAGTGCTGAACGGGTACCCCAAAGAGTACATGGAGAATTAACTTCCCCTCTCAAACAAATGAACGCAATAGGTACGGATATCACACTGAAGTGATGGCTCGCTCGCAACTCCAATCACTTTTACTCCAGCGCGTGCCCTCCAAGAGGATCGTTGCAGGAAAAGTCCTGGGCATGATCCAGAACAACGAACAGGTCACAGTCCGCTGTTCAGACGGAAAGACCTACGAAGGCGACATCCTTATCGCCGCCGACGGAGCCTTTAGTAACATTCGACACTCCCTCTACTGGACCCTGGACGAAAAGAAGCAGCTCCCTAAAGCCGATGCGACTCCAATGTCAGTCGACCTTCACATCATCTCTGGCTGCACAAAACCGCTGGACCCTGCAAAGTACCCGGTCCTCCTGGATGCAATGAGCGAGATCCAGTCAGTGCAACTACCTGACAAACCGTACGCGGTAAGTTTATGTGCTAGTGCCTGGTTATTATTTCCCAAAGGCAGACAAGAAGGCTAAACTTTGGAGACTGACGCACTTGAACCAATATTGCCAATCTAGATCTGGTTTATGCCCCTTCTAGACAACAGGATTGCATGGGATATCACAAAGGAAGTCACCAGAACGGCTATCCGCCAGGGCGAAGCATCCAAAGTCTACCAATGGCGACCGGAAGACGTCGAAGAAACACTAAAGACTGTGCGCAATTTTGACTGCCCATACGGAGGACAAATCGGAGACCTCCTGGATACCACACCGGTCGAGAATATGCACATGCACATGTCCGAGGAGAGATTCTGCGAGACATGGTCTGGAGGTCGAACAGTCCTCTTAGGAGATGGCAAGTAGTGTACACCGTTTCTGTGAATGGACTGTTTAAAATTTGATATCATGCAGATTACCTAACATCCACTTCCTTTATTATTTTTTCCTAATTAGCCTGTCACAAGGGTTTCTACCATCCTGTCAGTGAAGCCATGGTTGATGCAGTTACACTGGTCAACTTGCTCTCGAATTTACAGTCAGATTCAATGGATAGTTTAACGACAGTTTTCAAGGAATACAAAGAGAGACGCGCACCCACGGCTAGAGCTGTGGTGGAGCATAGCACGCTCTTGCGCCAAGTGTTTACAGGAAAGGTAATCTATCGCTGATGTTTACTACGCGCCATGATACAAATCCAAGGAGTTTAGGCCAAAAAACAACAACTACAAAAGAACAGCACTAACATCCTCTTTGCTGTCTTTGCATTTATAGGGACGCGCCGCATCGCTGAAGAGAAATGTTGTGTTCAACTATATGCCCGAGAAGGTGCGCCACTTATTGGAGGATAAGAGACACGACAACCGGCCGCAGTTATGGTTTTTGCCACAAGTAAAGGACAAAGGAATCGTCAGGCCCGCCACCAATTTACCACCCGTGCTTCCTGGATCCCCAGCTTCACCAACATCACGGACATCAACGACATTACCCGAAGGTTCAACAACAGTGCATGGCGCGAGTGAACAGTCTTTTGAAGTAACGACTGTATCGACAGCCGTTTCATCCTCGAGGTCATCGCGGAGTTCATGGACGCCGAGTACTCGGTCAGCGTTTTCGATGCCGTCGGCGGGTAATGTACCGTTATTTTCTTCGACGTTAAGGTCCTCAATGCCATCGTCAATCAAGAGCCCGCGCGAATCAATTGCAAGTCGAGCTGTGGAGGAGTCCCACCCAGTCCAAAAAGAAGATGATGCGGACGTGCTTGTGTCGATTGTGGATCCACCAACGACCATCGCGGCAGCAGCGGCTACAGCGGTGGGGACGGCAATCTCGGTTGATGCAGAGGTGGCGGCTTGGTCGGCCGTTGCCGCGGCCAAAGAGAAGGAACCTGTTGGCACAAAGAAACAGGAGGAGGAGGAGGACGAAAGTGATGAAGAGAAGAAGGATATGGAAATATTTGACGATTCATCGGATGATGAGGGCGAGTTTGTGAATTGCAGCCAGACGTTGGATGATGACCTCCTTGAGTCAGAGACCCCACTCGCCGTTGTTGCTTAGTTTTCTTACTTTATGTACCCTATTTCTTTTTGCCTGGACGACAATAAAAAGACAACACGGTATCTTTTATATCCATGTGAAAGGAATGCTCTCAATAATAGTTCGACAAATCGATGTATGCTTGTTATCATTTAATATTCCACTTTAAATTTTTTGTCTGTTTGACCGGGGCTTGAGCTTTGAGATGCAGGGCCCCGCTCGAGATTGGGGTGGACGCTCCCTTACAATTGAGCAGGGCAATGGAACTCTAACACTCAAACATTATTGAGAAGAGCCTATTACGTTTACATTTAGACAGGCAGTGCAGTTTCGGTGTGTTCTGGTTGTTCTTTTTCTCGCTCGTCTCCTCCTTCCCTCTTACTCGTCCCTCTCGCATCCATCAGCCCTTTTTTCATTTTTTCTTCTTTGTCTTCCTCCCTCTCCTTCGTCTTCTTCTACTTTCTCCTCCTCCTCCTCCTCCTCCTCCTCCTCCTCCTATTATTACTATTATTATTATTATTATTATTATTATTCGCCACATACTCATCACACCCCTCTCATCTCCTTTGCGGCTGTTTATTATTGCTCTGACATAGCAGCGTCTCTTTGCAAAGAGGCAGTTCTCTCCTTCGCCCCTTCTCCTCCATCCTCACTCAGCTGCCCCATGTCCTCGCCCGACGCACCGAGGACGCCTTCCTCTTCCCTACCAAAGGATAATGCAGACAAGACCCCCATCCAACCACCAGGAACAACTGCCGCCACCACTTCCTCTAAAAACGACTCTCTCGCACCAATAACAAACGCCAAACCACTTACCACGGACCCAACGGCCACAGTGACCACAACTGCCACGGACAAAAACAACGCCTCAGAAACGACCATCGCCACCACCACAACAACTCCTGCTGCCGCCACGGCCACAGCAGATGCGGGTGCGGGTGCTGCCAACGCAATCGTCAAGCCCTCGGCCGGGTCGACAACTCCTCGGGCTGGGGCAAAAGATGGCGAAGCGTTGGAGCCCTCAAAGTCAGGAACAAGCTCTGGAACAGCCCTGCACCCAGTCGCCAATTACCCCCTCCCTCCACCCTTCCTCTCCACGTCGGAACCCAACAACAAGAACAACACCTCCATCGTCCACCCACTCGTAAATGCCGATGGAGACAGCACTGAGGAAGACAATGCCTCTGAAATCGCCTCAGACATCCAAGAACACTCACAACACAGCGACAACGGGAGCATTCAACTAGTAGCGCTGGATGATGAAGAGAATGAAGCAGGGCAAACCAATGGTCATACCGTCGAGGTTGTGGCAAAGGAGGGCGGGAGCACAGCCCCTGCCGACAACAATAACAACAGCGACAACAAACCTCCAGCAAACAAGGTCGTCACCTCAGGAACGGAGGCGCCTGTTTCGGTCGTCAATATCTCTAAAGCACCCAGCACCACGGTTGAACCCTCAGAAGGACGGCCACATGAGGAACCAGAGGAATCTGTCGCGTCCTATACCTCACCCAACTTTGAGTGGGCCAGGATTCTTCAAAAGCGCCTCGGCAAGAACCTTAGCGACGCGCAGCTCCTGGCGCGGTCCAACAGCATGCTGGCATCACCCAGTATCCTGGCCCAGTCTCTCACCCAAGTCATCCCTAGTCTGCAGGTCAAGGAGACTTCGCCACTCTCGCCCGGAACCACTATCAAATACCAAACTGCGGAGGAGCTCTTTGACAGGCCAGCTTCAATTGAGCCTTCTGTTCCAGCATACAAACCAGATGAACAGCCTGCACGAGACGACCCTTTCCCCTCCAGCGCCTTCGCAAGCAGTTCCCATGGTCCTCTCCTCCTCTTTGCTCCCTTGAATCCGGACCAGCTCTATGGAAAGAATCCTACCACGATTCCACCGACGGCACCACCACCGGCAGCTGAGAACTCATCACAACTGAGAGTACCGCGATCCCAACCTCAACCTCCACCAACCACCAGCCCAGCCCAAATGCAACAACCACACCACCAACCCGCTGCTCAACAGCCCGGACTTGTTGCCATCCATGCTATACCCACTCAAAGGAATTCTCCCATTTCTATACCGCATTCGATGGCGACAGCGACACCAACGCAGCCTTCAAGGAATCACCTCGGCGGAGAACTGCACCAGTCCCCTCTCATGTCCAGGGATGCCGGTCCAGGGGCAAGGAACATACGCCATAGCATAGGAGTGCATATCCAGGATGACCGACTCGCAGCTAATTCTCACTCGAATACCAACCACAGGACACTGAACGCTCAAAACTCGTCGTCTTCTCTGGTCGCCACATCCATGCCACCGAATGTCAAGGATCAACATGGAGCCACCGTCTCCAACTATCCCATCGCTCCAATCCAATATACCCCTCTTACGCAGTATAAGCCTATCAAGAAAGCACACAGTCTCCCAGCGCCTGTCAAAGAGACACCAGCTCCAATCAAGGAGACACCAGCTCCAGTCCTGACGCCCTCTGCCGACCCACCAACAGATACAGCTCACGATCAGGATTTAGCTGCAACAACACCCACCCCCGCCAGTGCCATACAGGAAGAATCTAAACCGGACCCAACGTCGACATCCGCGGCAGATACAGCGCCTCAGTGGGCTCTGGAGGCATTGTCGGGATTCTCGGACATTAATTTCGATACTACGCTGCCTGTAGGCGCTGCGGTTGCAACTACTCTGGCTAGTACCTCTCATTCATCTGAGGCACCTAGCAAAACTCCCATGATCATTCCTCCTATAAGTGTGAGATCCCGGTCGAATCTTTCTGTAAACGACGCGTCGCCGGGACAGGCGAAGCAGATTCAGTCGCCATTCGAATCGGCCCAACAGAATATCGAGGTATGTTTTCGACTCCGGAGATGTCATTTTATTTTGGTTCGAGATTCGTCCAATTGCTCATAGTAGCCTGTAACTTTGCTTGCACATCCCTTAGTTGAACCACCACGCAACTGCAGCAGAACAAAAACCAACGGGACCAGCCGCTATAGACCTTACGAACTTACCAATCAGCGACCCAGCGTGTTCACCTACTCTGGCGCTTCTCAGTCTGCAGCAACCATCATTATATTCAGCGCCTTTGCAGGATCCAACCGTGCCTTTTGATCAGCGCTCAAGCCCTGTGAAGCACGGACACAATGTACAAGGCAATCACCAGGCAGGGAGAAGTATTTCAAGTCTACGAGAGGTGCAGATTGGCCACATGGGTATTGAGCGAGCAAGCCTCGATGTTGGACACCAAAGACGTGGTGGTAAGTTATTTACCTGACGACCGCGTCCTAATTGGCAATTGAACAATCATTTACCTACCACACCTTGACCAACTTTAATGCTTGTTAATCACACCCATTCTTGAATAGATACTGCCTCATTATCGGACATTACCCCTTCAGCGACAACAGGAGTACCGCCCATGTTTGACTTGGGCTCTGGATATCAGATTTCATGGCTTCCGCAGAGCCAACCATTGCTTCCGCGGAGGGACGACATCAACTCGATCGACGTACCGGCATTGACAGGAAAGCAACTTTTGCCACTAGAGCCGCGCGAAGTTCAAATCAACAAACAGGATCCTTGTCTTCAGTTCAAGCACATTGGTGAAGCACTTCGACATTGGGGCCAACTGATGCCGGAAGGGAACGCCTTCGCTAATCTAGACGGCAAGGGCATCGAGTGCGGATCCTGGGACTGGTCGTTTACTCTCGGGAAAGCCGAGATGGTCGCAAAAGCCATTCACGACAAGACACAGCTTCGCGTTGGATCCAGGGTGGCGCTTGTTTTCCGCATTTCAGAGATCTTGGAGTTCGTTGCTGCGTTCTACGGTGCTATTCTCGCAGGAATGGTCCCTGTTCTTGTCAATCAGATTCAGGAGTTCTCCGAGATGGTTTATATCATGACTTCTGCCAGAGTCGAGCTCGCCTTGACAACCCAGTTCAATCACCAGGCTCTCCACAAGGATATGCGTAAGGGAGCACTGTGGCCCGCCGGCGTAACCTGGTGGCAAACAGACATTTTGGAGACGTGGGCGCCCAAGAACGGCCAGCAAGAGCGATCACCCCTTCCGGAAAATGAGCTCGCTTACATTGAGTATACCAAGTCGGCGTCTGGAGAATTGAAGGGCGTTGCCGTGAGTCATCTGAACCTGATGACCCAGTGTCGATCTCTCTACTCCAGTTTCCTGTGGCGACCGGCACTCTTCCGCGACAAGCACAACCACTTCCAAGCGGATCCTAACCTGACAGCAGACGCATCTGTGGCTCACTCCATGGACGGCAAGGTCAACCCCGATAAGCCCGCCCTTTCTGGCACAGTGATGTCGTGGCTTGAGCCTCGACAGCAGTCGGGGCTTGTTCTTGGAGCCATCATGGGAGTATTTTGCGGCAACTTCACTGTCTTCATGGAGGCAGGCATCACCGCCGTTTCAGGTCTTTGGGCTCACTCTGTGGCCGCCTATCGAGGTACCTACTGTCCCGATATCATTCTTTGTTTAAATTACAAACCTGGAAAACCAAAAAGCAGGAACTGACAGCAAGTGTACATCGCCATTTTTATTCTACAATAGCGAACATTACCTTTACCGACTACAGTGGAATTCAAAGGCTGTTGAAGAACTACAGGATCAACCCTCAGGCGACCACAACACCTTCTCGACCCGACCTTCGCTTTCTTCACACGGTCTACGTGGACGTTCAGTGCAACAATGTGAGGTTGAATCGGGAGTTCCTGGACGATTTCCTCTACCCACTCGGAATGATCCAGCGATTCTGCATCTCCAAAGATGACTTGCCAGGACTTGAAGCAGCCTCCAAGAAGTGTCGAAGCGACTTGGGACTTATCACATTCCTTAGTCTGCCAGATCATGGTGGAATGATCGTTGCGCTTCGGGACCCGTTGACTCATCCTAAGGGCGTCGATAAGATCGAGCTTCGGAAAACGCACAGGATGTCAGTTCTACCTAAACCAAGGCGACCATCTTTGGACCAGGCCGATGACTCGAACGACCAAGGCAGCAAAAATTCAGCTGCGGACGCCCATGGGTATGGCTCTTTGATGAACAGCCCCGTGTCATCGCTGACTGCTGGAGAGTACCTGCTGCACAGGGCCGCCCTCCGTGCGAATCGTATTATCGTCTTGGCCACAGGGAAAGAGGCGTTCGATCGAAGGAACGAAGAGGGCACCGTCCTGGTCGGTGCTTTTGGATACGCTCTTGCACAATGTAAGTTTGATCAATCCTACAGAAGGTAACCGTTTTTTTGTTGACATTTCGACTCGATAAATGTAACTTTTGCTAAACTCATTCCGCCTATATTGCTGCATTTTAGCCTCCGTTCTAGTGGTAGATCCGGAGACTCTGGCGCTGTCTTTGCCGGATTCGGTCGGTGAGATTTGGGTCAGCTATCCAGGACAGCCGATGACCTTCTGGGGCCTGCCCGAGCACTCTCAGGAGATATTCCAGGCCAAGCCATATATTGTCACGGAGGAGGCCATGATTCCTCAGGTGTATGCGGCAGATGGATCCGACAGGTTGCTTCGAACAGGGCTTTTGGGAGCCGTGATTGAAGGTCGCATAGTTGTGTTTGGATCTTACTGGGATCGGTTACAGCAGGATCAGGCGGACCCTATGAAGACCATCGGATTTCAGTACGAGTACCATCACGCGTCTGATTTGTCGCAGACTCTCTTCAACCGTGTTGGTGGCATTAGCGAAGTGTGAGTTTACTGCTTGATGATTGTTGTTTTATACTACATGGTTGAATAGCTACCATTTTACTAACTATCAAAATAACTGACAAAATAGGTCCATCTTTGAGTGTCAAGTCAACAAGGATTTCCTGCCAGTCATTTGCATTGAGATTACCAAGGAGAGTCGCGCCAATGGACAGCCCATCAACACTGTTGCACAGCAGGTCGCAATCAACGCCCGTTATATCCTGCAAGAGGTGAACGCACTTCGGAGTTACTGTATCGCTGTCTGGGATATGAATGCATTGCCCAGGATCTTCAAGAACGGTCGTCGGGTTGTTGACCATGCCCTCTGTAAGGTTATGTTCACAATGGGCCGTATTTACAAGCTGCTCTACTTTGCGACCTTCACAGACGATGTCCTATTCAATGTTCCTCAGGGTGATGACCTCGCCAATGGCTTCTGGAGTCGAGGTAAGAATCTATGACGTTAATATTTATAGTCTGCAACGGTCTATGTTATGAAATAGCTTCTAAACCGCTATTTATCGTCTTATATATAGAATGTGCTGCCAAGAGACAGCGGAGGCAAGGATCAGCGATGCGCTTTGTTCAGTACACCTCCAACATTGCCAGTTCTGATGCCTATGACGAAAAGGCGAACGTGTTTATGGGCAAGTTCCACAACATAACCGACATCGTCATGTGGCGATCCATGATCCAACCAGACGATGCTGCATTTGTGGAGCTGGATTCGCGTGGAAAGGAGCAACGGACCATCTCCTTCAAGAAGTTCAACCAGCGGGTTACTGGATACGCTATGTACCTAGAGAAGAAGTGTGCCCTCAAGGCAGGCGATCACGTCATCCTTTGGTTCTCGCAGGATCTCGACTATGTGGTGACACTCCACGCCTGCTGGGTGCTGGGCTTGATTCCCATCCCTCTTCAGCTACCTGACCACCCTCACACGAACGCACATCCAACTGCGGTTTCACTTGTTGGATTGGGCGCAGCCATAAACGGACCGACTATCGCTGGATCTAACGCGACGACCAACCATGCATCAGCAGCGGCCAACCGAATCAGCGAGGAAAAGAAGAGTGCCATCCTTACGGCGCTTTTCTGCATTCTGGACGAGGTCAAGGTCAAGGCGATTCTCGGCAACATGGCGACAGACGACTTCCTCAAGCAGAAGACCACCGGCACTTCTCTTCGGGCTCGCAGGGCAGAGTTTTCTCCAGTATACGTGCAAACCCCTGAGGCATTCTCCACGGCAGATATCTTCCTCCCTGCATTCCACAACGTCACCAAGGCTCCGAAGAACAAGCAAACTCTTGGCGCTCTGTCGGGCTATGCGCCACGGAAAGAATGGTTTGCGGCCACTTACCCAGCTGTGTATCTGATCGATCCCGAGGTCCGAGTCGGATCTGTTGCTTTCCGGAGACTTCTCAAGTTGAACCACGAGACCCTGAACAGTCTCTGCAGGAACCAAAAGTTGCAGTTCAAGGTTCATTCGGGCCAAGCCAATATTGCCTGCATGAACATTTTCAATGGACTTGGATTCATCCGAGGCTGTCTTAGTGGTATCTACAGCGGTGGACCTACTGTTCTGCTTCAGCCAGCAGACGTTTATGCCAACCCGAACGTCTGGATCGAAGCTGTTTCCCGTTACAAAGGTAATCCTCGAGACCCTGCCATGGCCGCGAAAAGATTCCAAAGAGAACGTAGTTGTGAGTTTCCACATACTAATTTTTCTTATTATCCTTGTTTGTCTCTGGTGTAGCACACGATATAGCGTTGACGTACCCCCTGTTGGAGCAACTGCTTCAGAGACTGGATTCGATTACGTCCCACAGTACGGCGTCTCTGGAGTCCATCAAGAACTTTGTGGTTTGTGGTCATGAAAGGGTCCAGAGGAATGCTTTGGGCCTCAGCCGTCTGAGTGCTCTTAAGCTCGATGCAGCATCGGTCAATATCTTGTACAGTCATTCTCTCAACCTTATGGTGACATCTCAGTCTGACCGAGCCACAGGACCCATCCGGATCCATGTGTCTTCAAAGCAGCTTCGCTACGGTATTATCTCACCCACGACGGAAGGCGATGACAAAACAGGGATTTGGTTGGAAGACGTCGGAACTGTAAGTGCTTGCGTTGTCGCATTTTTGTTTTAAGTCTACGGAGTTGATGGTACATTGAAATTACATGCAACTAACTGAGACTATTCACCCTGCCTCTTTTTTTAGCCCACCGTGTGTACCTCTGTTGCGATTGTCAACCCGGAAACGATGGAAGTATGCACTTCAAATCAGGTGGGAGAGATCTGGGTTTGCTCAGACTCCAGCACCAATGGCTTCCACTACCCACCAGGTTACCAGCCAAACCCATCGCAGCCTCAGCCCTTTGGGGCATGCATTGCAGGATACGACAGTCGTGTGCGGTATGTGCGGACAGGCGACCTTGGATTCCTGTGGAACAACCAACATCACCAACTTGCCAACCAGGGCCAATGGAATCCTGGCCAGTCGGCTGTCGGTCTTTTCCAGCTGTTTGTTCTGGGCAGTTTGGATGAGTCGTTCCACGTTCAGGGACTACTTCACTTTGCGGCCGATATCGAGTCTACTGTGGAGAGCTCACATGCCAATGTTGCAGCACAGGGATGGTAAGTTCGCCTCAAAGAGCACCTGCATGAATGGAATCAAAAATTCAACTGTAGACGATCTTATTTGACTGAAAATTGCTTCGTTTTGTCCATGTTTACAGTGTGGCATTCAGGACGCCAAAAGGCAAGGCCATCTGCGTAGTCAAGGTCCAGAAACAGGATCCTGAGGTGTTGGTATCAATGTATATACCCCTGATGCACGCCATTCTGGACCAGCATCAGTTCTTGCCCGATACTATCGCTCTTGTCGGAGATAGCGTTTCCACTGCACGCCGAGCCTCTGACGGCCTGAAGCCAAGGGACACGATTGCTGGCTTGTACCTTTCTGATCGACTGTAAGTACATGTTCTCATGTTTTCCTATCACGTTCGTATGTCCATGCCTGGCGACATTATCATCCGACTGACCATGAGCGATATGTTCTGTTTTCGTTTTCGTTTTAGTCCTCTTCTCCATCTGCACTACTGTCATGGAAAGCCCCTGGCGCCTGTCTTGGGTAACATGTTGCCCGTGACAGGTGAGTCCCCCCCTAATTCTAGGGGATCCAATCGCTCACATGGCCACCAGTCCAGCAGCCAACAGTCCACATTAATCTCACAGCCCCAGCCGATATCGCAGCAACAACAGCTTCCAACGGCAACTACAGGAAGCCGTCTCGTGACTGGGATCGGTCCAGCACCAATGTCGAATCTTCGGGGCGGGTCAGCCCCTGCACATTTGTATGGATCAGGGTTCAGCGGCAGCAACAACCATTCGCCTGTAGAACCCCACGGCAACAGCGGGAGCCGCAACAGCATCTTTGGATCGCCGCTGCTACTCGCCAACATCCCCATGCCCCCTGGAACCATCAACCCGTTGGTTCAGTCGCCCATGGGAAACAACGCAGTTGGTGGTTTAGGTGGAGGTGGATATGTCCCTCAGACGCAATACCAACAGTCTGGGTACGGAGCTGTCCCCATTTCAGCTCCTACCTCTATCCCTGTATCCATTTCCACACCACCTCACCACCAACAGTCAGTGTCGCCTCCTAACACTGGCATGGGATACCCCCCTGTCATCGTGAGTGCAATGGCTGTGCAGGCTACGTTCGACGGCATTGGACGACCAATGTCACAGCAAGGATTCGTCAGCAGCCCGCCAAACACTGGAGGATCTAACAACACCCAGTCCTCTAGTACAGGCGCAAGTAGCGCGCCAGGCCGTGGACCTTCCAGTGGTGATCGGCCCAGAGGTCTTCAGCATCAGCACTCACATTTACACCAGCAACCGTCGACAGGAGGACAGAGAGCCACACACCCTCGCCAAATTCGGGGCCAGGAGGCTCGGTCATCTTCGTCGGAAGAGCTGAGGTTAGATGGCAAGCCTGGAAGCGGTGGCGCCGTAAAGAACATTATGAAGGGCGTCAATGCCAAGTGGTCTGAGATGCGCAAGGCCGGCTTAAACTGAAATATCTCGTCTATCGTCTATCCGTTGTTTTTTCTCTCATTCTCTCTTTCTTACACCATTCCATTTATCTGTAATTTTTTTTTCCATTGCAAAAACTATTAAAATAAACCAAAGCATATGAACAACTTACTACAAGTGACTTAACCTTATTGTGTTCTTCGTGATACAAACTTTTCGTTTCATTTCGTGTTGGTTGGTTGGGTGTTGTGTTGGTTCAAATTTGAAGGCAAATACCTGTCGATGGGTCAGGTATGCTCACAGCGATTCTGCGGATGCCCAGATAGATATGCGACCAAAAAAACGCGCGCAATGTTTCCCAGAATATCAACTGCTCTATCTACTAAAAGACAGTCCCTTGTCGCATCCCAGTGGATGGACTTTGGGTGAAAGTCGTCCAGCATGGTGCTGGTGTTGTTGGTGGGAAGAGAGAAGGGACGATAGGGCGGGAGGGTGGAGTGGTCTGATGAGAGCAGAATAGACGCCCCCCCCGAAATCGCGATGTTTGTTAGCGGCGTTTTCGCATCCCGACCCATCGTTCCATGGCCTGCTCGTCTCCGTGGGCACGTTGGATTTTTTGCAGTCTACTGATCCATTGATTGAACCTGACGGTTTTGAACTCGCCATCTCGGACTCGTTTTGACCACGCGAGAGAAAGATGGGCACAAAGCAACAAGAACAGATACGACTTGTGCGGTTCTCGTTTGGTATGCGCGACATTCCCGTACTTTTCGATGCTCCTTTGTCAACTTGGACCCGCCCCGCTTCTGGAGCCATTATATCCTGCTGCCGACGAGGTCCCGGCTGCCCCATGTAGTATGACAACAGCCACATCCCTCTTGCGAGGGATGGATGTGGGTGTTATGAGAGCAAAGAATTTGAAAAAGTTGTTTTTGTTAGCCAAATGGATCATGCAGTAGGCAATCATACATGTGCCCTCATTTCAATCAAATAAGTGTTTCCTTACCTTTGGGGTCGATGGTGGTGTTGTAGACCTCGACCTTACTCTTCAAAATCCTTGATGACAGTCTCCGTCGCATTGGATCATTGCTCGGCGGCCAGAGTTGCGTATACACGCCTCTTTCTGATTTCCTGGTCCCGCAAATCCCTCAAACGCCACTTTCCCACCCTCAAAACTCACGACAGGCTTGACGAGCACCCCGACGGACTTCCTGAGTAGAATCGATCGCATCTAGCCGTGAGGGTTGTATTGATCGAGTTACTCGACAGTTCCGCGTGTGCTGCTCGGGGTAACTTTGCAAATATGCAAAAGTCAAGGCGGACGAGAGCAGCTCTTTTTTCCTTCGTCGATTTTTTTTTTTGGCGACGTGTGGGAGAAGGCAAGGAGCAGATATTTTTTATTTGACGACTCTGATGATTATATCAGGATTCCTGATCATATCCTTTTTACCTAACCCTCAACGATGAGCTTGAGATCCAACTTATTCGCACTATATACTCCAATATCTCCAACGGCAACTTTGCACCTCAAGACATCAAGCGCACCGCAATTTTGACAACACTGAACAAGGATGTCAATCATATGAACGACCTCGCGACCATACTATTTCCTGGTAGAGTTGGATTATCTCCCTCAGCACTGTGGCTCTACCTAGAAAAACAAAGATGTCAAAAGTTGATCGAGAAAAAGAAAGATAAAAGAACACACCATCGCTCATTTCCCACTCTGGTCAATGGATACAAATAGTGCTTGAAAAAAACACGTAATGCCTTGATGCCTCTAGCATCGACAGTAAAGTAAACAGATATCGAGGCACCCTCGTTTGTCTAATCGCCGTTCGCTCATATTTAGTTTGCGCGCACCATATTTTACCCTTATGCTCATTATCAGACAAAGCTAAAAACGTATTGTTATAACTTTTCTTTATTCCGTTCTCTCTTTTCCAACTTTACAGATAAGCACTCCATCCTATGTACATTTTGCCGAGGTTCTCAGGAGTGGTCGCGTTCTGAATCAACTCTTCCACCTGGCCCACGACCGACAGCGAAAACATGCCGTTCTGGCTCTCCAACCCGTTCAGCTTGCGCCTGATGACACCGAGGATCTCCTTTGCTTTCTCGGCCTGCTGCTCATCGTACGGTTCGCCATCGGCTGTACCTGCTTCCGCAACCGCCGCCGCAGCCTTCGGATCGGCTCTTGCTCCTCGCATCAATCTCGTCCGGGTATCATCTCCCACCATAGCTCCAGTCGCTTCCCTCTGCTGACTCTTCTTCCTACTGTTCGACCACTCGACAAGCGGGTCGTGAACGAATCCTTCCAGGATAGACATGAGCGATTCAAAGTTGTCGCGGAACACTCCCAAGGTCTTCTCGCACGCGAGTCGGTACGTGCCGTCGTACCCTGAGAGGCCCATACCGTCCACCATATTGTGAGTTAACCGGAACGGCACTCTCTCTGGCTTGGGGAAAGTCTTGCCGGCATCGAAAAGACAGTTGAAGTCGACGTGAACCACATCTCCGTTCAGCTCATCAAGCATCAAATTTTCGCCATGGCGGTCTCCAAGTCTACAATACAACAAGTAGATGATTTAGAGTCAAAAAAAAAAAAAAAAAAAACAATCGACGCGTCAATTTGTCCACATCTAGGCGCAGTTTTTGCTTTGCCTTCCCTAATACTAGCAATGGAAAACACGCAAGTGGAACACTTACCCAACAATGTAGCCGGCCATGGACATCACAGCTGCGGTCCGCGTGAAGCGAAGTCGTGCAGCAAACCACGCAGTGGGCTCTGGGGCGATCTCTTTGAACCACTGATAAAAGACCGACGGGAATTTGGGCACAAGCTCCTTGACAAACAACCGGACGTGGTCTTCGTGGTCGAGAATCCGCTTAATGTCAGCATTCTGCGAGTGTGTATCGATGTTAGTTTTTGTTTCTTTTGAAACCATTTATGGATACGTGGGCACAAGCAAGTACAAACAATCGCAACGATACAGTATCCATTGTCCGTCTTCACTTACAGAGGGTACGGCGATGTTATTCAACCTGTAGAGTTTGTGAACGAGAAGTCGGTACGGGGCGGTGTTGTGGATCCATTCGATAAGACCGTACTCCTCATTGAGGGGAACGACCGCATATGTCCGGATGTCTACACCGATCCAACGGCCCATAGAAAGAGAGTACTCCGTCAATATATCATTCGCGTTCGTAAAAAATAACAGTAAAACATGCGCTACACAGACTAAAACAAAAGACTTACACAGGTCACGGCGGTTGGCTTCGCGATCCTTCTTCAGGAGCGTGTTGACGAGAGAGTTGAACTCCATCACCTTGGCATCCTTGCGTAAGTCGTCCTTGGGTTTGCACAGGAAAGTGTAGTACACACCGTCACTGCCAACAGCTGTAACCTTGCGAGGTTTTTGTAATGAAGTCATCACATCAACTTCGTCCAGGAATCCTTGAGGCAAGAAAGCAAAAATAATCATAAAAACTCGTTAGCACCCATGGTCGTGCGAACAACGAATATCCAAAATCAAACAGAACAAACAACAGTCTTTAAACTCACGATCAATTTTTGGAAGGTTTGATTTGAAGGGTCGATGTGAGGCCATGGTTTCGCTCGACTTGGGCAAAGATGGCCAAAGGTTCCGCTGGCCAGGAATGATCACATTGTAACTGCGTTTGAGCTGGAGAGCGAGATGAGGAAGGTCTCTCTCAAGACTGAGCTTGGTGGTCCTGTCCTTGACCGGTGCCTTGCAGAGCTCGATAAGACTGTCGCAAAGGTCCAACGCCTCGGTGACCTGTTCAATAATCGCTGGTCCTAAAACAGGTTGCTGTTGGATGGTGTGTAAGATCTTGTTGCACACTCGCTTCCGTTCTTGAACAACTGATCGAGACACAGAAACCATCTGCCAGATCGCCTGGTCGGGGTATGCAAGGACGACATTGGCAATGATGCGCTGCAGAGCAAAGAATGCGTCGGGATTCTTATGACATATCCGGGAGATGATCTGAGGGAAAGCAGAGAGGAACTAGAAATACAAATAGCATGAGAGGCGTTAGCACCTGTTTCAGGGAACGAGAAACTCAATGTGGGGCCAAGCAGGGATGACCAGTCGCATTTTACCATGTACTCGGGCAAATGGTCCGCTAAAGCGTTCATGAGCTCGTTAATCCTCCTAAACTCGCCAAGCTCGGAACTTGAGACGCCTGGATTTGCCTGTGAGACATGGACGCGGCGACCAAGGTCTAGCCAGTGCGTCAAGAGTCGTGGCATAATCTGGTAAAGGTATTTGGGACCCAGAGACAACGCTTTGCTATAAAGACGGCACCCCTGGCTCGCGTATCTAAAACGAGAGGAAAATGGTACAAAGAGATTTGTTAGCGTTATGAGCGCCATGGCTCTTTTTTTTTTTTTTTTTTTTTTTTTTTTTTTGGCGATACGGTGAAATGCCCATGGCGAGTATTTTCTCTTACGTCAATTGTGGCCGGTTCTTGCGCTTGGAGTTCTCATACAGCTTAAAGAAAAATTGGCCAGCAGCGTAGTACAGCTTGTCCCAGACATCACACTCGGCAGCAGCATCTCGAAACCCTTCGGAAATCTCTCCCGGGCTGACAAGACTACTCTTGTCCATCCAGCGGGTGCGCAAGAGAATCGCTTTGGCTCGAATAAACCCCCGGTCGTCCTTGTCCAGCACGCGATCTTGTACCAAGGATAGGTCGGTATTCAAGAAAACAATCCCAGACCTGGAGATACTCGAATTCGAACTTACAGTTGAGCTCGAACTTGATTTTGGACGCACCAGTGTCAATGATGATGCACGACTGAGGGTTCCTCTAGTCGCAACGGACGTGACAACATTGCGCTTGAGTGCCGAATCGATCGTCTTAATGGCCTGGCGCTCATTGTTATGAGAAAAGCCCCATTTCACTCGCTCGATGACCGCTGATGTGTTGCCAAGGTCCTCTGCGTGAAGCATGGCGCTGTACGACAACTGATCATTGTTAGATTTCCGTGCAGCCCGCGCAGATTCCAGCCAGAGTCGCCCGCACTCTTCAGTCAAGTACTGCACGTCTTCGTGGTCCAGTATATCTTTGTCCTGAATCCTATTACCAAGTAATGAGGAATAATAAAGTAGTTCATGGCGCATTTGAGTGTCCAAATGTCTAATGTTAGCTGCGCAGCAGACACGAGGTGCAATGATGCAGAGAAAGAAGTACTACAACATCCTTACCTGATGTGGTAGAATGCAATTCTTCGCAGCAGCGAAACTTGCTCACGCATCTTGAATGAAGGTGCCATCAACTCCAAGCGCTGAACCAGCTTTGGTTGGTAAAGTCGGACCCGTTCAGTATATGATCCTCCGCTTTGGAGCTTGAGCGCAATTTGAGAGCCCGAAGAGCACTGCGAAGAAATAGTCCTGTTCCAGCTGTGGAAGGCAACCTCTAGCTCATGGAGCATGTGAAGCTGGGCAACGCGATCGTATGCCCTTGAGTAACTCTCCATACCTGCCGCGGCAAGAGGAGCGATAAGCATGGATCGAGTCCGGCGCAAATGATCCTCAAAGTCAGCAACACGGTTCTCCCTCATATCCTTCATCAACAAACCGAGACCACTATCGAAGCTCGACTGAAGCGATCGAGAAAGCGACTCCTCCAACGACTCCCAGCGCTGAGACTTCCAAGATGTAGATATCCGAAAGTCATTCAAGGACTCCTCCCATGCCGGATGTGCATAGATGTCACCCTCCACTCCATTCAGCAAGGTGTCTAATAAAGGACAAAAGGCGCAAGAAATATTAGATTCCTGCGGGACGACACCTGAAGTTATAGACGCAAGGGTTAGGTTGGGAGACGCCACAATTACCATATTGACCGAGGTTGTCCAATGCTCTGTAAAGGCCAACATGATGGTCGAGTTTTGAGGGCTCAGTTTGAACGCCCAGCTCGTGATAGGCATGTGCCTCCTCCCAACGACCAGCACTTTCGCACTGCAGCAAGTGCTGAGGGAGTGTCCCACTCGTGATCAGACTTGAAATGCCCTCCATCCCGTCGGGCTCGTCCATCCATACGTACAACTGTTGATATTCCTCGTACAACCCCTGAATCCCCATCTCGCTCATCTTGGGCTTTGAGTCTCGAATGTGTTGCTCAGAGTGGAATAGTGCTCGTGCATATGCCTTGCCGCGGAAAGCAGTGTTCACAATCAGCTCGTGCGAGATCGACATCAAGTGATTCTGCACGGTCTGCAGGATGGGGTCTTGCTGGGTTCGCTGGTTTCCTGGGAGTCTTGTGCGCGAGTTTCTGCGTTGCTGTATCCACTTGGTGATATGGTCCAATAGCACGAACGCAGTCTATCAGATGCCAAAACGGGTGCGAGTAGAAATACTATCTGTCAAAACACAATCATACACATCTTAGCTTGGCATAACTTCCGGCCAAACATTTTCAACATGTCCATTGCAGTTACCTGAGAGCCAAGTTGATGTAGTTCGCTCATAGACTGATTGGGTAGACCAGAAATGAGATGTCCGTTCTCCAGTGTTAAGTCGTGTCCATCTCCCAGAACGGCGGCCATCTCGTTAACAATTTCGCGTTGGTCCCTTTCGGATCCCTCGAGTAGGACATGCAGGACCAAATGAGGTAGGATATAGAGGCTGGTGGCAGTATCGTACGGAATGACATGCTTACAGGCTTGAAAAACATCCTTGGCGTTTCGGCCAATGACTTTTGCCGTGAGTGAAAGAGTCCAACGAGTGAGCCATTCTTGAAAGGTCTTGACGTATGGGTACAGTGGAATATGCTGCTCCGGCGGGGTTGACGTCTCTGTCTTCTTGTACTTGGCATCGATCAACAACTCCAAGACCTCCTGGACGTGACGCGGGAAATCTCGCCATCGCTCTTTGGGCATCTTGAAGCTTGTCCCCAGTCTCTTGGGAGGTTGAACCGCGGGAGTAGACACATAATACGACTGTTTAGGCGTACCACTGTTACGCTGAGAGATCCGGCTCGACAAATTAGCCGCAGGTTCAGTTTCCAAGACATCTTTGGTTATGCCGCAGAACGAGAGTAGCTCCTGGAGAGTGAACGCCCAGTGACTTTCCGACGGGACATCGCCAATCGACCGACTCTTCCCGACCAGCTGGACCGCGATCAATTCACAAACAAAGTTCCGAGATTCCTCGAGATCGTTCAAGTTGGCATAGACAGTCGTGGTCGTGCTTGTACGCCGACCTGATATCCTATCCGGGTCAATAGCGCCGATGATCCCAAGACACTCTGCGCAAGCCATCGGAACTGGCGCATCGAGTCCTCTGAAACGACTGATCTCGGAAAGAAGCGTCAGGACAAGATTGCTCAGGAGTTCATTCGGCTCCTGGTCCTCGCTTGTTGCCATGGCAAGGAGTCTCTCCTCATTCGCCATTAGGAATTCCCTCAGCTCCACTACAGCCTGCCTCGCAAGTTCTGAATCCTCGCTTCCAAGCCGGTCTGCCAGCCCCTGAAGTTGCTGTTCAAAGCCATTGGCGGTTTTCGCAAGCTGAAGAATAATGTTCATCTGCTCAAAGTCAGGTATCGTCGGCAGGGCTCCAACATCAGGCAAAACCTGGCGAAGCTTGTCTTGAGACTGAACAAGGAGATGGTCAAGGACGCCGAATATGATTTCCTGCTCCAACTTGTTGGAGTTGAGGTAGAGACCACCCAGGGACTGGACAAGATGACCGACCAAGGATTCAAACTGCATGGGCTCTAGCAAATCGATAATACTTTTCAGAGCACGAAGCGCATGGATACGAAGTCCTCGGAGATTCAACGCCATGTTCAACGGGGAAATGATCTACTCGCGATTAATGAGACGTAACGATCATTAATACCTTCACTGTTATGGTTATTCACTATAATACGAGGTAACGGCAATGCAATAACATGATAGTCATACCTGTGAGAGCACTGTGCTTTGAATCGGCTGCAATAGTTCAACCAGCGCGGACAAGCTGCGGAGATGCTTGGCCTTGGTCCCAAGAGTGATGCGTTGGCCAGTGTCCATAATAGCCTTGTTGATTTCCGACAAAACGGCGAGGATGTGCTGTTGTAAGAAGGTAGCGAGAGAGCGCCGCTCTGACGCTCGTTTGGATGGGTTGTTATGCTGCCAGTCTTTCTCCTCTACGACCTCGATGACCTTCTTGGCCTTGCTACGAACCTCCGGATTCTCATGGCCAAGCTCAAAGCTCACACGTATCAACAGCCCAACTTTAGAAGCTGTAATTAAGGCTGCGATACCCAAAACATCTGCCTGAAGCTCCCCATTCGGTTTCGCTTGATAAAGAAGGCTTCTCAGGAGCTCAACAGGAGGTCCAATGCCGTCGTCGTTGTGCATGAGGATCCCTGCCATGATATGGTCTAGGTGCTCAATACAAAGGGTGCCTGCATCTACTGCCATGAGAGCCGCCACCTTCTCGATCAATTCTCGACTGAGAAGGATGACCAGTTTAGGAAGGATTCCTGAAATGTTCCTCTTCAAAAAATTCTTCTGTCCCAGCTCTGTCCAACTGTAAAGAATCTCCAGCCAGTTTTCCTGACCGGCATCCAACTTCTGGATGACTTGCGTGCAAAACAAGTCATTCTGGGGTTGGAGGAAGGTCGTATGCGTCAGGTTCTTGTCCTTCGCGATTTTCGCCATCTATGAAACCATAGAATGAACTATGTTAGAACAAAGACATTTTGTAACAACCACGATTTAAATCGTGCAGTTTCTGTTTGTCTGCATGAACTATACCTCTTCGAGAACCAAAGTCGACCGAAAAGAGCTCGACTCCGCAAAGACTTGATCAATCAATGCAGAGAGCAGGCGGTTGTATACAGGATGATCCTCAGGGAGATGCTGCATCACACGCCGGCACAATGGGAGGTGATACGCGAGGCGGGTCATCTTCAACGATCCAGCGATTTTCCTTGCTATGGAATCGCCAATTCTAGCCAAGCTGCCATCCAGACTTGTGATCGCCAGTGGATCGTCAACTAACATCGCTCTTACCCTCTGAGCAAGAAGTTCGACAATATCTCTGGAGCAAAAGGCAAGTGGGAAAATAGACGCGTTATGAGAACATCACTGTGAGCCCAGAAGTATAGTTTGAAACACGTATATGAAAAACGTGAACCTTACCCGGCGGCTTCTCTGATGTCCTTATTCTGGTCATCGAGTTGAGTTAGCATGAACTTGCCGAATTCGACAGATCTCAAGTCTTGACCACGGAGATCCAGGTGACAGAAGACACGGTAGAGTCCCTTGAGGAGGGCCAACCTCGAGGTGTCCGTGGCGCAAGTTCGGATCAACCACTGAAAAGGATGTAAGAAAGCAAGACCCATGCTACTCTCGACGGGCTCTTCTGTACGGGTTCTTGATGCAATAGCCGGATCGGACGTTGAGCGATAGCAAGAAGAACAAACTCTCCGCAGATAAATGGCCTGGTCCATCACGTCATAGGAATGCGCCGGTAGAGCATGGCGTTCCATCGTCGAAACTCCGCAAGCGATAACGCCCATACTCGAAGCAAGTGTCACCAGTACGTCTTCTTCAATTCCTTCGCTACATAAGAAGCTAGGAAAAAATGATAGTTTGATTATGAGAATGTGGGCAAGGGCGGACTGTATGGATACTTTGAACATATCCTCTGGCAACAGAGGAAACTTACCCCAAGGCGGCTTCGACGGTGATCTCCATGTTCGGGCTTGTTGCGCTGAGAACTGACAAGGACTCGATAGTCACAGAAGTCAGTGAGTGACCGCAGCCTCTGGCACAGACGTGATCAGGGTTGTTGTGAGAGAACTTGAGGGTATCGATGATCACCTTGACCCTCCATCCAGCGAGCTGTGAACAATAAGGGAGAGTGGACATGACTAGCATGGCCTTGCATTTTTGCGGGAGGAAGCTTTCGCTAGCCTGAAGCAGGGTGGGATCATCTCGAAGGTGTGTTAGAATCGCCGTCCTTTCGAGGACCCTGGCGAGAACATTGCACAATTGACGTTCTCCTGATATGCTGTCGATATGTGCACTAGGGCTCACAGGCATAGAGGACCAAAGTTCCTTGTTAGAAATGTCCGTGAACCAGGGCCCTGACGACAAGCAGATGAGCAACTCGTTGAACGACTCGTTGGTACCTATATGTGTCACGAATTGGACGTCAAGCATTAGTTCTCTTAAACAAAACTTATAACACAGCATGAAGATACTCTAGTTACCACATACTCAGCGTTGATACAGTTGCCACGATATCCAAGACAAGCGGATACGAGGACTCCAGGTATGACCGGTTCAAGGACGCGTTCTAGAAGTTTACACGAGTCGGATATGTCAGTCTAAATTCTCACAAAGAAATGACGAAACAACACACTACGGCAAGACGGTACTTACATGCATGCCTGGACTCAAAACCCAACGCAAGTATTGCTTGCCGATGAGCTCTACAATCCCAGTAAGTTCTTCGGCCTTGCGAGTAGCACCTTGAGTGTCTTGGCGGGGAGGATCTTCAGTCCATAAAAGCAGGATGATGATAATTGCACGGAGATCATTCACAGAGAGGTGAGGCTATAAGGAAAGTCAACAAGGCAGAATAAATGAGCGATAGGGTGAAAGTCTGGATGCAAAATTCGCGCAGACAAGGTTCAAACAATGGCACAATTTGAACATACTTGGACTCCCCGAGGACCTTGGCTCGCTGTGTGACTGAAAGCAGAGTTATCGGTGAACTTTTTTAGCATGGCAAGCAGGTACTCGGAAGGTGACCAAGGTTTAGAGCCGCCGTAGTGCTGCTTTCCCGGCCACTGCGAAAACTGAGAGGCGCTGACGATACTGGAGCATGCAGCAGACTCTAACGATGCCACGTTAAACACTTGGCTGTCCAATCTGAGTCTCTTTCCAGGCCATTCAAGACTTCTAAAGTAACAAATGTGAACGCGAATTAAAAAGCTGAAGAGCCAGAACGAACACGCCACGATTTAAGAATGCGAGTTTCTCAGACAATGGTCAAAGTAAAACATGAGGCGAAGGTCGCCTACCCAAGTTGCATTTGATCGTACTCGATATCCTCTGGGGCTCTCTTGGAGGACGACATGACATAGCCCTGCTCATTCTGAGTCGAGTGTATGGGTTGTTTGGGAGGTCCAGTACGATCTGCACCATGTTCTCTTCCGAACTCGTTGACCCGAACGTACTCCAGAATGGACCCCACGAGGTCCACGAGCAAACCTAGTTCAAGGTGCACGAAGTTCTTGAGAATGTAATCAACGCTGGCCAATGGATCTTCGAAAAATCCGGTGGGGATCATTGCGGTGGCAATCCGAAAAAGGGCGTGCTTTGGTGGGAATTTAGTAAAGGAGAGAGAAAGGTTAGAGAATGCTCTTGTAAATTTGAGGTAAAATATAGCGTAATTAATTGATGGCATACCTGAACGCTTCTCCCGCTTTCATCGTCGCTCAAAAGTAGGAACTGGTCCGAATGTAGGAGCGATACAGCCAAGAATTGAGATTCATGGGACTCGAATATGGCGGGGTTTGTCTCAACAGCATGTTCGTTCACCGAGGCCAAGCACTCCGCCAGCATAATCTCAAGAGATGCGATCGCCGGTACCTCCTTCCTGTAGTCCTTGACAATTGATGTCCTAGATGCGGCCCCGGCGTTCCACTCTGTGCAGCGGCGATTGAGAGTCATGACGTGGTGGTGAAGGATCTCTAAAATCGATCGGGATATAACAGGGTAGTATCGGTAGCCAAAGTTTGACAACGAGACGGCCTCCTTGATGCAATGGCCACAAGCTTGGTAAAGCTGGAAAATCGAAGCCGAGCTTGCCGAAAGGTGTCGTTGACCGCTCCGATCGCTTCGTGCAAGTTGTCCATCGGGAAGGAATAGGTCAATGAGGGAGCAGGAAACCTTGAGCAGTGCGATCCGCTGGTCGTCATCCGCCTTATACACTGGCCACTCTGCCGATTCGCTGCGGTGGCAAAACAGGGACAACAGAGACGACACGACAGTGAGGGTGTCATCGACATGCGCGAACCGAAAGGTCATCCAGGTGGGATCATGGTCGTGGAGAGACATGCTCTTGAAAACACTCATTTTGACGGAGCAAGTACTTGGGTATGTCGCGTTGTTCATAAACTGTGTGATCTCTATTAAAAATTCCAAGTGCACGGTCAGCAGAGCGAACACACCATCAAACAATTTGAACTGAACATACGGCCTTAACGTGTCGGGGCAGCAACATCTACTTACCCTTCAGGATGCCAAGGATAACATGAAAATATGCCTTTGTTCGCGTCTGTACTCCGGATTTGATGATAGCGGTGTGTGCATTCTCCGAAAAAGCCAGGGCTGCGCCTACGGAAGTGAGGGCAGTGATAACGTCGCTGTAAACGGTGGAAAAGGCGGGTACGGCGAGGACGGGAGCCAACGTCGAGAGAAGAAGCCACTCTAAACGTTGACTTGCTTTATCGCTGGAAGTTGCTGTCAATCCGAGTTCAAAGGCCTGCCTCAAGGATCCAAGTCTCCCCATATTGATGATGAGTTGAAGCTTCTCGGTCATCGCAGCCACGGTCTCTGCCGAAGACTTGGATCCTATATGTACAAACGCGTTTAGTGCCAGTAATCAAACTATCGAACCGAACATCCAATCGAGCTGAACATTCACGCGCATTCTTCACGTACCATTATGAAAGGACGTCAAGAGACCTCCGATCCCGTTGTTATTGTCCTCGCAAACATTGACAAGGCCGTCGTAAACTAAGCGGTCAGTTGAAAATATACGCCACCAAAATTATTAGTTTTCGAGTCGAAAAGGAACAGAGAGAGAGAAGGAATGTGGCAAAAGGGGCACGTCTGTCGAGATGCAATGAACGTACAGAGCTTTGGGTTGTCGCTTGACTGGAGTGCTCCAGAATTCGTTCGTCCCAGCATCGACATGACTTTTCACTCCTGGATTCGGCTGAACGCGCTCGAGATTCCGAGAAAGAGAGACTCCAAGGCGAAAATACGTTTACGCCAGGAACCGATGAAGTTGTTTTGAGTGTCGGCGTGGCCCTGTTGTGGGAATTAGCGTCCTCTCTTATGGTCGTTTTGGGTGGGAAGAAACGCGAATGCAGTAGTGCGAAGGCGCGAGTTTGAGGATTTAGAGTGAAAAGGGGCTGCTGGTTGTTGACGATCAGTGTTGGAATGAGAGAGAGAACGAACAAACTGACTTTGCAGTGCAGACTTGCGCAGGGGGCATTTATCGCACGTTCAAGCGGTCACATTTTTTTATTAACTTTTCGCAAGCCAGTCAAGGTTGTCTACCTCTTCGCTTTCACTCCTCCTCCTTTTCTCCAAGGAGGCCCAAGTGGAGCTCAACCACCGTTCGACAGCAGAATATGTTCTTGAAGCTGTATCCATAGACACGTCGTACATTTGAGCGAGACGGTTCGAAACTTGACCCCAAAGTGGTCGCGCCATCCTGACCTGACTCCGACGGTGGTTAGGAAACTCCAGGAGATCGTGGCAAAACGCCAGAGTCTCCGTCCCGAACCCATCTTCCAGAAACGTCATATATCCTGGCCGGTCAGCTACATAATCCCTTCCCTTGTAGGCGATTGTTCCTGATATATGCACCTGCTCTTTGTCAAGGATCTTGCTCGCAATGGGCCTACATAACAATGGGGTTCAACTTCGAATTAATATACACGTCCATGGAGCTTTTATACCTCACATTACATTGCACGTCTTTCTAGAGGTTACCTGTACAAAAGCCCCATGACCACGATTTGTACAACGACAAGAAAGGCCAGCCATAGAAACATACGAAGGACCCATGCGATAGGTTTCGTCCAGATGGATTTCCTCCGCCTTGCTCGCTGGAATGAGAGGGGTACCGCGGCTGTGCTTCTTGGGGCTGGTGATGTTTTCCTTGTAGTGACCCGTTCTTCTGGACCTCTGTACTCAGAATCAGAGCTTGTATCGCTATTCAATTCTTGGCGGAGCTGGTCTTTCATTCCCCTTCGCTGACTATGACCCCGCTGGTAAGTCCAAGATAGCGTGCTGGCAGGATATGTAATATCGCTCTGGGAACTATCCCTCGTGATGTTCTGCGATCGATGGGCACCTGTCCCGTTCAAGATTCCTCGTTTAACTCCTGAAGATTTGTCGCCCTGGATCCGCCCGTTGTCCTTGTGAACTCTGTACTGATCCAGCTGTCGAGGATCGTGGCTACGTGTACGGTCGTGCACAGGGTCTTCTCCCTTTCCTTTTGGTGTTGAAAAACGGGCCGTTGCTTCAAAGGCGCGTTTCGGTTTCCTGGTAACGTCCCTGTGATTTAAAGAAGCCTATACAAATAAACTAAAGGTCGTAAGAAGTTTGAGCACCAATATGCGTCTGCTGCCATCCTCCATGCCTGAAGATTTGATTGACAAGAGATAAGATGAATTACTTTGTTCAAATCTGATGCTCCTACGTAAAGTTGGCTAGGAATTGTTGGCTCCTCACGAAGTCGCGGAAAATTGTTGAGACCATTGTTGGGTTCTACTGCGTTGAATGGTCGTTTCCTGGGTGAATCGACTGGCGCCTCTAGAGGCGGTTCGCACATTATAGCTGTTCCCGTACTATCGCATCCTGAATAAGACTCGGTAGATGCTGAAGCAGAAGAACCTCCAACGTCGACCTGAGAGTCCGGCAGCAAGGGGACATCCTTGTTTTCGCCATCGGCTTGCTTGCCACGGTGTGCTGCTGTAGCTGTTACAGAAGTCGAAGACCGAGCGTCGAATGTTGCCGGTTGGGCGTTCTTTGTCTGAGATCCTAAGATTATGGCCTGTAGTGCGAGTCGCTGCTTTTCTGTGAAGGATGTTTTCAGCGAGCCGATTCGTTTCTCCAGTGTCGTGTGAAGGAGGTCTGATCCATGCATGTTATCTTTCTCGTGCTGTGCTTTCGACTGTGTTGCTGGCTGTGCCGCGGGGAGTGGCCCTTGCTTTGGAGAATTCGACTGGCGAGTCTCCATCCTGGCATAAGAAGATGTGATGGACTCGCGTCTTGCGGTCCTGACTGCTGAGACCAGTTCGGCCTCATCCGATTCTGAGTTAGTTTCGACGTATGAGCGTTGCTTCTTGCTGAGATGATTAGGCCTGCCAGGCTGTGATTTAGTGCGGTTGTGAGATGTGGTTGCTGGTCGAGATAATGTTGATTGGATGGCGTTGGCTGATTTCCTCGAATGAGTGTCCGGAAGAGCGGTGCGGGCCTCTGCTCTGGATGTTGACTGGAAGATGGTTGCCTGTGGACGAAGTTGAAGGCGTTGTGGAACAGGAGACGATGATAATCGCCTGCTCTGGAGTGCAGGAACATCCGTATGCCTTGGCATTGAATCCTCTTCAAAAGCACTCGCACTTGAATCGCTGTTGCTGTTGGAATTGAAGGTTTCCTGGTGACCGATTACTGCTGGGCGATATTTCGCGAAGTTACGTCGTTGTCCTGTATGCGGCGCATTTTGGACACTAGTGCGGTGCCCTAGCTGTGCTTCATCGCCAAAAAAGTCTTCACTGCTTGTCTCTGTGCTGCTGGTAGCGGTGGAGAGATGGCTGAGGGTCCTTCGAGGTACAGACTGGGTAATGGTGTGCTTGACTGTGAGCGAATTGTCTTGTTCTTGTCGCTGTCGTACTAGTCCTTGTCCCCGTTGCTGCTGCTGTTGCTGCTGATTAGGTTGGTGATTGCGTTGTTTCTGTTGATTCCTGTCCATGGTCGTTGGTGAAATAGTAAAAAAACAAGGAACAGGCGGTGGGAGGGTTAAAAATTGTCACGTTCTCGTTGTTTGGTGCCTTTTTGTGCTCGCAATTCTCATGCATGCAACGCAGGGCACAGTGATTGGCGGACAGGGCGAGCAACAACGAAAGTCAATTTGAGTAAAAGAGGGCTTTATTTTTCTGGTCCAATTACCTACATTTTTTTTTTTTACGCTTGATCAAATTTATTTCTTGATACCTCAGTGCCAACAAAGCTATCAGTGATGGTGCCTGGATGGAGATCCACCTTCTTCCTGTTCACCGTCAACCTTCTTAGTGGCGAAGGGGATGGCATCGTTGTCATATGAACTGTCCTGACTACCATGCACAGTCTTCTTACTTTTAATACAAGCGTTCTTTGGTACCCTCTCTCTGTCTCTTTTTCTCTCTCCTGCCGTCCCTCTCGTTGAATCAAGGGATAGAAAAAATATCTTTTATTTCCAAGTTGCGACCCGATCTTACAAGTGGCGGCTTTTCCGATGAGTAGGGGTTGCATGCTTACTCTGTACATTATTATTATAAAAAAAAAACACTTTCGTGGGTTAGTTTAATCTTCGAAGAATAACGAGATAAAATATTGTACGAAGCATAAAACCATTTTTTTCTCGTTGTGGGAATGTAGAATAGAAGCTTTTGAGGAAGAAATAAAGCACTTGGATGGATCAAACTAGACATATTTTTAAACAAATAGAACACTGAGAGAAGGGGGATGGAGCTGGCAAGTGAAAAAAGGCAGTAGAAGAAAAGAGTGCAAGGACAATCGTCTTTGAGAGACGATGAAAATAAAAGAATGGACCTAGAGAGAGAGAGAGAGAGTGAAGAGTACGATTCATTAGCAGGTCAGATGCGACACAGAGGAGTCCCTATCACGCCTATGGTTGTAAGTGAGTGATATTAATATTGATATTGATACAAAGATCATCCTGAACAGAGTCTCTTCCTTCTCGAACGCGTCGCAATCATCCATGAAAAATATCCAATGTATTAAAAAAGAAAAAAGGAAAAAAGGAAAAAAAGACAAAAACCCCTCGTTGTCCGTGTTAAATTACCCTCCCCCCGCCCCTGAGCCCTAAAAGTCGTTCTGATGACATCATGTCGGCGCCCACAAGCAAGCTACCTCTCCTTCTACTCCTGCTTCCACTTCTTCTTCCGCCTGTTCTACTTGTTCTACTACTTCTTCCTTACTCCTCTTCTCTTTCAGCACTCGTCCCTCCCTCCTCTTCCATTTTTCCTCTCTTGTTACCCTACTCACCATGGCCTTCTTCCCCTTCCTCCTTTCTCTTCATACTTTGCTAATCCTCCTTTTTCGCTCTAAAAAAAACATATAAAAGCGACCAACTCTAAATCAAACCTGCTCTCTTTTCTCTTCTTTCTTTCCTCCTTTCACTTTCTTTTTTCCCTTCCCTCCCTTCCCTCTCCTTTCCCTTCCTTCCCTTCCACTCCCCTTCCCTCTATTTTTCTTTTCCATTCCATTTTGCCACCATCTCCTTCCTTCCTCTTCCTCTCTTCCTTCCTTCCCTCCATCCATCCTGCCTTCCTCCCTTCCTTTTCTACGTCTTTCCCCTTCGAGTCACTCCTATTCATTTCTTCTTTAACGAATCTCACCACTCTAAAATACTGACTCTTCCTTGTCTACATCACACACCCTCATATACACGCAAACACAAAGGAGAGCTTTTTTTTTCAAATGAACAATTCACAACCTTCTCCTTCGTCCCCACCGACCTCATTCTCTTCTCAAACCATGGCCCAACCGCTGCCTGTTCATATTCCCCCACATCCCGCTAGCCCGACCTCCTTCTACTCTGCTTCGCCTTCGTCGCTCCCCTCTGACCTCATATTACCCCTCTCGTCCTGCTCCCTGCTCGACAATGGTGCCTCCACCCCCAGCCAATCCTCGCACCATCACCAACAACAACAACAACAACAACAACAACAACAGCAGCACCGACCACCAGTAACAGCTATGCCAGCATCAGCAAAAAGATCACTATCGTTCTCCTTGGCTGTCGAAAGATCTGATAATGCCAGCACATCTAGCAGCGATAACTATACCGTCGCCACCTCCAGTCGGCGTGCCACAACGCAAGATCATGTTAGCGTCCCCAATATTGTCAGACAAGCAAACCACTCGAACAAGGTGAACCAGGAGTTCGACGATTCCAGGATCGACCGGTCAAACAACAGCAACGTCAACAATGGCAATGGGCTGGACAACATCGACGACAATAACAGCAGCACTTTGATTACTGCTGCCAGTCATGGCTCTACTGCATCGTCACCTATTTCTTCCAGCAGACCCATCAGTACCGCCATCAAATTCAGCTCTTCTTTACCGCCTTCACTAAAACAACGACCGAACCCCCCAGCGCGTCTCAAGAGCGATCTCTACTATGGACCCTCTACCAGAACACCAAGCAGGAGCCAGACCATGGGCACCAACTCTCACTACACCTCCAGCGGACAAAACTCGCCTGGGACATCCATCTATTCTTCCGACGACTCTGTTCCAGATTCGCCCATGTCTGGCCCTGACGAAGCTGATCTACTCGTCAACTCGATTTGCTCACCCCTGTCTGCTCTGAACAAACGCAAGTCCTTAGGAGCCCTCCTCGCCGCTAACACCCTCGCCGCCAGCAGTAACAACAACAAAGTCATTGTCAACAGCACCACCAGCGCCTCTCCCTCGTCCCGCAAGGAGGTCCTTTCGCCAACGTTTCGTGCTAAAAGCGGTTTCCCCAAGCCAACGTCATTTGCTGCGGCTAATGCCCCAGGTGCCTCCCTTCCCACGCCAGAGACCTCAGCCAAAAAGATTTTCGTCCCAACAAGTCCCCGTGTGCAATCGCCCTCAGCCATATCCGCACAGATCCAGCGCACGCTCTGGCCCACCTCGGACATTCTGGACGCATCAGATCAAGGACTGCCGGACATTGACGTCGACAGCCTCCAAGACTCTGGATCAATCGCCGATCACGACGACAACACCTACGAGGGCGACGCTGATACAGAGGGTGACTTGGATGACGACGAGGGCGACGATTCGTGGCATTCGGCGGACGAGGACTTTGGAGGAGAAACTAGCGCCTACCATTCGGACTCACCGGCCTTGCCTCTCGTCCCATTCACCAACCAGGTTGGAGGTCATGCCTCCTTCCTTCGCTTTTCCAACAAGGCCATCTGCAAACCTGTGAGCGAGAACGAACAGGTCTTTTATGAGTATCTCGAAGCACACCATCCCGAAGTTCTGCCATTTATCCCCGCCTACCTGGGGGTGTTGAATGTCACATATCGACAGCTACCCGACCCGGAGGGTGGAGACAAGCCAGGAGAGGTCGTCCCCGAGGTTGTGCTGGAGGAGAACCGTCACATCGTCACGGATGCGATGCTGGAAAAGATGAAAAAGTCGTGGAAGTGGCCCTCGACTCCTGGCAGGTTCCCTGGATCGACCGTCGACATTGTCGAGGAAGGTCGATCGCTTGCAAGTCGTTCTCTCTTGGGCAATCGTGATCGTTATTTAGACCCCTTCCATGGATCGTCATCTGTACCAACCCATTCGAGCCTCCCCATTCCGTCGTCTATATCGAGTCCGGCCAGTTTCGCCAAGATCCGGGGTCTGACAAGGATCAATCTGGCGCTCAAGGAGAAGGTTCTGCGGGAAGTTCTCTCACCGCACTCTCTGCGAGCTCGTGCAAAAGCATTCCGTCAACATTTTGGCTTTGCGACAAAGTCCCGGAATGACCTCTGTTCTCATTCCCATGACTCGCAGGACGAAGGATCCCAGGATTACATCAGGCAGGTCCCTCGACGCCATTCACTCTCGAACCTAAACCTCGCCATGGCCTCACGCGAGGAGCACAAGAAAAAGGAGTTGTCAAGTGCAGGACGTCGCCGGGGGCTCGAGTCGCCAGGAAGGTATCATTCCGGGCCGGAAGGTAGTCCAGGCACCAGCAGCGGTATCAGCCCTGGCAGGGAGCTCAAGTTGAGTCGGTCTCAGGAAGCGCCGGATGCGCAGCGGCACAGGACAGATGATACCGCCATTGACAATGATCTCGATTCGACAGGCCATAACAACGACATGTTTCACATGGACGACCTGGAATTGCCTGAAACTATGCTCCACGTCCAGTCCTTGTCAGGCCGCGGCAGACCAGCTATCCAGAACAACAAACGGGGACCCACGCAAGCTGAAGATCTGGATGGAGGTGCCATTCCGATCGGGCGTAACGAGTGGATTATCGATGGTTCAAGGCGTCTCTGCGACCTTCGATCAGAGTCGACGTCACATGCGTTCAGGGGTCAGTCCGATTCACTACAGGAAGGATCAGCGCAGAACGGTGACGAACAGGACGCACCAAAGCGAGGGATGCTCCCATCCGACCCTGTCCCCGGCAAGTACATTCTCCTTGAGGATCTGACGGACGGTCTCATGGCACCGTGTATTCTCGATATTAAGATGGGAACGCGGCAGTACGGTATCTGGGCCTCGGACAAGAAGATGAAGAGTCAGATGCGCAAGTGCCAAAAGACTACAAGCTATGAGACAGGCATTCGTATCTGCGGCATGCAGGTAATTGACCAATGCATTTTTATAGTTTCATTGATTGTTGTTTCTTTTTGGAATTCATTTTATTCTTATCAATTAATATCGTTTGCCACTCTTGCAATTGACTACAACACAGGCATACAATATCACCACGGGACGGTTCTTGTTCCAGAACAAGTACTATGGCCGGAAGCTGACCAAAGAGACGCTACCACTTACCCTCAGAGAGTTTTTCTTCAACGGATCTGAGGTGGTCTTGGCCCATATACCAATTTTACTGAGGAAACTCAGGGATCTCGCCAAGATTATCAAGACCCTGAACGGCTATCGCTTCTACGCCAGCAGTCTTTTGATCTACTACGACGGCGACAATGCACCCCAACTTCCCAGTGTGCAGAGTCTTATTTCTCAAGGAACGACGACGACAACAACACGCTCAGCTCCACCACCTGTCAACACGTCATCATCCGCCCCAGGTCGATCCCCCTCGATGGCACCAGAATTGGCAAACGGAACTACGCCAGGACCTCGATCTCCAACGATGTCAACAACGTCAACGGCGACGGCGGCGGTACCGAAAAACGTAGGAATGCTCCGACAGGGCGGAAACGGTAACAAGAACCTCTCAGACCCATGCAGAACGGATCTTAAGGTCATTGATTTCGCACACTGTACACCAGGCATCTACGACGAGGATGCGATGCCTCCCTACCCACCAATGCATCCCGACGAGCCGGACAAAGGATACCTACTCGGCCTCAAGAACTTGATGATGATCTTTCGCGACATTTGGGACGAGAATGGTGGTGACGAGAGCGTTTCGCTTGTATGGCTCAAGCAGGAGGAGGAGCTTTGGGATGGTGTCTGGGAGTAGTCGTCTTTGGCTTCAACAAGCACTAATGCATCCATTGTACAGTTTTTTTTTTTTCATTTTTTGTAAACTAAAATTTTAAATTGTTGTTATTATGTGAATGATGAATCTATGTAATCGGTAAATCGTTGTTTGGTGATGTGTGTTTAAAAGGAAAGAGGGGGACGGGAGGCACATTATGCTTTGTTCGAAAGATGATGAGGGGAACGAACTTTGCGGACGACAGGGATAACCAATTCATGCTCCATGTCACCAAAGACGACATCGACGGTGACTTGATCAGAACCGGTCCAGGCAGAAGGAGGAGGGATGTAACGCACCCGTGACAAGGCCCGGTTCAATTGTGCCATGGTGACAGACTCGCCCAGATCCAACTCGACCTTGCGGTTACCGGCGCCCAGGGCGTCCATAGCCACTGAACCCTCGCGAACTGTGATCACGATCGAGGCCTTCTTGGTCGTCTGTATCTTGGGCGAGGCGTTGGGTGCAGGGCGATGGATACCACGGACAAAGATGGCATCAACTCCTTGGAAGTTACCGGGGGTCTTTTCGATGACGGTACCCTTGATAGCTGTAGGCCCTGAATTCGCTGCTGGCAAGACGTGGTAATAAAGAGTTGTGGGACCTTGCAAGATGGGCAGCGAGGTGGAAGTGAACCCTGCGGCGACATTGTTGTGGTTGGTTGTAAAGATATCCAAGCTCCAGATCTTGAGAGCCGCAGCAACGACACTGCCGTCCTCAATCGTCTTCCTGCTCGTGACCTTGCCGTAGAGGTGAAGGCCGATTCCACGCTCCTCGATCTTCTGCAACTGCTCCTCGGCGTCCTTGGACGACTTGAGGGCCCCCTCAACCTCCTTCCAGTTGAAGGGGTAAAGAGCTTGGCGGGGCAGGATACGGAGACCGTTGTTCTCGAGTGTTTCCCGGTGGGACTTGACGTAGGTTGTGAAGGCCTTGGGACCGCCGCAGTTGAAGCACTTGGGGTCGTAGTTGGTGACGGTGAAGTAGCCCTCGGCGATGTGGCGGAACATGGAGCGTCCACGCTGGAATCGCATCACTCCGTTGGCCAGGTAGGTGTTTGTCTCGTCCAAAGTCCAGGAACGATCGTTATCGTTGTCAGACAGATCGGCACCAATGAACTCTGTAACTCCATCGCCAGGGGCGCGGACCCATAGTGCATCCATGTCCATGTAGAGACCACCATACTTGTAGAGAGCGACCAATCTCAGATAATCGGCCAAGTGGACGGGGAAGAACTCGCCTCCCTCGGACCACTCGTCCCACCGCTTCAGCCACTCCTCGGTGTTGGGGCTGAAGAACCACTTGCGCTTGAGGAGCAACTCCTTAGAGAAGGAGAGGATGTGGATTTGGTAACCCTGGCGAGTGTAATCCTGGAAGTAGTCAGCAGGCAAAGTGTTCGACAGAATTAAGAGAATAGCATCGGGGTTGTGGACAAAGACGGTCTCGATCGCCTGGAAGTGGCGAGCCTGCCATGTGGTCGTAGGGTCGGTGGTCCAAATGGCCCAGTGCAACCTAGCCCAATCGTCCGAGTCCGAGTAGATGCTGCTGGCGTCACTCAAGAGTCCGGGCAAGATCCATTCATCCTTGGTACTGTAGGTGGGCATGGGATCCTTGATGTCGACAGAGTACTGGCCGGCATACAGAGGTGCGTTCTTGTTCAAGCTGGTGATGCCCTTCAGGTTGTCGCAGGCAACACCCCAATCTCTCCAGTGGTTGACACGACCGATACACGAGTAGCAGGCTGTGCAGTAGACTTGACGGAATCCTTGGCAGAGGGGACGGTTCTCGACTACGTTCTTGTACATTGAATGCATGGACTCGGCAGGCACAAAGTCGTCACTAAAATGCTTGGCGAGCATGTCGTTCTCGCAGACATCCCACTGCTGGATACGCTTGTCGTGAATGGGCTTGACGTTGAAAGGGTGAAGCCAAATACCGATGTTCTGATCCTCGTTCTTGGTAAAAAAGCGGGGACCGGGATAGGTGAGCAAGGTGACGACGTCTCTGGAGAAGATGTAGAGCGATCCTGCCACGTATGGAGGGAAGACTCCGAGCTTGTACTGACTGTCGCTGTTCTTGTTCTCTGGGTTGTGGATAGGCACCATATCCCTAATTATAGGAAACAACGAATATTAATACAGTTGCTTCTTATTACTTGTGCCGAGTGAGGGGCGAAATGCAACAACATGATTAGACTGAAACCAGACCAAAATAGACAGTCAAGGGTTGATTTACCAGAAAGCAAGACCTCGCCAGTAGTAGTGAGTTGGTCCAATGTCCATGAGCTCCTGGGCGACAGTGTCCCATCTAACAAAGATATCGTCGTCGGTCTTGCACAAAAAGTCGAATTTGAAGTTGTTGCCCCACTCCAGACCCTTGAACACCTTGTGACTCAGGTCTTCATACGTATCCGAGACAGGCAAAAACAACAGGTCGCCGTACTTGTCCTGCTCTGCCTTCAACTTGCTACCCATGGTATCCCTGACGCGAGCGTTAGGGGCCTCGCCTAAAATGAACTTGTAGGTGTATGCAAACTGCGCAGAGGGTGGTGGCAAAAGTCTCAAGGTAGTTTCACGGCCATCCTGACGTTTCCGTGCTGCCTTGGGGGTCCAGGAGGTCACAATCAAGATCAAGATCTGGAGCTGTGCGTTGCCCATGACCTGCTTAGCAGCGTTAGCTGAGGCAATGGCAGCAGCACCTGCAGTGGCCAAAGCCTCGGCAGAAGAAGGGCGAGCGTTGTTCTGGTATAGGAGCATCATCATTGTGATAAAGGAGACAATGCCTCCGGGGACGACCACGGTTCGCAAGATGACCCTCCAGTGATCCGAGTCTGATCCTGCTCCAGTGCCGCCCAAGTTTCCTCTGGAGGACTTTTGGGAACCCATCCGGTAGTTGCCCTGGAATCGAAAGTGGATGATTTGGATGATTTGAGCGATGGCGAGGAGTGCGCTGATGGCCATCCAGGGCCAGATGGGTTTGTCGTCGCCAAAGTAGCTGACAAAGGTGACGACGGAGAACCAGTAGATGGTGGCAAGGGTGAAGAGACGGATGAGGGCAGGGCGGGGTTCGTAGTGGATGAACCAGCGACGGATCAAGTTGTTTGTCAACCATGAGCTCCAGAGACCCACAAGCATACACTAGTGGTATATGGATAGAAAAAGAGGGATGGTTCAGTGTCCGTTGGTTTGGTATTTACTGCGAGTGTGTGTGTGTCAGTGAGTGTGTGTGGGTGTGTGTGCGTGCTTTCAGGTCCCAAACGAACAAGCAAACAAAGAAGCAAGTTGCTCGTTTTAGAGTAAGCAGAGCACACAACGTGTCTGGACGAAAAGAAGTAAAGAAAAATTGCACCAATCAAAAATCGCCAATTGCCTGACCCTCCACTCCGTGGATGGAGTAGGATCAGGGATGATGGGCGAGTGCATTGTGTATATGTACAATTCAATAGGAGAGCAGGGGCAGGGTCAACTGGACGACAGAAAACAGTAAAACTCAGCACATGAGAAAGAACGAGAACAAGAAAAAAAATACAAATCAAAGTTTGGCCTGTCCAATAAGATACTTGATAAATGGATGAAGCGGTCAGGGTATCGCGGAACAGGGTGCTGGTACGACAAGGGAATGAACAATGAGGGACGGCAGGCAAACGGATAAAATCATCCGCTGAGAGACAGAGAAAGTGAGAGAGAGAGATAGAGGGAGAAGGGAAGAGAGAAACAAAAAAAGAAACAGAGAGATCAAAATGACAGAGGAAGAAATAGAAAAAGAAAACTCACCCAGAGGATGCCAACATAGATATCGAGGGTCGTGCTCTTCATAATCATCAATGCTCGTGCGTCGCGATCCTGAATGCTCTTTGCTTGCTGGATATGGATATAGATGCCCCAGACCGCAGGGCAGAGACAGAGAACGCGGAGAATACGGCTGAGGGGCACATACTGACTTGGCACGTCTCGCCCTGAGTAAAGTGGTGGCCGTGGCTAAAGCAATTCAAATCCAAAATAAAAATAGCGCAAGTCGTTAGGTGAAGGAACCAAGGTCGATAGTGTCTTTTTGCATATTATTATTTTTCCTACTTCCAGGCACCAAACCTCTGATACCGATCTGTCTATCCAGAAGTGTCCTGATGTGGGGTATATCTTACCGGCTGCATTGGATCCTGTTTAGAGTCGGTTTGGCGGAGTAGGAGTGGGAGTAGTGGAGGTATGAGTTGCTGTCGTTTGTGCAAGAACAAGCAGGGAGGTGATCAGAGTCGAGATGATGATGAGAGTGCGGCAGCCACTCTTGACAGATCCCGCTAATGATTCAAGGGTGTTGCTGTGGCCAGGGAGTCCAGTCGAGAGTCAGGAATGAGCGAGAGGTGTCCGAGGAGATGATGATGCAAGAGTGTCAGGCACAGAAAAAGAACAGAAAAGGAAAAGAAGAGAAGAAAAAAGTGGAAGCAGCTTGTGCGAAGGAGGAAGTCAAGGCGGGGGCACAGACAAAACTGCAGACGGCGGAGGACAGAAGGCAGGCAGGCAAGGAAGCACAGTGGTTAAGGGGATCGACGGACTGGCTTTTTTCAATGTCCATTTCATTAATGCACCACGCGCGATTTGTGCGTTGTTTGTTTATGTCGGTTTTTTTGTTCCTGAGCGCGTCTTTTGCATCTCCTTCACCACCTGAACGCCTTCTCTCCTTGCTTCTTTCATCATCTCATTCTCCCTCACACAAACACATAACCCCACATGAGCAGCAGGACAAAGCGCAGGGCAGCAGACAAGTCTGTCAGCTCACCTCTCGCCAAGCTCAGAGCCGCAAGGGCTGCAAGAGAATCCGGCATCTCTCGCATTCATCAATACGAGGTACAGAGACCTACATTCCATTTTCATTCATAAGGGTGGTTTATGTTTCTTTGCATTGTTTTGTGTACAGCTCAGCTAACAAATTAGCGTAATTCCTTTGATACATACAGGTCGAGGAAGCTGAAGTAATCTATGATGAGGTGGACGACGACGACCGAGTGAGCAAAAGACTGCGACAGGAGCACGACGATTTTGTGGACGATGACGACGGCAGTGGATACGCCTATGACGACGAAGACGAAGAGAGAGTATACTACTCGGACGAATACCCAGAAGAACGAACCGGCAAAGGTACACCTTGATCTTGCAAGTTACGCTCTTCTTTTAAATTAGCCGGGAGTAGGCTTGCGGACTTGCTTACGCTAACTCCCGTCTCTCGTTGGATACAATAGGGTCGAAAAAGAACGGAAAGGGATCTGCGCCGGCAAAGGACGTTCCAAAGCCCAAAGCCAAGGAGAACATCAGAGATGCATTCATGAAAGCAGGAGCCCAGCCCAGAGTTAACAAACCAGTGGTGGTATGGCCTCAATTCAAAACTCACTAAATGTATTCGAATACGTCCATGATCCACTACCCACTCCATTCTCTAACGCAGAATGTTGTTATTCTATTTAATTTTCTAGTCGAAAAGGACTACAGATGACGACGACTTCATGGCGGCACTTCTCCAGGGTATGGACCCCGGTACTGCAACCACCCCTACAAAGAAGGTGGTAAAGCCAAACAACAGAGTTGCTGTTCAGACACCTACGGTAAGCAAACTATGTCCGGATCAAATATCGGCTTACTCAGCCTTGCAGCACTCCCTTAACGCCTTTCATCCTACAATTGATCTCGCACGTCTAGCGCGCTCTGATCTCCAAGCTAGGACCCCTGAAGATCAAGGATGAGGAGGTGGATGAGCCCCCACAAAACCTGGCTTCGAAGGTTCAGGAGACAGACTACGATGACTTTGGTGACAGCTATGATCTGGAAGATTCTTCTTGGGCAGACACAGAAGTCAAAAAAGAAGTCCAAAAGGACGTCAACCCGATAATCAAGACTGAGCCCAAGGACAACAACCCCTTCCAGGTTGACGAGGACGATTACTCACCGCCGGTTATGAAGGAGATCAACATCAAAGGTTTCAAGGCTCCTATGTCACTTGTGAACGATTCTAGCAAGAAGGAGAAGGCGACCGTTGTGAAGCAACCGGACAGCGACAGTCGACAGAACTGGATGACCGTCGATAACGACCTCAACCAATCTACCTCCGAGACCAAGGTAGAACCCGACATGGCCGTAGATGTTCATGATTCCAACATCAAGGAGGAAGACGGCACACTGCGGATGTACTGGATCGATGCGTGTGAAATTCGAGGAGTCGTCTACTTATTTGGCAAGGTAGGAAAGGGGAGACTATGAGGATCGTCTGTTACCATTGCTCTCTAGCTAGGATGCGACCAAAATGCTTATAGTTCTTTTTCATTGATCTCGACTATCTAGGTTCTTCAAAAGTCAACCAACACATACGTCAGCTGCTGTGTGGCGGTTCACAACATGGAGCGCAACCTTTTTGTTCTTCCACGTTCTCACCGTGTCGACTCTGAAGGCAAGAAGACGAATGTCGAGGTTGAAATGGCTGATGTTTATACAGAGTTCGACAGCATCCGCCAGTCACACAAGATCACGTCTTGGCTCTCAAAGCCAGTCGAGAGAAAGTACGCCTTTGAACTCCCGGGAATTCCATCAACAGCCAAGTACCTGAAAGTGGTTTACAAATACTCTCGTAAGTTTTCATGGCCTTTTGTCCTTGATGCGTTATCATGTCCATTCAGCTCCGCTAGATGCACAGTATCTGACCAAGAAAAAAAAACATTCTCTTCCCAATAGTTCCAAGTTTGCCTACCGATCTTAAAGGCGAAACCTTCAGTCATGTCTTTGGAGCCAACACTAGTGCTTTGGAGCACTTTATTATTAAGCGCAACTTGATGGGACCATGTTGGCTTGAGATCATTCAGACAAAGACGAACAACACAAAGGTAACCCCAGTAGTTTCTCAACCACCTTTTCTGGCCTTTATTATTTCTTCAAGCAGCGATTACGCTCATGGTACAATCTGCCCTAACGCAACATTTTGCTGCGACACGCGATTAGGTTTCGTGGTGCAAGGCGGAGTTCATCGTGGACAACGAAAAGTATATCAAGCCCATGAATGAATCATCCGACTTGCCACCACCGCCACTTGTTGTGATGTCGCTGAGCATGAGAACCGTAATCAACCCCAAAGACAAGACAAACGAGATAGCCTCTGTCAGCACTTCCGTTTACCATGAAGGTATGAACACAAAGTTCCGAAACCTTTGTCTTTATAACTGAGTCAACAATCAACTAATCGAACAAGTATTATACTTATGTGTAACATGAATAGTTCGCCTGGATGACCCGGTTGAAAGTAGCAGGAGAAATGTTTCCAAGCAGACATACATTCGACCTCTCACAACCAGCCCTTTCCCTGTAGGCTTTGATCGGGTTGTGGAAAGTAGCAAGGTCAAGATCCTCAAGCAGCCCTCGGAGCGTACGCTACTCAATCTGCTGCTGGCCAACATTTTCAGGACCGACCCGGACGTGATTGTTGGACACAACTTTGTCGGCTTCGATCTGGACGTGTTGCTTCATCGTATGAAGCACACCAAAGCGGACCACTGGTCTCGTGTTGGACGACTTCGTCGTACAGTGTAAGTTACTCCTCTTGTGCCACCCCAACCTAACCACCTGTTATGATCACACATCGAAACAATACTAACCTTTTTGTTTCGCGATTGTTAGCTGGCCAAAACTTCAAACGGGAGCAGGAGGCATGGGCGATACTACAGCACAGGAAAAGAACATTGTTTCAGGAAGACTCATGTGCGACACGTACCTTGGGGCTAAAGAGCATGTTCGAGCCAAGAGTTACTCGCTTACAAACCTCGTGGCAATGCAACTGGGCGTCAACCGCGAGGATATTGAATACGAACGAGTGCCCCAGTACTTCAACAGTGCCGACGATCTTGAGCGCATGCTGCGTCATTCTGACTTTGACACCTATCTATGTGCCGAGCTCATGTTCAGCCTCCAGCTCTTGCCTCTCTCCAGGCAGCTCACAACCCTCTCCGGCAATCTGTGGTCCATGACACTGACTGCCGGTCGTTCGGTCCGAAACGAGTACCTGTTGTTGCACGAATTCCACCGGAACAAGTACATTTGCCCCGATAAGTCCTTCTACAAGGACAAGGAGGTTTCCATAATCAACGTTGACGCCGATGATGCAGACGAGGCAGCAGCGCCCAAAAAAGGATCCAAGCGCAAGCCTCAGTACTCAGGAGGTCTGGTCTTGGAACCCAAGAAGGGTTTCTATGATCAGTATGTTCTTCTTCTGGACTTCAACAGTTTGTATCCGTCAATCATTCAGGAGTACAACATTTGCTTCACAACGGTCAAGCACGACAGTGAAAAGGTAACCAACGATGACCAGAGGTTTCAAATTGGTGGCAAAATTATCACTGCAGTCGCTCACATGAAGCTTTGAACATTTTGTAGGATGATGACACACTCCCGGAGTATCCTGAGGAAGGACTCCCACAAGGAATTCTCCCCAAGCTGCTGGCCCATCTCGTCGACCGCAGACGGGAGGTCAAGAAGCTGATGAAGGCCGCCTCTGGCGCCAAGTATGAGGAGGTACGTAAAAGAACCAATACTTCGTTTAGTCGCCGAATGTCCGACTGTCATAGCATGAAGCAGCAGCTAACTTGGACGTCATATAACCTCAATCCTTCATAGTACGACATTCGTCAGAAGGGTCTCAAGTTGACTGCCAACTCTATGTATGGTTGTTTGGGCGCTGCCTATTCTCGTTTCTACGCCAAGCAGCTGGCTATGCTTATTACTTCAAGAGGACGCGAGATTCTGCAGAACACGGTCGACCTGGCCACAGAGAGTGGACTTGATGTAAGCTTCTTGGGCGATCTTAGTAGTGAAATCATTCTCTCGCGTTGAGCATCGGCGTGGATCTGACAGTTCCGCACTTTTTTTTACTATAGGTCATTTACGGAGACACGGATTCGATCATGATTAACACCAACACGACCAAGATTGAGGAGGTTAAGCCTGTTGCCGAGAATCTGAAGAAGATTGTCAACGCGCGATACAAGCTGTTAGAGATTGAAATGGACGGCATGTACCAACGAATGCTGCTTCTTAAGAAAAAGAAGTATGCTGCGCTGATGGTGGTTGAGAAGAATGGGAAGTACGAGACTATTGTTGAGACAAAGGGTCTTGATATGGTCCGTCGCGACTGGTGTGGCCTGAGTCAAGACGTCTCAAAGTAAGTTTGGCTTTTAAGGTGCCAATTGTAGGTGTGGATCGTCTCGCTTTCGACCTTGTCTCTAACCTCGAGATATTGTTTGTCCATGTCAGCTACGTCTTGACGCAGATTCTCTCCAGCGACAACCAAGATCGCGAGCACGTCGTTGAGAACATTCACAATTATCTCCGTACGGTTGGCGAAGAGACCCGAAAAGGACTCATTCCCATGGACAAGTTCGTGGTCAACAAGGTAATTAATTACCTAACTCTGCTGGATCTATTTAGTACGCTCAATCAACATTTTCTAATGCGTTTGTTACCTATCACCTGGACACCAATAGGGATTGACGAAGGCACCTGAAGACTACGCTGATGCCAAGTCCCAGCCTCATGTACAGGTCGCCCTTCGTCTAAAGCGCAAAGGAATCAGCATCAGAGCGGGCGATACCGTCCCATATGTGATTTGTGTTCATGACGACGCACCAGTGTCAAAGGGGGGCTACGCTGACCGCGCATACCACCCCGACGAGGTGATGGCTCCAGGCTCTGGCCTCACCATTGGTAAGTGATTCAAACCCTTTTGCTATTTAACCTCAAAGAATCTCTCCGATTTAACTTTGCCCACTCACCGATACGCAATTGTTTTGGCATTAGACTACGAGTACTATCTGAACCAGCAGGTGCACCCTCCCTTGGACAGACTGTGTGGTCCTATCGAGGGCACGGATGCTTCCAGATTGGCCGACTGTCTTGGCTTGGATACTTCCAAGTTCAGGTCAGTGGTTCGCTCTGACACTCAAGATCAAGAAATGCAGACCCTTGGTTCTCAACTTTCGGATGCGGAGCGATACAAGGATGCGGAACCTCTTGAGCTGTGCTGCAGGGGCTGTCGCTCGACTTTTACGTGCTCGTCCCTTATAATGGAGAAGGTAATAATACCGGATATCTGAATGGTATAACGAAGGTGTGTTCTTCATATTGCAGATACTTACTCTTTGTTGTCGCGTTCGCGTACTTGATTTATTTCCTTAACTGTGGTAAATAGGATGGCACAAACTACTTTGGCCTCGAGTGTCCTTCCTGTAAAGCCATTGCTCAACCTGCTTCTGCCAGCATACAGTTGACCAATGCGATCCGCAAGTGCATTCGAAAATACTACCAAGGGTGGGTTGTTTGTGATGACCAAGGATGCCGCAACAGAACAAGAATGGTCAGCGTTGTGGGTCGGAGGTGTCTTGTTGAAGGATGCAGAGGCAGCATGCACCGAGAGGTAAGGGCATTTTTCTTGACATATGTAGTATATCCAATGTGGTTAATGGAGATGTGTCGCGTTACTGACTTTTTTGTTTTCTTCTTTTTCACTGGTGAATGAAAACAATGATAGTATTCGGATAGCGGTCTGTACACGCAGCTGTCGTTCTTTTGCCACATCTTTGATATCAACAAGACGTTAGAGAAGGTGGACTTTGAACGGAACGGAGTTCTGCGGGTGCAGATTGAGCAGAACAGGGAACTTGTACGGACCCTCAAGGCGACCGCGGACAAGTACATTGACAAGAACGCGCGTCGCTATGTTGACCTCTCGCAGCTCTTCAGCTTTGTCAAGATTGCCGCCTAGACTTCTGTCTCACTCATGTACTCTTCCAGTAATAAAGAAAACAAACGCAGTAAAACCTCGGTGGCGGTCAAAGAGAATGAGAAGAGCACATCGCAGCCCACGTTTGAATGTACACGCCTCTTCTCTCTCTCTCTCTCTCTCTCTCTCTCTCTCTCTCTCTCCCCGAGCCCAAGGGCTTTGTCCCTCATCAGGCTATTTGTTGAGTAACACTTTATTCAACAAAAACATTTTTTACCTTGAACTTTCACGTTTTCTGAAGGTATTTGTGGAGAGCGGCAACTCAGAGGACAATTACGACAAAGCTTTGGGATGGACCAAACCAAACGGATCAACTCTCTCCGGAATACTGCAGCATTGAGCAGGATTCATGAACACCCGGCTCAGGATGAAGTTTGAACAGATCCCCCCCGCAGAGCCGTTGCAGCCGATGTGGTGTGTCAAGAACCCTGGATACTGCAACAAGCCCTATCTATTCGTAATACCATACGCACCTTTTTTTTTCCCCCTTCACATAAGAATCCTTGCTAATCTAAAAGAGAAATTCTTGGCCAAACAATGATGACATGTTTTTCTAATACTACAGAAAGAGAAGAGTGGCCTAAAAAGGGAGATAAAGGATCTAAATAAAGTGGACGTTTTCTACGATGGAGCAAGGAAGGTTCATTGGCTCAGCTAAGCAAGATTTGCAGAACTTGGTAACGTCCTTCTTGACGATATTCTTCCATTCGTAAAAGGGCGCCCGATCGACCGTCTTCATATGGTGGATCAGATCGTCGTATGTCGCAAAGTCCTTGACGTTGATGTAGGAGCCCTCGGGGACAAAGTCGGCAATGTCGGGGGCACCCATGTAGATGGGGATGGCCCCAGACGCTAGGACGTCATAGAACTTTTCCGTAACGTACCCCAGGCAATTAGAATTTTCGGCGGCGAGGCCGAAGGGGTAATCGGCAAGGACCTTATGTTTTTTGTCTTGCCATTGCCCCTTCTCTCGTCCTTGAAGCTCCTCGGGTATGTCCTTGTTGTGACTGCACCCTCCGTACGAGTGTCCTCCTGCATCCGCGATCAGCTTGTCGATCAGCACTTGACGTTCGTTCCTGGCGCCGCAATTTGACACCACAAAGGCGATGTAGTTCTCAGGCGTCCTGTCGAAGGGATATGTCACCTGCACATTGGCGTATTCGAGGGCCATGGCATGAGAGATCGGATAGGTTGGGTGAGGGATATCCATGAGCTGCGGTGGGGATCCCATGGTGAGGTCAAACTGCTGGATAAAGGTCTGGAGGGCGACATGAGGGTAGAAGCCGATCGACTCGTCGTAAAAGTGAAGGACCCACTTTTGATGGGCGATCCTTGGAGGCAGCAATTGACTCTCAAAGTAGGGCGCCCTGGCGTTGTCCATGAAATAGGGGTAGGCGACAAGGACAATGTCGGCACTGGCAATGTCGGTATAATTGGTGGTGATATCATACTCGAGATCTCCGTTGGTCGGCGTTTTACAGGTACCGGTAGTACTGTTCATCATGGCAGAGCGGGGTGTATTCCAGAACCAGCACGGTGCGAATCCTGTGGGCCAGTTGAGGTTGGCGTCCTTTGCTTGTACGATCTTGAAGTGATCAAAGAAGGGCTGGAGCTCCGTGGCGATCGGACACAAAGTCTTTGTCTCCTTCTTCCAGTCGAGGTCGTAAATGTTTCCCCATGTGATATGCTGCCAGAAAAAGATCTTCAACGGTCCGTCATCCTTGGTCCTGTCAGAGACAAGGATACCGCGGGGGTGCCGAGGGGCCGGGTAACTGCTGCAATAGCTCTCGAGATCTTTAGGAGTACTGAAAGGTGAATGAGCTTGGTCTGGCTCCAGTGATGGGATTGTCTCTGTTGCTGGTGGTGCTGGAGTTGTCTCTGTTGCTGGTGGTGCTGGAGTTGTCTCTGTTGTTGGTGGTGCTGATTCCTGTAGTGGTGGTGAGAGCGAGGCTTCGTCCTGTGTTGTTGAGGGGAGGCCGTCTTGTGGGATGTAGGCGGAGGTCTTGTGGAGATGAGAAGCGTAGAGTTGGAGGGTCATGAGGACGAGGATTATGGCCAGGGTAGAGTAGGTGATGACCTGCCGCTTGGAGAAACGCCGTTCGTCGGGCATTGCGATCTGGTTTGGGTTGTAAGGGTATGTAGGTGTAAGGGTGGAAGAGAAAGGAGTGAAGGGAAAAGAAAACAAAAACAAGGTTATCGATCGTGTGTGAAAAGAGCTCTCTCGAGAGTGTGAAGAGGCGCAAGAGGAAAGAAGGAAGAGCAGGTCCAACCGTCGGGGACAGAACATTGAAGGGATGAGCAATATCTCTAATTGACAATTGACGATTGATTGAAATCGACTCTTGTCCTCTCCTTTTTCGGCTTGCGTTCAATGCTTGGCAGATGTGGGAGCGATTAAATATTTTTTTCTTTGAGAGAAGAGAACAGGAGAGAAGAGATGAGCTGCTGCTGATTCGTCTGCTTGCACGAAAGAAAACAACAAATCCACGTTCCAGGCGGGTTCGGCCGTTGAACACCCGTCTCGAGCCAATCAGCGGCCGTAAAGCCTGGTGTTGTACACTTCTCAGTCTCCTCCTCTGTCCCTGAAAAAAGGTCCCTGTCTTATTGTTATTTGGCGTTCTTTGGATTTTCTTGTCCTATTTCTCCTTGTCCCTCCACTCTCTCTCTCTCCCCTCTCTCTCTCTCTCTCTCTCCTCACTTTTCCCTTCATCTTTCCCTTTGCCTATCTCTTCTTCTTTCTCTTCTTCACTTTACTACAAAATACACAAACACACTCCTCAACCAAGCAACTAAACCGTCCAATCGACAGATACACACACCAATGGGCCTCACCATCTCACGGCTCCGCGTCCCACGAGGATTAGTCATCCCAAGAGGATTCGCCGTCAGAGCCATCATCATCATCATCGTCCTCCTCGTCATCACCCAAACCTACCTCACCAACCTCAAGCCAGTACCAATACGACCCACCGCACGATACATCGGCACCAACTACGACGAGCTCACCCAGTTTGAACCCCACCACGACATCAAATCCTTTTGCAATAAACTCCCCGCACCAAGGAACAAGCGCGGCCTCGTTATCTCGGACAAGTCCAAGGCCGACGGTCCCCTCAAGATCTTTTACTGGAGGCACGGTAGCAGATACGGCTGGACTGACTGGGATTGGGAGTCCCAGACAATGTGCCCCATCCCCATGGAGCTGCAGGAGTTCTTTGACACCTTCAGGACCAAAGTCATCAACAAACCCGACCTCGTGTGGAGCACCGGATATGCCCCCTGTTACTTCTGGAAGACATTTGATGGACAGGTCGAGGATCGTTATGGGTCCTGCAACAGCAAACACAGCGGCTACCTCGACTACACCTTCTCAACCAACTATACCGACTTCCCCAACGCCGACATTATCTACATGGACCATCCTCTGCACCTCGGTACAAAACAGGCCCCATACTACAACAGTCAACTCTTGCCTCCCAAACTGGCTCATCAAAAGTGGGTCCTGCGCTACGGCGACGACTCTATTGCAGGATATCCCTATATGGCCCTTCCAGCGTTCCTCCACCGCTTCGACCTCACAATGGGAAGTCCACCCTCAATGATGGATATCCCCGACCCAACCTACCCCATCACCCAGGACAAAGCCATCGAACTCGCAAACACAAAGCCGTCGCTCGCCTTCAACAAGAAGACTGACCATCTCATCTCTGTCGTGACCTCCGAGTGCTGGCCGTGGAACAACCGCAACGACCTAATCGACCATCTCGTCAAGAATGCAGGCGCACATTCATACGGAAACTGCAATAACAACAAGGAGGTGCCCAAGGAACTCAAGAAGGACGACCTTCCTCGATCCTTCGTCAAGCAGACGTTGATGACCAAGTACCCCTTCGGTCTTGCAGCTGAGCACTCCAACTGCGTTGGCTATGTTACGGAAAAGATCTACGACGTCCTTGCCTCCGGTGCCATCCCTGTCTACTTTGGAGCCTCTGACATTGCCGACTTTGTCCCCGAGGGCAGTTACATCGACGTCAAGGATTTCAAGGACAACGACGAGCTAGTGGCATACTTGAAGACGGTCGATCGGGCGCCCTTTTACAAGTGGAAGGAGATTGTCAAGAAAGATCCAAGCAAGTTTTGCAAAAGCTGCTTCCCTGCACCTGCCGAGTCGGCCTGGTGCGCCATCATGGACAATGTCCAATATGTATAGATTCCCCTTCAAAAACACACACACAACCTTGCACATTCATTAATATTAAATTCATCGCACTAAAAGAACGAAACTGCTAAATGGCCCATTTTTCTTTGTCAAACTCTAATGATTTTGGCACATGCACTAAACATCTATGTTTAGTATAGTCCCAACTAGTTCTTTGTTTGAGGGGCCCGTCATTGTGGTTCGTTGATTAGATAGTAAGAGTGGATGACAAGGCCACTTGAAAACGAAGTTGGCCAGGGAAAGGTCTGTCTCTCTGTCCATCTGTCTGAAATTAATCAATTGAAGGGGGGAGGGGTACGTTTATTCTCTCATTTTCTTTGATTGATTAACGTAACCATCTCGCATATCACGCTTGTTTGCGCTATTTTTTACTCTTTTTTTGTTTTTCTTTCTGTTCTGCTCTCTTGTTCTTTTGTTTTTATGTCTTTCTATTTGAAAGTCATCCAGGAACATATGGCGAAAAGAGTGGGTAAGAAAAAAAAAAGAGTGGGAGAGAGAAGGAGGTCCTGTTTTCGCCTTTTTCAGTCTCACCTTTATCCTAGGTCGGTAACTGATCATAGCCTGTGCGAGCTCTTTGATCAGTGAAGTTCATCACAACTTTTTTTTTTTTTGTCCTTAATGAAGATCTCTAAAATATTTTTATCTGGCCATGGCCAGCCTTTCTTTATCTCCAAAGTCATCCATCGTGCGACCCTTTTTCTTTACTTGAGGCTATACCACGCATCTGTATCGCCATAGGACAACCACTTGTAGGCGTAGCATGCCATGGACTATAATAAATTTATAGGAGTTGATTCAACATCAAAGAACGATCGAGCCTACGGAGCATTTGATTTAAGGGTGAGGAGAAGAACAATCCATCTAAACTTGCTGAAGAATTCCTTCATTCTTGCGACTGGCGCATTGTTAGTTACCCAGTTGGACAATAGTTGGTCATGTTGCTGTTGTTGACTTACTTTTGCTTTGGCCAGTCAGTACTGTGTATCCTACCTAGCTACATCGAAAGCCTACGACTCTAGGAAAAGTGCCATGGAAGGATGCATGGGCCTATGTTCCAGCTGGTAAAGAATAAAAGTAGCCAATCAGCGACCTGTCCCAGTCGGAGTCTGTCGTTGATTCGGTAACCTACTTACATCAGCCCAAGCTCATGGGACATCGTCCTCGCCTATGGCTATCTCGTGGACTTTTCTCTCGACAACACAAACAACCAAGAAAAAACAACAACGCCTACTTTTCCCATTCATCATCTCCTTGCCACCTCTCCCGATACTGGATTCACACTCTCAAGTCAATTCCGCTTCCGCCACCATGGGAATGACAATCTCCAGGAACCGCATCCCGCGAGGATTCATCATCCGCTCCATATCCCTCATCATCATCCTCCTGGTCATCTTTCAAACCTACATCTCTCACATCTAGTCTCAATCCCCCCTCAAGTCCTGGTCTTCCTCCTCGCCAGCAACCCACAACCCCAACGCAAAATACCTCGGTATCAACAATGATGAGTTTGCCCAGTTCCCGCCCACACACGACCTCGAACGATTCTGTAGCAGCTACCCCGAACGGCCCGTCAAGAAACATCATATCCTGATCTCCAACAAGGCCAAGGGGGATAGACTGCTCAAGATCTTTTATTGGAAACAGGAATCACTCTCTCAGGAAATTGATTGGCACAAGGAGTCCGAGACTATGTGCCCCGTACTGTTGGAGCTACAGTCCTTCTTTTACCATTATCGGCAGACCACGGTCAAGGACCCTTCGATGCTCTGGAAGACTGGATATGCACCCTGCTTCTTTTGGAAGACATGGGACAATGAGATCGAGGACCGGCCGGGATCGTGTGACTCGCGATAGTATACAAAGCTCGATTATATCTTTTCGACAAACTATACCGACTTTGTCAACGCCGACATCATCTATATGGACTATGCCTCTACCATGGGAATCGACAAAGATCCCTATTTCGACCAGATGCTCCTCCCACCAAGGCTGGCCCACCAAAACTGGGCGGCTGTCGTTTTTTGAGGAGTCGATCGGTTACTACCCCCACGTCGCCATGCCCGCCTTCCTCAACCAATTCAACCTCACCATGGGATCCCTACCACAGCTGATGGGCGTCCCCAACCCATCCTACCCGATCACGGAAAAGAAGGCCTTCGAGCTGGCCCATATCGAACACACCCACCCCTTCGACAAGACGCCCGAGCACTACATCGCCTTCATAACTTCCAACTGTGCCACCAAGAACGACCGTATGGGCCTGATCGACAAGCTGGTCAACACTTCAGGAGCCCACTCGTACGGATTCTGTGGTCACAACAAGGAGATGCTCGAGGAACTCAAGGGTCGCGTGGCCGGATCCTGGCAGTACAAGAAAAAAAAGACCCTCGCCTCTTACCCCTTTGGTCTTGCGGCCGAGAACTCCAACTGTCTGGGATTTATCACTGAAAAAGATCTACGACGTCTACGACGTCTACGCCTCGGGCTCGATCTCTATCTACATGGGCGCTCCTGGTATTGCCGACTTTGTCCCTGAGGGCAGTTATATCGACGTCCGGAACTTCAAGACTTATGACGACTTGATTCATTATATGAAGACGGTGGATCGGGAGCCCCTTTACTGGTGGAAGCTGGAAGGATATTGTTAAGAAAGATCCGACAAAGTTCTGCAAGAAGTGTCTTTACACAGGCCCTTCTCCATGGTGCACCATCATGGACAAACGTTCACTTTGTGTAGTTGCCTTCCTCTCCTTACCTTTCCTCTACTTACATTTTATACATGCTTTTGCACACAATACTGATGATATTGACAACGCAACATTGCAATCAGAAAGTAGAGAACGTCTTGTCTGCAATATCCCTTCGTCTGTCCGCGCTCAAGGACAGCTACGCTCAGGATAATGACTAGCTTAGACATAGTCCGCGCTCAAGGACAGCTACGCTCAGGATAATGACTAGCTTAGACATAGTCTGCGCTGCGCTTGTTTTCAGGTGGCGAGTGGCATAAGTAGCCGGAAAAAAAACTTGATCGCTTTCATCCTCCTCCAGAGAGTCTCTTGGTGTCCAAGTGAGAGAAGTTGGCCAAGTCTGGCCATAGTTTGGCACTGGTTGGACACAACACTGGCTGGGTCTTAAACTCATTCGCCCAGGTTACCGACAAAGTTTAAAAGAAACAAAACAAAAATAAGGAAAATATATTAAGTCTATGTAAGTTAAAGAAGCTGATTTACGCGTCGTCAAACCAAGAGTCTGCGCTTGTCAGCAATATTAATAAAACTGTATTCGGACAGTGTAAGAAAATTGCCCATCCTGGCAACAATCGTGTTCAGCTCGGACCAGAACGGACGAAGGTGGTGACCCTCCAGACGTTCCCAGAACTTGACAAGCTTCATAAAGTGTTTTCTTTTCTCTACATCACTATACAAATGAATCTCGAGCTGCAATTGAGAAAAGGGCAGGATATCGAATTGGTCCATCATGGCGTTGAGGGCATCAAACTCGGTGCCCTCGATATCAATCTTGAGCACGTCGATCCACTCGTGTCCGTTCTCGTTCATGATCGTCTTGAGAGTCTTCCAGACCATGCCATTCTTGTCGACCTTGTCCTTGCCGCCGATAAAGTATTTGAAAAAGTGAATGTTGGGGTCGCCAGCAGCATCTATCATTGTGTAATGATTTTTTTATCGTTGTTAGATATAGCAAAGCGTTAGGAGCAAATGAAAAGAAAAAAAAAAACAATCAAGAGTCAACCCAGGCAAAGTGAGAACGAAACAAAAAAAACACAACTTTACCACCAGCGATCTTGTCGACAGAGGCATCGAACGCAAAGACCTGACAGTTGGTGCGGTCAATCATCTCCTTCTCCCATGATGAGTCGTCAAAGACACCGAGGGAGTAGATAACACACTTGTCCTCCTTGGTCATGCTCTCGAGGACCGGCATTCCGCACATCCACTAACGTCCGGGACAAAAAAAAAGTTAACGTAGTGTCAGCACCCCCCTTTTTTGGTACCGGAACACGGCAAGAGCTTTAACGTGTAACATCTCTACATTTCTCATTGTTGTGTCCACAAGTGTTTACATTAAACACCAAAACAGATCAGCAAATAAAACGAAGGCAGTCATACCTTGCCACCATCATTGAGTCTCCCAACACGCTCGACCTCGTGAGGGCAGTTGAAAGAGGGCTGGAAGTACCACCACACGGGCATCATCTCCTTGGTTTTAGGAAACCATGCGCCGGTATAGCTATTAAGCGTGCCAATCAAACAAAAGCGTGCGGTTAGACACCTTCAACTGCTTCAGTGACCACCTGTTACCCTCTCTTCTCCCTGTAAGATTGGAAGAATAGGCCAATGAGCCGCTAGTTGAGCAATCATCCGACGAGCGTGCCGTTGAAGTTAGCGCTGTGGCAACTCTCCTGCTAATTTCCTGTCGCCGCATCGATATCCTGTCGCCGCATCGTTTTCAAGGGGATCAAGAATGATATTTTGCTGGACTCTTTCGCCTCTGTTCCTTGGCCTTCCTGGACGGCGATGAGGAGTGGGGGGTGCGCTAAAAATAAAAAAATAAAAAAAGTACAACTAGAACAACAGAACAAAAGTTGAAGGGATAAGTCTCAAGTAGAAGAAGCAACTTACTAATTGTTCTTACGGATATACTGTGTCCGTTTATACACCTGCTTCTGATACGACTGTTCAGAGCTGAGGAGTTTCTTGGATATGTCGGAGGAGCCATCAAAGTATCTACGAGCCTTGTTGTAGAATTCAAATTCGTGCGAGGCGCTATCGTCCTTGTAATCCACTGGTAATCCGGGTTGGTTGTGAGTTCGGGTGAAGAGGAGGAGGGCAGAGGCAATGAAGATCGGGATGAGGATTCGTGGTCGGACGAGGTTTCGGACTACGTCATTGATTGTCTGTGTCCTCATTGTTGTGATACTTGTTGTGTTGTGTTGTGTGCGATATGGGGAGGGATGAAAGAGAGGGGAGTGACGGACGTTATGGGGCTGGACAAGAACTCCGAGAAGGTGTAGAGAGGAGAGGGAGGAAGGGTATTGAAGCTGGAGGAAGAAAGAACAGAAAGAAAAGCAAAAGCAGAAGCAAAAGCCAAAAAAAAAAAAAAAAAAAAAGAGAAAAAAAAAAAAAAAAGAAGCTACCTGTATTGCGACGTGGCGAGTGTGCTGCCTTCCACATCGAAATAAGGTTGAAGCTATGGATGGAAGCCACTCCCACGCCCATTTTTTTTTATTGGGGCTGTAGTCTTGAGCGGGGATTTTTTTTCTTCCCGTTATTCTTCCTTTCCTTCTTTAACCCTCTTTCTCTCTCGCCCCACTTTGAGTCTGCATGTCTGAAATTGGCGAAGGGGCAACTCTATTTTTTGAGGGATTCGATGATCGATTAAGGAAAAACACAAAACAACGGTATACAAACGAGTGCCCAGAAGCCCATATAATTAATAATGAAAACACCAACGGGTGTCTTGACAGCGGTGGAGAGAGGAGACCTAGTAAATGTCTAAATAAAAAAATCAAGAATGGTTTGAATGAGATGCTCCTAAAGCCAAAACCCATTCTTTTTTTTTCACCTCCTTCGACTCTCGAAAGAATGGGTGCCATCAAAAAAGAAAAAAAATAATAAGGATTTACTGAAAGTCTATATAAAAAAGATGTGTTGTTTTCCCCAGAACAAGATAAAAAATATTACAAGTTCTGAAGGAGTTTGTGCTTGCCGCCAATGTTGATGAAGCTGTACTCAGAAAGCCCAAGACCCTTATTTATATGAGAATAAACAGTATTCAACTCGGACCAGAATGGACGAATATAATGACCCTCCAGCCGCTCCCAAAACTTCACAAAGTCCATAAAAAGTTTTCTGTCCTCCATATCGCCAAACAAATGAATCTCAATCTGCAGTTGAGAGAAGGGCAAGATCTCGAATTGGTCCATCATGGCGTTGAGGGTATCAAACTCGTTGCCCCCGATATCAACCTTGAGCACGTCGATCCACTCGTGTCCGTTCTCATTCATGATCGTCTTGAGAGTCTTCCAGACCATGCCATCCTTGTCGACCTCGTCCTTGCCGCCGATAAAGTATTTGAAGAAGTGGATGTTGGGGTTACCAGCAGCATCTAGTATGAGCAAAAGTTGATTAGTTTGTTAGGCACACGGCTGGACGCACATAAAGGAGCAGTCGGAAGTAACTCAATGCAGCATTGTATTCAAATAAAATCGAGACACGTAGCAGATATCAAACAACTCACCACCGGAAATTCCATTGACAGAAGCATCGAAGGCATAGACCTGGCAGTTAGTGCGGTCAATCATCTCCTTCTCCCATGATGAGTCGTCAAACACACCAAGGGAGTAGATAACACACTTGTCTTCCTTGGTCATGCTCTCCAGGACGGCCATTCCGCACATCCACTATTCATTCAACAGGCAAAAATAGCACAACATTTAACACTAGTGTTTGTCTTTGTCTTTCACATTTTTTATGGCCCCAATGGTGGATGAGAGACGTTCTCCTAGGGTGGGAAAAATTGCAACAGAAGGACAAAAACAAACGTGGAAGGAAAGCGTACCTTGCCACCATCATTGAAGCGACCGACTCGCTCGACCTCGTGAGGGCAGTTGAAGGAGGGCTGGAAGTACCACCAGAGGGGCATCATCTCCTTGGCTTTGGGGAGCCATGCACCAACATCGCTATTTGAAGGATGGAAAAAAGGGGAGAAGGAAGATCACAAAAGCGATCGATAAAAACACACGTTTAGTCCTCGAAGTACGTTTGCATGTTAACGTACATTTCCCATTCGAATGAATACAACATTAAAAAAATGGTACTTACGCATTGTTCTCACGAATGTATGTGGTGCGCTTCTGGACCTGCTTCTGGTAGAGACGCTCGGCGTTCTGGATCTTCCTGGCGACTTCGGCACCGCTATAGTGTCTGTAAGCCTTACTATCCATCTCAAAGTCATGACGCATGATGTCGACCTCCTCGTTCATAAGGTGCTGGCGGTGCATACCCATGGTAACTATGGCGGTGACGATGAAGGCGGCAATGAAGAAGCGAGGGCGGAGGAGGCTACGGCCAAGATCACGGATGGTTGTAGTAGTCATACTGACATGAATATATTAATGGAGTAAAGGGAAGTGGTATATGGGTGAGGGGGGTGTCTGGGTTGAGCCAAACTTAAAAAAGGGGAGGGGGGAGAGGAGAGGGGAGGGAGAGGGACGGGAGGGAAGGGAGGATGAGGATGAGAGGGAAGGGAATGAGAAAGTTGATGATGATGAATGAGAAGGAAAAAAAAAAAAAAAAAAAAAAAGAATGAGTGATGTGAAATGTTAAATAAACGAGGGCGAGGAAATTTTAAAAGGAACAAAGTTGCTGAGCGGTCATTGTCGTGGTGTTGGATAGGTTGAAGGGCCATGATTGGCCGAGACGGACGACAGAGACACACTACCCTCGAACACACAAGAGTCACATGGGGCTAATTGTCTTCCCTTCCTTCCTTGTCAATCAACATCAACATCACATTTATGGCATCATGGCTCCCCAAGCGACTGAGGGCGAACATCCGCAGTGCCTTTTTTTCCATCCTCCAACATTTGCCAATTACAAACGTCAAGATCTTTTGGTTTGCACGCCTAGATTCGAAAAAATAGAAAAGCACGAATTTTTTCCAGGATGGAGGGCAGACCACTTCTATCAGTTGATTGAACAACTATCGACTCGCGCTTATCATTTCACCCTAGCAGTCTGATCTGAGCGTGTCCAGATGCCATTCCCGCCTACAAACACTTTTTTCTTGTTGAACTGATGCACAGCAATTGATCAAAGACACTGCAGCCTATGTTACGGTGCTCAAAAGGTCGCGCTCATATAAAACAATGCCAGTGCTTCTGCAGATCCCATTTATTCCCTCCAGGCAACAAAGACCTCATCTGTCCTGAACCGCTGCGTGCACCAAGTCTTCTCAAGCGGGGTCGTGTACCCAGTCTGGTAGGCCAAAATTCCAGCCTGCGCAATCATAATACCGTTATCAATACAGAATCGCTCATCCGTCGCAAAGACCTTTCCGTCACGTTGGCTCGCCATCTGGTCCATCATTTCCTGTAGCCTCTTATTACAGCCCACACCTCCGACAATCAACACCTCCCTGGATCCAATATGTGCCATGGCTCGCTCGGTTGTCTCGACCAACATTGCAAACACAGTTTCTTGGAGTGAGAAACACAGATCGGCGGCGGTGTATTCTCCAGAGGCGAGGAGTGCAGGCGCGTTGGTCTCGATGTACGTCAATACTCCACTGAATGATACGTCCATGCCCTTGACTGTATACGGAAGATCCAGCAATTTTGATCCCCTATTATTGCTCGACAGAAATATATAGCATGTCAGCATCACGAAATCGTATACGCGTTTCTTGTCTTGCACCTATCATGGTTCTCCAAAATGTGTAAAAGTGATAGCAAGAAAAAATGTTCGTACTTCTTGGCCAGCTGCTCAATGTTATAACCGGGAGCAGGGTCATTGGGCAGGTTGAGAACTCTTGCAAAGCGATCCAGACAGTTTCCAACAGCAATATCCAACGCCTCTCCAAAGATCCTGTACCGCTTCTCGGCGTATGCAATGACCTGGGTGTTTCCTCCCGACACATACAGCACAACGGGGTTTTCTGCTCCTGTGATCTGTCTTCCCATCTCAATATCTAATATTCAACCAAAAAAAAAAAGGAAGTGTAAGTTATTCAATCCGCAGCTCTCATTCTATGCAAACGAGGAAGTAAGGACGAAATTAAAAAGAAAGTACTTACGTCCAACACAGTGGTTGACGCCAACGAGCTCCTTGTTCCACATCAAGGCCAGGGTCCTGGCAACAGTCGCAACGCTGGTCAGGGGTCCACCCATACCGGGTCCCTTGGTGAAGCAAATAACGCTAATGTCCTTGGGGGTGATGTTGCCTTCGGCCATGGCATCCTTGACAAGTTGGAGAATATGACTGCGGTGATGCTGAGCAGTGTCCTTTGGTAAGAACCCCTCTCCAGGTGGAGGGTGGTAGGTGTGTCTGATGTTGGCGAGAATGGTGACGGTGGGAGGGGTTGTTGTCATGTCGTGGCAAATCAGGCCGACGCCCAACTTGTTTGCGCTTCCTTCGAGTCCAAGTGCGATCATTGTTGTAAGCTGGAGGGGGGTCGTCTTCGTTGATGCGTTTAGGGTTCTGTAAATGCAGGAGCGAACAAGTATACAAGATCTCTCTCTTCTCTCCTCTCTCCACTCTCCTCTCTGGTCGTTCAAATGGTCTCGCGCTAAGCCACCGTCCTTACTACAATTTTTCAATTGGATGGATGCAGAAGCCTGATCAAGAACATGCTAGATATATTTCATAGTTCTAGGAAGTCTCAATCACGTAGCTCCGGCCCTCAGTGTTGACACGATGCGACCATTCACCCAATCTCAAGGGGTCCTTGTGGAGATGGAGAGACCTAACTTGCCGAAAAATATTCTCCATCTGGAGCTCGAGATACTGCCTCCTGACCTCATACAAAAGACGGTTATCTGATCCCAGGACGCCCAAGGTACAATTCAAGCTCTCAACCATATCCTTCAATTTCGTCTTGTCCGCACAGATCGTCCGGGGATGGAAGGCAAAGGCATCATAGCTCCCCACCCATGGGTGTGGTACGAATGTCATCCCGTTGGCGGAAGCCTCTTTATAGCCTTCGAGATTGCGGCCACCGGTCGCGAGTCCCCAGCGTGAGATGGCATAAAAGTGCGAATCAAAGACAGCGTTGGAGAGTTTGGCGAAGTATTCGAGCGACGAGTCGTAAGAGATGTCCGAGTTGGCAAGGGTCATTCGGTGATCCTGAAGTTGGGCGCAGGCATACTGGGTAAAGTCTCCCATGAGAGGGTGGGTGGGGTGATTGACTCTTTGGTCCTTGGATCGACGGTAGCAAAGGATGGGAGGAGCTGGTATTTGGCCTCGACAAGGACATGGATTTGGTCGAGGAGTGGGTTTCCCATCAGACTGGCGAGACAGATATCGATCTCTGTGGCGCGCGCAGGGGACTTTGGCTTAAAATAGGAGGTGACGAAGGCGTGACCTCGGGGTGGTAGACGGGCGATTATCTTCTGGTGGGCTGCATGGTCCTTAGGAGAGCTTGTTGGCGTTGGGAACGATGGGGACGATGGGGACGATGGGGACGATGGGTTTGTTGGGTTCGTTGGGGACGTCGATGGTAGGAGGGAGGTAGGGGTAAGGGAAAGAACGAAGAAGAGGAAGAGGGAGAATGAAACAAAAGATGATGGAGAAGGATGGATAGGAGTTGAAAAAGCTAAACTGGTTGACGAGCCTGAGTTCCTGGGTCGCACTGCACCCTTGTCATTATTCTACCAAGACAGGGTTCCTTTTTCATGTCGCACAAACTCCTGGCTGCGTTTGTTTATTTCTTTGTTCACTTCTTCAGTTTCCTCATCATCTATGGACGCTCAAAATGCATTCCTGGTACCTCACACCTCAAGAAGGTCAAAACCTTCCTCGCCATGAAACGCAGCCGTAGCATCTTCCTCGCACTCCCCATTTGCCCATTTGTCTCTTTCCTATCATTCCCTTCCAACCCCTCGAGATCGTCAACTTGCGCCACTTATATCGATACAACAACAACAACACCGACATCAAACGAACCCCGTTGGAGCACAACGACCGCTAGAGACCGCTCACAGTCGCTTGACCCATTCGGACTTAGACGTTACTTGAACCTGCGCCGACAATGATCTGCCCGTCAGCAAAAAAAAGATTTACAAGAACAGGCGATCCCGTCTGTGTGTCGCTCAGAACTTTGTGTTGATCGCATACGTAAAAGGAAAACACAGCACACCCATCCGTCCATTAGGAACGAAAAAAATACCAACACCAAGCGCCGCCAATTCAAATGAAAATCTGCCGAATACACTAACGCAACAAACGCATCGCATCCGTCCCTATTTGTATGACAAAGCGCTTCAAAGGGACATGGATTCTTGGACATCTAGGGCGCAATCGCTTGTCAACCAGGGGCACCGAGGGCAATGAGAGATGCGCCCCGTATTCTAAACAGTGACTGATCAGGACGAACTCACGACCAAGGATTTGCACTTCCACGTCAGGTTGCACCCATCAGGATACCATGTCAAGTGGATGACATTCGACAGTGACTGTAGGTTGCCTTTGCCTTCTGCACAACGTCAACGTCATGCTCTACCGCCACGGAAATCGATGGGATCATCCACAAGCCAATGCCAACTACTGTCGGTCTCGATACTTCTGGTACTCCGAACCCTGGTTCATCAACACTACCCACAAGGACCTGTCGAACGTAAAATTTCAATTAGATCTTAATGGACCATGTCATCTTGTCACGTTTTCATTTTCTCACGGGGGTGCAGTGGGGCTCAGTTCCCCTCGTTTCCTTTCTCTCTGGAGTCGATTGTTCTTGGGAAAGGAGAAGCCTTCTTGATTTGGCAGGCAACCAAAGCAGCTCTGCACTTTCAACATCCGACGACGACTACGTGGGAGCGGTCCGTTGTCTTCAATTGAAGGGAAAGAAAGAACAATAGGACTGGACTCGACTCAGCAAACAAGTTCACGATCACCCCCCTCTTTCGGATCGATGCTCTGGTTTCCTGCAGAGAAAAAGTACATATTTTGTTCTTTCCCTTTTTCTTCTCTCCTCTTCTTTTTTTCTTTCCTTCTCCTCCAACAACACCTTCCCACGCTCATACAACACTCCTACGATGGCATACGACCCCAACTCCCAGTCGAACCTCGACGAGGTCAAGACATCCCACATCCACCTCAACCTTGCCGTCGACTTTGTCGCAAAGACCCTCGCCGGATCAGCCGAGCTCGACATCGAGGCCATCACTGACAACGTCTCCAAGCTCATCCTCGACACCAGCTTCATCGCCATCCACTCTGTCACCCTCAATGGCGCTCCTCTCAAGGTAAAAGAAAGAAACGAATGACAAAAAACGCGACAGCAACTGAAAAGTAATAACCATTCGTTATGGAATGGTCGATTCTGATCTTATATACATCTTCATTCCTAATAGTACACTTTGGCTGACCGTCATGAAAAGTACGGCTCTGCCTTGACCATCGAGTTGGGCAAGGCTCTTGCCAAAGGAGACAAGGCCAAGGTCGTTATCGCTTACGCTACCACTGAGGAGTGCACTGCCTGCCAGTGGCTCGAACCCAGTCAGACAGCTGGCAAGAAGCACCCTTACCTTTTTACCCAGTGCCAGGCCATCCACGCCCGCTCCTTGGTCCCCTGCCAGGACAGCCCCTCGGTCAAGTTGACCTACAGCGCCAACATCAACGCCCCCCTCCGGGCCGTCATGTCTGCCGTCCCCACTGGAGAGGAGAAGCAGGCCAACGGTACCACTACCTACAAGTTCCACCAAAAGACCCGCATGCCTTCGTACTTGATCGCCCTCGCTGTCGGAAACCTCGAAGGTCGCGAGATTGGACCTCGCTCGACTGTCTGGACTGAACCCGAGGTCATTGAGGCTGCCGCATGGGAGTTTGTTGACACTGAGTCCTTCATCCGCACTGGTGAGGAGCTCCTGACCCCCTATGATTGGGGTCGCTATGATCTATTGGTCCTCCCTGCCTCTTTCCCCTACGGTGGTATGGAGAATCCTTGCTTGACCTTTGTCACTCCTTCGCTCTTGGCTGGAGACCGTTCCTTGGTTGATGTCGTTGCCCATGAGATTGCTCACAGCTGGATGGGCAACTTGGTCACAACTGAGAACTGGGAGCACTTCTGGTAAGTCATGGGAAAATAACTCAAAAGAATCTCGTGGAAAAATGAAATACACGGCTGTTTTGGGTTTGTTTGTTGTGAATTGAGTAGGAACTTTCATTTCTTTCCCTTACTAATAATATCAACAATTTCTTGCATTTGTTCTAGGCTGAACGAGGGATTCACTGTCTTTGTTGAACGCAAGATCTTGGGTCGCATGCAGGGCAAGGAACACGCCGAGTTCAGCGCCATCATTGGACACAAGGCCATGGTTGAGAGTGTTGAGATCTACGGCGAGGACCACCCCTTCACCGCTCTCCGTCCTTGCCTCCGTGGCGAGGATCCCGATGATGCCTTCTCCTCGATCCCCTATGGTAAGCGGCACTTAAGCATTCTGAAGTTGTTTTTACTGTCTTTGTTGACGACAATTTTACTCACCACGTAGCATTCCTCCCCACTTCCTGCAAATAGAGAAGGGATTCAACTTGCTTTACTACCTTGAGAAACACTTGGGTGGCCCCGAGGTCTTTGAGCCTTATGTTAGAGCCCACGTTCAGGAGTTTGCTGGCCGCTCGATCAACACCGACGACTGGAAGGCTTTCTTGTACTCGTTCATGGAGAAGAACCATGGACAGGAGAAGGTTGACCTCTTGAACAAGGTTGACTGGGAGGCTTGGCTCGCCGGCACCGGCATGGTACGTGTGCCCTTTATTGGAGTCTTTGGTCTATCAGAGTGTTTGGAGTATAAGGAGGGTTATCCATTGTTTTGATATGTGTCTCGCCATACATTTGGTCTGTTCTGCTTGTACGTTCCTCATATACATTTTCATCCTATTAACCTCCGCCTAATCTCTTTTTTCTTAGCCCCCCGTCGAGAACAAGTTTGATGATACCCTCGCCAAGGCCTGCAACTGCCTTTGCAAGAAGTGGGACCACTCTCGCACGGTCGAGAAGCCCACCGAATTCTCGCCCAAGGACATTGAGGAGTTCTCGCCTACTCAGAAGGTTGTCTTCTTGGAGCGCGTCTCTGAACTCGACAGCCTGCCCCACTCGCACTTGGAGTTGATGGATCAGACCTATGGACTGACCCAGGTCCGGAATGCAGAGATCAAGTTCCGCTGGCACATGATCTGCCTCAAGGCCAACTACGAGAAGATGTACCCTGAGGTAGCCGAGTTTGCCTCGACCATGGGACGCATGAAGTAAGTCTGTCTTATTTATTTGTTCATGAGAATTCTTACTTGAGTTTCGAACTACGCCTAACTTTTTTCTCTTCTGTTGTTTCTTCGTTGCTTCTATTAGGTTCTGTCGATCACTTTTGAGGTAACTTGAACTCACCGGACTAATGGCCTTGCAATTATATCATATTCTTCGAGCTAACGATTATCTTCATATCCCTCTTTTCAACCATTTCAATAGGGCGCTTTATCTGGCCAAGAATGGAGCGGAATTAGCAAGGGAAACGTTCAAGAAGCACAGATCATTCTACCACCCCATCGCTGCCACCATGATCGCCAAGGACCTTGGTCTCGCCAAGTAGAAATTGCGAATAAATCATTGAATAAATTAAATCAAATTGGTGGCAAAATCGTCTAAATAAACGGAATACACTTTTTGAAACATTCACACTTCTCACTCTTCGCTCATTGGACATTCGTTTTCAATCAACACATTTGCACAACACCATGAGCGAGCAGACCGGGAGCGTAGGTAAATGACAACATTCCGAAAGCCATGGTAAAATGGCCATTGTTGAAAAACGAGAGTGCCGTCAATAACAGAAGTAGACAAAACTAACCGTTGACCTTTTCTTGTTTTTGCTTTTCCAGTCCTTGCAGATGTCCTCGCAGAATTCCGTAAGTCAGCCTCTTCGAAACCTGACCTTGAAAAAGAACAAAACAGAGGCGCGCATGACATATTGAGATATGGCACCTTGTCTCGTGCTTTCTAACACCTCCCTGTGCTTTCTTTCTATCATCCTTCTCAGTGGAGGTCGCGTTTCATATGATCATTTTTGTCCGAGGCATCTATCCACCAGGTAAAAAAGAGTCCCCGCCTCCCAGCAAACAAGCAAAGATAAATGTAGCAACTCTAGGTCTAAAGCATATCTCGTTGTGGTTGAGGGAAAAATAGAATTATTCGAGTCGACACAAAAGTACAGCTGTCCCATCAAAACCGCGCGGCACCCAGGTCTCAAGGCTTATATCCAACAGATTGTCCATTCCCTTCGCGCCGAGCTTCTCAAGGTAACCGCAAACAAAACAAGCTACATCCCGCCTCTATTTTATAACCATTGTTGATATGGACCTTCTTTCCTATACTCACAATCGTAATATATATATATATATATTTTTCGATAGGACACAGTACATAGGATAAGTGTGGTGACATTGAACTCGTCGACAAGGCCGGTGGACCGGTTTGTGTTTGAGATGAGCGTACTGAAGTCGTTTGACGATCGTCTTCGGGTCGTTCAACAACAGCCACCACAGCAACCACCGGCTGCCATCCATGCACTGGACAACTATCAGTCAGAGCACGCTGAAGACGAGCCTGACCTCCGCCAGCAAGATCAGGATCAACAGTCAGAAACGACTGCACCGAGGTTAAACAAAGGCAAGGGCAAAGCTGTGGAATACCAACGCCATGAGATGGAAGAGGATGTCGAAGATGAGGATGTGGATGGCGATGGTGGGTTTGAGACGGGTCAGTACAACAGCTATGGCGGCGATCATGAACAAGAACCTGATCAGGAACAGGACGAGCAGGGACCCCATGCTGCTGAAGGCGAGGAAGGAGAGGGATACAACGAGGAGGAGTACGAAGAAGAAGATTATGACGATGATTATGAGACACCCTCTGTGAGGGGAATTCGGGCAGCTCAGGATAAGCGATCTGCTACATCGAACACGGTATCCTCGGCAGCGGGCCAAACTATGGGTGAGAGTAGAGGCTATGAGAATCGTGTTGATCGGGTTGGAGCAAGACATCGACGCGAAACCCCTCACTTTGGCGCTCGAGTCGATCTGACGACAGATCTGGAGACTATGCTGAGAGCCATGCTTCTGAAAATTAGTATCTGCGATGCCCACCTTGCTCCCTTAACATCAGGTACGTCATCAAAAAGTATATAATGTGAGAAAGGATAAAATGGTTAAAAGTATAAAATGGTTGAAATGAAACCTCTAAATATTACGACTCCATTTAACCACTACTTCGTTTACTACTACATAATCATGGATCACTAGAAAGCTCATTCACAGTTGTAGTCGAGATGAAAAACAAGGGTTCGGGACCGGAAGCCAAGGTAAAAGTACCTTCTACTTTTCATGAAAGAAATAGGAATTCGTTCAGCGCACCCAACCAATTTTCCAACTTTTCACTTTATACTCTATTCGCAAAATAGGCTGATTTTCCATGGTCGCCAATCAGCCCAGCATCTCACGAGGAGCAGCTCAAGGTATCCGCCCTACCAGCTCAGCCAACTCTTCAGCAGAGGAAGATCATACCCGTTAAAACTGTCGATGTCGCCGACATCCAGGTAAGAATATAGAGCGCCCCGACAGTCTAATGCTCCTTGCTGAATTACACATGCTCACCTTTTTTCTCAAACCATTGCAATCTTGCTCTCGTTTATAGCTGGAGCTGTATCTCGAGAAGCTAAACGGCTGATAATCAAACTTTGTCAATATCACTCTTTACTCGCATCATAAAAGAAGTTGAAAGAAAAAAAAGCGCGTCGATGTACATACACACCATGTATTTGTTATCTGTGTTGTTGTTGATGTTGATGATGGAGGTTGATGTGTGTCTATTCTACAAAGAGGGGATGAGGGAGCTCCTTTACGGGCTCCTTGGGTTGTTCAAGGACGGGGCTGACTGGGCTCTCGATCACTGTTACTCCACAAGGCTCAACCGCACCATTAGAAGGCAGTGTCATGCTGAGGTCGGGCGAAGCGACACGAGGTGTCAATCGTCCGACAGACTCCTTGGGAGACGTGTTGGCAGCGGCTTGCTGTTGGCGAGAATTCGTAGCAGGCTTTGATGAAGAGTGAGTTGATCCATTTGGCGACCCCTTGAAGACTCCTCCTCCGCTGCTTCTCAAAGGATCAATCTCATGGTCCAATGTCAAGTCGGCCAAACTGTGCTTCGGACTGAGAGAGTTGTTCTGGCTCTGTGTACTAGCAGGCGCCGGAGCCCCCGATATCGACCTCATCTCCCGATCCCCCGTTACTCGACGTCGGTTACTGTTGCTCCGCCCAATTGTTGCCGCACGGTTTTGTGATCCTGCTGCTCCTGCTGTTCGCATGTCTGCAAAAGGAGAGTCTTCTCCGTACTGACTGTTGGGTCCTGAAGGCGTGCTGGACGCATACCAGGTATCCCGAACGTTCATCGTGAGGCGGTTGAAGGAATCAACAAATCCACCGCCAAAGGCTCCCGAGAGTGCTGCTGGGAACTTGGACGCAAGATTGTCGGCGCTCTTCTGCCAAGTCTCATCTCCCTCGGACACCTGTGTGCCACCGGTTGGAGTCCCGGCCCGAACCAGGTTGTTGGCCTTAGCACTCGAAAGTGGCGGAGCTGCTAACGTGCTCGATCCAATGCCCAATGGGTCCGACTCCACACGCTCGTCACCGGAATGATCAACCTCCGCCGAGGCTACGGACTCGGCATAGTTATTTCCGAAACCAAGCAGTTCTGGTGTCATCCGTTCGTTCAAAGGGGTGCTGGCGTTGTCGTCAGGACTGTTGAGCTCCTCGTCCGTTCTCCCGAACAGCTTGGACCAGTACTTGATGGCTTTTGTGTCGGGGAACAAAACGCCTTCGTCGCCTCCACGAGCCTTGTCGAGACTCTGGTCGTAATCCTTGCTCAGATACTCCTCCTTGCTCGAGTTGATAAAATCCCATACTGAGGCGCACTTAGTGGTCGCGTTGTACTCTCGGCGGTCCTTTTGGCAATTGAACAAAAAGTTGCCAAACTGGCAGGAGTAGACGTGGTAATGGAGCTGCATCAAAAAGTACTCGTTGAACTCGAACCGCTTGGGATTCTGCTGCATGGTTTGGAAGACACAGTCCAGGAACTGGTGGAAGATAGGACTTGTCTCGCGGATGTGCTTGTTGTTGATAAACTTGTTCTGGACATTGGCAAAGGTGTTGGCTGCTGAATTGGTTGCCGAGAGCGCCACAAAGTTCTTGTCGTTCGAGAGGTGGCCGCATCTATCCATGAACTTGTATCCAAATGAACACCATTCCTTCTCAACCAGGACTTGGAAACCTCGCAGCGTTCTGTAGTAGGGGTCGAGGCAGATCTGGGCAACAGAAGTCAACTGAGCGGTGCGGTCCCATCCGTCAGAGCAGTGAACCAAGACGTGAGAGCTAGATACGTGGATGTTGCGCACAATCATGACGGCTCCATCCATGACAGCTCCGATGTGTTTCAACCATCCTGACTTTTGCAACAGAGGCTTGTTGACTGATCCTTTGGTGTCAATCTCTTGGAGCGCTATTGACATTGAATTAAAATGCCGTTTTAGCGGGACGACCATGATAGTGCAATTGAGTACTAATTGAGCGAGAAAGCATCCAATGAAAACCGTTACCTTCTACTAACTTGTTCAAACTTTCGCGCATAACGTGGATGTTGTCGATTCCAGAGTAGACCTTCTTGCAGTTCCTGTAATTCTCCATGTTCTCTGTTCCTGCTCCAACAGCCGTGTTCGCCATTGCGTTCGCCGTGGGTCTCGCGTCGATAATAAGATTAGTTGCCGTGCTTCCGTACACTGGGATCCCTGAGGACGACTGAGGAACATTAGTCATGAAAATGGCCTCAATCAGCTTTTCATCCTGAATGGATCGGTTCTGTTTAAGGCCGACCATGGGCTGACTGGATCTTGTAATGGAGGCCTAGTAGAGATGTGTGTTGTATTTGCGTGAGAATGAACATAGAACCATAAGTTAAAAAAAGTGTTCTCCTGGAGAGAATAGGTGTAAATCAGATGTTTACGGCCTGCTTACCATGTTGTTCCAGTGCAGATAACTCAATGCTGGGATTCTCGCTTTGCTCCTGTGCTTGGCGGCATATTGCAGCACGGTGTCACTGATTTTAGACGGTACCACGATCAATTGAGGATACGTCGGCGAGAACTAGCATGAAAATCGTGTAAGAAGGTGAAAGAGCCAGTGTATTAGGTCCTGCGTTCGTTAAATTGTTCCGCCGTCAAAGAAATTTGAACAAATGACCCCTTTCATCCAGACCAGACACATACAGTATACGTCCTGTTCAGCTCAGAAACTCGCCATTGGTCACTCTTGGACATAACACCCATGCGCTCGTACTCGAGCAGGGGGTCATAGATTTGCCAACCATCCGTCGTTTTGAATGCCGGCGATGGCGTATAGAAGAAGGCGTAAAGTTGTTCGACCGAACCTGTTTGAATATTTCGAAGATACCGTGAGTAAGTCTGTTCTAGTGAGGTGTTTTCGTAAGCCGATATGTATGCCGTGCCTGCTCGCCGACTCACCGATGCATGTTAGCTTTTGGATACTCTCGTAGACATCGGTGACATCCTTCTCGGACTGGAAATTGAGAGCGACAAAGACAAAGTTATGGCACCGGATATGAAGTGGCCATACGTTGTGCACTGTGGGAAGACCCTTTTCGACGGTGTGGATAGTCGGATATGAAATCTAAACAAGTCGAGGAAGAAGGGCGTGGTAGTTGGTGAGTGAGTGACAAAATGAGGAAGATAAAGACGGCAGCGAGACGACGGAACAAAGAAGGTGAGAGAGACCATGAGTTATTTCTTCCTTCTTCTCCCCTGGACAAAAATCGTCATGGGCAAGAACAAGGTCCAAGTCCGCCCACTATTGCAGTAACAAACGTTGGTCTTGATAATACGCCCCACCCGTTTTAGCCGCAGAGGAAAGAAAGAGAAACCAGCTTCTCCAGTTCACAGCCATACTTACCCAAATCTCTTGGTCTGGATGGGCAAAGATCAGGTGGTGGGCTGTCAGATGCAACGTTCCGATGTACGTCGACTGTCCCTTCTCGAGCTGGACCGCATGCACCTAAATGAGCAGGCGAAAGGTCATAAGGTGAGAAAAGAGTTTGCAAAAGGGAGACACCGTTCAAAGTAACAAAAACCCATTCAAAGGTTAGTCGTGTCTGCGCGAGTGAGCAGCAGTAAAGAGTGCCTTCCTCCTTTGCTGCGTTTAGATGTTGTTACCTTGGCAATCTTGATGTAGTCCATGAGCTGACTGGAGGCGATCGCGGGGTCAGAGTGTTGGTGGGCAGTGAGGAAATGGAGTTCGCTGTCGCTGGTGCTGTTGTTGGTGCGGGGTCTTTGCCGCAGGCAGGTAAGGCAGCACACGAAGGTGGAAAGAGCGAGATTAGCTTGGGTTGAGGGTGGCGACTATTGAGAGGCGAGAGGGCGTTCTGTGAAGGATGGGAGTGTAGAATGAAGGAGTGTGAGAAGGAAGAAGAGAAAGGGCGATGAAAGAAAAGGACGAAGAACGAGAAAGGGCTGGCTGTTGCATGCCTTCACTTCTCCCTCTTTCAAAGAACGTGAAGGGACAAACGAATGTGACTCGCTTCCGCACCAATGGAATCATCAAGGGCTTCCTTTTAATAGGATAGAAAAGCTACGACAGGGTAACAGACCAGTCTTGACCAATCGACAGGTTGGTGTTACTAACAACGGCAACATAGTGCCCTCCTGCGACATCATGTCGGGTCTCAAAAGCGGCGGGGCGGCCGTCAATGACCACACGCGAGACAGGCCCGCTCAATCCCAGGAACACAATCCGCTCGACCTTGAGCGACGAGAACCGCCGGATAAAACTCCACTCGACCTCGGACTCCTGGCGATTCAGGGACCGTGATGTTAGTACCCTTCCCTGAACCTTGAACTCTCGCAGGATATAATCGCCTCGGGTATATTCAAACGACTCGCCATCATCCAGATACAGCCGTCCAGATGCCTCGCCCTCGCTATTCACCGCAATCACTATCGTGAAGGGATCATTCTCCATCTCCTTGGATGACCGGCGTGGCTTCTCGCGTTTCGGGATAATTGTTCCTGCACGTTGGTAGACCGGTATCTTGTAAGCTGGAGACGGCACCGACTGCACACCGGGACCATGCCTCACCTGGCCATCATAAAAGTCAAACCATTTTTCGTTGCCGGCAAAGTAAACCTCAGAATGGGTGGCACCGGCCGTGGTGACAGGCTTGACGAGCAGGGCATCGCCCACCATGAACTGATCCTCCATGCGGTACGTTGACTCGTCGCTTGGGAACTCAAAGAACATTGGCCTAGTTAACGTTACACAGCATTAGCTTCCAACTTAAAGGGGGCGCATTCGATGGTTCGCAATGACTATCAAGACTTGCCTGATGATGGGCACTCCTTCAGTGCTTGCCTCTTGGAACAATGTATACCACAATGGAAGTAGAGAGTATCGTGTCCTGATAGCCGCTCTGATCTGGGACGTGTAGGGCTCTCCAAAGAGCCATGGCTCACGTCGCTTGCTGTCCAAGTGAGCATGAGCTCTAAAGAACGGATAGAAGGCCCCAGCCTGGTACCAGCGCGTCAGGAGCTCCGGCTCTGGGTCGCCAAAGAACCCGCCAACATCTGCGCCAGAGAATGGAAGGCCGGCAAGCCCAATCGTAAGAAGCATGGGTGTGGCCACCGCAAAGTGCTCCCAGGAGGCCTTGTTATCTCCGGTCCAGATGGAACCGTACCGCTGGCTCCCAGCAAAGAATGCCCTGGACAGGACAAACGGCCTCTGCAGGGTTTCGTTACGCGTGGTAAGACCTTGAGCAGTGGCAGCATGCTGGCAAAGCATCAATGGATTTTTGTTAGTGGTATTTCCTCAGATGAGCTCCGACGTGATCTTGTTTGAACCATGTATACATTCAGTTAACAACGACTTACAAACATGGCTCCATAGATGTTATGGATACTCCTATGCTCGACGCGATTGTAGTGCATGGCATCCTTGGGGAGCGTAATCTCAGGTCCTGTGAAGACGGAAGGCTCGTTCATGTCGTTCCAAGTGAACAGGGTGTTGGTCGATCCTATGTACCGATCGTACGAGAACTGAGACGCCCACCAGTCCTTTGCCCGAGGGTTCTCGAAGTCAATCCACTGGGAACTGCCTGGCCAGCACCAGCCATCAAACGGGGAGTGGTGTTTGTTCAAGACGAACAAACTCTTGTCCGTGGCCTCTTTAGATATATGGTACCCTTTATCCATCTTGATATGTGGATCGATGATAGTGACCATCTACACTGGTATAAAACAAAGACTTGTTACAATCCACTTTCAAAACGTGCATATGAAAAAAAAGGGGTGACACAAAAGAAAAAAGAAGAGTTTACCTTGCGTCCTTTACTGGCAAGGTGCAGCTGCATGTCGATTGGGTCAGGAAACTGCTTGGGATCCCATGTAAAATATCTCTTCCCGTTGGTGTGTTCAATGTCGAGCCAGAGGACGTCATACGGGATCTCATACGTCTCAAACCCTGCATCTACTTCGGTCACATCTTTTTGGGAGATGTAGTTCCACCGACATTGATGGTATCCAATGGCGAACGACTGTGGCAGAGCAGTCGTTCCCACAAGAGAAGAGTACTGTTTGAAAATATCGCGATGGGTTGGGCCTAGGAAGACAAACAGGTCAAGAACACCGGCCTCACTGTACCAATGCGTACGCGTTGTCCTGCGATTTGATCCAGATGTACTTTTAATCTTTTCAATGTCGATCCATGTCTCTGCGGCATTCATCCAGAAAACTCCTGCAGTCTTGTCCTTGCTGTGTCCAAGCATGAAAGGGATTGATCCGTAGAGGGCCATTGGGCTGTCGATCTCGTACTCAAAGACGTCAAGATTGTAAAGCCGATAGGGTTCGGTGTATTGCGCTCCTGGGCCTCTAGTGGTCTTGAGGGAGAGACTTGAAGCATGCTCGGGGATTCCATAGACGTCTTCGATCTCGGGAAAAGTGATATCAAGACCAAACGACTCGGGTCCTAAGGAACGATTAGAGGTTTAAGATGAGAAGTAGAACTGCATGAACGGTCTCTGCATACGTCCAGGACACTATAATCTGCCTCATACCTCTCGGTTTCGTGTCGAGGGTGTCCTTGAAGCGCTCTGACCACATTCCTTGCTCCAGACGGCTCTCGAGTGGGGTCCTTGTCCGAGTGTCAGTCACATCACTTCGAGCTTGGGCGGCCTCAATCTTCAACAGCCCGCCTTCGTTTAGCACCAAAGTTGAGATGCCATCGACTAGGAACTCAATCTGGAATGGTGCGAAATGGATACGGGCCGAGTTCTGTCGCTGAGACCCATAAGTGATGGTGAAAAGCCCATTCTCGTCCCGGGCCAATTGATCGTACTGAGTGCTGGAAATCAATGGCTTGACAAGGACAGTCTGTTGCAGTCCATCATAGCGATGTCGCTTCGGGTCTCGCTCACTCATCCGCACTCGAACTGCATCATTTTCAAGGAGGTGGACCTCGAGGGTATATCCAGCATTGAGCGCGCCATCTGATTCTGCCGAACTTGAGGACGTCGTGGGGGCGTGTATCAGATCCCCGGTCAAGATGCCATCCTCCAGCTGAAGAGAAGCTGGGTCGAGGCGAAATGGAGACTCCCAGTCTGGGGTCTCGTTGGCCAGATCCGCGTATGCTCGGTTCCTAGTACAGAATCCGCTCTGGGCGCAGGACTTGAAGTCCTCTCTCTTGACGGCGCTGACTACAAAGGCCATTGTGAGGGAGATAGCAATTGGCCAAAGCACGGTTCTCCTGGACATGGTGCCTTTGAGAGGTGGACTTGTCCGATACATACGCGGCCGATTGAACATTGGTCCTGCTGGTTGTGTTTGGAGTGATGTTCGAATGCAAGAAGAATTGAATGACCATGCACATGGAAAAAGGGGTAGTCTGTTCCTGTGTCAGGTGACAGGTTGGCCTTAGAAAGGGCGTCGATTTTCTTATGTCCGCTCTTCATTCTCTTTCTTCTCAACTTTACTCCTCCTTCTCTTCAACCATCCCATGGCGACCAATGCCGCCGCCACTCAACAGAACCAAAAAACCCTTGCTGTACCCACATCCTTACAGCAACAACAACAGCAGCAGCAGCAACATCACCAGCAACAACTCTCAACTCGCTCAGTCACCATCTCTAAGCGCCGTCAGTTTGGACCTCCTCCTAGTGCTCGGCCACAGTCTGCCCTAGTCGCCTCTTCGCCTACCTCCAGCGATGGACGTCCTACACCGCCACCAAAATCACCGCAGTCTGGCCCGGTCTCGACTATGAACGGCTCCATTAACGGGAACGGAACCCCTCCCCAGAGCGTAGCCTGCCCTATCTGCAACATAAACCTACGCAACCTCGCCCAACTCAACCATCACCTTGACACCATCCACCCAGAAGAACCGGAAGATGTCAAATCTGCAGTTGCCAACTTTTTCAGGAGTGCCCAAAAGGTTCTCAACCCTATTACCAAGCAAGCCACAACGACCTTCAAGAATATACCCGCTAACTCGTCTGAGCTCTTGAGAAAGATCCAGGATCTTGATATCGACTCTGCTGCTGGTCCAGGAAACAGTATGGCTGGCCCACCGCCATCAGGAGGATTTCAGGGCTGGACTGATCCTCGAGCTGATGCAATTGTGACGAAGAGGCACTGGGCCAGAGAATCAGAGCGCGATATTTGCTTTCAGCCCAATTGTGACAAAGGTCTCGGTATTCGATTTGGTCGTCAGCACTGTCGGAGGTAACTATAGGTGATGCCGTGCTTCGGGATTACCTCTACGCAATTGTTGTTGAAGCGATCACTAAGGTGTTGCTGTCTTTCCATGTATATAGCTGCGGAAACATGTTTTGCGAGACCCATTCTTCGTTTCAAATCAAGCTTGATGCGCAAGCCCGACATGATACAAATGGCCTTTGGTGCCGCGTGTGCGAAGCATGCTTTGTCAAAGCCAAGAAAGAAGACGATGGGTTGCATGCTGGGGGTAGGGTTTCATTTGATCTTGGGCTATTCCATCGCTCTCGTGTGTTGCGGGGTTTTCCTTGACGCTGATTAATTAATTTGATCCGCATTTTTGCACATAATAGGTGTCCATCGCAGCTTGACCACAGACTTCATGAGCATCAGGACAAAGAGCGCTGAGAAAAAACATCTGGAAGTCAATCGACTAGAGAAGAGAATTGAAAAACTGGCGCAGACCCATCAACAATACGATTCAGGAGTGTCATCCTCGCCTGTTGTATCTTCACCCACAGCCAGCTATTCGTCCCTTTCATCGGCAACAGGGTCTGTCCGGGCTAAAGGACTTTTCCGATCAGTCACCTCACGAGGCCAGCAACTGAAAGGTATTTTACAATTCAGGTGAGAATGAAAAATGGATATGTTGCAACGTACAACCCTATTAGTAACATACTTTTATTATTTTGCATCTGTAGTTGCCGAGCAAACAATCGTCAATTGGGAAGACGACTCGACAGTGCCTGCCTGTTTCATATGTCTGTAAGTCGAAAACCAGTATCTCCACAAGATGTGCTTTGCTGAGAATCTGGATCAACTTTTTCATGAACATTCTTTTTTTGTGGCAATAGATCCATCTTTAACCGCTATGGCAACCGCAAGCATCATTGCCGCCTTTGTGGCCGCGTTATTTGCGACAACTGTTCGACCAAGACTCCTCTATACCTGAGCATGTCTAGTTGTAAGTAACAACTAACCAATAACTGGTGTGCCATTGAACTTGGGTGCAGTTGGGACCTGAAATGCTAATACATACTTTTATAACCTTGTAGACCCTGACGGATCGGAATCAGTTGGACACACAAGGGCGTGCAAAGAATGTATTCACACAGCCTTCAAGCGGAGAGAGCATGCAGCGGACCGGAGGCGGCCGAATGCCGTAGTAAAATACTATGGATCGTTAATACGACTGAAAGCCAGGATTGATATCGCTCTACCTCGCTTTCAGGAGATGCTGACGACATTGGGGTAAGCATACACTCTCGCCTCTCAATGCGATGCACACTAACGGATTAGCCATTGGACTTAACCACGGTACTAACTTTGTTCCCTTATATGAATTGTCGCCGACAATAGACAGAAGGGCGATATGAATCAGACTCATCCAGACTACCAGCTTGCTTCCAGGACAAGGAAGGAGCTCTTGGATGACTTTGCGTTGTTTGACGCGATTAGTAAAAAGATTGCCAAGCTGCCCACTCACTCTCAGCACCAAAAACAACTCAACACGAATCTTTACTGGTGGGCTACACAGTACCTGCAGACCAACATGTTTCCTCTTTCCGTCATCCCCAAGGTGTTTGGAAAGAGCAAGCCTCCAGGGAATTCATCGCCAACCTCTTCCTCCCCGTCACCATCGATATCGTCGCCTCAGCCAGATTCGATGGACAATGAGGCAGAGATTGAGAGTTTGGCCCAGCTGGCAGTCATGGAGGACCAGAAGCGATTGGTAGAATCGTACATTGAGGAGGCCAGTCGCAAGCGCAAGTTTGACGATGTCAAGTCGCTCAAGATGAGCCTGGAGGAGCTGGAGAACGAGATAGCAGCGATCCGGTCAGGGCAGCGATCGAAATAAAGCTAGAGCATGTGCAGTCACATTTGTCCATTCCATTGGGTTGGCGTGTTCACACACACACATCGCTTCTCTCTTCTTCTACTCCACTCACATTCCCACACACTGTTCCTTTCTGGCCTTCCTCACCTCTACTGCACCCCATATACAGTAACATACAGTCGACACCATGACCACGGCCAGCGGCGGTCGAAACAATGCCCGCATAGAGGATGCAGCTCAATGTAAGGTTCAACCTCCTTCTCCATGGCAAAACACCAAATCAACGCAATCACAACTGTAAAAACCTAATCCTCATACTCATGGAACATCACATACATTTTACTTATAGTTCCGCTCGAGCTTCAGACCTGGTTCCTCGAGGTAAAGGAACTTTTTCTTCCCCCGTCATAACAGTTATTGTTTTTAACGTGACCACTGTAAGTGTATACCTGTTTTTTATCCTTTCGTTACGATGTCAATACTGACCGCGTTGGTATTTCCTCTCTCCTTTTCGTTAGATGCCCAAGGAGGAGCAGCCGAGATACCTTTATAAGTGGTACATTCAGGAGAAGGAACTGACTGACGTGAAGAAGGTAATATGCCAAAATGAAAATGAGAACGGCTTGACTTTACGTCGTGAAGTTCTATTCCAGGCAGCTCCTCTAACCCTGTCAGTTGTTGTTGTTTTTTGAGCTTAGCAAAACGAGACACTTGGAAAAGTCCTCTTCAGTAAGGACAGGGAACTCGAGCACACCATGCACATTCTGGATAGCAAGAAAGCCTATGACCGAGGTATGAAGCTTGTTGATGACGTCTTGGTAGCTGTGCCAGCTTGACGCGGCGATGCATACAGCGTTGTCTAATGTGTCATCAATATTTTTCATACCGTCCAAATATATGGGAAATCTATCGCTTAGAAATCAGGAAAGCTGAATATCAGGAGTTTGTAGGGATCATCGGTCACTTGGAAGAATCGCTCGCGTTCATCCATACTTCCTCAGAAGGTGGGCCTATCGAAGGGCGGCTCCAGACCCTTATCAACGGCCTCATGAAGAATGAAGCCGACACAAGAAAGAAGGATGCCGAGATCAAAAATGTAAGGCTTTGACATTTCACATGGCTATTTAATGCGCCTCGTCTGGAAACATGACTTCGACATTTTTTTTTAACTCATATGTCCTTTATGTCGTACGCAAATAGCTCCAAGCGGAGGTGGATCGGTATAAACATGGCGGTGGGACTCAACACTCGTCGCTGCTACTGTCATCAAGCTTGGATGGAGGTGACAACAAAAACATCGTCAAGCTTCAAGCCGAACTCGAGATCACCAAGAACGACCTTTCTGAAATGGAGAAGGCGCTGCAAGTCCGCGATCAAGAGATTGTTCAGCTCACAGAGGAACGCGACAGCGCCAGGACGAACATGGAAGAGGCACAGTCGAAGGCGGAGGGTCTGGATAGGGATGTGACGCGCGCGCACAAGGCAAAGATTTCAGCACAGGACTCCAAGTACAAATTGGAGGCGGACATCAAGGACCTCGAAACGAAGCTGAAGAAGAGAGAATCCGAGATCAAGGACATGGAAGTTCGCCTCGCTAGTCGCGACAACGATTACAAGCTCGACGGTAAGGAATTGACTCGCCTCAGGAAAGAGCTCGAGTCCCAGAAGAAGTTGTACGAGAGAACCAAAACCCTCTCGACGCTGGACGATGTCAAGAAGATCAAAGCTCTGAACCAGAAACTGGAGGCGGCGACAGCACGTATCGAACCTTTGGAGAAGGCTGTCAAGGAGAAGGAGGCACTGCTGGAGGCCAACAAGTGTAAGGTTCAGAAAGTCGATGACGAGAAGAACGAGGTGTTGCAACGTCTCGGACACTTGCAGGAGGAACTCGGAAAAAAGGACTTGGAGCTGTCAGGTATGCGCTTGAAGGTCGGAGGGCTCGAGTCTGCAGCCAGGCTGGTCGAGAAGGAACGGGATGCCGAGTCTCGAAAGACGAAGCAGGAACTGGAGATGGTGCAGCACGAGCTGGCAATCGCTCGCAAAAGGATCTCGGAGCGTGAGAAGGATATCGAGTTTTGGAGGGCGAGCATTTCCAACCAGGAGAAGAAGGCGGAGGAGCAGGCGGCGCAGATCCAGAACGACACCAAAACGATCAAGGAAATCAACGCCCAAATGGATACCATGAGGACGAGTCAGGCGAAAGTGCAGGGAGAGGTGGTGACCTTGCAAAGCAGCCTCCAGTCTTACGAAACCAGCATTCAGGATCAGGAACGGACGATCAAGCTGCAGAAGAATGAGCTAGATGACTTGAGGAGGAAGGTCAGCGAATCCGAGGCTAAAGCCGTAGATCTGGCGCAGTTGCAACAGGCGATGGACACTCTGCGCGTCAAGTTTGAGACATTGACTGTGGATCTGGCAGAGACTCAAGACCACGTCGTTCACCAAGCTGAATCTTCCGATGCATATCCCGACCCGATGGATGTGGCCTGCGAGAAGGCCCAGTCTCCTTCCCGAAACAGCGTCAACAGCGGCAACGTCTGGGGCGAGCTTGTTCGAGTGGCGAAGGAGTTGGTGGCTGTTACGGCTACAATCCAAGAAGTCCGGTCGAGTGTTCTGCGAGGCTCCGACAACAAGCCTGGTGAACAGGACGGAGCCAAGGTCATAGAGTTGGAGAGCAAGTTGCAGGAGCAGGCAGCGACATACCAGCGTGTCAAGAAAGAGCTGGAGGTGTTGCAGGACGAGACTCACAGGGAGACGGAGAGATTAGAGAGTCTTATTTCCTATCAGGACGAGCAATTGCAAGAACTCGCCGAGATCAAGTCGATGTTTGGCCCAGGAGACGAAGGAATGGAGCGGCAAGTAGAATATATTCGCGCCTGTGCAAGAATTGAGGCCGTGGAAAAATTGGTCGTCGAGTGGGAGGCAGCCATTGAAACAGCCAACAAGAACCACGACTATATGTTGAAGATTTGTGAGGAACAAGCGCAACATATCTTGCAACTCCAGAGCAAGAAAACGGATGGCGAGGAGAAGATTGCACGAGTCGAGCGAGATCTGGAGCGGTGCAGAAGCGACTTGGAGAGTACAATGGCCGATCTGGTGAAATGTAAAGGAGACGCGAAGGAGCAGGAGAGCAAGGCGAACGAGCTGGATATGGAGCTGCAGAGTTGCAAGCATAGGATCAACCAGCTGGAGCAGGAGTTTGCAGACCAAGCTCAACAACTAGACGGACGGACACGAGCTCACAACGCCCTAGAAACCGCGAGGAAGACGTACGATAAGGTCTACGAGTCGAAGATCAAGCGACTGCAAGAGGACAAGGCCACCCTGGAGGTCATTTTCAACACCGAGTTGCTCAAGCGAGACGATGCTCACCACCGGGAACTTGTCGAGGCCAAAGGAGATCGGGAAGTGGGACTTGGGCTGTCGCAAGCTGAAGTCATTGCCATCAAGGCCGAGTGCGAAGGACTCAAGGCCAAGTTGGAGATGGAGGAAGAGGAAAAGTTTAAGATGAACGGGATGATCGTATCATATGCAGAGCTCGTCAAGATCCTGCAAGGTAAACTTATCGCTCGCTTGGAGTTGAGCTTGCGTTGGCTTTTGTGATGCGGACTACTGGTAACAACTGTTAACGTTAATTGTATGTTTCGACCAATACTCCATCTACCAAACTAGATGATGGCAAAATCACTGAGGAGACGCTAGCACTCGTGGAAGTCCTCGGCCAGGTGCAGGAGTATCTGAGTACGATCGAAAGTCTTAGAAGCGACATCAATGTTCTCACGGAGAACAACGAGGGACTCAATCAGTTGGTTACAGAGTACCAGGAGGACACGACCACCCTCACCAACCGCACGGAATCGTATCTTGGCCACATCAAGGCCCTGGAAGGCCAGCTGTTCAAGCTGCGGCAGGATCAGGCCCAGAACGAGACCACGGTGCGTTTCTTGCACTCTCGGACACAGCAGCTAGAACGCGACCTCAAGGAGCAGATGGAGAAGACACAGAGGCCTGGTGGGATGACTGTGAGTTCGACCTGAGAGGGTGAAAGAGCCCTCTGTTCTTGCCTCCCTTTCCTTGCTTTTTCTTTCTTTTCTTCCTTTTTTTCGTGCCTTGTATTTCTACGTGTACACCAAGTCATCTTATTTGTTTCATTTTGCTATGAGAATTAAAAAAATCTTTAATGACGTTAATATTGATACTATTCGTGTAGAAGTGGGATGTGCTGTCGGTCTTCGCTCAAAGAGGTCAACAAGTCTTGGGCCTTGACGGCGACATTGGCAGGGGTATGATCGACGCGGTTCTTGCGGCGGCGGTCTCGTCTCGACGCGTCGTTGTCGCCTCCATTCCGCAGAGTCTCCAGCAAGTTGTCCATCATGCCCTTGTCGTCTCCTCTGCCCTCTGCATCATTTGAGCCTAGATATAACGTATGAACAGTAACTGGTGAGCAACTTGACATGATATATCTTCTTTTTGTAGCGACATGAGTGACATAGAACAAATCAGTGTTTTGTGCGCTTACCTCCGCTTTGGACATTAATCCGGTTCTTCTTGGCGGTCATCTGCTCCTGACGAGCCTTGGCCGCAGTCTTCGCCTTCTCTCTCTGCGCCTCCTTATCCTTCTGCTTCTTATTATCTTCCCTCGCCTTCTCAAACGACGCTGAGAAGGTCTTGAAGATTCCAAAGAACTCTTCTGGTTTCATGGCCACCGAATCCTCACCATAGAACTTGACCACCTCCTTGTAGAGGGTATCCATTTCGAGCATGGCGGCCTCGGCTTTTGCGAAAGCATGCTCGGCAGAGGCCATGAAGGGTTGCATAACTTCGTAGAAGCGGTCTTCCGGGCAGGATTTGAAGCCGTTGATGTAGTGTGTGTGGAGCTCGGTCTTGATCTCTTTGATTTTTGTCTTGAGGTAGTTGAAATCTGTCTGCAAGTCGGGCAGTGATACTGTTTTGTGAAAGGTATGAACGAAGAAAACCATTAGTGTCTGTATCCATCCTCAAGCTTTTCTTGTCTGTCCATTTTTGCCTGTGGTGAGGCGGTACAAGATGAGATTCCTTACCTCGGCAGGCAGATCCGCAAGCTGAGATCTCTTCCTGATAACTGAGAACGTGTGGCAGAGTCGATTCTGTAATGTTGGTCAAGAAGTGCAAGAGAGTCATGTTGGGTGCATTTGACGCTTTGGTATCCACCAGCTAATGTAAAAAAAAAAATCAGAAGCAAAAAACACAATGAGTTTTCAGCTCCTTCGGTGCCTTTGCCAGTGAAAGGTTGAGATTTCATAGAACGGATGTGAACGAAGGGGGTACCTTGTTGATACTGGCAATTTTGAATCCAAAGGCTCCTCCATTATGACTGGCACCGTTCATGTAATTTCCGAGCATCAAGATCAGGTTCAGCAACTCCTTGAAGTGCTTGGCGTTCTTCAGACCCTTGGATGCCTCCGTGATCGATGAAATACCCTATTTAGCATATCATAACAGGTTATGGAAGGCAAAAAAGATGCGTAAGTATGGACGAAAACAGTGGTTTTTTCTCGCTACAAGGAACAACAAACACAATAAACACACTTTTTCTTGCGTTTGATTACCTCGTTGACTCCCTCGAGAAGGCCTTGGAAGGTGACCTTAAACTTAAGCCCCTCCAGCCTCGGCTGATACCGTTCAACCTTAAGCATCTCAACAAAGAAGGCTTCTGGTCGACCCAACGTCAACTTGACATCCTCAGGCGCGTCCTTGTACTCCAGCAGCTTTCCTGTCTCTTCGGCGTCAGGAACAAACTTCAACAGATTGCTGAGCTGCACCAAGGTCATGAACTCTTCGTCCATACGGAGAATCGCTTGTCGGATCTCAGGGTAGGTGTGTTTCATACCTCCCAACATAATGTTGATCTGGTAGGCGCGACGTTGGTCTAGGATCAAGATCTCCAACGCCTTCTTGGATGCGCGAGGTTCTATAAAAGCCGTAGTGTGGTTAATTTATCAGTTAGAGCTGAAGAAAGATGCATTCAAGCGAACAGCGAGGGTCACATAAAAACGATGAACGATATCAACGCACCTTTGTATTCTGTCACCTTAGCCACGAAGAGCTGTTCCATGGTACCAAAGATTCCACTGTCGCCAAGAGCCTTCTGGAGCGCGTTTTCATCCACTCCACCAGAACCCCAAACTGTGTTGCCGACAGCCATATAGTTGATCTTGTCCCACTGCAATGCCTTCAGCTTGATCGCAGCCACTGCACCCTCTTTCTTCATGTTCATGTTCATACCCATGCCTGGTGGCATAGGAGCTCCTGGGGGTGGAGGTGGTCCTCCCATGCCAGGTGGAGGAGGAGGGGGTGGAGGACCGCCCATTCCTGGTGGCGGCGGCGGAGGAGGAGGTCCGCCCGCCTTGGGTGGCGGTGGAGCCCCACTGCCCGCAGCCTTGGGCGACGACGGCTCTCCAGATCCGAGCAGTTTCTTCTTGGCTGCCAACATTGCGGCCATGCTTCCTGCTGGCAAATCCTCCGAGTCGGAATCGTCGCCCCCGCCAGGGGGTTTGAGACCTCCCTTCTTCATGCTATTAAGTAGGCCACCCAGTCCTCCAGGTCCTGGACCGGCCATTGCTGGCGGTGGTGGTGGTGGGGCCGGAATGCCTGGCATAGATGGGGGTGGAGGCGGAGGTGGACCGCCAGATGATGTTACCATACCTCCAGGACCAGCGCGATCTCCACCGCCACTACTTCCATTACCACCAGATCCTTTGCCTATTTGCGTTTAGAATGAGAGAAGATTGATGTTTAGTTATCGCTCTGAATGAACACCGTTCATAAAATACGAGATCATGAAGCGACAAAGTTACCGTTCTTGGAGAAAAATCCTCCTTTGCCATTGCCGTTGGCTTGCCCTCCTGCTGCAGCGATACTGGCCAACAGCTCTGGTGATAACGTCGCAGGTCCAGTATACTGGTATCCATTGACCTTTTCAAGATCCTTAGTAAAGTTCGGATCTGGGAGGGCAATCGAATGGGGCAAATGGTTTCCGTAGCGATCCTGCAGGATAGTGCCCTCCAACTTGGTCTGTTCGATCAACTGACGCAATTTCACCTTGTCGATCATAGGGTAGCCATCGGGGCCGACGATCTGGTGTTGATTGCCCTTGCCAGACCCAGGACCACTTGCAGGCATTCCAGCATCGGCCATAAGTCCATTGGCGTCCTGAAGTGATTTGAGCAAGTGTTTGAGCTGTGCGTCCTGAATCGCCAGCTTGTTCTGCATCTGCGCCTCGACGTCGTATAGCTTGGCCTGTAATGTCTGGATTGTGTGACGCGATAGGCGTAGGAGATCCTCGAGCGAGTAAATGTTTGCCTTCAGCTGCGAGACCATACCATCTAATGAAAAAAATGAGAAAAGAGTCTGTTAGCTGCCATGTTCATCACCTATACGTATGCCATTCACTCAGTATCGTTAAAAAAAACGAACGTACCATCTTTTTGGCCGACCTCGAGCTCAAGCTCATTCTTCTGTCGAATAACAAGCTCTAGTTCTTGTCTCGCCTGCTTGGAGTCTTCAATTGCCTGCGTGAGTCGGTCTTGATCCACTAGTTTACCAACCAGCTGATTGACCGAGATACCCAGCTTTTGGTCGAAATTATCAGTGATGCCCCGCCTGTCGAGGACCACTTGCGTCACAATCGCGTCCATCAACTGAAAGTATCGAATCCTACCAACATCGATTTTTTAACAAATGAAAGGGTTAGAGAATAATGCTACCAAAAATCGGCATGCAACTATTTGTGTCTGAATAGGTGGTACCTGAGATCGCCCTCCTCCCGAATCAGAAGCATATGTTGTAGCAACGACAAGAAAAAGTCGTACGCCCTGCTGCTCTCGACGGAACGAAGCAAGGCATGGAAGACATCGTATGGATCTGACATGTCGTGCAGGATTTGGTGGTTGTAAAACTCGATCATGTCTTCATAGTCATTCTCGGCCTCGTCTTCATAGATGTTGAGTTGTCTATCGATCAAATCGTACTTCAGATCCCTCATTTTCTATTATGTATGCAATGGAAGAGATGATCAATACCTTGGGGAAGGTTTCGTCCTCGTGGTAAACGAATGAATGGTAGTTAACATATGGACTTACTGAGATGATGCGGGTCAGCCCACTAGTCGTGAGTTGACTTCGAAGATGTACACGAAACTCGATCTCATCGACGACTTGGAGAAGCGCATTGATAAACACGACGTTCGACAGCTAAACAAAGAAGCCATTCACAACGTCAAACAACAAGATGTACGCATTCTGTTAGTGGATAGAGGGAGTGAATGAAACGCAATTCAAGTACGGAAATGAAATGGGCAGACACTTACCACGTATTCGATGAGTTGTCCATCCTGAGTACCAGCCTTCTTCAAATCCTCACTCATTCCGACCATGGTACCAAACCGACCACGTCCATCAATAGTGTTCTCGAGAATGCGCATCCAGGCATCAAATCGAGCACTCTCCTTCCAGTACTCCATCACTTGGTCCAGTCCTTCCAGAACCAGCTTGTGACCCATGGGCACCTCACAGTACGACAGGAACGTCAACACCTCAACGACTAGCTTTCTGGTTTGGAGATGTGGGGATGTTATTGAGAAGCAGAGTGATGTGATGCAGGTTGAATGCTTGATAGCTTCCTGAGCACCCCATCGGTTGTTGAGTAGCGTCTTCAAGCACTTGACAATCTCTAGTTCCATCGAAAGATCCGCATCACGTCTATAAAAAGGATGTTTGGTGACCTCAAGTCATGATTAGGAAACTGTATCGCTACAATGCATGGTTGCGAGCCATTAATGAAAACTTCAAAAGCGTACCTTGATGGACGATGGTTGAGTGTCGAAAGAGCGCTGGAGAGAACCAGCATTCCGCGACTCTGGATAAAGGAGCGCACCCATCTAGCAAGAAGAAAAAGGAGTGACAGTCAAAATCGGTCAGCACGACTCCAATGGGGCGGAAGATGTAATGAGGTGAATGTCTTTCCGTCCGTGCGCGGGTGAATACGTACGAGATAGGCTGTGATTTCAACGAAACAAAGAGCGCCAGAAGGAACTTGGAGTCGGTGACCTTGAGATCGCTATCTAGTTGTAGTTTGCGAACAAAGTACTCGGACGAGGACTTGTCCACATACCCTTCCTCTCGCTTCTTGGCCTACACACATATATTTTATCATATAAAATGGGTAAGGGTTTAGCCGATAGATTCCAAAAAAATGCATCGATCGACCTCACTACTGGAAGAGTACCCTTTTTTCGTTCAACAGAAAACTATCCTTTCATAATGTCCTGTCTCCACGAACCCCAACCAAGTCATCAAATATGAAAAAAATTGGTCAAGACTCAAAACTCCCAACGACAGGATGGGATGCGATCAGAATAGATCTAATTCAAACAGGCAGTACATACCTTTGTTTGTTCCTGGGATTCATGCTGGAAGATCAACTTCCACTTGTTGTCGACCGTCAATCCAACCATGGCCTTCCTCTGCTCAGGCTCATGCATACCCATGTTGTTCTAATGCAACATAGAGAAAGAGAAAAGGAATTGGGACGGTCAGTTACATATAAATTGATCCTCGCATATCTCCTTTACTCCTGTATCTATGATGCAAGAAATACAGGAAAGTGGTGGTTGAAGCACTCACCATAAAGTCAACAAATCGATCTTCGATCTCCTGATCTGTCCGGGGCCGGGCTAGTGACATGGCCTCCGTGCGGCCAGCCTCGCTGACAGATCCAGAGGTCGATGATCTGAATGAACGAATGGACTGGGTATCATAATCTTTCTTGTAAGAGTTGGTGCGATCCATGTGATGGTGTTGTGAAAGGTAATGGGGTGCGAGAAACGCGGAAAAAATGTGCGACGTGAAACCAGTGGTCGCGATCGACTTTGAGGAAGGGGAAGACTGTCCAGTTGCAACCTCTCTTATGAAGGGTATCGATGAAGGGATAGAGTTTGGGCGACAGGGATTGACGTTTAAGGAGGAAAGGAACTGAGATGCTGCCTGAAAGATATTACACTAGAAGAAAAGGTGGAGGTTGAGGGTGTCCAAGCGATGGGATTAGGTGGTGTTATCACGGCGACCCTCACAGTGAAGATGACTACGATGGGTATAAGGTATGGGCGGAGGGGGGAATGATCGTAGTCTGGTTCGCGGCTGGAGCTTTAGGCGGAGGGAAAATATAGAAAAAGGTTCATAGGAAAGGTGAAGTCGAGTGGTGGCGTAAGGAGGATACAATGAAAGGGCGGTGGGGCGAAGAGGAGCAAAATAAAACGAGAAGAAAGTAAGAAGTGAAAAAGTCTTCATGCTACACTTGCAGAATCCCATGGCAGAATGAACAAACCTCCTGTGTTCATGGCGGGGTAATAAAAGCCGGGCCTGACAGCAGAGGCAGGCGTTTTTTCAGAGTGGTGTTGGAACGGAATAGAATGTAGACGCACACAGAGGGATCACTCAGGGCAAGGTGGAAGCAGCATTCCGGAATCTGATCAAGTTGGACGGGCCGTAGGTTGGGTGATGGAGCCCGACAAGTGCAGCTGGGGAGATAGTGTCAACTTCCCCATCCAGGGTAATGGGCAACAAAAAGGTCGTCATGGAAGAGTGAATGTGTCGGTCTAAAAGAAAAGTGATGAACAAGAGAGTGGTGTGCATCAAGCAAGTCGAAAAGAAAAAAAGAAAGGACGTCGTTGGCGCAATGACTTCCTTCTTTATTCCTCTTTTCTCTTCTTTGTTCCTGTAGAAGAACGTGTAGCGGGTGAGGGTAGACACCCAGGTTGGTGGCAATGGAGATACGCGACGTGACGCTCAGTCACAGCCAGACATTGATCAGTAGCCAATTGGGAGGCAGAACCTACCAAGAGCTTGCTTTGCACCCTGTCGCGCATTGCAAGGATAATAATCCCACAAACACAGGCCATGCGATACTGTTTTCTCCCTTGGCTCATGCATGAATGAATGAGCCTTGTGCCTACAATTGATAACAATACTATTAATCGATATTGCCCTTTCTTTTCCTCTCCTCCTCTCTTTCTTTCCTCTCCTCCTTCCTCTTTTATTCTCTCTCTCTCTCTCTCTCTCTCCCACCCTCTCTGTGCCACTTCCATTATCCACTTTCTCGCCTTCGCCACGTCCTTCTTGCACGAACACAGACGACGCACGAATAACAGCTCTCTGCCACTAAGAAGAAACCACAACAGCCAAATCGCCACCCTCCTTCCTGGAACCATCCTCACACATGACTGGACAAAAGACTCTTTATATCTCAGGATTCAGCCAACGTTCCCGTGCCAGGGACCTTGCTTATGAATTCGAAAGGTATACTTACCAATTTGTTTCCCACAAAACACCATCGCGGCAGGCTGTGCCTCCATCAACAATTATCACAATCTGTTTGTTTTGAATATTTGTACCAACCTCCTCCTCTCTCTCACTCTCTCTCTCCTTTTCCCACTTATCTCACGCCCAACCTCCCTCTTTTTCTTGCTTATCTCTTCTTCGCTGTTGTTGTTTTGACATGTTTATATCCTGAAATGACGCACCCTCAATTGCGCCATGGGCTCTACTTTCACCATATGTTTGTCTCATTCATGTTTATGCTGTCGACCATTTTCTCTCCCCCCTTTTTTTTCTTATTAACATGAGTACCTGTCTCGTCTTCATATAGATTCGGCCCTCTTGTCCGCTGTGATATCCCTGCCCTCCGCACAAGCTCGTCAAGACCGTAAGTTTCCCTTTCGTTCGTCTTCTCGTCCTTCGGCCGCGGCGGTTCCTTCGTTCGGTTTCGTCGTCCTCCTTCCCCTGCTTCTTCTCGTCTTCTTTTTTCGGCGCGGTTGTTGCAGGGTCTCGTCGACCATCCTTTTCAAGCGGGATACATTACCAGCACTGCCTAAGAGAAGCATTTCTCTCATTGGACCTACCCCTGTTTATCTTGATCGGTCAGGCATTCACTACCTTCATTTCGACAAAAAGGCTCACTGCGCATCCACGCTACAGGACGCTACAGGACGGTTTTCTTTCACAACAGCAGACGAAAGGAACGCTCCCGTGGCCTTTAACGTTCATGGCGCCATACCACGAGGTTTTTGCAACAAAATAACGCTCACAGGATCAACTGGAAGGCGAGTGCGCCATTTTCACTGGACATAAGTCATATCGACACTATCTCCCCGCAAAACGACAGGACATTCATTTTCACTCGCCTTGACAGTGTCTTACTCTGGATCCCAACTACCTTTACCAAATCAAAAGGCTCTTCGGTGAGGCGTCGTCAGGACAAGATCGGTGAATCGGCTGGAACGGTGAATCGGCCCTTTTCCCTCCTCTCCCTTCCTATCGGTTATTTTGTCAATAACGCGGCCCTCTCCCCTTTGACCTTCGATACCAAAATCGAACGCGGACGGTGTCTTCGCGGAGTGTTCTGGTCGGCCCGATATCGATCGTCCCTACCCTCCCCTCTCCTCCCTCCAAGCGACAAGAGGATATGAGAACAGTAACTTCAACGAAAAAGAGGTGGAGAGCCCTATTTTTTCTTTTTCGATCGACCTTTATTTGCGAGCCCGTTTCTCACTGCCATGCGAACGAACGAGGATACGATTCCACGCGGCACGGCGTCAATGATTGCATTCGAGCGAACGAATTCCCACGATTGTTTTAACCAAGAACCTCCCCTTATACCTTCCGTCCTTTTTGTTCTCATCTCCTTCTCTGGAAACATGGACGGCTCCACTTTCATGGACAACTTTTGGACCTGGATAACAAATTGTCTTACTTTTTCTCAACTTTAATGGGAATACTCTCATTCGCCAACCAGTTATGCTTTTGTCGAATATAAGGACGAGAGAGACGCAAGAGATGCATACAACGAGATGAGGGATGCCCGATTCGAGGGATCCCGTCTCAGTGTCCAGGTAAACCAAGAACAGCCCTTTCAACTTGTGCCCTCGAGCTTAATGTGAGAATTGACATTGAACTCTGCAATATTAACAGCCCATTTTATTCCCTTCTTGAGTAGTTCGCAAAGAACACACCAAACGCATCTTGGAGATATGAACGTGGAGGCGGTCGAGAACGTTCTCGCTCCCCTTCCTCCCGTCGTGGCCGCTCCCCTCCCCGCCGCAGATCCTCTCCTCGTCGCCGGTCGTCCCACAGTCCTCGCGATCGTGAACGTGGCGACCGTGGCGACCGTGGTGGTGACCGTGAACGTGATCGCAGCGGCGACCGCAAGCCACGCTCGCCAGCTGCTGGCCGAGACAGTGCTGCTGACAATGACCGCAGACGTGGTTCAGGATCGCGCTCTCCCGCTCGTGCAGAACGCAGCAGCAGCAACAACAATGGAGAGAACAGCATCGAAGGAGAAAGTGGTAGAGGCGGTTCAGGAAAGCGGGATGATGATTCGCCTGAGGGCGCCGGTGCTGATAGACGACGGGACTTGGGGTCTCGTTCTGCGACCCCTGAACGACGTGCTCTACAGGATGGTGACCGTTCTCGATCGGCTTCGCCTCGTCCGAGGTCCATCTCTCCCAGAGCGCGCTCTGTCACTCCTTAGATTTGTCCTCCTTTTTTTGCACACGGGGTCATTGCGAATTGGTTATTTATTTGATGGAAATAAAAGAAACGTTTGTCTGTACGCACTGTCTAGCTTTGAAAAGAATGGTTGTTGTTGTTGTTGTTGTTGTTGTTGCTGTTGCTCTTAGACGGATGCCTTCTTGACCAAGAAGGAGACAAGATCGACCTTGGTAATGACAGCCTTGACCTTCTGACCTCCAAGCTCGGTCACAACTCCCGCCGAGTTCGTCTCAAAGAACCTTGTCAACTCCTCCAGAGGAGTATCGTCCGTGATTTCCGTAAAGTGAGCTCCAATCTTCTGGAACTTGAACATCACATCCTTGACATGTCCATCGACCCCGACACGACCCGACGCGATCCTCGACAGCAGGTTTCCGAGCGTCACTAGCCCGACCAAACGACCATTCTTGGCCGAAACAACAGGAAGCTGGTCAAACCCATTGTGCTCCATCAAATGGATCGCCTCGCGTGCGGGTGACATATCCGTGATCGTGACCGCAGCCTTCAGATGCAAATCTGCAACCGTGGCCCCGCCCCACTGGAGCTTCTTGGACTCTTGCTCCTTGACGAAGGCCTGGTCCGTGAACCCGTTGACCTTCATCCAATCGTCGCTCAAGAACTTGGTCATGTAGTTGCGCACAGAGTCCGGGAGGATGACAACACAACGTTGGCCAGGTCCCAATTCCTTGGCAGCCTTGACTGCTGCAGCAACCGCAGTTCCGGAGGATCCACCGCATAGGATACCTTCCTCGCGGATGAGACGACGGGCCATGACGAACGACTCCTTGTCGGCACTCTTGACCCAGCGGTCAATCACCTTGCGCTCAAGGGCCTCGGGGATGAAATCGTAACCGATGCCCTCGACCTGGTATCCTTCAGTTGAGGCGTTGAGTGATTCGGGCTCTGCCAAAATAGAACCATGAGGGTCTACTCCCACGATCTAGAGTGTCGAAGAAGTAGATGAAAACCATTCAGAAATTAAGAACACAAACAAGCATAAAGAACAAACAAGAGGTTGTTATAAGTTTAGGGCGTGGGAAACAACACCAAAAAAAAGTGCACACGGAACATGTTCAATGCCTGGGCCCAGTCCTTTTTTGTGTTTTCTCGTTTTTTCATGGTCCTTCGCTTTGTCAAGATCCCCCCCCCTCCCTTCCTTCCCAAAACTTACAATAATGTTGGGGCAATGCGCCTTGAGTTTCCTGGCAATTCCAGTAATAGTTCCTCCAGTACCAGCTCCTGCAACCAACATATCCACGCGCCCATCGCAAGCACGCAAGATCTCCTCAGCAGTGTGGTCGAAATGCGTAACAGGGTTGTAAGGGTTGCTGTACTGGTCCAAAATGACAGAGTCAGGGATCTCGGCATTCAAACGCTTGGCAACTCCAATATGGGACTCGGGGGCATCCCAGGCGGCCTCGGTAGGGGTGCGAACAATCTCAGCGCCCAGAGCCTTCAACACATCAACCTTCTCCTGTGACATCTTCTCGGGCAGGGTGATGATGGTGCGGTAGCCCTTGACGGCAGCAGCCAAAGCAAGACCGATTCCTGTTTATGGGTTAGGTCGGGTTTGAGTTGAGTTGAATTGTGATATTTTGGAATAGATGGAATTGCTTTAGTACAGGGATTTCGTCATGTCTGCGCATAAAAACGTACTCTCTCGCATGTTTTTCGCCGTCTTGCTTATTTTGATTATCTCTTTGTCATTTTCATGTCCTTACCAGTGTTTCCAGAGGTGGGTTCGATGATGGTGCATCCAGGCTTCAAACGGCCATCACGCTCGGCCTCCTCGATCATACGAAGGCCGATACGGTCCTTGACAGATCCACCAGCGTTGAAGAACTCGCACTTTGCCACTATTTCATATCATGTGTGAGAAGTAAAAACCGTCAGTTATCTTTTCACCTCCGACACCATTACTCGATATTTCGCCTTTGTTTTGACTCGATGATGTCAGACTTGCGGAAGAGTACGTACAGAGTTCGCACTGGAGACCTTCAGACTTGGCAATTTTGTCCATGCGGACCATGGGTGTGTTGCCGATGTGCTCCAAGATCGTGCTCAGGATAGCTGGTTCTGCCTGACTATTACAATCGAACAATGAAACAAGGGTTTGCTTTCAATAAGTGTACAGTGTCGTTGCAAAGGTGAGCAAAGCCCATCGATGCACCTGTCAATCCGATGTGATAGCAGAAGAGGTTGTCGTTGTTGCCGATGGCCTTACTGTTCCTCGTGTCTGTGGCTTCCGATCTGGGAACATCCTTTCTGGTTGCAGGTGCTTTGGGACATGTTATTTTTCCGCTGTTGTCGGTTGTGTGAAGGAGTGTTGTGAGGGTGAGGGATGCTGTCGTGGGAAGAAAAAAAGAAAAGAAAAAAAAAACCTCTTCCGTCGCTTTTGATGCGCACGAGGATGAAAAAGTATAGAAAAACGAGTCACAGTCAACCTTGATGTAATGGGTAGCGTTTATTTGATTTAGTCGCGCTTCTCTTTTTTCACCCAGTCCATCATAAAGTTGCTCGTGGTAAGAACGAGCTCATCCATGACACGTCCAGTTTGCGCCTTGAATGCCTCAAATAGAGGTCCAAGACTCTGTATGTACACGCCGAGCCCTCCAGAGAGCTCGACAACCTTGGCTCCGGCTTGAGCCATTGCTGCTTGGAGCGCTAGGGCCACCTGAGCCAAAGCGTTCCAGATAGGGACAATCACCGCTGCGAAAGCTGGGGCAGCCTTGAGGATTATGTTCGAAATCTTTGTCGTGTTGGCGATCACAGCAATGGTTACTGTGGTCAGCACAGGGAGAATCGAGGACACCCAGAGAGCATGGGTAGGGAGGGCAATGTGCTTGTGAAGCCAGGCGAGTGCAGGTCCGGTGTGAGTGTACACCGTCCAAGAGACCCAGGAAACGACCTGCCAGAGCGGATGCGCAACTTGCAAAAACTTCCCGATCACCCATGCGACGACAGGTCGAGCCAGCTCCAGCGCACTCATCAAGTCCTGATACGCATTTGGAACCATCTCGACCGCAAAGTACTGGAGACCGTTGCCGACGACCGTCAGAGTGAGGACTGCGTAGTGCTGTACAGTCGTGAATGTCTTTGTCAAGACAGTTTCCAGTAGGATCAGCCAATTGACGCTCTCGAGTCGCAGAAGTCCCAGACTGCACTTTTCCTGAACCTTGGAGGATATTGCTTGAAGACCGGCCAGTAGTGTGGGGTGGGATCGAAGTATCCGGCAGCCATCGATCGCAGCTTTTCCAACAGGCGCAATGACTCGCGTGTACAGGGTGTGGCCGAGCCATGGCAAAAACTGCTTTAGCCCGGTGGCGATGGCATTCCCGAGTGCACAGAGTTTGGTCCAGAGGGGTGTGAACGTCCGTGTCCAGATCCAAACTCCTACCCGTCCGACAACCTTGCCCAGATCGATCGCGTCCTTGGCCAACTCTCCAAAATAAATCTTGGCTGTCTGGAGAAAAGTATGGCTGAGTGTGGCAAGTCGTGATCCAATTGCATGGGCTGGGTTGTAGAGACACTCGACTGCGAACCAGACAGCAGCAGCCTTAACGGGATCAGCCACAATGTGGATCCAGGCTACAACCTTGACCAAGAGTGCCTTGAGGGAGGTATAAGTAGAGATGGATAGGCGCGCAATCCCAGGGATGACGGTCTCCTCGATGCTTGCCTTGACTTTAGCCATAGCTGGGGATTCCCAAACAGCCCTAGCTGTTAAGCAGATGGGTACCACGATCTTGGACGTGACAAATTCGGGGCCTTCCTGAACAGACCATTGCACAGCCTTTTCGACGGCGACCATCAAGTGCACGCCTGCGTGCTCGGCAAAGAGGATCGAGTGAAGAACAAGAAGACGAAAACATGTCCAGAGGGCCTTGAGAACGAGGTAGACGACGGCGAAGGGGATATATGGGATCCAGCGTACAGAGAAGTTGGAGGGCCATAGTGAGGAGGATGTCGTATCACCTCCTGGAGTAGTGGTCGCTGCTGTGGTTGGTGTGTCTTCCTGTTTTGTGGTGTCTTTGTCCTTTTCAGAGTTCTTTTGCCGTTGTGCTTTCCACTCGGGGTATTCGCGTGCAATGAAGAGGAAAAGGAAGAGTAAGGCAGCAGGGATGAGCCAGCGGTAATAGGGCTCTCGCCGTGAGTAGGAAGAGTCCATTGTGTGGATGAGTTGTTGTTGTTGTTGTTGTTGTTCTTGCTGATGCTTTTGCTGTGAATATGCTGTGTTGCTGAGAGTATGTCGTAACAATGATGATTTGAGTTGTGTCGTAGCAAATGGTGAATGAGGAATGTGAAAAGGGTGAAAAGGCGGAGGAGTGGAGAGAAGCGAAGGAAAAAACCGAGAAGGTGAAGGACACAGCAATCGCGATATATACTTCTGAACTGCCAAGAACAGACCCCCCCTCTTCCAAAGAAGGGAAATAATTATGCAACAAGCGACGCCAAGACTCCACTGGAGGAGAGCACCGACCCGACAAAAGAGTTCAATTCCTCCACGTATTCGTATCCTTTCTCTCACACCCTGTGTAACTTTATACCCACATGTCAGTCTTGGCCTCTCTTCACTCCAAAGCACACATACATATCCACACGCCACCATTCAAGAGATAACCTATGCCAGCTCAGTAGCACTGAGCAGGTTGACGTGCCAAATTGGACAGGCTACAGGCTAGGGCAATTGAACAAACACCCTTTACTACTAACCACAACAGAGTTCAGTCAGCAAGGTAAGTGGCTTTGACGAGAGAGCAACGGCAAGATCAAGAAGAGGAAGAGAACCTGCAAGATGACAAGGAGGAACTAGATCGCCAAGCAGACAAGGAGCAAGCCAGCCAGGTCCCCGCTTTTTGCCCTTTGCGGACATGAATGCCGAAAGGGGAAGGGAAGCGGCCAATCTTTGAGACAAGTTGTTAGTGTACTGTACACCCCCGCATAGGAGCGCTTTCCGATTTCAGCACAAGGTTCCTTCTTCTCCCTGCAGATTCGAGCACCGACACTGTTTTTCACTTTTCTTACTTTATTATTATGATAACCAACCTTCGTCCTGAGTCAGGCAGTGAGCTTGCTCGCATGGCAGCCATGTTTGTTTATTTTTTTCGTGGTTGCTTTTCTTTTTGCAAATAGAGGGCCAGTATACATTCCTCGATAGTGAACAATCACTGCGTGAGGTGAGACAAGAGTGAGATCAGGAACCAGGCTGGTGACCCTCAAGTGAGAGTGAAAAAAAAGAAGCCACAAGTACCACTTACACAGCCACCATTCAGGCAGCTTGCTGTACCCCCAACTCATTGAGCTGACCCGACTGAGTTGAATTGAACGGAAAAAAAGTTTTTCTGCTGTCAACAACAGACCATTGACAAGCAGACTGCCCTGATTTGTCTTCCCCTGGATCCCCGCCTTTTGACTCTTTCTTTTTTTGTCTTCCTCTTTTCTCTTTCTTGTCTTCCCTTCCGACCCACCCCTCCACTCTCATCCACTCCCTCCTCCCCCTCCTCTCCTCTTTCTCCTTCTCTCCCCCCTCTCTCTACTCTCTCTATCCTTCACCCACACCCATACACCTTCATATTACACGTCCGGCAGACACAAATGACAAGCGAAATCACATCAGAGCCAACGGCGGCAACCCCTCCCGTCTACGAGATCACATCCGATCCAAAGCACGACGAACTCGAGGACACCGCAGCCAAGATCCCCTCCCTCAACACCATCTACAACAAGTTCTTCACAAAGGACGGCTGGCTCGGCGACTACGACTATGCCTTCCTCTGCATGCCCACCATTCCCTGCCTCGGCAAAAAGTCCAATCGCCAGCCTCCCTTCTTTGGCCTCAAGACTAAGCTTCCCGTCTTACTCTCCATCGTCATGGGTAAGCGCTAACTTATGTCTTTTCTTTTTTTTTTCAGCAGAGGACCCTTGCCCCCTTCCTCCCGTTTCACTTTGCTAACCGTGCTCCTTTCTTTCGAACAGGATTCCAGCACGCTTTGGCCATGATTGCTGGTGTGGTCACCCCTGTGTTGATCATGTCTGGCCCTGGTACAGGAAATATGAACCTCGACATGCCCACCCGCTCCTACATGCTCTCTGCCTCGCTGATCTCCTCCGGAATCCTTTCCTTGATCCAAATCACCCGCTTCAGACTCTTCAACACAAAGTACTACCTCGGTACCGGTCTTCTTTCCGTCGTCGGCACCAGTTTCAACTTTGTCCCAACCTTTGGCGTAAGTCATTCTTCCCATTCTAGATCAACAACAACAAACAAGGGAAGATTAGGGGGATCGAATATCTATCAGGGATCGACAAATCGATTGACAATCTTATTTTTTTTCTAATATCCCCCTTTTTTTAGGCTATGACAACCCGTATGTACTTGAGCGGCCAATGTCCTATGGGTTTGGCTCCCGATGGTATCACACCTGTGCAGCTTCCCTGTCCTGAGGCGTGGGGTGCCTTTCTTGGAACCTGCATGCTCTGCTCGATCATCGAGATCCTCTTGGCCTTCCTCCCTCCTAAGATCATGAAGAACTTGTTCCCTCCCGTCGTCACCGGTGTCACTGTCTTTTTGATTGGAGCCAAGCTCATTGGAACCGGATTGACTCAGTGGGCCGGTGGTTCGGGGCCTTGCAGCGCCATGCCCGCCGAGGGTTTCTTCTCTGTCTGCCCCAACCTTGGAGCCCCCAACGCTGCTCCCTGGGCTTCGCCTCAATGGATCGGACTTGGCTTCTTGGTCTTCATGACCATTATGTTTGTCGAGTTCTTTGGCTCTCCTTTCATGCGCAATGCCCAAGTTGTCATTGGTCTTATTGTCGGTCTTGTTGTCGCTGCCGCTACTGGCTACACCGATATTTCGACCCTGGATGACGCCCCTACCATCACTTTCTTGTGGGTGAAGAACTTTACCACCTTCCCTTTGTCAATCTACGCCCCTGCCATCATTCCACTGCTGGTCACCTACGTCCTAACGATGGTCGAGGCTATTGGAGATGTCACCGCTTCGTGTGAGGTCTCGAGATTGGCTGTTGAAGGACGTGAGTTCGAGTCTCGCATTCAGGGTGGTGTTTTGGCCGATGGTCTGGGTGGTTTCCTCTCTGCCGTCATGACCAACTCGCCCATGTCTGTCTTTGCCCAGAACAACGGTATCATCGCCCTTACCAGGTAACGTCTACACTCACTCTGTGCATTTATTTACTGATTTAATTTTCTCCACAAAAAGACACCGACATATCATTCCTCCTTTTCTTCTCAATTACTTATTAGATGTGCAAACGCATCGGCAGGATACATGTGCTGCTTCTTCTTGGTCTTGATGGGCGTCTTCTCCAAGTTCGGATCCCTCTTCCTCATGATCCCCGACTCTGTCCTCGGAGGCATGACCACCTTCCTCTTTGCCAACGTTGCCTCGTCCGGCATGCGCATCCTTGCCTTCTTGAAGTGGACCCGTCGTGATCGTTTCATCGTCTCGGCTGCCATTTCTCTTGGTTTGGGTGTCTCTCTCATCCCCAACGCCTTAACTCACTTCTTGTCCTACAACGGCACTTCTAGTGTCTTGATCGGCCTCGTCGACTCGATCAACATTATTCTCTCAACCGGATTCTGTGTTGGCGCCATTATCGCCATTGTCCTCAATCAGCTCCTGCCCGAAGAGAAGCCTGAGGAGATGGAGAGGGAGTTGGCCGAGGGCGTTCGTCAGGCCGACAGCAAGCAGGCTGCCAAGATTGCGGCCGAAATGGAGGAGGCCGCCAACGGCGACAAGTCTAGCATGAAGCACTTGTAAACAAAAAGTGCTTGTTTTATACTCCATTTATTTTTGCAGGATCGAAACCACAACTTTCTTACACTATTTTAATATCCTCCTCCTCATCACACTCCAACTTCCATACTCACTTCAGCATTGTACAATTCCCCCCGCATCGTCTTCATTCGTAATAAATTCATTTTTCAATCATAACGATACTTTCGTCGTTCTGTTTTTTTTTCTTGACAAGATGCTCTTTCCTCGCGTAAACATGATTTTCGTTTGTTTTTTTTTCTTGAAAGGAGATAACTTTCAATAATACCTTACGACTCGCTATTATCATGTTTTTCTTCGCTCTTTCATGTTTGAGGACCAGGTAGCAATGGTTTAGAGAGAAATGTTCATCACACAAAAGGAATAGATAGTTCTTTAATTATTCAGAACAAAATCCTCGAAAGGGGCAAGGGTTTTCATAAGAGTACGTTGGGGGGGAGGGTCATTAGCAGGGTACGAAAAAATCAATAAATGCGCCGCGCCTCAATTACCGCCGGCGGCTTAGTAAGGGATACCGTTGGTCGCCTTCTGGAAGGAGTCGTAGAGGACGGTACGCTTGTTGAGGTAGGACTCATCAACTCTCTCCAGAATAAACTCTGCAGCCGAACGCTCAGACCGATCCAACTGGAAACGCGACCGCATCCTCTTAATCGTCTCGCCACGGAAACAAGGCAGACCCGACTCGAGCATCAACGAGACCAACCGCATGATCTGTTCCGCATAAGGACGCGATGCCAAGAAGGCTTTAACGCAAAGCTCACAGAACCATCTGTATCCCTGGTCTTCAACACTGGATCCCATGATCTGGATCATTTCCGAGGTCAATTTGAAAGGGGACGATTCAAAGTTGATGTTTCCTCCAGGAGAGATATCGAGGATGAATCCGAAATCAATGTGGATCACATGGCCCTCGTCATCGATCATGATGTTTCCGTTGTGGCGATCCTTGAACTGGAGGAGGTACGAGATCACACTGTAGGAGGCGACAGATTGAATAAAGTTGTTACGGGCCTTTTGGTATTCGATCGAGTCGACGCCGCCATATTTGGTGACAAAGTAGTCCTGAAGGTTGTTGACCTTTTCGCGTCCTAGCTGGTCACGCGAGATCGAATTGGGGATGACATCGATCATACCGCAGCCGGGGGCGGTCGCGACAATGCGGTAGGGGAAAAGGTACAGGTCCAGACCGACGTTGGTGAAGATGTTTTTGAAGACCGCGATCAATTGAATGGCCAACACGTCCTGGCGACAGTCGTCTCCGACCTTGAAAATCGCAGATTGCCAGACATCATAGGTCTTGGGGACGCTGTCTTCCTCGTCCTGGCCTGAGGCATCGCCGCTGCGCTTCATGATAGCCTTGGTCAAGCTAGACTCCTCACGGGTCTTGCGGACCTTGAAGGTTGCCATGAAGGGGGTCTTGGCGTGGGACTGGAGAGGACGACCAGACGTCTTGTCAATGTCGACGACAACACCCTCGGGGTTACTGGGCAGGTAGACTCCCACATCCATCACAATCTTGGCCATCTCCTCGTCAATCTTCTTCTTCTTCTCAGGCTTTGTCTTCTTGACTAGGGGCATGAGCGTACCAGAGATCGAAGTGACCTGGTTGAAAAAGGTAAACTCGCGCTCGTAAAAGCTCTTGGCCTCACCCGAGAGTCCGTTGACAATGTTGTCGATGATGCGGTCCAGAGTAGGTTTGAGGGCGTCGGGGACCTCACACTTGTTGTCGCGGAACATGTTCGCTTTCATATTCCAGATGATCTGATGGGCAAACAGCTGCGACACACGGGCGGCGCGCATGATGTACTTCTCGACATAACCCAAATCGTCGTGGCGAAGGGCCTGGACAATCTGAGGGACGTAGAAGAAGACGACCTCGACGGGAGAGTGCTCCAAAGAACGCATGGCGTACTGAAGGACCATGGGGTTACTATGGAAGGCGGGCTGGAAGTATGAGATCGCGGTGATCGAAGGAACGGGCTGCCAGAAGAGCAGGTACTTGAGCTGAGCGGCCGAGTAACGGAAAGTGCCCTCGCCCAGGAGGATCTGGATCGCGTCCGAATCATTGACGGCAGCAAAGGGGTCCATAGCAAGGAGTTGGCCCAACTCGCTGGGGATGATGTTGTTCTTGAAACGAGACATCAACTGGAAGGCCAGGCTGGGTGAAACCGACCAGGCAAAGCGGACCATGTTGCGCCAGCCCTCCTCAGAGTAACCCTTCTCTTGGGCGTTATCAGAGCCATTTCCACTGCTGGCGTTGGCACCGCCGACGGCAATGGGGGTGGTCCAGACACCAAGACGGTTGAGCTCGTTCTCGGTCAGCAGGGAGAGAAGACGACGGGACTGAGTGTGCTTGCGGATGATGGCATCGCGATTCAGATTCTCGGTAAAGACATAGTTGGCAGCCTGAGTACCAGCCTCGTCTTTGGCGCTCGAGAGGATAGTGTCCAACAAGATCTTGTCCTGCTCCAAGGCAGCCGCAAACTCCTTCATGACGCGAGTCTCGGTCCTGCTCAGCAGACGGTTACCACCAAAGGACCAGCGGGGAGAGAGCTTGAACCAGGAAAGCGCCGAAAGGTACAAGGCCGAGCGGATCTGGTACTCGATCAAAGCCTCCATATGATCGCTACGGAGGAGACGAAGACCGAGAAGAAGCAACTGGAAGCGACCCTCTCTGGCCAAGGGGTGGGTACTCATCTTGTGCTCCTTGGCAAATGTCAACTGGATCAAACGAGTAAAAGTGTCGATCATGTCGCGGTTGCGATAGCGGGTCGCCTGGAATCTGGAGGATAAGAACTCGATCCAGATAAGGTGAGGCGAGAACAAGTAGGATGCAATCTTGTAGCTTCTCTGACGAGCCTTCTTGTCCGTAGGGGCATACTCCATGCGCACGCGGAAGGGATCTTCAGGATCCAAGAGGGAGGAGAAGAGACCCTTCTGGTGACGGCAGGCCCAGTCCCACCCAGCAGCGACCTCGGCCATGAGACGCTTCTCGACCGCGGGCTTCTCGGTGATGAGCCAGTTCCAGACAGAGGTACCGATCTTCAAACTGTCAGGGGTGAAGAGGTAGATGGGAATCCAGGCAACCATCTTGACCAGCTCCTCGTCGACTTTGTCGAGGGTTATAATAGCGCTGACAGCGCGATGAAGAGCATTGGCCAAATCCTTGTTCGAGACAAATTGATCAGCCTTGACCTGCTGCGCCATCTTTTGCAAGTTCTCGCGGAGGGCAGGCAGCTGGCTAGGGAGAACAGTTCCAGTCTGCTGGCTAAAGGCACTCGAAAAGTTCTCCATACCGCCAACCTCGCCCTGGTAACGACGACGGGCCGAGAACTCCTGGAAAAAGACCGAGGAGCTGTCGAGGAGAACACCGGGGATGCTGCCGAGGTTTCCATCGAAGCAGTTGTGAGACTTTGTCAAGTCCTTGCCGGAACGAGCAGCAAGGATGCGACCCATGTGGACACGGCTGATACCAGTGTGGATCTTCTCCGAATCGGCGAGGTAATCCTGCAAGAGCGCATCGACCTCCTGAGGAGAGTTCTCCATGGCGACAGCAACCCATCTGCGGGTCAGCTCCACAAACTTGGAGAGCAACTCGCGACGGTAAGGGTACGAGTCGGGCAGATTGATGGTTACGTTGACCTTGGTCGACGTGAAGCTGTAAACGGGGCAGTACTCATCCGTCATCTCGTTCTCGCAACCAAGCCAGAGGAGCTCGCTCAACTCGAGCACAAGGGCCAACAAGTTCTTGTCGCACATCAGCTGAGGGAAGTTGCCTATCAGACGATGAATCCACTTGACAGCCAAGGCGCTGACACGCCTCAAACGATGAGCGCATCCAATGATCAAGTTGCGAACCTGGAGACGGGTCTTGTCGTCCAAGGAGTGAGCCAAGACCTTGGCCTGGGACTCGGAAGTAAAGACGTTAATGGCCTGATCGGCAATGGCCTCCAAACAGGTCGAAAGAACGCTGTCGTTGACGCCAGTGTTCATAAAGTACTTCAAGACAATGGAGCAATCGCCACCATGACGGCTGCGAAGGGTCTCGACGTGATAAACGGACAACAAGAAGACAACCTTAGCCGAGCTGAGAGTCTTGATCGCAACAGCCTGACCAGGCAAGTAGCTGGTCAAGGTAGCGCGCATAGCCGCCTTCTGATCATCAGCAATACCACGGGGAAGAACAGAGTTGTGCTCCAACTCGCCCTCCAAATAAGCCGTCGCGCTGTGCTCATCCGAGACCAGAGCAGGGGTCTTGCAAGCAATCACAGCCATAGCCGAGCTCCACTCCTTGTACCAGGGCGAGTCCTTGACAAACTCGAAGAGAACACAGTGAGCCCAGAGATCACGGAAGAGCTTGACATCCTCCTTGGAGTGCTTGACGTGCTGTTCAAAGTCATCGTGGGACAACAGCTGGGCTAGTATAGGGAGAACCAAGCCCAGACCACCAGACTGCAAGTTCATCTTGTTCTGGTTGCGCTTGGTGGTGTGGTGGTGATGCTGCGACGAAGACTGGATCTGGACACCCTTCTCGACAAAGAGTTTGAGCAAGGTGACCATGTAGGCATGGTAGAACTCGGGACGAGAGTTGATCGTCGTGGCCAAACGAAGAAGAGACTCGATGACCTATATAATTTTTTCATAGTTGAACACAAGTTAGCAAATCGATTTATCGTAACATAAATGAGTCCCATGTCTATGGACAAAAAAGTAATTACTTACAGCTTCAGCAAGTTCCTTAGAGGTGGCCTTGTTGTCATGAGAATTAGGCCCACTGTGGGAGTGCTTGGCGAGGTTGGAGAAGATCTGGGTAATGTCGTTGAACGAGGCTAACGAACCAGTCAACGCAATATCGGTCAGGCGCTTGACGATCACGCAGTCCAAGTAAGCACTGTGGTGGCGAACCTGCTGGGCAAGCATCGACAAAACCAAAGGAGTAATCTATTGAACAAACATCGTATCACATAGATGTTAGTCAGACATTCTTTTGCGTCGAGTTGTAGAAAACAAGGGATGGGTACACGATGGTCGTATCTAAAGACGAACCTTCTCGCTCTTATAGATGCAGGCAATCTTGGAGATGGCGATGATGACATTCTCCTGAACGACGACAGACTGTTCATCAACAGCAACGTGCTTGTCCTTGGAGCTGTTGTGCTTGTAAAGGGTGTTGAGCAAAGCGTAGACAATCGACATGGCTGCCTCCTCATCAATGGAGAAATGCTTCAATGTCTGGGCAAGACGTTCGGCGGCAACCTCCTGAGTCAAACCGGCGGTAGTGCTCTTGAAGGCGTTGGAAGGAGTGATCAAGAACTGCTGCAGCAGTGCTGTCATCTCTCCGTTGGCATCCTGGAAGCTATTACATGGATAGATTCAAAAGTGCGGTCGGCTTGTTAATAATTTTGGTCAATGAAAAGGGCATAAAAATGTACACAAAAAAAGGCTGGGGGTGGAGAAAAATGTGAACGTACTTGATTCCCAAGATGGCGGCACAATCCAACGAGGCACGGTGAATCTGGGACTCGTCAGTGCGGAGCTGGTTGAATAGGCTGTGGGAGATGTGGGTAGGGAGGACATCGTCCAGTTCATGAATGTAAACGCTGGCAAGAGCCGCCAATTGCTACAAGAGAGAGAGAGAAAGATAATTTTATCAGTTAGGGTAGGTACAGCCAAGCAAAAACAACTGTTGATATTAGAGGGGGACTTACAAGAGCGACACTCATGATCTCGCGGTAGTAGAACTCGCTTGAGACAGACCCTTTGGCCAAGAGATCGTTGGCAAACACGCGCATGTCAGACAGGAACTGGAGTGACATGATGTACTCGGCTCTCAAGACCTTGGTCAAGTCAGTCCGGACGGCCACGTCAGTGCGCCTGAATGCCTTGGTCAAAAGCGAGGTCCAAATGATCTCAAAGGACTGAGTAGCAGCTGTCAAAGGCTTGATAATGATGTCGGCGTGAGCAGAGGGCTTCTCGTCCTCGCTGCTGTATTCAAGGGTATGTCTAGCCTTGCCGCTGAGGGCTAGTGCCTCGACATCAGCCTCGACCTGCTGCTCCTGGGTCAATTGAACCTTGGCTGTGTTTGCTTCAATCAGACGAGCAATCATGTTGCGCTTGACGGTCAGAACTTGCAAGACAACGCGGTTGGAGCTGAGGAGGATGTTGTCACGAGCATAGGTAGCAAGGACGCGACGGGCATAGGAGGTCGAAGGCTCCTGGGTAATGGTATCGATAGCCTTGCGGATATGCTCAGAGGTACTGTTGGAGAGCAGGGCGTTCGAGTGTGAAACCAGGTTGGCAAAGTCGTGAGACTCGAATTCGAATTTGGAGCTCTCCAAGGCAGTCAAAAGACCGTTCAACGAAGGCAACACGAACTCGCAAACCTTGTCAGCTATCATGGGTTGACATGATGCAAGAAGAGGGGTTAGAGTAGGTGATAAGGGTTGAAAAGGATTACTACAAAAACGCAGCATATAAGTTTCACATACCACTGCCGGATAGGACGATTGTTGAGAGCTTGTCAAAGTATGCCCAGACAGAGTCGAGAATATCCTGACGAGTCGAGGGCCTCTTGTTGGCGATGGTGAGGAGATGAGTGATGAAGCTGGCAGTAATGTTGTCAGCGGGGGACTTGCCTTCAGAAAGAGTATATTTCAGAAATAGATGTGTTAGCACGAAGGACCTGGGAGCATTATCCCAAAACCTCGACTTTGCACAACCTTCATGCAAGATGATTTACCCTTGAGACCGAGGCCATCACCAAACTTGTACTTTGGCAGCGAGTGAAGGTATCCACAAAGGCGAGGGACTAGGTCCTGGTCAAACTGGCCCGAGGACTCGGCAGCGAACTTTGCCTGTGCGATCAGGGCGTGTTGGTGGCGCATTGTCTATTCGAAGTTGAAGGAGATATTCAGGAACAGGAAAACGCGTAAATTAATCCGAGACAATAATCAGTTGGGATGCTCTCCTCGTCAAAAAAAAGAATGCTTGTCTGTTGGTACCATCAGTCCGCCCTCGGACAGCACATGGTCCGAAGAGGTGCCGGCACCGTGGGATTCACTCCCCTGGGGCTTGGGGGACGAGGGCTGGCTGGACAAGGGCAGAGAGGGACCAGCCCTAATAAGTCTCTGCACCTCGTCGTTAGAGGTGGCCGAGTCCTTGGCCAAGGTCGAAGCAAGACTCGAAAGAATCTGCGAGTGCAAGTCGAAGTCGACTCTGTTTGTAGGGGAGAGAGAGGAGAAGATGCCAAGAAGAGATGAGATGAGTAAAAGAGTAGACAAGGTGAATGGGAGGTGAGATGGGGCGATGGAATTGACTGATGGTCGATTCGGTGGTGACGAACTTACGAAGGCATCTTATTTTTGTTTTGTTGTTATATGTGGGGGAGTGTGTTGTAGTTGTTGTTGCAGTTGTTGGTAGGGGGGAAGGGTTTTAATGAAAGGAAGATGTATAGAAGAGAGGAGGGAGTGAGAGTGCGAGGGAAGGGAGTGTATCTGAGGGAAACAAAGACGAAGAAGAAGAAGAGAAGAGGGAGAAATGAAAGAAAGAAAGAGAAGGCAGGTGTCAATTACCCAGGAACAATTAAAGGACAACACCTGATGGCGTTAGGAGAACACCTTAGGATGTGTTTGTATGCGCATTGGCATGTGGAGAGTGCTGCTCGTGCGAGCAGGCAACAACAGCAACAATTGTCTCCTGAGCAGAAAGTACAAAACAATTAGAAAAATGAGGGCTCACAAAGACACAAAGACACAGTGCCACCCATTTGTACCGAATGCATTTCATCCCCATTCGCTTCGGTTGGAGGATGGGGAATTAAGCTTGGATTAGGAAAATAAAAGAGGATAGAGTATCACTCAGCACACATGTATGATACACCATTGTAAAGCGAACATGCTGAATGATCCACTCATGGACGACCACAGCAACAAGAACAACAGCAACAACAACAAGACAAGAATTCGGTGTTGGGCGTAGGCCGTGCTCACCGTGCCTTTTCTTTCTTGTACGATGAACCCATGGCAACAATGCATTAACCTTGTCAAACATAGGCATCTTCTTTACCTAGAGACGCCCAACAAACGAAAACCGACAAGTGCAAGTCTGAGGTCAGAAAAGACTGCCGCGAACAACAATTTGAACTTCAGCGCAACAAGGCATCGGCATTGATAGGAGCCAAGCGTATCGATTTGTCCATCCGTCTGCATCCTGTCTCGCTCCCATTCCCGCTCTCCCTCCCAGCATACCATTGCTCTGAAATGTGTGCTAACTCCTTTTTTCCCGTTCATATTATGCCATTGACCACACGTGACCCATACCATTGCAGAGAAAAGAGAAAAAAGACAACGACCCATCCTTTGCAAAGCTCATCATCTTTCTTTTTTTTTCACTCCTTCAGATCTCCACCTTCAGCTCCCACCCTTCAAAAACACACTCAACACACAATATCAACAAATTCACAATGAGCGGCCCCAGAAAGTACGGTATCGACAGAGGTAAGAACGACACAAGGACACTCTCTCATCCTACCTCCACAGCTGACTCCCCCTGAGCTTTAAAGTTTTCTGGGTGTGACCATGTCCACCCATGCAACCCCACCCTTTGCCATCACTTTTTTTTTGCGAGCACCACAGCTCATCTCGAACAACAGCCACTTACTCACCTTTACCAAACACTTTCGTTGCTATCACAATAGAAATTGCTGCTAAGCTTGCAGCCAAGTACGACGTTGGACGTGAGGTCGAGGTAAGGGACAAAAAAAAATAAAGGAGGAAGGAGAATGGATGGATGGACAGGACACTTGAACCCCCTGACTCCTATGTCACACACATTTTTGCACGACCGTTTTCTTTTTGTTGGTCTACCTCCTTACCAACTGTATTCTTGCACTCTTAACTACCACTAGGCTCGCGAGTGGATTGAGACCGTCATTGGCGAGAAGTTCCCCTTTCCAGAGTTCCAGCCCTCGCTGAAGGATGGTGTCATCCTCTGCAAGTACGTGAGGATTCGACGCTGTTGTTGAAGTTTATTTTTGCAACGCACACCTCGAAGAGTATATTGCAGTCGCTCGATCGCTCACTCATTCGATCGTCTCTTCATTCCATCTCTCTATTTTTGCAATCGACTATCCACTGACGGCATGTTCAAATCATTAACGAAAACAACTAGACTTATGAACGTCCTCATCCCCGGTTTCGTTAAGGTCAAGGCCTCCAAAATGCCTTTCATTCAGGTACGCTACGCACAATCATGGATTTCTTTCACCACATAACAACGACTGGCATCATACAACAACCATTGAGCCAACAGGATCGCAAAGATTTGCAATTTGCTGACTTTTCATCCCCCTTTTTTCTTGAACCAACCACACATTGCTCATTGTATACTAGATGGAGAATATTGCCAAGTTCTTGCAGGGATGCGAGAAGCTTGGATGCCCCAAGCACGATCTTTTCCAGACCATCGATTTGTACGAGAACAAGAACCCCGGCCAGGTTGTCGATGCCATCTTTTCCCTTTCGCGCCATGCTGCCAAGGCAGGAGTGGATATTCCCGTAAGTTAAACTAAAATTTTACCATCGTACCAAGTGGATGGGATGTTCCAACGGGACGCAGCGTTTTTTTACACTTTTGCTCTTTTATTTCCCTGCTAACTAAACCACAATACTCCGCTCTATGCTCTGCTGTTGACATAAAATAGATTCTTGGACCCAAGTTGGCAGATAAGCATGTAAGGAACTCGTTTTTTTGGCTTGTCGCTTTTTTTCTTTCTCTTCTTTTTTCTATTTCTAACGTGGCATGATCTTCGAAGGAAAAATCATTTTTGTGAGCAACAGCGACATATGCAACGGTCGTACTGACACAGCTTCTCTTTCTTGTGCTCACTATGCGCGTTCTTTTATACTCTTGAATTTAATTAGGAGGTTGAATTTTCGGAGGAAGTCTTGAACGCAGGAAAGCATATTATCAACACTTTCCAGTACGGCTACAGCGGCGGGGCAAATCAGTCGGGAGTACGGAACGGTCGTCGCGAGATCGGAGGCATCGACCCCGGTCGTGGTCCCGTTGAGGCCTAAAAAGAAGCGACTCCACCTCTATGCCATGATCATGGCTCACAGGTCGCCCTTTTAGACATTTTGTTTTACCCCTTCGCATTCATTAGGAATACCCTTCGTCAATACATCCACCCCTCTATCCACCCCTCATGCGAGATTTTTTTTAGTACTTAATAGTGAGATAATTAAAGATAGAGGGAACCAAGGACAGCTTGCTTTTATTCTTTATTGTCATGCACTTGTTGCTTTCTTCTTAGGCTTGACCTGAGGGGGTTGACTAGTTTCTGAGAATCCAAGTTGATCAAAGTCATTGACGAGGGCCTGAAGTTTCAAGCCAGCAGACGAACGCGCTTGGTGAGCCTGTGCACTTTTCGAGACTGAGTAAGCTGTTGATGCCGGCGTATGTGGCAAAGACCGCTCTAGTCTCGCATCCTTTAATGATCCTTCCTGCGCACCCTTGTTCTCAAGTTCACTTGGTCCAAGAGCAGAGAGTTTGACATCCAGAATAGGAACTTCGTTCAAGAGCTGTTGCCATATCCTACGGTAGAGTCGAAGAGTAAGGGTGTTGGATTTTGCAGGCTTGCCACCAATACTAGGATGGAACCTCCCCGTCTCCCATCGATTTCTTCTTTGCTCCTCGCCAGTTTTGTTCCATGCCTTGATAGTCGTCATAATCCGCTGCTCCCACTCGATTTGTTCCTGTACTCTCTCAAGTGTTTCCACATTGTCGTCGTCTGTAGGACGTATAGAACTCCTGGGTAAACCTATCCGGGATTTTCGCTCAATTTCTTGTCGGATCTCCCCAGCGAGGGGCGGCTTGACTTTGCCCATCTGTTTGGTGAAGAAGCGCCACCGAAGGTTTGCCTCTCGTTTCCCGTGCAGTGGCTTGAACAATGGCTGCGGCAGGATGGGCTGTACACTCTTCCCGGTTGCACTTTGGATTAGAGACACTAGAGGGGGGGATAGAATGGGCGGCACTGTCCTTTTCTTTTTGAAGAAGAGAGGTTCCGGATCCTCTTTGGACGCCAGCAAGACTTCCGACAGGCGATGTTGAGTTGTCGAGTCCCTTATTGTCCCCGAAGAAGCCAGTGGGGCCGCTGTTGGTGAGGGTGTAGAGGATCCCGAAGCAATAATGGCGGCAGACAGTTTATCGGCCGATAGAGTCCTAGCACGCGTCGAGTCAACAAATGGCTGAAGAAGGATCCGCCGGTCCTTGCCCTGGAGACCATGCGAAAGTCTTAGGATCCGCATCACGGACTTGAGATCCATCTGATTGGCGCGTTCTATGAGACGGAGAGCCTGTCCGATAAAAACAGGAACCAACAAAGGTTGAGTTGGGGGGGAGGGGTTTTTATGAGCAAAGTTTTTGGGGAGGTAAGATAAATGAAAATGAAACTTTGAACGTTTAGAAGGGTCGGTTCAGTTGAGATATGGTTGTTTACCTTGCGGGCATCGCTCGTGTACTTCTGGATACGGTGCTCGTCCTTTTGGCTCTTATTCTTCCTGAAGGTCTCCTGGGCTCTTGCTCGGATCCAGTGGCTAGTTGAGGGAGGGTAATGAAACAAGCAATGAATGAGTTGCATGAAGGAAGAAGAAAAGAAGATTTCATTCACAACACCTGATCAATAGGTTTACCTTGCTCGTTCGTCAAAGAATGATGCGCCTTGGCGAAGGATGTGTCGGTAGAGGAAGAGGACCTGGTGGCGGTGAGAGAGGCCATTGAATGAGGCTGGAACAGGTCCGTAAGTCGGCATTGAATCCCAGGGGCTAAGTGTGAGAAGTAGAAATAGGGAGGAGGGAGGAAGGAGGAGAGAGGGACCGTGGGTGGGAATGAATGATGCCAAGCCACCTCCGGCTGAATTTTTTGTCAAAAAGACCGGCGCGCAGAACGACAAGAAGAGAGGGGAGAGAAGAGGCAACAAAGACAATGGTCGATAATGCAGTCAATCCTTGGCAGCCACCGACAGACGAGAACAGCCGACCCAGTCGGTGGCGATTGTCATGATGGTCCTTACTTTCCAGCAAATGACAACCATCGATGCTTGTGTGTGAGTATATGGCATGGAAGTGCAGTATACTGTCATACATGCGGTGTGCGTTCCTGATTATCATTGCACATTGCGTATTTGGGGCTGTGAGCCTACCTCAGTTCTGTGAGCGAGTCCCTCTTTTGTGTCCGCTAATCTCAGAACAGCGGTACATTTTCCCCTTCCTCTCCTCTCTCTCTCTTTTTCTTCTCTCCACTCTTCCGTCCCATCTTTCCTTCCGTCCTTCCCTCCTTCCCCTTCCTTCCTTCCCTCCTTCCCTCCTTCCCTCCTTCCTTCCTTCTTCCTTCCGCCCCTCATCCCCATCGACCTCCCTTCCTCTCCTAAACACAGACAAACACCATGGCCTCATTCCCCTTCATCCTTCAGGCCCACCAAGGAAACCACCAGGTCGAACTTGTGTACAATGGACAGCAACTCGAGTTCGACGGACTCAACCTCGATGGTACTCACTCGCCCACAGGCCATTCCTCTTGTCTCAAACTCGGTCGAATTTGATTCCTCTCGACAGGAAGCATCCGATCGCATCAGCTAAATATAAAAAGGATTCTTTCTTGGTAAACGTTTACCCACATAGAACCCAAGCAGTCTTCCAGCTGCCTTCCTTGCGGACCTTCCTCAGCCTCCGCTGGTACGTTTGTTCGCCTTTTTTTCTTTGTTTTTCTTCCCGTCTCGATTCAGTATGTCAACACATCCACGTGTAGTTCTCGAATACTACGGACCTGTGAGCTAACCCTCCCAGTAACCCTTTTTCTTCCCGCATCCAGGTGGTCACCGTATCATTAAGACGACCGAAATCCTGAACATCGACATCGAGCACGAAAACTCTCTTGTAATTGCTGTAGCCTCTGCCAAGAACGGCCCCACCAAGGAGTCTGTTCTCGAGCGCCTCGTATTCCAGGTCAGGGACAAGGCCAATGCTGTCCAGTGGCAATCCAACGTCCTCTCTCATGTCTATAAAGGTAAAACTCTACCGAAAATATTTTTTACAGTACCCACATGGTTACCTGGTGATATTTTGGGCTAAGCCCAATTGCAGCAGCACCGGCACAGACCATACCGTTTTCTATAGCCCTCTCACCACATCCATTTTCTTCTAATTGATAGATATCAAGAGAGGAAGACACTTCAAGGTCCTCGTCAACCCTTTCGGAGGCCAGGGACATGCGAAGAAATTGTGGGAGACCATTGCCGAACCAATCTTCACGGCTGCCGGATGCACCTATGACCTGACCTGTATGTTCCTTTTCACGGGCTGGGCATGAGCTGGGCTGAGGGCAATTGTTATTTTTGGTATTATGCCTTTCGGAATCACCGCCCAGTACTAACCACTGGCCCTTCTCTTCCCAATAGACACCACGCACCGGTACCACGCAAAGGAGATTGCCAAGGATCTCAACATTCGACTCTACGACGCCGTGGTGTCTGTCAGCGGAGACGGTGTTTTGCACGAGGTCGTCAATGGACTCATGGAGCGCCCCGATGCAATTGCTGCTCACAAGCTGCCAATCGGTGCCATCCCTGGAGGTAATGACACTCCCGATATAGTCGAATACTACCAGTCTCCTTGTTGCCATATAATTTGTACCATCACGACCTCTAACTTTTACTTTCTCCAACTCAAAATAGGATCTGGCAATGCCTTGTCATACTCTCTTTTGGGCGAAGATCATGGAGGTCATGTCACCAACGCAGTTTTGGGAATTATCAAAGGAAGGGCCATGCCCGTCGATTTGTGCTCCGTCACACAGGGTCAAAATCGCTACTTTTCGTTCGTCCTCCAGTCTTTCGGTTTGGTCGCTGATGTCGATCTGGGCACGGAAGACATGCGCTGGATGGGTGAGGCACGATTCACAGTGGCAGCTGTCGGAAAGCTATTGTCTCAGCAGACCTACCCTTGCGAGCTCTCTTACATCCCGGTGGAAACTAATGTTGACAAGATTCGCGCCGAATACAACTACCGGCGCCAACAGTCTGTCGTTTGGGCCGACCAGACCCACGATGAACTGGATCAGTCACACCCAACAATTGTCGATCGCTTTGGCGGTGTCAATTCTCAACTCAACAAGAGCGACGGATGGGTCACGGATTCTGAGGACGTTATTACAGCAGTCGGTGCCAAGTTACCATGGATCTCAAAGGGAATGCTGCTTAACCCTGCAGCAACCCCCAACGATGGCTTGATCGATCTCATTGTTTTCCCCAAGGGCACTGGTCGCATTAATGGTATCCAGGTCATGCTGGGCACAGAGACCGGCGAGCACATTTATCACGACAAGGTATGTCACTACTTTTTTTTATTGCTCCTTTGTACTTTGAACACAAGATCATGACTGGTATAGAGACGGATGAGCAAATCATTAAGACTTTCTATTGCATCATTTAGGTCCGCTACATGAAGGTCAAAGCCTTCCGTCTGACCCCAAAGAACGCAAGTGGCTTCATTTCCATGGACGGCGAACACACACCCTACTCACCTTACCAGGTTGAAGCCCATAGTGGCCTCATCTCCGTCCTCAGTATCGAAGGACGCTATGCTCGTAGCATGCGGGAGTAAGAGCTATATCACTGAAATTGTTTTGTGGTAAGATTAATAATAATAAAATATACCAGACCATTGCATGGAGTTGCAAAAATGAAGGTTGCGGGCGTGATGTATGGTGGGGCGTGAAGAAGGGCGAGAGGAGGAATGGAAAAGCAGCAAGCAAGATGCGTTGAGAATGTGCGATGTGTTTTTTTCTTCGTTTTTATTTTGTTTGTTTGTTTGTTTGGTACTTTGTTTTGGATGAACTACTTCTTGGTTGACAGAGAAAAAGAAAACAGAGACAAGCATGTATAATGTCGATCGTTCTTAGATGAACTTTACTTCCCCAAAGGCACACAAGAAACTGAAGTTTTTCCTGTCATAGAAGTCAACATATACAACTCCATTCTCCTATTTACTATGAATAAAAAGAAGGCGAGGGAGGTAAGGATATATCAATGATACATGTTTTCACCAATATTCTTTATAGGTTAAGTTTTGGGCGAAGCAAATCAAGAAAGCCGTGAGGAATGTAGTGAAAGATGCGCAAATGAAAAACGAGTGCTTACTCCTTTGACGCCTGGGTCAGTCTTGAGGTCAGTGTTGACGAGGTCAAGACATCCATAGATGACATGGTTATCCGGCACGATGTTAGGGAAAGATGAAGGGGAGCATCTGAGGGCAGGTGGTGCAATTTTCAAGATACTGCAAAGTGGTTGAAATTCATTCCACAGCAGGTCTTGCGAAGGTGGTGATTCGACTGGAGTGGATGAGGTGAGTAAGAGGTGTTGCAGTACATGACTTTTTTTTTTTCTCTTTTCGTTTCGTCATTGCAAAAAGCGTATGCATTTTTTTCTTACTTTTGTTGTAGACTGTAATGCCAACTCTGGCGTCGGATGGGAAAGACTTCTTATTCTTCTTATTTGCAAAGTTTCCAGCGAAATGGAAGCAATAGCGATTATTCTTGGTGCCCGTGAAGGAAGGTACGGTCAGGTTGCCGGAACCATGGTCAATGGGTCCCGGGAACTACAAAGGAATGTCAGTGAGAAAATAAGGAAGACAAAGTGCGCTCATGGTTGTTTAGATACAGGTGTTGTTTGATTGTGGAACGTGGATTAAAAAAAGGGTTAGACGACGAGTACCCGACTTTACTTTCTTGTGAGCGCTGTCTTTGCAAAAGTTCAGGTTAAAGGTGGGTTCTTCACTCAAGCCCAAGGTGGTTGAGGCAAGAGTAAGTGCAAGCGAGAGCAAAGGAATAAAGATCTTCATGTTTGAAGTGGTGTTCAATGGATGGAGAGACAAGAGTGAAAAAAAAGTTATTTAGAAGTTGTCCTTGGTCACTGCATTCCCCAAAAGATGGGAGGGTGGTCAAGGGCTTGGGTGTTTGCAGTATGAGGAGGATGAGGAGGGCAGAGAAGGGGCAAGAAAACAGATACCGTCGGCCCCCTTCTTTTGCCTTGTCGTAGTGTGGTCCTTGTTTTCAGTGTTTAGGGAGGAAAAGAAAGGGGAAGGAGAGGATACGGTCACTCCTTTTGTGGTCTCTCTACGTCAAACTCCATCTCGTATAACCCGTCCTTTTTGTCCTCCTCGTTACTACTTGTCGTCGTTCTCGGGGCATTCTTCAAAGTGGATGAAAAAAGGGATGAAAGAAAGACGGGTATTGCAAGAGAACAGTACATCCGTTGTGGCATCCTGGTGCCCCGCATGCATCGGTCCTTGGTTAGCATTCTACTCCTGTGTTATGAAGAAAATAAAAAAGTCATACGACGCCATTGTCAGGGCCAGGTACATCCAACCAAGCCGCCTGTGTCGCGGTTGACCGAACTCGATCAATTGGAGTCGAAGAGCCTTTGTGGCTGTAGTGGACAGCTCCTATTCTCTGCAATCAAAAGCATGGAATTAAAGCTTCACGCTTGTCAAAACTTGGGACTACAAAAGAACTGGGCAGAATTAGACATGGGGTAAAAGCTGATGTCAGCGATGGACAAGTTGAAGGAAGAATCGTGTTCGTCAAATCGAGAATGAAAAGGAAGAGTAGGGTACAACTATTATGAGAGCGAAACTAACTTTGTTGGCCACGCGAGAAAAAGGTTGGTTTGGTTTGGATTGACGGGTCCAGGGATGTGGCTTTTTTTGACATAAAGGCAAAGGTGGACAGTGCTTTTCTTTTTCAAAGATCGCCGAGTTGGTGAGCAGTTCTGCTTGTTGCTCACAGACAAAAAAAAAGTGGCAACGTAAAAACAGGGGTGAACAGTTGGTAAGGTGTGAAGAGTGGCTGTGGTTTGAAGGAGATCTGTGCTTTATGGTTGTCGTTTGTGAAATGGCTTTTCTCTCCATCTGTCATTATGTTGATTGGATGGGGGGTCTAGGTGTAATGGGTGGATGGATAGGTCTATGCACGGGAAGTTCTTACAGCGAGCAGCGTGCATAAAATGAATGAACTGTCTGTAAAAAAAGAATGAACCGTTGGGATTGCTTGATGGGAAGTAAGCAAGCCGAGAGATGCACTCTGTTCTTATACTTGTTTGTTTGTTTGTTTGTTTGGTTGTTTGGTTAGCCCTGGTTGGTTGCTTTGTAGACCGGTGCTTCTCCTGCTTTTGAAGGCTGGGTTTAGTGGTGGCCTTTTATTCAGGCACCATTCGAGAGTGGGATTATTAGTTATGAGAGACAGATAGATTGAGAGTGAGAGAGACAAGGAGAGATTGAAAAGGGGGGCAGGTGTGATGTCTGACTACTGATCACACCCACACAATCACCACACACCATATCAGTCTCACTGATTGTGACAAGTCCCGTTTTCGTCGTCCTTCCCTTTTTTATCCTCCTTTCTTCATCATCTTACTCCTCGCCCCATCACTTCCCCTCATCACCTCCCCTCTCCTCTTTGCCATCCTTCCCTTCTTCCCTTCTTCCCTTCTTCCCATCACACCCTACCCATCTCGGCAACGGGCACATATAAACACTACTCTTTTCCTTCATTCCTCTCTCTTTCATCACCTCCCCCACTGCTATTTATTTTCTTTTTTTCCTTTGGGTGAGTAACCCAACCGCGCACGCCCATTCACAGCATACAACATACAGCTTGCATAGAGTTGTTTGTTTTGTCATCAGGACTCATTTTTTTGTTCCTCTCATCCACAGGGCCTTCAGCACCCACACCTTGTGATATCTCATTTGGAGAAAGGGAGGAAGAGAGAAGGGTGGCTGAAAAAAACTCAAAAAAAACACAAGAAGGTGGAGACTGTCTGGCTTGCACTTTGTGACCAGTACACGCATCGTCACCAAGTGTGCACGCTTATTACCGTGGTTGTAGTTGCTGTTGTGATATTCCCGTTGTTTGTCAAACAAAGAGAGAGAAAGAGAGAGAGGGTGCATGTATGTATTTATGTGCGTTTATGTGCGTGAGTGTGAGTGTGTGTTTGTGTGCATATGTGCAGAACATGTTTATTTTCGCACACATCCACCTTTTCGCCCTCTTACCCTTTACCCTTTTTTTTTCTGCCCTGCCTGCTTGCTTGCCTGTCTGTTTCTTTTCTCCCCCTTGTTATTTTTTTTAGTTTTTAGTCTTTTTTTTTTTTTTTTTGCCTCTCTCTGTCCTTAACCACTACGACACATTCACTCTCCTCTCCTCCTTCCCTTCTCTCCCTTCCCTTCCTCACACTCCTTCCTCATCTCGATTCTCTCTTTCACTCAATCCTTCCTCCCCAACTAATCTCTTTTCTCTCGCCCTCGTCTCTCCTCCCGAGTAGTAGCTGAGACGCCTATTCAGCAATGGCCCCCAAGACCCCTCAGGCCAACTCGAAGCTGCCAAAGCCGCCTACTGCTGGTGGACCTGTCAACCTGACTGGTATCCCCGCCCCAGCAAGCGTGCTCCAGCGACGATCCTTCATGACCACCCCAGCCTCGAGCTCCGTCTCCAAGACCTTCAAGGACATGACCCCCGAACAACAAGCTCTTCTCGCCGAAGCCATCTCTATCCACAGCCCTGGTTTAATCGATCCTGCACGCAAGCCCACCACCACTCAAACCACAACAACACCGGCCTCGGGATTCTCACCAACACTCACCGCACACAATACCTCTGGACACACCTTAGGATTCGGACACTTTTCCGCCACAACCGCACCCTCTTCCTCTGCCCTCGGCTTTGGTCACCCTCAACAACCTCCCAGTCCCGTCAACAGTGACCGCGCCTCGCCCACCGGCCACACTTCGCCATTGACCCACAGGCCATCACAGATCACTCGACGACCCAGTAGCTCTCGTCTTGGCGTGGTCCCTGAAGCGTCCGCCACTGCCTCTCACAATAATAGCGCCCTTCCTTCGCAAGTCAACACTATGACGACGACCGGTCAACAACAACTCTCTCGACCCGCCTCCTATACTGGCCTATCCTCCCCTCTTTCCACTTCCAATCCTAACCTGCCAATCAATTCGTCTGCACCTTCGCCCACCTCAGGAGGAGCTCCTTCCGCCAATCGTCTGACCTCCAGTTCTCCCTCGGGATCCCGTCCCACCTTACCAACATCGCGTCTTGCTACAGGAACAGGAATTGCCCCCCCTGCGACTACAGGAGTTCGCACTAGCTTGATGAAGCAACCATTGTTCCAACGTCCCGCAGGTGCTGCATTGCCTTCTGCTGTTCCTGCTGCTGCAGCTCCAAAGAACCCATTGACAGGAATTCCTGGCTCATCTATTGTTGCTCCTCCATCGCTCGACGATTATGAGATTGGCGATCGTGTTATTGTCGAGAGCATGGCCTTGTCAGGATACCTCCGTTTTGTCGGTCCTGCTGAGTTCAAGTCTGGTACCTGGGCTGGTATTGAGCTGGACACACCCACGGGCAAAAACGATGGCAGTGTTAACGGGTAAATCCTTCTTCGTCATTCAATGCTATTGTTTATCGCTGTTCAATGGATCATAATCCCCCTTTTCTTGGCGATAGTGCGTCTGTTGTGTTTTCCACCCTTTGCGTGTCATCCAAGAATACCGACAGAGAGAGAAAAAAAACGACAAAGGGAAGGAAACCAACGAGGTGACGCTCACAATTTTTTTTCTTGCATTGTTTTGATCTTGCTTCGGTCTTTTGATTAGGGTCACCTATTTCCAATGTCGACCAAAGTGCGGTATTTTTGTCCTGGCTGCAAAGATCGTAAAGTCGGAGCTGCTCTTCCCATCTTCACCAGACCTCGATGCAGCTCGTCCCCCATCTGCCCAGGAAACTCACCCAATTACAGCACCAACACAGCCAACACAACAGTCAGTCCAGCCAGCATCAGCCAGCCATGCGGCTCAGGCAGCCTCCAGGATCACTGCAGGATCAAGGGCATCAAAATATATAGGCATGACAGCGACTCAACTCAAGCAGCGCAATGGGGCTCCCCAGTCATCAATCACCCGCCCTCTGTCAGCAAGTCAACCCAACCTTCCAAGTGCATCAGTGAGGGCAGCCAGTCCTACCATCCGTGCCCTTGGCGGATCATCAGGATCGCCTACCACCTCTAGGACAATGACCCCCGGACAAGCAGCGGCAGCAGCACGAGCCAACTCCCCTTCACCTGTCCCTAAACCAGCTCTTCGATCCAACTCACCAACCACGCGCCCTGGCCCCGGCACCCGTTTGTCGCAGAATGGAGCCAAGCCGTCAGTGAACACTCCCATGGCGAAGCCAGGCGCTCACTCTCGTTCAACTTCATCCACGTCCTCTGTCACGTCTCAATCGAGTGCCGCTGGCTCGCGTGCTCGAACATCCCCTACACCTCGCGCCATGACTACCCCTCGGAGACTGTCCTCTCGTTCAGAAACGCCCGATGCAACCAGTTTATTGTCTCCAAGCGAAAGTCGAACCAACATCCTCGATCATGCAACCTCTGGGCAAACGGTGGGATCCCCTCAAAGCGGCGTCTCCCTCCAATTGCAGCAGTTGCAGCTTGACTTTGATACAGCCATCGCTGAGAACAATTTGTTGAAGTCCAAAGTGACCGAGACAAAGCAGCAGTTGGAGACGACCAAGCTCATGGAGAAAAAAGACTTGTCGTATGATGAGCGCGCCTTCCTTAGCAAGAACTTGGATAAGGAGGCCATCGACGAACGCCTTGCTCAAGAACTGGAGGACCTGCACCTGTTAAAAGCGACATGGGACAAGGAGAAGGCGGCCAAGGACCAGGAGCTGAAGGTCGTCACCGAGAAGATGACACAGGCGTGGTTGGAAGCCGCACGGTCTCAGAAAGAACGAACAGCACTCATTCAGGAAAAGACTACCTTGGCTGAGAAGCTGAAGGAGATCCAGGAGAATGGCGGCGGAGCCACACAAGCCGAAGTCAGTGCCTTGGGTGAGGAACAGGAGATCCTGATAGACTCCCTCAAAAAGAGTTTAGTCGAAGCCGAGGAGAAGACCATGGTCTTGGAGAGTAAGCTGGAGGATCTGACGGCAAGAGCCAACGAGGAGGAGGAGAAGCTGAACCAGGCCAACGCAGAGTCCCAGGCAGCCATCGAAGCCAAGAAACAGGAGCTCCAGTCGGAGCGTGATGCCCTGCAGTCTAAGCTGGTCGAGTTGGAGACCGAAACGCAGGCGTATGCAGACAAGTCTGAGTTGACCTTGAAGGCCGCCTTGGATGAGACTGAAGCCGCCAACGAGCAATTGAGTGAGCTGCAGCGCCGTTTGGACGAGGAGGCAGAGTCTCGCCGCCTGGAGCAGTCAGAGGCGGACGCCAAGTACAAGGCGCTCGAAGAAGCTCTACAGGAAGCACTGGCACAACATGCCAAGAGCGAGAAACTGGTCCGGAGCTACGAGGAAAAGTCGAAGGAGCTGTCGGTGGTCGTTACCAAGCGTGACCAAGAACTGGACGGACTCAAGTTGCAGCTTCAGGATTTGGCGGGCATGGTCCAGAGTGAGGAAGTCGACCGTATGCGCAAGTTGTGGGAGCACGAGAAGAAGCGCCTGGAGGAAGCCGTGGCTGACAACATTACAGTCATGACGACACTCCGTGCGGAGATCCTGGAACTGGAGTCGAACGAGGAGGATCTCGCCACCAGGATCAAGACTTTGGAGAATTCTGAAACCACTCTGAAGAGCCTCAAGACTTCACTCGACGCTGAGGTGGAGCGTCTTCAATCGTCCATCAAGGCCGCCGAGAATTCCTTTGCCCAGGAACGCTCGATTTTGGAGGCCAAGATTGCAGAGTCCGAGTCGACGCTGGAGAGCCGCCTGTCGGAGAACAAGGAGCGTATGGATGAATTGGAGGCCATCGCACTGACTGTGGAGGAATCGAGTGAGCGTTGCGAGGCTCTGCAGCTTGAGACGATCCAGAAGACTGCCAAGGTTGAGGAGATCGGATTCGAACTCTCCGAGGCCCAAAACGAGAGGGATATCATTGCGCAAGAGATGGAGGCCATCAAAGCTGAGCTGAAGGCCAAGGACGAGGCGTCTAGCGTGATTGCAGATCATGCCGCTCAGTTGGAGACATCGAGGGCAGAAATCGCTGCATTGGAGGAGGAGCGCGAGCAACTTTTGGTCAAGGTCTCGGAGCTCGAGGCAGCCCTGGCCTTGTCGGCGTCAGCTCCAAGGGCAACGGCTTCAGGGGCAGAAGGATCAGAGGCAGTTCTGAACAGGACCGAGCTCGAGGAGGAGATTGCTGGCTTGAAGCAGATGGTCCACGAGTTGACGGCCGAGAATGCCTCAGTGGCGAGCGACAACAAGAAGTTGATGCAGGAGCACGATATTTTAATGGAAGCCCACAAGCATGTCGAAACTGAGTGCCTCAAGTTGATGGACGAGGTTGAGCGCCTTCACTCGGAGAGCTTGGCGGCAACATCTTTGGGAGAGACCGACGGCGTCGACAAGGTCGAGCTGGATGTCATTCAGGCCGGTACCGAGTTCAAGACTACCATCATTGGCCAGAGCGAGCTGAAGGCAGCACTCAACAACGTGTCGCTCCTTACAAAGGACACAGCGATTTTGAACCCTACCGAGAAGCCTGGACAGAACCAATCGTCCTCTGTCATCCGTCTCGAGAATCTGCTGAAGGACAAGCAGGCCATGCTGGATCGACTGACTCAGGCACATGCACTGGAGATGCGGGATCTTCGCCAACGTTATGTTGATCTGGACCGGTCGAAGGCATGGGAGCTGAATCAGCTGAACAAGGAACTCACTGATCTGGAGTCGTTGATCGAGAGCAAGATCTTCCACGAGGCTGACTTGGAGGAGGAGGTTCAGCAGAAGCAGAAGCAGATTGACCGTCTCCAGAGCGAGGTGGCGGACTTGAAGAGCCAGCTGTCTAAGCTTTCGAATGGAACGCACGGATCGTTGGCCGACCTCCCTCCCAATGGCTTGTCATCTGACCGCTACTCGTACTCTTCGACCTCGGGCCTGCCCAACGGACTTTCAAGGACATCTGCAGGAGCAGAACGGACGAGGACTGTCACTAGCAGCACAGACCAAACGGCGCTTTTCTGTGAGATTTGCGAGGTGGAAGGTCATGACATCATCAGCTGTGCGGCGGTCTTTGGTGGCGGCAAGAGTGCTACATCCAAATCAACTGTACACGCAGCCCCCATTTTTGAAGAAGACCTAGACGACGACAGGCCCGTAAGTGGTCAAAGGATCTTTAGCGTTCATATGATTCGATATATATATGCATGCACATCCTTGGTATCATCAACTAACACCTTCACCTTTTTCCCAACTATAGTATTGTGAGAACTGCGAAGCGTTTGGTCTGCATTACACTGACGAGTGTCCCAACGAGTCTTTGACGTAAGGATCGTATTTTGTAGCGATGTCCAATGGTCCTTACATTGTGTTGGTTGCTTATATTGACACTGTAATTTTATTTGCTTCGATTCACAATAGATACTAAATGTCTACATCGTCAAAGGAGAACCCAACGGCAGGACCATTTATTATTTCCTTACCCTCCTCTTCATCATCATCATTCACTTCAAGAATACCCACCGCCTTTGGATTTTGTCATTTTTTTGGTGATCTACACATTATCCAGGGCACATGCAATGCATGGCAGCATAACCCACGATTGACCGCCTCTCTCCCTCTCTCCCTCTCCCCCTCTCTCACTCTCTCACTCTCTCACTCTCTCATGGTCTGCGTCAGCTCGTCAACAATCACGATGAGCGACGATGTACATATACATTTTCTTTCTCTCTTTCTTTCGTTGTTTTCCATATTCATTTCGTTGTAAGCTCCTATATGCATTTGTTGCCCTGTCCTTTTCTTTTCCTCTCACTTCTTTTCGTCCCCTTTTTGTTACCATGAATAAATCACGTGGTTCCTTTTTCGTAACTTGCTTGTCCCTGAACACTTTAAAAGTGAAGTGCCTGACTGTATGTCTTGACATTTATTCATTTCTTCACATCACCATCAGACTCGGACAATCCCTCCCGAGTCTCCAAGAACGACAATCGCCCGCCTATCCATGACCACTTCAGCGAATGGACACTCCACTAGCTCAGCATCTACCATGCCCCCAGAACTCAGACATCGTGGAGGCCAGGGACAGAAAGAACATGGACAAGACCAGGGCTCAAAGGAGGCTAGCCATGGACTCGACAGCATTCCATCAACACCACAGACAAAACAACAGCAGCAGCAGCAGCAGCGGAAGGTCCTAAAGACAACCCCTACCCGGTCACCTTCCTGGGCCACCCTCGCCGCATTGACGATGCAGGTCTCTTTACAGGATTGGATCCTGATAGCAACCTTGATCTTTGGCGGTTGTTGCAGTAACGTCTTTGCCCTCGAGATACTTGTCAAGTAAGTTGGCTTTCCTTGACGCTTCTGTGTGACAGTGGGAATCAACGGCCTTGTATTTTTTCCTTTCTCCGGAAGGTTTGAATTGGTACTAATTTGATTCACTCATGTCTCTCTCTCTCGCATATGTTTTAATATCATTAGCGATGCACCCAAAAGCGGTAAGAACAACTGCTCGGGATGCTTATGAATGGTCTGGATGCGTGGGACAGTATCTTCATTGTCATCAGCCTAACTAACGGAAAGGACAATTCTGTGTTTTGGTTTCATAGGACAAATGATCACATTTGCTCAGTTTGTGTGTGTTTCCGCCTACGGATTGGTCATGCATTTGAAGTGGCCCATCGTTCAGGATCTGTGGATATCAAAGTCATCATCAGCTTCCACTCAGGAACTTCAGGACCAGCCCTCCCAAGGAATCTGGAGATATATACCCCATTTGAAAAAGCGCAAGATTCCGATTACCCGTTGGTTGGCGATTGTGGTCATGTTCTTTTCAGTCTCTGTCCTCAACAACCAGTCTCTGGCCTACAAGATCTCGGTCCCGTTGCACATTATTTTCCGGTCGGGAGGACTCATGGTCGGGATGGTGCTGGGCATGATCCTGATGAAGAAGAGGTACAGCAAGTCTCAGATATTTGCCGTGACAATTGTCACCATTGGAGTGATCTATGCAACGACAAGTGCCAAAGCGAGCTCGCCCCAAAAGTCCAAGTCTCAGGATTCCACCGCGAATGCAGGCGACTATGCGATCGGCATCTTTATGTTGACCGTTGCCTTGATCATATCGTCGCTCATGGGCTTGTTGCAGGAGGCAACATATCAAAAGTATGGCGCTGAATGGCGCGAGGGCCTCTTTTATTCTGTAAGTGAGCGCCGACTCGTCTCTTTACATGTTTATTGTTTGACGTGTGGTTTTTTTGTTGTTGTGGTTAGGGGTCTAATTTATTGTGTTGCGGATGTATGGATTTGTCAATTAGCACTTTCTGGCAGTGCCAATGTTTCTGTTGTTCTACAGCGACATTATCGAGCAGTTCAGGATCTTCAACCAGTCCACACCTATTCCAGTCCTGCAATTAGTCCGCCAGATCGGTCCACACCTGCCCTCGTCCGTTGCCTATGCGTTGAGTTCTATTACGATCCCACGACTCTGGATCTTTTTGACCGTCAACACATTAACACAGTACGTTTTGATGGCGATATTTTGGCGCCAGTTCATAACCTCTCATGGCGGACCTCATTCCTCTTAAGCACATATATTAATTTTGTTTCTGACATCGTTGATAGGTTTATGTGCATCTCGGGAGTCCACCGACTCACGTCGTTGTCGTCAGCGTTGACGTTGAATTTCATTCTCAACCTTCGCAAGTTCAGCTCGCTGTTGGTTTCGGTGCTGTATTTTGAGAACGGTTTTGGATTTGAGATGGCCGTTGGATCGAGTTTTGTCCTTCTGGGCACAGTGATGTATTCCCTGTCGTCGTCGTCTTCCGCTGCAAAAAAGCCCGATGGGACTACGACTAGGACAACAGCGACCACTACAACTATCGTAACGACGAAGGGTACTATTGGGACGTCCAAGTCAGCATCGACAGGAGTGGTAGGAGAGGCCGAGGCTCCGTTGGACTCGAAGACGCAATGAACGTACTCTATCTATCTATCATCCATTCATTCTGCTCATTCTCATTTTAGACCAAATAACAAATAACGACGGATGACATTTTCGTTTGGTAAAACAACCACTCTCCACATTGTACAAGAGCATAAACAGGGATATACGAGAGCGAGAGCGTTTTTATTTTGTAAGGTGCCAATGAACAAGGAGAAAAGGGTTTAAGAAAATATTATTGAAATTAGAGAAGAAAGAGGTCGCCGTTAAGGTTGGGTTTGAGGTGAGGTATGGAGGGAGGCAAAAAGTAAGAGAACGTTGCATTGGAAGACCGACATTCAATTTCTGGAATGAAATGACTTGGAGACACTGAAGGTGTACACAGCCGACGGACGGCGGCAGAGGAAGAGGGTGTGCATGAGGTGCTTGCAGCAATCATGTCACTCCCTTTTCCCTCCACAGAACAGGGTTTTTTTTTGCTGCAGCAGCCCTTGTCCCCCTTTTTTTTCGTCTCTCCGTCTTTTGTCTCTTTCCTTCTTCATCTCTACTCTTCGACAGTCGACCTCCTTCTTTCTTCTCCTCTTACCTTCACCTCAATTGATACCTTCCTCCTTATTTATATACTCCTTTCGAAATCAACACCCGCCACCAAAAAGCACGCCACACATCAGTACCACTCCTCTCACATTCACGACAACCACCAACTAACAGCAACAATAGGAATAATCAACCACAACAACAGCAGCAACATCAGCAACCCTTGAATGCTAGCATTCGTCACCCTCCAGTGATGGCAACTACTTACAACACCACCAACAATAATAATACCATCAGCAGCCCACCTGGCACTATACACGGCATTCCTTTTGCTCGCCCTTATGGAATCGACCCACAGGATGCGCCGTGGCTGTCAGACCTGATTGCGAGACAGTCGCTGCGCCTGTTTGATGCACGACAGCTGCACGACCTCTCGCCTTCGGTCGCCTTCGGCCCTAACGCCGCTATCCATACCGCCCACCTGCCTCTGGAACCCCAAAGCAACCAGACGACCCTGGTCGCTCTCAAGCAACACCACCGCCCAGCAGACTTGATCTCTGAGGTAAAGACACGACAAAGAGAAAGCTGTTATCGCAGTGCCAACTGATTGTTTCCCCCATTGCCATTGCCTTGTGTTCTCCCTCTGGATGTACCAGCCAAGACCGCTTGAAAGAAAAAAAAAATGTTGTTCACCCCTTTTTTCTCAAAGGTCTTACAAATTCATATCATCGACTCTTGTCCCTGAACTATACCGGCGGTTGCTTTACTGTGTGTTTTCTACTTTCCTGTCCAACCACTGGTTCGCACCCTAATTCTCTCTATTATTCTGCACTTCCTCTCTTTACAATTGTTTTATTTGCTCACTGGTTTTGCTCATAACAAAAAAATGTTATGTTACTTAGGTCCATCTGTTGCTCACCACCCCGGCCTCGCAATTCACCAATCCTATCCTGGGAATCGTTCAGCTGGGCGACCAAGGGTTCACCTACCTCGTCGTCCCCTACCACCCCCTCGGCAACCTCCGCCAATACATCGCAGACCAACGGCCCAACCTAAAGCCCCTTTCCCAAATGCAGATCATCCACGACGTCGCCTCTGGACTCGAGTATCTCCACCAACGAGGCATCCAGCATATGAACCTGCACTCGGCCAACGTCCTCATCACAATGCAAGGTATGGCTGTCCTGACCGACTTTGGACGGCCCAACAACCGCGCAGAGGTCGGCATGCCCCCCAAACCTGCAGAACAGGAACGGGTTCGATCCTTGGCAACCGTCTTTCTTGCCCCTGAAGTGCTTGCCTCAAACCAATACTCGAGTCAGAGCGAGGTCTATGCACTTGGAATGGTCATGTTTGAGCTGTTGACAGGCAAAGTCGCGTTCGAGAAGGACTTGAGTCAGCCAGGGCTCTCGAACCGCATCATGTTTGGACGCAAGGACGACATTCCTGCCAACATCAAGGGGAGCCCTGGCACAACCTACGAGACTCTGATCAAGGATTGCTGGGAATTGGTCCCAGCCAAGCGTCCTCACCTGTCCCAAGTCAAATTTCGACTCGAGCAACTCATGGACGAATGCAGGCAAAACAATGAAACGCTCAAAGCTCTACAACTCCAGCAGCAGCAACAATACCAACAGCAACAGCAGGCCCAATACATGCAGCCTTATCAACCAGGCTCAGCAGCACCACCGACACCGCCCTTACCGGAACTTCCGCCTCCCACCAACACGACACAACCCCAAAAAGTCGCGCCTGCGCTGTCGCTGAATGTGATTACAACCCATATCATCGTGGCGGATACTGTTCGACTGGACACATCCCGCCTTGTATCAGAGGGATCAAGCAAAACAAACTCAACAACAAATCAACAAGATGCAACATCGACTGCACAGCCCAAACCCATCGAGGCCTGGACGATTGGACGGGCGACAATATCGGCTACAGCACAACGACGCGACACTATACCCATCTCTACACGAGCCATCGATATATCCTCCACACAACACCGCGCCAGTCAGCAAACTACCCCATCGAGTCCCGATACCGCTCAGTCGTCGACCTCGCCGATCGCTCTTATTCCAATCCCAACCCTACCTCTGGTCTCTCCAACCCACCACCACCCACCGCCACCCACCACACCTTCGGCGTCATTGGCAACAGAAAGCGACGTCAGCTACAACAGCTCCACAACAGGAGCAACTTGGCCACTGCCACCAGGGGTATCGAGTGCACCAAAGCAAGGAGGACAAACACCATCGCCATCTACCCCAGCTCCACCGACTCCGACGGCTTCAACCCCAAGAGTAGTGTCCCCTTCGCCTCGCAGTGCTGATGCAAACGATGACGCGGATCTTGTCGTTCGCGCCTATGCCAGCGTTCCCAGAGCTGCCGCGTCCACAATCCCTGCTGAGACAAAACTTACCCTCACGCCGATAGCAGCGCGTATGCTTGCCGCTGCAGCCGCAACTCAGGCGAACGCAATGCCTCCGACTCCGACCTCAGTCTCCCCCGATCCAACGCAGCACTCTTTAAGTAGTAACAATAACAGTGTCAGTGGAAGCGACCGCCATGCCCGTGAATCGATTTTGATTATTCCTGCATTTCCCGAACCGCCATCCACACTCCACAACCGTCGCATCTCCAACATCGACCCTCGTTTCCGCCACTCACCTCGCCAGCTAAACCTTTCAGGACTCGGGGAACACTCGTTCTCGAGCGATGATTCGGGATCACACGGACTCACGAGCCCAAACCGTACTGCGGTCGGAGCCGTGATGTCCCCACAAGAGGCTGTCTCTGGAGCCCCCGTCACTGCTGGACTTACAGCTCGCACGGCATATACGCCCATCGCGTCGTCAGAAGACGTTCCTATGGCTACCCCTTCCAACAGCATCCATACGGCAGCCAAGAACGGTGACTTGCAAGAGCTGCAGCAGTTTTTGAATCGCGCTCTTAGTCGGTCGCTTTCCAATGGATCGTCCTCTTCGTCCGGCAACCCCAACCAGGCCCAGAGGACAGGCAATGGACATGCAGGTCGTGGTTCAGCGGCCGAGATTTTGGATGAGTACGAGCCAATCGAGCGTCTGCCTGTGTTGTGCTGTGCAGCGGTTGCCCGAAAGAACAAGTACCAGGCGCTCAACATGGTCCTAAAGGCCGGCGCGAATGTCGATGGCAAGGAGCAGCGCGGTGGCAACATGCCTCTGCATCTGGTTTGTGAGACCGCGTTGCCTCCGCTAGTGGATCCTCTGGTGACTCGGTTCAAGCAGGACGAACTTGACGATCGGGCTCGGTCAAGGAGTGAAGTGAATTTGGACGACCCATACCTGAGCCACCTGACGCTTCCCGAGTTGGTACCGGCCGACGACGACACAGAAGATGAGGATTCCGAGGAAGGTCAAGAGAAGGCATTAAAGCAGGTGGACGAACACGACGAGCAGGAGCAGCAGGCGTTGGATCGGGTCAAGGATGATTCTGAGTCGACTTTCAGCTTGCTAACCACCGATGAAGGGTTCCAAACTCTGACCACCAGACAGCAGTCAAGTTTGGGAGGCGCGTACTACCAGATGAAGGATCAGATTCTGGTCAAGGGAGGTCTTGAGGATCAGATCCGACTGCTGGTTCTGGCAGGATCTCCGATCGACACGCCCAACCATCGTGGAGAGACCCCTCTGTTACTGTTGCTTCGATTCCACGACTCTGTCACAGCCCTGGCGACTCTGTTGAAGTTGGGTGCGGACCCAACGGTGATGGCACCCTTTGGACCAGGAACCAACCCGGCCGAGATTCATGTTGACCCCAAGACCCTCATGAGTCCTACGGATAAGAAGCGGATATCCAAGAATTTGCGTTCTGGAGGAGGTCCCAAGCTGTTTGGCCCCAAGCAGGGGGCGGTTGGGCAACAGTCACCTGCGTCATTGTCAGGATTGCCATCGCCACTGCAGACGCCTTACAGTCAGGCCATGACCAACGACGATCCCAACCATATCCTAGTTATGCATGGCGGCGCCCTCGCTCACGCCGCATACCATTTGCGGATCAACTGTGTCCGCTACCTTTTGGACCACGAGATCGAGTGCAGTGATCCTGCTATTATCGAGCAGGCGATTGTCGCTTGTCACCACGCTGTCGCTGCCAAGGTGAACCCACCGTTGGTGACAACGCAGAACCGGATCTTGTCGATTCTGAGCCGGGACTGGAAGGGCGAGGCAGGGCGGAGGCGTCGTGGTCGGGTTGCAGAGCGGACGCTAAACAAGAAGAGGAAGGCGGTTCGATCGAATGTGCTTCTGGTTGCCTTGGCCGTCTCGACGTCTTCACCATCATCGTCGTCGGAGCCTTCCTCGTCTCCCTCGGCAAGTCGGGACTCGTCGTTGCACGGATCTGGCGGACCAACCTCCCAGACACGTTATAACCACCTAAACCACGAAAAGCTATCGTCGTCTCTAGGACCAATCCCAACGACACATTTCTACGCGACGGAGGGGCCGATGGGAACAGAGATTGAGCTGGTCAGTCAGTATGGGTTCCAGGCGGATCATACGCCGACGCCCGTATCGATTGGAAGAGGAGCCACACGGTACCAACTGACGGATCGAGTGATTGCCCCCATCCCTATTCCAATCAAGACGAGCGGACTGGGATATGGTGAACAGCGGCAGCAATTGTACCAGCAGGGACAGCAGAACTCTGCGAAGGAGTATGAGGATTGGTATGGAACGAGCGATCCCAAGAGCCCGCGGTCTGGACAGAGCCCTGGAGAGGGCAGAGGGCTCTTCAGGAAGTTCAAGAACATTGCCGGCAAGCGACCCTGAGCCAACCAGGGCGTATCTAATGCGAATAAAATGTTATAAACATGCATGGGGGGAGTGTGTCATGTTGTCTATGATGTGGTTGGTTGGTAACCTGCTCAGCTCAATGCAGGCTGAAAGTTGCTCGTGTGCCTGAAATAGGATGGTCAATTAGGGAGGCCGCCACAATACCTCGCTCTCTAAATGACCGCACTTTTCATTCCGCTGAACCTATGGTGGTACTTCAACCTTTTATTTTGTGCTCTCTCTTTCTTCTTCTCTCCCTCTCTTCTCCATTTGCTCCGTCTTCCATCTCCTCCCTCTCCCCCATCTCTCTCACCCCCATCACACTTCCATTCAATGTCCACCCGCCAATCCCGCACTGCGGACAAGTCGACCAACGACAAGCACACCCGCATCCTCAAGGCCCTCTTGCAAAAGCCCGGCAACAAGTTCTGTGTTGACTGCCGCAAGAAAGGTATGTTAGTCAACAACAGCCAGCTTGCACACACCTCGCCTTACTTTCTTCTTAAAGCTCATCTACTCCTCTTCTCAAGACATCATCATCATCTTTACAACTTTACTTACATCTGCCCTTTACCGTTCCCTTTTTCTCTTTTGCTTTTCAATGGGGTGTTTGTGCTGATGGTAGATCCCCGTTGGGCAAGGTAATATGAGCTTTCCTGCTTTTGTTTGCCAAAACCCCTACTTGTATTCTTTGTCGTCTGCATCCGATTCAACCGACTAAACTCGCTTCATTTTGTTTGCGGACGATATCAACCATTTTTTAGTTTCAACCTCGGATGCTTCATGTGTATCCGCTGCTCGGGTGTCCATCGTTCCATGGGAACCCACATCAGCAAAGGTAAACAAGGAATATATTACTTGACGATACAACCGTCGTTATTTCATGGGCAACCTCGCTAACTCTTCTATTGTACATTCGTTTTCTACTACTAGTCAAATCCGTTGACTTGGACAGCTGGACTGTGGAACAAGTGGAAAACATGATCAAGTGGGGCAACGAAAAGGCCAACATGTATTGGGAGGCACGCTTGCCCGAGCGCAACATTCCTAACGAGTCGTAAGTGAACTGGTTCATTGACAGACTGCGCGGCAAGGCGGGAAAAAAAAGGATCGATTGGTCATATCGCAACTGGATCGATCGGCCATGAAAGCGAACAAAATGTCCGCAAAGTAAGCATGCTAATCGATACCAACCTTTCGCCGTTTTTTTGTCTATACGATTTTATTTTTCTCCGCTCTCAGGACTTCAGGAATTGATCCATGGATTCGTTCAAAGTACGAACATAAGCAGTTTGCTCAGAAGGGAGGTCTTCCCGATCCTTCGGAACTTGGACCCATTGACGAGGCTATGCTCATGGATTTGGTAAGAATGATTACAGGCGCTTTGTTCGAAGCAGCAAGAACGAGTGTCGACTCGTTGGATCGAAGACCATATCATTTAACCGCATTGTCTCCCTCTATTACAATGACAATTTTAAATAGTTTGGCAAGGCAGAGCCAGACACTCGCGGAAGAGCGCATATGAACCGATCAAGCCAGTCATCAGAAGGATTCAGTGGCATGATTGCACCCCCTCCCGCCAACCCTACACGATCCTCCTTTCCCAAGAAGCCAACCTCTTCAGGCGTTCAGGGAGCCGATCTCTTCTCCATTGGACAGCGTACTACCCCAGCCAAGGTCTCTTCTGCGCCTGTTCAGGAGGACTTTTTCGGCTTCAACGACCCCGTTCCCGCAGCTGCTCCTGCCCAAAGGGCAGCCAACCCAGCTCCCAGCTCGGCCGCACAGGACTTGTTTTCAATGACTACCCCAGCATCCACACCATCTGCACCAACAGGAAATGCCGCTGCTACAGCCCCCGCAAAGGCTGGAAACTCTGACTGGAAGACCAACATCATGTCGTTGTACGGAAGCCAGTCTTCAGCACCCAAGCCTAACAGCAACAACTCAAACGGATTTGGCCAGTCTGCTGGATTCGGTCAGTTGCAGGGTATGGACGCATTCGGCGGATTCGGGCAGGCACCAGCACAGCAGCAGCAACAACAGCAACAACAACAGGCACATAACCCTTGGGGCAATGACGATGGATTTGGCGCCATGCAGCAGGCTTCTGCTACTTCGAACACTTCGTTCGATGCGTTTGGAACGAACTCCAACCAAATCAATGGATTTGGCAACAACATCAACAACAACAACAACAATAACAATAACAATGGATTTGGAGGCGCCAACAGCAACAACAATAGCAGCAACAATGGTGGATTCGGAGCATTCCACAATGGCGGATTTGGAGGTGCACAGAACAATGGATTTGGGGGAGCAAGCAACAACAACAACAACAACAGCTCGATGCCACAGGGCGGCGATTTGTTCAATCTTCTTGCCGGAGCTGCTCGTTCCCCTACCGCTACGACGCAGAACAACAACAGTAACAAAAACAACAGGTGAGTCCATTGTCTCTTATTTTTCTGGTATCCTCACAATGAGAGAGTAGGTAACGAATGGTTCTTGTTTGCTAACCACGCCTTTTCCTTTCCGCCTTTGTCCTTGATCCATACTCACTGCAGCGCGTTTGGAGACCTTAGCTGGAACTGAACATAGACCTCTATCCCTAATAAATTTACCCCACTCACTTTTTTCTCGCTACTCTTTTGTTCCCCTATCACTTATTATTCACAATGTCAATGTCGCACCTAACCGACTCGCTGGACAACCTCACCTTCACACCACCTTCCTCCTCCTCCTCCTCACACGTCTCCTCCACAGCAGCAACAGCAGCAATGGGAAAGGGAGAAGGAAGTGCCTCGGCACTAGAGAGTCTCCCGCTTGAATGCATCCAAACCATCCTTGGCAACCTCTCTGACGATTGCCATGCGCTCTATGCACTCTTGCTTGTCAACAAGGCCTGGTTCCACATGGTGCTACCCTTTCTCTACAAGAGCCCCATGACTCTCATCGACTCGACCTGGCCAAAACTTTCGTCTTATTCTCAGATCCTCAAAAAGGACCTTCCCCTGTCCTCGCCTGCATCGGGTTACGTGGACCGACCTAGTTCTCCCATGAGTGCTGTTGCTGGACCTGGCGTCATGTTTGACGAACCACGGCCTGCGCTGTCACTTTCGAACAGTATTACTTCGGCCTCAGGATCAGGAGCAGGAGTTATTGACGGTACAGCAGATACAATCGGTCGTCATGGCAGGAGTCTTTACAGCAGCAACCGACGGACCAGCACAACGTCATCGAATGGTGTTGGCGGTGGCGGGTATGGAGGAGGGTTTGGGTACGCCCCACGGACACACAGTCGAAGCAGTAGTCACAGCAGTACGAGGAGTATGACGGGCGACGCGTTCCACCAGGGCCGAAACGATGCTGTTTTACAGAGGGAACAGCGAGATCGGCTGGTCAAGCGGAAAAAGATGCAGGTCCTTTGGGTTCTCCTCAACTGCACGCTGTCGGAGGAGGAGCATCTTGCCAGGATGAGTCGCAGGTTTATAGATGATGCCAACGACGAGGAGGAGGAGAAGGAAGAGCAAGAGCAGCATGATCAGGATAACAGCGATGTTCACAGCGCGCTGTTGAAGGATCCGTCGTTACTGTCTCTCAAGCTGAACCAGGATCTGGATATCAATCTGGAGTATTTCAAGCCGATGGTCGACTACCTCTCGTTTTATACTCATCAGTATCACCCAGGACTCCAATATATTACCTGGAAGCTCTTCCCGACTATGGATTACGCCAAAACGATCGAGCGGCGGCTCATCAGACATGGACCCGAGCGGATACGAGAGTTGTTCCTGGAGAGCGTTCAGTTGCAGGACATGGTATCACTTGTCTCCCGACTCGAAACGCTCTACAAGATCAGGACCTGTCATGAAAAGTGGGACATCCCGAGCTCGATCGAGTTTATGAGGCGCCACAACGAGCTCTTTGGGACGGTCCGGATGCTAGAGATGGAGGCTTACATACCCGAGAATCACGATACTGAAATGAGCGCGGATTTCGGCCAGTTGATTGGGCAAGTTGACCATCTGAAGGTCCTGGAGCTGTCGGGCTTTGAGGCTTTGACTGCGGTACTGGAGGATATCCCGACGGAGAACTTGAAGGTTCTTCGTTTGAACTGTGGATCGCTCGGTCCGACTCCTATTCCGCCTTTTGCAACGACTGAGGCGGTGGCCGCTGCTGATAGGGCCTCGAACGCGAGGATGACGATCAACACATTTTTAAGCCAATGTCGTCAGTTGGAAGAGCTGCTGTTGAAGCCGGTCGACGAGAGTATGCTTGAGTGGGCTGTTCAGGAACGACGGGACCTTCAGGTGCGACTGCGGCAGCTGCAAAGCTCTTTTGATGTATTTTATGCCGGACTCTTAATTAACTGGAGAATTATTATCTTTTTGGCATCCTATTCTAGGCGGGATTGCAACCGATGACGCCAACATCACCATCATTGACGTCCCTTGCTCGCCCACCACCACAGCGACTGGTGCCTTTGCGGATTATCGAGCTCTCAGGAACGGACAGCGAACATGTGGCCATGACGATATCTCAGGCAGCAGAGGCGTTCCAGGACACACTGGAGGTGATCAAGGCTAACTCGTTTTCTTACACCTCCAACCGGACCCAAAAGATGCTCTCCTGGAGATTCCCCATGCCCAAGCTGCGTGTGATCAAGATTGTCGGCCGATCCAACTTGCCGTTTGATTTCCGGTCACTACAGTACTGTCCCGAGCTCAGGATCTTGGACCTGTCAAAGTATTCGGGCATGCGCGGATGTCAGGAGGCAGGACTGTTGAACCTGAAATACTTGACCAAACTCGAGTACCTGGGCCTGTCGAGCTTTGATCATTTGACGGACTCGACTCTGCGGACGATCCTGGGGTGTATGCCGCGGCTGAAGCATTTGAGGCTGGCGATTGGTGACACGGCGGTTTCGACGTTGGGGGCTAGTTCTTTTGCGTATGCCAGTTCAGGGTCAATTGTTGGCTCGGGATCTGGAGTTGGCAAGGTGACGGGATCGAGAACTTCTGGAATCCTTGGAGGAAGCGGATCTGGATCTGGGTCTGGATCTGGACCTGGAAGTAATAACGGTGGTGTAGGAGGAGCTTCCAGTAGCAATAGCAGTAGCGCTGCCGCGGCAGGAGTTGCATCGAGTGCTGACATGCCTTTCCGATCACCTTTTGCGGCCATATCTGCGGCGTCATCGGCTGGTTCAGCCTCGGCGTCGGCGTCAGTGTCTTCGTCTACTTCGCCGGATCCGGCTCCTCAACCACCAACACCTCAGACAGTGCAACAGCAGCCGTCCATGGGTACCATCAACATGATTGTCGGTCAGATCCAGAACCAACATTCTTCGTTCAGTCACCACCATCATAGCCACCATCATCATCATCAATACCCTCTAGCACCACCTCCGTCACTTTCCTCGACTCCGTTCCACTCCTATATGTCAGGAGCAACAGCAGGTGGACCCATCATCGGCAGCGGCATGAGTAGCAGCAGCAGTAGTGTGAGCGGGATGGGCATCGGTAACGGAGGTGTCGGCAGTGGCGACATGGCATCCTCGGCACGATCGACCTCATCCCTCATGGACCGTTTCCATCTCGAGAACACATACCTGTCGCTGGAGGGGATCCTGGACGCGATCGATGGGCTGTCGGAGGACAAGGACAAGAACCAACTCGAAAAGTTGTCGATTGTGTTGGGTAAGCTCGATTTCGACGATCATTACCGCCGTCTGGAGCTCTATAACCAGCAATATCAGGATCTGGAGATTACTGTCTATCGGTATGCGCATGCTGTGTAGATGACAAAAGCTTTTTTGCGTGTTTTTTTTTTTTTTTCTGGCTCCCATTTGTAGATTTGGAAATAATTAAACAAATAATATGATGAAAAAAAAGTGGTTGGTATTATATCGTGTTTGTGCGGATCCTTTTTATTTTGATGTTGTGGCGGTGGCGGTGGCGATCTTCTAGTTACTCTGGCCGGTTGCATGGTGTTAATAGTACTATTGGCAGCGATAACAACAAGAGAAAAAAAAACTGTAAGTGATCAAGCAAGAAAGACATAGGGTCGGACGCGTTTAAGGTCTCGTGCCACAAAGACATAAAACGACGACAAAGAGAGAGAAAAAAATAGCTTACCAAACTAGCGGCAAAGACAATGTCGCGTTTGATGGCTTGACCGGCCAGCTCCATCTTTGTATAAAGAGCAGCATCACCAATCATTCTAGCCGCGTTCCTGACCTCACTGCACGTCTCATCCAGTCTGTGGATTGTCCTGACAATCGAACCTATTTCGTGTGTGTTATGTGTTTTCAGAGAGGGGAAAAAGGTTGAAAGTATTATAAAAGTGTTTCACGCCATCTCAACCTCAAGTAAACAAAGGGGTCAAGAATCAACAGCAAGAATACAAACATACCTTCTTGGACGTCAGTAAGTTCAGTGATCTGCTTGAAACTCATTCCCCTGGCCCACTCGTAAACAACCTCCGTCAACCCAAACTTCAACGCAGAAGTACCAGGAGCTGTCGCAGACTCGAGACCAGCCTTCTTCTGCACCTCGGCCATCTTCAACTCAATACCCAGAATCATCTCCTTGCCCTTTGTCAACTGTGGAGTGAGCACCGGTTCAGAAGCATTCTTCTCCTGGCAGACAAAACACGATAGGAGCGCAACAATCTCCTCCGGTTCGAATTCCGAAAGCATATTGTCGAGGATCAATTCAGTGAGGATGAGTTCGTCGGCAGTGTTAATCTCACAAGCGACGCGGCCCTTGAGTTGGACGGTAGAGTTTTCGGGATCGAGGTAGTTGAGCTCTTTGAGGATGGTCACGCGTTGGTGGTAGTCGGGGAGGAGTTCGAGATTTTGGTCGGAGATGGTCCGTTGCAGTTCTTCCAGCTTTCCATGAAGCTCTCTCTCCTTGTGAATCATCGCATACTAACACGTTCCAGTCCATAGAAGAAGAAAAAAAAAGGCCCGTTAGATAATTCCTCTTCTCATTACATGTAAACCACTCATAACTGAAACATGAAACCAACAAACTTACGTGAGGCTTGAGATCAGGACACTTGTTACACTGGCACGCAAGGATCTTCTTGAATAGAACCTCCTTCTGGGCCAAGTTCTCTCTGAACTCCAAATCCTTGATCTTGCTCCAATTGAACTCGTTGACCAGTCCAGCATGGCGTTCATCAATCTCTTCAGCATACTGGTACAGTTCCCGACGGACCTTGGCCAAAGCCTGCATATCTTTCCTGATGATTGCCTCAGCATTGATTCCGGGGAGGGCGGTATCTGTGATGGTAAAGATATCGTGGTATGTCACAGCTTCAACGACTTGACTGGTCTGTTGGTGGTTGAATGTCTTGAGTCGCGTGATGGGGATCAAGACCTCCTTGTCCAGAGCAGAGGCGTCTATTTGTTCAAATGCGGATTGAAGAAGGCTGTTAGCATGAGGTAACCCTAAAGCTGTTCTACTTGCATTTACCAGAATAGTTGGCGAGATACGTACCCTCCTTGGGGGCGACTTCGGTCAGGATACAGCACCAGAACGACTTGGCCTGCTTGGCCACCATGTCTGCTTCCGCCACCGTCTTGAGAATAACCGCCGGGGTATTTCTATGGAACTTGATGCACATCAAGGACGCGTTAACTCATAGGCTCTTGAACATGGCACAAGAGGATAGAATAAAATGACAAGCAGAAAGAATCAACAACCAAGGGAAACATTTACAGTGCTGTTCAGGATGACGATGCGACCAGTGCCCAGCGCCTTGATACCAAACGTCTGCCTGACAATTTTGTCCATGAGCTGGTGATTGATCGAAATCATCTTGGACGAGCTGTTGTAGAACTCTTCAATATCCTTGTTGCAAATGAAGCAGTCCAGCTTCTTCATACTCTCCATTGACTTTGCGCTCTATAATTCAGAAGTTTCAAAAGGCGTTAGGTGTTATACTTGGCAAACGGTCAATATGCAGTGTCAATAGGTGGTCTCAGTTGGCATGTGAAGTTACCTCTGCAAAGAGCTTCTCCTTCTCGGGCATGGTCTTTTGGGCAGAATTCTCAGAGAAACTGCGCTTGATCATCTCCTCAACGCGCAATGCCTCGACACGAAGCAAGTTCAGAATCATGTTGTAGGTCAGACGGAACTGAGACTGTAGCTTTGTAGCCTTGCCCAACAGCATCTCCTGCAACTCGGTCACCTGTGAAAGTTACACAATCGGAGAAGCATATACGGCGATTAGTATACCATTTTTCCAAGGAAAGGCGGCGGTTCAACAAAGCTTTGGGTAGAGTAAGGTCTGAGATGTACCTCTGGAGGAGAATCGCCGTTGCAGGCAATGATAACCAGTCCTGTAGAGTCCAGTCCACGACGTCCTGCACGTCCAGACATCTGGGTGTATTCGCCTATGTTCCAAAGAATGATAAACCCAATAAGAGTCCGATCTGAAAATTAAGCCCATATCCGAAAGTAATATATAGCAGCGGTGGTGTCCTTACCTGGGAGGAGGTTGCGGAAGCTGTGTCCATCGTGCTTGCGAATACCGGAGAAGACAACTGTACGAGCTGGCATGTTCACACCCTGTCAGAGTAACAATTTACAGATGAGTTATTCCACTGTCCACGACTTGTATAAAGAGACGCCAATTTCTTTTGCAGCCTGATTATGACGAAAGGGTTTACCATTGCAAAGGTCTCTGTGGCGAACAAGACTTTGACCAGTCCACGCGCAAACAGGATTTCAACCATCTATAGGCGCAGCAAAAGAACCCGAAAAACTGTCAGTAATCCTATGCAAATAGTAAAAGCAAAGCCCAACTACCATTCCAACAAGATGGATACTAACCTCTTTGATGATGGGCAAAAGACCAGAGTGATGGACGGCTATACCTCTGCTGAGCAGATCCCGCATTCTCTGGATCTGAGGCAGCTCGCGGTCAGTGCCGTGGAGTCGGACAAGTGACTTTTCGAAAAAGACGTGAACCTCACTCTTCTGAGACGAAGTCATCAGATCCGTGCTCGACAGACTAGTAGCGTTCTCCTCGCACTTCTTCTTCGAGAACGTAAAGACAACCACTGGCAATAGCTCCTTCTTGTTGAGGTAGGAAACCAGGTGCGTGAACAGGTTCTTGTCCATTGTATTGCTCCTCCATCCACCTCCACCTCCAAAGTTTCCACCGCCGCGTCCTCCACCTCCACCCCCACGTCCTCCGCCACGACTTCCGCCACGACCTCCTCTCTGCGAGGCCTTGAGATCGACTTCCTTCTTGGCCAACGCATCGGTCGCACTCTTGTAGCCGAGAGGTAGCCATGTCTGCCTGGCATCGACAATCTTGTGGACTTCGCGGCCTGCAAAAAGATGGTGCTCCAGAGGAACAGGACGCTTGGGCGTACTGATGACATAGATATCCTTCTTCTTGGTGCGTCCAACCCAGTCGGCAAACTCCTTGGTGTTGGGAACTGTTGCCGACAAGAGAATCAATGTGACGTGAGCGGGCAACATGATGATGACCTCCTCCCATACGACTCCACGCTCAAGATCGTTGACATAGTGGACCTCGTCAAAGATGACAAATTCGACGTCGCGGATCAAGTCGGCACCACGGTAGAGCATACTCCTGAGAATCTCGGTCGTCATGATTAGACAGGACGCCTCGGGGTTGATTTGAACATCTCCTGTCAAGATACCGACCTCCTCGAAAGTACCCTTGAAGTCACGGAACTTTTGGTTCGAAAGCGCCTTGATGGGTGAGGTGTAGATGGCCTTGGTCATGTGCTTGGCTGCCAACGCAATCGCATACTCGGCTACCACCGTCTTTCCGGCACTCGTATGGGCGGCCACAAACACACACTCGCCCTTCTCCAGATGGTAGACAGCCCGCTTCTGGAAAGTGTCGAGCTCGAAGGGAAAGTCGTGTGCCATTTCTGGCACGTGGGTGTAAAAGTCGTCGAAGGGAGCGTTGACGTCGACAACATGAGCCCATTCGCGCCCCTTAGCCTGCGCTGCTGTGATAGTTCGTTTGGGTACTGCGATGGGAATAACACTGTCAAGAATGGCATCGACTTCGTCGGGCGTCTCGGCGTCTGCATCCGTAACTGGCGCCGCTGTAGTCTCTGTTGATTCCGTTTCTGTCGATTCTTCTGCCTCTGACCGGGTCACAGGATCCAAAAGGGCTTCGAAATCAGCATCCTCCTCCACAGTCTGTCCCGAGAGGAGATCGGCAATGTTGAACAAACCACCCTTGTCGGATCCTGCGACAGTCGTTTCCTGATCGGAAAAGAGACCTCGACTGAAGCCAGGAGGAATGGTCAGGATTTCCTCCGAATCCAGCGACAGGCCTTCGACGATGGTCCTTGCGATATCGATATCATCCATTCCAAGCGCATCCCTCTCTGCCTCCAAGATGCTTGCACCCTGGATCTCCTGAGCGTCCAATCCGCCGGGCGTGAAGGGGAAGTAACCAGCTTTGCCGCGAACGAAATCTGTCCGTTTTCCAGGCGCGCGCGAGAAGCTGGTCGAGTTTTTGGCGGTCATGATAGAAGTCGAGGCGACAGTGCTGGATCCGATGAGATGGGTGGAGCGCAAGTTCTTTTCATAATAACTTCCACGTTGCCCATAGACGTTGTGAGGCTCGAGTGCGAGTGTTGCTTCGGCAGGTGAAGGGTCCATTGCGAGAAGGGTGGTGAACTCTTGGTCGCGGTCGAACAGTTCCTGACATTTGTTCAACCATTCGGTTGAGAAGGTGTTGCTGGGGAAGAGGTGTTCGCGCTCTATGTCCTGTTTGATCTGGTCGTACGTCTGAGGTCCCACGATCGATGCTGGCAGCTGTCCATATCAAAACGCGGACACGGGCAATTGAGTCAATGAGCCTTTTCTTCTCCAAGTATTGTGGTCATTAGAACCTTGATGATAATGGTCATATGGTTTGAGGCGTCCATACCTCAAATTTGATGGGAAGTGCGCTCGCGTCGACGCCGGGGAAGGCTGCGGCTTTGAGACGCGCCAACAGGTCGCTGGTTTCTACAAAGATCATTCATTCCAGGCAGAATAGAAGAGATGAGTAAAGCCTTTTTTATTTTCTTTACGCGTGTTTCTTGTGAGCTGATGATTGCCATGGTGTCCTTTTAGTATGCTCCGCATTGTACCTTGGCTGGCCATTGTGTGAGTGATGTAGGGAAGTTGTAGTTGGTTGTTCAGGCCCAAGCTCATAAAAGAATCCTTGTCTGCAGCCAAGCCACCGACGCCAGCATTTGGCCCAGTTCTGCACCTGACCTTTCCACAGCGATCGAACTCCCCCGCGTCGGAGAGTCCAGGTTTGTGGGCGCAACCCCTGCTCGGCTCAGTCCGCACTTTCTGTCTCTTCTCCACAACCGTCGCTCATTTATCTCTTCATTCCTTCTTTCTTCCCTTCTCCTCATTCTCCCTCACACCTTCACACTCTTCACTCTCCACTCACTACCAAAAACTACCATCAACCATGTCTGCTCTCCGTAACGTCGGCCGTGTCCACCAAAAGACAACCGCATTCTTTCTTTGCGACATCCAGGAAAAGTTCAGGACCCACATCTTCCAGTACCCCTCCGTCGTCGCCACTGCCCAAAAGATGGTACTGCCCCTATTTTATACCGTGCGCACTCTGTGTTGTCGACTTCGTACACAAGTTCTTACCCCCACCTAACGACTCTTCTACATGTCAATTGAAAAATAGATTGCTGCCCACAAGGTGCTCGATATCCCATTGATTGTCACCGAGCAGGTTCGTTGATTATTTCGGCATGGTACCTTTGTGTGTATGCATTGGGGTCGTGAGAAAAAAAATATCATGGTGGCAGTTCATTTTTCCTAATGACACATCTCACATCCCCCGTCTTGACCCGACATAACATAAAATAGAACCCAAGGGCATTGGGCGGAACTGCCACTGAACTGGACTTGTCGCAGGCAAAGGTCAACTACCCCAAGACAAAGTTCTCCATGTACATCCCCGAGGTCGAGAAGGAGCTCAAGGGCATCAAGTCCGTCGTCCTCTTTGGCATCGAGGTATGTCACTTCATTACATTTGTGCATCAATGACAAGTTGAAAGAGACACGTCGGATAGCCATTGCTTCAAAAAGTCTCCGTCTCGGGCTCGCTTACTCAAAACGCGTCATTGTCTCTTTGTCCTCTTACTCTGCTCATGTACGTGCATAGTCCCATGTGTGTGTGCTCCAGACGGCCCTGGATCTGTTGGAGAACAACTACGATGTCCATGTGCTTGCTGATGGTGTGTCAAGCATGAACAGCTTTGAGATTGAGCACGCCTTGAACGTAAGTTTACTTCTCTCTACACTGCTCATTCGAACTATACTTTTTTCTTATTTTGCAGGTGTTCTTGCAGAAGTGTCCGACCTTTGGAACTTTTGCTTTCAGGAAACATCATGTTTCAGCAAATGAACTCACCCAACACACGCTCTCGTGTATCTTCTTTCTTAATTTTTCGGGATACACAGCGCGTCAAGTCTGCAGGTGGTTATGTCACAACGAGCGAGTCGATCCTCTTCCAGTTGCTCGGAGATTCCAAGCACGAAAAGTTCAAGATGATCTCGAACCTTGTCAAGGAGACTAAGGAGGCGACTGCAGAAAACAAGTTGTTTTTCAAGAGCAACATCTAAAAATGCATGAACAGGACCATTCTCTTTTTGCCGGCACCAACTACCACTCCAAAAAAAACCCCCAACCGCCACCACCACTATCCTGTATTTTTGTACAAAAGAAACCAACAAACAGCAACGTTGGTTACGGGTCGATATGCCATTGGACAATGGAGCCGGAGGATGAAGGTTCTATCGGGTCAAAAAATGGGACCAGTCTCCTTGAATGTTATCTTCTCCTGTAGCTGTTTCTTAATTAAAGGAGTTTCCTTGCATCATCTCAAAATCACAGCTCTCGGAGTCCGTCCCTAAAGAGGGAACTAGGCAAAAATACTCGGACCAGTCTGTGCGGACAATGGCCAACAGGTGTGAACAAGAATCCAGGAGTTTTCATTTTGCTTACCCATGCTCCTCTATCCTCCGTCCTTTTCACTCCAGCTCCCCTCGCCGGGTGTGCTTTCTTTCCATATTGCCATATATTTCTTCTTGGCAACATACCTGCTCACACAGCCATAAAAACAAAAACAAAAGTGAGTGGCTGCTCTCTTTTTCAATCAACCTTTATGAGCAGATGAGGCCAACATTGCTGAACAAACTAGCTGAATCTGTGGAGTCCTATTTCTGGGGATGAGTATCTCCTTCATACAATGAATAAACTCGTGGTTGTGGCGTAAAGTCTAGCCAGCCATGGCCTCTTTGACCATTGTTGTTATGATTCAAAAACGATCCGTTGTTCAGGAGACCAAGGACATTGAAAAGGTGGAAGGAGGATCTGGTCGGTCATCTGTTAACCAATTTATCTTTTTTCAGGAGCGCGACACGCGCGTCACTACGATAATTCGCGCAAAAAAAACGAGTCAAACGACGATCAAGATGGAGGGTTCGGCAAAAGGGCATAAAAATGAAAACGAACGTGGTGGATCGTCATGTTGCTCATTGTCATTGTCACAATCGATCCGATGGGCTCCGACTGGTAGCTAGTTACGATAAGGTGCCCTATCACTTGCCAAGGGGTAAGCGGGTGGGACATGTCAAGAGAACAGCTTGGGGGTTCAAAAAGTGAGTAAGTGACAAGCCCTCTTGTCACTCGGACAACATGTACCATTTGCTGTAGTTCTTCAGTATTTGACAATGTCAACTGTTAGTCAATTGTGTCATCACAATTGACGAACCTCCTATGATGCACACTTTTTATGGCCGTTCTTTTTGCTCAGGAGTTGCGAGCGTGTTTTATGTGATGTATGGAGTAGCGCGAGAAAATATGGGACATGATGCAAGTGAGCAACCAAAAACTAAAAATGCCAGCAAAGGCTGCTATGAAGTGCATGAAATAAATAACGAGAATGAAAAAGAAGGAGCCACAAACTCTTAAGCGGCATCATATTTAGAATCATTCTGCGTTTTATTGTATGGTCCATGTCCTGTGGTGGCACTATGGCGCTCGTTGCTGTTGTTGCTGTTGTTGTTGCTGCCTTTTTATTACCTTGAATATGTGCCCATGTGCATGTGTATGTTTGCCTTGACCACCGTTGCCCTTTTTCTTTCTTCAGATGATACTAACAATACAACCCTTTTTTTTTCTTTTTGTTCCCTTTCTTTCCTCATCCTCAATCTCATCCTTTCATTTCTTTTCATTACTTATTTCTCCTGTTCTCCTTCCCGCTGCATTCACCAATCCATTCACCTTTTCCTTCTCCTCGCATTCAGCTCTTTCTCAGCTCAGTCTTAGTTCTCTTTTCGCCTCTGTGTTATAGATCCTTGCTGCACATCCAGCTATCCAACCATCATCCCGCTACCCTCATCTTTAAACACTTTGCCATTGCCTTCACTGCACCCCTCTCTTCTCTCCAACTTCCTTTGCCCACATTATTTCACTTCGTCCATTTCCTTCTCGATCCATCCTTACATATATCAACCAACAGCCTTTCAAGACCTCTCATCATTGACTTTTATAGTTTTAAAACAAGTAGCCACACCTCCTCCTACTTTCAAACCTCAACAACGTTCTATATACTTCAAGGAGTTCTTTGCCCCATTCTCATTATAACAATACACCCGAGGAATCAATAACATATCACCCCCGCAATTCATATCCTTCAACAACCAACTCCTGCACGCCTTTTGCACGTTTCTTTATTTCGGATTCTCTCCGTTTGTCGCGCCTTCTTTCGTTTTTCTTTTGTCTCCACCTTTTTTGTCTCTTTCATTCTTTCATAAAAAATTCCTCTTTTTCACATTCGTGGCAAAAGCTGTGCTAGCCGACTTTCGTCCACCCAAACATCACTCTCACTCCACTTTGATACAAAAAAAAAATGGGAATCCCTATTGAACTTCCTGCCTCACCTGCACCCAAGTCTGGGCCCTGTCATTCAGCCAAACCCTCCTGGTCAAGTTCTACCCAACATTTCCCACCATCATCCTCTTCCTCTTCGTCCTCCTCAGTTTCAGCTTCTTCCACTTCATTGTCTTCTTCGTCTTCTTCAAGCTACTCAAACTCATTCCCTGTGGTTCCCCCATCGTTGTCTTTGGCTCGTCAACAACTCCTTCAGGACACTCGGCCACCGTTGACTTCGCTGGCCTACCACCCTCCTCCTCCTCATTCACAATCGGGCTCCACTCAACAACGGACTCTTTCATCGCCTTCTTCTTCAGCCTATGGTTCCTATCACTCTTTCCCTTCTCCTTCTCCTTCTCTAGGAAGCAATGGCCCTAGCGTAGATCAGAGCGCATGGATTCAGCAGGCCCGGGCAGATGTTGCAGCAGCTTCGGTTTCTGCTTCCCTTTCAACGACCGCCGCCGCCGTCGATGAGGCGGAGATCCAATCGCCTTCGCCCGCCCGTGCAGCGCGTCCCCCAAACCTTCGTCGCATCAGTCGCGTCCCGGTCTTCGTAACCTCCCCCTCCGGCTCTGGTTCTGAGTCTGGGTCTGGTTCTGGATCTACAGGGACAGTAAATACTCTCTCCGTCAGACCTGCACCCGTCGCATCGCCAACGACATCGACCTTTAACAGTGACTACTACAGCACCACTGTGAGAGGAACAACAGCTGCAACGTCAAACATGGAAGGCAGCATGATGGCTGATTCGCCACCTCCAGCCTCGCAACCAAGACCGATTTGGCATCCCTCCTCGCCCTCTCTGGTCCACTATTTGACTCGACCTCTTCCTCCACTCCCCCGTCCAGCTTCCGCTTCTTCCTCCACCTCCACCATGTCGCACACCGTGGAACCTTATCCACACCAGCTACAATATTATCAGCAAGAACAGCAAGAGCAGCCTCATCTTCCTCAGGAACGTGCATCTTGGAACTATCGATTTGTCAACATGAACCATGCCGACAACTACAATCGACCAGAGACGAACACTCTGAGTGGAAGTGGGATGATGCATGGATACTACTATGAGGACGATCGACTTCGTCATGACCACTCACCCATTATGCGATCCTACCACCAACAACATTATCAGTCTGCAGAATCTTTGTCTACAGGAGGAACAGCAGCAGCTACGACTATGGCAGGGACAACAGGGCCGGCAGATTCATCTGCTAATGCGAATGTTACTGTGTTCTCGTCCTCGCCAACATCGGTGCTTACCCCACGGCCTCGTCAGTACTACTCGATGAGAGGAGGAAGCGAAGTGATCGACGACTCTGACGACATTGACGAAGAATGGATCCTCCAGCAGCAACAACAACAAAACCAGCAACAACAGCATCTTTCAGAGCGCAGGTTCCGTCATCGTCCATCCCTCGCAAATCGAGAACGTGAACTCCACCTTCAGCGAGAACAACAGCATCTCCATCACCATCACCTCCACCACGGCCAAACAACCCTCTCGCCACCCCCCCTCTTGTCGCCTTCGTCGCCATCGTCACCCTCAAACAGTCCGAGCAGTAGTTCTAGCTCCAGTTCCAGCACGACTTTGATGACGTCGGTACCGTCGTTTCTGCAGGGCCATCCAATGGTCGCCCGAACCGTGATCCGCGCAGATGCCTTCCATCAAGGGGTGATCCATATCTACCCCGAGAACCATGCCCCGATCCGGATGTACGGTCGGCCTATTATCGCTCCCACTCCTCCTCCTCTTCATACTCGTTCTTCTTTTTCTTCTTCTTCTTCTTCTTCTTCTTCTTCTTCTTCTTCTTCTTCTTTGACCCCACGTTCTTCTGATGCAGCAGCAGCAGCCTTGTCCTCTGTTTCTTTGACTGACAGCAATGACTATGTTGCAACTGTAGTCGATCAGGGCTACGATAATGACTTGATGGTACATATCCCTGCGCGTCCGTTGGCAACACCTCCCTCTTCTGCCGGTCCATCACCCTCCGCCACCATACTTTCAACATCGTCCTCCGTCGTCCTTTCCCCGATTCCATCCCTTCCTCCACCCGCAGTAACAACAACGACTTCCCTTTCAGTACTGGTATCACGGGAGATCATCGAAACAACAACACCCTCCTCTACATCTCCATTGGACGGAGAAGGCATACCAACACCCCTCTTGGCTCGCCCTGCTTCAGCAGCCTTGTCTCCCGTCTTGACTAGCGGAGAGCTCTATCGATTCTCCTCGGCCTCATCTACTCCATCGCCATCTTCAGCAAGGGTATACTCTGGATCGCCACAAACACCTTCCTCTTCCATGTCTTTGACGTTATTGCAACCTTCAACTATGCAAGTCTCAAGGTCTCAGGGTGTTGCATTGTCAGCCGAGGGAGAGGAGGATGCCGGAAAGGAGGGGTTCGACGAAGCTTCAGTTAGCGAGAGTCATCATCACCAGCATCATCGCGCAGACCATGGGGCTCCCTTACTAAACGGAGAGCAGGAGCAAGATCAGCAGCAGGACCAGTAGCCACCTGTTCAACCTCCGGAGCAGCTTCCGTAGAGGGATTTTTAATTAAACAGGTGACAGACCGATCCCAGCTGAGGGAGAGATCAGGGTCCAGAGTCATGGACTGGACTGGACTAGACTGGGCTGGACGGTTGGCAGGCTTAGAACAAAAGGCTTAGCAATGTAATAAAGTGTTGGGTCCATGGGCCATTGGCGAGGAAGTGTCTTGTCTGTCAACGTAAAGGGAAAAGGGACACAGAAAGAAAAGCAAGGCGAAAGTAAGGGGGGCGGCACACAGACACACGTATTCACGGATAAAAAGAGACAGGGCTCCCTTCTTTTCTTCTTTTCTTCTTTCTTATTTATCCCTTCCATCGATCACTTCTCCTCTCCTTTCCACTGTACATACTTATCCCTACTCTCACCTCCCAAGAACCAAGAAATCAAGCAAAAAAACCATGTCACACAACCACCATAGCCAACAATCCCACCCAGGAGCCCACCACCGGCTCTACCACCCAGACCCCGAGGTCCTCTACCACGACTCTGGAATCGACTACAACCACGTCGAGATGAACCGTAACGCATCCGTTGCAAAACTCTACGAGGACGCCCTCCGCTATGAAGTCGGGACCATCATCTCCTCTGCCGGTGCGTTGGTCACTTCTTCGGGAAAGAAGACAGGTCGTTCACCCAAGGACAAGCGTATTGTCGATGAGCCTAGCACGACGGAGGATATCTGGTGGGGGCCCGTGAATACCAAGTTGAGCGAGCATGCGTTTTTGATTAACCATGAACGTGCGGTCGATTATTTGAATACTCGTGAGAGGCTTTATGTCTTTGACGGGTTTGCGGGATGGGATCCCAAGTACAGGTAAGGCGTAAGAGCTCATGTAGAGAGTGAGAACGGACGGTTGGAGAGCTGTTTGTTTCTTATTATTTTAACACCAATGTGGACGTACGCTTTGTTCTCTCTCTTCTGTCCTCTTTTTTGCTTTATACTTTATTCCACATCTGCTTTTTGGTCGTGGGAACTTGCGTGGGACAAAAATAAGAAAAGGAAGGGCACCAAGGAGGCCGGCGGGAAGAAAGAAGACAGATAGGAAAGGAATGGGAAAGAAGAAAGGAAGGAAGGGGTGGAGGTTGTAATGTACCTTGTTCATCATACATCATAGCTAACCATTGCATCTTTATTTCCTTTTCTTTCCTTTTCTATCTTTTTCTTAATACTTTTGTTTTCCATTGTCCTTGTCCGGGAAATGGTCTAACGAACGTGATGCTTATTGTGATACCATTCGTCACCATTCATCCTCACCCTTCCCTTCACAATTGTCCGCAAAACTCTGGTGACCCTGACCGTTTGTCCTCATCTACTCCAGGATCAAGATCCGTGTTGTCTGTGCTCGTGCATACCACTGTCTGTTCATGCGCAACATGCTGATCCGACCAACGCCAGAGGAACTGGAGCACTATGGTGAGCCAGACTTCACAATCCTCAACGCCGGAGCCTTCCCAGCCAATCGATACACCACGGGCATGACCTCGACCACCTCTGTTGCCATCAACTTCCCCCGTCGCGAGATGGTCATCCTGGGCACGGAGTACGCCGGCGAGATGAAGAAGGGTGTCTTTACAATCATGCACTACCTCATGCCCAAGGCCGGTGTCCTCTCCCTCCACTCTTCAGCCAACCAGGGCAACGATGGAGATGTCACCCTCTTCTTTGGACTCTCGGGCACTGGCAAGACTACTCTCTCGGCTGACCCTGGACGCCACTTGATCGGAGACGACGAGCACTGTTGGTCCGATACAGGTGTCTTCAACATCGAGGGAGGCTGCTATGCCAAGTGTATCGACCTCTCGGCCGAGAAGGAGCCCGAGATCTTTGCTGCCATCCGGTACGGTGCTGTGCTCGAGAACGTCGTCCTGGACGAGGATACGCGCCTAGTCCACTACGAGGACCAAACAATCACCGAGAACACGCGCTGTGCCTACCCGATCGAGTACATCCCTAACGCATTGATTCCTTGCATCGGCGGACACCCCAAGAACATCATCATGCTCACCTGCGACGCCCTCGGTGTCTTGCCCCCAGTATCCAAACTGACCTCGTCTCAGGCCATGTATCACTTCATCTCGGGCTACACCTCAAAGATGGCCGGCACAGAGGATGGCGTCATCGAGCCCGAGGCAACTTTCTCGGCTTGTTTCGGTCAACCCTTCCTGGTCCTCCACCCAACCAAGTATGCGACCATGCTGGCCCAAAGGATGCACGAACACGCCGCCGACGCCTGGCTGATCAACACTGGTTGGAACGGCGGCGCATACGGCAAGACGGGCAAGCGCATTTCGCTCAAGTACTCCCGTGCCATCATCGATGCCATCCACTCTGGAGAACTCAAGAAGGCGACCTACCAGACTTACCCCATCTTTGGACTCGAGATCCCTACTGCTGTAGCTGGAGTGCCCGCTGAGGTGTTGAACCCCGCCACGGCCTGGCAAGGGTCCTCTTCAGATTTCGAGCAGACTGTTCGTAAGCTTGCCGAGCTGTTCAACACTAACTTTGACAAGTACAAGGACCAAGCCTCTGCCGATGTCATCAAAGCCGGACCCACCCTGTAGAGAAGGGTATCCACTTTTTTTGTCGACCGAGACCTACTCGCCAACATCAACAAAGATAACAGCCCTAGACCAGCAACAAACCTCAATCAACCACTAGCAACCAGCAACGTGCGACAACACAGAAACAACAAACAACAAACAACAATGGACCAAAAGTGCCCCAGCTAGTTTTATTTGCCAATATGTACGAAGTTAGAAAACAAGAACAAGGATCACGCTTTCGACTACATAAAGTTCCTATCATGCAATTTCATCCGTCTCCCGTCTGAAGCAAAAAAGACACCAATGACATACTCATGTTACGACTTGCGACTCACGCGGTCAGAAACGTTATTTTGTTCTCTCTACGAGTAAAAGGTATCTAAAAAGGAGAAAGTTGTTAACTGTTCGATAGTGACCACGGGATCTTGCCTTACGAACCTTATGGTACCCTTTGTCCTCCCTCTGGTCATCCATCCCCCATGGGGGGAGGGGGGGGAGACACGCAAGCTCGTGAATAGACTCGGTGAGTATTTTCCTAGCGAGTGCGCGTGTTCTGTACCTGACAAGTCCAGCAAGTGTGAGCAAAGCGCCGACGACTCTACGTACTTGTACAAGAAAGGATAATCTTCAAGTGCACAAACACAGCATCTCCGACTCTATCTAAAATATGAAGAGTTATGACTACAGCTGCATCCTACCACCAGCTTGCTCCTACGGCCGTTTTTTCCCTCTTTCGTCCTTCCTTGACCCACCTTCTCTTTTCTTTTGCTCAGCCATTTTCAACCACCGACTGACCCTTTTTTCACGTCCATCTTCATTTCATTTGCCAGCTATTTTTTTTTTTTTTGACCCTCTCTTTGTTCATCATCTCCGCTCGCTTGCACCAACGTCTCTGTATCATACCATATCTCTCAACTTGTCGCTCTCTCGTCCTCTCTGCCGTGCGCTGTACAGAGTTTTACCCTGCCCCTGCCCCTGCCCCTCTCACTCACACTCCATGCCCAGACTCCGCCTCGTCACTCCTGGGAAAGTAAGTAACACCAAAAAAAAAAAAAAAAAACGACGACGACGACGAGTCCCAATCCCAAAATTACAAAATGAGAGATTTTTTTCTTCTTTTTTTTTTTTTTTTTTTTTTTTTTTTTTTTTTCATGTCCTAACGTCTATGAATAGAGAGATTTTTTTTTGCGAAACGGCAGAGTGACCCATGTTTTTCTTTCGTCTCGCCCTGATACGCCTTTCGCTCGCTCGTGAAAAAAAAGGGTGTAGACGAGATGGATTGACAGGAACATCCCCCCCATCTCTCCATCTTTCTTAATTTTCCATGGTTCCCCCCCGTTGTCGGATCTCGTCCACGAAACATGGTTCATGGTCCTTCATATGATTTTCATTTCATTTTGCATGCTTCATTTCAAAAATGGGCCAAACTCGTTATTTTTTCAAGGTTCTTATTTATTTAAATGTTTTACAAGTTGAATACAAAGTAGGGGGTGAAATGACAGAAACAATTAGTGTAGCAAAATAGGTAAAAAGGGGAAGAAGGGGGGGGTATACTAGTTGTGTTTTGTACAAAGAACAAGGGATGAAAAATGAGGATGAATGAATGAGTGAATGCAAGTGTGTTGGGGGGTTTTTTGGTCAGGGTCCTGCCCTGTCCGGATGGTTTTTCCTTTGCTCAGAAAAGGGAACGCTGAGAAAAAGGGAGGACGGATGGACTGTTCTATTGGGATTCCGTGTACGTCCGGACAAAATGGCCCGACTGACAGCCATGTACACAAGGCTCGACAAGGAGACAAACCTCGGCGAGACGAAGAGGAGATGTAGATTCCGCTTAGGGTTCCGACGCTTCCAGAGGTATCCAACAAACAACTCAGAGCAACTCAGCGAGTACTGGCACTGCAAACGATCGAGCGTGAGGGAGTCGACAAGTGACAGAAAGGGAAGGAGGGGACCATCATCATCCACGGCTCCAGGAGAGATTAAGCGGACTCAAGATTCGTCCTACTGCCCGGTCGGTCTGTCGTTGTGTTGGTGTTCCGTATCCATCGAGTGCGTTGTGTCACTGACATGAGACGAATAAAGGCCCACATGCAAGATGAGCTGCACGGCCATGCACGGTAAAAAAGACAACCAAATGCAAATGCGTCGGCAAAAAGCGCTGGGTTGGATAGGTCTGGCCAACTGGCTAGCTGGGATTGAGTCCTTGCTTGGCCATTAATCAAAGCTCTCGTCGGCAGTTGCATAGTTGGAAGAGGTCGAAGAGAGGAAGGACTCTGTTGAAGAGAACGAAGTCCAGGAGCCGACCAAGAGGTTGTTCAAAGGGTGGTCATCCTCCTCGCAAGGCATCTCCATTGAGACCGAGAGGGACGACTTGACTATTTTAGTGACAAGAACAAAAAATACTTCAGATTAATAAACATTGCTTCTGGGAGAGATCATGATGCAGAAAAGGGCAGGAAAAGGAGTGAAATGGTTACCTGGAGAGAAGAGTTCATGACGACGGGGGAGGTAACTGCGGGGCTTCAAGGGAGCAATCAGCTTGCGAGCGCGGATCATCCTCAACTCGGAAGCCATCATGCGCAAGTAATCCGGGTTGGACCGGGTTTCGCGACAAGCCAAGTGGCGTGGCAAAGGCAACAACTCTTCCTCAGGAGCAGCTGGAGTGGAAGCAGCAGCGGCAATGTCCGCAGTAGCAGGATGGGGGATGCTAACGGGACGACGGCGCTGGGTCAAGAGAGGCGTCCTAGGACGCTTGACCTCAATCACGGGAGTTTCGCGATATGTAAAGGTCTTTAATGCGATCGTGTCGGAACGCATGACCTTGAACTTATCCATAGCTGCAACCGAAGCTGGGTAAAGTCCCTCTTCCGCATTGTTGTTGTACTCTTCAGCGCTGACGGCCTCTAAAGAGGTGAGAATCAGAGGGGTAGCATCGAGAGTGACGACGGGGGAGCTGTTGGCGACAAGAAGGGCAAGTGGGGGGAGGAATTCGCGTGCGCAGCCAGTTGAACGGTGGTTCTTGTTGTTCTTGTTGTTGGACTGAGTCGACGAAGACTTGAAAGTCGAGGAAGAAGTAGGCCAGTTGAAGGATTGGGCAGTGGCGATGTAGTGGGCTTTGAGGCTTGCCCAGAGAGTAGTAGTTGTTGAAGAGGTTGGGTGGGGTAAAGGTAAAGGTAAAGGTAAAGAGGTGGGTAATGATGTGGTGGTTGGCAACAACTCGAGCGAGTTACGCGAGGAAGACTGGGAGGAGCGAGAAGAGGAAGGAGATGTGGGGATGGAGGTGGTCGAGGAAGCACGGTTGCGACGGCGACGAGGGATGGTGCCGTAGGGCTTTTGGTTGGAGGTGAGGGTGGAGACGAGCTTGTGGTAGTTTGTGGCGGAGGGGGAAGTGGAAGACGTGGGAGCAGGCTGCTGTGAGCAGAGCGAGGCGGAAGAGGAGTGGAGGAGCATTAAGGTTCTGTGGGTTGTGTGAAGGAGAAGGTGGAGGGGTGGAGGTGAAGAAGAAGAAAGAAGAAGGAAGTGATGGGCGAAGAAGGTAAGCGATACAGAATATGGTCGAAACAAATGAAAATGAAAAAGAAGGAAAAAACTTTTTTCTTCAGTGGGAAAGGGTCCCCTTTTAAAGGGCCGGAAAGGAGAGGGAGGGACGGAGATGGGGATCACACGGGGGACAGATTTGGTATTTTAGAATAAGAAACGCATTGAATTGGATTCGAGGGAGATACGATAAGTGGTTGTTGTGTGCCATCTCGACTCACTCTTCTTCTATCTTCATATCTTCGACGTTAGCCACGTTACAACTCACTCGGCACAGTACTCAATTGAACCTTTTTTTTTGTTTCTTTGTATATTTTGTACGTACTCACTCTCACATCCAACATGCAGCAGACCCTATCTGATCCCCTATGGTAGTTATCGATGCTTCTTTTTTTTTTCTTTCCTTTCATCGGCTCACATCTCACCCTCTGTCTCCACGCTCCCCTCCTTTAGCCTTGGTTTCCCATATCCAACCATTTTTTTTTTTATCAAACAGACTATCTCACTTTCATTATCTCTGGATGCATCGACAATAGCAACGGGGCGTACACAACCATCTCTTGTTTTCTTTTCCAAGGCCAACAACCAACCCTGTCAATCCAAGCTCACTATCGGATATTATCTGCCATATCATGCCTCAATCACCAGCTCAATCGGTGACAAGGATTCGGCACAAATGGCATGGCAAGGCAAGCCAAGTTGGTGTAACAAGAACCCTCTCTCTCCTTCCCGCCTCTCTCCGGTGATGGCGATGAGTGATGTTCACACACGCCACAAGCAAAAAACCCACCCTTGGGGTGTTCGCCTCAAGTGACATCGCTTTGTTTGTCTTCGGCTCTTTTTTTTGTTGTTGTTTATTTTTCCTAGAACCGATAGTTCACATCCCCTCTGACTCTCACTTGACTCCCTTTCCGTTTGAACTCTCCTCCCTCCACTTCCTGTCCTTGCGCGTGATAAAGAAACAAGAGATAAGTGTGTCTTTCTTCGAAACAAGACAGGACAAAGAAAGATATGTAAAGAAACCAACTGCCCAGACAAATTTCGAATAATTTTTTCTTTTTTGCGTTGTCGTTTTCTCTCCGTGCTGCAAAAAGCTGAATGCAGTAACGATGCATCTCATCTTTTCACAAGTTTATCTTCCACTTCTCAGGGTCCCTGTGCCCCTTCGTCTTCACCCCCCGTCTCTCTCTCTCTCTCTCTCTCTCTCTCTGTGTGTGTACCTGGACTAACTCCAACTGAACAAAAATAACCTGGAACTTCTCATTCAGCCATTTTTCTTTTGTTATCGCTCCGCTTCTGGTCATTTAGTTAGTTCGCTCATGACCCGAGAATACTTTGTCTAGATCGATGATGACGAAGGCAACGATGACAGTGTGTGTGCTTTTCTTTCTTCTTTTTCTTCTTTCATTTTAGCAGGTGTTTGTTGAGGAATTGAGAAACACGAGTAAGAAAAGGGCAATTGAGGAAAACGAGAGAAAAGAAGGGACAAGGGTTGACAGAGACACGGACACAGACACAGACACAAACACATACACAAACACAGATACGGAGCGATAAAGATAGTGAGGGGTAGAAAGGACAAGGAAAAAAATCAAGGGCAGCCGGAATCTGACACCACTCATCATCAGCCTTTATAACATATCATTAGAAAAAGGGGGGGGGGGGGGCAGCAACCAAGCGAGACACTAGAAGGATATGGAGAGAGGCATAAAGGAGTGAGCTACATGCATAGGGAGGCATGGAGGGAGAGAAGGAAGGGATGAAAAACGCCATCCTTGAAATTCTTCACTCTCGAGCAGGCACCCTTGACGAACAGGTTCGTAGACATTGTCTTGGTTGAAATGATAGTCGACTTCTGCTGAGAGCAAGAGTAAAAATCTTCGGTAATGGGTTCTAGTCGGGCGTCATCCTTGAATGAGGAGAGATGGTTCCTTGCTCCAAATGTGTGGGCGTGGGCAGAAAAGGTGTATGGATGAGGCATTTGAACTGATTGCTCAAGATCAAGGCTTGCAGAGCCGCTAGTAAGTTGGATATACGCCAAAGTCAAGATGCAAGCATGTGTTGATCCGATGAACGGGTTGCATACTCCACCCTCCCCTCGGGGTCCGAAAGAACAAAAAGACAATGTTCGGGCTGTGTGTGTGTGTGAAAGGATGTCCATCACACGACAGACAAGCAAGCGCGTCTTTATTTCTCACATAAGCATGCTTGCTGTTGTGCATGAGAGTGTAAGGGTGCCATGGGACGGGATAGGATGGGATGGAGAAAGAAGGTGGGGCGCCAGTTTACCAGACATAAGAAAAGGGACGTGCATCGTTCCTTCATTGATAACGATCCCACCCTCTCCACAGCACTTCCTTGTGGTCGCCTGAGGGAGGCAACGCTATCTCTCGCACACTAACCCACATAACTTTGGCTCAAATCTGTAAATCTGTATTCACATGGCTATCCGATTTCTTCCCTCCCTTCCGTCACAACACGGCCCTGCTTTGCCCTACTACCCTACTACACCTTAGTTCCATCTCTATCTCCCAACCATCGCAAATAATAGGCATCATCGTCCGCCAGTGTTAGTCTCGTGATGCAGTCCCGCTCTTACCCTTACCCCCAACCTTCACAATCGTTTTTTTACGATCTCATCCGAAATAGAAACCTCATCTCTACAATTCTATTGATCCATGGGTGTATTGCGATGGTCCAAGATGGCGACAGATCGCGCTTCTAGGCCTCCGTTGCATAAAATAAATTGTTTCCTTCAGATTCGCGATGGCACCAGAAGACAGGAAAAGATATAGTGCTTCTCAGATATTATGTTTAGCATTCATCTCTATTTCGACTCTATTCTACAAATCTGTCAGAACATGAGGTGTTTTTGACTTGTCTGGTTGTTCGCAGGATGGGTGCCAAGTGCAGCATCGCAAGTGAAAAGAAAAAGAGTACAGAGACGACTCAACCGCCCAACCCAACCCGTTTGTGAGCCCAGCTACTGTAGTTCGATAATCTCTCCATCCTCACTTTAACAGTCCCCCTCAGGTCCTCTCCACAAGCGACCTTTAGGATCGCTTTCCGAACTCTCACGAGGCAGACGATGCTGCGTGACTCTAATCCTCTCTCTTCAAGCGGAAAAAAAAAAAAAAAAACCTCTTTTATTTCTGCTTGTTCATAGCAATAGGTTTGCTTGCTTAGCATGATAGGGCATGCTTCAGCACAAATCTTTGGAGTGGAAAAGAGGAAGGTCTATCTATCTTGAGTAGCCCTCGTTCGTTGTTTGGTCACTCGACAAGGGAAAAAAAAGAGCCAAAAAGGTCACGATGGCCCTTCTTGTGAAAAAAAAAGCTTACCTCAACGGTGGCCCCCGTCATTTCTTTCGCTACGTCATTCCTCTTTGTCGTATATTAGAGTTCAACTTGACAAGTATGGAGAGGACGACAGCCGTTTCTTGCTGTGTACAGTACATGTACTGTAGTTGCTCTCCTGGGCTCTTGATTGGCTCCCCCTGGACCCCCACTTTCATATCAAATCACATCCCTTCGTTCCTGGGAAAAACCTTTGTCCCCTTCGTTCATTCCTGCTGCCAAGAATCCTGACCCTCTTTCTTCTTACCCTTCTGCATTAAACCAAAGCGAATAAGACCGCTTTGTGTGCTGACAGGTTCAGGCGTCACCCATTCTATAACAGCTCGCTACCTCCTCAAGGAAAAAAGTTGTGAGAAACTGGACAGATGTACATTCCCTACAGTCGATTTTTCTTGCCTTTTTATTATCAGAGTACATACACACATGGGTCACCAGGGCCAGTCTAGACCACCCTTGCGATGGTTCCAACAACCTCAAACGGCCATTGGTGGAGGTTCTCACCCATGACGAACCAACAACAATCCGTTCCTGAACAACTTCAAACAACCTTTTTACTGGACACCCCAGGACAACTCAAGCTCAATCTCATCGTCCGCTAAGAAGGGCTGATCGATCGTCTTGATCATGAGCTCACCACACAACAGACACTCAGACGCCACCAAATCGTCCAACTCATCCCTCAGCAACTCCAGCTTTGGAACAACAACAGCCATATCATCCCCTCCACCACCACCGGGTGCACCAATACCATTCGCTCCGACACCACTACCAGGACCTCCAACACCGAGTCCGAGCCCAAATCCTCCCCCAGGGCCATCTGCAAAGATCACATCCTTGAACACTCCTGCAGCAGTACCGGCGGCCGTAGTCGCAATTGCGACTCCTCCGTTCATCATCATCTTGCCTCCAGCTCCAATGGCCCCACCCAACGCCATTACCGCAGCCCCAGTCTGTCCAATCAACGGCAATTGACCCAGTCCCGCGCCAGCATCTACTCCATTGACAGCAGTCGCAGGCGCGTTTCCGACCGTCAGTTGCTGGAGCGAATGGTGTCCGTTCATCAGCATCATTTTTTGTTGGTTTTGCATCTCGTTCTGGATCTGCTCCTGCAACTCATCCAACCGCTTCAACTGCCAGTTCGACAAGAACGGCGTCAGCTTCTTGATCAGACAGTCCGCATGGAAGGTATGCTGACAGGGGAAGATGTAGAACTGTCGCGTCAACAACGGGAAATCGCATGACGTACACCGCTCCGTCGACGCAACAATCGCAAACCGAGACCGGAGCTCACGGACATCAATACGGATATTCTCTGCACTCTTTGTCGCCTCGTCCATGTCCGTCTTGAGTTCGTCAATGTGGACATTATATTCCTCCAGCGCCTTGCAGATCTCCTCCTTGAAATCGTCAATCAGCACAAAGTCGGGGAAGAACGGCAAAATGTCCTCAATCTTGAGCAGGTCCGAGTTCGACAAGAACTCCATCGCCGCCTTGATATCCTTCTTCTCTTTGACGACATGACGCGCAATCTTGAGCCACAGTGTCTTGCGCAACATATCGTCGTCCTCAGGCTTGTCCGCATTGATCCGAGCCAAGTCCAAGTCATTATGCTATTCCAACAACCCAAATGCGCTCATTGTTAACATCAAATTTGAACATGTGGCAATGCATGAAGTAAGTGCTGCAAAAAATGGTACCTTGAGCGCAAGATCGACAGCTTCGCCATAAAGTCCCATGCTGCTGAAAATGTGGACACAACTCTGGATCCTGTTGTTCTGTGTGCAGATTCTCAGAGCATAATCCAAGTTGTAATGCATCGCTCGACCCTATTCAAGTTCAGTTTCAACGACAGAAATTATACATTGTTATTCGTTGTCGTATGCATCCAAAAGCGTCGTCTGCACATGCATGCTATTAAAAACAGAAAAATGGTGCTTACCTCGGTGGCCAGGAAGTTCCGGAGTGCAGTTTCATCCCGGGTGGGCTGGGTGGCATACAGGGTCAACAAAAAGTTGTGGATCGCAGGGTCGGTGTTCTCCAACTGTGTCACTACATATGAAAGATACCGGATGGCCTGGTTCTGATTGCCTGCCTCCACAGACTTGTGGTCGTACTTCAACAGGGCAGGGATCAGATTCCTCGGGTTCAGGTTTGGCTGGCGCATCCACACACTGACCGTCTCGTAGGGTGCATTCTCCATCAGCACAGGAGAGAATCTGTAATACGTATCCAGTGAGTCCTGCTTGCTAAGAACCTCGAGGGCATTCTTATAGTTCTTCTCCTGAACCCAGTGCGAGATTACGCGCTCATAGTCACCAATCAAGACGGCATAGAACAGCAATTGGGCCGTACGGCCATGAGACGCCAACAGCTTATATGTTGTCTTGTGGTCCAAGTACATCTAATCATATGAACAGCATCGAACAGTGTTGGTTTCTGGTAAATCCTTTCAGCTTCAACAGCACTGCGCCGTCATTGCTACAGTAATCTGCAATACCTTGTTGGTTTCAAGGAAGCCCTTGAATTCGTCTTCCAAAACTGTTTGCTCTGCCTGCAAATTCTGGACGTCTGAATCTGCTGCTGACGAAGCTGCCAAGTCCTCCAGTTGGTTCATCTTGCTCAAGTAAATCTCGACCAGCCATGTGCAGATAATGGTTTTTTGTGTAATATCCTACAATTATAATGCAAACTCCTTGTTAGTTAAACACATCATCTTAAAACGCAACAATCATTAGGGCAAAGACTTACCCCTTTCCTCAGTTTGTCGACTTTGGCGAGGAGATAACTCCGGAGGGCATCCCGCTCGTCACGCTCCACAAACTTGAGAGCGACCTCTTCGAAGGCAACTGTGGACTGTGCATAATACTTAGCAGAAAGCATGTAGCGGCCTTGGGAGAAGTTATGGTTCGCCTGCAATGTCACCACGCGGTCCTTTTGAACGGGGTTCTATTCCCGATATGCATCAAATTTGAGACTGTCAGTGGCTGCTCTGTCGCCTCCAAGTGTGCTCAAACACTCCTCATTGGAAAAACAGATAAAATTTTACCTTGGTATATTGGAGGGCCAGATCGTATTGTTTTTTTTCGAGATAAAGGGTCCACACATCACGATCCTCCTTGGTGATAACGAGCTCAAACATTGACCATCCCGTATAGATCCAGAATGTGTTCTTCGTGGTATCGACAGACATTCCAATAACTTCCTCCCCTGCCTTCTATTAGAATGCAATACATAAGAACTGACGGTTTAGAAACGACTCAAGTGAAATCAGTATGATGCCATATCGTAACAATCGCGAAGAGGTAGTTACCAACGGGATCAGTTCGTCGAAGACAATCTGATCGTTAAGCTGGTTGACTGCCCTGACACGCTCCTTGTAGAGGAGAATAAAATGGAACTCTGTCAAGGCAATGGCAATTGGAATCTCTGACACTGCAGATGATGCGTCCAGCTCGAGGCGTGTTGCTGGGTAAGGCAGCAATTGAGGGGTATCAATAACGGAGTCTCCTGCATTTTGGGATCCGAAAACAAGGTTTCCGTGGTACACTCCTGGTCCTGTCAACCACGCAAATGTCTTCGCCACTCCTTGGTACTGAAGATCCTGGAAAGGACTGAAAAAGTGAAGCTGACTGTAAGGAAGATCGCCCGGCAGTTCCGAAAATCCTGTAAATGGAAGACCATATGTTAGTGCCATCGTTTTGAGTGCGGACGAAATTCATTGTTCCGTACAAATTGACAACTGCACACAACTTCCTGCTAACATACCAGGGTTGACTTCGTATTTGGAGAAAAGGCCTTCAAACATGGCCTTGTCCTCTGAGCCGCCAATGATACCGTTCGAGTTATTAGGGGAGACGGTTCCGATGAACTGGTAGATGCGAGTTGGCGTTACTGCTACAACGACGTATTTGCGCAGACTGGCGGGAAACTGCTCCATGCGGAGACCAGATATAGGCATGTTCGACTGGATAGAATACACCTGCTTAAAATAGCGCTCCTCCTTCTTGAAAAGTTCTGCCGTTGGCTCTAGTTCCGCCTCGAAAATAAGGCCATTCCTGGTTCCGATCAAAAACTCCTTTGTTGATGACTCTGTTGGACGGTCAGCGGAGCGGTTCCATGCAATCGACTCAATCACAATTCCCTATAACAGGATAAGTGTTTGCAGGTTAATGAAATGGACCGTATTCCAGGTGGGTATTGTCACCATGGATTCATTGTTATGTGTTGTGATGCCTCCTTACCTTGATTTTCGACAGCAGCTTGGCTTTCTTCCATTTCGCGAAAAGATAGTAGTTGTCTCCCGTTTCTGTTGTAATAATCAAGTGCCGTCCTGTAGGATCAAAGAACATCTTGTAGATCTTGCCCTCTGACATCTTTCTCGGGATTTCAATGTCTATTTTTCGTAAAGAAAGCGATACCAACACGAGTCAGCGAGGTGCACATTGTTCGAACAAATGATGGTCGTTCACGTTGACAGACAAAAGGCATTCCTACAGTTATGCATACCTTCAACTTCGTGTGACCTATCCAAGTCGATGCGCAGGAGATGCATGGTCTCCATGGCCATAAAAAGGATATTGTTCGAGACTGCCAAGGCCGAGAGTCGACTTGGAATTTGGTACTCGACCTTGTCCAATGTAAAAATGCGCGAGTCATCGTCCGACAAGCCTGCATTCACGTAGCCGTTCTCAAGCTACATAGTTTGCAGTAACAATGTGAGATAAAAGAAAAAGGAAACAAAGAGAGAGAGAGAGAGAGAGAGAGAGAGAGAGAGAGTGTGTGTGTGTGTGTGTGTGAGAGAGAGAGGTTTGCATAGTACTGTGTAAGTCAAGAGTATTTTCCCTCTAGTTATATATTTAATAAAGCCACGTTGGAGTCGGTTTCTTGATACTCTACCAAGACGAGGTTGCTTGGCTCCCATCCCTGAGAGGCCTGGGTGAGGATGCCATTTGAGGGTGCCAAGTGTCCCGACGCATTGCTATCGAGGTGTTGTTCAATAATCTCGTCCAGATTCATGACGGACTATGTTGTCTTTCCTGCTGTCTTTGCTGTTGCTCTGTGGTGATGTTGGGGCTGATGAGAAGGGGGGGGGGAAACGGGATGGCGATGGGTGGGAAAGGAAGAGCGGAGGAAAGGTTCGAGAACGCGCTCAGCATGCTACTTTTTTTTTTAAAAAAAAAACGTTGCACTTTGCTCTGACACCCTGACTTAGGTGTGACTGCGACGTCACTTGTTCATCAGTTCGCGTGCGATTTATTTTTTCCTTTCCAGCCAATCTACGCATTAATGTCAGGATACAACACGTTGAGAGAAAGGAGGGAACTAAGGGCGAGAGGTCACAAGGTTCTGCAGCTTGAAAAGTTCTGCAGCAATCCGGCTCGAGAAAGTAGGATCGACTTTGCCTTGGCTACGAAGCGTCTCCAAGTAACGTGTAGCTGTCGTCAGCGCAGAAAGACACGCCGAAGTCGACGGCTGCTCACGGCTCTGATTCTGTAGGTTTCGGACACTGTTGCCACCAAAGCTCGGCGTATCAAGGCACTTCATTCGCCCGCGGAAAGTCGCCCAAAAGCGCCAAGAGTTATCAGTCGGGACCATTTCGCCACTCTCCATTTCTTGAATGTTTCGAACAAGATGGCGTGCCGGGACGGGAATACAACGCTGGGAAAGTTGAGGGTATCGAGTGTTGTTGCTGAGCACCGCCTACAAAAGTTATCACATACGGTCAGTGCTAGTGCATGAGGTTGGAAAGTGAGGCTGATATGAGCTGTTGGAGACGATGAAACGAGACAAAGGCTTACCAGGCTGTTGAGGGTCTCATGGACGGTCGTCCAGTCATTTTCTCGCAAAAGGGACTCGTACAGAGCAGTAAGAAGAGTCTCCATTTTTTCCTATTGTCCAGTAAAGTAGGTGTTATTGGCCTGACAATCTTTTCGCTACAATACACATTGACATGTACGCTCATTGTGCTTACCATTAGAGAGTTGTCAGTAATATCAACTTCAGAGCAGGACGCTAGGAATCGGGCCATCAAAAGTTTTGACAGAGGCTGCTTGAACGGAGGTAATTTGGTCCAAGAGTTGAAGGCAGCAAGAACCTAATGGCGCAGGAGGGACCAATACGACTCTATTAACGATCCAGTCGCGTGTGATACCATATCTTTCAGAAGCCGAGCTATTGGTGTACCTGGATCATTTCTTCGCATTGCAGTGGCCCAGTGGAGCGTAAAAATTCGACGACAGCTTCCGCAGTACATGATATCTAGAGAAGTCCAAACGTCTTAATAGTGAGCAAGAAGGAATCTAGTATTATCAGAAGTCATTCTACCACGAAACTCCACGCTCTTTTACCTTTGCAAGGGCATGTTGGTCATTTTGTACCATGAAGAGGAGATCATTGATTTCTCCAAGGATATTAATACTCCAGCCAACCAAAGTTACCCGCAAGTGTGGCGGTAAACTAGCAGTCAACTTGGGATTGCTGTATATCAATGAAAGACACGTAACGTGTTGTGGCTATAACATTTTACAACGAAGGTGGTTAAAACATGATAGGCAGGGTGAGCAATGTCAACCACAGATCTGCTCAACAAGCACCATTCGCTTACCAGCGTGTAGAAAGCCTCAAGGAAGAGGCGTTCGTCACTCAAGAGATTACCGGCATTTCTCCACCCATCAGCGCACTTCCCGACAAGAGGCCCTATACTCTATTGTTTAAGGAAAACACGCGATTAGAACGAGAAAACACCTATATCTAACAATAGACGTCCGCGTTGCGCTTTCAGTCCATACCGATTCACCGAGGCACTCGTAAGGGAAGCAGCTGAGTAGCGTCGACTGTTCGTTGTCTGCCATCCGGCCCAAGAGTATCATCAAGCTACTGGCGACATTTGCCTACATTACCCACGAATAAGAGTAGCCTACAGTTAGCACAAGAGCAATTAATCAATAAACACATCGCTGGATACTTAATGGACAGTCGTAGTACCTGAGAGGATTCGTCGAGTAGAGGAAGCATACTGCAAAGGAGCAGTCGCACCTTTTGGCTTGATCGTCCAATGGGCAAGGTTGAAAGCTTCACAAGTTCAGATATTAATGCACTAGTTAGATCATCAGACTTTAAACATTATCAACAAGCAATAGGACTTAACATCAACACACGGGAGGCATACCAATTCCATGAGCACGACGACCTGACCGGTAGTGAAACTTTGTCCAAACCGCTCCGAGATACAGGTCCACCAATCGACTGCCAGGAGTGACAGCAGTTCTGTCGGGCCAAGCACCAACCCAATCATATCAATCTGCAACTTTGCGAACTGTCGTGGCTCAATCAAATGCGCAAACGTAACGAGTTCCGTCAATGTTCGGGTGTAAACATCTCCATAGTCTTGATCGGCATCCTGGGTTGCCAAGGGAAGGAACTCTTGCAAGTCCAAAGCCCGGAGCGACTCGACTATCCTTGTGAACGGAGAGCCATAGTTTGAGTTCTTTTCGACTGGATAGAGCTGAAGTTGGAGTGAAGGCGAAAACTCGTCAAACAACGTGATTGTTTTGAGGAGAAAGTAAAGGCGGCCGAGAATCCATTCTTGCTCCGTCAAGGCGTCCGAATTGTCAAAAACTGCGCGAGGTCCAGGTGAGGTGGAAAACTCTTGAAGGGTCGCGCGCTTCTCCTCATCGAGTGCCGACTGAGACGAAAAGATTCCTGCGACGATCACTTCCTCCACCACGTTAACAAACTTCATCATTTCCGACTGGATCTCTGGGTGCTTTCTCCTGATCACCTCATTCGAGCAAACACGTCTAGGGTGCAAAAAAAATTGCTATATAAGGATCCAAATCGAATACGATCCACTCTGCAGAAATTACGGTTATTTGCATTAAAGGTCAAGGACTTGGACTTACCCTCGTAAAAAGAACAAGAGGTAGCGTAGCAGACCTCGGCAAGCCACGGCTTCATCCCCTGCAGAGCAGATATCCTTGAAGAGCGAGCTCACCAGCATCTTGAAATGGGCCATGTAGAACCGCGCCAGTGTCCATCGACGTTTGAAGAAGCCATCGATCACCTTTGTGTTGTCAACGCATGTGCGATACATATCCAAAATGGTCCCATGAACTCCATCGCAGAGAAGCCGGACAACCGCCAATCTCTAATCGACAAAGGACAGGTAGTGTTAGCAAAGAGTGGCATTTGGATATCACGAACAATAGTACGAGTTGAAGACTTCCTTTAACTTACCTCGAGGCGAATGTTTCGGTTCTCCACACAGTTGGGTACTAGCAGTACAATCGATTTGAACGTAATGTTCAAATATACGTACTCTGATCGCGCATCCTCTGCATATCTAAGAAGCATGTTGCAGACTGCCTTGTGGGTTAGAAATGTGACCATGAGGCTCGATTCGCAGGCACAAACAATTTGCTCCGCAACTGTACCTGCAATGACCATGTCGCTAGCATGCTCTTTGACGCCGTTGATTTGGAGCACCTGCTCTGTGAACTCCATAAACGACTTTGTCATATCCAGTGTCCGCTGATTCCATGTCATGTATCCTTCTGATCGCGCTCTCTTAACTTGACTCCTATCGAGATGCTGCGGTGATAAAGAGGGATGAAGGATGAGTACAGTTTATACCTTGGTAGAGTCACGATGCTTAAATGTAGGTCCTGAACCTTCTTACCCGAAAAACTCGCGTGCCCGTTTCCAGAATAATAGAGGCCAACATAATGCAGGCCCGGTCCTCAACAAATGATGCCAGCGCCGACTGAGTTAACCCTCGAACAACTCCCAAGCACGAGTCCGTGAGATTACAGAGACTTATTAGAAGCTAATAGCAGGCACGAGAAAATGATGGATTAGTTGTTGGGGTAATTATTATATGATTATGTACTCTCCAAAGTCGCCACAAGGTTGTTCCTACCGGCATCCACTCCTCAGTCTCCTGGCGGCTGAGATTGAGCTGGTCCGACACCTAGATTAAGAGAATTAGTATAGTCAGTCTTCGAAATAATAAGGAAGCCATTTGTCATGAACGAATCCACAATTGGTAGGGGTGTACCTTTGCTAGTTCCTGAATGACTGCTGTGGGTGCTTTTGTGTGGCTCGAACTCTTGACCAAATCAGACAGCCAATCCGTTACGAAGACCTTGGTGTATAGTGCTGACGGACGGGCATCTAGACAAGTCGAGGAAAATAGAAAGTAAGTCTCGTTGAACGGACGCCAAGGTATGGAACGGCATATACCGTCGAAGACATAGTGTTCTTACAGAGTAACGACTTTCGAAAGGCGATGGTCAGGTCTTGGAGTGAGAGTGGCGCTTGAGTGTTCTGCCGAAACGCCACCAAACTGTCGACGACAGAGGAGTCGCTTCGTGATGGGTTGCTGTGGGATCGAACGAGGCCGAGAAAGTCGGAGAGTAGAGGCGAGAGGGCAGACTTTTGGGGGGCGCTGTGTGCCCTGTCCTGTTCCATGGCCATGGTCGTTGTCGACGCGAATGTGACAGAACGAGAGTGATGTAGAAGGATGAATGGAACTTCTCTGCCCTTGTCCAAGTTCCTGGGTGTTTGGGCCTCAGTTGCCATCAATTTTGAAAGACAGTCCCGCTGTCAAATCCTCTCTAGACTTTTGTGCCAGCCAGTCAGTACCTCAACCTCGATCTCCAGTCTTCACGCCTACGACTCCCATTTACACCATGCCACCTCGCCCATTGACACAATTGACCTTGGCATTGCTCAAGCCAGACCTGACTGCAAACAGCATCAAGGTCAACAAGGTCTTTTCTCACATTCAACAGAACGACTTCAACATTGTCGCCCACAAGACCCTCCTTTGGTCAAAGAGCGATGCCGAGGCCTTCTACGGCGAACACCGCGGAAAGTTTTTCTTTGAGCGGTTATGTGGCTACATGACCAGGTAATAGCCAAAAGCCTAGTACATGGAGAGGATATCACTCGCTATTACTATGTTCATAGATCGCTGACCCCCACGCGATTTGGGGTTTATTATTTTTCTGTTTGTTTTGAAGTGGACATTTTCATGCGTTGATTCTAGAGAAGCCTGATGCTATCCTTGGCTGGAGAGCTCTGATTGGACCTACACACCCTCCGCGGTAAGTTAGCTTGATCACATAACAGATCTGGATCTATGAAAGTTGTTATTTTCTAGGCTTTGCCCTGATCTGTGTTCCTTCTGATGGTTTGACGATAGTGCCCGAATTAATGCTCCTGATACTCTTCGGTCGCTGTACGGAATGACGGACACCAGGAACTCGTTCCATGGCTCAGGTATTAACGAATGCATGCTAACGCACACTCTATTACAGAGCAGATCGTATGACAATGTTTGTTGCTCGGACAGAAAAGAATCAAGAAAAATAAGGACGCATTAATCCGACTGGTGACCTGACTCCTTAATTGCTCTACTTCTTTTGCAGACGCGGTCGATACAGCAACGAAAGAAATCAGATTCTTCTTTCCCGAGTTTGACTTGGAGAAGTGGCAGAAGGACCAAAAGGACCAAAAGGACCAACAAAAGCAGTGAGTGCGCCACCCTTTCATTGACAGGAATGGGAATCAACCCTCCAACGTTGAGCCAACAGTACATACGAACTGCACGCCCAGTCCAAGCAACGTGAATAAACTAGGAGAGAACATGGATTCGGTCTTTTTTTTTGTACTTTTTTTTGTGGTTCCTTTCACTTTACTTTATGGTTTTGTTTTTTGAGTAGGCCCACAAAGATTCTGCAGCGGCCCAACGTGATGGTTGTACGCGGACCAATTTGAGGGTCCGCAGTACATTACGATGATTTTGAGTCCAGGCACACCCAGAGAGAGCGTTCGGCGAAAAGCAAAGGATAGAGACGCAAATCATGCCTGGTTAGCGTTGAATTGTATCTGTTTTGGTTGTAGGTGGAGTGTGGCTAATTGAATGCATGAATCACCTGCGTTTGATTACCCTGCCTCTTGTTTCTCTTCCGCCTGACTCCTTCCGCCACTGCTCTTCTTTATTTTAGCCTTCTCTTTTTCTTTTTCTTCTTCTTCTTCTTCCTCTCCCATTCTTCTCCATCACCACAACAACACCTTCTTCATTCACCGCCTGTCTCATTCGAAAAGCCGCCTTCTCCACTTTTGTCCCACGCTCCTCTTCTCCTCCTCTTCATTCCACTCCGCACTTCATATTCATAATACTGAACAAAACAAAAAAAACGATACACCCAGTTAGACTTTTACTCTCCTCGGCAAACGATGCGCTTCTCTTCAACCTTGATCGCTGCTGCGTCTCTCTCGCTGTTCAGCGTCAACAGTGTCCACGGATACGGCATCTTAGGTATGCGCGCCACACACACTTTTTTTGCGACCATACTGCTTGACCTGCATATTCCACAACCAGCGTGTGAACAATCCCTAATAAGCTCCTACTTTGACTTACTCCTCTCCTATGTTCAGGCCATACACTGACCGGTCAAGTCGCACAGCTCTTTTTGACACCCGAGACAGCACGACAGGTCAAGGAAATTCTGTCGCCCTATTATGACGGTCTTCTCTCCAAGGCAGCACCATGGCCCGACACTATCAAGGGCCAAGCCAAATATCGGTAACTTGTTACACAAACTCATCACACAAACTCACCACACAAACTCACCACACACCAGCAACGTAAAAAAAGAAGCAAAGTAGAGGGGCTATGAAATCTTGACCAGATGGAATACTAATCGGCCATACCTGCTACTTATATTAGATGGGCTTCGGTTTTCCATTATGTCAATACACCAGGAGACAACCCTCCAGAGAGCTGCAGGTTTGAGTATGTGTACTCGGGGCACGATGTCGTCAATGGCCTCTTCAATATGACGTCGCAGCTTTTGCAGTACAAGCTTGCTGAGCCCACCACACCAGAAGACAAGTCGACCCGCGAAGATGCGTTGCGGTTCTTTGTCCATTTTATGGGTGACGTTCACCAGCCCCTTCATGCCTCTGGGAAGGAGCGCGGCGGTAATAATGCGCCTGCCAAGTGGGGCAGGGCCAGGACGAGTCTTCACCGCATCTGGGATGGACAGCTGATCTTGGTAAATCCCCTTGCAAAAAAATTCGATCCGTGTTTTCTCGTCTTTTTTTTGGAGCTTATCTGAAATTAGTGTATCACTTGGTCACTCACATCACACATACACATACACATGCTTGTTATGTCATTGTTTACGATTTTTACAGAAAGACATCAAGGACAGATTCGACAACAACCCCAAGGCATATCTGGATAACATGGTCGACATGACCAGCAATGTCTGGCTGCCTGAAGCAAGCAACTGGACCTACTGCAACCCCGAGAAGAACCAAGGCGACAACCCATGGTCCGAGTCCACCAAGTTGATCACCAAACTGTGTCCAATGGAGTGGGCGAGGGACATGAACCAGCTGGATTGCTCGTTTGTCTGGAAGGACTATGACTCCCTGCGTGATTACTCTGGCGAGTATTTTGAGGGAGTCACCGGCGAGAAGAACAGCTACCTGGTGCAGAGGCTGATTGCGATGAGTGGTGTCCGCATGGCAGCTATCCTCAACGAGATCTATGACCCACCAGTCCCATATTCCATGAACCCATTGAGGGAGGAGCTCAAGGACGAGACCGTCGTACCATTCAACCTGCGAATCGTTAAGCAGAGATAAGCGAACGAGAGTGGCCCTGTCGTTCCATGTTCATATAATATATCATGCCATGTTACATACCTATTACTATTCCCCAATAAACGTATTACCAACACAAGAATGCAAGTGAGGATGGAGTCTTTGGGCGCAGTTGTTTTTTTTGGCTTTTTCTTGACGCTGATGAATCGAGTGACCAGAAAGAAAAGTGGCTTGGGGAAGGGAGATCAGGCACGTGACTTGTTGCATCCTTGCTGGATGAGCAGCAGAAACAAGATGCTCCCAAAGACACATCACATCTTGTCAAAAGGACACGAGTTAACGGTGGAAACAAAAACGCAACAAAAAACCTCTTTTCTGTCAGTACCCACGGCACCTGAATCACATCCATCTGAACGCGACATTCCAACGCAGGATCGAATGCCCTCCAACATCAAGTCCAGTCGACCCAAGCGAAAGGTACTTCAATGCCACGAACTCGGTCCCAAATGGACCGGAAAAATAAATATATAGACGCATGAGGGCGGAGGTTGAGTGTCAAAAAAAAGAAAGAAGACAAGATGATCAAGGTCGTGTTGACTAACTTTATGAACAATGACTTGTATGTGTTGTACTAGAGTGCTGTTCTAGCGCCTCCCAAGCCATTGACTGGCTGTGGGAGATGCCTGTTTGGACCCGAGAAAGATGGCTCCCCTGATGTTTATGAGGATCTCATCACCTGCTACGACTGTCGAAAAAGCTGTAAGTTCAGGGCAGGAAGACGCGCCCCTATGCTATTATTTTATTTACCTTTATGCAATATTTTAGAGGAATTGTTTTTCTCCTATGCCTGTTATTTTGTCAAGCTATCCTTGTATGCTCCTAGTCTTCATATCCTTCTAATCGAGAAGCTAATTAATCCTGCTTACATTTTGTCTGCCTTATTCTCTATGCTTTACTTTCATCAGGGCATCCTACATGTATCAAACTTCGACCAGAGCTGGCATTACGGGAGGACGAACCATGGCAATGCGGGAACTGCAAGACCTGTCAAAAGTGCGAATCTACCGACAACGAGGCAAGTCTCCACTGGATATCTTCTATTGTCAACATGTCGACGTTCTTGCTCTCTTTGGACGACTTACCCACTCTCCGCATTTGCAAGGAAGAGATTTTCGTTTACTCGTGGCTAGAGAGCTCGTCTGTTCTAACATTATTTTCACCTTTTTCTTCTCCGCATTTGCCGCATCTATTTAGAACAAGATGATGATGTGCGAGAACTGCGATAAAGGCTGGCATTGCTACTGTCTGGATCCTCCACTTGACACCGTCCCCACAGGTAAGAGAACGCACCTCGAACCAAAACAATCGATCTACAGGAAAATGGAATTATATCACCCGACACAGTGAACTCACATGAACGCGTTCATTTATGCCGTCTAATATAGGCGCCTTTTATTGCGACGGCTGCAAGGAGCGATACCCAGACAGGATACCACCTCGCAAAAAGCGCAAGTCAGGATCTCACAAAAAGAAAGTGCCCGCTGATCAAACAATAGTCCCTCCAGCAGCAACGTCAGAAAAGGAACCGGTGGCAACGACGTCAACAACACCAACAACAACAGCACAACCACCAACGATAACTGACACCACTCCCACTCCAGCAGCACTCAAACGGAAAAGCCATAAAAAACAAGAGCGGCCGAAGAAAGAGAAAGTGACACCAGAAAACGCAGAGCTTGCGCCCAAATCTGCCGTGGCTGCCTCGACACAACCAGCAATCGACACTCCATCACGAAAAGTCGTTGTGCTTCCTGAGCGAAGGACAAAGGGTGTCAAAAGGAAGGTCGTCATCATTCCGATTCCGCACACGACAAAAGAAGAAGGGTCGTCTAGTCTGTCAAAAAGGAGAGGTCGCGCCCCAAAGCAGACAACAGCTCAACTTGCAACAACGCCAACAACCATCGACACCACATCTCCACCACCAATCAAGAAATCACACAAGAAGATGGTCAGATCAGAATCCGGCCAACGACAGCTCACCTTGGCAACAACAAACGGGAAACTGACCGTGCGAGCCGCAGCAGCAGCAGCAGCAGCAATCGCCGCAGTGTCAGAACCAGTAAAGCCTGAGAAGGTTGTCAAGAGAGGTCGTGGCAGGGGACGCAAACAACTCGAGGAGGCAAGACGGGCCCAGGAGTTACTCAAACTCGAAGATTCTGAGGACCAGGAAAGCGTCTTGACATCAGAGCATGAAGAAGTCGAGGAGGCTGAGGAGACAGAATCTGAAGCCGTACCTATGTTTGGACCTAATATCACTGGAGAGGACGCGGATATCTCCTACACCACGCCGGACACTCATGACAAGGTGTTGTTCGAAAAGAGTCGGGACCTGGCAGAGGTAAAGAAAGTACATGGCATACTGTTTGAAGATGATCAGGTTATCGTTTGGCAACAGTGTAACGTGTGATACTTACTAGGTTGCATCTCCTTCTTTTCATTATGTGAACTGTAGAAACTTGTCAAGAGCTCTTCGAGTCTTGCAGCAGAATCGTCATTCTCTCATTCAGCACCGGTGACGGCCATCAAGAAAATTCACTTTGGCGACTGGGAGATTGACACCTGGTATGTGGCGCCTTACCCGGAGGAGTACAGTCAGCAACCCATCCTGTATATATGCGAGTTCTGTCTCAAGTACATGAAGAGCTCCTTCATGGCTGGCCGGCACAGGGTACGAAGTCATGCATGTAGCTATATTGTTTGAAACGCCAAGGTTGATCTTTTGTCAAGGATACTCATCCTTATTATTTTCAATACCAACTTATAGCAAAAATGTGTGATGCGGCACCCACCGGGGGACGAGATCTATCGCGAGGGCAATATTTCGATTTTCGAGGTCGACGGGCGCAAGAACAAGATCTACTGCCAAAACCTCTGTCTGCTTGCGAAGATGTTCCTGGACCACAAGACACTCTACTACGACGTCGAGCCATTCCTCTTTTATGTCATGACAGAGTCTAATGAACTGGGTTGCCACTTTGTGGGCTACTTTTCCAAGGTAAAAGCCGGCAATCATGACATGTTTTGCAGAACAGAACTTGGCATACAAAAGGGCTCAAGCAGTCTCGCTAACAAAAATAAATGTCTACTCTGTAATCCTCCAGGAGAAACGATCGGCCATGGACTATAACGTCTCTTGCATCTTGACGCTCCCTATTCACCAACGGAAAGGCTATGGAAACCTGCTGATCGACTTTAGTAAGAGGCAGATTCCATTTGACTGGACATGATGAACTCTAACCAATACTATGTGTATCAAGGCTAACCGTCGACATCATAATGCACTTTTGCAACTTGTAGGTTATCTTTTGACAAAGCGGGAGAACAAGACTGGATCCCCCGAGAAACCCTTGTCATCGCTCGGACTTTTGTCTTATAGGAGTTACTGGAAATCTGTTCTCTTTCACCGCCTACTCGCCATCCACCGCTCAGACAACCCCAAACATCGCGTTTCACTGGACGAACTCAGCCTGGAGACCGCCATGACTATCGACGACATTGTCACGACCCTGCAAACCAACAATATGATCCGCGCTATACCCCCGCCCAAATCCCAGGACTCCAAATCCAAGGGCAAAAACCATCGCTACCGTTCTGCCTCTGTTCCGCCTTTGCGCCATGAAATCGTGGTGGATTGGAAGGAGGTCGAGGCCTATTGCCACAAGATCGCTCAGAAGGGTCATGCTGTCATCAATCCGGCAAAGCTGAAGTGGGCCCCATTCCTGCTTCAGCGTGGTCTCATGGCGTCGCAACCTCCAGAGTCTGGCATCAAGCAGGACGACTTGAGCGATGATGATGACATTTCGCTGCCTCAAACGACTGCGCTCAGGACGATAGCCAGGAGGCCAGGCCGTCAACGAGGCCGTGGAAGGAGGCCCGGAGCCGGACGCGGTAGACCGCCCAAAGTAAGACCCACACCCGAGCCGGGTACGGTCGATGAACACGACAAGCTCACCGTCGATACCCAGGATATTATCCAGGTTGATACGCCCATGAAGAGTCCTCCCCTGGAGGACAAGGCCCGCTCCATGGATGTCGATACCTATTCCGGTCTGGAAGAGACGAGGGAGTCCTACTCGACTGATCAATCCAAGGCCGCAACAGCAACCACCCGCTTTCACAAGGCCAAGTTAGTGGTACGTGCAGGGACTTCACAGTTGGCAACTCCCTCCGGAGTCACGAACGGAAAGAGGTCCAACAAGGAAAGCGCTTCCGACAAGGACGAGTCGGCGTCATCTCTCTCGACCCCAGAGGTGCTCAAGATCCAGACCAAGGAACTAAAGTCGCGCGCGTCCGCCAGGCCTATCAAGGGGATCAAATCTGTGGACGGTGAACAGGACAAAGACAATGACAACGAGGATGACGACGGTCTTGGAGATGACCTTTCATCGGCGGCATCACTTTCCTTGGTCGGATCGCCTCTGTCATCGTCCTCTCTCTCTGCTGCCTCTTCACCCTCTTCTGCCGTTTCACCGACTCTTCCGGTCAACCACGAGCCCGAACTGGATTCGGCAGATGTTCAGACAGCCAACGACCTTGACCAAGAGGCGCAGGTTCAAGAATGGGAGAGCATGCGGCGCAAAGCCAGTTCTGATGTCGATTTGGAGGAAACCTCAAATGACAAGCAGCCCATCGAAGTCCAGGAGCAGGATGCCACTAGCCCTATGGAGATCGACGAGGTGGCGCCCGTTTCGGAGGATCAGACCGACGTCAAGAGCCTCGCTGTCAACGATCCTGCTAGTCCTGCAACAGATGCGGAGGATCAGGAGGAAGGTGGAGATGAGGACGCTGACTCTGAAGCTGACAACGATGGCGATGACGAGAAGGGTGAGGCAGGGAAGGTCGAGGAGAATGAAGAAAAGTACGACAACGAGGACGATGCTACTCAGTCCGATAACGATGAAGAGTCGGCCACAGAGAGCGGCGATGACGATGAAGGCATTCCTGGCCCCGCAGATGCGAAGGAGGATGACCAAGTCATCGCCGTTGACGATGATTCCGAGGAGGAAGGCTCCATTGACGAGGAGGGTTCTAATGATGAAGACGATGAGAACAACCTGAGCGCTGAGGATGACAAAGATGCCGAGAGTCATGAATCAGAGACCTCTGATGTCGAGGTCGAAGAAGTTGGTGACGACGACGAACACGATGAGGACGATGAAGACGAGGTCGAAGACGAGGTCGAAGTGGAGGATGAAGAAGAAGAGCAAGAGGTTGTCGAGGCGGAGGAGGATGATGATGCCGATGATGCCGACGATGATGTAGACGCCAATGGCAGTGGTGAGGAAGAGGAGGAGGAAGAGGAGGATGAACACGGTGGCGATGAGGAGGAAGCGCTGGAGGAGATGGACGAAGAGGAGCACGATGAAGGAGATCAGGATGACGATGAGCCTGAAGAAGAACAGGAGGAGGAGGAAGAGGACGAGGAAGAGGACGAGGACGAGGACGAGGAAGACGATGCTGACGCGGAGGTTGCTGAAGTCACAGGCGGCGGCGACGACAATGATGCAGAGGAAGAGGAGGAGGAAGAGGAAGAGGAAGACGAAGAGGAGGAGGAAGAGGAGGAGGAGGAGGAGGAAGAGGAGGAAGACGAGTAATGTCCCGGAGCTCCTAGTCGATATCTAGTTAATCGTACATGTACAATACCAATACACACCACTTTTTTTTCCGCTTTTCTAAGATTTTATTTGTGGCTCGTGACCGTGAGTTTGAAGAGGTAATCGTTTTGCGCTATCGCTTTCTTAATTTCTATGGAGATACAGTCAGAGATTTCTTCCGAAGACTGTGTGAGTTTGTGAAGGAAGAGGATGATATTTGCTGTGTTTATACCTATGAGGCAGCACGCCAGCAGTTGTGGGGGGGTGATGTTGTATTTGGGCTTAATGGAGAAGGTGGGGGGTTTAAAGGAGAGCAATGTATGGAGATCCTCGTCGGACCATGTGGGCTTGTCCGTGTATCCTCTCAAAATGAACTGCCATGCTAGGCATTTGCCCTTGCATCCGAAGACATAGTGGTTCTTGCCCGTCTTTCTTTCCCTGCATCCCTGAGCGTCACATTGGGCGTCCTGTTTCCACCGGTGGGCCCTACGCGTGCCACATGGGATAATGTCACGCTTGTATCGCCACCAGAAAGTGCGGGCTCTGTGGGGAATCTTGGTCTTCCAGAACTTGCGCCGCTGGGACTTGGTGCCAGATTCAGGGTGCATCGGCGAGTGGGTCGGGAGCAGTTCGGGTTCAGGAGTCGGGGAGAGGCAGAGGTACTGTCGGATCTGTCTGGTGGAGGCAGTCCCTAAAGTCACCTTTGTCTTGCCGTTGTCGAGGAGGGTGAGTGAGCGTATCCTCTGAGCCAGGCGGTCTCCGACGACCCCAACATGTGGTGTCTGTATCGCGTCTAGATATACTTGTGACATCCGTCAGGTATTGGTCCTTGTAAGTTGTGTGAGAAGGTCGTCTCTTACACGCTTCGATTTACTGGAGAGTCGGTGCTTATATGCCACCTTGTACTTGTTGTTCTCGGCTATCGCCAGCGCGAACAGGTCTCCAATCCGTGCAGTGAGGGTGGTGTTGTTGTCATCCGTCGAAGGGAACCACCATTCCAGCGGGCTCTCCAGAAAAGTGGTCGAATCTGGAAGTCCTGCTTGCATGGTGGGTGTCTTAAGCGGGGGGAGTGTGCTGGCCGCTTTGACTAGTTGCGGAAGGTGGAGGAAATGTTTAAGTTGTTGGTGGAGTTGGTTCTCTTGGGGGTTCAGCATAAAGGATAGGCGGTGGGTGGACTTCGTCTTCCATAGAATGAGATCCAGTACAATATCCTTCCCCCAGGATACTGACGTAGTTGTGGCGTTGCGAAGATGCTTGATGAGGAACGTCTGCTGCTGCTTGGCCGGATCAATAGCCCCAAGACCGCCGTTGTGTCGAGGGGTGGTGATGACTTTCCATGATGCTATGGGTTTGAAGGGGCAAACAAATCGTGTGATGGCCTGTCTGACTTTGGATAGGAAGGAGGTGGGGAATGGGGTAACCCACGCGAGGTGCCAAAGGCGGGAGAGGATAAGGGCATTGACGATGGTAGCGCGTCCTAGGACTGAAAGGGAACGAGCTGAATGCATGTTGATCCCTGCCTTGATTTTGCCGAGTATTTTGTTCCAGAATGTTGTTGCCTGCTCTCTGCAAAAAAATATTGGAAAGCCAAGGTAGGTGAGTGCTTCCTTTGTTGTGCTGTCGTGCCATTGTAGGTGGAGGGAGCTGAGGTGTGCCTTGAGGATCGAGTCTGAGTAGGTAGACATTGAAAAGGCAACCGTTTTGTAAAGGTTGACTCGTGCGTTTGAGGCGTTCCCATATAAACGTAGAGCCCCATCCAAAGCCTCCCATTCCTGTACTGAAGCGACGAGCGTCATAAGGTCGTCAGCGTAGGCTCCCAGTTTGACTGGCTCTGGGCCTTGTGGTATGTTGATTCCTTGAATGAGAGATGACGATTGGGTATAGGCGAGTAGTGGTTCAAACGCTAGATTGAAGAGGAGGGGGGATAGCGGGTCGCCCTGGCGGAGGCCTCTGGACTGAGAGATCGGGTCCGAGATATAACCGTTGATGTTGAGAGATATTTGAGTGGGAAAAAAAAGGGTCAAGATACTCCTGATGACTTGTTGGGGGAAGCCAAATCTCTCCATCACCATATCCAGGTACTTTGGGTGAACCCTATCATAGGCCTTTTCCTGGTCCAGTAGAACTCCGACATGCTTCAGCTTCCTGTTCCTGCAGTAGTTGCGGAGATTGTTAAGGACCATGCCATTGTCTGCAATATGCCGACCAGCCGTAAATCCCGTCTGGTGCTGGCCCGTTAAAGTGCGCATGTAAGGTTGTGGTCAGCTTTGTAAACATCTTGGCGTCGCAGTTGATGAGCGACAGCGGACGCCAATTGGACAGTTGTGAGGCTTCGCCTTTCTTGTAAAGCAGGATCATGACCGTGTGTTGCCAGGACTGGGGGAAGGTTGATTCCAGTAGGGCGTCGTTAAGGATGTAGACAAGGAGATGGCGAGTCCAGGGGATTGTGAGGATGTGGCGATATAGCTCGAAGGGTAGTCCATCTTGTCCTGGTGCCCTTGAGAGGGGGTCTTTGCTGTAACGGCCTCAAGTTCGGTCTCTGTTATCCTGGCTATTATTGTCTCTTTGTCCGAGGGGAGAGGAGGGAGGTGGCAGGAAGATAATCCAGTAGTTGTTGAGTGGCGTTCCTGTCCGAGGGGTCTGGGGTGTACAACTCCTTGTAGTATTCGGCTGCCACTTGTACTCGTTCCTTTGCCGTTGTAGTCAAGGAGTTTGCTGTAGGGTTGTGTAGCGCGGGGACGAGGCGCTTACTGCGGCGTTCTGCAATCGCCCTGAAAAAGTATCCAGTGTTAGCCTCCCCTTGCGCTCTCCAGGTGGTGCCTGACCGAAGAGTGTGAAGGTCCAGTTCTTCTATTGTTTGCTGTTGGAGGAGGAGTTCCAATTCGTCTAAATGTCGGGCAAGAGAGGCTTTGGTGGTGCCGGAGGATTGAGATAGATCGAAGAGAATGGCCTGGCGAACGTTGTTGAGGTCGCGTATTGTTGAATGTTGTTCGCGACGAGTGGAGATTGATTGTTTGATGCAGAAACGTTTGATCTCGTCCTTGACTCTGTCCCAGTGTTGTTGTCGAGTCTCGGGCGGTTGGGGCTCTTCCAGGGTCGAGAGGTGTAAGTCCAGTGCGGATAAGAACTCAGCGTTGTCCAGGATTTGTGTTCATACGCCATAGTCCACGACCCAATACACACCACACACACAACAAGCACATGATTCCTTAGAATGTGACCGCTTATTTTTGAAGGTCAAATTCCCTTAAAACCGCCCTCGCCCCCACTTTCCCCTCCAAACACAACCCAACTTAAATCTAAGAACCATGAACGTCAATAGCTCAAACAGCAACCTCGACAAGAAGGAGAACCAGGACCCCTACAGCAGGTACCTGCAACCGCCATTCACCCTCTCTTTCTGCATCGCTGTTTTCCTCATTCCGTTGATTGCAAGCAATCAACTCTCGAAATCAACATGAACTGACAAGCTGATTGCTTCCTTTTTTTAAATGGAGTTTTTTTAGGGATACCAAACAGACCAGAAACAAGACTATACAGCAGGAGCCCAACGTCTTGGCGGAAAGCAACGACAACAGCGCCATAAGATCAACAACGAAGCGTCAGTTAAGCAAAGACAAAGAGAGCGAGGGTTCCGCGGGCAGGTAACTATTCCATTCCCTTTTCCACGTCTTTCGCATTTATGGCAATGCGTCGATAGTAGAAGATTGATTGTCGACTACATATCAAATCCAACATGATTAACATGCTGCTAGTCCCTTCCCTTTTTATGGTATATTGTTTTTAGAAATGCAAAACGGACGAAGACGACGAAGCCCCAGCAGAATGACGCACCTCGATACTTCAACACCCGATCTCAGTCTGCCACGACTAAACGCTTGTTGGACAAGGATGACTTGGACGGGGTTGAAAGGTAACATTTTGTCTCCTCGTTATTCAAATTTCGGGTCTACACTTCGTACTCAATGAGTTCAACAATCACTTTCTCTATGTTCTCATCCGATATGACTGACTCTTATTACATGGTTGATGTTTTTAGGGAGCATAAGCGGAATCGAACGAATGAACAGGGACAAACGTCGGTCGACTCGCTCAACACCAGCGATGCATCCTATCACGACCAAGAATCTGTCCAATCCTCCTCTCGCCCGGCCCGTGCGACCGCCCGTGCAACCCCCCGTGTAACCGCCCGTGTAACCGCCCGTGTAACCGCCCACAAGCTTACCGAGAACTCTAGGGCATCATCATCTTCACGCCAAACTAAGCGGAACACACTTCCTTCTTTTCGACACGCGAGTTTGGACCCGTGGGGGCGACTTGACGCGCACATCCCGCAAGTTGAGATGTCCTTTGACATTGCGCCACTTGACTCAGCTTTGAACGCGCAGTCATCTCCAGTGAGCACGGCAACGCATCAAAACTCAGTTAATCCCGAGAACAGCGTAAGTGTCATATCCCATTGTGTTGAAATGATTTCGTTTCCGAGAAAGGGCACTACTAACTGTTATAAGGTCTTAAAAATCTCAATAGGAATGGTCCAATCTTGACAACCTTTCTGAATGGCTCGCCTTCGAAGATGAAGAGGCATCAGAGCCATCAAAAGCCGTATCGCTGACTGTTGAGGAGAAACAGATTGTGGAGAAACGCAATGCCGAGGCGGACGATTTTGTAGCTAAGGAAAAGGAGGTATGGACGAGCTCTTGAAACATCTATGTTGTCGTTGTTAACTAGATCAGAAATAGATTGAAAGGTCTAACAGCGTCATTTTTTTTTGTATTCTTGAATGGAAAATAGAAGGACATCTTGAGAGCAGAGCGCATCAAGATTGAGGAGATGTCGCGTATCCAGCATCAGCAAGAGAAGGAAGAAGCGCGCCGTTTGAAGGAAGAAGCGCTCCGCTTGAAGGAGGAGGAGCGTGTGCGTGAAGAAGAAGCCAAGAAGCGTGAATTGTAACTATCACATCCTTGTCACTGAAGAAAAAGAAAAAAATGTAACGATAACACTGACCTCTTTTTATATTCATTTGTATGAATCGATAGGGAGAAGCAACGAGCTGATCGTCGAAAGTGGTGGGCGGAGCAAGAGGCAAAGCTCCAGAACCCAAAGAGTTTTGACGAGGCACCTCTGTGCCACCAGCAACACCTTATGGCCGAGTTCGAGCGGGAGATGAAAGAGGAACGCAAGCTCCAATATCGTCTCTCCCAACAACAGCGGGCAGCGGCAGCCATGACTGAGTTCAAGTTAAAGATGGAAGGGGAACGCCGGATCCGATATCTCCACAACCAACTACAACAGGCGGCGGCAGGGACAGCAGCGCTCCAGCATCGCCAGGTCCGATATCTCGGCAACCAACAACAGCAGGTGGTGGCAGGGACAGCAGCGCTCCAGAATCTCCAGGTCCGATATCTCGGCAACCAACAACAGCAAGCGGCAACAGGGACAGCAGTGCTCCAGCATCTCCAGGTCCGATATCTCGGCAACCAACAACAGCAAGCGGCGACAGGGACAGCAGTGCTCCAGCATCTCCAGGTCCGATATCTCGGCAACCAACAACAGCAGGCGGCGGCAGGGACAGCAGCGCCCCAGCATCTCCAGGTCCGATATATCCGCAACCAACAACAACAGGTGGCGCCGGGGACAGCAGCGCACCAGCGTCGCCAGTTTATTCCTCAACGCTCTAAGCTGAACATCCGCCAGGACGACTGAACAAGACCCACACACCTGAACACACATGCACATATACCCACAACGCTCACCTGTTCACAACACATTTGACCTTCACAACAACAGCAACAACAGCAACAACAATTACGAACGCACAAAAAGCAATACCTTACACAGCGAAAAGGACACAGTACCGAATGCTTCAGCAGCACATGTGCCAACAACAACAACAACAACAACAACAATATCAATAACAATATCAGCAACAATATCAACAATATCAGTAAAAATATCAATAGCAATATCAACAGCAATATCAATAACAATATCAACAGCAATATCAATAACAATATCAACAGCAATATCAATAACAATATCAACAGCAATATCAACAATATCAACAATATCAACAATATCAACAATATCAACAATATCAACAACAATATCAACAATATCAACAATATCAACAACAGGAACAGTAATAACAACAACAACTGTAACAACAATAATCACTCTCACGGCACACGCATCCACGGCACTCATGTCCACGGCGCCCGCTCACTCAACCCGCACAAACACACTTGTCGTTCATTTTCCAGTTTTATTTTCATTTCCAGTTGTATCATATTTTGTTCCATATTACTCGTTTTTTGCATATACTTCCTGTACCAATCATTGTACCTTACTGAGAACCCCTGATCATCCCAAAAATCAATGACAATAAAAACTTAACTGATTAGTTTCAAAGAAACCAGAAGCGCGGCATTGGGTTTTGTGAACAACAAGAACAAGAAAAAAATGTAACCGCCACCAATTTTTCGTTGTCCATGGTTTAAGTTTGAACACGAACAAAGTTGTCTCAACCTTCTTTATCTTGTCACTTTTTTTTTTTTTTTTTTTGCCGCACTCTTTTGTTTTCCGACATATTCAAGCACCGCCACTTTTTGTCCCAAAACTTTGTATGTCTCTTCACATGCAGGGTCTTGTTTTGAAAGAATTCGACCTAGCCAATTCTCCGATCCCACTCACTCTCATGTTAGGCATCGATACCATCGCGCTGATCGCCAAAAAAGGGTAAGGCTCTCATGGCGCAGATATTACATACTGCTTCGCCCATGGCCAATGTTTGTTGTTCCCCCTCCCTTCCTCCCTGTTGCCTCAGTCGGACTCGAATGGCGGAAATAGTGATCACACCTTGAAAGATGAGAGTGGATCTCAACCCTACCTAAAACCAAAATCTCATTACCAAAACCAAGGTCGCTGAATCGGTCTGATGGTGATGGTTGAGATGGATTTCATCCATTCTGGATCTCAGATTCCGCCTTTTCACCCACCAAAACTCATCTAGTCGGCTCGAAAACCTATCGTCTTGGCGGCCTTATTGTGAGTAAAGTTCGCCACATCTTTCCTTCCTCCTACAAAAAAACCCTGTCAAGATCCACAGTAGTTCGCAGTAGTTTGATGGAATTGTTTACTTCTTTCAAGCGTACTATTACAGGCAACAACAACCCTACATAAACATCCCGTCCTTCGCGATAGCTTCAACAATCCGCACCTCAGAGTCCTTGTAGCATGCATACATACGTCTCTGAAGCGACCGTGCATCCCATCCCGTCAAATCGTCCGGTGCCACAATCGTTGGCCCTGGAGCGCCAACAAAAGAAGATGAAGGCGATGACACCGGGTCAAATGTCTCCATCACAAACTCACGGCAGGCTGGCTTTGGGAATACAGTCTTTGTGAATCCCCCGGCAGAAAACACGGTAAAGACACAGTCGCGTTCAGTGCCATCCTCCACAACCGATTCAGAGTCCTTCAATATCCGCTCCACCAAGCTGAACTGTTCAGGGAACTGCAAAGTCATATGAAAAAACGTCAATGATGAATAAGTACTCCACAGCAATATGTCATTTCAAAAGTTAATGCGTCTTTCGTCATCGAATACAACAGCTGTTGAGTACCTTTCGAAGGAGCGAAACAACACGGCCAACAGTTTGCTCGGCTTGCTTGAACTTTGCAATGACTGGCTTCAAATCCAGACTCTTTTCAGACGCCGAAAGCTGGTCCCAAGGGAAATTAGTCAACACTTGGGCAAGTTCCTGGATGGCTTTGGCCGCTTGCGGGCTGATCGCCGAAACTGGGTGTGAGGCCAGAGCGTCGTACGCGAGCAAGCATATTGATGGCAACAACCTAAGCGGCGAAAATAACGAGTACAAAACATATCAGAACCCAACTCAGGCTCACATTTGGTCTCTACTGAACCATCTAACGTAGAAAAATGCGCTTACTGGACAAAGATCTGGCTGCCTGACTGGCCATTCAAATAGGACAAGGCCTTCTGTGCTTGGTAGTCGTGGTCGAATAGAGGTTTTTGCTTGCTGGCCGGGAGCGCTTCGGCTTTCTATAAAGTTGCAGATATGACAACATAGTGTCAAAACATATCCACTTGTCTACTCCAGCATTGACCACAAGAAAACACTGTGAAATGCTACTCACCTCCCAGAGCTCTTGCCAAAAGTTGCCGCTGTCTGCCATACGAGCACTCATCTGGCCCTTCTTTTCATCCCAGTCTTTGGGGGAGTGCCACCGAATGAAGTCCCCAATAGTACATCCTGGGTTCGCCGCCTTGAACGCGCCCATATCTATCAAGGACAAAAGACTGAAAATTAGCACCCTTGAAGCAAGTTAGGTACATAGACATGTTATGCTCGCAACGAAATACACCTGTGTCTTACCTGAGATAAGTTGTGCTGATTGCAACTCTGCTCTTGTCTTGGCGGCGTCCACCGAAGACCCCAGGTTCTCAAACAATTCTTCTTGGTCTTGGATCATATCTTCCGTCATATGGCCCTGCTCCTAGAACATGAAGAAGTTGATCAGGTCAGTAATTTGTTATCGAACAAAACACTAAGAGAGATCATGACAATATGACTGATTAAATAAGGGGCAATGCCTACCTGAAGCTTTGGGATCATTAGTGGTTCTCCTGTCACAAGCAACTTGAGGTCTTTATAGGGTTTCAGACCGCCTTTGCCTTGACGCACGGCTGGTAAGGTGGCTTCGGTCATCTCTGGTGAGTCATTGCCTAGGTTGAGATCAACTGCACCCACTGCTTCAGCCAGCGCCTCCTGTTTTTCCTCAACACTGCTAGTACTGCTACTGGAGTCAACAGATGCTTTGTCGTCTGCGATTGTATCCTTTGCTGTGTCGTCTTCAGGTTCCGGTGATCCTAACAAGGAAGCCTGAGTTGCTTCTGGTTGCTCCTTTGGCAGAACGGGGCTCGCTTCCTCAGAAGCGATGCCAGTACTTAAAGGAGATGTCGGTGTTGAGGATGACGGTGAGGGTGATGGGTCGTCTTGTTGGCGAGCAAGTTCCCGAGCGATACAGCAGTTGATCATAGTCAGCTTTTGGTGCAGCAGGTTGAACCGGAAATCGATGAATGCAGTCTTGGTCGGCGTTCCTGAGCTCTCATCATCGAACTCGTCAGTCACCCCGCCAAAAATATCGATCAAGGGTATCATTTCCTTGCGCTTCCAGTAGTCAGCAAATTGCACCAAGAGATCTGCCCAGACGGCCTTGGTAAATCCCATGAATGACGTAGGATAGGAGATGTGAGAGTTGGGAGATATCACGTCGACCAAATGGCGGAGCATCTTCCAGAGGAAGGAGTTGTAGGGCACCGTGGTCGCGCGTCGAAAGTGAAGGCCGAGTTCTGCCGCAGTAACAATTTGACCGACATGTCCTTGAGAAAGAGAGCGATGTCGTTGTGTTGGCTGTGAGGTAGCGGGAACCGGCGCTGTGGATGGCGATGGTGTTGTGCACAGGTCGTCGATAATATTCTCCACATCGCTCGCGTCAACCATAGCGATCGTTCCTTGGATCAGTCGTGCTCCTTTCCGTAAAAGTGATGTGTAAGACCCTTGGTCCTTGTCCGACTCCAGATCCTTGTTGGCTTCCAACAGACTCGTCACCTCGGCGCTCCACGACGAAATTGCATCCTCGAGGATCACGCTCAACAGTCCGTAGTCATCTGGCTTGAAGATTGCTTTGAGGATCCAGATGTTGGCTTGGCTGGCGTCCATGTCAGTTAAGTTCTTGCTCTCCAGATAAACCGTGCTCGGAGCCGATGCTAATTGATATAACAAAATATTCGTTTTGTCATTCAAAACTGGGTCGGTTTTTTGAACAATGAGGCGCAGTTGGCCATGAAATACTTACCGAATCGCGCCACAAGTTGCATTGACTTCAAAGGATCTTGCACTGGTCCGAAAGGCAGATTTGGAAGGTGCTCTCTTGACCGTTGGGTGGTATCGTCGGCCTTGTCAGCCCACTGCCGCCAGTCCTCATCGTACCAGTTGTCGAGTTGGTAGCTGAAGAGGGCCGAGACAAAGATCTGTTCTTTGAGCTGCTGGCTGTACCCTCCTTGACTGCCATTGTCATCATCGCCCACATCAGCATAGTCGTCGTCAATGCCCATCCGCTCGATAAATAGCTCTAGGATCCCTGCCAAGTCGGTGTACTGCGCCGGTGGATAGGGAACCAAGAGTGTGTTGAAGCGCACTTCGATTGCCTGGTCCTCCGCCAACTCTTCGAGTCCCAGTTCAGCATCTCGTGTGTGTAAATGCTGCGGTCGGATCGAGATGCCCGTGTAGGTCATATTCCGGACTTGTCCCGTCGGTACAAAGACTGGAATGTTGCAGCCCGTGTTCTGGAAAGCGATGGCAAAGGACGATTGGAGAAGTTTGGCGCGACCGAGGTCGATGATCTGAGAGGTAGAGTCTGGTGCTGTTGACAGGACAAGGATATGGGTAAGCCCTGTCCAGCGATGCAGACTATGGTGTTCAATGCCCTCAAGAGTCGTAGGCAGGAAGTCAAGGTCTACCCGTTCGACACCCGAGGCGATTCTGGCTTTGGCAGGGTGGTATCGGTAGGATAGTGTGTAACTGTCGCCATCGAGGGTCACTATCGAGTCGTGTTGGTAGACGTTGGAGAAGGAAGACTTTTGTATGGCGGCATCACTGTCCGTAGGGCCTGCCTTGTTTGACGGTGAGGACGGCGAGGAGGGCGAAGCGTTCTTTGGTGGCGGCAGTAGAGGGGTTGGTCGGGTGTTATCGTCTCGAAGGGCCAGTGCGAGTTCCTGGTCCAAATCCATATTGTCGTCGGTGGCGGGCATGCGTTTGGGGTTAAAGACTCCATAACTGTTGTGGACGAGGCCCCACTGTTTGAGACAGGACTCGATCTGGATGATGAACTTTTCCCATGGTCCTGAGGTCGTGTAGTCGATGAATTCGAAGTTCTCAAAGTCGTCAGCGTCCATGTCGGCCATGGGGGAGGGTGTTGTGCTGGTTGTTGCCACTGTTTTGCTGTGTGTTGTAGGACAGGGTTAGAAAGAGAAGGCGAAGTCAGGTGGGTGGGTGCAAGAGAAGAGTGCCGAAAAGTGGTGTGCTGAGAACGGAGACAAAGGGAAAAGTAAAAAAGAATGAGGAGTGGAGTCAAAGAGAGAGAAAGAGTAAAAAGGAGCGCTGCTTTTTTGTTTATTTGTGTTGTCTTTTTATTTGTAGCTGATCCTTTTTGTAATGGAAAGAGGGGAGGAAGGAAAGAAAGGAGGGAGGAGGAGAAAAGAACAAGGGTGCACTGTCAAACGAATCCCTCCTAGTCGCTGACCTTTGGCGATCGTGCCAACGTGACCGCTTTTCTTAGCACCAACGTACTCTAAATGATATGGCTCAGCGGTCGACCATGGGGTTGGAAAAGTGCACGCCACGCTGCTGGTCGATGAAGAACGTCGAGGTCGTCGTCCTGGGCTTGACAAGAACCTGCTCAGCTTCATTAATATACGCCGTCTGGTTATGTACACTTCCCGATGCACTGATAATAGAGATCTTGGGCACATGCAAGGGTCCCGTCTTCAGAGGCACCAGCGACACCGCATGACTCGTACTCACTCCCGGCTAATGATACGAAGAAAAACGCGTATTAGAATTGTCCCTCTGTACCATATACAACAAACGCCTGAAAAAAAAACCACACTTTCATTAGGAACCAAAAAGTACCTTCGCTGTGAACAACCGCTTTTTATGCCCGCACAATAGCCAGTTCTCATAGTCCACCGTAATGTCGTAATAAAAGTCGCAAGTTTTGTCATCGTCCTTTTCCACGTTCCAGTATGCAGAGTGCTTCACCCGCACATGGAATGTCGCGGGGGTGCCAACCGTCAGATCCTGAGCATTGTCGACCACAATCTCCACTGTCGTCAGCGTCTGTGAAGTTGGGATCGTGATAGGGAATGACACCTGAAGTGGGTGGTTGAACGATCCCAATTCCATGATTTGATCGTAATCGAGTTGTTTGTTGTGCTAAAGTTGGCAATTGTAAAAAACGCAACAATGTTAGAGAACTGTACTGACTCTTGCCACATTGCAACTCTTCTCCACCCGCCCCTGGAGCCAGGTTGTCACTTACCGAGAAAAGGTCCTTGAGAATGTCGATCAAGGTCTCGCGAACCTTGGGATCATGGTAGGCAAAGATCGCTTCGCAGATTGGCATGTCCAAGGGTGGCAATTCCAGCTCGTCTGACATTCCGTACGCCATGTAGTCCACTCCGCGCAACAGGTGGCTCTTGAGATGGGATGTCACAAATGTTGCATGTTGGTCCAACTGTGCCTTTGAAAGATCTGCTTCAATGACGGATGTCAATGCCTTTTCCACCTCTATATCCATCAAGGCCAACGGGGCGAGTTAGAGACAGGGAAATGGTATGAATAACATAGACATTTGAAGGTGAAGAAAAGGTGACTTACCACTACGTAAAGACTGGTATGTTACAATAAAGTGTGCCTCAGGCTCGATACCTAATAGAGCGAATAGTAATAATTGTGGGTTAGTTATCTCGCAAGTATTATGCACTGCGTTACCTCAGAAAGTACCGTAGTATTACCGTCTCCAACCTCGGGACGTGCAATCTTGAAGACAAACGTAGCGTGTTGCCTAGGGAACAAGGTCTATGGTGAGGAAAAATCAAACATCGGTCAGATTATAACGAAAGTATACTAATAATATGGTACCAAAATAATGCAATATGCACAAGGCGTAACGTACCATTTCGCCTGTGAAGGGGGGTTGCTTAAAGTTCTTGACGCATGCAGGGTGGCGGAGATCGACGTTGAGAAGGCGAATTGGCACATATCCTGAACAGGTCATGTTCAGCTTCAGGTTGAGGCTAGTGTTGAAAGATAGAGTGAAGTCAGCTTGTCAGTACAACCTCAATACAAAAATAAGATACTACCCGTGGCGGTTGAAAAGAAGCAACTATGAAATGTAACTTACCAATCGTCCCTCCAGACAGTAGAGTGCGAAACTTCAAGTGGGAGAATGGTCTCGATGCTTGAAGTAAGGGTAAAGGTGTGTCGCCTCGAGTTGGGAGTCAGGTAGTGGACAGCCATCTTGACCAAGTGCTCGCTCGCGTTGACAAAGGTTTCGTATGGTACCGTTACAGCAATCGTCTCGTTGGGTCCAAAGGCAGGAAGCGCAATAGCTTCGTGGGTATCAAAGGCGAGCTCGCCAGCCATATCTGAGCCTTCGGCAGCATTAGTGGTCCCCTTGGTATATGTGAGTGCCGGAACCTCCTTGAGGAATGAGATACCCTCAGAAGCAGGGAACAGACTGAGGGTGGCTTCAGACACTTTATTCCTGCCGCTCGAGATGTGAATGACAAAGCTGCTGGGCTGGCCGAGCTCCATTTCCTGAGGCGGTTTGATGACAGCCTTCAATGCCAGTGGGTGAGAATCCACACGAAAAATGCGTTTCCTGCTCTCCTGCAAAAAGTCGTAAAGGAACACCAGCTTTCCAGTCTTCAGATGGACCTTCTCCAAGACGTATGTTCCTGACGCCGAGGTCTACAAGTTTCAGATAAAATGTGTGCGCGTGGGTTAGCATCGAATTCGCTTCGGGTAAAACCCCATCGACTTGGTAGGGTGTGCAACTCCAAAGGACAGGCTTACCTCACAGGTCACCCGGAAAGTGTTCTTGCCAGGCTTCAAGACACCATGGCGGAAGTTGAACCAAAGCTCATCGACCTCGCCGCTCACCATTCGAAGAGACAGCTTGTTGAAGTCAATGTCCTTGGGCAGCTTGTTCTCGATCATGATTTCAACGTACGAGCCGTCATCTTCCTGAATAATCTCCACCACTGAGACAACCTTGACCGTAAACATAGGCGCAAACTCATGGTAGATCTCCTGCTTTAACTCTTTTGAGGTCACTGTACTGAAAAGTTCGTTGGAGTAGAGGAGCTTCTCGTCGTCTTTCAGGTCGTCCATGTTCCTGAGCAACGTGAGACATGCCTGAGCGTACTTGATGGTGTCGCCGAGCTCACGCAAACACTTGGCATGCTTGATGACCAATTCATTCTCCAGCACTGTCCAGCGGTTGTGTCCGTAGCGCCAGGTGATCGATTCCAGGATTCTTGCAGCCTCGGCGTACTTTTTCCTGTAACTAAATTCCATAAAGTCACACACATTATGCTGTTAGCCATGGCAAGAAGGTTCAAGCATTGCTGTAGCAATATAAGTTCCCGCTCCTGATCTGTAGACTTACAACTGGAGAGCGGCGACATCGCCGTGCAAGAGCAGAGAAGAGCGGTGACGCCCGCTTCCGTCATATCCCTTGATTGCCCTTGCCGAGACACTCTATTAAATACAACAGTTTAAAATGCCATTAGTTTTGTCCATGGCACTGAGTTGACAATCAGAATACACAAACCAAGCGTAAGTACGCACCATGTAAAGAGCATCAAAAGTCTCGTCGGTTGATACAGCATCCAGCAAATCCTTGGACATGGGCTTTCTCTCCACTTCCTCCGCATGTGCAGGCGGCTCGAGATTGTCATAGCCCAATGACATGGTGAAAGGCAGCTCCTTGGGAAGTCGTCCATGCTGCATTCCCAATTTATCAAGCTATGCAGAGAGAGACAAACAAACAATGCAGTTAGAACTCTGTGCAACGTCGTGCAATTCTGCCTTGCATGCATATTTGTTCAGATTGAATTTTGGATAGTACCTGCTGGCGTGCCATTTGTAACAGCTCGGCTTTGGCGCCATCCAGCATCACCATCATATGAGGGTCATCCGTGTTCAGAGGTACCGTCTCGTCGCATTCGTTCACGATACACATGCACGCTGAATAGATCCATGACTCCAGAAAGTTGTCCGTTAAGTTCAGCTAAGTCAGGAACAAAAAAACAAAATTTGGTCAGAAATGACGCCAACTAACAATACGTTGCATTTGGTGACATTGTGAAACGCCAACAATGAGGTCTTACGACATGCTCGCGGACAGTCTTTGCAAAGGATGGGATGAATTTCAACGCGCGGTGGCAGATTTCGACAGGGCGCCTGAGACGGAACAAAAGGTTGCACTGTCGACCGAACAGATAGGTCCTGAAGTCGAAAACAGAAATCGTGTTCTGCATAATCAAGTCCCTGTATGGCTTCTTGTTGAGATCCAGGAGGTTCGCATCGTCATCACCTTCTTGCATGCCTCCAAACTTTCCGTACCAAGTCAGCGCGTTATCTATTAAATATTTGAGATATTGACGTGTTAACATTTAAGCCATAGACCAGTCATTGTCATCCAAAACAGAATGTCATCCAGTATCATACCTCTGAGAATTTGAAAGAATGACGCCTCGAGTTCATCATACTGTCTTAATGCCTCCTCGTGCAGGTTCATCATCTCGTAGGCGTGGGTGAGTCCCTCCTTGAGGATAAAGAATGTGCAGTAATTCCAGCCAGGCATCTGTCGTTGCGAGTCCAATCGTCGGATATCTTCCTCAAAGGTCATGACGTTCTGGTCAAAGCTGGTGACAATGCCCTCCTTCAGCTTGTCGGTGAAATCAGCCCAGAGTTCCATTTCCGACATCTCAGTATCCGCCATCCTGACTTGCGCGACCCTATGGAAGTTATTTTTCAAGTGAGATATTTGTTCCGCAAGCGGACGTTAGTCAACCGTTCTCCAGTTCAGAGTAACTTCAATTATTCGAATATGTCTTTTTGTTCCTAAGATGCTCGTTCCAACTTGCCTGTCGCGTTTGCCGGTGTTGAAGTCTGCTTTGATCCTGTCGAGCAAGGATGATCTGAATAACTTGGCAGCCCTTGCACCTTCCTGGCTGCTGATGTGTACGATGAGCCACTCTTGGTTCTTCTTCGACGTGACCAGTGTGATCCACTCCCGAATGTGTTGTTTGACTGTGTTCTTGTATGTCTCATTGTCCTATAAGTCCAGGGCGAGAGATACACGGCGTGTTAAATAGAGACAAGGTCAATTGATCAGAGACTATCCAACAATTATAAGAATTGTCGACCAGATAAAATAAACGGCTTACCTCACAGTTGACAAAGTAAAGGTTGAGATAAGGGTTCTGGAGGAGGGTGACAGGAGGCAAGTTCTTGGAGACCTCGGGCGTAAAGCGCTTCAATTCGACATCCAGCATGGCGATATTGCGTTTGGCCCTGTTGTTGCTCGGCTTCCATACAAGATTTCTGAGTGGAAGCCTCGCGGTCAAGTCCTTTTCAATGTTGGCCCAGTTGCCACTCTCCTCGCAGTCTAACGGTATAGAAGAGGGAGATGTAGTTATTTAGCTAGGTGTTTTACAATGATGAAAGAGGTTGCTTCGAAACGAGATGATGATGGCGCTTTATTCAAGTGGAGACTACTTGTACTACGTGGTGTGGTATGGCTTACAGGTGACGATGACACGCTTTGAGTCCATTAGAGTTGGCGGGAAGGAAGGCGAAGGAGGCTAAGGGGGGTAGTGATGAAAGGAGTTGAATAGTTAATTGCTCAGGGCAATGATGCAGATGGACAAAAGTGGGCTCGTGACGTGCAAAGACGTCCGAATAGAAATTATGTGCACACCGCACACTCTCAAATACTAGACTCCGCTCGTGTTTCTAGGCGTAGACAAGGAAGCCGAAGGACATGTGCCCCTGTTGCCTCTATGGACTCATTTGCTCGCGCGACAACCCATGGCGCATCAATCCCTCTCTAGGATTGGTTATGGTTATTATAGTTTTTATCACGATGGTCTTCAATTTAACTGGTATCTGCTTGGCATCTTGTTGTCACTGACACCTTGACTTGAGGACCTACTTAGGCATCAAGAGCAAAAACCTCAACTTCCTCTGAACCCAGACTTAAAAGTAGCACGCAATGGCATGTAGAGCGTCCCTGAATAAATAAAGGTTCCTCATTGACATAGGCAACCCCATGGCATCATGTGTTGTCGCCCCTTTTCTTCGACACCACTGCTTGTGCTTCTGGTTTCCATTGAGGTGTGGTTGTAGCAGTGGTGGTGGTGATGATAGCCATACCAGGCACTCCTCTCCTCTCGTAGTACGCCCCTTTGTGCTCCTCCCATTTCTTCCCGTCAATGATGTCTTCCTCCCCTTTAGTGCGATTGACATACGTATGGTCAGTCTCTGCCTGTCCCCCTTTCTTTCCTTAGCTCTGTCCCAGGAGTGAATTTTTCTTTTCCAGGGACACTTACCTCTAAGGGAAGAATTCCCCTTAATCTGACCTTGTCATCTCAATTATCTCAATTGAGGGCACACATGTCCAAGCACACACTTCGCCCACACCTTGCATCTGCTCCTCCACTGAACACAGACACACACAACTATTGGTCCTTTCGCATTCTTCTGTTCTCCTTTTCATTGTTTTATCTCATTTCACAATCTACACTCCTCTTCACTCTTGTCTTTTTTTTCTACCTTTTCTCTCCTTCCTCGCGCCCACAATCACTCGCTACTTGCAACATATATACCCTTCCCAAAAATGTTACACGTGTTCTACTCCATCTCAGCTGCAGTCGCCCTAGTCTCAAACGTCTTCCTCCTCTCCCTCCTCGTCAACCCGGACCCACACCCCGTCGGCGTCCAAGCAGCTATCTGGCCAAAACCAGCCTACGCCTGCCAAGGCCATCGCACCGTGCAAGTCTCTTCCCAATTTCAGTTCAATCTCCCGCAGGATGCACATCCAAGACTCGTTGAAGGCGCGGCAAGGTACCGGAATAGGATCTTTAACAGCGACTTTGTGAGTCCGGTACCAATGAGTGTTGAGGATGCCGAGGCAGAGGATCGGTCACAGGTTGGAACACTCGAGTTGAAGTCACTGGCTATCGATGTCGAGGATCGAACTGGGATTATCGCCTTGGGACTCGGTATTGACGGTAAGAACAAAAGAAAATCAAGTGGCTACGAGATCGTCGAGGATGCTAAAGCGTCGAAACAAAAATCTCTCACGATGGTGTCTCAAACTTATTAATGTTACCGGTCCTCCTTTGCCTATTTTTTTTTCTCTGTACTTTCAATAGAATCGTACAGGCTAGCAATTGCTTACGACGAAGACCCCGACGCAGAATTTGAGCTGGATGCAGCGGCGTGCAAGAAGATCGCAAAAGAACCATTCGGACAAGGATTCAAGGGCATCCTCAAGGCCAAGACCATCGTAAGTTAACATACACATCAGCCCACCGTACCATTCTCCTTTTTGCTTTTCTACTCTCCCTTTTTTTTCTTTCCTCCACAATCTCAATCCACGCACGTACCCCTCTTTTCCCTGATAGTATTTTATCCATTGTTTGTTTGTGTACGAGATCACTTGGGCGCGAGTGTTTTTGTGGGGAAGCTGCCCTTTTCGGTTAATGCTCCAATACTTCTTGCGCCCGTCAATAGCACTAAAGCCAATCTAACTTTTTTCTTTATCTCCCCCTTTCTCCTTTCTCTTCTCTCTTTTCTCTCCTATAGTACGGTGCGCTGCATGGACTGGAAACATTCTCACACCTGGTGACCAACAATCCACATGACGGGACCAGAGAGATCGCTCAGACCCCTCTCCTCGTCCATGACCGTCCACTCTTCCCACACCGAGGTGTCCTCCTCGATACCTCCAGGAATTTCTTGTCGATGGTGTCACTCTACAGGACCATTGACGCCATGGCCATGAACAAGTTTAATGTCTTTCATTGGCATATCGTCGACTCGCCTTCGTTCCCTATTGTTCTAGATGATCAAGTTGCTGGAGGGGAGGAAGCGGATGAGGATGAGAATGAGGATTCAGGAAGAGGCGACACGGAGTCGAATGAAGGAGAAACGGGCGAGTATGTGTACAAGGAACGAAAGCATAAGACCCAGACATCCTCAAGACCAAACCTCCCCCTCAGTCAACTAGCGGCCAAGGGCGCCTTCTCGGACAAGATGGTCTACAGTAAGAAGGAGATCATAGACTTTGTCGATTATGCCATGAACCGTGGCATCCGTGTCATCCCTGAGGTCGATATGCCCGGTCACGCCTGGTCTTGGTCGAAAGCCTTCCCCGAGATCACGACCTGTCTTGACGGCTTCCCTTCTTATTCTCGGTTCTCGGCAGAACCCCCCAGTGGGCAATTGAACCCTGTCCACCCAAAGACATACCAGGTTATCCAAGGTGTGTATGATCAAGTCTTGCCGCTGTTCAAGGACAAGTTCGCGCATGGTGGAGCGGACGAGGTCAACTTCAATTGTTGGAACACGACCGCTTCGGTGACCGAACTGATGGAGCGCAAGAATATCCCGAGGTCCAAGGAAGGCTTCGACAGGATCTTGGATGAGTTCACGGAACGTCAACACGGGATGCTGAGGCAGGCTGGGAAACGCCCCATCGTCTGGGAGGAACCTCTCCTCGCCCACGATCTGAAGACTATCAAGAAGAACAAGGACACCGTCGTTCAAGTCTGGACCTCTGCCGAGAATATCAAAAAGACTGTTCGACAGGGTCACGATGTCATTACAGGATCTGCGGATTATTGGTATATGGATTGTGGGTTTGGAGACTGGCTCGGCAACTGGACGATGGGCAAGTCTTGGTGCGCGTATTCGGACTGGCAGAAGGCGTATTCGTTTAACCCCTTGCAGGGTTTGAACGCCAAGGAGTCAAAGAAGGTTCTGGGAGGCGAGGCATTGTTGTGGGGTGAGCAGGTCGATAATACGAATCTGGATACCAAACTCTGGCCACGCGCCTCTGCCGTCGCTGAGGTAAGAACACGACAAGCCAAGCACTCAAGTTGTTTCTAAATATGAATTAGGTCAGGCCATACTTTACCCTGAATACCCTTGAATCCTCACCCACAAATGGTTTCATATTACAACACAATAGGTACTTTGGAGCGGTAACTCGGACGACAGCTCAACAGGACTCTGGGATGGCCGTAAACAACACAAGAACACTCTCCGAACCATTGAGGCGCTGAACAGGATTAACGAACACCGGTTCAGGATGGAAGCTGAGAATATCCTGGCTGAACCCTTGCAGCCTCTTTGGTGTGTCAAGAACCCTGGTCATTGCAACTGGCCTATCCTTGACACCAAGCCTGAGGATACCGAGAGTTAGATTTTCGTATTGATACCCCTTTGTTACACATTCCGTTGACTTTGGCATGCCCATTAAAGTAACTTGCAGAATACGTTTGTAATGCGGAGTGGGCGAGAGAGTTATTTAATTAGGCATGGGAGGTAATAAGGGGTGGGGAATAAGATGGAAAAGAGGACATAACAAGGCGCCACGATGCTCTAGTGGTGGTGGTTGTGGTGGTCGACGACTAGCATCTCAACGGCAACGTCATCATCATCGCCCTCATCGTCCGAATCATCCTGTCGCTCGGCATCAAAGTACTCCTCCTTATCTCCACCATGGAAAATAGGCGAAGAACCGCTAGAACGACTGTGGCCACTGTTGTTCGACAAATGAGACGACGAAGGGTTCTTCTCCGTCACAATTTCGTTCAACTCCACCACACCCTGAGAGTTCTCACTCTCGTTCCGGGTATGCGAGGTCATCATGGGCTGGGCAGCAATAATCCGGGTCGCGTGCGAGATCAGAGGTGTCTGAGCGTAATCCAGATCCAAACGAGGCGCTGAGCTGTTCATGTTGTTTCCAGTAGCAGCGAGGTTGACATTCGACGCTGAGGAATTGGCAGCAGCATTGGCACGCTTCCTGTTATCGAACAAGATCCTGTTCTCCTCGACCAAGATGTTGACCCACTCCATCATCCTGCGCTCGGCATCCTTGACGGCCGTCTTACCGCCTAGCTCTCTCAACAGAGAATAGTCATGAGGCATCCCCTCCGCCATGTAGTGGTACGTGACCCGTCCACCCGTAGCCTGGTAGTGATCCACAAACCGCGCACAATCATCCCTCAACACCTCAGCTCCCGAATAAATAATCGCCATCTCCGGGAACTTGGAATGGTCCTTGACATAATAGGGCGAGATATGGGGGTCATGAAGTTCATAGTCTCCTGCATAGCTCCTCGCAATCTTCTTAAAGACCTGTGGGGGCATGAAATCTGTCTTGCGGTTATGAGCCATCGAGGGGGTGGTGCGTTCATTGGCGTCGAGACGAATCCAGGGTGAGATACAGAGAAGGGCACGAGGTGGGGGAAGATGGTTCTCGCGAAGGACGTAGCAGGCGTTGAGGAGGATGTTGCCACCGGAACTGTCGCCGCCAAAGATGATCTTGCGTGGGTTCCATTTGATCTCCTGGACCAGGAAGCGGTATGCGGAAATGTACTGGTCTCTCTGGTACGGGAACTTTTTCTGTGGCGCAAGGTCTATGTTGTTTTATGTTAAATGAGGTTAGATATTGCATTCACTTTGTAAGGTAGTTGCAATTGATCGATGTGTGGAGAAGAAATATAGAAAAAGAGATCGAGTTCCTCCTCCCTTATCCTTGTTGTACTCTCTGCGCATGCGCCTTTTGTTCACTTTAGAAGTCCATCCCAACGATCGAAACCTCTTCCCCTACAATAATAAATAACCGCCCTTGCATCCAACCCCCAAACGCTCTCAATATTTTGTATTTTGGTTGTCTGGGCTTCCTTCCTCGCTCTCTTTCTCCCCTTCTCTGTGTCTATGTATTGCACCACTCCCCGCTGTTCTTTCTCCAACTCCAATCACTCTTTTTGTGGGTTGGCGATTGTGATCTAGTAAAGGCATGCACGGATTCACAGAGCACACCAAGGAAAAGGAAGAATGAAGCGGACTTTTCTTTCTCTTTCTTCTATTCTTCTTTTTCGTTAGCTGTCATTCTCCCCCACACAAGGCTCCCAGACCATATGTCAGCCATTCCAAGCCAGCCTATCGTAGCTCCTCCGTTCCATGTGCCGGTCAAAAAAAAAAAAAAAAAAAAAAAGAGCACGGAAGGAAGAGTGAGAGGAGAAGAGGGGACTGAAAATAACGATAGGGCACAACGATGTACTTCGAGGACAATGTAGCACATGTCAAAGAGAATTATTGAGCGGTCTCATAAGGCAGGGAATGGAAGAGATGGAGAGAAGGAGAGAGGCACGAGAGAGGAAAGAATGGGTGCGTGAGTGTGTATGAAAGAGAGAACGAGAGATGAAAGGGGAAAAGGAAGAGACGAAAGAAGAAGACGTACCATATTCGACAGAAAGGATGCGAAGAGTCTTGTTATGGACAGTCTTGAAGTGCTGAACCCAGGAGCAAAAGATGTTGTTATACATCTCTGCATCGCCAAAGACGAATCCACCTCCATGAGCATACAACATGATAATATCCACACCCTTGAGCGAGACTTTCCAGGTAGGGTCGCCTCCACGGGTCTCTGCAGGTATCTTCTTAGTCTCGAGCGTGCCGACCCAGTAGGCCCTCCAGGAGTCGCGCTTGACGACCATAGACCGGTCGCCGGGGACGAGCGCGGTGCGGATAGCGAGGACGGGCTGATACCACTGGTAGGGGAACATGGCGGCAGCGAGATAGACGATGCGGATGAAGAAGTGGGAGTGGAGTGGGACATGTTTGGGGCCGGAGATGCGCAGGTAGGAGGCGTATATAATTGTGGGGATGAGGAGGATGGTGAAGAAGATGAGACCGAAAAAGGTGTACAGCACCACCCTCGTGTACTTGAATATCTTTGAGAAGACGCTCATTGTTGGAGGGAGGAGGAGTGGTTGAAGGGACGTTACAGGGGAGTAGGGGTAAGGGTGAAGGGTGGAGGGTAGAGTGGGTGTGGGTGTGGGAGAAGGAAGAAAAGTAGAAGGGAGGAGAGGAGTGATTGGTGTGTGTTTCCTTGTGGGAGGGGAAGGAGGGATGGGTAATGCTCGACCTTGCTGGGGGGGATGGATCGGCCTTTGGGAAGCAAAGGAGCAGTGGAGAAAGGAGAAGGAAAGAGGCGAAAGAGGCAATGAGAGGTAAGAGAGGAAGAGAACGTTTTAAAGGAAGAGAGGAGTAGAGAAGAGAAGAAAGGCGTTTGTTTGTGTTTGTGTATGTTTGTGTGGATGGTATTTGGGTTCATTTTAGAAGTAGAAAGAGTGTGTGCCTGAATGAATGTAAGGCATTTGATTAAGTGTGAGATGACAGGGGTTTCGACCAATCGCATCCTAGAAACTGTTAGAGTTGATGCTCAACTTTTTTCCCCTTTACTGCTGATCTCTTTCTGGACGCACTCACTCCCCTTGTTGGACGCTTTGTTGGAAAGGGGGTGGGCAGATGAGTAAAGGAAACAAGTCTTTCCTTCTTTTCCTTGCCCAGAGTGGAACCTCTGTCCATCCGTCTGTCATGATTTTTAATGTGCCCAAGGTTGCATGCGATGGAGAGTGAAAGACAAAGCGCTCTTGTATTTTGTTTTGTTTTTCATTCCTCCTGTGTACGTGTGCATGAGCGATGAAAGAGAGAGAGAGCATCACTGAGACCGGATGTACAGTACAACGCACACATAGACATCAACAAACAAGCAAGTATACATAACCATAAAACAGACCTGCTCGCATGGTCGTTGATGTCCTTCATTGCTGCCAATCGTTCGTTGTTGTCCTCATTGATAACTGTCTGACTGGCGTAATATGTTGGGTACATGGTACCTTGTATTGTGGAGAGAGAGAGAAAAAAAGAAATATTGACGGCAAATAACAATCGACCAATGCACACACAAACCGCTCAAGGTGAACATCAAAAGAAAAGAACAGCATTGATATTGAATGAAACACGAGGGGTCGGTGCACCTTTACTTTCTGGCAACAAAGCGGTTTTATTGTTGTTGCGGCACCCGCGTGCATTGTTCAGGTTGCACCGTGTCTTTATTATTCCCCGTGTCACATGAATTACCCGTTGTCTGTGTTCGATAGTCATTGGTATCTTTTCCCGCGACATGTCGCCATCCTATCCCCAGGGGGTGCCCAGTCCTGTGGTGCTGTTGCATAGCATCAAAACCACCCCAATTCCCTGTACTCCTTTCTAGAAGCATTTCTTTATCCTCTTGTCCCCTAATGCTGCACGCAATGCGACCCCCTAATCGTCCAGCTCTTCCCTTATGCCAGACCCCTTCTCTTTTCTAATGCTTTGCAGTGACTGAGACAGGGCCACTAAGGGACAGGCATGGAGGGAGAACAAAGAAAAGAAAAGAAAAGAAAAGAAAAGAAAAGAAAAGAAAAGAGAACGAAACGAAAAGACCGACTTGCGCATCATTCCCGACTTTTTGTTTCTTTCCCTCCTTCGCTCCCTCACTCCCTCACTCCCTCACTCTCTCTCTCTCTCACTCTCTCACTCTCTCACTCTCTCTCGCTTCGCTTCCTTTTCCTTCCCCTTCCTTCCTTCCATTACTTCCCACTCGCTATCACACGCGTGCCACAAGAGGACACTCCATTTCATTTCGACCGTTGTCTTTTCTTTTCTTCTCTATTTGTCTCTTGCATTTGATATCCTTTCTTTCCTTCCCCTCTCCTGTATCCCCACCCTTTTATCATTCCTTCCCTACCTCACCCTTTCCTTCACTCCCCTTACCTCTTTCACTTCCACTCCACCTTTTACAACATTAATCTCACCTAATAACCAACCAGTAATGGCAACGATATGGCACCCACTCCCTGGGAGACTCCAGTCCGTCTCCGTCGCAAACAAAGACAACATCTGGGGGGTCACCCTCGACCTCCAACTCTGCAAGCTCAACTCCAAAACTCAACAGTGGCAACTCGTCTCCGTCACCTCAGGGTCTATCAACCGAGCTCGCCCCACCTTTTCCTCTGCACAGTCTCTTCAGTCGGTGGTCTCACATTCTTCCTTCTCTGCCGCCAAAAAGTTTTCGTCATATCTCCCTTCCCTCGGCAGTTTCACTTCTTCGGCGCCTTCTACTCCTACTGTAGGAGCGATAGCAACTATTTCACCGACTACAACAACAACAACAACATCAAAAACAGCAGCAGCACAACTAAAGAACAATGGTGGCACACCGAGATCACCAGCGATGACCCGTGCCAACACTTCAGCATCGCTCCTTGGTGCAGATACAGGCGAGGATACGGTAGTTCAAGTCTCGGCAGCGTCGGATGGGACAGTTGTGCGACTGGACCGATCGTTGAAGGCGTGGTACATGATTGCACCGCAAAACGACCATGTGGATTACGAGAAGGATGTGATCTGGATCGACCTTGGGCACTTTTGGAAGTGTGTCAGGTAAAACAATAAACAGTAGAGAAAAAGAATATTTGTGCATTCACTTCTCATAGGCTACCTTCCTCCTCCTCTGTTTCGTTTCTTTCTTGCATGTCTCGCGGTTAAGTTTGTCCTCATCCTTGGTATGCTAACTCATTCATGTATGTCTTCAATCATCCCCCCTCCCCCCATCCCTAGTGTGGCATCCATCTCGCAGATATGGGGTCTATCTGATTACGGCGATATTTACTACGGGACATCTGATCGGTTTGTACTGCTCGAGCATGCCATCACCTCAGGTGCAGGATACAACAAACCCACCTTCACCCACATCTCTGTCGGACACGACAATGTCGTCCTCGCCACCGACGCACATTCGGGGACAGTCTTTCGTCTAAAACTACACCCGACTAGTGCTTGTCCGCCTGTTTGGAATGCACTTCCAGGAACAGGACCCGGATCCAGATTGCACATCGTCAATTGCTCTCTTTCTACAGGAGATTTCATTGTTGGAGTTGCAAAGGACGGTCGCGTCTACCGTTACAGTCGTAGTGTTTGGACCCCCTTGGGCGGAGGCGCGAAACTGAACAATGTCGGTGTTGGAATCGATGGCTACGTCCTTGGAGTCGATCGAGACGGCGATCTTTTTGGATGTCAACTCGAGAGCACCGCGGTCGTCATCCCTCCACTAGACCGACCTTCAAGTCGGGAACGGACCTACAAGGCTGTCAAGGATGACGAACCATTAACACCCAGCTCTCCTCAGGCTCCCAACGGACCGAGTCTGTTCAACGCTCCTCGGCAACAAAGCATGTCCAGAAAGCCCACATCGTCACCCCGGGAACTGTTTGAGATGGCGGCCTCGACTTCAGCAGCACGGAATAATAGATTTACGGCGGGAGAATTGAGAGTCGATACTTCGAGGAATACGCGAACATCTTCACCCTTGCGAGAGTCAGGAGGCGCTGGGGGAGCAGCAGGACCAGGAGGGTCGTCTTGGGCAGCAGCGTCGTCGCCTCGTACTTATTATCATTCAAAGGCGGCACCTAGTCTTGATAGAACGGACTCACAGATGTCCAAGAGGAGCTATGCCTCGGATATCGCCATATCGGGGACGCCTACAGGACTCGATCTTTCCCAGCCCACGACACCAGTATCCCCTCAAGTCCCAGGCAGCGATCTTTCGTCATCTTCAGTCGAACAAACTCCAGTGCAAAAAGCAGCAGCGGTCATACCAGTGTCGACTCCTTCTTCACACGGCAGAGCCTCTCCATTGAGGATACAAACCAAGGGTATATCTTCCTCTAGCTCAGGTAAGAATCGATCTTTGTTTTCTACTCCCCTCTCTTTCCCTCCTCTCTCCAACCGTTGTTCTCACTTTTTTGGCTGACATCAATTCTCCTCCTTCATCCATCTAAATAACCCCTCTCTCAACGGACTAAGGAGGCGAGTCGTACTTTACCTCACAGCCTATCACCACATTCGGACCCTCCAGCAACCTGTCACCCCTGACCAGCTTCCCTCTCGACGGCAACCCGTACACTACTGGATCGAAGCCGTCTTCTGACAACTCGGCCGTTCAAACACCCATCACTCCACACTCGGACAACAGTAACAATTTCATCCTATCCGCCTCTTCAAAGTCCTCGTCGGGGTCCGCGTCGAACAAAAACCTGATTCCTGCTGGTCAGCAGAATGCCAATCCACAGAAGGATACCGTCGAGGAAGAGGAGAGTCATTCATCGATAATCGACGGTGCAACTCCACCTTCTTCATCGTCATTGATATCACCATCTGTTTCGCCCTCCGACAGGGTACCCTGCGTTCCTGCCACAGGTCCTGTACCAGAGGCACAGGGACACCAACGACAGCCAGTCTTGGAGGAGGGCGAGAGGCGTTTGGAACAACATTTCCAGCAACCTGATGAAGGGGCCTATGTGGAATACGTGCACGGCTCGGCACCATTGCCTAATGCTACCATTGAGTCGGTGGAAATGGCAATGGCAGGCATTCATGAACCCCGCGATATCCACAGTATTTTTGACCCTCCTCATGATCCTCTTCCCTCGGCCTCAGCAGCGGCTGTTGGTACTGCGACAGGTATCGACTCCCGACAGCCTTTGCGATCACCATTGCCACTGCCACCACCTCCTCAGCCTGCCGTAATCGATGCCGTAATGCCGTCTAACCCACTACAACAGCGCATGGAATTGGATCGACTCCTCAGCAACAGCGACAAGAGTGAGTGGATCGAGAATGGTGCGCATCCTGCTGGTAGACCTGGTCAAACCGGTGACAATAACTACAACAACGACGAAATGAACGATGGTGTGAATATCGCCGAACTGGAAGGCCAAAAGAACAACGACGATGAACATGTCTGGTATGGCGACACTGCAGTTGTTCAACCGAACCTGGACCAAGATAAAAGGAACTCGTCCATGGCCTTTTCCCACCTTGAACAACCAACACCCACCGTCCTATCGACAATAACAAAAACATCAGCCGCAATAACAGGACCTTTCCAGGCGCAGTCTTCTCGGACCATCTCTCCTTTTTCGACACAAGGGCAGCAGCAGCGACAGCCGCCTAGCTTGGAATACAACCAGTCGACACCACCCTTCTCCAGTAACAGCAACAGTTACTACAACGACACAAACAACAGCGGTCAACCCAGAACGGCAGCATTCCACCCCTTGGACATCAGGCTAGAACCGAGTGAACCTCCATCCTCGTCAGCAGCACCTCTATCCTCGTCAGCAGCACCTCTATCCGTATTCCACCAACAGCAGCAAGAAGAGAACCATTATCTCGAGCCCCCGTATCCGTACCAGGACCGCCTGAGCCAGCATCGACCAAGTGACTGTTCTGAGGTGTTGATGCTACAGCAGCAAGAATTCCTAAGACTCACCCGTCTCCGATCCCAGCCCTCTTCTGTCGTTACTGCCAACGACCCCGCTCTTGGTGCCTTTTCTGAAAAGACTGAGGTTCTACGGGATTATCCTTTGTCTGACAAGACCGAGATCGATTCTATCAACAGCACATCCCAACGTCCAGACAACAACGAGACGATGCTGAGAAAACTCCGAGAGAAAATCACCTCACCACCCGGGGAGGCGGGTCCGTCCAAACGTTTATCCGTGTTCATCCCGCCTAACTCGTTGCCACCAGAGTTCGACGAAATCCTCAGGAAACGAGAGAGCCCCAAAATCAACAGGGCCACTAACAATATCCCCAACACCAGCGCCGGCAGTAGCGGGAGAAACAGCCGAAGCAGCAGCAGCAGAGGCAACGCCAATATGAATTACGCGATCCCAGACGAATCCTCTCACCCTTCGTACTCCTCGACACACCTCCAAAACTATGTCAACACGACGATGCCCCATCCGCACCAACACCCGCAGTCTGGTCGAAGCAGTGTTCAAAGCATCAATCTCTCTCCCATCAGTCCGACCCATCTCACCAATCCTACCAACAGCATGACTGGCGTTTATAACTTCAACACAAGTCATAGGTCTAGTTCCGGTTCTGGTGCAGGTCGGAGCCCATACGGACACGGAAATGCGCACGGCGGCGGCGGCAGCGGCAACAACAGCAGGACGACAACGACTGTCGGGAGTGGAGTGGCACCGAGCGCGAGTTCTGGAGGGATCACGGGGGAAGATGCGCAGGGCCGGTGGGTGGGTAGTCCTACGGGTACGGATAACAGAGTGTCTACTTATGGTACCGCGGATATCCACAAGTCCAGGTGCTGCATCATCCAGTGAACATGGCACATTTTCCTTGCTGTGCTTTCATATCGATATCTTTGAATCATGTCGTCCAGTGCCAAAAAAAACAGACACCTGTGGATGAAATAAAGACATCATTTTTTCTGAAACTCTTTTTCTGAGGTGTCTTACAATGGTGGTACACCCACAAAGTTGCATGTTTTGTTGTTGTATTTTTATTGTTTTGTTTGCTGTGTGTTTGAAGTTGATTGCAAAAAAAAAAAGAAGGCAAAGCGCCAACCCAGTCGGTTGTGTCCATGTTTTGAAAAAAAAATGACCATCCTGACTATGGCGATGTATTTCATTCTCTACCACTTTGCCCACTCATTTCTCCCTCCTCTCACTCCTGTATCCATCTCATCCTGTCTGCCTGCAACTGTATCTCCTGCGTTAGGCGATCGCCTCGTAGCCGCTGTTGAACTCCTCACGTTTGCCGAACAAGCTATTACATCAGACATGGCAAAACAAATCAATATTAGACTTGAGAACCATACACTTTTTGTTCGTTTCACTTGTCCAAAATAAGAAACGGGTGTGGGAAAACAGAACGGCAAAAGGGGACACAAGAACGAACAAAGAAACATGCGCATGAGCACGGATGCACAGATGGTGGTCCGTCTGCTTCTTTGTCTGTTACCCTGTGCATCTCGACGTTTTTTTCTCTCCTCTTTTAGTATGCGAAGTGTATGACACGTTCAAAGAACTGCAAGGAAACAAGATTAAGCGGGAAAAGAAGGAAAGGAAGGACAGAGGCTTACAAGTAGATGATGAGGCCGAAAATGGGGAACAGGAAGATGAGAAGAGACCCTATGAACCAGCGACAAAAGAAAGAAGGAACGCCTTGGGGTTAGTGACATGGTCCAACATCAGTTTTTTTTTTTCCCTCTTATTTGTCGCCACTTCCTGAAGGACGAAAAAATTCCTTACAGAGGAGCTTGGAGGAGACGGATCTGGACGAGTTGATGACCTCGAAGATGGCGATAAGGTCGAGGATGAAGACGATCTATTCGTGTTTGGAAAGAGGTCAGATATACTATGTTATGTGTCTGGTTTGTGGAGTTTGTTGACAGAGAGTGTTGCGAATGAGTGAACTGAATGTCATGAGCGTGAGAGTCTCTTTTACCAGTCCGAGGAATCCACCAGAGTATGCAGCGGGATGCATTGTGCGAGTTGTGTGTTGTGTTGTGTAGAGTGGTGGTGGGTGGAAGGTGGAAGGTGCGGGGCGAAAGGTGAAGAAAGGAGTGAGGAGACGTGGAGGAGTCGTGTGAGTGTAAGAAAAGAAAAAGTCGACAAAGACAGAAGCCAAGACAAGGAAGAAAGTCGCAGAGGCTGCCTCCAAGGCTCAGCTTACAAAACTACGCAGCGATGACTACATTCCTATTACAATCAAGCCAATCAGAAATGCGACTGGCTGGCTGGTCTCATATTTATGATGCTTGATTGACCTATACCTTATTACGCGTCAACACCCACACAAAGGCGCGATGTTATACATGTCCTACACAACAAGGCTCAAGAAACAAAGAAAGGGAAAGATACAATCCAACTTACCTACATGTCGTGTCTAATAGAACCTTCAGACAACTATCGCTCCTTCTTGCAATTCTCCTTTGCTTCATGTTTTGGGACATATTTCAGCGCAATATTCCATTTGTAGATATTAATACAGCTGTATTGAAGGCGTAGAAATGGCAGGTATACCGATTGACTACGGACACAGGGACGGGTCACAGCCAGGCGTCTCTTCCACTTCACCACATTTCTTCATCGTTGATCACAACTAGTATAAAGAGAAGCCAAGACCGGGCACACTTTTGGCTCTTTCTCGTTCTCTCTCTCTTTCTTTCCCCTCTCTACCCTTTCTCTCTTTCCTTCCCTTCTCTTCTTCTGTCACACATTTTCTCTTTCACACACCCATAGACACCCTATACCCCTACCCACCTTTCACTACACCAAAGCCCTCCAACCAACAACACACACTCGCTCCCTCCACTCGAAATGTCGGGTCGCAATTCGAACCACGGTACCGAAAACGGTGCTGGGCACGAATCAACTCGAGAACGAATAAACAACCCTCGAACCGCCGCGTCCATTACCCCTACGAGCGATCAGCAACAGCAGCAGCAGGAGCAAGAGCAGGAACTCGCACCTCTCCCGGAGATCGACAACGCCACCCATATCGTTGTTGAGCACCATCGCGCAGGAACTGTCAGGACCCATGTCTATTGTTCCAAGGACGGCAAGCCCTCCCTCCTGGGGCATGAAATCCCTGATACCACCGCCATCGCCAACAATAGGTAACTTATTTGTACATATGTGGATCAGTTTTGCTTTGAAAAAGCGACCGTTATAGATAACAAACAAAAATACCGCATTTCCACACACCTCAAATAGCTTCAAGGAAGTCTTCGAGTCGGGTCTGGAAGATAAGATGAAAGCCCTCAAGACCTTGGTCAAGGATTCCTTGGACCAGACAACAAAGGCTTCACTCGACACGGTCGACTCCTTGAAACTCGCTGTGGTTGAGAGCGAGGAACGGTTGATGGCTCAGGTCTCCCTTGCCACCACAAATGCCATCGAGCAGCAGATCAAGACGGATGTCGTCCCTAAGCTTGACTCTATCGAACGCCTCCTTCTGGCGGGTGGGGTGAATAGGAAGAAGGAGTCGTCGGTTCAGTCAGGTACTACTTCCCCACACTCGGAACACTCTGGTGCTAGCTTGGAGCCTTTTGACCGCCGTCTGCCCCCAGACCAAGAGCCACCTGGGGAGAATGCTGAGGCTGACGAAGAGCCCAACGAGCACGCTGGCGCCAACACCACCACGGCGATGGCGGTCTTGGAGAGGCTGAGCTCTCAAATGGATGACCTCTGTAGGGTCGTAATCGACGGAGATACTTCACTAAGCAACGCCCAGGAGAACTTGGACCCCGAGATGGCTGCCCGAGTCGAAGCCATGCAAGAACAGCTGTTGTCGATGTCTGAACCCGAGCCCGCTGAGCCCGCCCAACCCCCAGTCCCTGACCGGATCGATGAGCTGCTTCAAATGGTGACCAGGAACCAAGAGACCCTTGAGGCGACTGCTGCGGCTGCGACTGAGCTCACAGTGCAACAGGAACAGACCCGGAAGGAGGATGATGAGGCTTGGAAGACTTCGCTGAAAGAGTTGCTGGCATCTCACCAGACTGGTCCTGGTGGGTTTGACGCCAATCTCCTTGCACTCGAGAACGGGTTCAAGAACATGGATGCAGGATTTCAAGACTGGACCAAGACTCACCGCATGTCCCTAAATGTCTACCTCAGTAAGGATCGTTGAATCTTTGTTTAATATATGCATGGGATTATCATAACGAATACTTACTTACTGACAACAACATACTGTTTTTATGTCGATCACAATAGAATACATGTACATGGTGTTCAAGAGCACCAAGGGTGTCGAAATTCGTATCGAGTCCGCCCTCGAAGATGTCCGAGCCCAAGCCTTGATGGAACCCGAGCGCCGTGCAGAGTTCTCCAACTACCTGCAGGCCATACGCTCCGATATCTTTGTCGTTCTCAGTACACTCCCCGAGTCCATCGTCAGCGCCATGAAGCGATCGCAAGAACCTGTCATCCCCGAAGGATTGCCTGAGGGAAGAGAAAAAGCTATCGATTCCCAGCCTCTTATGGACCGATCTGGCCCAGGATCGGATTCTGCATCTTTGGCGCCGGTTAGATCGATTGTCGCGACTGTTGCTGTGGAAGTCACTCCGCCCGATGCAGATGTCGTACCCGTTGTTGAGGCAGAGCTGCCCAAGTCTGACCCTGCGATCGAAAGGCTGGTTCTCACCGTCGAGAGCATTCGAGCCAGTATTGCTTCCATGGTCGAAAAGAACAGTGAGCTGGTTGCCCCGCCTACCCAGGCCCCTATGCCAACATCTCGCGATATTCAGGACTCTGTTATTGTCGACCCTGAGGCTCCTGAACCCCCACCCCGCGAACCAACTGTTGGCGACCGATTGAGGGCTGTTGAGGAGCAACTGGCCACCGCCGCGGCTAGAGCCGCCACTGCCGAGATCGAGGTTCCTATTGAATTTTCAGTCACTGCCGCCGGTAGAGACCCTGTCAGGGCTCCTCTACCACCTCTGCCTATTCAAAGAGGTAATCCCAACCCAGGTCCTTCGCCCGGCTACCTTGGTCAATCAGAATCGGCCGCCGCTTTCACTACTGCAGCAGCTGCAAATGCGTCTGACCCGTATGCCGACGAATCCAAGACCGAGATTGTTGAAGAACAAGGTCCCAGCCAAGCAGTCGAGGAGATAACTGCCGCAGCCTTCCTTCCCCCTAGACCCGACTTTCTGGAGGAACTCGAGTCAGTGAGCAAGAGTCTTACTGAACTGTTGCACATTATTAGCGAAGGTCAGACACACATGCACCAGGAGATGCAGCGCGAGTTCCTCAGAGTCATCCATACGATAAAATCCTCAGAGACCGAGGAGGACCGAGCCCAGAAGGCTGAAGTCGAGAGAAGGGCGCGTATTGGGGAGATAGATGCTGAGCGGTTCCAGGTTGCCGAGGAGAAGCGGATCAAGGAGGAGCAAGAAGCTGCCTACAAGGCCGCCGAGGAGCGAACCTTGGCCTTGGATCGTATCTCGATGATCCCCAATTTGATGAACTCGCTTGAGGGCGTCAACTATCATCTGGGACAAAAGTCGGACAATGCGACGGCTGAGATCAGGGAGAGGCTGAATGTGCTCAACACAGGTACTGCTGTTGTCGAGGGTCACGTTGTCGCGTGTTTGAACAAGGTTCAGCTCATTGTCGATGGTAACATTCAGGATTCGTCTGTGCTTAACGAAATCAAGTACCAGATCGAGGAGTTTGATGCTAAGCTGGAGAGGACGATTAGGAACGACGATGACGCGCTGAAGGTCCAAGTTGCCGAGGCGATCAAGAAGACTGAGGATGTCATTGTCCTGGTCGAGGATGTCAAAAAGATCAGCGAAAAATCTCTGTCCGTCCAAGAAGAGCTTCAGAAGCAGATCGGAGAGTGGCACCAGAAGCAGGACGAAGGGATTGAGGCCCTTGGGATTAAACATGGAGAGTCGTGGGAGGTCTGGCACAAAAAGCATGACGAAGAATGGCAAGCCTGGAAACAGACTCACGAAGACTCGATTGGCAACCTTATCAACCTTCACGACCGCAAGGACCTTTCTTTCCTCGAACATGTCGAGGCCAGACGAGGACACCACGAAGAGCTGCAAGGGTGGCACAAGATCCACGACGACCGACTTGAGGAGCTCGAGAGGCACCGTTGCCACTGCTGTATGCCTGAACCCCTCCCTGACTCCGATCCCGCAGTCGAGGCTGATGGCCAGAGTGTTACCGGTGGTACCGCCCCATGCGCTCGCACGATTGACTGTTGTGGTGGCGATGTCGGTGATATTAATCCCTGTACCCGTCGCGTCCGTGAGCTCCTTGAGGAGTTCCTGAAGCAAATTCTTCCAGGCTATGGCCCTGAGACCACCACCGTTCTACCCCATTCCACATCAGGTGCCATCGCTTCCGAGCTTCGAGATATCGAAGGCACCGGTGTTGAGGGTGACCCAACTGAAGACAGGCCAACTTCACCTGGCCTCTCTTTCACGACCAGGAACACGTCTGGGGTCATTGTCCCTGAACCAAGCATCCACGCTACTACCATTCATCCTACTGACTCCCTTCACCCTGACGTCATCCCGCGAGGCGAGGCTGCGACCTATCACGGTGCTGTCGATCCTCTTCTTGAGGGTACTAATGTCGCAGAAGCGGCCCATGTAGCTACCGAAGATCCTGCTGAGGGATCGGCAGAAGTTGTTGAGCGATCTTTACCCACCCCTTCGATTCAAGTCCCACTCCCTCAAGCGCTGTACGACCTGTTGCGCCCCTTCTTCCACCCAGAGTCAGATGTCCTCGTTACCCGAACAAAAGAGCTTGAGGATCTCCAGAGCATGTTTAAGAGTTCCGAGAAGGAGTGGCAGGATAACGAAGACCGGCTGTTGACGACGATTAAGGAGCAAAATCGAGAAATAGGAAAGCTGAGGCAGCGGATGGATCAGATCCGAGTGGATCTTGACAGTGCCACTCAAGAGACTCTGAATCTCTGCAAGAGTAAGTATTTTTTATTTGTTTTATTCCATTTTTGATATTCTTTTGTGCAGCTCTCACTCAATTTTTTTTTTTTTTTTCCTTATTGATCAATGGTGAATGGTGATAGTGGGCTTGGGTTTGAAGCCAGATCTGTCGAGAGTGGCCCCTGCCCCTGCCGTCGAGTCGAGCGACGAATCATCTGACAATGCTAGTGAACATTCAGAATCCCCGCAGCCAGAGATGATCCCCCACCTGAGTCTCATGTCCGAAGCCTCTGCTTCCCTCCGCCAGGCCCTCGACGAGACCTCGGCACAGAGGGGAGTCATTCACGAGGAGATCTCAATGCTTGAGAACAAGAAGGAACTTCTCTTGCAGGAGGTTGCCATCTTGGGGCGACAGTGCTTCGAGTTGTCGTCCACACCTACTCCAGTGGCTGCTGCTGCCATTGCCCCCCAGGTGGAAACTGTAGCTGAAGCGCATTCTCAAGGCGACGGTCCTGAGACCAGGGAGCCGGTAGATGATGACCATGATCCAGAATATGTGACAGAGGACGAGAACGGACGCTCGCGCGGTCGCGGCAGCCGAGCAAATCGATCCCGACCCCAGTCCGTCTTGGGCGGCAACGCTAGTGTAGGAGGCGTTAGTATAACTCCCACCGGAAATGTCCCAGGTTCACGAGCCAATGTCGCCACTAGTGCCCGAAGCAATCGCGACCAGAAACGCCAGGCCGTCTACCGACGAGGACACTCCCGAGCCCGAGCCATGGAATCTTCGTCGTTGTATCTGCAGGACCGCGTTCCTCAGTTGGAGGCAGATGTGAAGATCTGCCAGGATGGGGTTCAGTCCGAGACGTTGTTGTCGTCCAAGACGGTGTTGACGGATGAGCAGTTTGAGCGGATTCGGTCGTCGCGTGCTGAGGCAGGGATTGAGCAGAACACGGATGATGTCTGGTCGCTCAAATTTGATGTCCGCGTCAAGATGGTCCCGAATCCTTAGATAGCTCTTTTATGGTTGCTTGAACAGTACGAGATACATAAGAAAGAACATATATTAGAATCGTGATCCATGTGTGCCCCACTCAGGGTCCGAGGTTGCCTCGCGAGAAACACATAGAAAATAAAAAAAAAGCAGTCAACTCCCTTGTCCTGTTTGGTGTTTTGATCCCGACCCTTCGCTTTGCTCATTGCAACTCCTTTGTTTCTTTTTCTTTTTTCTTTTCTTCTTCACACATCACACCTTCCTCAAGGAATCGAGCAGGAGCCCTTCTCAGGAACCAGGAATCTCATCTCCCCAAAAAAAAAAAAGCCGTTACAAGGGAATCACACAGATCGATCGCCAGAAATAATCATGTCTCTCCCACTCATGGCCACAGCAGGCCGTCTGCGGAGTGTCGTCGTCCTCTCTACACGGTCACCAGCTACAGCAACTGCCAGCCGCCTTCATTCTACTATTCCTCTCGGTCTCGGTACTAGGAACACCATAATCTCATCGTCGTTGTCTAAGAGGATACCGCAGCCAAGGGCAACATTCACAACACTCTCGAACCACTCGGCACTCACTCAGGACCAACCTCATGCCCTATCCTCGTCGGCTGTCGATGTCAATAATAGCCAGGAGCAGGACTGGAGGTCCAAAGTCATTGTCACCTCTTCACCCACACCATACACAGTGCCATCCACAAAGCCCTCAACAACAACATCATCATCCTCATCTTCTTCAGCAGTCTTTGCAACAGTCAACCAATCCGACAACGACAGCGACAACGACGGTGACAACCAAGTCTACATCAAGCGGAAAATGAAGTTCACGCCCGAGATGGACAAGGAGATCCTTCGACTTCGGGACGAGGTCGGTTTCTCCTGGTCAGTGATCGCATCCAAGCTTGGAGTGCCCCACCGCGCCTGTCACCGTCGGTACATTTCCTTACTCGATCCGAAACTCAAAGACGACTGGCCCGAGGAAAAAGTCCAGCGGCTGGATGCGCTAGTGGCGGAGGGGAAGACATGGAGCGAGATTGCAAAGGAGTTGGATGATTCGTCGATGAGCTGTCAGGCAAAATGGAAGGCGCTCGTCAAACCCACGGAGGCGGAACGGAACAGGGTCTTTGATACGTTGCAGTCGAGGGTGCTTTTGGAGTTGGTCAAGGAGCATGGGTCGGATGATTGGAAGGCGGTTTTTAAGGGGTTCATGTTGGAGCTGGGAGGGAGGGATATGGCCAAGGTGACGCCGGAGCAGTTAAGGCATCAGTATTATCGGCTGAAGCGGAAGCCGACTCGGTTTTGGTCCTTGAATGAGGAGACAGCGTTGATTCAGCATGTCTTGAAGCATGGGACGGGACAGTGGGGTATGATCTCCGAGGCGCTCAAGTATCATTCTCCGGATCAGTGCAAGGAGAAATGGACGACTATGGATATGACCAACAAGACGCCCAAGGTCAAGGCCTGGTACAAGACTGAGCAGGCCAACTTTTGGAGGCTCTGGCAGAGGTTCGACCAGGAGTGGGAGAAAATTGCACGGTCTTTGCCGGCGCGGACGCCGCAACAGTGTCAGGATTTCTTTAACCGGGCGACGGAGAAGCTTGATAGGACGGATGAGGGACAGTTCAAGAAGAAGGTTGAGAGTCTTGCCGCCGAGATGAGTCAGTACCGGACGATTACCTGGACAAAGGAGGATTCGGACCGGTTGTGGGAGGTCGCAGAGGTGTGCAAGTCGGGATTGCAGAGCCGTCGAGTCAACTGGAATGCTGTCGCTGAGCGGATGAACCTCGACTTGACGCCCGCCCAGTACAAGCATCACCACTACTATCTCCGCACGGTTCGCAATGGGGGACTGTCGGGTCTGTGGACGGACGCGGAGATCAAAAGGCTGGAGATGGCTGTTCAGGAGGTAGGACGGAATTGGACCCTGATCACCAGGGATTACTTCCCCCATCGCAACGCCAAGAGTCTTTGTCACAAGTTCCACTCTATCGTTAACAAGGGCCAGTATATCACCGACGAGGAGTACGACACTTTGTTGGCCAAGGTCGACCTCCAGGAGAAAGAGTTCAACTCTTCTCCGGCGAAAGCAACAGGAGCAACATTCACACCAAACTGGCAGGCGATCGCAAAGGGGATGCCCGGCATCACATGGACAGCAGAGCAATGTCGAAAGGCCTACGACGGATCGTTCAGGAACCATCTCAAGAACTCCAAATGGACCGCCGAGGAAGACAATCGGTTGTTGAAGGCGACAAAGATGTTGGGGAGGAAAAATTGGGTCGGTGTTGCGGCGGCGGTGTCGGGGAAGGACTCTTGGGAGTGTCGGATGCGGCTTGCAGAGCTCCATGAGCCCCTTGTTGAGGGTGCCGAGGCTCTTCCGGGGTTGGTGTCTAAATCTAAGGAAGTGTCTTTCATGTCAATGTAGATTGATTTTTCGTTTTTTTTCTTTCTCTTTTCTTTTTTTGTGGTGCTGCGGAAGTCGAGTAATAAACCGCATCATAGACAAAGGCCTTTCTTTTGAGCCACTTTGCGTTCTTTGTGCCAAAGCAAAAAACAAATCATATTTTCACACTTTTGTGCTGTACCATGGTGGATGTGTTGTGTTCCTTTCACGACAACAAAGTAAGATAGCATCATCACTGGCAAGATCCCCAAACACCATTGCATGAGAGAAGAAGTAATAATACTGTACAAATTCTTTTTTTTTTTATTCTTGGTTGAAGGATGAGGTTGAAAAGAGGGGGTAAAAACACAGAAAAACTAAAACTACAAAAAAAAATATTGATATAGAAAGGTGGGTTATTTGGCATGTGAAAAGAGAAACAGAGAGAGGGTAGTGATCAAGTTACCAGCCACCATTGCCGAACGCGCTTCCGAATCCACCGCCGAACCCACCACCGAACCCATTGCTTCTACCACCATTGCTACCACCGCCACCATAGTGATTCTCAGGCTCGGCAACAAGAGTGGTCCCAGTGCACCAAGGGCTATCCATAACCTGTCCAATCTTCCAGCGATCGTCAGGCTTGGATCGGAACATATGTCTCAACAAATCGCGGGCCTCAGCACTGCATTCAGTCGGATCTTCATATCGGCCGTTCAGGATCTGGTGTTGGAGTCGTGGTTCGTACTCGTCCTGGAAGGGCAGACGGCCGGTAAGGAGGGCATAGAGGACCACACCGAGGGACCAGACATCGGACGAAGGACAACGGAGAGGTTTTTGGGATCGCAGTTGTTCAGGTGAACAATAGGCGAGTGATCCTCCAACCATGTCCTCTTCCTCGTCATCTTCCTCCACCATCGTGCTGCTGGTGCTGGCGTGGCTCGAGCACCCGTCCTGGGAGAGGGTGTGAGAGTGACTTTGGCTGTTGCTATCGTCGGCGGAAGTGTTCATGGCTCGGGGGTTGTAGATGGTAGGTGAGCCAAAGTACGAGGCTGCTTCCTCGTTCTGGTACTCGGCCAGGCCGAAATCGCAAATCTTCCAGGTTCCGTCCTCGTGCTGCAGGATGTTCTCGAGTTTTATGTCGCGGTGGACGATTCGTCGCTCCTCGTGAAGGTATCGAACTGCTTCTGCGACTTGGTTAAAAATTCGTTTTGCATGATCCTCATCCAAGCCCGTCCTACTACTACTGCTGCTGCTGCTGCCCCATCCACCACCATAGCCCGAAGTCGACGTCGAGGCGGCCGAAGAAGCAGCTGCAGAGGTCTCACGAGTGATATAGTCCAAAAGGTGTCCACCCGTGCATAGCTCACAGAACACAAACGTGTCCGTCGGGAGTTTCTCGACGGCCAAAAACGGAAGCACGTTCGGGTGGGTGAGACGACTCCAGATGGCAATTTCCTTGTCCAACATCCTCTGCACCCGATCGTTGTCCGTCAGCCCTGTCTGGGTCTTGACAATCTTCACCGCTACCTGCGCGACCATTCCGTCCATGTGGATTGCAAACGCCTCGCGCACCAGAGAGAATCCACCGTGGCCGATCATCTTGCCCATAATGAATTCGCCAACTTGTTCACCTTCCTCATCGGGTGCCATCCGTGGGGCTGTGACCTCAACAAAGTTGGAGAGGAAGGCCACTGCTGGGGAGTAAGGCAGGGAGCTGTAGGAGGACGAAGTCACCATGGCAGTGCTGGGAGAGACGGCGCTGCTGCCGTTCTGATTGAAGGGGAAGGAGGTTGTAGACGAGAAGGAAGAGTTGAAGCTGGGTCGTGTTCCTGAAGAGATGGTTCGCGAGCGGTGAAGGCGGTTGATGGGGAAGCTGGGAGTGTTCTCGGGTGCCTTCCATGAGACCGAGAGTTGTTCCAAAGAGTTGACGAGGGCAGAGTTGGCGCGAGGGGATGAGGGTGAGAGGGAAGGGAGGAGAACAGAAGGTGAAAGTTGGGTATCAAAAGTGCTGAACGTATGTTGGTACATCGACGGTGCTGGAGGCAGGGCCGAGCTGAGCCGGGACTGACTGGCCATCATCAGAGGGCGCGTTGAGCTGTTGCTGCTGGTGACTGGTGTGGCGGCGACCGACGATAGTGAGATGGTAGAGGAGGGGGTCGAAGTCGAAATAGACGATGTCGATGACGAAGGAGGGCCTTTCTTCAGTCCAAGAGCAAGTTGTCCCTCAGGTCGAGATTGTAATTGTGTGGTCGACGAGTGAGATTTGGGCAACTGGCTGGTGGAAGCAGCTCGCTTGACTGTTGCTGTCGTCGTCGTCGATGTTGTAGTTGTTCCTGCTGCAACCGATTTTGGGACATCCTTGGTCACAGGCCTAGAGTTGATAGTTGTTGTCGCTTTGACCGTAGGAAGATTCTGCAGGCGGGCTTTGGACGTGTCGATAGAAATATTGGGATGAGCTTGACTGGGAGAGTGAGTACGATAGGTCGACTCGGAAGGAGTAGGGGAGGAGTGACCCTTGCTGTTGTTGCAACTCAAGGGGGTGTTACTGCGCTTTGGAGCAGCAGCAACAAGAGGAGGGACATAGCCTGCTTGGCCGTGAGGTGATTGTTGCCGTTGTTGTTGCTCCTCCTGGTATTGAATGTGTGAAGGGAACTGCGGCATCAACTCATTGGTGTGGTCATGGCGGTTCTGGGTATCGGGTCGCTTTGTGTCTGTTGCAGCGAGGTGGTAGTAGTGGTATTGTCGCTGAAGGGTATCATCATCTTGCTCGTCCTCGTCATCATCGGTGAGCCGGGAGTACTTTGCCAAGTCCTTGGCCTGGGCAGCTTTGGCGGCCTTGAGGTTGTCTGCCATCAGGTTGATGCTGGTATGACTGTCACTGTTGCTATGACTGTATCGTTGCTGACGTTGGTACCGAGGCGACAGATCCTCTCCTGCCCTGCCTCGACTATCGACACTGCCACCTGCAATACCGAAAGGTGAGTCGTTTGCCTTGAAGTCGCCGCCATTGTTGTTAAAAAACCGGAAGCTTGGTTTGCCAATCGGAATACCGCGGATCTCGGACATGTCTGTGTAATGTCCACTATCATGACGCACGTCTGCATCCTCTATATCCTCATCTTCGTCGTCTTCGTCGTCCTTATTGTTATTATCGTCATTGGCAAGGTTGATATCTTCGTTAATGTCGGGATGATGAAGACTGTGGCGGTAGTTGCGAGGGTTATTGTTGCTGTTGGTGTTTCGTTGTGAGTTACCGAGGAGACGACCGATATCGAACTTCGAGTTGGCACTGGTGGTTGTTAGACCGACTAGACCGCCATGTCCATTGTTGTTGTTGTTGTTGTTGGTGGCAGACAGGGTAGTTGAAGAAGAAGAAGAGGACGAGGAGGAAGAAGAGAGAATTGAAGAGTTGGCAGGGTTGTTGTTGGATACAGCGGCGGTGTGGGATTGAGAGCGAAGGATGGGAGGACGTTGGTGAGCGTGGACGGGGTGAGAGGAGCGAGAGGGGATAGGCTGGGGGATGGAAAATGTCATCCAGAAAAGAAGTGGAGTCGTAGGCTAGATTGGGGAAAGGGAAGGAGAGTGGAAAAGAGAGTCGACTTCGAAGGATGGCTGTGGGTCAGGCGAAGCGGGGACGGAGATAACGGAAAATATAATATAATTCGACGGTATTATTTACGGTTGTGCAAGGTGTTGTTGACAAAGTAGTGTTGACGATGGAGAAGGGAGAGTGAATGAGAAAAAGGTTCGTTGTAGACAGCTGAATGAGTTTTGTGGAGAAATAAAAAAGGGGGGGTGTTTGTAGAAGGAAGAAAAAAGAAGAAGGCAAGAGAAAGAGAAAATAAGAGAAAAGGAAAAGGCGAAGGGGGTTGGTCCGGAAGAGTTCAAAGATAAGGAAAATGGAGACGGGACTAAAAAAGGGGACCAGCAGCAGCAAAACTAACATATGAAGATGAAGAGGGGCAGAGATATGGTATCAGAGACAGTGATTTGATTCAATCAGTATAGAACTATGTTTCTTTCATCACCGGACATAGACATCATCGCTTCGCTTCTTTGTTGCCGTCCTTTTGCTCAGTCAGAGTGTTCATAACCATAAAATCAATGAATGACCGACCCCCTTGCTGTTCACTTTGGATTTTGGCACTAGTGGAGAGGAGTACATATGCCCTTCCCTCTCTCCCCTCTCTCCCTCTCCCTCAAATTCCCTCCGAGCGCGGGTGTTGTCCTCCTCCCTTTCCTCTTCTCTCTTTCCCTCTGCCTTATCTCTTGCGAGCTCATCCACCTTTGTTTTTTTGTTTGTTTGTGTTCATGCTTGTGCCCCTTTCGATCCTTGCAGATGGATGGGACGAGGATAGGTTAGGATGAATGGATTGACAGATAGACAGCACACACAAAAGGTGGGGAACGACATGCCATCTTGTTTGCATCTCTTCTCCTCTCCCTGACTTTCCTCGCTTACTTCCTCCATCTTTTGTGATCTTCGCTAGCATGTGCACCTATTTTTTCTGTCAACCTTTTCCCCACACTCCCTTTCCTGTCACTTTGCTCTCACTTTTTTTTCTTTTGACTTCCCACTCCTTGAGCCATCAAGTCCCTTTCTCCTGCTTTGATGCATAATCGAGCATGTAAGGTGCAATGGACAAAGAGAAAACAACAGCAACAAACAAAAAAAAAAAAAAAAAAAAAAAAAAAAACGACATACTCTTCTTCATAGATGAGATAATCATCACTCAGGCAAGCGACACTTTTTTTCTTCTTTTCTATTCTTTTTCTGTATCCTGGTCACCAGGGATGTCCTTGCATGAAAGAAAAAAGGGCTCTCATCCGCAACACAAGACACTAATTCATACTCTTTTTATTACCATTTTCTATTGTGCTTTCCCTACCCTGCCCAACCTTGGCCAACGTTTTTCTTGTTCCCTATCCTTTCCTGCGATTGCATATCTACGCTATGTCCTTCATCATATGACCATTCCCCTATTTCCAATGCCATGGCCTGTTTTTTTTTTTTTTTTTTTTTTTTTTTTTTTTTTGTTTGGCTTAGCAAGCAAGCAAGCAATTGGACAAACCGCAAAAGAAAGGTTTTCTAGAAGTTGTGTAGTGGGTATTAATAATATATGGGTTTCATCCAACCGCCCCGTTATTTTCCTACCCCTTCAAATTTTCCTACAAACTACAAGATGACATCTAGACACCCTGTTAGAAACCATTAGAGACATCCATACTCACTCGCAAAATCAAACATTAACCTACATTTGAAGGGAAAAGGTGGGAGAGGGCAAGGGGAAAAACAGGCACCCATAAAACGTTTTCTTGTGTTTTCATTTCTTTGGCTTATTTGATTTGAGGTCCCTTGCTTTTTTTTTTATCTTTTTTTTTCTCGTAGAGATGAAGAAAGGGAGCCGGGCATTCCCGATAATTTAACAAGCGAGCGAAAGTACTTTTTTTTTTTTTTGGCTCCAACAGTCCCGCCGCAACGAATAAAACGATCTTGGGGTTTATCTATGCAGCGACTCCGGTCATCAAGAAAGAACGCACACGCACAAAAACAGAATTGAACGAGCGAGTCCGACGAGCGGATGGACGGACGGACTTTGACGGACAGGGACGGAGTGAGCGAGGAACGGAGCAATTGAAAAAGAGTGATGAATGAAACCATTAGCCAGCAAAGGTGCTTATTATTTTCATTTTTATCATAAATTGGATCCACGCTCCCTCTGGTCCCTGATTCTCCTGCTGAAAACGTAGATTATCAAGTAACATGGTGGCGGGAAAAAATAAATATCCAAGAGATCAAGGGTCAGAGTGCTCCGGCAACCCCCTCTTTCTTTTTTTTATTCTTCGATCACCTATCAGACGCCAAAAACCCATCATCATCATTTTTTAAAAAACTTTAATAGAAGACCCAAAAAAAAAAAAAATTATGACGAATGAGTGAAGGAAGTAGTTGCTCTCCCGCTTCATTTCTATCTTTTTTTTCCACTCTCAACTCAATCATTCTTTTCTCTTGCCTCTTCAGGTCTTGTGAACTCTCTTTCACAGAAAACGAACACAAGAGAAAAAACGCGGTAATTCTTTCTTACCTATTTCCCAGCTGTCATGTGAAATACTCGAACAGACAAGAACAGCAATCTAGCGCTGCCCCACTCTCTCTCTCTCTCTCTCTCCCCTCCAGCTCCTGTCTATGCAGTATCTCCCCACTCCAGCCCCTGTCTATGCAGTATCTCCCCCCCCCCCCTCTTCCCGGGAATGTATTGTGCAACAAGCTAAAAAAGCAAGATGACATCGGTCTCTCCCTCCCTTTTTCCCTTACCCTACCGGGAAGAAGACAGACAAGCATTGTTCGAGCTGACTTTATGCATTTCATTGAGTGAACTACTCCTGCTGGACAGTACTTTTTTTTTAAATGGGAGGATTTTCGCAGGACAGTAAAAGAAGAAAGGAGAGCGAACCGCGTTTTGGTTGGCCCGATCACCATACCTGCAACTTGAGTAAGCGAGTAGGGCGAGCAAGCGAGTAAATGCTCAGAAAGAAAAGAGGTGGGTGCAAATGCATGCATTTGCATTGTATCTCAAAGCAAAAAAGGAGGGGTTGGTTGGTCAATCTGAAAGAGTACAGTACATGACCTGAGTATATGAACCAGTGGTTACTATCGACACCACCTGGTGATCACATTCGGTATAAGCAACAATGGACGGCACACGAAATGATTTCATTTTGAAGAATGTTTTACAGATACCTTTACATGCGAGATAAAAAAAGGAGAGAGTAATTTGTACAAATGGTGAAAGAATGAAAATGTGAAAAGAAAACGCGAAGAAAACAAAATAAAATAAAAAAATGGAAAGACAAAAAATAAAACAGAGGAACAATCGTTCATCAAAGAAAAATGAAAAAAGGAAAAAAGAAATAAAAAAAATCGAGGCTACTGCCTCAAGAGCAGACCATGGCGCGCTCGTAGCCGTTGCTGACAGTGACGCGGACATCAACTCCAGAGTCAGTCATCTCGTGGCTGGAAATCTCGCCAGCTGCCCTAGCTCCGACTCCTGTCGCTGTCGCAAAGCATCCGGACGGGATCATGTCCTCGGGCAACATCTCCTTCAGCTCGTTCAGCGACACCGTGTTCATGCCCAAATCGCCCAAAATCTCGGTGTCAGAGATAATGCTCAGCTCATCCTGGTGTGGGATCTTAACCTCCACCATCGTCGTCTCATCTCCAGTCACTCCACAATGTCTCTTGCTCTTGCCACTAAAAGAGAAAATTGATTCATAAAGACGGTCATTGTTAGGAATAGGCATTCAATACTTCCACTGAATACAACTTGCGGGCCGTAAGAATGCCATTGATGCTCACCTTTTGCGGGGACGCTGATCCTCCCGCATGCGACGGACAACAGAAATGTTTGCCTCAGAGTCAGAGCTCTGGCCTGCATATCCAGGAATCCGAACAATCACAAACGGAAGCTGGATCCTCTGCCCTTCCTCTGCATTCGCCCTATCAATCGCAGCTTCCTTCTCCTGACGCTTATGAGCTCGCTTCTCCTTTCGTTCGCGTCTCTCTCGCCTCTCCTGTTTGCGCAACCGACGAGCCTCTTCATCCTCTGGCTGGCCAGCCTCCCCATTGTCATTCGCTCCGTCGTGCTCATGGCTGCCATCTTCGCCTAGGTCGACACGGGGTGTACCTTGACGCGACGCGTGGTGGCCATGACGCTTCTCTCTGCGCTCCTGACGTTCCATCTTGCGAATCCGGCGAGCTGTCTCCTCGTCAATATCTTCTTCCGTTTCATCACCCACCACTTGCCTCTCTTCACCACCCTCGCCCTGTTTGTCCGGACGGGGTGTAGAGTGTCGATGGTGACGTCTTTCAGAACGCTTCTTGTGTTCGTCACCATTCATTCGTTGCTTCTCGTCCAGATCCTTACTATGACCATCACCAAGGTGAACGCGCTTCTCCTCACGCTCCTGCTTCCGAAGTTTTCTGCGCTCCTGTCGCTCCAGCTCTTTGCTCTCTAGCAGTTTGTTGCGCTTGATCAAATTGTTCAATTGAACATGCTATATATTGGTGGCAAAAATGGTTAGTGACATTCGATCAGATTATTTTTTTGCATTCAATCCGCAAGCAATACATCGCGATGCAAAAAACAAGCTCGACAATAACAGCGAAACGTACTCGAGCTACTTGGTCTTGAAGCTGTGCCATCTCCAATGCAGTCTTCAACTTCAAGGCCTCGACTTCTTTCTATTTATCGCAGCGAAAAGATTGGCAATGTATCGTCAGTACGAGTCCACAAAGGAATACTCACCCCTCCACAATTGCCAGCGCATATTAAAGAAGAGCAACAAGAAAAAAAGTCAAAATACCTGAAGCTGCTCAATTTCCATGTCATCATCTTCTGGCTCCTCACTCTCGTCAGCGCCATCGCGCTCTTGTTGGGTCAAGGTCCGGGCTGGCAAGTTTGCACCACTGACGCGTCGGGATGCCTCACGAATGACTTTAGCGTCCTGGAGGCCGATCCAGCAAATCTCCTTTTTGTCCATAGAAATGATATCCAGTGCCTGCAGAATGTTGAGGGCATCATACACTCGACGGCGAATGTTCTAGTGATATCAATGAAAGAGCCACTTTTTGTTAGGCAGGTTGTTGCAGACTATTGAGTACGCAATCAACGTGGTTGTTCATATTGTAATATACAGTTGCTTCACGTACGCCTTGTCCAGCAGGTTCCTGAGGATTCGTTCCATCTGCCCGATCAGCCTGGGGAGTCCCAGCTGGAATGCCTGCAAGGTCGTTGACAACCTAAATATACATTATTGGTGGTGGGAATAATAGTGATGTTAGTGAATGCCTCTAGGCCCTGTCAAGATTGTTAATTGCTCCATGTGAGAAGGAGAAGGAGAAAAAGTAAGTAACTTACATCATTGTAGGTGGTCACACCTCTTGCCTCCACATGATCGCACACCAGAGGGGCATAGTACCCTAGACCTTTGCCATGAAGACTCTGCGATCCAGCGCCTTCCTGCCCATGGTTATCCTCATCCAACCTAAATAAGCGTTACGCACAATAGTGATATGGGTTAGTTCCTTCCTTTCCTCTCCCGATTGATCACCGTCATAGCTTGGTTGGTTCACCACACAGACAATCCCTTGGGAAACTTACTCAGCAAACGCATCTTCAAGCGCTGCTTGAACAGACGGTTGCCGTGGTGCTTTTTTCCGTGGAGTGGCCTTAGCCCGTGCCTTGCCCGCGGGCTTTGTGTCCTCCCTTAACGGACTTCCTCCTATGCTAGGCTTGCGACTACTTGAGGAAGATGCAAAGGTGTTATGTCCCTCTTCATTGTCGTCATCCTCGTCCTCATCGCCACGTCCACCTTCACGGAGCATATGGGCCGGTCGCGACTTTGTCCTAAGGGGACTGGGAACGATAGGCTGTGTATCCATTGGCCTCTCTAACCGCGCATGCTTGGAAACGGGCTGACCGTCCTCGTCGTCATCATCATCATCATCCTCTTCCTCATGTTCGCGTTCACGGACATCGTCTTGTTCGGAGCAGTGCTCCATATCGTGATCGTCCTGATCATGACTGGTATGGTGGTAGTCCACGGGAGACTCAGATATATACAGCAATTGATGCCCTGGATGCGCAAAATGGGCTGGGAGAGCCGGGTGAGCCTGGAAGGGTGCTTTGGGGTGGTCGAATACAGAGCCAGCACGGAGCGATGAGTGAGGAAGGTTTGAACGAGGGGTCGCAGGCGAGTGTCTACTACCTGCGCTGAGAGACTGGGAAGAGGTGCTTTGATACGAGAGGGGCGGACAGTCGCCGGTAAACTTGCGGTCAACACTCCACTGGGTACGAATACGTAAATTCTTCTGGGATACTTTGGGGTTGCTTTCGTTAACGAGGTCGGCCATGAACGCCGGCTCGTGGCCTTGGGGGGCCCTGCGCGGTACTGTTGGACGGTGGTGTGACGCCGGACTTGACAGAGCAGACTCTGGGCGAGGCAGCGGGATCGGTGTGGTGTCAAGCGTTGGTGTTGTTGTCCCATGGGAGTGCGTTCCCATAGGGACGGGCTCTTGGCTGGGAGGATGGGAAGGTTGGGGGTGAGAAGAGAGCCGTGAGTGCGGGACTGAATGGGTCGAAGAGGAGAGGCTGGTCAGAACATAGTGGCGATCTGCAATGCCTTCCTGTTGGGTATATGCTGTGTTCTCTGCTACTGAACCCTCTATTGGTGTTCCTAATGATCTGTCGTGGCGATGGGACAGCACGGAGGATGAACGTGGGTAGCTTGACCAAGATCGGTCTGATCCTGGTGGCGCTTGTGCTGGCGAAGGGTGACCACTGCTGCTGTGTGTCTGCTGGATTGGGGTTGAGTCGTACGTTGTTGGGTAAGACTGTGATGGGTAAGGGTGAGCAGTATTGTCATGAGCAGGCGGAGGTGCAGAAGGAGGAGAACCCTGCGTTGGCTCTTGGCGATGAGGAGCAGCGTAGGAAGAAGAAGAGCGGTCAGGCGAGGGCTCCCATGGTCGGTGCTGCTGCTGCAGGTCATGGCCATAGTGTCCGTGAGGCTGAGAGTGAGAGTGGACTCTGTCACGAAGAGGAGAGGAATCCTGCGACTCTGACTGTCTGCTCAGAGGGGAGGGCATATGCTGTGAATGGTGATGGTTGTCAGGTTGTGGCGGGTGGTCGTGCGGGTAATAGCCCATAGTGGAGGACGACGAGGAAGAGGAAGGGGGAGTGGAGTTTCGTTGATTATGATTACCGTTGCTATTGTTGTTAAGGAAGTGGAGGTGGTGGTGTTGGGGATGGGGATGGGACGCATAGGACTGTGAGGGGCTGCTGGAACTATTAATACCATGCGGACTCCGGGGGGCACCTTCTGGAGCATGGTATGAAGGGGAATCTGAATAACGGGCAGCTTGGTAGTGCGGACTGGCGGTGTAGTCTCTCTGCTGCTGCTGCTGCTGCTGTTGTTGTTGTTGTTGTTGTAGTTGCTGCTGTGAGTATGTCAGCTGCTGTTGTTCAGGGTGTTGTTGTGGCTGCTGGTCATGGTCATAGTGCTGTATTTGTTGTTGGTGGTGGTGGTATGGATGATTGGTATTATTATTAGAATGCTGCTGCTGTTTTTGCTGCTGTTGTTGCTGGAGGGGTGGGGGAAGGTGTTGTTGCTGTTGATAATGCTGTTGTTGTTGTTGTTGTTGTTGTTGTTGTTGTTGTTGTTGTTGGTACTGCTGTGGAGAAGGAGTGGGATGGACGTGTGTGTGAGAGTAGGGAGGGTGCTGTTGCTGGGGATGTTGCTGCTGGTTCAGCAACCTATCCGAGGGCGTCATGCGGGTGGTAGGGATAAGTGATAGGGATTGGCGTGTACGTGTTCTGCGAGTCTGCTGTCGTTAAAATCAAAGAGGTAAAAAAGGAGCGAGAGAGGGAGGGTGAGTGGAGTGGAGTGGGAGACAAGGACGGGTCCGAAGAGAAAAAGTATGAGTGATGGGAGAGTGGAGAGTGAAGAGAGAGAGTCAGGGTCAGAGGGAGAAGAATAGAGAGAGAGAGGAGAGAGAGAGAGGAGAGAAAGAGAGACTAGTTGTTGATTGTTTGTTGGTGGTTATTGTTGTTGTTGTTGTTGTTGTTGTTGTTGTTGTTGGTGTTGCACGGATCCTGCGCATGGGGGGATGCGAGCCGGCAAAAAAGACGAGTATGAGAAGAGATAGAAGAAGAGAAGTGCGATGGGTAAGTGAGTGATTGCAATTGCAAGGAAAGAATGAATGACGACGATGATGAATGAGGGCGGGGAGAAATAATAGAGAGTGAGTGCGAGTGGAGGGCGAGAAAGTAAAAAGTGGAAAAAAGGGCGAAAAGAGAAGGGAAAATGTAAAGGAGGAGGAGAGAGAGAGAGAGGGAGAGAAACAAAAAACAACAACAGACAGAGAGACAGACAGAGAGACAGACAGAGAGACAGACAGAGAGACAGACAGACGGACAGACAGACAAAAAAAAAAAAAAAAAGATTTTTTTCCCACCTGTGAACGGTAAAGATCGATGAAAGAGAATGGGCTTCTCGTAAGAAGGGAGATAATGCCATGTGCTGTACGGGAGAAAGAGAGTAAGTAGCTATTGTGGACATACACATGCTGGAGCCCAATGGTATCGAGCATAGATCCTATGGACAGTAGCCTATGGTGCGATGACCCATAGCATATCAGTGCACACATGTATACTCAACCATGGGAAAAATATGAATATGAAAATGAAAAAAAAAAAACACACAGCCAGGCATTAGCAGATTTACTCCGACACCCTGTCTCCTCCAAGACGCACCATAAAACAAAGCCAATCCCGCAAGGAACGTCGCAGGTGGCCCCTTTTGTACTATTGTATGCTTCTTCAACCAATCGACCCAAACAAAAAAAAGGCGATAGCAAAAACGACAAGGCAAGGCAAATAATACAAAGGCCCGACACTCCAAAACCATATCCTGCGAAAAAAGTTTTGGTTTTGGTAAGCAGCCGCTCACTCAACACGTAAAAAAAAGGAAAAAAAAAAAAAAAGCGCCGCTCGGTGCCACCGTGAAATGAATAGACTCTAATTTTACCTCCAAGGTCTGGATCAGGCCACCGCCCGACCATCAGCCTCAAGCAGGAGGAAAAGTGTTCCACATCATTTTCATCATAGCAGCAGCCACACAAAAAAGACTTTACAATAGTTCATTAGGGAAGTGAAGCCATGATGGACAACCCCCACTTTTCAATATACTGAAACGAGTATTACGAGTTTATTTGTGTGTATCGTGTATCAAAAAGTGTATGGATGAAAGGAGAAGAGGGGGTCACCAGGAGAACAAATAAAAGAAAAGAAATTACCGAGAAAGAAAAGTAGAGAGACCAAGAGACCTAGACACGAGGCTCTACTTTACAGGCTCAATGGCAGCGACCGGTTTGGCCATCTTCTCGATGAGTTCCTCCTTGGTACGTTTCTCCATCTCACGGATCGATTCCATCGAGAGTCCGTGCCAGCGATCCATGGAACAAAAGAGCTCGCGGTGGAACTTTGTAAACAGATCGCGCTCGACCGAATGCATGTACGACTCCATCTTTGTCTGCAGGCCGTACCACTTGAACTCAATAGAAACAAGCTTGTAGCAGGTCATGACGGGGTCACAGGTCTTGGCCCACGATCCTTGAAGAGGTCCACGAAGCGCCTTTTGCGAGAAGGATGTGTTCACGTCTTCCTTGGCAGGGTTGAATGTCTGTAGGTAGTATGACTTTGGGTCGTTTGCAACGTCGATCACAACCACCTCGCGCTGCTTCAAGATATCCTGGCCCTTGTTCAATGCGTTGTCGAGCTGTCCACGGTCGCCGTCCACATGGAAAGACTCTACAGTGACTGACATGGACTCCTTCATATAGTCGTTAGTGATGACCGTCTTACACCCTAGATGTTAGAGGAATGAAGGAGGTAAGTTTGGGTCAGGTACATTTTCTTGTTTTCTCCTCTTGTTTTTGTTGTTGCCCTTGCCGTGCTGACCCGATGTAATGTGGCCACGAGAACAAACAAAAAAAAAAAAAAAGGCCAGAAAAAATAGAACAGAGTAGCAAGCAATAGTGACAACCCACTCACAACACAGCACACGCTTACTCGAAAAAGGGGAAGCTGGGCTGCGGTCGCTCTCCTTCGAGATTCAGTCCTGCATTATACCCTCTTGAGTTTCCATTCCTGAATTCCTAAAACATAACTTACAGGGAAAAGCATTCCATGCGTGTTCCTGACATTTTGTCGCGCCAGAGGGCATCAACGATCTGATCCAGGAGGGGAGCTTTGACTCCAAGTGATAAATCTATCGCCATGAACAATAAGAAGCACATGGTGAGACACTCATTCACACGACACGTTTGTTTCCGCACAAGGTGTCTTCTCCGAGGAGAAAGAGCGAGAGTGTTTCTATGTTTCTATGCACTACGAAGGTATTACCTTGTGGGTGTATTGTCCCTTGCGCTCCTCGTCCTCGTAGGGCTCGTTGGCGACAATCTCGACACCTTCTCCGCCGCCGCTCTCGGCCTTTGACATCTCGGCGACATTGTAGAGCTGGGCGACCTGTATCGATTGAAGAGTAGGAAAACAAAGGGCGGCCGTGTTAGAGAGAGTCCTGCAGACCACTTCGTGAAGGCTATTGTGTTGTTTTGACGTGACAGGAAGAGTAGGTTTTGTGTCTGTTTGTTTGTACCTGGTACTCTGCGTTGGTGCAGTTGTTTGTGATGCGGTATTCCTTGATGAGCATGGTGAATTAGAACAGGAAGAGGAAGAGTGGAGAGAGTGATGGGTGTGATTGAGAAAAGGCGAGTACAAAGAAAAGAGAAGATAACAAAAGAAGGGAGAGAAGGAGACTAAAATACGGACATCACAGGTCATGCCACACTCTCCCAAAGACCCAATAATATGGCAATCGAATTCCACAGCAGGGTGATGCAGTGCTTGCCCTGTTCCTCTTCTCCGCTGCTTCTCTCAATTCATCCTTTTCAACCCGCAGTGCATGCCATTCACACAACCAGCCAGCCAGCCTTTTCAAAGTGAAAATAGGATAAGGTGGGTGCAATACCTTTCAAAATGAAATGTGGTGTTATCCCTCCAAAGCCATGGCTGAGGCTTTTGTCCCTTCCTCCTTCTTCTTCTTCTTCTCTTCCTTCTTGTTATTCTCTTTCACGCACACCCACTCTCTCTTTCCCCTTCCTCCCTTTCCTTCCCTTCCCTTCCTTCCTTCCTCCCTCCTCTATTCCTAGAGTAAGAGACTCAAACTCTGTACCTGAATCTCCTCCCTTCTCTTCCTTTCCTATATTTGACTCTTTTCGTCTCGTTGCTCTTATCCTCACTTCTCACATCCTTCTTTGTTCCTTTCTCACTCCTCCCCCTCCTCCTCCTCACTTGTAGCCACGACATCCTCCTCCTCCTCTTCTTCTTCATCCATGGCTGTCGATACCACTGCGTCCGCTGCCTCGTTGCGCTTCCTCCTCCTTGGAGACGTCGGCGTTGGCAAGTCCTCTTTCGTCAACACCTTTGCCTCCAGCCTCGAAAACATTCACACCAACAGCCCCATCCATGAGGCCATCCCTACACCTTACTCTCCTTCGTCCTCTTCTTCTAACCCCTCGGTTGCCATCCATCTCCCCGGTGTCCGCCTCTCCACCAACCCCGTCTTCCACCAGGACGGCGCCGCTTCGCCTTTTGATGACCACCTCGGTCTCTTGCCACCAAAAGTCGTCGTCCCCGCCAGAGACATCGACTTTATCACCCTCCCCGGCTACTCGGCCACCATTAACCCCTCCACTACTCTCTCCCTTACCGACGACTACCTCAACCATCACCTCCACACCACCACCTCCATCTTCTCCCCTGCCATCCCTTCCTCCCAGCTGGCCTGGTTCTTAATCGCAGGCTCCCATGCACACTCGCTCCCGACCTGTGCTTTCTACTTTGTCCTCTTTGAGCTCAAGCCCATCGACATCATCTACATGAAGATGATTCACGAGCGTGTCAGCCTCATCCCCATCATCGCCAAGGCCGATACCCTCTCCAAGAACGAGCTTTGGGTGCTGAAGAAGAGGATGCTACGTCAGCTCAAGCTCAACCAGATTAAAATCCATACCTTCGGCATGGATATTGAAACGGTGGAGCAAATGACCATTGACCGCCACTGGGGCGCACCTCCCTTTGTTGTCAGCACCCGCGAGGATGCCAATGGCCAGCTGCCCGAGAGTGAGATGAAGCGACTTGTCGAGCTCTGCCTGTACGAGCGAGTCCGCGATTTGCAGGAGGATTCGGCCCACAAGGTCATTGCCTGGAGGTAAAGAAAGCAAAAGAATGAGAGCCCGGCCCACCCCACCCCACCACACACCACACACCACACACCACACAACCCAACCAACCCCTTGCGTCTACTGTTCTCTCTGTCGTTAGGGGTTTTCTTATTTTTATCGTTGAGCCTTAATCTGTCTTCAACGGCGCAATTAGACAGTAGGACCAAACGCATCTAATGCTCTAATATTATATATTTTATATGGTTTGTAGAAAAGAGTATGGCCCTTGGGCAGATGCAAAAAAGACAAGCGTCGAAATGGCTTGGAGTCAGAACTCTGGACAGCAGGCGGGCGGACAACAGGCAGTTGTGCAAAAGGCGCCTGGACAGGAGGTTCAGGAAGGCGGAGTCATTGTGACCAATGGAACTATGCACACCACCATCACTGCTACAACGACTGCCACAACAACCACAACAGTCTCCACCACAGCCTCAAACGCCAGCAACAACCCGTACTTTGCCCACCTTGACACGCAGGCCCAGGAAGCCTTCCAGTACACCACTCCTCCTGGTCAGCAGTCTTCATACCCAACAACTCCGGCCTCACCCTTTGGAACACAGGTATCGTCGACCACTGGAGTGCCTTTCACGCCTCCTCCTCCTTCTGCGGGGGCTAACACTGCCACTCCTACTTATGCACCACCACCAAGCTTTACTAATGGAGCTCATGCGGGCTACAGCGCTCCTCCTTCGTTGGGCTACAGCAATCCACCGACCACTCCAGGATATTCCACCCCTGGAGTGCCTGTGCATCCCACCAATGGCCTGATTTCGCCTCCTCCTTCGGCATCTCAAGTCACTCCAACGCCTGTCACAATTCCTTCGACATACTCACCTCCACCAAGGACTTCTTCCGCTGGCTCTCCGACCACCGCCACAGCGGCCAATGCTCGCATGACGATTATCCAAGCCTCTACAGGGATGTCAATCGACGGCTCTACTCGGCCCAGTGAACTGATGGGTGATACTGGCGTCAACACTGTTCATGCGCATACGGGTAACGGCCAGGAAGCATCTCAGGAAAATGCAGGGGCTTTCATGTCGGCCGATGCTGCGTCCGTCAGCACTCTCTCCAGGGCAAAGACTCTTCTTAACGGGTAAGTTTTTCGACTGTAACATATCCTTTTCGCAAAATCAGACTGTAGATCATACAAGCTGACCTTGCTATACGTGTTTTCTTGTAATCCTTGACAGCCGGGAAGTGAAGGTTGAGATTCCAAACTCGGGCATGTCTTACCAGCCTTCAGCTTCGGAGACTGATCTGAATAGCACTCAGCCTCAGACAGCGCATTTGCAGGCGCAACCATCGTTCCTTATTCCAGGAGCTTACGGTCAGGGGGCTTTCTTGATCCCTCCAGCGGATCTCTACCAAGCAGCCATGATGTCAACTATGCCAGGAGCAGCCGGCACGAACGAGTATGGCGAGGCAATTCCGGATATTTGGGATGCGGCAGAGTTGGGCGATTTGGCGGCAGTGCAGATGCACCTCAACAACGGTGTCTCTCCTGACCAGCGCAACAACTCTCGTTCGACATTGTTGCACAGGACTGCCTGGCAGGGTGTGAACCCATATGCGGTGATGGGTCTGTTGATCTCGTATGGTGCCAATGTCAACCTGACCAACGAGAACGGAAACACGGTCTTACAGAACGTGTTAATGAAGCACGACGACCCTTCGTTGATCAAGTTGCTTCTTGACAATGGTGCCGAGGCCATGATCCCTAACAAGGAGGGAATGAACACCTTGGAGGTAGCGGCTCTGTTCAACAAGCTCGAATCGGCCCGGTACCTGTTGGAGAATGATTTGCAGTCGTCAGAGCCTCAGAGCATCGTCAACGCGTTGCAGCGAGCACGTAGTCCCGACAAGAAGTTGATGAAGGCCCTGTTGAAGAGCTGGCAAGGCAGGGAAGGCGAGCGGAAGAGATTCGAGCTGATAGAGCGTCTTCGTGGCCGTGGCAGCTCGTCTGCCGTCGCTAATGATGCCGCCAGTATCCGCAGTTTTGAGACTACAAAAGGAGGCGAGGGAAAGTAAGTGCTAAACTACGTAACTCCCATTCCTTTGCATTGACCGTAGGAGGTGTAATTTTTTTTTGTTTCTCTTGTCAAGCACTGACTCCTCGTCTATTCTTTGTTTTTCATCTAGATCCAGCAAATGGTTAAAGCTCAAGTTTTAAAAAGAGACCAACGGAAACAACAAACGAGGAAACAGAGACGACGATGACAACAAAACAAGCAACACGGACGACGACGATAACAACAACAACACCATCAACAACAGAAGCTGACACCAGCAATGACTACTAATGCCTACTATACGCTATGAACCATTTTCCATTTTTTTTTTATTTCGTCCTGTCAAGTCAGGCGACACCATTTGAACCCCTTTCGCCCTTGGCACATGCGCCCAATGTGCTTCCAAGGACGCAAAAAGCAACACCATTCACATACCTAATTATGCCCCAAAGCATCTATCTAAACTAAAGTGTCCTTTTGTTTAACCATTGGCCATGTGAGGTTTTGAACGAAGGATTGGCTGTGAACCTGTGTGTTGTTGAGAGTAAGAGAATGGAGAGTGCCAAGGTATTCTTTCTGTTCAGGTATACATGGAAATGCAACGCAGTTTGCCTTTTTTTGTCATCAACGGTTTGCTCTCTAATGCTCTGCAGCAGACGTAATAATACTTGAGGATCCTTGAGGATGTTAACGTCGCGGATGAGTAGGGTTGTTTTTGTGTCTTTGTCAAAGAGATTATTACTGCGGGGAACGGGGTTCATGTTGAGCCGCAGCGAACAAGGTTCAAAAGTCACAATCTACCTGCGCCATAAAAAGAGACACGCATTTTTTCACTTTCACTTTTCTCTTAACCATTCACTCACTCTCCAACCACACATACACACATTCGCACACGACTTTCGCCAAGGGAACAGAACCAGTCATAGCACCACCATACAACCACAAGCAAATACACACATACACACAAACAAAATGACTTCTACTGCAGGCTCCTGGTCCAACCTCTTTCACGGCCTCCCCAACCGAACCCCAGCCTCAAACCTCTACACCGAAGAAGCCATTCAGAACGAACAGGTACCCCCCCCCCCCCCATTTCCCCTCCTTGTTCCTTTCTCTTTCCTCTCATACTCTTTTATCTTTCTCTCGCGCTTGTATACTCACCTTTTGCTGTCCTTTCGTACTTGAACTTCAACCCATGGTAGTTGACAGCAGACGAGTTGATCGAAAAGGCACAGGGCAACGCTAGCCTTTTGGTCGAGATGGTCGCTGCCATCTCTGCCGACGATAGCCACGAAACTCTCAAGTCCTTCAACAACAACGATATCATCCAGGTATTACTCCCTTCTTTCTCCCTCCCTCCCCCCCCCCCCCACCCTCCCCTCTTTTGTTTTTACTTCGCCACGATGTTATTTTTTGCGTGTTGCCTTTGCCAAGACTCGACAGTCCCCATCGAAAGCGAGTAAAGGGCTAAGCATGAAATCTTTTTGGCAAAAAATCTTACAATGGTCATTCCGTGTGAAAAAAATATATTAGACGCTGCACAAGCAATGCCAAGAAATGTCGGACTACTTGTACGAGCGGATCTGGCATGACTCGGGTGACAGTGGCAACACAAATTACCGTGGATACGACAACTCCAGCTCAGCATCAGTACAGAACAAGACCGTCGAGGAGGAGGCACAAATTGGTAAGCATTCTACGTCATTCTCACGTACTTTATTGCTGTGAATGATTATCATTCAACCATCGTGGTAACTAATTTATCACCAATGATCAAATGTAATCACAATAGCTGCGTTCATTTCATGTAATGAACAGATTCAGGCGGCGTTCAAGCGGTACGAGGAGCTCAAGGATCATTTGCAGGCCAAGCAGATGCAAGAAGAGGAGATTGCACGCTCACGAGGATACAACGTCACAGAGGCATCCCTTGACGACGTTGACGATTATACTGGAGGTCCATCTGCATCAGAAGCTGTTGCGCAGGCTTTTGGCGCCAGGAACGATGACGATGATGACGATGAGACGAGCGACTTTGTGAACGGAATTTCGATTGCAGGACACGACGCACGCCAGATTCACCTGCGCAAGTCTGAGCAGCCTCTCGTCTGGCGGCTGGACCCTCGCGAAGATTTCAAGGCCAACAAGAACAAGAACAAGAAGTGGATTGATCCAGCGGAGAAGGATCGACAGGAACGTGAGAGGATGTTGGAGCGTAGTCCTCGAAATGGGATCCATGGACTTGCATCCGAGCCTGAGCCTTTGGAGATTACTCCCGAGGTTGAGACTGTTCAGGCTACTACTATTGAAAGCGCTGTTGTGACGGCTGTAGAGGCGGAGGGATCACAGCCTGCTCAGTCTACCGAGCCGCGCGCTGTTCTTGAGGCGACCCATGTTGACGACGAAGAGGAGGAAGACTATGGAATTGAAAAGATCCAAAACCGTATTGTGGTTGTCGAGGAGGAGGACAGCGAGGATGAGGAAGAAGCGGAGAACGTTGTTGCAGAGGAAGACGAGGATGAGGGTGTGTTGTCGGATGACTCTTGGGAAGAGATTCCTGACCAAGGAGTTGTGAACCTGGCGATCAGCGACGACCAAGATGTCATGACCTCATCGTCGTCTTCACCTTTCCTGTTGACCCCAGCGAACGGCGGGTCCAGCCCTAATCCTGGTGCAAGTTCTAGCTCATCTATCCCCATGCCCCACACCGTCATGCGTGAGATCTGAGCGAGTCCCAGGTCGACAGCCGGGTATTTTGGGCGCAGCAAAGCCAACCTTCGCACCTTTTTCCGCAGACGAACAAAAAATAAAAATAAAATAAAATGTGCAAGTCACGTGCTATTTGCTCAGCCTTCTCGTCGAAGTACAGAGATCGCCAACAAACGCACTCTTCACTTCTTTTCATTCACACCACCACAACAAACACATCGCAAGCAAACACAATGTCATTAGCCGACGACTTTCTTGCCGACATTGACTACGAAGAAGTCGAGTCCATCACCTCCTCAGGCCAGGACTTTAGCGCACAACAACAGGACATCTATACTAGCTTTGGCGGCGATGCCTCGTCTTCGAAACACAATGGAGGGGATCTGATAGACGAGGATGAGGACGACGAGGATGGGGACTTGGATATGGAGGCGGATATGAACGAGGCTGATAGCGCATTGGAGGCCATGATGCGGGAAGTTCGGTCCGCCAAGAATGCAAGGGATATTGCACGGCTTATGGATTCTGCAGAGATGAAGGGCATTCTGAAGGTAAAAAAAAAATCATCATCATCATGGATTACAAAGGATAAAGTCACCCCCCCCCCTTGAAGGCGCAAGTGCTGTGATTCACTGCGCGTTTTGTGTTATCTTAGTTGACGATACTAACGATAGGTTGTCGTTGTGTATGGTTTTTCTATTTGTTCCCCTTCTATAGGATATTACGCATTTCCAATCACAGTCCGAGTCAAAGGGATCGGACGTGTCAGGAATGGTGGAGGATGACCCCGAGTACCAGCTGATCGTTAAAGCTAACACCATCACCGTCGCTATCGACAACGAAGTCCTCGTCGTCCACAAGGTAACTACTTGCAGCCGTATTGATGTTTTCTTCTTTATACTCTTGATATTGCTGCCATTTGAAACCAAACGTGCTGACATCCTTATCTGTTCATCGTTCCTTCCTTTACGTCCGACTAACGCAGCTCTCTCCTTTACCTGTTACCTGTTATTGTCGCTGAACAAAACAAAAAATAGTTCATCAGAGACCATTATGAGCCAAAGTTCCCGGAACTAGAGACGCTGGTGGCGAACCCGATGGATTATGCAAGGACGGTGAAGAGGATTGCGAACCAGGAGGATATTACAAAGGTCAACTTGCACGATATCCTGCCGTCGGCGACTGTCATGGTTGTTGTCGTCACAGGCACCACGACCGAGGGCAGGGATCTGACAGAGTCCGAGTGGAAGGCTTGTGAGGAAGCCTGTGATCTTGCCTTTGAACTCGAGAAAGCCAAAGCTACTGTAAGTGTTTTCTTTGTTTAATCTATAGTTCAATTATTTGGACGTATTTCGTTTGATGGCTGAGGATCGGTTGGTTTCGACGATGGTTTTAACGCGGTCCATTTTTTTTCCGTCTTATTATTTAATCATAGATCATCGAGTATGTGGAGTCGAGATTGACATTTATTGCACCCAACTTGTCGGCGATCATTGGAACGACAACGGCAGCAAAACTGATGGGACAAGCCGGAGGGTTGACAGCACTGAGCAAGATGCCTGCATGCAATATCCAGGTCCTGGGTCAGGACAAGGCCCTCAATTCTGCACTTTCTTCCGCATCCCAGGTCAAGAACGTTGGTTATATCTACTATTCGCCCTTTGTCGCCTCGCTCCCCTTGGATATCCGCAAAAAGGCCCAAAAGATGATTGCAGCCAAGATTGCCCTTGCTGCGCGAATTGATAGGGTCCATTCGTACCAGGATGGATCATGGGGTCGCAAGATTCGGGAGGAGATTGAGAAGAAGGTGGAAAAGCTGTTGGAGCCCCCACCCCAGAAGAACATCAAGGCCTTGCCGGCACCGTTGGAGGCGCCCAAGAAGCGTCGTGGTGGTCGTAGGGCGAGGAAGGAGAAGGAGCTCTATGCGGTCTCGGAGATGCAGAAGCTCAAGAACCGGATGGAGTTTGGAGTTGAAGAACAGGAGATTATGGGATATGGAGAATCTCAAGGAATGGGAATGTTGGGTCAGAACTCTTCGGGTCCTGGAGCAGGAAGGATCAGAGCTGCACAGCAGAATAACCGGAATCGTGGCAAGATCTCGAACAGGAATGCGGCTCGTCTGGCGCAGTATGGATCGAGTAGTGGACTGGCGACGGCTGGAACTGCTTCCTCGATTGCTTTCACGCCTGTGCAGGGTATTGAGTTGATTGATCCTACCGCCGCGGCTGCCAAGATCAAGGCTGCCAATGAGAAGTATTTCGGTAGCGGAGGATTCTTCAAGGCTCCCGAAAAGAAATAAATGACGACTTCACTCGTCGTTTTTTCTCTTATTGTTCATAAATGTTCGTATTGTTTATGATTGTTTATTTGCTGGTTGTTTTTTTTGGTGATTTGTTCCTGGATTTGTACGAATGTGCAGGAAAGGTATCGGCTAGAAAAGCAATGTGAAATCCATGTCAAAACCTTCAAGGAATGCTGACATAACGCAGACGATGGTTTTCCTTGTGTGCGAACAGGCTATGAAGATGAACAGTAAAGAGGAAAGATGTTGGTTAAAGGGCAGCACATCACACGTCGATCAAGGTTGAGAGTAGAGAGTGGGGAAAAAAAGATTGGGGGAATCCATCTCTCGTCGCACAAAGAAAACAAACTCGATGAAGGTTGGATTCCAAGGACCACACACGACCTCTGTGTCTTTGGGGGAAAAAAAACTCTTTTTCTAACAAGCTCGTGATCGATCTTTTGAACAAAGTATCAAAACAACAAACAATCAACCAAGGTAGGGAGACATCTCGACTTTTTTCCCATGGAGAAAGCTTGTTGTTAAGTTGCTGACTACCACTCAAGAGGTGTAAGTTTCAGGAACAAAAAGTGATTTGTTTTCTTTAGGGAACATAAACGATGAGGGGACACCGCCAGCCTTCAGACATAAACCAACCCAAGCCCCATCACGCCCCCACTTCTCACCCGAGTAAAAAAAAAAAGAACGAAGTTTAACGGTCGGACTTCATAAAGTAGTGAGAGAAGAAAAACGAGATGGAAAGGTGAAGGCGACAGAAAGAGCCAGCGGGATAAAAAGAAAACGACAGTGAAGTAAAGGAGAGAGAAAGAAGACGCTCATGTAACGTCCTAATCCTGTCGCCGTGCTGTTGTTTGAGTTCCTCAGACTGCAGCCCACTTTGTCCTTGACAGTTCCTTGTATCCAGGTATCAAAAGAAACGCCGCCTGTATTCAAAATCAACCAGGCCGCCAAGAGGACAACCCTGCAGCTACAAAGCAACTGCGACGTTGTTCAAAAAAATAAAGAAAAAAACAATGCTTACTAGTAGAGGACGACTCCGACGATGGGGCAGAGAAAGATGAGGAGACACCAGAGTAGTTTGTTCATGACAGAGCGTTCGGAGTTGAGGAGCTGGACGATGGCGATGAGGTCGAGAATGAGGATGATGAGTGAGAGGAGTGAGCCAGAGTAGATGGCGTTGGGGTGCGTGGCTGCAACTGCAGCTGCTGTGGCGAGGACTGTGGGGGCCATGTTGGAGAGAGGAGGTATGTACAAGCGGGAAGGTGGAGGAAGAGTGAAGAGACGAAGAAGTGAAAAAAGAAGAAAAAGGAAAACGCACAAGGACAAAGAGAGAAAATGGAGGACGAGAGTTGAGAGCCAAGAAAGGAAGGAAGGCGAGCTGATCGTGTGGTGAGGTGAGAGATTTGTTTGTTCCCTCTCGCTCACCTGTCTGGGCCAGTGTGGAGAAGCATTTGGCATCATCATACATGTTGCTTACTCTTCAGGCATACATACACCGTGCACGCATTATTGCACTCACACTACCAAAACCCATTCGATTTTCATTCATGCATGCATTTTACACCTATGTTCAGGTTAGATTATCCTTTTTTTTTGTTTTGTTTGCAAGTGACTTTCTACGCCTGGTCAACCTCCATGCCACCCTCAACAGCCGTCTCAGACAACCTCTCGCTCTCAACACCCTCCATAGTCGATGTTACTCCTGTTGTTCCTCCCGCAATCTGGTCATCATCCACATCCATCTCCTCGGCGACATCTCCTGCTGTTGCTGTCGTCGTCGTCGCTTCTGCTGCATTGTCTTCTGCCTCCAACGCCGACAGGTCATCCTCCTCCTCGTCATTCACCACAGCCTCCTCATCGCCAAGTTTCTCCTTTCCAGTACCAAACTGTGCCTCAAATGCGTCGACATCTGCCAACACAGCATCATAAGCCTCTTTGCCGTTGATGTTGTTGCCACGGGCAGACACTCTTGCTCCAAAGGCTTCCTCATCCTCGTCGTCTGATCCGTCCGAGGAGGGTCTCTTGGTGGAGATGAGTGAAAAGTCCAGATTCTTGGACTGAGAATAGTCTCCATTGACGGTCCCCTCGCCACCGCGCTGATGGGCTTCATCGTCCTTCTCGTCAAGTGCGCTCGGTCCATTGTATGCAGGGTTCGAGAACTCGCTGATTGACGATGTAATCATCAACACCTAAAAGTAGACAAGGCGCGTTGAGGTTAGTTGGTCACAGAGAATATCATGGTAAAGAATAAAATAATAAATATCATCATAATTATCACATGTACATCGTCAGAACGAAGCAAGGAGACAAACCTTTTCGACGGCGCGGAGGTATTTGATGAGGTTGGTATGATGCTCGGTGGGGCTGGAAATAAGTTCGCAGACGCGCTGGATAGTGAATGGCGCGCTCGAGAAGGCATCCAACAGTCCCCTGATGCGGTCATGGTATCCCTGAGGTGTCTCGAGTAAAAGCGTGTTGATCGAGATGGGGACAACATTGGCAGCATCTTCGTTAACAGGTTGTCCTTGCTCCTGCTGCTCTGGTGTCTTTTCCTTGTTCTTGTTATCGTCATCGTCTTGCTTCTCAACAGATGCTGGCCCATTAGAGTCTTCCTGGGCCTCCTTATCCTTAGCTTCGGCTTCTTCAGGGGTATCGTCCTTGGAGACAATAGCCTCAGTTGATGTTGCTTGCCCTCCTTCAACTTGGCCGACGCTCTCCTCTGGCTTCTTGTCAGCAGCCTCCGCAGTAGTAGTAGTAGTAATGGCTTCTCGTGCATATGTGTCCTGCGGCTGCTGCTTTTCCTGGTCATTTTCTGGCACATGTGGCTGGTCATCTTCACTGGCCTTTGTAGTGGCATCAGTCGATAGTGCCTCCCCTGCCGCAACCTGCTCCTGGCCAGTAATATTAGCATCGGTTATTGATGGTGCATCTTTTGCGGCTGTTGCTATCGTACTGGGGATGGCGGTCAAGGCGGTTGTGAGTGGGTTGGTGACTCTTGAGGCGGTGTAGGTGAGCTGGTTTGACTCGAGGACCAGTTCCAGTTCGTCCTTGAGTGCCTTGCGCAGGTCATCCCATGAAACACTATGATTGACAACAAAAGAGGAAAGTAGAAAAGGAAAGAGAAGGAAAGAAAGGCACCGGGTTGTGGATTAGAATCAGTTGTTCATGGGTTGTCAGGTACGAACGAAGGTTCCAAGTGTGTGATTGAATATGACGGTACGTAAGTTGGTTGGTGAGTGCGATCTGGCGGATGATGTCCAGTCTGTCAGAAATCCATGGTGCGTGTTCCTCTTGAGGTGGGGGTGGCGAGAGTGATGAAGGTGCGGGTAAGGGATGTTCTGCCATGGTTGGGATTGTGGTTGGTTGGGTTGTTTGATGGGCGGAAGGAAGAAGGGTGGATCAGAAGAAGGCAGACAGAGACAGTACTTTGCAGAGTGCTGTGGACAGGAGTTGTGACAACACAGTGGCGAAATTAAATTATCGAAATTATTTCACTCGACACTTTGAGACGATCTCGCGAATAGACTTTGGAGGAGACCTCTGTTGACAGACTGCTTCCCTTCGATCCCATTTTTCTTTACGTCGCACCCCTCTTTTGTTCTCCAGCTTAGTGTAGCATTGACGCTAGTCGAGCATGGATTAATGACCTGCTTGTTTGCATTGTTTGCATTGTTTTTTGCTCTTGTTGTTTGTCGTTTGTCGTTCTTTTGAACCGTTGGCCCCCTTCGCACCGATGCGTAATTTCAAAGGGAAAGGAACGTCTTCTTAATTTGTGACGAAAAGACAGACGGGCAGACGATGTCAATGCTATGATGTTTGGGGATGGACATGATGATGATGATGGGTCTGTAGGAACAACAACATAGTGAGGTTGTTGACAGCAAGAAAAAAGGAAAAGAAAGAAGCAGCTCCAACCATGATGATGATGGTGTGCTCTTCCTTACTTGGCCACCACACTACGGTGCAGCACATGAGGTCACGATGAAGAGGTGTACCAATGGGTGTCTCCCCCGCATTTTTCATATTTTTCTGTGAGTAGAATGCGAGCAACAATTGAGGCACCGCTCCTTTCTTTCTTTATTCCTTACTTTCTTTCTTTCTTTCTTTCTTTCTTTCTAGCTGACTGAACAGAACTGAATGAATAAAATGAGTGACTAACTGTTGGCCTGGATCTAGTGCGCCTCTGCCTCCATTGTCATTTCGTGGGGAAACCACTTCTTTTGGAAGTGCCAACTTTGACTTTTTGTCCTTCCTCACTTCTTTCTTTTTCTTCTTCTTCGTCTTCTTCGCCTCGTCCTCTTTCTCTTTCTTCTTCTTCTTCTTCTTCTTCACACACACTCTCTCTCTCTTGTCATCACTCATCATCTTTCACGCTCTTCTTCCCATCTCATCCATCCCTCACCTTCTCATTTTCACACTTCTCATTCACACTTCTTCTTTGACTTCACATTCACCACATATAACCTACCCTTTTCTTTGCATCTCCTGCGCACCAACTCCCTACTCTTCTTTCTTTCTTTCTTTCTTTAGTAATTTCTGCGCCTACACCAACAGCCAAACAACACACACCCATACTTCACCTGCATATCAAATTAGTGTGCCATATTTTATCCCACGGATCTTCCCCACGAAACAGACGGACGGACCTACTTTTAGACACATTTCTCATCTTTTTTACTTCTTCTTTCTTCTTTACTTTGCTCACTCTTCTTCTTCTTCTTCTTCTTCTACATACTCTCCTTCCACCTTTTGACTTCTTCATTACACACTTTCTCACTCACACCCCCGCACTCTCTGTCTCTCTCTCTCTCTCTCTCTCTCTCCTTCGTCTTCTTCTCTTCCTCCTTCCGTATTCAACATATCTACAACGCACCCTACATCATGTCCACAGCTATGAGCATTAACCCAGGTATATACTTCGCCTGAACCATCGTTTCCTCGCTCCTCTTGGCCGCAATTGGTCACTACCGTTCATCCTTTCTCCCCATCAGCCATTGAAACGACAGGGCCAAGTCTGACACTAACCTAAACGTACCCCACCTCTTCCTCACTGATTCTTTCTCTCGTTTTTCACCATCCGACTAACCAACAGGTTCTCAAGTTGCCTGTGTGGTAAGTAGCCCCACCTGCTTGAATTAAAAACCAACATTCATCCGCGTATGTCAGTCAAGGACACAAGCGAAGCGCTCCAACTAACTTCCTCTTACTTCTCGGACTTTCTTGTTGTTTTTTTTCTTTGTTTGTGCTCAGTTGGTTGGGTTGCCAGGAACCTCCAAAACTCTGGTTGCACAAAAAGGTAAATAAGCATCCGTCCCCACCACCGTGTCAACCTCCAATCCGCTCTCACTCCCCAAATTCACTTTTGGTGGAAAAGAAAACCAACCACCCCATCCAGGTGGGGATTGCAAAACGAACAGTGGATGGACTGGGGCGAGGTAAAGGAGACAGGAAAGAGTACGGCTCGGGAACAGAAAAGGTGTCGGATGACCTTGATGGGATAAGGCTCAAAGAAGGTTGCCCAGCAGCTTACCATCCATCCCATTCTTACTACAGATGGCGGCTTTATTTGGGCAATAACCCCACACACACACACACACACACACACACACACACACACACACACACACAAACAAACAACATGGAACACGCATACACATGCTTGCTCCTCTGTTGTCTTTCCAAGACAATTGACGACAGTTCACATCAAAGGGCGTGCACACTTGGCCCGACAGAGAAAGAAGGAATGTTTTATATTTTTCAAGGGTCTTCGACCCTTCTCGTCACCTGGGTAGCGGGTCGACAAAGACAAAAAATAATAAGACAGAAAAAGGGACGAAAGAGAGACAGAAAAAGAGAGAGGGGTCGAAGGAAGAGAAAATGCAAGCGTGCGTCTTTTTTCTCGTTCGTTCGCACATGTTTGTCGCCGTCTCACTCCGGAGTACCCTCTGGCTAATTCTAAAAGCTATTTGCGTTCTCTATTGTTTAAAGTGAGAAAGGGGGTAAAGAACTTGCTGGTGTTTTTTGTTTGGTCCGGACCAATTTTTTATTTTTCAATTAATGTGCCTCGGTGCCTGATCGGGCCAATATGGTGGGCGGTGTGACAAGGTCGGATTGCATGGACTGAGAGGGTCGATGTGGGTTATTCAATCTGGTTTATTATGGTTTTAAACCTGAACTGAAAATGGGCAGATGAGTGGTGCGGGGATAGATGACTGTATGACTCGACCCTACGATGGCTCTCTTTTCCCTTCCACTGCAACCTATTTTTTTTTTCTGTTTGCTTGGTTGTCAATTGGGCAAACAGAAGTCTCTTCTGCCCCGCGTGGTGTGCACATGGTGCATAGTATGAGCAGTACTATAACACAGATACAACGCACCCTGAGCAAAAAAAAAAAAAAAAAGAACAAGGCAACTGGCACTGCAAAAAAAAACTCTTTTCTTTTTTTGAACAGGGCACATACCTTATAGAGATTCCCATTCTTCCTTTTTATTACGCCTGCTGCACTTCATCCATTCACCACCTCCCTTGGTGTCAGAATTGAGGAAGGAAAGAAGACAAGCAATTCTCCTTCTCGCAGCATTTTTGAGTTTGGGCCATCCCAGTCTCAAAGAGAAAGAGGACGAAAATGGTGCGGAGGAAGAGTGTGGCACCACCATTGGCTTGTTTCGGTTGTTCCGAAACCACCCTCTTTAGACCCCTGTTCCTTCCGTCTTGCCCTTTCCCTTTCTCTCCAGAGACACTTACCCACCACCGCCAAACACCAATAGTCGCGGGCCTCAATGGCTGCTGCTGCATATCATACTTTGTTCCGACACTGACACTTGCCTTGCATCTTGTTTTTCTTTTGCGCTTTGTTCCTGGAATAGTCTGCCGATACCTGCAATGGCTCGGAATCGAAGCCAAAGTCTTCAATGTCGGCAACTACCGCCGCAAACTGTTTGGGACACACCAGCCCCATTCGTTCTTTGATCCCACCAACCCAGAGGGTGAACGATCCAGGAACGAGGCCACCAACGCGGCCCTCAAGGATATGATTCATTGGTTCCGCAAAGATGAAGGAACTGTCGCTCTCTTTGATGCTACAAACTCGACCAAGGTTAAGCGGGAGTTGCTCCTCCAGGAGTGTGAGCGCAACGGTGTCCAGGTCATGTTTATCGAATCGGTCTGCGAGGACGAGGCCATCCAGTTGGCCAATGCGATCGAGACTCAAACGCACTCGCCCGACTATGAACAGATGGAGCCCGAATTGGCACTGCAGGACTTCAAGGCGAGGACTAGGCTGTTCAAAGAAAAGTACGAGACCATTGTGGACCGGGACCAGGCTTACATCAAGTTGATTGATGCGGGAAGTGATGTCATTGTCAACAGGATTAAGGGATATGTTCAGTCGCGGGTAGTCTACTACTTGATGAACCTGCGGATTGCACCCCGCAACATCTACTTTAGTCGAGTAAGTGCCAATATCTGTTGTTCCTATTGTGATATTACTTGCATCTCCATTTGTCTCTATTTATGGTGCATCTCGTTTGTTGTCAAAGGAGACAGTGAGGGACAGACAGAGACAAAGAAAAAGAAATAATATTAATAACAGCCATGCATGGTTTCATCTCTTGCGGTCTCTTCTTTTTTTTCCCCTCTTTGTTCATTGTAGCACGGCGAGTCGCTGTTCAACGTGATGGGTCTACTCGGTGGCGATTCTGAATTATCGGCTCGCGGCAAGCAGTATGCGCGGGCATTGCCCGAGCTCCTTTCCACACATATCCCCAATGCCGATCAATTGACTGTAAGTATCCTCCTCACCCCCTCTTCTCCCTTTCCAAGTTGGACAATTTCGAGGTCCTCATTTTCTTTTGCCCCTCACACGGACACAAAAGGAACAAACGCCGTGAACTGTGCCTGTCATCATTATGACTCTCGCCTTTTTTTTTTTTTTTTGATTCTCCACTTTTTTTATTATTTCATTTTCATCCATCGCCTCATCTCTGTCTGTAATTGAAACTACGACAAAGGCGCCTCGCCATCGATCCCTCGGGCACGAATGAAAAAGAGCGCTGTTTTTGGATGACTTGGTTGGTGTAGACTTGGTTGGTGTAGATGTCTTGCATCCTTCATATTCGCCATTCCTTCTGGCATGTGTGATTTTTTTTATTTTTTATTTTTTTTTGGGATGACTGACATTCTCCCACGCTTATTTTTTTTAAGGTTGCGACCCATATATATATATATATATTTATTTTTTATTTTTTTTATTTTTTTGGCATATACTAATACCAATGCATACCATCTCTTTTTTTTCTTCCTCTTATTTTAACCTTTTCAAACAATTAGATCTGGACTTCAACCAAGAAACGCACCATCGCCACCGCCAAACATCTCCCCAACAAAAAGCTCGCCTGGCAAGCACTGGACGAACTCGAGGCCGGCAAGGCTGATGCACTGACATACGAACAGGTTGAGGAACAGTTCCCCGACGACTTTGCCAAGCGCGACAACGACAAGTACAACTACCGGTACCAGGATGGCGAGTCCTATAGGGATGTTGTTCAGCGTCTGGAACCTGTGCTCATGGATCTGGAACGACAGGAAAACGTCTTGATCATTGGACACCAGGCCATCCTCCGATGCCTCTACGCCTACTTTATGAATCACTCCTTCGAGCGACTCCCCTACCTCAAAATCCCCCTCCATACCGTCATCCAGCTCACCCCCAGAGCCTATACCTGCGAGGAGAGGCGATTCAAGGTCGATATCGAGGCTGTTGATACTCATCGCCCCAAACCCAAGGCAGGTTCGCCAGCGGTCACCAAGGCTGCGGCACCAGCGGACCCTGAGGTTCAGGCACTTGCTACAGCGCCCGAGCCCACTGGACGACCTCTGACGGATGCAGAGAAACCCAAGATTATCTTGTCCAACATGAAGACGACTACCTTCCGAGACGCCCTTCACCCCGATGCTGCATCCGTCGAGTCTCGTGCAGCGTCACCAGCACCAGCACAGGCACAAGTTGCAGCAACAGCAGTAGCACCCGCCGCACCAGTACTAGCACCAGTACCGGCACCAGTACCGGCACCAGTACCAGCGCCAGCACGAGTGTCACAGGCACCGGTATCAATCGCCAAGCCACTAGTGGAAGAGAAGGCGAAGCAGATCGCCGCAGCCTTGAAGCAGGCGACTGCCGTCGGTTCTATCGCCAACCCAGCCATCGCCCTCGGCCCCAACGACGTCAACACCCCCATCCCAGAATCGGCACTCTCGGCCCCCCTCCAAAGCAGCAACAACGGAGAAACGACCCTGAAGAGTGCAGGAGGTCCCGCCGCCGGTTTGAGTGTCAACAGCTACAGCACAGGATCAGTATCCTGGAAATCGGCCTCCACTCCTCCCATGAGCCCTGTTCCCTCGATCCCAGAATCCATGTCGGCCGCTGCTCAGGCTGCTGCAGAGGCGGACGATGCGGCTCTGTCGGATAACCAGGATTTGGACCAGTGCTGTTCATGCCCGATCCCTGGAACTGGAAGCAAGGGAGTCAGTGCCTCGTCGTCGTTGGAGCAGATCGCTGTTGTTGCTGTTGACAACAAGTCCAAGAAGGAAGTTGCAGTTACTGTCCCGGCAGTCACCGCTGTGGCTGTCGAAACCCCCAAGCAGGTCGCAGTCGACAACAAATCCAAGAAGGAGGTCGCTGTCCCTGTCCCTGCAGTCCGCCAGCCTGTTGCTCAGGTCGCTACCGCCGCCTTTGTTTGAGATGCTTTTCTTTCTTGATCGTTTGCAAGGCTTTTTTTTTAGTTACAAACAAACACAACACCCCCAGGTGCCATTCGTATTTTCATAAAGGCATTATTTGTAATAGTAACCCCCCATTGACCATTGTTTGGATGTTGTGGCAAAATGCTTGTATTTGATGTATCGTTGTAATATGAAAAAAATGCAGGGGAGTTAAAAAAAAGTGGGGGAGTGGATGAACAAAAATAGTAAAAGAGGAGGAGGAGGGGAGTGAAGGAAACAAAAAAAAAGTCGACCAAAATGATAGTCGATAGTTTTTTTTACTTCTTGGCCTTCTTGTTGGCAGAGGCCTTGGCGGACTTGGCCAACAGCTCCTTCTTCTGAGTGAGCTTCTCGACCTCGGCAGCCTTCTTGTTCTTGCCGTACTGGATCTTGGTGTAGAGCTTCTGCTGCTTGTTGGTCATCATGATCTTGGCCAACTCCTTGGCCTCCTCAGCCTCAGCCTCGGCAGCTGTACGCTTCTTGCCGGCAGATCTTGTTGTAGGTGCAGTTGAGGCGGGCTCGGCAGCCTTGGCAGCCTTGGTGGCCTTGATCTTCTTCTTGTTCTCCTTGGCCTCGAATTCTGTGAATGCAACACCCTTGGCCTCGGCCTCCAACTCAATCTGGTGGAGATCCTTATGCTATTAGAGAGTAAGGGTAATGAATAAGACAGAATACGTTAGTCTCAAGCGCCAATGAAATGAATGCATAATGAAAGCTCCAAAGAGCAAAAGTATAGATAATAAAGGAAATTTTACCTCGGCATCCTCATCCTCGTCCTCGTCAGCATCCTCCTCATCCTCATCCTCCTCATCCTCGTCCTCTTCCTCCTCATCATCGCTCTCGATAGCCAAGTCCTCGGTCTGGCCCTCGAACTGGTTAGCATCGGGAACGTAATCACCCTCCTTGGCCTCAACGAAGGGCGACAAGTGAGGAGGGAGGGTCTTGCCGACAAAGTAAGTATCACCAACCAAGATCTTTCCGGCGTTAATGCAATCATAGGCCCACTGGGGCTGGACATATTGACGGCTCAAGAAACGATGTCCCTGAGTGGGACGATCGCTGATCTGGTGAGTGATCCGGTCATCGTTCTCGTCAAAGGGCGAACCCTCGCCGAGGACGGCATCCCATCCGACCTGGGCTCCCAAAGCACGGAGGACAAACTCGAGTGAGTAGCGGGGGACCTCACGCGAGAGGAAAATGACACAGTTGCTGAATAGGGACTGGAAATGCGTCAAGTGTTGAGAAGCCCTCTGGATATCCGTGAACGTCACTGTGCCAGCAGCAGTACCGTCCAAGTTTGGCAGGGGGGCGGGGAACTCGTCCATGGCACTGTCAGCATCCTGGTCGATCTCAGTGGTTGTGGTGGTGTTATCCTCGGTCTCCTGAATGTGAGCAATCTTGCTGGAAAGAGACTTGATTCTCTTTTCTGATTCCTGAAGACGCTGCTTCTCCTCCTTGGATAATGAAGCGGCGACAGTGCTGGTGGTAGACTGGCTGACAGTCTTGGCAATGTTGGCCGAAGACTGGGTCGACTCGATGATAAGAGCGTTCATGCCGGCACCGCCCTCGTCCAACTTGAGATCCAATGTAGGTGGGTAGACCAGGTTGACATCTGAGTACAGTCTGTAGTTGACGAATCCGCACAATGTCTGGTGGAACTCCAAGAAAGTCAACATCACACGGAAATCAACATCCGTAGGGACCTAACAGTTCGAAAAAGCGAATGAGTGAGAACGTCAGTTAGTTTCAGGTACCAAAGCTGACCACGCAATTTACACCGCGACAAAACCAAGGTCAACTTACGTTCTGAGAGAACTGGTATGGGACGAGCCAGGTGACGGTCTGTCCCTTGATCTCGGCCTGATAATAGATTCCCTTGATAGACAGGAAGGTCTTTCTCAAGCTGCGGGTGTGGAGGATATAGTGCTGGAACTCGGCAGCGAGGCGCTGGCAGTTCTCGATGGTCTCGGACTTGATCTTCTCGGTCTTGGGCATGGTGGCGAACAAGAAGATCATACACAGAGCATCGTCGAGATCACGGAGGGCATCTGTGAAGGTAGGGTAGCGTTCTTTGATGAGGTGGTCCAATGTGTAGATGGGCTTGTTCTCGGCCAGGGTCTTGGCCGTGCTGTACTGACCCTTGGACATGACCTTAGCCATCTTCTTGGCGAATGTCTTGTATTCACGGAACTTGCCCAGGATGGGCTCGTGCATCAGGTACTGGATGTCCTTGGCATAGTAGAATGTCGAGGGTGCTGTCGAACCCTTGTTGGCCTTCTTCTTGTTCTTGGGCTCGCGGGGGTAGATACCCTTGAGAATACACAAGCGACTATTTGGATAGTGGAAATTGGCGTTAGTTTCACAGTTGTTCATTCAGAGAAGGAAAGCGGTATAATAGAGTCCTGCTCATGTCATGTCCTTGCTGTATCCAGATCCCCTTGCAGTCCACCTGATCCACCGCTTCAAGTACGACCAGCTGAATAGAGTGTCCGATCCACCGATAAGTTTGACAACGAGGTAACCTCGAGTCCGTGTTCCAAATAACGTCAAAGGCGAGTGTCGAGTTGGCTTGTATCCTGAGGATGTCCAGGTGATGTGTGTTGCAAGAAAAAGTAAAGTCCTTGAAAGTGCGCTGTTGTCCATACCGGAAGTCGGCAAGAGTGACCTGGAGCTTCTTCAGAGCCTGGTTACGAGTGATGTAGTTGATGGCTGCTCCGGCCTTTCCCTTCTTGTGAAGCTTTCCCATGGTGAATAAGTTGTTAGTGGAGGGGGAGAGAGGGGGGAAAAGAAAAAAGGGGGAGGAGTGATGGAGATGGAGGGTAGAGGAGGAGGAGGTAGAAAGTAAAAAAAAAAAAGGAACAACGACCGACTTTGATACAGCAGCCAGAACAAGCTTCGAGGTGGACAACAAAAAAAAAAAAGAAAAAAGAAAAGAGCTGAAAAAACAACAACAAAAGTCACGTGTTAGAGTGGCTTCTCCTTTCGAGCAGTCCCAAAGTTTTGGGGCGAAGATGTTTCACAGAGAGCGAGTCGCGTCGGAGACGAAGGGTGAGAGTGATACGGAAAGAGAGCGCGCCACAAGAGTTGGACTGGCCAAATAGTACAGATGGGGACAGTCCATTCATTTTTTTGGTACCATCTCTTGTGGCATGGAGGAGAAGCTACTATTGACCACCTTGATAATTACTGTCAAAGTCGACAAGAAGAAGGCGGAACCAGCATAACAGCAAATTAGCACGCTCGAAAACTAGACATGCTGTCACCAGAGCCTAACTGTATAGCCCTTTCTCTTTGTTGGTTGAACGCTTTTGCATCGCATGTTTCGGGTGCTGATAAAAGGAGAGAAAGGAACAAGTGGGGACAGTGTCGAACTTACCGTAGACGAGTTGGGGTGTCGAGTTGAAATAAAATAGTGACGCAAGTAGTTAATACTGAGATACATAATTAGTGCGACAAAGAGAGTAAGAATAAAATGATACAACGAGATGGACAACAAGAACTGCCTATGAATGTAGCTTGGTTTCTGTTGCAATTGGTGCCAATAGCCGCTATGGATCGTATCCTTTTGGACATATGGTGGCATATGTATGGACATACGACAATGGTCAACCTGATGGATCGTTTACATACTGCACTTTTTCCTCTCCTTCCGTCCTGTCTGTGATCATAGTTTTCTTTTAAAGAAACAAGGCGAGAATGGACGTCAATGGAAAATCCTCGAGGAGAGACAGAGGAGAGAAGTGTTGGTGGCGATGAGAGATTGAACATGGGGAATATGATACCCCGAACGGCGAGTTTTTGTAATGAACAACCCTCACCTTCTTTCGTTTTTGTTGATTGTTCGACTTAGTTTTGCATTTTCTCCTTTTGAAAATTATTTTATTCAATCGACTACATCTTTTCCGTCTTTCCCTTCAGCTCTACTCTCCAGTATCTAATGCCTCCGCTTAACCCCTCGTGTCCCTGTTACTCTCTCCTCTCCTCTCTTGGCACGACGATCTCTTCTTATCTCTCAAGGTCGTTTTCATTACGGCGCCGAGAACTAGGCAAAAGTTAATAGCTCATTTCCTATTCATGTTAGCCCTATTCTAATTTCCACCAGCACTCTGTATCCTCTCTCTGTTATTGTATTCGTCACTTCCAAACGGTGGAAACATAAACAGGCAGCCCACTGTTGATGGTGGAATGAGTGAGTAACAACAAACAAAACGCCAAAAAAAAATACTGGAACAAACCTTTCTCCCCTAATACAATAACAGTGTGTTCTCTCCTGTCAGTACTCTTTCCGCCAATGCCGAGTGATTGTTATCGAAGGAACTTTGCGTCGATCTGAAGCAAGAGGGAAAGAGAGAGAGAGACAAGATGTTCCTCTTTTCCTCGGTGTTTTTGCGTGTACCTTTCCCTCTCTACCTTTTCGACCCTCGACAAGGAAAAATTCGCTTCTGACGAGGGCGACAACAGCAGCATCTTTTCCAAAAAGATCGGCGATGACGACGACGGCCCTACTCCTTTATTCCTCGAAGGAAAGTACCCCGACAGCAGCTGTAGTCACAGAGAAAGACGAGCACCATCACCCACCGACAATCTCCCCATGGCACCCGCCACACCCGTGCCAGAGCATCTGCAGGATCAATTAAAAGAACTCCAGGCCGAGATGCGAGGCCTTCAGGACTGAATCTCACAAGCAACTCAATTCTCCAGTCATCCTTGACCAAATTTCGTCACGACCGTCACCTACGACAGGGCGTCAGCAACAACAACAACAACATCTGATTACTCGGCTACTCTTTCTCTGATCTATCGTGGGATGCTGGGGCGGATGTGTTTTCCCAGCCTCTTTTGTTTGTGGATGCGGCCACATACATTTCAGATTCAGGGGTGTTGGCGCAAACAAATAAATATGCCAAAAGACGGGGCGCAAGCGCTGTGCGTGCACAGTCCCGTGCGACCATCCAGGGCGGGACTGCTCACTTTTTTTGATTTTGTGATTTCTTATGTTGAGCTCAGCCCATTCCTCTCCATCAGCACCATGCCCCCAATAAAAAAGCAATAAGCTGCAATATGGATTGCGCTATGGGCGTTAGCGAGGAAAGGTGGCGCTCCCTAGTCGTTGGATAGTATATGCAAGGGGCAGTGCAAATGGCAAGATTGAGGCCTCGTTTTCTCAGGGGTATAATGATCTCCGCTTGAACACCAAATATCCACACCTTTGCAAAAATGCTTGTTTTAAAGTATAATGCCCCAGTTATCTTCAGACTCGCAGCGCTGCGACCCTTCTGTTGTTCACCGACAGGAGTGTTGAACAACCTGTTTGATTTTCTTTCTTCTTTAACATGGTCCACCATTGCGTCCCGTTGCTCAAAATATCTACGTAAGACGCCCAAGTTTTACCCAAAGGAAAAAGTACAACCAGACACCTGGTAAAACAGCATATGGTTCAATGTTGAATGCAAGGCAACATTTTATCAAGTCAGAATATTGGGAAACTGCACTCAGATCACGGTGACGCGTTAAAAGCAGACTAGTTAAAGCGCGACAAACAAACCGAAGAGATTGTATTAGCCACTTAACTGTAGTATAAATTTTGACAAGTGAATAAAGCATCAACAATGCGACCTTGAATTCCTGCAGGAGCAAGGATTGAAAGAGCCGACATCGAAGGATCAAAAAGAAACGCGCTCTGAACGCTTGGCTACCACAAGCCGGTTGTCCCTGTTGACAAAGTAGATATTAGAGAAGTGACAGTTAGCAAATCAAACAATGGTAAAATGTCCAGTAGGCAAAGCAAAGGCAGAGCAGGATCACAGTAAAAGGAGAGATGGCAAAACAAAGGGACAATGGCCAAGCACTTTGTAGGTGATTGGTAGACAAGACCCTTGAATTTTTCCTCAGCTCCAGCTCCCTTGAAATTGTTTTGTGCAACCATGATCGATATTGACTGACGAATACCAAAGAGTATTTTTTGAGTATAAAGGAGGTATCAGTTCGTTTGAGAGGGGAAGATACAAAGAAATGGCGAAGCAGAAGGACAGCACGCTTTTCGAGTCAAAAGGGTACACTTTGAAATTGTGTCTCTTTCATCCAAACTCTTCTTCCTATTCACGTATTCTTCCTCGCTTTCCTTTTCTCACACGAAGTTGCTATTATCTTCATTTCTATATCCCCTACCCACAATACATCTAACAAGAGCAATGGAGGATGCTCAATCGTTTCGCTTGATCGAAACCATGGATACCATGGAAATCACTCTCAACCATGTTGACGGACAGAACATCGTTTATTGGGAGGACATTGAGAAAGTCTTTCCTGGAGTTAAGCGCGTTAGCAATGGCTATTCGGTGACCAAGTTTCTTCGGGGTTCCGATCAACAAGGGTAATAAGGAAATGTAAAAATAATGAGACGAATGGTCTTGACGAGCAAACATCTCATCATACTGTTCTCGTCCTTTCTGAATCATGCCATATAGCAGCGACCATTGTTCTCGATTGGTCCTGGACGTTGTCTTGTCTACCTCTGTCCAACCTGTTCTTCCCAACCCTGCTAAGTATGATCCAGTTGGTGGTGAAACTAATGCTCCAGCCGGTGCTCCAGTTAATAACAAAGTCACTGTTGCTTTCAGGGCTACCCCACCTATACCAGAGACGCCCTTCAGCGACATTGGCCTTCTCGACACACCATCAAGTCCATAGCCTACCGTCAATGCTGCTTCCAAGGCGACATTGTTCCAGCAGATTGTGACACGGGCGTCTAGGAAGGCACGCAAATCTGAGGTCGAGCAGCGATTTATCTCCCTTTTGGACCCTGAACTCCAACAAACAATTCGAGCCTCGTCGGACATCTACCAGGCGTTTGCCAAGGCTATCAAGCACGGCAACGGGGAGCTTAGTCGAGCAGAACTTAGGCAAGAACTGGGTGGGCACTTTCAGAAGCTGGAGGCTATGGTGGTCAAGAACTCAGAGTTGCAGGAAGCAATGCTTGCCAAGCAGGAGGAAGTGAAGCAGCTGCAGGAGCAAGTCCTCAGCAACCAAGAAGAGATGAAGCAACTGCATCGGCGAGCTCTTGATCAGTTAGCCGTGCTCCAGTCTCGTGTCCAAGCTGTCCTGACTCAGACCTACGAACTCCACGAGTACCCGATCCCTCGTCTTTTCGTTGTCCTTCCTCAAGACCCTTTAGGTTGGGATGCGGTAAATCCCTTCTCGAACAAGTTCCGTCTCTACTTTTTATGCGAGTGCGGAGAGCACACCAAGTCGATCAACTGCAAGGCCGAGATCTCTCATGATATCCACTTTGCTAAGCATGAGGGCTACGAGATCGCTCGACCTTCAGAGTTCTTTCAGCAATACGGCCCCTATGTCCTCACTATCCTCAAGATGCTCAAGTTCGGTGTTTCGGTTGCCGGAGTAGCTGTACCAGCTATCTCTCACCTGGTCAGATAGGACCCCATTGATCAAGCCACCGCCGGTCTACAACAGTTGAGGGACAACATTGAGCCTGGAATGGATCATGTCATAGGCTGGATGGACAAGGTCTCTGTGAACGAAGGCGAGGCTGTTGGCGAGTTTTCTAAGCAGATGGAAAAGAAGGAGGCATTGGAAGGCGCCGATCTACGCAAGCTAGACACCTTTCTGAAGGACAAGGACGGCAATAATGTGTTGGGGAACCTGTACAGGACCGTTACGGACGAGGGACATGTAAAATGGGTTTGCATTGACCACTACCGCATGAACTATCTAGAAAACTCGGCCAAGGAGTTCCTGCGCGTTTTAGGTTCCGTCGGAGGATCGTTTAGTGAAAACATCGGTAGGGTTGACGTGAGACTCCAGTCGAGAGCATTGGCAGAGCATTTCTTTTCGGCACTGGAAAAGGCGAGATCTGTTCACGACCTCGATATCGGCTTGCACTGGGCCTGCACTACAAGTGATCTTGAAGCACTGGAGGACGCACTCAAGAAATCAAGAGTATCAATTCTTCGACTGGATCTTCAACAATTTCGGACGAACGTCGTTAGGAAACTACTATCGACATCCACACCATATGACGTCATTCTCCGCATCAGAGATCTTCCTAATATGAAAGTACTTCATATTCTTCTTTCAAAGGAGCTCGTCAACTTTCTTGGATTTCCACTCAAAAAATCAACTCATATCTGTAAGATGTCCTGCGAGCTGGCATCTACATTGATTGGAGAAAGGGAGTTTGGAATACTAGCTGATGCACTCAAGACCAACACGATTTTGACCATTTTGGACTTGAAGAACTCGATCGGATTCGATGGAGCCAAGGCGCTGGCTGACGCACTCAAGACCAACTCGGCCGTTGTAACAGCAATAGAGCAAGGGGATACAAACAGGGAACAGAGAGAGACAAGAACGAGGGAAAGGATAAAAAAGTAGTAGGGACGAGAGGAAAGGCTAGAAACGGATGATGTTTACTATACAAGGAGAGAAATGTATTTATACTAACATCTAGGAGGCATGATTGATAGGGAGAGTGGAGGCGCGGTGGGGTTTGGTTAGAGTAGAGAGAAAGGGGATACACAAAGCTAAGGTGGTTGGTGTTTCTACCTCCATTCCTTCACACCCCTGGGATTTTTTTTCATTTGGTTCGTTTGAACGGTTATAGACCCTTAAACCCTCTTGATTTTTCCGTTACTCTCTTCTTGTTTCATTCTTCTCCTTCTCCACTCTTCAGCAATGAACAACCTCAAGGAAAACAGGATGCTTACCAACAACCACTACCGCCACCGCCACCACACATCAGCGGCATCCACATTCACCCGATGGCACAGAAGGTTTCTCACTCGCTTACTTGTAACATTTTCTTCATTTTTTTTCTTCGTGCCATTTGCTTCAATATCGATTTTCATTCTTTTCCTTGCGTGTACCGCATATATTTCTTTTTTTGTCGGTTGTGCGTGTACATATATTAAAGCCTTTAAAAAAATATAGCATATTAATGTGCGCTAGTCTGCAAGAAAGCCAAAACGAGTGACTTGATATGGCCATGGGTAGAGTAGACATAAAATAACGAGCACGGTCGGTTGCAATAGTAGTGTCGAGAATCTAGACTAGAACAAGGCAGAGTTGACCTTTTCTTAGGCAGGATCAGAGAGAGAGGTGGGGGAAGAGAACAGAGGGAATAGGGAGTCAGATATGGGTTTTCAAGGTGTAGACCTAAGACGAAGTATTATTCAAGTTACTATGTAAGGATCAAACTATTCGGGGGTGCTATGGGATATATGTATGCGTTCGAGAGCAATGCTAATTAATTGTCTTATGCTCAGCCAACTGCGCCCAAAGATCAACTGATCGTGCCAAGGGTCGACCGATCATGCCACAAGTCGACTTATCATAGGGAGCGACGCGACAGATAGGTACGAGTCGACAAGAATTGTTTATGTGTGACAATCAACGCGTAGTTCTAATAAGGAGGATGTGGACATACTCCTAAGAACAAAAAAAAAGATGCATAGATCACGAGCTACTGATGAGAGGCGAAGCCCCATTTTGACATGGCAAAAGAGTGATGAGAGAGTAGCACGATGTGCGAACAAAGTCGAACAAGATGATAACAATCCAGACCTTGGTGAACCAAAAGGACAAAAGCGATGATGGACAATTATTTTTTCTTTGCATTGTAATCTTGCTAGGCTCCTGTTCTCCAACTGTACATTGAGCTGGAGAATTGTCTTTTTGGCTGGCCAGTTTTCTTCCATTCTTTTTACATTTTCCTTTTTTTTAGCATCTCACGACCTAAAAAAGTGGTGTTTTTGACGAGTTTCAGATTAAGCACGGACCACACGATTGGGTCGAGATTGCATAAAGAACAGAAACACGAAACTCCAACCTCAGACTACAATACTTGCTTGTTGCTGCTGATTTGTATATTTTAATAATGTACACGCTGGCATCTAAATATCGGGAACAAGGAGGGATTACCAGTGAGGGAAAAGAAAAAAGAGCTGACACACCCGCTCTCGTTCGCGGTTATTCAATAAAGACCATGGCGCCTTCGCCATACTCCTCATACGCCTCCGCGAGGCTCGAACTGCTCCGCATCTTCTTCTGTCCTCCTGCAGGCTCAGGAAGCTGGTTGCCGTGATAGTGTTGGTATACCCGCTCCTCCTCCTGCTCAGCGTGGGTCATCACCGGGAAGAATTTCCGTTGTGCTCGTCGGCTGGGTGACTGCGAGGGAGACGAGAAGCCAAAGCCCTGGCCCATATAGTTGACGGGCGAACACAATCCTTCAGGTGATGAGAACGCGATGGGAGAAGATTGTGAAGCCGGCGGGGCTTCTGGCTCTCTCCGACTCGCTACAACAGGTCCGTGTCCTGGTTTGGCGTGCGTCTCCGACTCGTCTCTCATAAGGTAATCTTGGAAAGGAGCTATCGGAACGCCTCCTTGTTGCGATCGCTGCTGAGACTGCAGAGGCGGCGGTGTTTGTTGTGAGTCGGTGGACTGACCGTGGCGACGAGGTTCCCAATGAGTCAGTAATGGAGACTCGTATTTCAGCTGTGAGCTCAGTGAAGGATGGAAGTATCCGCTGGCTAATTGAGCCTGCCGCTGGTGAGAGGGATCCACCGCTGCCTGGTGGGGTTGAGACGCCAGTGGTGGCGATGTCTGGAAAAGCAACTCCAAGGGCTCATGGGGAGACATCGGGGAGGACGTTCGAGTCGAAGAACGCGAGGGAGAGTGAATGACCCATGATTCTGAACGCACTGGGATAGAGGCAGCATGAGAAGAGTCTGACAGCAGCTGGGAATGCGCCCCAATGTTTGAAAGGTGTTTCCGAGATACAAGCTGGCCGGCGTACCTTGAAGCATCGGGTATTTCGACAGTAGTGCCAGCGCGAGACTGGGATCGAACAGCCGCTCTCTCTTCGGCCAGCACATTGTCGAGTTTCCGTTTAAGAGCACCTTTGTAGAGTCCACTTGTGATGTCCTTGCAGGGCGAAAACATGGACGTATCCTGTGCAATTCGATTTGGGGTGAACAGCCCGTCTCTCAGGCCGACACCCTGATTCCCTCCAAAATGACCTCGACCAGCGCTAGGAGACTTGACCAGGCTGACCCCGTCGTCCGAACCCTCCCTATCAGACTCATTCATGGCTTCGGGAGAGAAAGGAGCTTGGTTGATCGTTCGAGAGGCGCTAGGGCTGGCAACCGTGCTTGAAGTGTCAAAGCAGAGTCGAACAGGAGTAGAGAGACCATCGTCTACAGAAGCGGTCGCCGAAGCCGAACGGTCCAGGAAGCGGTCGTCCGGTTGAGTAGTATCCGTCTCGAGCTGGCTGGTAGCGTTGCTATCCGAGAGCCCACTCCTTTCAGAGCAAGGTAAACGAAACTCGTGCCGAAGGACCTTCTGGAGACTAGTTGGAGCAGCTACCTTATCCTCCATGAGATCGATCGGAGGTACCGTCTCCACCACCGTCTCCTCCTCCTCCTCCTCCTGCTCCTCCTCCGGAGCTTCGAATGGCGCCACATACTCTGCATCGTTTGGCTGATCGCTGAACCGATTCACGCCCCGCTCCGAAAGACCTAGTTGGGACATCTCTGAAGATAACTCATCGGCGATATCGAAAACCTCAACAGCGTTCCTTACGGGTTCGAGGGTCAAGGTGACCTGATCTTCCGTCTCGCCAGGAGCACCCTCCTCATCCATGTCTTCGACAATTCCTTCATCATCTCCAACATTCTGACGACAAAGAGGTCTGTCGGCTGTCCCTTGCGTCTCCTGCACCATCTCGCCCTGCACTCGTGACATGTCCTGCTCAGGATGCAACGTAGGTATATTCATAGCGATCGAAAGCTCCTGGGTATGGGGGGTAATATCCATCCCTTCTTGAATGTTGACCTCGCCGACAGGATCAAGGGCAGGCTTCACAGTCATATCAAAAGCCGCGTTCATGGAGGTGCTGTCACTCAGTTCGGATTCAGCCGGTGCAGGGGAGGTTGTCGGTAACTCTGAAAGACCAGATGAGATATTTGGCTTGCGCTGTAACTTGGCCAAGAGGATGTCCAATTGCGCAAACTTGGAGGCATCATGAGCATACTTTCGATGCGCTGGAGACTCGATGTGCTACAAATGATATAAGCCAATTTGAAAAACGCTTAGCAATGTGGCAACAGCACTTTTCAAATTTGCCAAATCTTCATGGGTCGTCATCACTATACCTTTTCAAAGTTCTCAAAGAACCCCCGGCAGTTCTCGCAGTAGCGCTGTTTCCGGTAGTCCTTGGCTTCCTTGTGCTTCGCAGTGTGACTGACAGGTGTCTCTAGGATAGGGTGGGTTGACAGGGCATTATTCGCCTCTCTCCTTACAGGAACCAGAGTATCGTGGCCTTGGGCCACGGCGCGTTCGTTATTCGCGGAGATGGCAAGTCCTGAGTTATGCTTGACGGGTAAAGTCGGCGGTTGCATTTTGCTTTCAGCATCTGCTATCGCCTCTCTGTCGGGTACAATGTCCTGTGTTGCGCTACCCACAGTCGCACCCCCCTTATCTTGCCGTGCAACATCGAGAGGTCGCGCAAATTCTTGCTTTTTGACAAAGTCGGTCGAAACTCCAGCCTCCACCTTGGTCGCGTTGAGCGCACGCTTCTCAAGCTGCTCCACTCTGCGGTCCTGTTGAGGGTTGGCTGCAGCAGGCTTGGACGCGGTCGAGGTCGTTGTCGAGATAATATTCGAGGTAATGGAGTTGACGAGCCCTGAAGCCATGGCGGAGGGAGACAACTTTTGGTCATCGGCGGGTCGAGCATCCTGAACAGCGTTTGGGAGATCCTTGTCCTGCTTGATTTCCTGTCCCTTGTCGTCCCGCGCTCCGGATAGCCTCTCGGACGCCTTGATGGCCGGCTCGATGAGGCAGAAGGGGCTCCTGTCGGAATCTTGGATATAAAGTCTTGGCCACGGCTGTTTCTCAGTCGGGGACGGCTTTGCGGTGAAGTCGTAGGCCATGATGGTGCGATAATAGCCAGTCGTGTCATCCACTAGCACATATTTCCCCTGGAACGCGTAAAAATCGGGCTTTGTCGAGTTGTCGATATGTACTGTTGAAACTCCATGAACCTTTTCGTACTGCAGCATGTCCTTGAGCTTGCGGTCATCGGTTTGCTTAGCTAGTCCGGGCGCCAGGGGATTAAGAAGCTTCAATGTCAAGTCGAGCGTCCAGATTTTTATCCCCAGGCTGAGTGCTTTGACGAGGATGCCCATCTCAGCATTGGGGACTTGCTGAGTCAAGGGTTTGGCGGTAGTCTTCCTGGGATCCAGTTGTGCTGCTGGAAACTGCTCGGTGTTGTCTTGGTTCCTGATCCGCTCCAAAACACTCTCGTCAGGGACTGGGCGTGTTGTGATGATATGAGTTACTTCATTCGAGAAGAAGGAGGTGGTCGTCTAATGAATATCGATTGGATGTATGAAATGTAAGAAATTGTGTCTGTAAAAATCTACAAAGGGAAAAGCCTTCAACGGTCTATCACTTACGCCTTTGTGTCTGCGAACGACATCGGATATTTTTTTTATCATGGATGGGTCGACAGAGTCAAAGTAAAAGCGGCACCTCGGGAGGATATTTGCCATTTGCTGAGTCCATTCGGGAGATCCGTACTCTGCGTTGACGCGGTTCTTGTGCTTGGTTTGAGAGCGAGGCTCGGTGTCCTGAGGTTGCGGCAGGTGCTGAGCGTAATCGGTGTGTTGTGACTGGGACCGACATTGGTTCTCGATATTCGCATCAGACCGGGTATAGCTCGGAGTCGTCGATGTGAAGCCAGGAAAGGGCACTGGCTTAGTCTTGTGCATTGGGTTAGATGGTATGCGAGCCGAGCCAGGTGGCGCTTTGATGTTCTGCGCGTTATTCCAGGTAAAGGGCTTTTGCTGCAGAGCGATTCGTTGCCGCGTGGTGTCCTTGTCCATGTGAGGAGCCATGGTAGGCTTGACAGGCAAGTGCGCCGAGGACGATCGAGTAAAGCTGACATCCTGGCCTGGCTTATTGACGAGACCATGGTGAGGGTTGAGGGTATTTGTCCCGTAGTGTTGCTGTCGAAGGTGGTTGATATTGCTGTATGCTCTAGATTCCTGGAGTGGCGCCCTTTGAAGGGCAGGTTTCAAGGGACGATCGGCCATGGTGGCGAATGGCTGGGCTGGCCGACGCTCGTTGCTTGTCTGCCCTGGGTTGTGATCCTGATGGGGGTGCTGGTGTTTGATATGTCAGAAAACGGGATTCGGTGGTCTCCGACGAGGTTTAGAGAAGGAGCATAGCTGCCGAAGGGAGAGGGCGTTTGAATTGGTGGCGAATGGTCAAGCGACAGACCAAGAGGGTGTTTGAAAAAGAGGAAGTAGGGTGCTTGAACACTTTGCAAAACGTTGTTTGGGCAAGCAGCAGGCCAGCGTGAGGATCACATGACTGGTTCCACGTATGGTATTGGATTGATTGGTGAAGGTGTACGTGCTGAGTACAGAGTGTATGGCCAGCTCACACTTCACTTTTGTGCCATTACATTCTTCGACAACTCACTCACTCACTCACTCACTCACTCAACTCCCTTTCTTTTGTTATTCTCTCCAACACTACCAAGACCAACACACCTTGGGCACATTCTCCCATTCAGCCAACTGTAAGCACAGAGAACGATACACCCAGAAAATAAAAAAAGAAAAAGTCGCACCTACACATCGCAATGTCTGACACTCCGCTCGCAGTCAAACCTCGCTCGAACCAGAAGACTGTGCCATCACCCTCATGACACTCAACCATGTCCTCTACCTTTACAACCACTCCTCGCTCGTTCTCTAGATATCCTCGACTCCTTAAATTCTCACACTTCGCACATTCGCCACAACTGGACAAATGATTGCTGCCGTAGTGTCACCAGGATCCATACCAGAGTTCGTACACCCTCCCGTTCCAGGAGAGAGCCACGATTTTTACGGGAACACACACTTGGACTCGATAAAACTGCCAGCGCCTGCAGCCGTGCCTAACCCAGGCTCGTCTTCACCCTCGAATTCTCGCCAGTTCACAGACCCACTTGGGCTTGGGGGGACTAACCACTTTGCCTCAACTACGAATGGACTTGAAACAAGCACTGTATCAAGAGACGAATCCGTGCGCGACCATATCTCAGGGGCTACCATTGTCACAGGGGAGGATCATTCGGAGGACTCCTCAGAAGACATTGCATGGGCGAAATTGGTTGATGGCTGCATCAATGGACATGCCGAGCAGGTGCGCGAAATTATCCTGCGGCTGCCTCAGCTTAAACACTCGATCGACAACATATCCTCGGCGACTGGCATGAACCCTCTTCACTTTGCGGCCTCTCGCGGTCACGATGATATTGTGCGGATCCTCATTGACCAGGCGGGAGCAGGTGTTGATATCCAGGATCGTGAAGGAGAGGTAAGGCTCGTGGATATTCTGTCATTTTCAGCACGAGCCCAAGAGTCTCGTTTGGCAGTTCCCAACCGAAACAATGGCGACGTGTCTCTATGTCTTTCCCTCTAACCGAATCGTGTCAATTTATGATATAGACGGCTCTTTTGAAGGCCTCATATGCAGGGAGCCTCGCAGTGGTATGCTTTCTATTGAAGCGCGGGGCCAACGTACATCAGAGGGACAAGGATGGATGGACAGCACTACACAATGCCAGCTCAAAAGGATTTATCGACATTGCCCAAGTCCTGCTGGAGAAAGGTGAGGCTGACATCAACGCCAGGAGCAAGATGGGACACACCCCTCTAAGTAAGTGCAAAGAACCTTTTTATTAATGGTTAACGAACAAGAGTTCTGTCGCTCTCAACTATGATCAACAAAAGCATGTTATTGTGGATAGATGCTCTGCGCCCCTCTAATCAAAATAATTTTGCCCTGAATAACTGTTTTGGTCTGAAAATAGTTAACGCTGCCTCCAAAGGCGACATTGCCATGGTGCTCTACTTCTTGAATCACGCCAGAGCAAACCCGCTCCTCAAGAACACATTTTTGGAAATGGCATATGATGTTGCCGCTGCCAACAGTGAGGCATACCTCTGCGACATTCTTCAAAGCAGCGAAAAACAATGGTGGAAGGGTGAGTCTTATGCCATTTCTTTTGTTTTGACCCAGCGTATCTGCCATAAGATCGTCTAGTTCTTAACCATTGAAACGCTTATCATCTATCTAGAGGATCACAGCTCGGACGACCAAATTTATGATCCGCTTGTCCTCCATAACACCGTTCTTGTCGCTGTCCATGAGAACCAAAGAGCAAATGGCTCTTTCGCTCTTTCGTTTATGGCACCCAAGTTTTCTGCATCCGCCCTTTCCCAGCAGGATTTTTGTGGCCCTTGGTCCCTGCCTAGCGGACGACCATCCACCAAAGACGACGTCCACTTGCCCCTTATTTCTTCGACAGGAAATTCAAATGCGAGGGCTAACATGCAGCGTGGATGGTTCTGGATGACAGAGTGGGTAATCGACAAGACGGACCCAAGAGTTGATCCCGAAGGCTGGCAGTACGGAAAATCTCTGACAGAGGCTAACCACCCATGGACAGCGACAGCCCCTACATCGGGAACAAACTGGGTGCGACGTAGAAGGTGGATCCGAGTGATGAAGAAAAGGATGGATCTGATCTGCTCGACAGAAGAAGGCACAGAGGGCTCAGAGACTGGATTGCCTTCTATTGCGCAGGAAATGGCTGGAAACTACATGAAAAGAGCTAGCCTTGCACTGAGGCCAGAGGAAGAGTTTGCTGATACGGCCCAGGAGCTCTCTCGATATCGCCAGGCCATTCAGATTTTATTGAGAGGCATCAAAGGTAGGCACTCTGAATCTCTTTGTTGTGAACGTAGCTTTCCTCTTTATGCGTTTACTAATTCTTTTGTATTATTTTTATTCGATATGGTTGGTAGTCGACAATGACCCTTCAACCAAACTGGTGGCTTCGTCTTTGGTGAGAGAGTATCTCCAGCATGCCGAGGAGTTGATGGAATTAATTCGGGAGCAAGAAGAAACCAACGGCGCATTTCAGGAATTGGAACTGGAGACGCCACGGCCATCACTCGCTACTCGTTCACCCAACAACAGCCAAGGATCGAGTAATGAGCTGCGCAGTTTGACGCTTCAAAGGTCAACGCCTGCGGACGCAGAGTCTGTGGACGACACCATACATCTACAAAACGGACACGACGCTGGTGGCTCACCTGAGAGTAGCGAAGGAAGCATTTCAAGTGCAACCAACGGTCTCGAGACGGAAGAAGGAGCGGAGAACCGAGATGGTGAGGCACTTGGGCTCGACGTCCCACCTGAATTGGAATCGGCTTCCGACGAAGATGACTCTCAGGACGCTGCAGGAACTGATGAACAATTCGGACTGGGTGCTGTTGCAGAAGTGGGGCTGTCCGAGTTGTCACTAGAGTCCGCTAGCGCTGACGTCGCAGACGCAGAGGAACCCAGCGCGGCCGACACTGTGGAGACGCCAGATCAGGATACGATTGCGCAGGAACCTACAGCCAATATACCCATCCCCATTCCGACCCAGAGCCTCCCTGAGGTAGCCATTATCAGTCCATCACCGGCTGCAACGAATGTGGACCCATTCCCAATGGCACGTCTTACCAGAAATCCTCGATCGGCAACACCGTCATCCTCCAGTTCTGGACCCACGGCTATAGCAACCTCGCAGCCACTCTCATCCAGTCCGTCTGCCTCAGGACAACTTACTAGTCAACAAGAGGCTAACCTTTACGCCATTCCACCAGAGCTTCAGCAACGGCTTTCAGAAAGCCCTATTGGTGGCTCTTCTAGTTCATCACACCCACCCAGTGGCACCTTCAGCCCAGGTGTAGGATCGGTCGATTCGCCTCGACATACTTCGTCTATGCAGGCCAGTAACCAAGGCCCATCTCAGGAACGCCCTACGAGCAGAAATCGCTCGTCTCTGCCATCCCAGCAACCTCAGTACCACCCTGCTCAGCTTCCAGTTCTGGAGGCCAAGTGGGAGTCCGACCACAAAGCTATCGACTGCAAGGAGTGCCACCGCAAGTTTTCTCTCTGGCTGAGACGACACCATTGTCGTCGTTGCGGCCATGTTGTCTGTGATCGCTGCTCAAGCCACCGTGCGACTCTTCATCCTTCGATGGTCGTGTACGATCCTTCATCTAGCGAAGCATACATCAACCACCAAGCGCTGAGTCGTCGAGGCACTCTCCAAAGCTATCGCGTCTGTGACTCTTGTTATACGACATTAAGCTCTGGGCGTTCTGCAAGCATGAACAATGGGTCTGGTTCTGGCTCGATGCAGTCCGGCTCGGGATCCCAAACGCGACAGCAGCAACAACAACACCATCATTATCAGCAGCATCAGCATGCTCGCGCCATCCATGGCCAGTCTGGGGCACCTCTTTCGTCTAGTCCCGGCCAGGTGGATGGTAGTATGGGAGTGTACATGCACAATCCGGCCTATGGTCAGGATATGACGTCTCATTCGTCTTCAAGGAGTTCGAGCTCATCCAACCTTCACCCTACACCCATGGTTCGCAATGCGAGCTCGAGCTCACTCATGAGTGAGTGTCCTGTTTGCGGCGCGATTTTGGCTGGCATGGAAGGCGGTAAAGCTGCTCAGGAGGCTCACGTTCAGGAATGCCTTGAAGGGAAGCCAGGTCAAGGACGGGAGCCGATCAACAATGTCCGCTACATCGGTATGTTCACCATTCCACCCTTTTTTTGCTTCCCCGCTCGTGTGTGTATATTATATGAATGATTGTTGAGAGACCTTTGTCGGACCCTCAGCGAATGCTTGATTCTTATTGGTAAATCCTCGCGTTTTTTTTTGTTCTTTAGTGTACAAACTCCCTGCCGCCTCGCCCTTGGTTGATCAGGAATGTGCCATTTGCTTTGAAGAGTTTGTAGCAGGTAAGAGTTCACGTACTTAGTAACTTGTGTTTCATATGGTGTTGTTCTTGACGTCAAATCGAGACCTCCACTCATTCACCACCTCCAATGAATATATTTGCTTGATAGGACGGACGGTGGCGAGATTGAACTGTCTGTGCACATACCACCGCCATTGCATCCATAGCTGGCTTCAACATGGCAAAGCGTGTCCTGTTCACTACCGTTAGATGAGTTTTTGGTTTTGTTTTTTATCAGCATTAAACGACATACAGGAATGAGTGAGTGCCTACGGCGAATTATGAATCAAAAAGATTGCGATGGAAAGTGTATGTGTTGAGGAGAGCGACGTTTGTTTTTCCGAAAATAAACAAGACTTGAGGTTGTACTGTACATAGTTTTTTTTTTTCTTTTTTTTTTTTTTTTTTTTTTTTTTTTTTTTTTGAAAAACGTGTTCATCCAGTCATCCAGACAAGATAAAAGAATTACCCCTGTCGAGGAACTGTGTGTGTGGCACACGACCAGTGTTATTTGATGGGCGAATAGAGTTTGTGTTTTTTTCTCTTTGTGCGCCAATCTAATTACCTTCTCGACCACCAAAAACAATAACAATCACAACAACAAAAAACATCGACAGTGTAAACAAAAAGGCACAAGCTTGAAAGATCGAATTCATTTCTTCACATCTTCGAAGAGGTCTTCTTGATGAAGAGAGAACAGTCTAGAGGAACATGGAGGAATGAGAGGAGATATGAGATCAAGAGGGGGTCACTGACGTGCTTGATTTTGAGTGTGGGTTTCTTGCCTGGGTGCGTTACCAGGTACCAGTACGAGGTGGGAGTAGAAGCCTATTCATGTCAAAATGGAATAAGAATTTTTTTTCTTTCATTTCTAGGGTATTCAATCGGGAAGGAAGAACGGCCAAAAGAAATGGAAAAATAGCCAGAGAAGAGGGGAGAAAACAAGGTTTGGAGGGGAATAGGAAGAGGAACAGGACCAGGGACGAGAGATGTCTCGTCGAGTTGATGTTCGCCTGTTTTCGAGGTGGATAGCACCATCTGAGAGAGAGAGAGAGCACTTCATGCACACAGAGTCGGGTGGGTTGTGGGTGGGTTGGTTGTAAGAGAAAATAAATAACGCAAAACGCACCCCGGCAATAGCTTTCTCCCGCAATAGAGCAAAGGCAAAAGGACAAAGACGTATCTCTCCGTCAAGTTTTTTTTTTATGTTTGACGAGCCCACTTCGTTTTTGCTGTTGATGAACAGGTGTTCATACTACTTACTGCCTTGCACCGGAATCCCCTATCGATGGTTTATTTTACACACAATCGTTCAGTTCCCCTCTTTTTTTTAATGTGCAGCTTCGCAAGGAGTGTTTTCTTTTTTTTTTGCTGCGTTGCGATCTTGCCCTTGAGGCACTTCTTGCCACCAAATTACTCCTGTTGTTCCAGCGTTTGAGAATAAGGATGATCGAGAGTAGAAATGAAAGAGGGTTGGAATAGAGGGTGAGAGAGATGAAAAAGAGAGAGGGAGAGATTTGAGAGAGGCCATTTGAAGCAGCGACGAAGGGGAGAGAGAGGGCCAGATCCCAATTCATGGACGACACTCACTCTGCTCCTCGCAATCTGAGATGGGAGGGAAGGGGGTGGTTAGATATTCGAGACGGATGGACGAGGGAATGAAGAGGAGTAACGAAGGCCATCGCGATGTGCTATTACATTGGTTATGTGCCTGGACTGAACTGGGGGATGGAACGGTTGCTGGGATGTGGGCAAAATATTGCGCCTAAAAAGTCTCAGGGACAGACAACGGACGTTTTCTTTTTTTCCCTTCTTTTCTTTCTTCTCTTCTCTTTTCTCATCATCATCCACACTCCCATCAACCCAACAAAACACTCACTCATCCAACATGTCTCTCACCCACGCCCAGGAAATCGAGTTCAAGGAGGCCTTTGCCCTCTTCGACCCCACCAACTCTGGCACTATCCAGCCCCAGGCCTTCACTAACTTCCTCGCCGTACGTTTCTGCTCTCTCACTTCTCTTCTAACCGACTACGCACTTCACCGCCTCTTTCGACCCTTTCTCTTTCTTGTTTACTGCTGCCCCAGTGTCCTTGTCTTTCATTTTCTTTCTTGACAGCCTCCTTCATTTTGATCGAGGGCCAGATTATGTTGCGTTCTCCAAGTTGTTTATGTCGCAATTGTCTGACTGATCGAATAACGTGGGACTGATTTTTGAGTCGTGTGCCTGGAACTGGATGGAATCGACGTGTATCAGTGCTGATGACCGAGCTAAAGAGAATCAAGGAGAGTGCTCAAAGTTGATCCGACTCGACTTGAAGCGACAAAGGCTTTTCACTCTGGTGATAGTAGAGCACAAAGAAAAATAACAGGAATGTCCTCTCCTCGAGTCGCGAGTCCCCTGAGCACAAACGACATCCAATGGAATGAAAAGATCAGACGAGCTGACCATTTGTATTTTGAGCGCTTTTTTTTTTCTTGAAGGCTGTCGACTTTTCTCTATCCTCAAAAGATAACGCGATGTTGTTCGTGAGAGTGGGATACGGCACCCGTGCCAGTTCTTTTCATTCGTGAACATGGACGAAGGAGAGGGAGTTGTGGTTCATGAGTGGATGGTACATCCCTTCCCTTCTCTTTCTGCGCCTTTTTATCTATTGTTCCTTTTATTTTTCTACCTCCATCCTTGACAGCATCTTTCATTTTCGTTTACATCAAACACACATCCACACACACAAAAACATCTTCTCTAGGAATTCCTAACCTGATTCCTCTGTGCCAAACCATCAAAAAAAAAAAAACTACCCCGCATTTTCGACCCATCACACACCTTCTCTACCACACGCCATTAACCTTCCCCTCTTTTCTATTCATCCTAAACATAATAGCTCCTCAACAACCCCGAGTTGGCCAGCAAGGTTACCCTCCCCACCCAGCCCTTGGACTTCAAGGCCTTCACCGCCCTCTTGGCCAACAACCACAAGGGAGCCGAGACCTCCGATGAGGCCTACGTTGCTTTCTTCAAGTCCATCAACAAGGATGGTTCCGGCAATGTCTCCGCTGCCGAGCTCCGCTCTTCCCTCCAGCACTTTGGCAACAGCGCCCTCTCCGAGGTAAACCTTCACTTTTTTAATTTCAGTGGTCAAGATACATGATTTCCTCCCAACAATGATTCTCTCTTTGAATCGAACGTCATTATTTTGCCACCAAGACGGACGCCCATTTTCTAATTACGTACTCCGTCTCTATATCACTTTGCATTAGGCCGATGTTGACGAGATTGTCCACGAAGCCGATGTCTCTGGCGATGGCCGTGTCTGCATCGAGGAGTTCTTGAAGATCATGCAGAAGTCCGAGAAGAAGCTCCGCGGCGAGCACATTGTGTAAAGTAATGACACAACAACCCTGTTTTTAACAAAAATATTCCCTATCACTTAGAGTTGTCAACTCCATTGCCTTACTCCAATAAACCCCATTCGTAATACATATTCAAACCACTAAAGTCGCCATGAATGCGGGGTAATCTACATTGACGATGGTCATGGGAAGTTGGAAGTTGGAAGTTAACAAGTATAGACAAAAGGTGTGCTGTCAAATAAGTATGTGTTATTCAATTCAAGGGTGTCCTCCTCTCAGGCACAGGTGGCAAAATGCCAAAAGGTAAAAAAATCGATTTGGGAAATGGTGGCGTCGCAGCGCCGTTCTAACCAACAAAGCCAAACTTTGCCCTTCCTTTCAAGGTTTTTGTGGTCACCGCTTTGCCTCGCTCCCTTTCCTCCTTTTCTTTTCTCTTCTCTTCACTCTCAACCATCTCCTCGCCGCCACCACCATCTCCCAGGGCCCTGCACTCACCCTCTTTGCCGTACAGGACAAGAGACACTCTCGCAACAAACAGGAACACACACAAAACAACAGCAACTACAACCTTACACAAAAAAAAAAAATATGGACGCCACAGCATTGGCAAACACAAAGGTCGCCATCTACCGCCAACTCATCAACGAGAACCTGCCCGTACTCGAATGGCGCTACGAGCAACGTCGCGAGATGCAAGAGATCCTGCCTTCAATCTTCCTCGGCCCTTACTCTGCAACACGCAACCTCGACGAACTCCAACGCGCAGGCATCACACACATTGTCTCGCTCTGGGATGGGTCGGAATCAAAGATCCTCAAGGTCCATCACCCGGACCGTTTCAAGTACCTCCAGCTCGAGATTTCGGATGCGGCAACGCAAAACCTGATCACGTTATTCCCACAGGTTAAGCAGTTTATTGACCAGGCTATCCTGCGCGAGGACGGAAAAGTTCTTGTGAATTGTATGAGCGGTATTTCGCGGTCACCGGCGTTTGTGGTTGCGTACTTGATGGAGGCGACGGGGATGGATTATGATGTGGTCTATCGTTATGTCCAAAACAAGCGGTTCTGTATGAACCCCAACCCAGGCTTCAGGCATCAACTCGAAGTAAGTAGACACTTGGGAGGCGTACCAATAGGCCTGCTGTTTTTTTTTGTTCATTGTTTCCCTCAATCTTCGCCACTCCGCAACAAATAAGGATATTGTCCGCATACTAACTTGGCTTCTTATTAATTCTCTTTGTCGTTATTGTAGGAATATGGACCTATTTACACGGCGGTTCAGGCATTGGGATCACAACCAGTGGAGCAGAGGACGTCGGTTAGACGGTCAGCCCCAGAAGACGACGAGATTGATGACGCGTAAGGGATAATATCTTGTTTTCGATGTTGAAATACCCAATCGTGTCTCTTTTTTTGTGTTACAATCACACCACAGCACATCGCCTTCTGACTATTTCTCCTCACCTTCGCTTTTTGTCTGTTAGTGAGCATCAATTCCCTCGGTTCTCATAAGAAAACAGGACAGGATTAGATGACAACGACTCGACTACAACTTACCTGGACTCTCGAGACCACTCTCTTATCGACCATCTACCCACCCCGCCTTCGCCATCTCATTTTTTTCTCGCCCTTTTGTCTGAACGAGAAAACACAACATGTACAACAACCAGCGGGACAAACTCACCGATAGGACACCCAACTCAATTTCAATAATTACAACCACTCACCCACGTCTGGACGGGCAAATCTCTTTTGGCGCGAGTGTACTGGAGAGGGGCGTTTTTTAGCATGATAAAGTATTAGAATTTGCAAACCACTAGAAAAGCGCATGGACAGTTAGATACATGAAGTGAAACGGGCGTTTATTATCGTGGCGATATATCGTAATCATGAAAATAAGTACATTAGGTGCGCTACGGGTAGATTTTTGTATATGTGTTTGAGAGACACGGTTGCCTTTTTTTTTTAGACCAGCATCCAAGTGAATGTCGCAAGGACAGTTGACACAAGGAATGCGGTGGTGGAGAGGGACACAGCAGGAGCGGCATTGTCGACGACGTTAGGAATTTGGCTGACCAGGTTGCGGTTGATAGAGCTTTCCCTGTCCTTGTTCGACGAGGCGTCGGTCGAAGAAGGGTGGGATCCAGGAACGATAGCAGCCGCGGTGTTGTTGGTCTTTGAGTTGCTGCCTGCAGGAGCTGTTGAATTGGCAGACTTGTTCTCAGAAAGAGTAGTGTTGATCAACTCCGAGGGTTTCACAGGCGGCAAAGGGGAGGTATCGTTACCCTCATGGTCGTTGACAGCATCGCCGGCGAGGGACCCAACGTCGTCACTACTGAAGTCATCACCTTGTTTGTGGTTCTTCTTGCTCTCGCGGATGATGGAGACGTTGGGGACGACGTTGAGGGGCTGATCGGCTTTTGTGGATAGATCGGCGAGTGTGTCAACTCGTGGGGGGTGTGCGCCACCCTGGGACGTAGATGTGATTGCGGATTCGGGTGCAGCCGCATTGGCGGTGGAGGGTGGGGTGTCCATGGTCATGTAGGCGAGTTGGAGGGGTTCGGTGTGGACGGTGACTTGCTGTTCTTGAGAGATTGTTGGGTGTTGTCGTGGTTGGACTTGGACTTGAGCGTCTACATCTGGAGCAGCTTGTGGTGCTGGTGCTGGAGTAAAGGTCTCTGGGATCGCAGTAGGCACCTGTTCAGGTACGTTGTTGACGACAACGGCGGCTTGCTGAGGCTCAGTGTCGACTTGAGCTGTAGCAGATGTAGTGTCGACAACCTGCGTAGGCTCCTTGGCGTCAACCCCCCTCGATTGAATGAAGGATCCGTCGCCATTGACGGTCATCTCAAAGCAAGTCGAGTACTCCTCCCCAGCAGGGTTCCTATCATATTTCCACCACCAAACGATCTGATACGTTCCTGGCTGAGTCCCAGGAGGGACCGTGATATGCCCATGGCACCAAGTGTTGGGTTCTGAGGGCTGATCACAATTGCCACTGGTCCCAAAGATCATGGTCCCCAACAATGTTGCTGGCCCCAACTCTGCACGTGTAACAAGTTGTTTCCCGGGGACACCTGTCCAATGGACTTCAATCGTCGAAGGGCGATTATCGTCAAGATGCCCATCGGGTTGCCAGGTGAGGTGCATTTGTTGACCGGGGACGACGTTGGCGATAGGGTAAGGGTTGTTTCCAGGGATGTTTTGTCGCCCTGGTTGACAGACGGAGGCGTCGGGGCGACGGTCTTGGACGAGGTAGGTGTATTTAGTGTTGATGTCGATGTCGGCTCGGGAGGGGTAGCCGAGAGGGAAGCCGGCGCAGGTGCCAGAGTCGAGCATGTTTGTGCAGTCTAGCCAGCTGTGTGCTGACGTGAGTGAGGGGATGAGGAGGGGGAGGATGGCTACTGCTTTGAAGGACAGGACTGGGTGTCGCATGATTGAGAAGTGGTTGGGTGAATTGAAGGTTTTAGTAAAGAGGGCAGTGGGCGAAGCTACAACAGGTGCGATAACTGATTGGTGTTCCTGGAAGAAGTAAAGGAAAATCGAAGGTGTCTTGAGGATGTGTTGACTTCAGTAGGACAGTAGGAGAGACGGTTGGGCTTGGTCGTTAAAATGATAGAAGCGTAGGAGCAATGTGAAGAAGAGAAGAGCTATGTAGAGAAGAGAAGAAGACAAGAGAAAAAGGCACGGAAAGTCCTTTTTTATAGCCTTTGTCTTCATACTAGAACACAGCTCTTTGGGTTCATGTTTAGCTAGTTTCTGGAGGGAAGGAGACAATAATGACGACGATACAAGGAAGGAGCGGGTAGCCAGGCCGGTAGTCAGACAGAATACGAAGTGGAACAGGAGAAGCGAGGAAGGAGAGGGGGGACTAAAAATAATAAAGCGAGGATGAAGAAAGATGTTGCTTCACACCTACTTACTATGTATAACACTTTTGGTTCAAGGAACAGAGACAAAGAGGACAGACCGAGCGATGGTTGGCTGGCCTCGCAATACGAGTCTAATAATTCTCTTATGGCCATTCACCACCAGTATGCGTACGTGCCCAGAAACTACGTCGACGATCCCTCACACAATCGCTATACATTCTTCAAGATGGAGATTTTATTATTCCCCAAGCAGGGTCTAATAAAGAGCCAGAGGGAATCTCACATTCGACTATTCACGAAGGAGAAAAGTAATAAATAAAAAGAGTTGGCCTTGGTGGGAATGGAATCCTCTCTTTACCCGTTCTGGTATTCCTGTCAAGCTTGCTCCCCGTCCTATCCGCACTACCGCCTGCACGGTACCCATTCAATTATTCAATGGATGGGTCAGAACAATGATGTCCAACTACTTGAATGTCTCTTCGACCTTTGTTTTGTCTGTGCGACAAGAAAGTCTTTTTTGGGCTGTTCACTGTCCAGCTGCCATCTTGTTGAATCGCTTGATCGAAAAGGGTTAAGGGCTAGGTAGGAAAAGGCAAGATTTGAGACATGAACAACAGACGAGGGGCAGCAAGGTAAAAGTAAGCTGCGGTTCTGGTGACGGTGACGGTATTGCCAACCACCAACGTTGTCAGCACAATGAAACACTTCCAATTAGCTGTGACAATGCGATGTCTGTACATACACAACAGCCCTTTCTTTAGCGTACAAGTAAAGAAAGAAGCGTGGCTGGTATTCAAACGTCCCCCTCCATGCGCTCAGCATCAATTCTTCTCTTTGGCTCTGCACGCTTTCTCTTTTTCTCTTTTTCTCTTTTTATTTACAAGTCGTCTCGTGGACTTACGAACCACCTTTTTCGCCTTTAAGAGTATTGACGGTCAACAGAAGGCCAATCCCATCCCAGGTACCATCACTGATCGCTTTGTCTTGTTTTTTGATGTCGATATGATCCCAGACACCACCGTTGAAAACTTTACCTGTGTCGCCGATCAAAATAAATAACGGTTTCTATGGAAGGAACATACCCAAAGAAAACAAACCACTCTATCTTCTTGTAATTCAAATGGACACCCTGGTTGAAGGCAATCGCACGGAAGGAGAGCCAATTAAGAAATATGTGCATATGTCCTTGTGTTTTTAGTAATAGATTTTTCCAGCGTGTTTGTGCTCACAGCCGTTTTATTTCTGATATTGGGGTCTCCTCCGCCCTGCAGTTGACAACTGCTTACAGCACCTTTCTCTTTTCTCCTTTCCTCACTCTCCACTCATCCTCTTTCCTTGTCGATTAACCCTCATTCTTACACTCACCCTTCTTCTCCTCATCACTCAGCATATCGCACCTCCGCCGCTCAGCATTCACAACAACGACAACCGCTCCATAACCAACAAAAAGCACACCAAGACTGCACCATCACTACCACCACTACTACAACCAACAAACTACCAGCCATCATCGCACCCATTCAACAATAACTAGTGCCAGGAAGTGCACACAACTCTTCTTCCAACAATGGCGGTCATTCCTGATGAGGATACCAACCCCACCATCGACTTGATAAGACCCCCTGCACAAGGGACAAGTTTTAGAGACCTTGACCTGGAGGGACAGCAACCTCCCTTCACGATAGATAACCCTTCAATTATCCAGGCAGCCGCCCCTGTCCTGTCGTTCCCTCCTCAACCGACCTCAGGAGATGAATTGGTACTAGGGCAGCAGCAGCAGCAACAGCAGGAACCATTGAGCACAGAACCGTTGCGGTCACGGACGGTTGATAGAAACTGGGCTCGTGTACGCCAAAAGGTCGTCGGGATCGATGTTTCCACACCTCAAAACAACAACTCGGCGCCCGTACAGAGAGAGAACAATCAAGGTACCAGCTCAGGAGGAGCAGTAGGAGGAGTAGGTCAGGGCAGCACCTACCCACCTGCAGAGATGAGGGCACACATAGGCAACGGCCGCTTCCCTGCCAGCAATCCAATCACCGATCAGCATAGGACGTTTCCGACCATGGAGGGCTTGGGCACAGTTTCGACAGGGCTCCGAGGTGTTTTAGGCTTCAGGACGGCGGTCGTACAGCGGACACAGCTACGGAAAATGGAAAAGGAGATCGAAAAAGCCCTCGCCCGTCATGCGAGCGATCAGAGTCAACCTCGTTCACGGACTGTGGCACGGATAGGCACCGGCACCAGAGGTATGATTCCAGGAGCATCTTACAACCTAATGGTTTTCGATACCGGCATCGTTGACAGGAGTCTTGTCGAGGAGCTGTCCGACATTTTGACCAGATGGAAAGCACTTATCGTCGAGGTGCCTTGCAAGAGCGAGATCTTTCGGGCGCTTTCTAAGATGCTTTTAGCCAGCAGGACAGAACCGTTGTCAAGTAAGGACTACTTCATGGAACTCTAGGTTTATTTTATGTTTACGACCAGTGTTTGTATTTCAGGATTCAGATCCGAGCATGGTTTGAGCATTGGACTCATGGAGAACTTTTGATTGTTCAAATCGAATAGGAGCCGATGCGACTGCGGTTTTGAACCTCGTTGATCAGATGAGGCAAATGTTTCCTCTGCAGAGCGACCCAGAGGATCTTCAGGATGTGCTATGGTGCCTCAGTCTACTCTCGCCAAAATACGCCTGTCATAAGGTGAGAGCTCGCACTTGGATTCTACGAAGACTTGCATTGTGAGCCGCGAGAGCAGGATTTAGATATTGACAGTTAACGGATAAACATTCATCTACGTTAGGATCGAATCGTTACAATTATCAACCAAATGCTGGCACCTGGAGTTATAACGGCGACTGTACCGCTCTTGCCTAGGAACATCCACGCGATTCTGGCCTCATTGGTGACACTGCTAAGCGAGCAAGCTGCTTTACCCAAGGAAGCTCAGGATCGACGTATTCAGGATTTGTCGGCAGTCTTGATGGATCGGATACGTTCTGGCGATTTGGGCGTGAAATCGGATCCGACTGCCGATCGAGCGCAAATGGAGCATAACGCCGACATCGCCTTTCTACGCGGCTTGATCGAGTGCATACGACTTCGAGACCAGACAACAGTTCATTATTTGCTTCATGAACTCTTGCCGGTGAGTGCTTCAGCTTTTTTTTACATGCGGAGGAAATGTTTTGCGTATGTACGCTCATTCCAACATACATTAGCTGACGCTTGTTTACCTCTTGCAACACATGTAGGTGTATTGGGTGGAGCCGGACTCTAAATACCCTCTCGCTCTGGATGGACCAGTTCGCATTTTTGGTCAGGTGGCGAGTGAGTTTGTCCTGAATGCGCCAGTCGCCCACGCAGATGAATCAGAGCTGACAAAGTCGTTGATTCTGGACATGACAATTTTCCTACAGGAGTTTCTGCCGCCAGCTGGACTGCGCGGATCGGTTTCAAATGAGGCAGTGGCGTCAGTAGTCCGGTTCATTTTCATGGTTTTCTCTATCGAGTATCTGGAGATCCAGCCACAGGAACCATCCACATCATTTGACAATCCTCGACCTTCACGAGACGATATGGAGCCGACCTCACGGGCATCAATGTCGACTGAGCCAGAACGGGAGGCCATGCCTAGGACACCGCCAAGGTCTCCCCTCAGCCCCAACGTGAGCGGAGATAATTTTCAGGCTAGGATATTGCCGCCTCGGGATCAAGGATTACCAGGTGAGAAGACGAACCCTGTTGTTCAACTAGCCCGGAATTACTTCGATGCCATTTGGGACCAGGGACATCAAGGAACCATCGTGGACCAGATGAAAATCGAGGTAGGAACAGGATTTTGGAGGTTATGTAGATCCAAGACTGGCGTTCAAATAACACACGACTAACAGCGAATCATTTTTAATACTCTTGGTATTTTAGAGTGAAGACATTGCATTTCGACGACTCGTCAACCTCTACCATCGCGTCATTCTTGGATCCAGCACGGCAAGAGGCACATTGATTCTCAACGCAACCCTGAGCACATTCTTCAATGTAAGCGAGACATGTTTTGGTTCCTGACCTCTAGAAGTTAGCTTTCGTCAAAAGATTTGTCAAACTAACTGATCGCTTTGTTTCTCACATATAGAAATTAGTTGCCCATCAGCCCGAACCCAACGAACGCCTGTCAAGGCTACTTCTGCAGCTCTCAGTCGTCCATCGCGCCTCTTTCTTCAAGCCCATGATCGCATGCGTGGCGTCCGACTCAACTCAATTTGTGACGGACTATCTCTGCATCCTGTCATGTCTGGAAACACACATGAGTCTAGTAGATCTGTACATGAGAGATGCCGATATGATATGTGTGATCGCCATGACGGATGTCGGTCATGAGCGGCCAAGGAGAGACTTACAGGTGCAGGCACAAGGGCTGAAGTGGGGCTCCTGCACAGTCGGTCAGTGCATCATTGTCTTGGAATTCATCTACGTGATCAAGAGACTGGCGAGCAGTGGCGATAACTACGAGATCGAGGTTGGCAAGATGTTCCTCATTGACCTGGAGCGGAAACTGGGAATGTATCTTATATCCAAGGTGTGTTTTCCTGTTCTTACGAATATTGTGATTGTGCTACTGTTCAGTTGGTGGCAATATGTAACAGCGTTAACATTTTTTCCTACTCTTTCCAATAATAGGAGAAGAAGATTCTCGTTCCTAGACCAATCCGTGTTATGTTGTGCATGATATTTTATGAGATCCGAATGCTATGCAAGACCATTCACAGGTAACATAGCTTGCGCGTGTTCTACTCGACAGTTTGCAATCATATAGAACCTTCAGTCTGACAGTCAGTGTTGTGATTAACATTTTAGACCAGGTTGGCTACCACGGATACTGGACTGGGCCCTTAATCAGCAGGCGACAGCTGAAGGTGGAAATGCACAGGGTGCCCCTCACGGCATCTCGGAAACCATGCGACTTCGGATAAAACACATCTACAGCAACGTGGATGGACTTGTAGGCGAGGTAAGATCACTTTCCCCGTGCGAACGCTACAGAAATAACGTTCAGAAGGCAAACGGTCTAACTCCCTTTGGCCATCAATTTATTAGCGCAAGGATCGATATACCCTCAAGATCGTTAATAGATCCGCGTCAACCCTCAGGCCATCCAGGATCGAGTCAAGCGCAGGCGCACGACGAGTTTCCACCAGCGAGTCGAATCGGGCGCCCAACCAATATATCAAAGCCACTGCTACACTTCAGCCGAAGCGGATAGCTCGGATGCCGGACATCCGACTAGACGAAACGGTGGCTGTGCTGACGCTTCTGATCACCGTCCATTCTGCGATCCATGTGAGCGAATATCTACAGTTGATCGGCCCTCTTTGGAACATATACTGCCTCGAATCTGGCCCTAAAGTCGCGTCCTCCGCCGCATTCTTGTTTGTCAAATGCGCTGATGTTGCCCCAAAGGCAATTCACAACATCATTTCGCGCGATCTCAACGGGTACAGTTTTTGAGAACACCATCAGTTACTGTGGGGCCGCAATGTGCCAAGTCGGGAAAAGTATTGCAGCTAACAAGAATATATGTGTTTGTTTTTGACAAACTTAGTGATAACCCGTTCAAGCGCCTGTCCGCCATCGAGAGGCTGAACACTATCTTTGACCACCGCAACGAATTGCTGATCCAACCCTATGTTATCGACCCATCTTCTCGTGGTCCGTTCCGCACCACCGTCATACAAGTTCCTTTCGTGACGACAGAGGTTGGCAGCAATCGATACACCATGGACGAACCCCGTTGGCTGACAGAGTTGAAGAGCGTTGGAAACTTCCCCATCGACATCCGTAATCGCTTTCAGGAACTAGGATGGGGCCAGAAGGACCAGCAGAGAGAGACAGAGTTGACAAGGCGCATACAGACTCCTTTGATGCTATCGTGGACAGGATACCTCGATGGTGACTACGAGAGCAAAGAGAACTTTGGCCGGACTTACACCATGCTCCCCAAGGACCGGCACGCGACAGTATTGATCCCTGTTTTGAACTCCCTCAACCTCGGCACCATCGACCTTATGGACGACAAGGCTATTGGTGTTCGCTCAGCAGCCATCAACTTCCTCTCCGACTACATCCGAAACGAGCCGGTGCTTTTTGTTCGCTCCTTCTTTGCCGAGGTTGTACAAGCAAGACCAGATCGCCAACGAAGCTTGATCTCCAGACTCCACTTGCTCCTCGGCGGCAACTCCAGGTTGCCGCCAGCGTTTGCTTTCTCGCTCTTCAACCATCTCCTCGGTTTGCTGAAGTGGTTCCAGAGAAACTCCAAGCCGTTGGGGCTCGAGATAATGGCAACGGTCCTTCCACTTCTCGCGGATGTCGTCATCTCCACCAACGATATCGTGTTCAAGGATTTCAAGCGCAACAAGGTCGACATCTTTTTCGCCGGCTTGGGGCGTTTTTGGTTCAAGTCGGCCATCTTACCCGAATCCATGTTTCCTGCTCAGCTGACCAACCCAGGCGACATCATACCTCGACTAGGGATCCCACACCAACTGTTCCAGATGGCCATGGTCAACATCAGCCAGATCCAGTTCATGACCAGCTTCCTCGTCCGGTATCCTCTGGAGGCTACCGATGTCAAAGCCAGCGTTGGGCGGTTTAACAGGATGCCAAAGTTGAACCCTCTCGAGGCTCTGCAGAGTTCCAAGCTGGAGGACAACCAGTATCTGCCAGATGTGTCGAGGTGTCACACGCATTTTCTCACTGCAACGTCCTACCGGGATCGGAATGCGCGGTCGCTCTCATCCCTCCGAGCGCGCGCATGGCTCTCGTTTGTCCTCAACCTAATCCAGCGCATTGACAAGCAAAGCACGGATCGCTTGGAGCTGATGAACATCCTCAACGGCGTCAACGTTATTCTTCTGGAGCAAGGAGATGATCTGGGGATTGTTGGACAGGCTTTAGAAGTGTACATCACAGCGGCAACGCGTCTGAGGCGGCTCTTTGCGTCGCAGAACGGATACGCACTGTTCTTCCCCGCCCTGTTCAAGATCTACTGCGACTCTGCCACTATTCCAATTGTTCAGGACACCATCGACGCTACATTTTACCGCTTCTACTTGATCCATCAGGAGGCGTTTATTCTGCAGAGTTTGGGAGCCATTGTCCCGCTGATGCTTCGCAACATGTCCACGGAGCAATCGACTATCATGAGCCGACGTCTTTTCGCGTTTATGGAGTCGCTCGACCAACCGACAACGACCTATCACTCTAAAGCTCTCGGCGTCCCATCGCTGTCCGTGCCCTACCATGATAGCAAGCCTTACGGCGGCCCCCAGCTGGAGATCCCCCATTGGATTTCGTCCTTTATTCCCAAGAACTCGAAGATCTTCCACAACAGCGGCAGCACCAACATCCTGCACAAGGCCGAGTTTACGATCACCGACTCCATCAAGCTCTTCCTCGCAGTCATTGCTTACGACCCTGGTTCCGTTCGGTCTGAGCAGTTTGTTTGCGTCCTCAGGATGGTACTGCCGTATTTCTTGGACCGGGAGGCGCATCTGATGACGAGTGGTCTGGACAGTCTGATCGATGTGTTTGCCAAGTTTGGGAGGTCATCCAAGCCCCTCGTGCCGACGTCCTTTGTTCCCCCACCAGTGCTGCCTCGGGCTGCTCAGAGTACCGACGACACCCAAGGTGACATCAGTCGCTTTGCACTTGTGAGCGGTCATGCCGCCAAGACCCAGGCTGTCAAGGGCAAGACGTGGGCGCAGAACGATCGCGTGGCTATCAAGCACGAGTTCGTTTGCTTGATCCAGCACTTTTGCGACCGAGGCGGACAATTGGCGGACGACCAACACCAAATGATGGCGGCCTTCATCAAATCGATCCTCAAGGACTACATCTCGTTGAAGATCCCATGCACCACCGATTGGCTGCGTGATTATCTCAAACACGCCATACTCCCAATCCGGAATGTCCAGCAAGGATCTCATGCGGTGCTGTATCTGATCGTGCACGTTTCGGGCTACCTCAGGACGTATTACAAGATGATTGACTTTTCGGGATTCTTCGATGGCTTGCTGCTGGTGGCGGAAGACGAACGGCAGTTTCTGAGAAACTCGCTCACACTCTCCAATGTCTTTCAGGACAAGGTTTTGAGCCCAGCTCTCGCCGTTGGAGTCAAGGATGACTGGAGTTCTGGGTCCATCTACGTACCGCAGGCAAAGTTCTGCGACAGCTTGGTCGACCTGATGCTGGCTATGATCAACAACGCGGACACTGACACCATTTCCGAGCTCGAGCAGGCGGTACCCACGCCGCGTCTTATGGCCTACATTATCATCCCACTCTGCCTTCGATTCAAGTCCCGTTTCCACTCCAACTGCCTGGATATTCTGGAAATGCAGTTTTGGCTCAGGATGCTGGGACTCACTGTCAAAGCAGCCGAGTGCGACTCTACGTTAAAGCAAACCAGTAGAACTACCGGACTGTTTGCGCCTGTGATCAATGCGGCTCGTGCGAACAGGAGACGTCAGTCGGTCGAGCTGATCGCGCCCATGTCCCCACAGCAGCCTATGACCCCGCACCCTTTGATGATGCCACCGTCAGCAATACCCCAGACGCCAGGTCATCATCGTCGCATGTCATCATTCCTTTACAGAGGTGATCACAACGATGAGGACCACAACGAACAGCAGCAGCAGCAACAGCAGGCCTCGGAGAACACCATGAACGCGACCCCAGGACTGCTCATCGACTTTATCGCGCTGCGCATCATCATGGTCCGCGGAGAGCGCTACCTGACTTATCACCCTGGTTGCTGGCTTGATATCTTCAACATCATCAAGAAGTACTTCTCGGCTCACATGTTCTCTACAAGCTCGTTTTCTGGACCCATCGCCATTGGAGGCAGTATTAGCCGCTATAACAGTACCTCCAGTTCCGGCCCGCCATCACCCAACGTTAGCCCTTCGTACCCGGCGACCCCAAGGGTGGATGTGCCTCTGACCCCACTCTGGCGCGACGGCGCATCAGGATCGGCAGGAATGTCAGGAGGGTTGTCTCCATACCCTGTATCGTCTTATACCCAAGGGAATACCCGAATGACGGCGATGGGGTACATTTTGTGGTCTTTCGCAGAGACCATTCTCTTCAACCGGTTGCCCTTGATGATCATGATGCGACCCTTCCTTTCGGACCAAATTCGACAGATCGACTCTCACCCTGCGCCCACCTCATTCCGTCCCAGTCGATCAGCTACCAGCACCGGTCCCAATTCACCAGCCTTTTACTGGCCCTCGCCATCCGTGTTGCCAACTGGCTCTCCAGGACCTGGTGCAGGATATTCTCCTGGGATGTCGCCCTTGCATCTGAGGGGCGACAGTGTTGGTCGTAGATCTGATGCCCGAGAAGATCCTGCGGCTGTCAAGCAGCAACAACGCACTGAACGTCGGAAGCAGTGGAAGAGTTGGGCCAAGCCGACGCAGACCATGAACGCGTTGACTGTGATTCAGGAGCCGCTCTTCGACTCCCAGGGGCCCATGTCCCCCAACCTACATGCGGCTCGCTTGCCCCGTCAGCACAGTTTCACCTCGACATCTGAGCAGGCTGGTAGTGATGCTGCTGGCGAACCTCGTACTCCCAACCCTCTTCAACAACAACAACCACCACAACAACAACATCATCATAACTATCATTACCGCCATCGCAAGCATCACCGCTCGGACCTTGAGAGCAAATCGGAGACGGTTCTGCCTCATGCTCTAGTCGACAGAGCCATTCATTCGATGCAACATGTCCGATCCATGATGCTTACCAAGTCGGAGGGTACTACAGCGTTCTCTGAGTTTGGTGTCCCCATGTACCCCGAGAAGAGATCGCCTTCCACTGGTTTGTCCCCATCGATGGCTCTCCAGACTAGCGACAAGAGGGACTCTTTCCAGTTCTTCCCAGCGGAGGGCAGTCAAAGCGCGGACAATCACTTCCTGGTCCCTGGGAAGTACGAACGCCAGCCGTCTAGCCCTGGATTTGGCTCGATGTTCTTGGCAAGGGAGGCAGCGATCCGAAGTCCAGCGGGGTCTCCGAGTCAGGAACCAGCAGCTCCTGCTCAGGAGGGTCTGTCGCCATTACGCCCAATGTCCTTGACAGTACCGCGATCGCTTTCGGCAGATACAGCAAAGGATTTTTTGCGCGTTGCTGCCAAGGAAGCCTCGAACGTCGGCAATATCTCGGACAGCGGAAGCGACGGCTCAAGCTTCGTGATTGGAAGTCCTCAACTTCATCCTAGCTCTGGAGGCGAGACTTTGTCTCCGGGGGTGCTCAGCTTGCCAGGTGCCGCTTCACCTGGCGGCGCAAGCCCAGCTCCCAAGAAGAGCCGCAGCATCTTGAAACCGACGATCATCACCACTTCGCCGTCGATGTCGGACCGGAATCCTCAACTACAGTCGGCAGTCGATCTGTCCCAGACACCTGGCCAGCAGCTGCCCTCCGACCTGTTCACGCCAAGCGGTATGCGACCTATTCGCCGATTGGACAGTAACACATCGGATGGCTGTAGTTCCATGAGTGGAGGACCCAGCATGGGCCGCCGACCTAGTTTGACGTTGGAGGATCAGATGGATTACAGGATGGCATGTCTCCAGGCGCGCGCAAAGATCTTTGTTCAGAACATTGAAGAAGAAACGCGTCTGGTCTTGGCGTGTTTTCCTTCTGTGTTTTCATTCAAGTGTGCGCCACCGCCATCGACTACTCCATCGGCTACAGCTGCAACTTCAGCAACCGCAGGAGCCCCTATTGCGACGGTCACCGTCGAGCCACCAGCACCTGATCCTGCAGTGCCTTTGACAACCCAACCCGCGTCAACTTCGAGGGAAGTAACAGGAGAAACCAGGAACATTCAGCAGAACGACCAGGCACGCGTCAGTACATCCAGTTTGACTGTTCCAAGTCGAAAGACGCTCTCGATCACGATCCAGGATCAGTCGTCATTCCTGGCTCCCTCGCCCATCAACCCACTTCCTATGCCTGTGGAAGGAGGAGAGCATCTGTTCTCTTCGAGGCAGAAGCGGCCTGCATCTGCTACTCTTGCTCCTTCATCCCCTCCTCCAGCGCCTTTGGTTGGGTTTACCATTGGGACTCCTCCCCCTGCTGCAGCAAAGGAGCGTCGATCCAAGAGCGTTATTTTCCAGCAACAGTTGTCGATGAGACCTTCAGGCGGTGGATTCAGTCTGCCTACTTCTGATCCTAGTTCCCTGAGAGCAAGTTCTTCCCAACCGCTTTCACACATGGCCACTCCTCCGACTCTTTCGGTGACGGTGTCGACGCCCCCGATCCTCCAGTCCAACGCACTCCCGCCTCCTCTGACTTTGTCCCTGCCTCCGACGGGACTGAACCGTTCTGGCAAGGCTTCAGAGTCCTCACTCCCTACCGTCAACATCAACCTCACGACCCCCGGCCCCGATAGCAACTCTTCGGCAACTCTTCCTACATTCCAGCTCCATGGCTCACCTCCTCCACCAGAGCGTCGTGAGACGTTTGATGCCACCAGTTACTTCTCCTTGCCTATCCGTGGATCTGATCGACCCCAGTCAGCTTCATCGTCATCGTCATCATCAAGTCTTTTGGTCCCTGGACTTGGCCTTGCTCCTCCATCCTCATCTGGCCCTTCAACTTTGTCAGTTCCTTCGGCATCATCGACAGGAACAGGAACAGGAACAGGAGCAGGAGCAGGAGCAATACCACGTTCGTCGTCGGCTCCTCCATCGCTGTTACTCCCGGTCCCTGAACACGAGAGTCAAGACGAACCTGTGATTCCCCTGGATGATACGCCGTACACAGTCGTCGGACTTGGATTGAATGTCCCTGATTCATCCAGACTCGGAAGTCTTCCTCCAAAGTAATCAGCGCGAAAAAAAAAACTACAAGCAAAAGATTTAACACACGAAAAACAAACAAAAACTATCAAGAACTCCCCTTCCCATTTACTTTAGAATAACGATACTCCCCCAATGCCACATTACCATTAATCAACTTGTACAATACATTATTATTATGAGAGTTATTTTCAAACCTTTTGGTGTGTCTTTGTGGGCGCGCAATGGTGTTGAATCGGACGCTTAAGAGAGATCTTTGACCATTGGCCTTCTGGAAAAATTCAAATTTTATTGTTGTTTATTTTAGAACAAATATTTCTCTCGTGCAAGATTTCTTACCTTGGTCTGTTTTTTTTTTTTTTTTTTTTTTTTTTGGTATATTGCAGCCGTGTAGATAGTCCATGTTCTAGTTCGATAGAACATGACCATCGTTCTCCAAGTTCCGTAAAGCCATTCCATCACTGTTGCATATTCCTGGGGCACACGGAGGCTATGGTAGTCGAGAAGGCCGATGCTGCATTGTGGCACGTGGAGATTCTTGGTTGGTGACCTAGAGTCCAAGGGATATACCATTTCACACTTCATACGACCCATATTGACGGCACATACGTACAGTACAAATTTCTCGATCTTTTTTATTCTATTACTCTCTCTCTCTTTTCTAGCTTGGTCCTCCTCACGATTGATCCTCATCGTCCATAATAACCCTCCCCTCCCAGAGATCATGCAACCCCGCCATCCCAACCTTCTTCTCATGGAACTCAACCACCATCAACAGACCCGTTTCAAGACCCGTCGTCACAATATGCACAATCGGCGGGATGTCCTCTTTCTTGAATCCAAGGTGACCCAATGGCAACGGCGTGTTGGGCAAGATATCCAACGTAGGCTTGAACACAATCTGCTCTCGTGACTGGAAAATAAACTTGGGTCCTGACTCCTCGTCATTGTTGCTGCCATCACCGTTGGGCGCCGAAGAAGTGCCGTTGACTGTGGAGCCAGTTGCGCTGGTATTGCTGAGGACTTTGGTAAGGGGCACTATGGGCAATCCAGTTTCGAGATCGATCGGCAGTGCTGGTGTTGTCAACGACGAGACAGTAGGCACCAAGGACGTAGACGACAACACCGAGTTTGATCCAGATCCCGATCCCGATCCGTCTGCTGCCACCGTTGCTCCCACAGAATCGTTTTGCGTAGGAATGGGCGAGGAGGGCGATCCGGTCGGGGAAGCATCCGATTTGGACGGTAACACTCTAGCTCCGACTCCCGTATCCTTGACGGCTCCATCGATCAGTATATTGGGGACGGCAGCCGAATCTGGGTTTGCCGCGGCAGTTATCAACGACGATGGATCCTGACTGTTGAGTCTCGACATGGGCTGTCCTCCACCTCCAACCAGATCCAACGCCGATCCTACGGCGACCCCATCTACAGGGCCATCGCTCGACACAACACCTCCTGCAGCACTGGGCACCGCTCCAGAGCCCTCCAGGCTGCGAAGATCCTTGTAGTTCCTGATGCTGAGCTCCTCCAAGAACCGCTGGAAGTTCTTCTCGACACCTCGGAAGAGTCGATAGTCCGTTGCAATGTCGATCAGACCCGCGAACGCCGTCTTGCAATTGTGCTCAATCACCAGACTGTCCATCTCCTGCCACGACTCCATCAACTGGCTGGTCACGGGCAGCTTGGCGATCGTGGTCGAGCCTGGGTTACGGATACGCTCAAACCACTGCTCGAGCGTCAGAGCGTTGACAGCATTCTGGTCCACAACCTGCAGCGTGTACTTTTGAAGACTCAGCAATGCCAGATTGATTGTCGTCAGTCGATGGATGATCGGCTTGAGGATGCCCTCGTTGATGATAAGGTCCCGGTCCATCCTGACCTTGAAGCCCTGGATGCTCGCGTGGGTACACTCCTTGTCAGACAGGAAGTACGGGAAGAACGAAAGATCCAAGTTGCCAAACGAGATCTGGACAAATCCAACCCCAAACCATGCTGGTCCCCTGGCGAGACTCGCCACGCTTACTCCACTCGCCTGAGAGGCAGACCGTCTCAGTTGTGGCATATCCGGTTGCAGACTCGCGGGTGTGAGCAATGGCTTCCGAAGCTCCTCCTTGGCGGCAGACAACTTTTGTTCCAGCATATTCGTCATACGCGACAACAGTGTCTTGAAAACTGGGACAGTCTTTGCGCCCGCCAACAGTCGGAGTCCTTGAAGATGAGCAATGATGGCTTGCGAGACATCTTGTTCGAGGTTGGGTCCTTTCCAATGATCCTGAAGCACCACCCGAGCAGGTCCGACCGCCAGAATAAAGAACTTCTTGTAATCGTACGTCAACATCGATGTGATCTTGTTAGTCTGGACCACAACCTCCATGATCGAGCAAGGGAACGTCTGGTGTCGATTGACCTTGGAGAGAGTCTGCACGGTCACTCCTTCGAGCACAAGATAGCCCTCCAACCAACCCCGTCCCATGGCTAAGAACTGGATATCGAGAGGGCCAGTCGTGATGGACGCCGATCGTGGATGGAAGGGCCGAAGCTTGGTGCGCAATCGGACCTCGTCCAGCTTGAAGTCCATCTTGCCGATCTGCGAGCCTAGGTCTCCAGCAATCCGCATCTGCTGAAGTCGCGCCACCACAAAAACATTGTAGCCCAGAAAGCTAGACTCTCTCTTGCCAGGCACGAGCGGTCCTCCAGCGCCAATGGATGGTATCCGCCCTTCATGTGCAGACTGCGAGGAAATCAAGGGCTCGAATCCATGGGTGCTGGAAGTCGAGCGACTAACCGTCAAACTATCACGAATCAGGTAGTTGGCCTGATCCATCCAAATCATCTTCATAAGCACCAAGATCTCGGCTTGACGCATATCAAAGTCGCAGCCAATCTGCCCGAAATCGATTGTGACCGATAGCGTCTTCTTGTTGACATCCGCCTGACGCTTGGTTTCCGCAACGGCGTTAAATATCATGCCCTTGGCCTCCAGCTTGAGTCCCTTGTCCTGAGAAAAGATGTGATGGGTGTCCGAGGAAGCTCCCTCGAAGGTTCCAGCGATCGTGCTCGAGTTGTTGCCTGAATGGTCCGAACTGTAGCTCATCAAAATGTTGCCCTGCTCGAACGCTAGCACCGACATCACTTTGGCCATGGGCTGGCAGTTGAACTCGATTTTGGTCTTTTCGATAAACAGGTACAGCGTAACCGCCAGCTCTTGTCTCTTCCCTGTGACATGCTGAAGGGTGCCATCAGGTCCCGAATTCGATGTTGAGACCAAAGTCATGCTGCCTTCCTTTCCATGAGATGAAGGACCGGCAGGCGTAACGACAGTCTCGGTGTCAGAGTATTGGCGCTGTCGTCGGATGCCGACCTTGAGGCCAGTGACAATGTCTTGGAAGAACGGCACCAGCGACGGGTAGAACGTGTTCTCGCACGAATGAATGTTCACCTCGGCGTGAATCCTTGGAGGTCCTGCTGCTTGTAATTCGGCCAGGTTGTCTCCAAGAGGTATACGAAGAGTCGTCCAGAGCGACAGTCCTGGAATGACAAACCGATCCACACCGGATACCTCCGCACCAACATGTGCAAAGTTGGACTCTGATTCCGAAAACTTGGAAGCCTTGGGCAGCTTGGCGATATAGCTCTTGGGGTAGAAGCGACAAACGCTGTTACTGCACGTGAAGGTGTTCTCGATCTTCCAAATGACGTTGGATGACAATTGAGGCGTCGGGAGCTCGCTTTTGGGAGTCGAAGTAGAAGAGACACCGTCGAATTTGTTGGTCGCCGAGACTGTGGCTGCTTGCTCGACATTCAAGGAGATTACCAGGTCCTTACTGTTGTCGTAGACATCGGTGAGTGTGTTGATGTACCGAACAATGGTGGGGTCGATATCCAGCTCGAAACCTGAGACAGATGCCTTGGACGCGATCTTTTGGTGACCCGGTGAATCCTTACTTGCCTCGACCTGACAGGAGATGTTGGGGAACGACAAGCGGTTCATCTTGGGGTGGCTGCGAGACCTGAAATGGTCGTCTTTGCTCTGATCGAACCGTGGAACGAACTGTGCGCACAGGTGACTGAGTGTTCCCGAAGAAGTCTCACCACTCTTGGTCAGGACTGAAATGGAGGTAGCCGAGATCAGGAACGCCTCAACCAGTCTCTCGCTGCTATCCATGATGTCCTCACGTCGGTCAAGTGGAATCGCCACGGCCACATCGTCAATAGTCAAGAAGATCTCTGTGGCCTCCAGCATCGAACGGGCGTTGTCCTTGTAGGCAGGGACTTCTACATCTAGAGACTTGATAATCCTCTTGGTGTTATCCGCCAGCTTGGTCATATCCGTCGCCTTGAGTTCCTTGCGCCTCTCCAGCTCGTGCGTGTAATAAGAGTACATGCCGATGATCCTGCTGACTGACTGGGGTTGCATCAAAGCATGGACTTTCAAGAGGCTAACATAGAAGGAGCTGACCGAGCTTTCGGCAAATCGAGTCTTGTCGGACGTGTTGGGACTGAAGTTTTGAACGTTCAGGTTGATCGTGATGTACGCGAGTCGAAGCTTCCGGGCGCGAATGTCTTCTGCGCGCGATCCGAGGCGAATGTTGCCAATGTGGTGGTTCAAGGAAAGGGTGATACTCTGGGCATAGAGACGCCAAGCCAGTCTGCTCCGGACAATATCGGTGGGGAAAGGCGGCACAGGGGCCGGGTTGGGGTTGTTGGTTATGACACCCTTGAGCAAGTCCGACTCGAAGTAGAGAACCGCCGAGGGACTTATAGCTGCGATACTGAGCCCGACCAGAGACACCTTGACGGAGTAGAGTAGAGCAGAGGGGCTGGATACGGGAGCAACCGTTGGGGAAGCGGACGTAGTCGCAGCATTGCCTCCCTTTCCGAGAATATCAATCAGCTCGTTCAACTCTGCACCCAGAAGCGACTGCGCCGTCAGAATATGGTCCAGCATGTTGACGTTCAGTGTCATCTCCACAAAATCGAAGGAGACCGACGACTCGAGCTTCTTGGGGTGGCGAGATCCGCGGGCCAAGGCAGTAATCGAAGACCGTCTGTTCCTCGCCGGGGCGGCCGAATCGATGACATTCATCACCCTTCCTGAGGCGCGAATGACTGGAAGGGAGAAGCTGGCTGCGTGCTTATCCTCCATGAGCCTCGACTTTTCTGCGCCCTTAGTCTTAGGTTGGTTGGCGATAAAGTCCACAGATTGTCGGAGCAGTTGGGCCGTGTAGGTGAGTTGTGGTGTGGAGAACGGCAAGCCTGGTGGAATGTCATGGAGCATAAACATCAAATCTCCGGCCTCATATTGGAAAAGGAGCGACGGCAGCATCTGCGACTCGAGTGTTAATGACTTGAGGACGACCTGGACCTTTAGTTCACGTGGGACAGTTGGGGCAACAATCTTGGGTTGCTGCTTGCGATCAGCCTCCCACTCGTTCATGACGCCCTGGAACAAAAAGTCGAAACTCTGCATGTTCTCCTCTCGCCAGTCCTTGGCAAAGAGGTACAGTTTCAGAATGCTGCGAGGAAGGGCAAAGGTGACCTGCTTGAACGTGACAAGGAGGTTGATGACCTCGCGTGGGACGCTGGCCTTTGTTTGCTTGGGACGCTTGACCGGTGTGAACTGACTGAGGGTCGCCTCGGAGTTGATGCCGGTGATGCCGAATGTCAAAAGCTCTTTGGTGGGCGCTGACGTCGCACTGTCTTTGGAGTAGATACGTTCTTTGAGGGACGAGTTGATGCTGTTGATGTTGGTCGCCACTGAAGCAATCAATTTGTTGATGCCAGACCTGACAGCCGCTGATCCATCAGGATTCGATCCTGAGCTCTTCGCCACCGAGATGCCCTCGATATCCTGGTTTGGATATGACCGTTGCTTGGCAAAATTGAGGGCTGAAATCTGGATCTGTGAGACAATGACCTGGGCAGTCAAATTGTGGGCGGTCAAAGTGATGCGGATGGTTTCAACAACAGCCATGCCGTTGAAAACGATGTCGAATCTATCAATGACCTCCAAGATGGTTGGTTCCTCTACTGGCTTCGCGGCATTGAGAGCTTCGCGAGTCAGTTGTAACGACTGGCGCGGGGACGATGGACCTAAGTAGATGATCGAATAAATCATAGAAAGGTCAATTGACGCTCGGTACCTAAGAAAAGTAAAAAATGTCAAAAGATAAAGGTGGGGGTGATATTTACTCTCGATGACCTTGCGGACCTCTGCCTGTCGTTTGTCAACCACGGGCTCGAGAATCTTGTTGAACTGGGTCGCAAAAATGCGCTCGATCCTGAGGATATGTCGAGTGAAGGCGATAATGACAGGGTTGATATCGATCTCGGCCGTCTTGAATCCAGTTTTGACGGCAATATCTAAGTATCCCGTCGTGAGACGACTCGACTCTGCAGAAACAGGCTGTCCTGGGAACAGCCCAGTCTGAGGGAGGGCATCCTGCTTGTACCTCGACTCGAAAATAAACTCCAGCCCATACACTTTCATTTTGTTCTCCATCTGCTCGTCGTAGATCGCGGCCTCGAGCTCTCCTAGGCTCAGCTGGATCGAATTGGAAGAGAAGCGCAAAATCTCGTAGAGGACAGCCTCCTTCTTGGGGGTCGCGTTCGATAGATTCGGCAAAGGCTTCCTCTCAAACACATCGGTGAACAGTCGGCACTTCCTGAGATCGTCCATCTCCCAGCTCCTCCAGTTGGAAAACGCATCAATGACAATGTCATACATAATGTCGGAACTGAACGCCTCTAGCTCTGGCTTTTTGAGAGCCTCCTGGAGAGTGTCTCGTAGAGAAGCAGGCATGAGACCCATGCAGTGGCGAATGTGTCCCAACAGTTTCCAGCCGTCGTCATTGCGGTAAATCAAGGTTCCCAGTCGAAGGGTCGCCGAGGGTCGGGTCAGGAACACGGGATCGGTGTTGATTGCCTTCTGGGCCGAGAACCGAGCAATCTCTGAGAAGAGCGTCTGCAACTGCTTGGAGCGTCGAAGCTGGAACCGGTTCAGGATGGTTTTGAGATCCTTAAGGAATGTCAACCAAGAACAAATCGATCCTGCGACAATCTCAGCCGACTGGTTGATAAACATGACCGCAAACTTCTCCAGGTTGGCTGAGAAGTAGTTGGGGTTGGACGAGCGAACGAGTCTCAGCTTGAAGTGCTCAAAGGTGATATCAGCAATCACAGGCTCATTCAGGTATGACAGGTGATTGATTCCGAGACGGGAGAACTGGTGGCGCGCATCAGGGATTCCAAAGAGCCTTGCTGTCGATGTCGAGACGAAGCGGGCGTTGAGCTTGAACTTTGTAAAGTCGACGTTGGCCCTGGACTCGATCACCTTGAAGGAGGCAATATGGATCTTACGAGTGGCGTCAAACTTTTCAAACTCCTCGTCCTCAAGCTTGACCGCTCCAAGGATGGCCGCATCGTCCAGGACAATATCAATGGCGCAAAGGTTTGCTCCCGAGAGTTCATACCGCGTCTTAATCATGTTGATGTCGTCTCCACCGTTCAACGCGTCTGGCATCATGACATCCTGAATGAACCGCAGGTGGATGCGAGGGATGTTGATGACAAACTGCTGAGAGTGAAGCTTGGTGGGCTGCATGCTTGTCAACAGCTCAACGTATTCCATCTGAGTGACATCCAGCATCGTCTCCAGATCCCATTCCTACGTTGATAGCGAAAGAGCGTAAGTTAGAGACTGAATTTATGGCAAAATATTGGTTCAAATAGGCTATCGCATGTGGTTTATGAAGCCTTACCTCTGCGTTGATGGCCTCGAGAAACTCTTGGATGATCTTGAGAAGGATAGGTGTCAACAGGATCTTGACATCTTGAGTAGCCTCGATAACTAGGGTTGTTCGCTTCTCGTCCGAAACCTCCTGTCCTTTTGGTTGTGCAGATGATCCTAAGCCATCGTACCGAGTTTTGACACCAAAAGCATCGTCGAAATTGGCGTGAGGATGGTGTCGTGGAATATCCTCCAGAATTTCGCCCGTCTATTATAAATGTGGGAGCAGGTTAGTAGGGTGCTGGATATTTGCTCACCTACAAACTTTCAAAAAGGAATAAGCATTACCTTGGACTGGGAGAACAAGACCCTGGGCGGAGGCATGTAGGGGTTTCTATGATGAGACGAATGCGACGCTGAAACAGAGTATCTCTTGAGATAACTGCTGTATGGGATCGACCTGACAGGAAACGACGGCGAGTTCTTGATTTCTGGTTCGGTTGGCACTGATTCAAAAAGGAGTAGGGGGTATAGCTTAGCAAGAGGTATAAACGAAGCCTGCATGTAGACATTCAAAAGGATAGGCACGGTTACTTTGTAGATCCTTACCTTGTAACATCTCAGGTGATTCAAACTCGGCGTCTGAACCCCCGTCGTCGCTAGAGTACCGAGGATCAAGGTCTTCCGAATCGATGTCTTGCCACCGTTGTGAATCCTCTGAACTTGCGTCACTGTCCGAGTCATCGTCACTGGAGCGTCCAATAGAGAAGGAGGATGCCGATCTGCGTATTGATGCCCTCTGGCTCTCCCTGGATGAACTTGCGTTGGACGCATACTCGTACACCGACCCATTGTCGGTTGCTACCTCAATGAACGAAGAGCCTCCACTCCCTATAGACGATCCCTTCCCCTTCATGGCTAGCAAAGGGGGGAAGAAAAAGGTTACGATACATTTTGAGGTGCATAATGCATATGACCAGCCGCGCCAGTGAATGAAGCTTAGAGCAATCAGCCGTACCTGCAGGATCTGATGTCAAAGGAGGAACATACAACGTTCCAAAGTGGTTGCCTTTAAAGTTGGGGTGCGGGATAACTGGATAGAGTGTGCAATTAACTGTTAGTGCGCTATCGTCACAGCCCATGACAACGCTCATTACTTACGGATAATAGTAGCGAAGCGTACCTTGATCAGCGGCGTGTCCTTTCCTGGCGTAAATGTAAGGACATCTCAGAGTTTCTCGATCTTGCTCACGGACAAAGTTTTGCTGTTTTTCACGTCGCATCCTCCAGTCGCCCGATCCTGTATACACAGTGATATCGAACGCACAGTTTAGACTAGCGATTTCCACCCATGGCGCTTGATCATGGTGCATCTATTACCGTCATAATTGACTTGCGTTAGCTTCTGCATAGTATGCTCACAGCTGGCTTTGCAAGCACCAAAAAAAATAATGACACAAGAAACGTACTGGATCGGCTTCTCCTGTGTTGGTATCCTTGTTGGACTCTGTCAATGCCATCGATCGGACTAGAAGCGACTGCAGCTTGAGGACAACACGACCCATGTATCGTTCGTTAATCACATCGTCAAAGTGAACGATCACACCGTCTTTCAGGAGAATTTGACTGACAACATCCTCGCCCCAGATTGACACGTCAACCTCCTTGACCGTCAGATCTACAAACGTGATATCTGGAGGCGTCACGGTCGCATACTCCAGTGGAAACGCATTGTCGCCGTCCTTCAAGTTGTAGGCGAATGCTTTGGCAAACGAGGTCACTCCGAGAAGGAAGGAGGGCTTGATCTGTCCGTAGATCGATCCAATGTCCAGGTTCCAATTCGCCACATATGTTGTCGTCTTGGGCAATGGACCAAACAGACGATGCGCGTAAACCGATATTCCTAAAATGAGGCAACAGAGAATGATGATCAGAACTAAAACATCTCATTGTCGAAGAATAGCAGGTTCTCTCAGCCACTTCATATATGACAGCGACTTACCATCGATATACAGGAAGTTCTGGTCGCTTCGGGATGGTTTCGCCCCAAATTTTCCTGGCTTCTTGGCGACATGCCTGCTCCAAGTCAGCGGACTAATGTTGACATCCATATCTAAGGTAATAAATTGACGCGCCTCGTTAGATCCAAATTCTCGACCGGTTGTGAACAAAATATGTAGCCTGCAGAAGCTACTAACCCATGTAGATGTCGAGGTTCCTCAGATCGAGCTGCAGCTCGGCGCAGGTGATCTCAGAGTAGTTGTCGCAGCTGTACAGGTTCTCAGGCAAGATCAGTGTCGTGTCCGTGGTCAAGAAATGGACGTAGACTTCAAAGGGATCACTTGGAGGCTATTAAGAAAACAAAAGTGGCGCTGTAAATACGCGCTTTGGAACAAGTTGCGTTCAAATGACACGAGTTAGGATCGCATGGACACCGTTCAATACCTTAGCATTGGCTTGCTTCATTTCCGTCCTCTCTGTGCCTGGTGCGTCACTTCGCTTCATCCGATACTCCTCCATCGTGACAAAGTTGAGGTAGAGTCCTGCATAGTTGTCCATCAGAATAAGCACGTAGCGAATGACATTTCCGAACAGCTTCACTGTCACTCCGTGACCCTAAAGCGAGGAAATAAAACATACACAGTGAGTTTCATGTACTTCCTCCAAAATCCTAATTCGCGTTCATTGTTCACCTTTGTTATACCTTGACATCCAAGTTGAGAGATTCGATATGACTAGGATCAACAAAGTCGTAGTACTTGTAAGCTCCTTTGATGGCGACTGACGGAATGAGGGCAAACTCCTTTGCGTCCTTGGTTGAGAACTCGCCGAGTGTATGAGCAAGTGGCAGCTGGATTTCCAGCTTACCATTGCTAATCTATGTGGGAGGTGTTCCAACACGAATGTCAGCAATTTTTCACAATGACGAACTTTCGCCATAAAGAAACAGTGACTCTATGGGGCTTTACCTCGACATCAAACTCGATAGATGTGATCTCGGGATTGTATTGCACGAAAGGAAGAACGACCTTCAGGTCCAAAGTCGTTCCAGATGCAATGATGAACGCTATGCAATTGAAATACAAAAGTCGAGAGTCAGCAAAACTAAACGTGAAGAACAAACATGTCGCCAGGGCACAATATTCTCTCTTACCGTTCTCATCCGTTTCCGTAGGCTCGTTGATGATATTGTGCTCGTTGACATAGGTGTACAGCTTGAAGTTGGGGAGCTTGATGTCAAACTCGTACTTGAATGGCACAAAGTGGGCCATGTCGACAGAAGGCCCTGATGTCCAGTCTTTGCTCAAATCCTGGATGAGGGTGATATGGTCTCTGAGCAGAAAAATGTTGGACGAGTCCATAGTAAACTCAAAGTCCCAGTTCCTTTGAGCATTCCAGATCAAGGGATTCTGCAGTTGACACACCATCTAGTTGAAGGCATCAGAGCGAACGGTTAACACATAGATTCAAGGTACTGACTTCATGTAGTGCCAATATTTAACTAGACGTTGTTACCTTTAGCTCTTTGAGACTGAGAACTTGGGCGTAGTTGACACTCGAGGTGGTGACGAGGTTGTAGAGCTCGACAAGCACGACATTCTTGTATCCATCCGTACCGTAAATCATAGGAATGTCGACTGATATCAAGGAGCCACGTTCCGCCTTCATCTCAAGCCATCCAAATGGTCTCATCGACTTTCCTCCTTGCACAGTCTGAAACTCCGGATCGTTGTACTTCCAATCCTACAAGACATGTTGAGATTAAGAAGTGAAAAATCACAAGAATAAGAATTCGACTCCTTCGTGAGAGACGTCCCTCATACAAGGCTACTGATCCATACCTTGGAGATCTCTTGCGTGGGTATCTTGATGGTGAAGTCGGAACTGAAAGTAACCATCATTTGCAGCGCCGCATGGATTCGGTCTTCGCCAGGCTGAGGCTCTGGTGTGACCTCGACGCTCCGAAAAGAGTTGGGAAAGTAAAAGTTCTGAATCTCGGAGCGCTGTCGATCTGCCCATGGTCCATAAGATATCACCGCCTCGTCAATAAGCAATTCAATGCTCCACTCCGGAGGAAGATCAATGTCGGCCTCAGGTTGCTGCGATCGCTCAGGGACCTTGCCTATTCACGAAATATGCGGTAAGCAATTGACCACAAATTTGTTTCTACAACACGAGACGACTTCTTTCAATTTTGTCCGCGCGCTAATGTCGTACCTGCTACATCCGTGTAGTATCGGAGGCCAAGACTACTGCACTGAAGAATGTTGCGAACCATGGCGTATTCCTGAAACTTGTTGCCCTTGAGATTGTCGAGTGATATGTTTTGATTGTAGCGAGGTAATCCATGCCACTCCTCAGCTACGCGCCTCGATACTCCAAAGTGCCTTGTCCATGTGTCCTTCAATGGTCTGATCAATTTTTGAATTCTTGTTGGGCGACGAGGTGGCCTATGTCATGATAAAATTACCAAAGAAACCTGGCGTCAGAATATTTCAAGTTTGACGCCATCTCTTCCGATCGAAAATATACACATCCTAGAGAAGGCTCCTGACTTACAACTGTGAAATATTGGGGGTATCCTGTCCCATATGCCGTCCGACAATCGTGGTGTTGTAATCCGCGTTTGGCCGAAAGTCGATTGAAGGAGTCTCAAAAGTCACCAAGAGGACCGTCTTGTACTTGTCCAATGCCGATCGAGCCTTTGCATCAAATAAAAAGGAAAATAGACGACGGATAAGTAGATCGGTTAAATCAAAGAGGATACCTTCCGGCAGCAAACCATGGCGTTCTCGTGTTTTGTACCTTGGTGGCTGAATACATGCCATGCGCCCATGGAAACGAAGCGACCAAAAGTGAAGGCAAGTGAGCGTTTCCCATGATAATGGCGCCAGTCTCGCAAGAAACTTTGACTGGCAAGCATCTCCTGAACCAGCTGTCTTCCGAGTCGTCCTGTTCGTCATTACCCATTTTCACTATTATCAAAGAGATATATGAAGGGGAATGTTAATAGGGGGTTATAGTACTTCTGGGAACATAAATAAATGTGTCCAGGTTCTTGGACGTACATGACACGCTGGGATTGGTCGCGTCTGGTGTTTCGAGTGGCATTGAGTCTGGGTTCAGTCCAAGTGTCGTTGCCAGAATGTCGTATGCCGGTGTCCTGTTGTACATGAACCATTCAAGTCCCACGAGGTTACAAGTGATTCTGCAGTTGTCCTCGTCTGGCATACCTAACAATCAAAATCCATCACAGAATAATTAGTCTCTCAAAGATTTCAATTGGTGGCGCATCTAATACTGTCTGGACAAAAGTGTTCAATTCCACACACACAGAGTTCAAAGAGAGCACACGCCCATACCCATTCCAGAGTTCTTTGTTCCAGCAGAATCGTCGGGTATAGGGTCATCCTCGGTCCTAACATTCCACAGCCAGTATCGAAAGGAGATGTATCCGTGAAGGACGGTGATGGACTGATTCCTGGAGTGATATCGAAAGTTTTTGAACAGAATCCGTCCACCCAGTGGGGCAATCTGCAACGACTCTACATGTAATCGATTGGTCGTGTAAGTCAGAAGAAGCAACGGGCAGTCAGTGAATTTGCTAATGAGAAAAAGGACGCAACTACTACGATTGACACGAGGTGGTGTTTGAGAGGAGAGTGCCCTTACCAAACTCGATATAGGCCTTCATGTGTCGCCATGTGAACCATCGGATCAATTTGGAGAGGAGTTGGGCAAAGACTCTGCTGGCGAAGAAGAGGAAGAAGACGGCGACGAATACCACGACCAGGCAGTAGATCAAGAAGGTCCAGAAGGCTGTTGTCGAGTTGTAGTCGACCAAGTTGATGTTTTTTGGCATGATGTATTATTATTGTTAGTAGTGGTATAGTTGTGATGGAATGTTGATGCTTGGGCGCCGTGGAGTGCCTTCTACTTGGGCCAAGTTGCGTGTGTGCGTGTGCGTGTGAGTGTGAGTGACAGGGAGGCGAATGCAGCCTTCTGGGGGGTTTGAAGGTAGTGACAGGGAGGTGTCGGTTGTTGCTCGGTGCTATCAGGCTGTCGGACGATGAGTTGGGGAGAGTGTGTCCATGAACTGTCAAGGAAGGTGTCGAAACGAGTGATGTGCCAACAAGGAGGAGGAGGAATGTGTGATGTTTAGAAAGGGCAAAGGAGGATAATAATAGTGACGGTAGGTCAAGTGAGGCAGATGATGCGGTGGGGTGGAGTGAGGAACAAGGGGGAGCATGCGTTCATCAGAGACGTAGTCAGGCATGAAGTCTCCTGAGACTGGCAGTGAGCACAAAGGATTATTAAAACAGTCCGGCTAATACCAATCTGCAACAACTCACAAAGCGCGACCATAAACCTATCAACCATACACCTCTTCCATCAACCACACACCTCTTCCATCATGTCACAAGCAACATCCACCAGCGGTCTCCTACTCCTTCAAGAAGCAATCGCCCATGCGACATCAAGCAACTTCACCCTGCTGCTGAAAAGCATATCGCACACTCGTACACCAACAACGAAGACGCAGATGAGATGGACTCAGACATCAACAACGACGACGAGACAGACGACGATGAGTTAAAGATGACGTTGGCAGCAGGGAGAGACTGCAGGGGAGAAGACGGTTCGTCGTATACCGCAGCCTCGAACAACCGCATTCAACGGCTTCAAGGACCCTACTCATGAGCTTTTGCTGCTGAAGGCTTTGGATGCGGTCAGGCCGTTCGGTATCCAACACAGACAAACAGGAGTTGCTTGGTCGAGAGTTGTTCAGTACCTGAGGGGTTATGATGACAGGGAAAGAGCCGAAGGTCGTCCAACAGTGATCGAACGTCAATCCCCGTATATCAAGCCAGATGGAAAAAGAGAAGAAGCGAGTGTATTTTTGAAGACCCAGACCGAAAACCAGAGTAGGCAACTGAACCTGATGGTCGAGGATCGGGGGGAGAAAAGAAAGGTGGAGGAGGAGCGAAGGGAGCATTGCACATGCTTGTGTCCGTTGTCACGGACGCTTGATTGACTTTTGGTCGGTTGATCCTGCGTACGGTGCCATCGATGAATCCGAATACCGCGTTACATTCATGAATGCTCTTCTCGGAGCACAGCTCAGCATACTCTTCAAGCTAAGCTGGTGTCAATCGATGATGGTCCCAGATCAACAGCAGCTTCCAACGTAGCATGATCCACTTGATAGGATGGTTGATGGTTCGGGAAATGGCACTGGCACTTCTGCTGAACATGGTCTTCATCCTGTTAGGCCGAGCTGGGTAAGACAAACGGTATATGGTCATGTAAAGTACCTTAAGCGAATCGGCGTTGTTCCTATTACGGCTTTTGATCTTTGGGGGAACCTAGAGGGCCTCAAGGATCTCCTTCAGCTGAACCGAAATTCTTATACGCAGTACTCGTCTGAATATCGGCGAACGTCAAATGAGGCAACAAGTAGAAATGGACGGTGAAGAACTGGGTTCTCGTCTTCGTCATCTTGATCGAACTCGTAGTCGTCAAGGCCGTAGAGCATAGCGGGTTGTGCCGCGATTACCGGCACGAGAAGGACGGCCAGCTTAAATGAATGAAGAGCGCTGGTATGTAGCAGCAATCAACGAAGCCATGGCATGAAGCAAATGCTACCCTTCTTCCTGCAAAACTCTATTAATTTAGTGTGACGATTTTTATTTGCACGCGCATGCTATGCGATCTCTTATTGACAAGGCACAAACTAGAAAGGTTGCCCGTGGACGATGCCAGGGGTATGGACTGTGGAGCATGTTTGAGGCGATAAAAAGTGGTGGTGGTTGAATACTACAATGTTTATTTGTGTTTGTCAGTTCCCCTCTCTCGCTTTCTTTCTAGTGCACTCTATTTTTTTCTTTTTTGTCCGCACGTACGCCTAAGCCCACGAAAGACATGAAAAGAATGATTTGTACAACATTATCCACCTAGAATGTCAACATCTGCCGAAGGTGTTTGACAAGACAAGGATCTCGACTACGACTATCATCCAACCCAAGGAACCACGGGACGACCTCCTATTGTTCTTTTCTCCAAGTTGCGGAATACAAGCCTATTAGTAGTCTCTTCGATAAAACTGGGTTGCCAAAGGTAAAGGATAACGCAGAGACGGATGGTAAGGGACGGGGCTGGTAGAAAAGCAAAGTGATCAGAGCAAACATCTGCCGTCTTTTAACCTATTAGGGAAACATGAAAAACTGGAAAGAGAGTTGTTATTAAAAAACATGGAAGCGGCATAGTTTTTTTTTTTTGCTCGATGTCATTTCTCCTTATTACACTTATTTCTTCGTCTCTTTAGCTTATTGACTATCACACATGCTCAAAGAAAAAGCAAACATCTACAACAATGCGTAGATGCATCTGTCCTTGTTTCTGTTTAGGGACACACAGATTCGAGACAAGCCAAGCACACTGACCACATCTTATTTTTTTTCCTTTTTCATTTCTTCTTAGCTTGGTTTTGTACGACCTTGTCTCGGTCACATTGACCTCCTACCACCAGGGGTCCTACATTTGACTCCTCTCAATGAGCCCTCTCGTTGCTATCACAATCCTTGTCGTAGCTTCTGCAACAATTTGCGGCCTGGATGTGCCAATGTAACAAGAATCCACATTTTTCGATCCATTTGGTCCAACACAACAAACAACCCACAGAGGCAAGTAGCAGCAGTGTGTCGTTTGGAGAATACTTTATTCCGTGCATGACTTTTGATTCTTATCTCGTTTTGTGTTGTTGTCCGGTACAAACAGTCGTGTATAACTTGTATGTATGTGAATGTGCTCAAGTGCATGATGCTTTGAAATAGAAGTACATGGATGCCCAAAAAAATGCGGCGTGTCTGTTTTTATTCTTTTCATGCCCACACGGAAACTCTGACGCCAACGCCATCGATAACAAATTGTAGTCGATAGCTGCAACGAAATGGAAAGGCCGGTTCTAATTTTGTTGATCTTGTTTTTGTTTGTTATTATTGACAATATGGTATAGAAGAGCACGATGCAGGAGAATTAGGATTTTTAACCTCGTTATTGGAGTGGGAAAAAAAATGTGGTGAATGGTTCAAACAAAGCGGCGCGCTATATCCATGCCGAGTGGGGTACCCATGTCACATCATGCAGAAGGGCCTGATTGACAAGAGACACGGGCGTACCGTGTTCATCCATCGCAATTTATTTCTTTAACCTCATTCATTGCCTTCTCTAGATGTCTCTCACCACAACTAGGATTGACGCAGTTGGGGTCTAGCAAAAACACAGAAAACTTGTTTGACACAAAAAGAAAAGGAAAAATGGAAAGTTAGCGTCGATCAAGAGCAGCCTTCCGGACAAACACGCCATCAGGGCGCCTTCCGGCAGGCTCAAAGCTAAAAAGCCCAAACAACCACGCAACAACGAAGGTACATACACGCACAACAAAAAAGTTTAGACAATTGTCCATCATGGACGTCCATTACCTCCTTTATTTCTGACGATGCAGTAGTACTGCAACCCAAATTGGATTTCCGGGAGACGGAGCTCACTCTCGCGATTGCTTGCCTCATTTGGATATTCGGACAGACGGAAGATTATGGGTGCTGCTTCGCAAACTGGATCGTCCCTTTGTTTATCGTCTTCTCCCTCTCTCTTGTGCTTAACTCTCTTTCTCCCATCTCTCATCTCTCTGTCCACAACACGCGTTGTCTTGAAGTAATCAAAGAAGGAAAAAAAAAAACATGATCGGTGCGCTTGTTCAACACTCTTTGTTGAGTGGAAGGGGAGGGGCCAATTGTTCGGCATCCATTGATGCATGTGTGCATAGTGCATACCCGTGGGCGTTTCTGCTATTGCTTATTGCGTATGTTTACAGTGTGTGTTCCTCGTGCGGAATGACATCGTTGTTCCCGCTCAACCCTAAATTGCCGAAACGATTGCACCGAACTTCCGAGGGGGATAAACATGCCATTACCTCTTAATTATATTCTTCCTTTTGTCCTTGTATATACTCATTCACACCATGATCTCTTTGCCTATCGGTAATACCTGCAGTCTCTACCCCACACGGTTCAATGGTTTTAAGGGGAGTTGAGTACAAAGATAAAGGGGATACCATGTAGCCGCTCTCAAATAAAAGCTATAATACAAGCACACATAAACGACACGAGTGGTCAAATCTAAAAGAAAACGAGTACAAGAGAGGGGGAATGAGAGCGCGGCCAATGCCAGGCACGGCTTCCTGTTTTGATCAACTCGGCTAGCATCTAATTAAGCCAAAGCCCTCGTTATCATGGGAATCATCGGAGTGTTGTTCGGCATAACGGTAGGAGCGCCTGAATGACATAATTGGGGGAAAGAAAAAAACTAAAAACAAGATTACTGTTGTGTCTTTCTAATTATCCTGTAGTGTGAAAGGTGTGTGGGGCAGGGTCCACACAAGGATGTCTGACTCGCAAAGGCAGAACCTTTCAAGCGTCATTTTCCGCAATTTGTGTAAAGGAAAAAAAAAGAGCTCCAACAGGAGGGAAGAGAGAAAAATAAAAGGAAAGGGGGTCAAAGGCACTTTCCGAACGTGGAGAAGTTCGGACAAAAGCATTGCCTTCCGCTACTGCGGCTTGCATTAATCCTTTTTCTACATGGTCATCCGAAAATATAGGGTCCGCAAACGCAAAGGGGGGCAATGGATGACCACAAACCAGAGAGACAAGGCGCAATGGGCACGATCGAAAAATACAGCAACATATCGACTCCCCTTCCTCTCCCCTCGTTTTCTAGGAGTTCGTTTCTTTGTCGTGGTGTACACACATTTACCCTCGATCATCTACTGACAAGGCTATTTCAATCCTTTTCTGCCTTGGCAAACAGTCTGTTCTTTTTTTCTGTGTGCTATTGACGATGGAAAAAAACTATTTTGGACTTTCGGGGGGAAAGTAAGATGTGAGGGAGGGAGACAAGAATAGAAGGAGAGCCAAGGCAGAGAAGGCTGTGATTATACGTTGGAATAGGGATGGAAGAGGGCGCCACATTTTTGCGACACATACACAGCCTTAAGGGAGTGAAGGGGGAAGTGGGATAGATCACGGTAGAAGGGGCCACGCACTACGATCGTCTTTTTTGTTGCTGTTGTCTTACCCCAACAAGGATGTTTATTCCCAAATGAAGAAGCCGTTGGTCAACCTAGACATAATTAGGATGTGTGGTTCGCTGTCGACTTTTGTCACCGACAAGGTTGACGAGCTGCTGTAGGCCTGCATCAGCCTCGCGACGAGGAAAGAAAAATAATAATGAGGCGAAGGGTTGGCAGGGCTTTGAGGATTATTCTTGGCGCTCAGGCTCTATTTTGAGTGATCGTACAAGGAGAACAATTGACCGAGACGAACTAGCATTAAATATTAATGATTGATGGAAGGTGATGTATTGCTTGTAGGTAATATGTGATGGCTAATGAAACCAGGAACAATCAACAAGAAAAAAAAAAAAAAAAAAAAAGGTCTTGGCCCTGCTGGCCGGTGCGAGCCAAGACGATGGCCTGTTGTTTTTAATGAGTGGCGAGGGAAGAACACATTCAGCGACCCATAGACACATACACACATACATGCCCCCGCAAATGTCATGAAAAGAAAATAACCATTTGAAGAAATGCATAAATCCGGTTTCGATTGCCATGTTATGCCTTGCCATGGAGGCAACAGGTGAACCATCAAATAAAACAAAATAAGAATGGAGTCTGGGCACTCACTTAGTTTTTCAATTGAGAGCTGCTGTTGACTTGTTTGTTGCTAAAACCACAGCTGACATGGAATATCATGACGACGACGTTGGCGATCGAAGAGGAGGTGTATGTGCCCCCGAAAAAGGGAATTGCCAAGAGGGGCAGCATTAATCAAAAACAACAAAAAACGAGTTGCAGTAGGGAAAAAGAGGGTAAGGGCTCATTGTGCTTCCGGAAGGGATGAAGGAGCAGGCAGGAGCAAATGGAGTCAGAGGAGTCTTTGGACGCGTGTCCGATTCGTGCTCGTCCTCCTGCCGAACAAAAAAGATTGCCAGATGACCAGAATGAAATATTCTCCTACTCACTTCCCCTCCACATACACACCATTTTGAGCGTTTTGTGCTGTGTCAGTCGACTTTATTTTCGCTTGTATGGTTCTCCCATACCTTCGTTGTTTTACTACTCTGATCCATGTAAAAAAAGGAAAATCGTCACAGCGTCGTGCTTCTACTTTTGGGGCAGTCCTCTCACCCCTGTTCCGTCAGCTCCTGTTCTCGATCAATTGACTTTGTTTCTTGGTTGCCAAGGAATGCTAACATGCTTGCTTTGTGCTTGTTATCATGTCCTTTTAAATTGACTCCCCTTGTGGCAAAAAAAATCGCTTTGTCACTGCAAACAACTACATCTGTTGTTACTCACGTTGTATCCTTGGGAGGGAAAAGAGAAAAAAAATAGACACATACGCATACATCGCTGTCATGGCACTGTCAATTATAATCTTATCGGAAATAAACAAGAATGAATCATGGACAGGAAATAACTACCCGCAGACCCATCCCAGCCAAGCCAGAAAATAACTTGCTGCGGGAGAGAAAGGAGAGTCGCTCCGCCGCAACTAAAATGAAAAAATAGTCTTGCCACTGCCACGATCGACGATGAGAAGAAGAGTAAAAGTATAATGAAGGAAGGTTGTGGCCATTTCGCTATTTTTCTCGCTGTGCGAACAAAGGAACATACACGAGGGCATTGAATAGGTATAGAGTGAGAGAGTGGGAGTGAGGAAACGAACGGATGGATGGAAGGGAGCGCACAAATAAGGTAAAGAAGGAGGTGCCCTGCTGTCGACGCCGTCGCCGAAGATTCCGTAGTTGTTTACTCTGTACCTGTAGTCAAAACGTAAAAGAATGAATTGAACTTTTAGAGTTGCTAATTATAACGTTATCCTTTGAGCGAAGCAGTTTGTCTGTACTCTCTTTGATTATTCATTCATTCATTCCTTTTTCGTTGTCGCTTATTTCTTGTTTACTTGTTTTTTGTGCTGAGTGCTGAGTGCTGACACACCTCCACCCATTGACTCGTTATGACCTTGGACCCCCCCCTCAGCCCTTTTTCTATAAAACCTGGGCTTGTCCCATTCTTAATCAAATCCACCAACATATCTCTCACTCTTATCTCTCAACAAGCCAGCTCTTATTCTTTCTTTCTTTATTTCTTCTTTTCATCCTTGTTCTTCCTCCTTCCCTGCCTGTCATTTTTTTAACCTTTTTTTGTTCTTGCTTGTACATACCCATCCTTCCCTGCCCCTGTCATTTACATACCCGACTGTCAATCTTCCTCCTGCCTGTCTATACCCTCGCTTTTTACCCTTTTATTGGTCGTTTTTTCTCGTCTCTCTTTTTCCTTCTTTCACGACCAACTGCTCAAACTTGACTCTTTGATCCATATCCTCATCCATATCCATCTCACGTCTGCAAATTGCCTCTTGTTGCCACCATTACTGTAACAACAACAACAACCACTCTCTTTCTTTTTAGCTGTTTGTCACAACTCTCCACTCTCCGTTCGTTTTATTTCTTTCTTTCTTTCTTTCCTTCATCCTTTCTCGCCTTTTTTTTCCACATTCACTCACTCACTCAACTCAATCACACATCATATTCACTGACATATCAAGACCCCTTCCGTGCTCCTCTCGCCGTCCCAAACTATACACACCATGTAGGTATCACTCACACGACCTCCTATTAACGACCCCCATTCATTCCTCTCCTCGATAAAAACAATCATGACATTAAAAAACAAGTATACCTGCCAGGATCTAGGATCTGAGCGTTCTCTTTTACCCAACTGCAGAACCTGTTTCGCTGTTTCAACGTGTAACTGTATGCTCATGATCCGCCTGGCAACCCCAACATGCTTGTTTGAGTCACGTTTTGCTGTACCATTCTGGCCTCTATCGGATGTGGCCTTTAGAAGGAAAAGAACGAGGAAGGCCGAGAAGGAGTGGGAAGAAGCTTCTAATGTGTACACTCAAAACACGCTTGTGTTATCGTCTGCTTTTTGACAATACCGATAAAAACTATTGAGTTGGGTTCGTTCTCATTTGCTTGATCTGAGAGGGCGAGAGGGATAGCCAAGGGGGGGGGGATCTTTTTACTAAGCCGGCCTGCATATTCAAAGCAAGGAACACACGCCAACACTTCGCCCCCTCCCTCCGGAAAAGAGACCACAGAAGAGAAAGAAAAAGAAAAAGACGGATTGCATTTTCCTACGGCCCTTCACTCAATTGAGATGTACAGCATTTTGTGTTTTCTCCGTCTTTTTCTTTTTCCTTTTCTTCACTTTTCTGCTCCCGTTCCTGGCAAGAATCTTTCTCCAAGCCTTTTCTTTTCTTCTTTGGTTTCCTTCTTTTGCCAGGCTGCGGGCTGCGGATATCCCCACTGCAAGTCTAATTGACGTCAATTAACAAAAGTGAAAATAATTCCCGAACAAACAATGCATGCAGATACGCAGACATGTACATGTATGCCTCAATTCGAAGAGTGGCATGCTTTCGATCAGTCAAACAAACACACGCGCGCATCTTCTTCATCCGCAATTCATCGATTGTTTCTAATACATGTATGCCCTCGTTTTCCCCACCTTTTTTTTCTCTTCTTATCATCTCCTCTTTACAGGCAACAACCTCAGTCCATACATTCGCCTCACTTGAGCGTCCCTTGCTCGTCCAACGTCTCATCCTGCACATCGTCCCCTTTTTGCTCCTCCGAATCAGGAGCTGAGCTAGACATTCTCGATCTGCCCGTTTCTATGTTCTTCCCCACCAAACTTACAGACGCTGGGCCTTCGCCCTCGCTCTCGGCTCCGACAGTTGGTTACACTCAGAGCATGGTCGAGTTGAATGCAGCACATAATGCTCTCCTCTTTGGCCAACAACAACTCCATTTTCAACAATTCCAACAACTCCAGCAGCAACAACAGCTCCAATACGAAATGGCACACATCAGCCTCGGATCTCCTCACACTCCAACCACTCCAGTCAACTCCATCACCATCCCCGAACCCAACTCACAAGGAGCCAGCCCCATCCATCGTGGCTTCCCATCCTCGCCAGCCGCCATTCCGTCGTCTTCGGTTTCGACAGCCGCATCCTCGCCCTTGGCACCTAATTTCTCCAACATCAACTCTAATGGATCTTCCACCCCTATCCACCACCCCGCCCTCTCTCAATTCCAAAGTTCATATCATTCGGCTCCACGACCACATCAACAACAGCAGCAACAGCAGCTGCAGCAGTCGCCCATGAGTCAGGCACCAATCCAGAATCCCATCTCGTCACCTTATTTTTCCCAGACCGACAGTCCTTTCGTCACCGACGCTGCTGCTTTTGGCACCACGGACGCCCACGACATCGACCTCTTCCCCCTGAATCCCGTTACATCCTCGATGCCTAACCACGTCCAGTCGATCTTGCACAGTTCTATTCATTCCCAAGAGTTTAACCTTGGCCAGCTTACAGTGCCTTCGGCTGGATCCAACACCGTATCAAGTTCACAAGACTCCCCTATTCTGCCACTCGACAGTGTCAAGCATGAGCGCCTCTCCCCAACCTTCCAGTCACTCGAACTTACCACGGACATGTCGCTCTTGTGCAATTGCCCGGACAAGTACCCCTGCGGCCAACTCAACCACACCGCACCAGCAGCGGCACCTCTGGGAAAGTCATTGTACTCGGTCATCGGCGAGGAGGATGAATTTGGCGGCTGTTATTCATCATCATCATCTGAGCGCGCAGGGAGCGAGGATGGGAGCGATGCAGGACTCTTTTGTCAACTACCTTCGACCTCTGTCGGCACCAAACCTTCTTCGTCCTCATCGACTTTCCGCTCAGGCACACGGCCAAAGTCAATGTTGGTGACTTCGTCCTCGTTCTCGTTCTCGGGCCAACCTTACGAATCTCCGTTCCACAAGGACTCTTCTATGGTCGCACAACCGCGTCCTCGTCGCTCTTCGTCTGGAACATTTGCGTATTACTCGCCCGCCACCGCCACCTCCCTCCCCACATATACCTTTGGTGCTGGTCACCAATCCACTCACTCTCAGTCACATCAACACCAACAGCAATATCACCAGCATCAAGGCCAGCAGTCTCGACCTACAATTATTCATCACCCACAGCAGCAATATGTCCAGCACCTCCTTGACCCCGAGATGGTCCCCACGATTACCGATATTCATGTGTGCCCTGTTTGCCAACGCCGCTTCTCAAGGCCGTTCAACCTGCGATCGCACATCATGACGCATACGACGTCGCGTCCTTTTCCCTGTGATGAATGTCATTGGAGGTTTTCTCGGCAGCATGATCTTCTTCGCCATAAACGAGCCAAGCACCCTGGATCGGTCCCCCCTCTGCCTCCCAAGGTCCCCAAGGTCAAGACCGAACCTATCAAGGAGTAAATTAAGGGCATCTCTAGAAAACAATAAACGTTTAATTTGACAGTCACATTTGCTTTGTCTCTGGAAATGAAGTAGATAGCAGGATGAACAAATATGGTGCGAGGATGGACCGTGGAAAGGCAGTGGATGGATGATAGTTAGCAAAAAAAAGGAAGGAAGTTGCTGTGGCCACCACGGAGAGTGTGTGTGTGTATATCTGGTGGGTCAATCACTCTCAAGCACCGCTCCTCCCCACATAGTGTCTCAACTGGAATATCCGCTGTCTCTTTCTTTTCTTTTCTTTTCTTTTCTTATTTTCTTGTCTTGGCTTTTTCTTCCTTCTTCTCTCCTTTTCTCCTCCTCTCCTCTCCTCTCCTCTCCTCTTTACCTCCCTCCTTTCCCTCCTCCTCTCACTTCATTAATACCCATCAACGTCAATTGCTTGTAGATAGCCTTTCCTCTTCTTCCACCTCCTTTCAAACCAAATGGCGTCCAACGGAGTTCAGGAAGCGTCTCGTTTCAACATACCCGAGGGAGCACCACCACCACCCCACAACGGAGGAGGCATCGCAAGTGCAGGCCACAGCAGCTCAAACAGCGTCAGCAGCATCCACAAGTCCAGCAGTAACAACAATGGCAACAGTAACAACTCCACAGCTATCGGATCAAGCACAGGAGTCGACGATCGCTTCACCAAGGACCTCGGCAGCAACAGCAACAGCAACAACGGAGCTATGAGTGAAGAGGACAGCTCGCCGTCAAAGTTCTTGTACCTCCTCATTACCTGTCTGGCGATCGGAGGATTTCTGTTTGGATATGACACAGGGGTGATTGCGGGCGCACTATTGCCGATCAAGGAGGAATTTGGACTCTCGAGCCAACAGCAAGAGTTCATCGTTGGAGGTGAGTTATTGTTTTTTGTGTGTGGGAGAGATGGAGAGAAGGTGCGCTTAATTTTTTTTCTCATCGAGATAAGAGCAACAAACAAACAAACAACAAACAAATGACAGGACGACAGGACAACTTTAATAGCGATCGTCATTGTGGCGGGAGAGAGAGACGATAATGACAATGGCGATTATCATTCCACCCTTACGCTTCATCTCGCCTCTTTTTTCTCATTTCAACCCTTGTCCTTGCCCTTGCCCTTGCCCTTGCCCTTGCCCTTGCCCTAGCCCTTGCCCTTGCCCTTGCCCTTGTCCTTGCCCTTTCCTTTCCTTTCTTTTTTCCTTTCCTTTCCATCCGCCATTGTTTTCTCCCGACACACATTTGTTGCGCCATTTATTTATTGGTACCCAGACTGAAAGTGGGACACGGAGGGCTCTGCTCTGGTTCTTTCAGATACCTCGGATGCCGTTTTGGTTCATTTTTTCTTTTCCCTCTCTGTTGCCGTCCTTCTCCCTCCTGCATACCCTTGTGAACGAAGGCTTTGTTTGGTGGACTCCTTTTTGAACCATCTGAACGTTCAATATTCATTTTTTTTTTGGTCACACAGAGGATGAATTCTACTACTCTCTGTTCCCTTTGCCTGTTCTTGACCCACTTTTCCATTTTTTGGGCTTACTTCGAGAAAAGTACCTCTTCTTGTGTGATCGAGGAATTGACACTAACAAACTCCATTTAATTTCAACAACACCCTTTCAAACAGGAACGACACTGGGAGCGATTATCGGTGGACTGTTGGCAGGAGCGCTGTCGGATCTTGTGGGCCGCAAGCCTGTGACGCTGCTGTCGTCGATGATCTTTGTGGTGGGAGCCGCCTTGATGACTTTTGCGCATGCCTACTGGCTCCTCCTGCTGGGACGAGTCGTCGTCGGAGTTGGCGTTGGTAAGAAAGATGTTGCTGCTAATGGGCATGATGATGATAATGATGATGGTAAGGATACTTTGCAGGTGGGAAGAAAATAGAAAATCGTCCCTAACACATCTTATTTCTCTTTGTCTCTCTCTCTCTCTCTCTCTCTCTCTATTACTTGCTTGCTATGGTGGCGTGAATAGGTCTTGCTGCACTCGTTGTTCCATTGTACATTGGTGGTAAGTTGAAAATGGAAATGAATATGTCTGTTCAACAAGCCTCTGCACTTTAACATCGTAAACTCTAAAGCAAGGGTAAAAGAAAAAGAGTACTAACAAAAATAAACCTTCCTTATGGTCTCTTGTTTTCATTCCAATAGAACTCGCCCCAAGGTAAAACAACACAACAGTCGTAGATGCAAAAAAAAAAAAAGGCATAGGGACAATTGACGCAGGAATCTGGAGATCTAACGACGATGTTCCTTTTTATTATCAACAAATCTTTCGTAGTGCATATCGTGGACGCTTGGTGACGATGAACGTGCTGTTGATCACAGGAGGCCAATTGGTCGCGTACCTGGTCTCATCGGCATTGACAGATGTGAACGATGGCTGGCGCTGGATGATGGCCATCTCGGCCCTGCCTGCATTCCTCCAACTCGTCACACTCCCCTTCCTCCCCGAATCGCCCCGTTTCCTGGTCAAGAAGGGCGACATCTCTGGAGCTAAGGCCGTGTTGAGACGCTGCATGGGACTCTCGGACGCCAATGACGACTACATTGCAAAGGAGGTTGATTCCATCCGGGAAAGTTTGGAATTGAGCCACAAGACTCGGTATCGGGATCTGTTGCGCAAGGATATGAGGCGGCCCTTGATTATTGCCTGCTTTATGCAGTTGTGGCAGCAGCTTTCGGGATTCAACACGGCCATGTACTATTCGGCAACTATTCTTAAGATGGCAGGTTTCCCTAATGCCAAGAGCGCGACCCTGTTCTCGCTTTTGATCGCCGGAACCAACATGGTCATGACAAGTAAGCGTAGATTTTTTTTTTCGCTTTGTGGTCTTGTATTGCGTAATGCCTTTGGGTGATGATTTGGTGCTAACATACGTCTATTTTGCTTTCATTCATCGTAGTGGTGGCGATCAAGATTATCGACAGGGTTGGGCGCAGAAAGATCTTGCTGGTGACGATGGTCGGAATGATTGCAGGACTGGTCGTCTTGGGAGTGGCCTTCATCAAAATCGTGGGATTCACTGTGAAACAAGACGAATGTATCCAGTACGGCGACAACTGTGCAGCTTGTTTGACCGACGACCGATGCTACTTTGCAGATGCCATGAACACCTGTCAGGATATGGGCTGGGACGGAACTGGCAAGAGACCGATCTACACGGGCGTCTGCCCGAACCGGTCTCAGGGAATCAAGACTGGAAGCTGGGTTGCTCTGGCTAGTTTGGTCTTTTATGTGGCCTCATATGGATTGGGACTCGGAAATGCGCCCTGGTTGATTCAGAGTGAGTTGTTCCCTTTGGATATCCGCGGCAAGGCTACCGGCATGGCAACAGGTACATTTTTCTCTTCCTTCTCCTCGTTTGTGTTTGTGAATTAGGGAAACGGCTTGAACATTTCTTAACCTTCTTCATTCCCCCTTCGCTAATCCATCTATCTTAAATCCTCTTCCTCAGCTTGTAACTTTGCCGGAAACTTGGTCATCTCACTTACGTTCCTGACGCTGACCCAAAAGATCACCGCCACTGGAACGTTCTGGCTCTACGCCGGAATCCTGGTCATCGCTTGGTTGTTTGTCTACTTCTTGGTCCCCGAAACTGCCGGTTTGAACTTGGAGGATATCCAGGAGTTGTTCCGGACTGAAGCTGCAGGCGAGACTGGACCGACGTATGTTATAGGTAGTCGTGGTGGCGGTGAGGGTGTTGGTGCTGGTGCTGGTGAGGATGGACGGAGACGGCGTCGTGGGCAGGGTGGTGCAGAGGAACTTTAAGGTTACTACAATTAAGTGCCATGGAAAGAGTGAAAGATGGGCATCGTTTTTTTCTTTTATTTTAATACCTACTAATAAACGTGAAAAAAGAGAATAAAAGGTTGCCACTTCTGAATGACTGACGGATGTATATTGTATCTGTTTAAAAGAACATTCGATCTGCAAAGAAGCTATGATTTTTGCATCCTTTGGATGATTGACAAATCGTCATGGTCGTGAGAACTAATGGTGGCAAGAAGATTTATGGTCACATTTTCTCCAGGTTGTCCTGTTCTCTTTTTCTTCCCTCTCTGCCATGTATATTGATGTAACGATGTCAGTGTTGTTGTGAGGATCGGCGATGTTTTTGTCTTTGCCATTTTCTTGATTTCTCTTTCCCCCGCGCCCCCCTTTTGAACACCGCTGTCGTTTATAGAAATAAGGCATAGAGTGTCGATCGTAATTGAGGGTCACATGGGGTTGCCATACGCGACTGATAGACAGGCCGGACGCGTTTGATTGACAGGACGCGTTTGAGACGAAGGAGAGACTGCTTTGATCTATTAGTCGTCGACAAACATCCCGAGACAGTGCGTTTTATCAGCGATCTCTCTCTCTTTTTTCTTTCCCTCCTTCCTTCCTCCCTCCTTTCCCACCCCTTTCCTTTCTCTCTTTCTTTCATATATTTTTCGCACTTTACTCCTTACTATGCCACACACATACTTTTCTTTCTAACTTACTATCCCGATTCTCTTACCTTCTCGCGCCTCGACCCTCGTGTGACTCGAGGCTCTCCACTCCTACCCATATATCCAAAACCCGAGCCATCATGAAAAAAGGCATTATCACAACCAACCCCCGCCCTCAAACAAGACCAACTCACCCCACCACTTGTAAGGAGTTCGGAACAAGGAAGAGAAAGAAAAAAAAGACAAAGAGACGAGTAGACGAGCAGCACCAACGAGTGCACGAGGAACGAATACTAGAGAACATATCTTTTGATAAAGAAAAAAGTAACAATGAACGGGGAAACTGGCTATGGTTTGTTATTTGTAATGTGGTCCTTACTTCTAAGATAGGGGAGGTGGGGGAGATCCTTGATGACGGTGTTTTGATCAATCAAATCATCAATCACCCGCCCACCCACGAGTTGGGGCGGAGGAGGAATCAGTGATTCCACTCTGGTGGGAGGCGAGAAAATAAAAAACGTGTCGACGATTAATGGGCCGAAGATGGTGTTCGACTGCTCTCCAGCCCATACCAGAAATTCACATTCTCTGCCTGAACAATCCTCTTCTTCTGGATACGAGAGGCCACGAATTAAAGCCATAAACTTGCTCTGCGTGATCGAGCGAGAAGGAACAGGGTTAAGTTGGCAAAAAAAACCCCCCGAACCGAGTGAAGATATGACTACTGGTGTTCACCCTTCCATCTTTGAAATGGGCGCGGATGAAGGAAGAAGGGTGGAGATCATGATGATAGACGTAAGGGAGGGGAGGGATTCGTGCCAGTTTGACAACAAGGCAAGGGAACAAAGTAAAAATGGGACAGGACTCCAAAGGGCGAGAAAAATCAAGTAGTAAAAAAAGGGGAGCCGGATCTGAGCGAGAGAGCTGAGACAGAGTGATGCGTAGAAAGGAGGAGTATGGATGCCCTTTCGTACTCAAGAGGGGCAAAAGGGGGTCCTATCGATCTGGAGACGGTATCCGTTTTGGTTGTTATATGGTGTACTGGAGGTATGTAGTTGAAATGGGCATGTTCGGGCTATAGTCTCGACCCTAAGAGCAGGGCGAGCTGAAGAGAGAGAAGATGCGTGCGTGATGAGCTAAGACTATGAGCTATCTAAGGTTTGTACTTCATAAGTCAGAGTTTGATGAGCGTGCTAAAGTCCGCACAAATGCCATCTCGGATAGGTCATTCACTCAGTCCCGTGAGAGTGGATTCGCTCTCTCGTGTATATGTTGGTGTGCCTCCTCCAGCTGTCCTTCAGAGCCTCTGTCTTTTACTTTTTTTTCTTTTGGTCTTTTGTCTCCCTTTCTTTCGGTCTTTTGTCTCCCTTTCTTTCATTTCTCTTTCTTCTCTCTTCTCTCCTCCCTTGCCTTCCTTCTCACAAATATCTTCAAATCAACCAATCACCGGCTGCACTCGCCAACGGACACCACTTCCTCACACCAACGACAATTCGCCTTTGCGCACACAACATACATACATACATACATACATACATACATACATACATCCATACATACATACACACACACACATACCTTCACACACAAACAACAACAACAACATTAACAGCCACTCACACATACACCCACTACATCCACCTTCAAAAGGCATACTTCCTTCATTTTATTTTCCACGTCGCTCATTCGCTCATTCGCACAACCCAGCACTCGGTTCATTTCACCCATTCCTCATTTCCTTCTCAACACCCACATTCCTCCTCACATTCATTTCGCGACAATCAGGTACATAATCGAATACGGCTCATCGTCCGCGAAACATTCATTTCCGGAACCGATAATTCGTCACCCGTCCCTCTCGACCTGCTTTGCCGACCTATTTTGTTCGACGCCTTGCATGTAGTAACTTGAACGCAGGCTATCCTTTTCAATTCTTTACGTGTTGCCACGTCCATCACTCTCCGCCTCGTTCCTTCACTTTCGTCAACCCCTCTACTCTCACGCGCCGAAAAAGGTCGATACTGACATCTACCTTCTTTTTTTTTTTCTCGGCATATTCCACTGTCGACCTATCCTTCCTACTCTTGTACAATTGAACAACAACAACAAAAGGTGTGTCTCTCTACCTGATCAAGAGTCTAATACACCCTGCTGTTCGCGTCACTGGTTTAAAAATACACAAAGGGGTGATAAAAAACATGGACAAAAAACCACTCTGCTGGGACATTGGCCCACCAGAGTGGATTCCGTTTATCTCGCGCTTTACTTTTCTTGACCTATTTTTTCTGCCACTCATTTTGATTTGAATGGCATCGGCCTTTTGAACCTTTGGCCAAATGGCCGAACTTCTCCTCCTTTTTCTCGTTTATTCACGTTCTCCATCTCTCTTTTGCTCACTATATTTTTTTTTGCTAATGGAGATCACTACCCCTTCTTTTTTTATGTTTTTTTGGACAAAGTTCGAGAAAGATGTAGAAAGCTGCCCGAAAATCTAACGCTATTTTGCCATTTTTTTTTATTTTATTATTTTTCAAGGGAGCTTTTTCAATATTGATCACAGATCTACATCCCTCTCCCTCCCCTTACCCCATAGTCACTTTGCTTCAGTAAAAGCATTGGAGTGAATAGTTTAATGGATTCAAAATCAAGGTAACTTACGATATGCAAAAGTATACAATAACAATATTCACGCACCCTGGGTAGTTGCTGCTGACTGCAGTAAATCAATACATGATAGTTGTGGTAGAAAAAAAAAAGAGATGGAAAAATGGCAGAAAAGATTAAAGGGGTATGGGGGGAGAGATGAAAGAAAGAGATGACAGAGAGACACAGACAGACCAAGAGGAACAAATAGAGGGGCGAGGGTGGACAACCTTTGAAAGGGCAGGCAGCGAGTGTCACGTCTTTTTTTTTTTGGGCTGCGTCTCGACCCGGGGGTTAATTTCCTATCGGTGTTCGTCCATTGTGTTTCAAAAAAGGAGACACTCGCGCACCACACCATGAGTGGTCGCGGCGGCAGTAGGTCATCACACCCGCAAAAGACCACGCTGTTTTGCCTCCAGTCACAGAGATGTAAACACGCCTAAAAAGGGTTGCCCAGCTGGTTCAATAACAGCACAGATCATACAACTTCACTGAGAGAAAAAAAGGAGGCGGAAAAAAAAAGAAACTAATGCTGCTGCTGCACTGCTGCCTTGTTTAAACCCCTTGTTATTTTGCCCGACTTTTTTACCACTTGTTCAATTCACTGGGTTCGTATATTCTAGTTTGCGTTACTTGATGTTGTACATGGATATGTGCGGAGACAGCCATTTTTTAGGGTGACGAGAAGGAACGGAGACAGGAGACGAAGAAGATCACGAAGAAGAGTATGAAGGGGTTGGAATACTGGCGCGGGGCATTAGACAATAAATTGCTTCCACTGTTGAGAAAAAGAGGCATGCACTGTCCATTTCTGGCATGACTTTGTTTGCAAATGAAGGCAGTGTGAGTCCAAGCACTCGGCATATCAACCCTTTTTGTTATAAGAGACGATTCGCCCGAATCTGTCTCTTTTTATCCATGCCCTTTTTAAACATCTGCTACAACACCCTCATTACTTGCCCAGTCTACCTCTTGTTCTCGTCTATCACACATCCCCGCCTCTTTTTTTGCTTTCTTTTCCTCTCATCTCCTTCCTTCTTCTTTTTCATCTATATATTTTTTTTCATTGACATCCTTGCTTCTCGGGTTGCTTGTCGTGGAAGCCGACAGTTTCAATTGAGCTAGGATTCAACCTACCAACGACTATACCAGTAGTAGCACCACTATCACCACATTGCCTAAAACAAACAACAAGGGCAACAGTCTGATCAGCAACATTAACACCAAAGCAACAAATAGTCCGTCCATCCTTTTAAACTGACCAACCTCTACTCCCTCCGTTCATCCTATGATCATGGCCGTTTCCGTCTGTTTTCCTCCTCGCAGGACCTATGAGTTGACGATGGAACAGAATCCCATCCATGCTCGGATGTGTGGGTTTGGTGATAAGGCAAGTGGATGTTCTTGGAGAACAAGTAGAAGAAAAAATGCCCTTTTGCCATGGTTACTTAAATCTGTTGTCATTGAAGTTTTTTCTATTGCTGATAACGTATGTATCGACGCACATACCTTTGGAAAATAAACGGATTCAGGAACAAGGATGGCAAGGTGAGGCAGTGTAGACCGGCGCCTTATTCAATGAAACACCTGTTTTAACATACTCTCGTACTCCTGATCTTCTTTCATACTTCATTTAGGATCGGCGACCAATGGATCCTCCGCCAATTGTGCGTTTGACGGTCTGGGAAGAAGATGGGGCCCCTGTAGACTTGAAGTAGGTTGCAGCGGCGACAATTTGATCCGCTCGATGTTGTTTGAGTGACGGCGGAACACTAATGACAACAAAAACCACAGCAACCCAATCAGCGTCGATCATCTAATCCTTTCACGCACATCTCTCTCAATAATTTTTCCATCGCGTTCATTTTCGAAACGAATATAGCGTTCCTGGCGCTGTCGACATTTCACAATGCATGGTTATGGCAGAGTTATTCACTGTAGACCAGCTGCAGCCCTGCTCACTCGTCGCCAATCCCGCAACAACAACCATCATCCCAGCCACACCAGAGGTAAGGACCATTGGCGACTCGACCATGTCTGTCCTCCACCTTGGAGTCCCACCACCGATATCTACCCGCAATCTGACAGGATCCACAGGCGCATCGGGTGATCTACTCAAGGACTTGACCGGCAACTATGGCATATTTTTTGCCTTTCCCGATCTCAGCGTCAGGACAGACGGCATGTACACCCTTAAGTTTTCATTCGTCATGTTACCCGAGTAGGTAGCATCGCTTTTTTTTTTTTGGCTTCCCATTAGTCTCTTTGATACCTTGGTTTAGTGGATGCAAAAAAAGAAGAGAAAGAGAAACTCATGTTAGTAATTGTAAATTCTTCTTGCATATAGATCGCCATTGGTTCCATCACCGGTCCTCGCAACGGTCTTCTCGGCACCTTTTGAAATATTTCATGCAAAACGGTTCCCAGGCATGATCAGTACGTCAGAGGAAACATGCACAGAAAATATTCCTTTTACAAGCCCAATGTTTGCTTTTTTTTTTGTCTGGTTGTTTGTTTGTTTGTTTGTTTGTTTATTTGTTTATTTGTTTGTTTCTATGTTTGTTGTGGTGTTGCATGTTCAATGTTTCTATTTGTCATGCAAATCCAGACTTGGACCCTTATGACATGTCCGATTCTCACTATCATACCCTTGTTTATTCACTGGTGATATCGTTGTAACTCTTGGTATAGAATCAACACCGCTTTCCAAGACGCTGTTTGACCAAGGTGTTCGAATTCCATTGCGAAAGGAGACGAGAGTAGGGCGCGTTAAAGCCCTCGTACTAACAGAACCAGACTCCACCAAGCAGGGTCCAGACGATATCGAGGATATCGAAGACATGGATGGCAAGGAGGTCTGATACAGGCCCCCCTCCCCCCCCTTTTTTTTGTCCTTGCTATCGACAACTTTGCTACATAGAGTGACCGCCTTACCCATCAATAATATCCAGCGTTCCTGCATTTCTTTTCAGCGGTTGCCACCAAAAGACCCTGCCCCTATCTTTTCTTTAATTGCGCTTTTGTTTGTTACGTGAAATGATCATGATTGGTTCATGAGCATTCTGTTCCCCATGCGCGAGTAGCAATTATGCCTTTTTTGTTCTTTTTTGTCTTATGTCTTTGTTTGACACCCCCTCCCCCCCCACCTCCTTGGAAAAGAAGGGGCGACTGGTGACAAGGGGGTCGCGGCTCTGCTTACCATATCCTCTCTTCTTTTATCCATCCTCCATACCCTTCTTTTGTTCAACTTCTCGGTTGACCTGGTTTGTTCTCCACTCGACCTTTTGCTCTTTTTTTGTTTTGATGGATACAATAAGACACTCCTTTTCGCGATGTGTTTGTAGAGGTTGTTGGTAAAAGCATCAACTGTGAACTGAATGCTGGAGGTGAGTGACACATGCATTCTTTGCAAAGGGCGATAAACAATTGGATAGAATGACGTCAGTTATGCGTTATGCACAGGCTGTATGAATTTTCGTTTTGATGACCCCGATCCCGACCCTGATCTTGACCTTGGCCGCGATGCCCCGACGGGACAAAAAGTATTAATAAAAAAATTCAAGCTCTGGCGAAGGTCCCGAGCGGAAGGTATTCATTTCAGATCACATCAATTTGGCCCACGCGCTTACCCATCCCGTGACCTACCTTTGTCGTAGCCGAAAGGTGCTGGGGTTGACCACAAATCAGACGATGAGGTTCTGTACTGCACATGTACTGCACATGCAGAAGTGAAGAAGGAGTCTTGGGGGAAGGGAGGGGTGAGATCGACAAGGGAAGGGTCCATTTTTGTTGTGAGATCGACAAGGGAAGGAGAAGAGTTGGAGGAAGCATACCATGGCATAGCATGTTGCCAGTGGGTAACTAAATGGTGGTTGACCTGCCGACGAGGATATGGAAAGATGGAATAAAAAATGAGATGACCACTTTGAGAGGCGGAGAAAGAAAGAGACGCACAGGAGAGGGAGAGCAATTTGGGACGCCACCTTGGTCTCACCTCTATTTCTCCCCTCTTTGACTCTTTTACTCTTTTTTCTGTTTGCTTACAACTCTTCCTTTTACTTTTTCTTGCTCACTCACACATTCCCATACCTCGTCCACACCTTCCACACCCACACTCTCATTCTTATTCTCACACTCACTCTCACCCACCACCTTCCTCACTCTTCCCATCCAAACAACACATACTCACTCAACAATGGGAGCAAAGCACTCAAAAGAAAACAAGGACCTCGCCAGACGCACTCACTGTAAACATCCCTTTCTTCTCCTGCCTCAATAAAAACTATCCTCGTCTCGTTTCGTCTTCTCCTCTCTTCACTTCAAGGACAGTCAACTCATTACTTTCTCTTGTTTTTGTTTCTCATCTCATTCACCTTCACCTCATTAGTCTCGAAGCGTGAGATTCATACTCTCAGACGCGAGTTTGAGAAGACGTCAAACACCTCCCGGTCCAACGTCCTCACCGAGGCACAGTTCAAGGAGGCAAGTATTCGCTCCAAATACACTTATTTTCTATTTTTCCTACCCGACTCAATGACTGACGGCAGGGACTGAGTTGACTACCGAAAGGTGTCCGGGGTACTATGTTTTACGCCCGCAACAACAAAGCCAACGCTTGTGTCCAGAGTGAAAACAAGAGAACAAAAACAAAGCAAAAATCAGGCGCACGTCTTTCTTATCTCAATTGGTGTCTTGTGTGTGTGTGTTGTCAGACACTCACTTTTGCAGAGCGCAAGACAGGACAAAAAGAGCGAGTGGCGACAAAGTGTGTGACCAATCGACGCTTTTCACTCTGGCGGAACTATTCACAACAAAGCAACAACGAAGCAGGAAAACAACACCAGCTATTCAGGCACTCATATGCATACACACTTAGATTCTTTTTTGTCTCTCTCTGGGCAAACAGATGATGGACAGAGGCAGAGAGGGAAAAAAGAGTGAGCCATGGCCTCTTTCTTTTGTTTTACAGTTCGATCGCACGCTCTCTCTCTATCACACACTCTCTTTCGCTATCAGGCTTCATTGATATTGCATTATTCAAAAATATCCGACAAAGACAAGTGGGGATTACCAAAAGGCTCTTTCGCAATCTGTCCCGCGTTGCTTTGCTCAAGTCAGCCGGGGAAATAGAAGAGGAGAGAGAACGTACGACCGGTATCTTCTGGAAGAAAGTAATAATAACGACAACCAAAAAAGAACAAAGGGTTCTTTCAACACACGCTCGGCGTTTTCGCCGTTTTTATGTCTCGCCTCGGCCCTTCTAATAACAACGACACTTACTTTGCCATCGATGACGATGAAAACAAAGACGACAGCTTTAATCAAAAAAGAAGAGACCGCAGCATGAACAGTGGGAGGAACAAAAAAGACTATTGATCGAGACTTTTCTCTTACCCCTATCACAGCACCTCCCTTCGCTCCTATACCCTACTCCTTGCTTGTTCGACATATCTCACTAATCTAACACGTTGTGTTCCTGCTCCTAATAGACCTTCCGTCGTATCTTGCATTCCTCGCCCTTGGATGATGTTTTCCTGACTCGGTTGTTCTCCGCCTTCGACACCAACCCCAGCATAAAGGGCGTCAACTTTAAAGAGTTCATTGAAGGCCTTTCCGTCTTCATGAAGGGTACCCCGGACGAGAAGCTCGAGCGTAAGTTCATTTCATCTCTGTTATCGGTCGTCAATTTGTTTCGCACCTTGTTGTCTGGAACAGTCTGATGACCTACCTACCACCCTGACTGCCCACGGCAAGAAAGAGATGAGCACCTGGCAGGATCCGTGCCGATACGACAAAACAGACAGGAGCAGAGGCGAACACAGAAATTTTACGCCAAACAAGATTGGGAGAAAGGGCGTACACATGGATGGGACAGGAACAATGAATCCTCTGCGTCGTAAAAAGAAGGCGACTAAACCCATCTCTTCTTGTTACTATCTGGTGGCTTTTCATTATCTATCTAGTCTCGTTCAAGTTGTACGACATTGACCATGCTGGATACATCACTCGTCCTGGACTGGAAAGGGCCATGACTCAATTGGTAAGGAGCCTCCGCGCACGCTTTGTTGTGTGTTTCATGTTCACCTAAGAAGGATGATAGAGAAAAAAAAAAGGACAGTGTGAATTTCTGTAGACAACATGAAAGACTAACTATTATTTTGTCTCCTTTGTTTTTTGTATTTCCTTTGTTCCTGTAACTGCATATGGCTGCCTTCATCTCGTAACTGCATGTACAGCACTCGGTCGTCGCAGGATCAACTCAGGATGAGACGCACCAGATCCAAGAGTTGGTCAAGCGTATCTTTGATGATCTGGATGTCAACAACGACGGCAAGCTGTCTCTGGAGGAATACAAGCTCAACTCGATGAAGGAGCCGCTTATTATCGATTTCCTGGGCCAATTCCTTGCTGACCAGACCGATTCGGGCGCCAACTCGATTTGCTCTGCTTTGTCAGTTCCACCTTCGCCCCGCTCTGGTTCATCCCCCCCATCGCCCCGCTTCAGTCACTTTGCGCCACCTTCGCCCAGATTGAGAGATTCACTGTACGGAACTGCTTCGGGACATCCTTTCCAGACTTCATCGCCTGCAGGCAGTTTCCGTCTGAGCAACTCGCACAGCTTACTCTGGCTCAATGGCGGAATCAACGGTAGCGGAGACTTACTGGGTAAGGTCAACGAGTTTGAGGGATTGGTCGCAGCAGAGGAGGAGCAGGCAAAGGAGCGCAAGGCGGCTGAGGAAAAGAAGGCTGCTGCTGCCATTGCCGTGGTTGCGCCTGCAGTGGCACCCGTCAATGGGGAATCAGAGGAGAAGAAGGTCAATGGCACAGAGGAGAAGCCCAAGTCACAAGTGAACATTGTTGTTGTACCGTCGGACGACCAGGCATCGGGCGCACCAGCAGGGACAGCGACAGAAACGACGGCTGCAGCAGAAAAGGTCAATGGCGAGCATACAACCAACGGTGTTTTGGCAGCAGCATCTGCCGAGGATGTCCATAGCACGGCAGCGACGGCTCCCTCTGACGAGGTCAAAGAGAAGGAGCAGCACGCAGCAGCAGTGGATGAGGTCTCTAAGACGACCCTCCAGATGGCAGAAGCCAATGGAGGACTTGAGATCCGGTCAGAGCCGACTCTTGAGGAGACGACAGCCAAGCTGAACATCCAGTCCAGCTAAAGAGGGTCGACACTCTTTGATTGATCGTCTCGCTTCTTTCTTTTCTCTCTTTTGCTTTGTCGCTATATACATGCTTCTTCCTTTTTACCAAACAAACACACCCTCTGAAAATATACCACCAACACTTCGCTTTACCACACACCTAATAAAAAAACCCAGCAGTTTCGCTTCTGGAAGCAAAACTTGACACTACAATTCTCTGGAAGGATGTCCGATTCATTAATGTCATGACTGTCAATTCGTCACATCACTTTCTTTTTCTCAGGGCCGCACCGTGTCTTGCACCACTTTCTTTTCTTTTCTTTCCTACTTTCACTTCTCACACACAACCTCACCACTCAACAAACATCATCATGGGCAACATCATCTCGTACTCAAGGAACGACATCATCTACTCCGCGATCCTGATTGGCGCCTGGCTACTGATCCGCCCATACTTTGTCCGCATGAGCGAGCAGGCCCAGGCCAGGGGCGAGCAGTCCCTTACCGCCGAGGCCGCCCACAACGATTCCCAACGGGCGCCGGCCTCTTCCAGTTCTGGTGCTCGGAAAAAGCTCGACTAAGCTTTCCATGGACAAGTCAACAATGAGAACAATAGGAGCAGGAGACTGGACTTTTCCGCCGTGCCGCTTTCTCTTGTCGACCTACCCGCGGTACTCCTTTCCAGTTCACGTTCATAACCTGCCACCCCAACAATACACCCTTCCATACACTTACTCCTTTTCTCGCCCAACCCAACAACCTCCCAATAATAAAACGCTGTGCAATCGTGTCACACTCAATGGTTATCATAGTCTTGTTTTTTCATTAATACTCGTTGCAGAACATGAGGGCCTATTTATCACTGCTTTGATAGTTGACACTCAAGGACGCAACATCCTTCTTTGCCTGAACCATCTCCTGTTCATATTTCTCAATCTTGGTATGACTCTCGGCCAACTTCTTCATCAACCACTTGACACGAGTATCAACCTCTTTGGGAACCCTTCCACCTCCAAACAACCAAGACCCATCCTGATGCAATAAGTTCGAGAGCTCTCGGAGTTCCCCTTCCCATTTGACGACCTTGGTCATCTCGTCTTTATCGAGGAATGTGGCCGATTCGAGATCCATCACGGCTTTGAAGCCTTCATCCGAGAGGATCTCTTGGAAGGCTGCCTTATAAATCGGTTTACCGGGTCTAATCGAGAATGGGCGTCCTATTTGTCGTAATGATACACGCAGTGAGTGAGACACAAAGAGAATTGAATGGAAGAAATTAGAAACGATGGAATAAAAAAAGAGCACCATCTTGAGGGGCAGACTTGATCCACGTGCGCTGGAGCAGTTCAACGACCGCCCAACCAAGTCCTGATACCACGTTTTCTACAAGTTTTTGACTTGCCGTTCTTGTGGTTGATGCTGATAAGTTCAGCTTGCTCCATTGCACTAAAAGGCGTCTCGTCGTTCTTGAACAGCGGGTGGATCTTGAGCTCATCAAAGCTGGCCTATTGTGATATCGATTGATTTGTTGCAAGATAGATGCATTAGTATTCGAAAAGGATCGACCACACAAGATCCGTGATAGTTGGCCATGATAGTAGCAAAAGAAGATTGAATGTCTGAAGAACAGAGAAAAAAAAGACTTACGACGTCGTATACGGCAAGGTGCTTCATGACGGTCCAGAACTGAATGGGCGTCCAGCCGAGAGTCTTCTTTTCGGTCGAATCAAAGTCGAATGCATTCTTTCGCACCTCAACCACCGATCTGTTCAGAATATCATTTACCGCATCTAAGATCAACAAGGGTATAAGAAATAAAAGATCGTCAGTGCGCCTCTACCAAAGAAATAACGTCTACTTTGAACGAAAAAACAAAAGAAAATCGACCGTACCTTCGGGTCCCATGCCACTCTTCACTTTTTGGACAAAAAGCTCCAGATCGGTAAGACGGCCCCCAATGGTCTTGACACAATGGGTGAGGTTGCCGTACTCCTCCTTGTCCAGGTGCTTGTAGACAAACTCCATTGAAGATTCCAACGTTGCATCCATGAGCACAATCGTCTCGAATGTCATATTAGGAAGCGCTAGATTCATTAGCATAGAAAACGACAGCCTGTTAATATCTAGCCAAGACGACATCAGTTAACCCATCAACGCCACCAAAATGCATTAGCCAAGTAAGGTTACCTTTGGAGAGAGGCTTGGAGGCGGTAACGTTGTTGCTGATAAAGATGACATGAGCAACATGGTTCTCGACAAGGACAGCAGCCCAATCCGCCAGGTACGTCCAGAACTCCTTGGCATGAGGACCCTTCTCTCGCGACATGTAACCATCAATAATGACCACAGGGATATCATCAGGGTCACACCATTTGCTCTCCTCCTTGGCTTTCTTCGACTTCTCTTCCTTGGACGGCTCCTTCTTGGAGCCGAGGTTCTGGACCAATTCTGATGCGACACCGCCACCTGACGAGGCAAGCTCAGCTCTCCGTGCCTTCTCTTCGATAGTCTGCTCAATCTTCTTCATGATGGCCTCTGGTGAGACGTTGGACATGTTCCTGGTAGGCGATGTCTGTTGAATGGCGATCGTCAACGTATCCAAAATCTTTTTCAACTGTCCTTCAAACGTAGCCGATAGCCCTATGAAATTATGAGAATGGCAAGCCGTGTTAAACAACAATGAGCATGGGCAACGTAACCAAATATCGACATCTGCAGAAGAGGGTACTCACCAGCCTTCTGTCCGGTGGTCGCTGTGATGGCCATGTCCATCATGTTGTTGAGTGTGCTCATGAACTGGAACAGAGGGATGTATCCGACCTGCTTGGCCAAGTTTGACAAGACTTCGCCTTCGCTCCTTGCGTTTGCTAGTTCGTCACACCGGATGACAATCTTGTGCGTCTTGTCCTTGGTCGCATATTCGACCATGTCTGTCTTTCCTGCTCCACGAGGTCCTTGAACAATCGCAAATGTTTCTATACGCGGCGAAGGAAAAGGCGCATTACTAAAATATTTTCTTCTTGCGGCCGGCGCGCTTAAAGAATACAGACACAATAGCAAGCGAGCATGATATTTCCTTACCGGGGGGGTTGCGCAGCCAAGTACGCAACTTTTCTTCATCTTGCTCACGCTCGCGCCACCCAGTCGCCTGTAGGGAGTCGATGGGTGTACGCGTCAATCGCCCGACAGTCTCCTTGCGAAGCCACTTGAGAATTGGGTACTCGTTGACGTTGAACAGTTTGCTGATCTTGGCGTGCATGCTGAAGACTCGAATAGGGTCAAAGACAATGAGCGACACTCCCGCAACGGCAAAACCTCCTAGGGGAACACTCAGTCTCGGGTGGTTGCTCAGCCAGGTCCAGATGACGTTGCCCTTCAGTGTCCTCTCGTATGTGACATTGATGTGGATTCCATTGACCTCAGTTCCATGAAGACAGTTCTTGGCGCTGGTGGCTGCGCGCATGAACGAATACTGGACAATCGCTTGCTTGGGCATATCCTTGACAGGCGGGACCTGGAAAATATCGACAATCTTGCCGTACTTCCTGAAGAGAGTATACAGCCCCTCTACTCCTAGATCTCCCGAGTACTCGATCCTGACCTTCTTGTTGGGGTATCGACTGGCCATGTCCTCTAGGAAAGGTTGGCCCTTAACAAGGAAGGCTCGTACTTTTTGAAAGTTGAACCACATGTAATGACCATGGCTCATCAAGTGCTGTTCACATCGACTCTCGATCTCCTTCAGGGCCTCCTTGGTTGTGTAGGACGATGGGTGGACATATGAAAAATGGACAAACATTCCGCCGTCCTTTAGCCTAATTCATACAGTTGAGTACAAGTCAGAAAAAGGGGCTAGGATCATATTGAATTTGCAGAGAACAAACAGGCAAGCAAGAGGAGCAATTACCGTGGTTCGATTCCTCCGATTTTGAAGTGGAAGGGCATGCCATTTTCGGGAGGGACGAGTTCATTCTTGGCCTTGCGCTCGAGAGATTTCCATCCTGGTCGAAGCAGCGAGTAGCGGATGTCCCACCAGGCTATCCTGAGCGGGTATGCATTGTCAAAATAAAGCATCCCGTACTTGAGTGGCAACTGCATCAGACATTAACGAAAACAGAAATAAAGTTAGAAAAATTCCCATTTTCGACGAACAGAATCCCAGAAGTGACGAGGCGTTGTCGTCATGGGAGCAATGTGAGCGATATCCGGCTACAGTCGACGAAGCCTTCTTCCAGGCGATCGTATGTCGCTGCACACACATGGCACATTATCAATGTGCCTACCTCCTCCTCTGCGGCTGCTGCTGCTTCTGTCTCGGTAGTGAACTTGCGCCGAAAGAAGCCATCGGGGACTCTTTTGGTCTTTACAAAATCCGATGGTTGGACACGCACGGCCTGAACAGTCAATGGTGTGCGGGTCGTGGCTGTAAAGACTGGCGCTGTGCGAATTGATCGAGCAAAAGTAGTTGCTGCTGTTCTTGTTGTTGGCGCGGTTCGCTGGAAGGTTCTCCCGGTAGTGAGAGGTGAGGCTATGGCAAGGACACGCTGACGTGTCAGGAGTGTTGCGGTGTGGAAACGGTGAAGGGTCACCTGAGACGAGGCTGCAACTCGATACATTGCAGCCTAGAGTTGTATTTGAATGGAGATGCGGGGGAGTGTACTAGGTGGTGTTTGGTTGAAAATAATAAGAACGAGGGATGGGAATGTGAATGGCAGACAGTGAAGTGAGGCGAAGGAGGAACAAAAGGAAGAAAGACAAAAGGAGCGCGGACCAGTGCGTGTCTTTGTGTGTGTGCGAGAACACGTTCATTTAGAAAGGGTTTGTCAATTACAAATCAATTTTCTTTGGTGTAATTTGTAGGCAAGGTAGATCAGCTCTCTTCCTCTTTCTTCTTCCAGCTCACCTCTAAACATTCGAACCATGTCCGCCGCAATCATCGCCAAACAGGTCCTGAGGGTGCCTCTCGCTGCCACCGCCAGACCCGCCTTCACCAGACTCCAGTACTCGACCTCGACTTCTGTCACAGAGACACTGGAGCCCGTTGCCCTCCAGGCTGAGATCGTCAGCGGAGCCCCTGGTGAGTGACAGACCGATGCAGGACACACATCAGCAAGAGCAACAACAACAGCGAAATGAATGCCAAGCAGAGGCAGACCACCAGCAGGACCTCATTCAACCGGCAAAGCGAATCCTCTTTTTGTTGGCAAGGGGTGCTGGCTGGCAAAACTATTCTACCTGGATAGACCTTCTCACAACGAAACACCACTTGGTATCACTATACTATTAGAGGAGGTCCGTATGCACCCTTGCCGCATCTTCAAGCAGTGCAAGACCGCTACTCAGTCTGGAATCACCAACACTGGAGTCTGGAGACTTGATTTCGACACTGAACTCCAGGCTGGTCGTTTCGAGAACGAATTGATCGGCTGGGCTTCAAGGTATAGGCGGAAGGACTGACAGCCAGACGTACAGTAGTGGAATGTGTGGCATCAATAGGATCAGTCGACTAACTTGAGGACCGTTGTTACTCTCGTGCCTTTCTCACGAACAGCGCGGATTACATGCAGGCCCTTCAGATGAAGTTCCTCTCCAAGGAGGACGCCATCGCCTTTGCCGACAAGCAGGGTAAGACGCCGATCGCTTTATCCGTTCGATCAGTTACGGACCCATTTTTCAGCGACGAAAACTCACATTCTTATGTCTCTTATTGTGGGTGTGATAGGATGGGAGTTCACCGTTCAGGAGCCCAACCAGAAGATCTTCAAGAAGAAGATCTATGCCGACAACTTCAAGTACTCGCCCAACAAGCTTCGCTTTGTCAAGACCAAGTAAATTTATGGACTGCCAGCATACACCGGCGAGAGTAGAGGCAGTTAGATCCCATCCGACAAGCTCAACAACATGATATCCTTCCTTGACCCCACCTTCTCTCATTGACAAATGCAAGTGGGCCCAGCACCAACAGCACGGCAGGACCAAGCCTGCCAGAACTATTTTTTGTTTTTGTAGAATAAAATTTGAAGAACACCACATCCACACTCCAGTCTTCTCCACCAGGGACACAAAGCCACCTTTTCTCGCTTCTTTGTTTCGTGGCAAATTCGTTCTAGCACAACGTGTGTTTGACTTTTGCCTCCTCACCTCCCACAATTTATTTGAACTTACATCCTTCTTTCTCCACTTCTCTTTTTCTTCAACATCCCTTCCTCACTTCTCTTCTCTTTCTCTTTCCCCCTTCCCTCCGTGTTCATGTCATGGTACCGTTCACACCTTGTCCCATCCCATGGCCCTGCCATCACCCGTGCCCTGCATACTTTCATAGACGCGTCTACATGCTAACATAGGCGCGTGACCTACACATCTTTGTACCTCGATTCTTCATCATCGTCCATCAACCCCAATAGATCCGCTTTACCGCAATTAACGACGACCCCGCTCTAGTCAAGACAGAGGAGGAAGACTCTGTCGAGATTCAGGCAAGGCTCCTTTAGGATAGTTGGACAAAAATTTGAAGCGTTTGCTTTCTTTTCAACCAAGTCGTTGACATAGGATGGCTTTTTTAAAATGATTGTACTTTTTTTTGGACTAATGATAGGCCGAGAAATGCTTGGGCACCTACGAGGATGCCATTCGGATGCTGCAAAAGGGCCAATCGGAGGAGGCACGGAAGTCACTGAAGGACCTTATTGACTCGGAACTCTTGCAGACAATCGACAACAACGTAAGGATAGGTCATTTGACATTTGTCCTTCGAAAAAACGCCGCCATTTTCGTTTTTGAAAGTGACAAACTATCAAGGCGATTAACTGTGAACATACCAATCATTGTCTTATCATCGAATCCGCAATAGTCCGAGGTGGCTGCGCGTGGGACTCCAGTCCGCCGCCTTCAATACTTGGTCTACATGAACTATGCCAGCATTCTCGAGGAGTCATCGGACAACATTTCTGCGCTCCAATACTATTTGAAGGTAGGTTGGCTGCTCAAGGAAGCAAGTGATCGTACCAGAGTTGCCTTGGTTCCGACTTCCGCTAACACACCCTCTCTTCCTGTATCTTCTTTTGTAGGCGATCACCTTCGACAACTCTGACAACTCCCTCTGGATCAAAATCGGAATATTGGCTACAAAGGAGAAGAAATACAAACTCGCACGTTACTCTCTGGAATGCGGTCTACAACGGACAAGCGCACTTGGTCTTGCAAACGACTCGGCGGATCAAATTATTTCATCAGGAAATTTGCCGGACGGTCAGCTTACTCCATCCCAGTGGGTCTGCTTGGAGACGCTTTGTGAGGTAACTGACCTGTACAGTAGGTCTTCGACAGTTGCGTTTTTGCGTGTATACGTCTTGTAAATCCGCTCTCCGCGTCTCAAGATCATTAAAGTGCTAATACAACAATCCTTCGTTAACGTATGACTTCTAGGTCCTCTACATTATCGGCGATTATGTAGCATGCGAGGAATATCTTCGGAGGGCACTACACTATTCTCCATACTTTGAGCGCGGTCAGGACATATTACATATGATTCGCCAGGGGCTTCAGGAGCAACCCGGCACAGAGAGTAACTTAGACCATACTGCGCAGGAGGCGCCATTTTACTTGGACGGAATTGACTTTGCGCCCAAGCAACTGCAGTTGGAAGAGCCATCCTGGGAGAGTCTCGGAGAGCAGTTGCTAGCAGAGTACAAACTATTGACCGCGAATCCGGATCAGACATTTTACAACAGGAAACTAATCGTACGCGCACCAAATACCGAGGTAATGGAAATAATTGACGTTGAGATGGATGAGACACCGGCGGAGGAGACTGAAACGATCAAGGACGAAGCTATCTCAAAAACAGAGGCGACGCCACCAACAGAGGCCAAATCCATTGACGAAGCTACGATGCAGGAGCCAGCAATAGCCACGTCGGCGTCAATATTAACAACAACCGAAGGTGGGGAGACCGCTGACAAGGAAGCATCAGAATCTGAGCAGGCGGCTTTGAAGCGGAAACGGAAAGAAATCGAAGAGCGTTCAGGACTTCGGTAAGTAGCTCTCTTTCTTGAAGCCAATGTTTGCTTGGTGAGTGTTGAACGTCAGTGTTCTAACGCGTCATCATATCTTTCAACAAAACCATAGAACATCCAAGCGTGTCCGGGACAAGTTGGATCAGTTTGAAGTTACAAAGAAGAAGCGCGAGGAAGAAGAGCTGGAGATTCTAGCCAAGTACCGCATTGTGTTGTCCAGGTTCGGCGTGGATCTCGAGAACGGCTACATTGCAGGATCGTCGTCTGGTTCGCTCAAAGTAGAAGATATCTTTCCCAGTGGCCTATCCGGTCTTCTTGTCACATTCAACAAACACTTGGAACGACCTAATGCCGTTGTTCAAGCATCTACCGCCACCGAGCATGTTCAACAGTAAGCATAAACACGTACTGCTGTAGCTGGGATCAGTGGGCTTTACTGAATCGCCACTAATCCTTCTCCTTTATATTGCTCAAATAATAGACAAAAGACCAACCACTTTGCAATATTTTCAACCGACAAGAGCAACTCACGAGCTGCAGCACCGTTCCAGGACAATATCAAGCTGCTTAGCTTTATCAGCAGGACGAACGAAACCAACTCTGGCGTGGTGGAGTATCTTTGCGACTACCTTATGGCTCTGATGTCAGGACTCACGGGCTCCGAGGCCGAGGCAAACTGGCGGCGGCGATGGCCTGATGGCCTGAGGTCAATTGTTCTCAACGCGGTATCGTTAATTGAGGACGAACTGCTGGAGTATCTGCATCAGGAGAACAGGACAGACGAGCTAGATGACCGGCTAGATCAGCGCGTAAAGTTCGAGGTAAGGCAGGATATGGCGTATGAAGTATACTTTAGGCCTTGCAATAAGAAAAGGCGAAAACGTTAATGACGAATTATTCCACTTTTCTTAGCTTCGGTTGTCAATATGCGAACTATATCTTGACGAGATGGTTCGAGTGACATTACTACCCTATGCCTCTACGGGAAAGAAGAACAAGGGACCTAAGCGAGTAGATACTGAGCTGATAGCAATGCTCGACAAGCACTTTCAGCGTTGGTTGCAACTCGCCGGATACGAGCTGGATGTCCCACTCGATCACTACCTGCAAGGCGTAGATGAGTCAGGCGTAGACAAGTGGATCAAGGTCGCTGCTTTGAGGTAAACTTCAAATTACTTCGATTGTTGCGAAGCATCTCAATTATGTCAATGACATTGGTCACTCACCCTGTTGTCTGTTGTCGTTAATAGGGTCGGTTGGATGATGGGGCGGTATTCCCAGTGCCTTGGAAACCCAAACGAGGCAATATCACGGTTCGAGGATTGTCTTCAGCTGTCGCGCCGTCTCTCTATTGAGTCCGTCCTATTGCCGAATTGGTAAAGAGATTGGCTCGTAAATGAGTGAATGTTGTTTTCCCACGATGTATTGTAAGTCAACTAACCGGATCGTTCTCGCTGGATATAGTATGTACGACACCGTTATCGGCGCTGAGACTATACTGGAGAGACTGGGGAAACTCAAGACACATCAGTATGTCATGGAAGCGGAGAGACTGTTCGAAGAAAAGGACTTTGTCTCAGTTCTGGCAAGACTAGCGCCCGCGTTCCTGGAGAACAATGACCCAATTCAGGAAGTCGTACCGGCTGAAATAGAAGCCAAACCAGCTGCTGTCAGCCTTGAGGTTATAGGAGGGTCGCTTTCAGAGAGGTTGGGACTCATGACACTGCTGTACAAGGTAAGCCCCGCATCCTCGTTTTGCGAATGTGACACCTTGCACGAAGTGCTCATCAACTGACCTTTACTCTATTGCTGTGTATATCCGAATAGTCGTGCGAAGCACTCGAAAATCGTAGACAGCAGTTCAACTGCGCCGTTGAGATGTTTGTCCTTGTTGCGGAGACCCTTGTGAATACCGTCACAGACGCGAGTGAGGCATCAGAGGTTTGGTATCTCTTTGGAAAAGTTGGCCAAACACTTTGCCTCCTAAGGGAAACTCTGCAGTCGGCGAGTTTGGTGGAATTGATGGAGTCGCTCAGGAGTCAGAAACTTCAACGACTTCTCTGCTGCGTCTTGGCAATGGCGAGACTAGGCTTTGTCAATATCCTGCATCAGGACCGTCTTGTGGACGACGACATCAAGATTTCATACTCGGACCTTCTTAAGAATCGGCCGCATCTCGGACAGTTCAACCTTGTTCTTGTTCGCGCATGGCTCGTTCTCTTGTATTTACTGCCTGGCTGGATCCACCCTGAAGCTGAAAAAGACGAATCAGGAGCGGCGACCAACCAGGATGAGACTATGGCAGCACCATCGCCCCTCAATACGCACCCACTGGATCTCCAACAGCTAGACATGGATCGCGAGACTGTCCGCCGGGTGCTTTCCCAACCCTTGACAACAAACTCCTCGACTGCCCTTTCACGCTACACTCAACCGTCGCAGGAATTGTACATGGAGCTCATCGCACTCGTCCATGATGATTTCGGCGTCAGAGAGTTCTGTGGAATTGATAACAGTAGGTTCATTTTTGAGGACAGATTTTCAAAGCGTAATTTGCCACCAAACTCCGCACTTGTTTCTCATTTAATACGTTTCCTGTAGATCAACTCATTCAACTGGCGCTCAAGGTTGCCTCCCCCATGCAAGGATCGTTTTACCGCAAGGAGGAGAATCAATGCTACTATTGCTTCTATGGCATCTCTCTCAGTGTAAGTGTCTATGGGGTGCCTTGTAATGAACAACAAACAACCATGGAAACACAAGTTGACATCTAACAAGCAAACTCTTGTTGTAGGTGGATGGCCAGTACCCGATTGAGCATTCCTCTGAGCCAGTGGATTTCGACAAACAGGCAGCAATCGAATTCTACCCTCTTCTGGAACGGTCCTTGTCGAACAGAGCACTACGTGGCCAAGTCCGAGGTGACCTCAAAGACGCCGTCGACAGAGTGGAGGAGGCACTTGGATCGCCGCCATACGAACGCTACTCGACCCTGGAGTTCAACCGTCGGCACATTGATGGATATTTGGCTTCAGAGATAAACTTTGTAAAAGAGATCCAGGTGCATTCAAGGAACGACCTCCTCACAATGCAGCAGCCTCCGTCGAGCAAGCTCCCTTCGGTCTACCGAAGCATCTACGCTATCCAAGGAAAGATTTTTTTGGCCCAGTTCAAGAACAAGGCCAAGAATAACCAATTCAAACCGCTGGAGGACCTACAACACGCGATCGACCAGTTTCAGACCAACCTCCATGTCAACCCGTACTGCTGGGACTCGTGGTATTCGCTGGCGACCTGCTATGCATTCCTTGCAGACGAAAACTTGGTGTTCAGCGCTTCGGATATCAGGAACAACTTTTCCAAAATCACCGACCTCCAACGACGATCCTTCCATTGTTTTTCCCAGGCAGTGAAGCTGGCGCCCAAGCGGATAGGACGGAACGGGAATGACCTGGCACACTTTCTCAAGGAGGAGAAGGACACGGTGGCGGACCTTGGTGTCACCTGGGATGAGTCAGTCCTAGCAAGCCAGATGACAGATAAAGGTCATTCGGGCGATGAATCGAGCGATAGCGACTTCACAGCAAATACATCAGAGGCTAGTGGCAGTGATCAGGAGTGGGTTCAAAAGCAAGCTACCTTCTGGTTCGATTTCGGCAACCTTGTTCATGGTATCATGTCCAAGCCTATGAGAATGGAGGCCATGCGACGAACGGACGACGAGGAGCTGTCGGAATCAGAGGAAGCCACTGTCGTCCCGGTAATGGAGCCAACTGAAGCACAGGTGTACAGATTTGCGTCGTTTTGCTTCAAGAGGTCGCTGCTCCTGGACAGTCGAAACTGGAGGTCGCTGTTCATGCTGGGAAAGTGTATTGAGAAATTAGGAGGCAAGCCCAGATCCGTCTTGGCTCTCTACAGGATTGCGGCCGAAAAGGTGCCGCCTCGGTCAGGACAGCCTGGTAACGAGCGTATTTACGATGCCGCCTACAAGACCATATCAACATTGTCAAAGTATCTCGCCCAGGACAAGATCACGGTGAGTATCAGCGTATATTAGGCCGTATTGTTTATTGCTTCATGCAACCCTTGCCTAACGCTCGGCTCGATGCGCTGTTCACATGTTATTTTATTAGGCATCGGACGCTGAGACCATCATGACTATGACCTTGGCCAAGTCCAAGCTGAGTGTTGCCGATCGAGAGTCGTTCATTTTCGAACCACCAAAGGATTTTCTCGAGTCGGCCCAATCCGACCCACCTAGCGAGGCTGATATCCAGAATAACAACAAACTGCGCGCGTACCGACTACTCTGCGAAGGATTGGCTCGAATCCGACATGCCGACAAGCGACACTGGCATCATCGACCAGTGTACAGAGTAAGTCCCTCAGTCTTTTGCCTCTTACCATTCTAGCCACATGATTACGAAGTACGATCTAACAACAGGCTCTATTTTTTGGTGAGAATAGCAAGCGTGTATTCTGCATGAAGTCTACCACGATGTCGAGCGTGCCAAGTCTGAGATCCTGAGCCTGTTCCAAATCAAGAGCAACCAAAAGACGCTGGTGAGCTCAGTCTGGAAGCCGGAATTTGAACGGAGCGGCAAGCATTTTGTGTATGTCGGAGAGTACACGCGCTTCCTGATCGTCCTTGCCAGGGAAACGCATGATGTCGAGCTTCTCAACAGTCTTGCGAGAAAGATTCGTCGCGCCCATGGTTTACTACTGGACCTGAAGGAGATCTGGGAACTACTGTATGAGTCGTATCTGGCGATCCTTGCAGGCCTTGTTGGATCTGATCCTATTATACCCGTTGCCGAGGTCGTCCCCAGAACCGATTTCAGGGAGAAGGCTGCCATCTACGAAACAAAGATGTTTGACCAGGAATCTCAGCTGCCAGGCCTGGTGTTGTTACAGCGACTCTGTGAGCTGAAGAAGCTGAACGACAAAATGGCACCGGAGGGTCAGATGGCGCACCTGTTGGCGGTTTGCTATAGCAAGCTTTTCATTGAGGTCGGTGGGGTAGACATGTACCCCAAGGAGTTGCTGGATCGACTTGAGAACCAGACGGAATACGCCAAACAGGAGGAGAAGGAAAAGGAGCTGAAGGATGCGAATGGGGCAGTGGATGCGGCAACACCATATCAAATCGCATCACGGAAGTACGGTTCAAATGGCGATGAGTCGAATGATGAGGAAGGCGAGGTTGAGGAGATTGCTGACCAGCCCAAGGACAAGGACACCACTGTCGGCGAAGATCTGACGATGATTGAGTCTGAGAAGTCAAATGGCGACAAGCAGGGCTCCTCGCCCTCATCAACTTTAGTGGCAGAACCTGGAAAGAGCCTTACTTCGACTGTTGATCTTTCGACCGACATACAGCCAGCAACGACCAATGACGACTCTAACCTTGCGGATGCAAATTCAGGCTCAGCACCTGTGCCACCAACTGATCAGTCTCCAGAGACGACCGACGTGACGATGGCAGATACGACAACAAGAGATGCGGGGGTGGTCGACTCTACTGACGTGGAGATGTTAGCGCCTGCTCCAGAGACATCTGGCCAATCGGAAGATCGCGATGTGGCGTCTACAGAGGCAACAGCTGCAATAGAACCACGACCCACGATGGAGGATTGGGAGACTCGAAAGAAGATCAGCGAAGCTGAGCTGGCCTCCAGGGCGACAGCCATGTGCAAGGCTCCTCCTCCCTCACTCAAGGCGCCTCAAACACTCCAGAGTAAACTCGCGGAACAGGACCATGCTACCGACGGCGGTTTCGATAGTGGCGCGGAGGCTGGTCCGGAGAATGGCTATGCGGACGACAAGCGGACTCCTGTAGAGACCACGAATGGCAGTGCCGATGTTGCTATGGAGTCTCGTGATGAGGATCCAGGTGTCAGCAATGGAGACAAAGAACAAAGAGATACGGAGGTCAACGGTGCCAAGGACACCGACAGCGAGAAGGATGATGCAGATGGTGCTGGTGCAGACGAGGACGAGGGCTCTGAAGTCGGCGAGGAGGTCCAGGAAGAAAACAACGGTGATGAGAAGGACCAGGAGGATGGCGATGACGATGAAAGCGATGACAGTAATGAAGAGCAAGACGAGGAGGAGGATAGTGGAGAAAGCGAGAAGAATGATACGGAGGACATGGAGGAAGATGGTGAGAGGGAAGGCACGGAGGCAGGTGATGAGGACTCTAATTCCGACTCTGACGAAGGCGAGGATGATGATGAGGGGGACTCTGAGGAGGAGGACTCTGATGAAGACATGGAAGATAATGATGCAGAGGAAGACTTGGAAGGTGATAACTCGGACTCGGACGAGGAAGCCGAGGGATCTGATGAAGAAGGAGATGAGTCGAACACTGAGGAGGCTGGAGAAGCCGAAGAAGCAGCAGATTCGGAGGAAGTCGAGAGTGAAGGTCAGGAGGACGAGGAGGAGGAGGAGGAGGAAGAAAAAGAGGAGAAGGAGAGCGATGATGAGAATGAGGGGGAGGAGGAGGAGGAGGAGGAAGAGGAGGAGGAGAAGGAGGAGGAGGAGGAAGAGGAGGAGGAGGAGGAGGAGGAGGAGGAGATTGAAGCGGTTGCGGTTGGACCAGATAACTCCAAGGACAAATCCGACCGTGATGGGCGCCGGAGCGGTGGCGGCAGCAGTGGCAGACGCAAGAAGTTCTGAGTTTACTTTGTGCACATCTGTTTGTGCTTTTTGCATCGTCGCATGCAATTAAAGAAGCGCCACTAAATGATGGTTGCATTATCACGTGATTGATAATAGTGGCTTGTGCATATTTGTGATCTGTTTTCTTTTCCATTTTTTTTTTCTCCTTCCCAACAGAAGTCTGTGGTTGTATGTCTGACAGCGTGCGGCGAACAGACTCTTTTGGAAACACATAATTTGGTGGTCCCATTTTCCTTCTTGTTCTTGTTCTTGTTCTTTCCTCCCTCCTCTCCCTCACCCCTCCCACCCATCCCATATACATCATGTCTGAAGTTACTGACTTGGCCATCGGAATCGATCTCGGTACCACCTACTCCTGCGTTGCCGTCTGGGAGTCCGAGCGTGTTGAGATCATCGCCAACGAGCAGGGTAACCGCACCACCCCCTCATATGTCGCCTTCTCCGAGCAGGAGCGCCTCATCGGTGACGCCGCCAAGAACCAGGCTGCCATGAACCCCACCAACACCGTCTTCGACGCCAAGCGTCTTATCGGTCGCCGTTTCGACGATCCCGAGGTCAAGTCCGACATGAAGCACTGGCCTTTCACCGTCATTGACAAGGACTCTGCCCCCTTCGTCCAGGTCGAGTACCAGGGCGAGAAGAAGGAGTTTTCCCCCCAGGAGATCTCTGCCATGGTTCTCGTCAAGATGAAGGAGATTGCTGAGGCCAAGCTTGGCAAGACCATCACCAAGGCCGTCATCACTGTCCCTGCCTACTTCAACGATGCCCAGCGTCACGCCACCAAGGATGCCGGTGCCATTGCCGGTCTCGATGTCCTCCGTATCATTAACGAGCCCACTGCCGCCGCCATCGCCTACGGTTTGGATTCCAAGGAGACCAAGGAGAAGAATGTCCTCATTTTCGATTTGGGTGGTGGAACCTTCGATGTCTCCCTCTTGACCATTACCGGAGGTGTCTTTGCCGTCAAGGCCACCGCTGGTGACACCCACTTGGGAGGAGAGGATTTCGACAACACCCTCTTGGAGCACTTCAAGGAGGAGTTCAAGCGCAAGCACAAGAAGGACATCTCTGGTGATGCCCGTGCCACCCGCCGTCTCCGTACCGCCTGCGAGCGTGCCAAGCGCACCTTGTCGTCGTTGGCCCAGACCACCATCGAGGTCGACTCCCTCTTCGAGGGTGTTGACTTCAACGCCAACATCACCCGTGCCCGTTTCGAGGAGATCAACTCGACTCACTTCAACAACACCATCGAGCCCGTTAAGAAGGTCCTCAAGGATGCCAAGTTCGCCAAGAAGGAGGTCGACGAGATCGTCCTCGTCGGTGGTTCCACCCGTATCCCCAAGATCCAGGCTCTCCTCCAGGAGTTCTTCGATGGAAAGGAGTTGAACAAGTCCATCAACCCCGATGAGGCCGTCGCCTACGGTGCTGCCGTCCAGGCCGCCGTCTTGACCAACCAGGCCGGTAACGCCGCCACCCAGGATCTTTTGCTCTTGGATGTCGTCCCCCTCTCCCTCGGAGTTGAGATGCAGGGTGGTGTCATGGCCGTCGTTGTTCCCCGTAACACTGCCATCCCCACCATCAAGAAGAAGACCTTCACCACCACCGAGGATGGTCAGACCACCGTCCAGTTCCCCGTTTACGAGGGTGAGCGTCCCATGACCCGCGACAACAACTTGCTCGGCAAGTTCGAGCTCTCTGGTATTGCCCCCATGCCCCGCGGTACCCCCGAGCTCGAGTGCACCTTCGAGTTGGATGCCAACGGTATCTTGAAGGTCACCGCCATGGACAAGGCCACCGGTCGCAAGGCCAACATTACCATCTCCAACGGAGCTGGTCGCTTGTCCGCTGCCGATATTGAGCGCATGGTCAACGAGGCCGAGAAGTTCAAGGATGAGGATCGCAAGAACGAGGAGATCGTCCAGTCCAAGCAGGAGCTCGAGTCCTATGTCTACCAGATCCAGGGCACCCTCAACGAGCCCAACGTCTCCATGAAGCTCAAGCGTAACGACAAGAAGGCCGTCGAGGAGGCTCTTGAGGAGGCCATGGCTGCTCTCCAGATCGAGGAGCTCGCCGAGAAGGATACCTTTGTCCTTGCCCAGCGCAAGCTCAAGCGCTCGGTCACCAAGGCTTTCGCCTCCCTCTCCCGTTAAAAGAAAGAAAACAACATAGGCTAGCCCCCTCTTTTGCTCTTCATAATTCCCTTTTTTTTCTTTCATCATTGTCCCCCCCCCCCTTTTTGTACCATTGCCATCATTATTCATGCACTCGAAAATAAACAAATCCGAGTTGTTCTCTTGGACACCCACAAAAAAATGTTTTACTCTTTGTTGTGTGAGTGTCATTCTTCTTGGATAGGTTAAGAAGTGGAGAAGAGGACAAGGATAGGTGAATCCCTTGTGCGATTGAGCCCTTATTGTGCTCGGTTGTCAGTTCTTGTCCCACATTCACACATTTCATGTCTCTCTCCTACTTTACCTCACCTTTCCCCCTGCATTGCACTGGTGAAAATGATTGGGCTTCACTGGAACGTATATGGTAGTTTTCCGAACTGCTCTTGTCTACGCGTAGATCAAGAAGGCTCGTGTCGCTCGGCTCACACGCGTGGGATAGCTATTTATTTATTTTTTTGGTCTTAGGCAGACGCGCATTAACTACAATGATGGTAGGAAGAGCATAGGGACAAATTAAACATAGTCGCAGCTCAGCGCCCCACCACACGTTTGAAAGGATGCAGAGTAGAAACCATAGGCGTAGGAAAAAATAAAAGTTGTGGGTGGGGAGGTCCCCCCCTTCCCCCCTCCAATCCTCACGCGACTAACGGTCAACACATGTATGCCGTGTCTCATTATGGGGATCTTGGTCTTACCTTTTGTCCTATTTGTTATTATTGGCAATTGATGATGCTGATGATATTTGTTTGTGCGTTGTGCGTTTGCTTTAAGGTGGGGTTTGATAAGCCCGCGCGCATATCGTTCAACAAGGTAAAAAAAAATACGGCGCACGTTTTTGAATATGCGTGAGTGAGTGTGTGTGTGTGTGTGAGTGTGTGTGTGCATGGCATACATGATACATGGGATGGGGGTGTCGGTAAAACGGGAAAAGTAAGAAGGGAAAGGGAAGAGCGATGATTGTGGTAAATATCCATCCAACTACGTATGACGTTTGGACAATGGTTAAGAACGGTAGTCTACAAAGCGAAAACAAGAAGACCTTAGGAACATTCCCGAGCCACGCGTTAGCGTCGTCCGTCAGGCCCAGTTGTCCGTCCGAGAGAGGGAGAGAGAAAGGGAGAGACAGAAAAAAAGATGCTTTGTTTCCTTTTGTTATTTCGCTTCGTCAACAACATAAATATTTACAACAAACATAAACAAAGAAGCAACCGAAACTACAAACAAGGAGAGCAAGAGAGAACCAAAAAAAAGGAAGCATCCCCATCAAGATGCTTGAAAAGAGGAGAGGGAGGCGAGGTATGACTCGAGTGAAACGAGATGATATGGAGCATAGACAATTCGTCGCGTTTCTTTTTGTTGATTTCGTTATTGTTCTTTTTCGAATATTCCGCCGATGGAGCCAGTCAATTCAACGGCTGCTCCTCTCTCTGGCCTTGCCACGCCACTTCCTTTTCTCTTTCTTTCTCTTTCTTCCCCCGCCTTTTTACGAGCATCTATGCACTTCCGCAGAAACCAACAACAATAGGTTTTGGACCTTGTTTGCCTCGCCTGCACAGTTGCAACTAGGCAGGAAAAAAGAAGGAGAACACTTTATTACGAAAGCTGAACATCCCTCATCTAACGCCAATGTATTTCCTCGGAAGTACAACCTTTCAGTCACTGGACTGGTTCCTTCTGTAGTAAGAGAGTGTAAGAGAGAGAAGGGACAAGGATATTTGGTTTCGTCATGGGCTGGCTGGCTAGTTGTCTATTGTGCAGGGGTTTCTCTCTGTGTGCGTGTAATGGGAAGAGATGGGAGCCCAGGGGTAAGAAGAGAGAGAACCCCAATGAACCTTGTTTTTTTTCTCTCCCTCGTTCACTTCCATATGTCTCTGTCTCTCTCTCTCTATGATATAAGGACGGTTGTACAGTACATTGTACCAATACACAAATAGAACCATGTGGCCGTGAAGCCCTTTTGTGTCCTCTTCCCATTTGCTATTGACTCTGTGTTTGTTTTTTGTGTTGACAGCCCTTTTCCTTCGTGCTTGCCATGTGGGAGATGTGATGGATGAGCGAACTCCCTTCCTTCCACCTTTTCCTTCTATTCTCCCGCGCAGCTCTCAACAAATAGTCAGGGAACAGGGATTAGTAAAAGGCGTTGGATACAACATTACAACGGAAAAATTTGGATCAGGCCCGGGACATGGACATGCTAATTACTTGTGTTTGAGGCGTGTTTGTAGAAGACAGCAAAAAGAGAGAGAGAGAAAAGAGGAAGAGAACTGGATGTTTCGAACGAACAATTGAGCAATGGTACGTAGGATATGGCTCAGGTCTTACAAACATAGCCCATCAGTGCTGCGAGATGGATAGTCAACCAGTTAGCCATCTATTTTGTTAGGAGTTGTAGTCATCGAGGTATTTTCTGTTGTTTGTTGTAAACGTTTCCCCCCCCCTCAAAAAAAAGATCGATCGAGTTCACAAGAGCAACACAACAAGTGATGGTATACAAAAACGTTTTCTCTTTGTGACGTGGTGGTGGTGGTGGTGGTGGTGGTGGGTATTTTGCGATGCAGATGCAATGTGATCGATTATAGGGTGAGAGAGAGAGAGAGAAAGACGGGATTGTGAGAAGAAAAAAGAGCGATGTAGATGGAGCCGCATTGATTGTAAGTCTGCACTGTGCGCAGAGTGAGTCGCTGTAGACTAGCAGTGTAATAGTTAAGCCGCACCCCACCCTTGTGCAAAGGGCAAATGGGAAGAGGAAGAAGAACCAAAGAAGGAACAAAAAGAAAACAAACCAGCAAACCCCCCCCCTCTCCCCAGGCAACAACAAGAGGATCACGTAAAAAGGAAGAGATCCAACAATTTAAACACGCGTTTCTGTTGGGAAATAAAAAGCAAAAAGCAAACTAGGAGTGCGGGGAAAGGGAGAGAAGAAGAGGGCATTCACAATGCATAGTGCTCTCTCTCTCTCTCTCTCTCTCTCTCTCTCTCTCTTTCTCTCTTTGTCTCCTCAGTCCTCACAAAGATATGGTGTTGATCAGGATGATCATGCGTGGGGATGAGTAAAAAAAAAAGAAAAAGAAAACAGGGGGGTGGACAAATAGCATTATCCAAACGAAGCTAAACCAAACCAGCCAGCCAGCCACCAACTCTGACTCGAGGCAATGGTACGATGGACAGGACAGTCAGACTGAGACTGATCTCCTTTCTGATGTGATGTGATGGGTGCCTTCTTTTATCCAATCCAACAACATCCATTCGAACCAAATGCAGTAGAAGGTCAAAAGGTAAACAAAAAAAAGAAGCATGGGGTTGACTCTGAAATGCCATGGGGTTTGTTGTCGAATGAGTGAATGAATTCCTTCGTCTTTTTTTTTTCTTTCTCTTTCTTGGACATGGGTGCACGGTGTACGCAAGGAGTGGTTAGCCCACACTCAAGAGAGGCGTGCCTTGAGGATGTAAGGGAAAGCGTCCCTGGTGACGGTGCCCCTGGGTATGCATGTACAGTATGTCGTGTGTGTGTGTGTGTCCTATACAGAGCATGTACCCAGTCTTGGTAGACTGAATTTTTTGCTTGGTGCTAGTTGTGCCCTCTCCTCCACTCTGGCCCCTGTGACAAAAAGTTTTGTTGTTGTCCCCCGTTTTGTTCTTTGATGACTCCTTCCTTTCACTTTTTACTCCTTCAGTGACCCCTTCTTTCTTTGTGGATGGATGTGTGTTCCCCCTGATGCGGCACCATTGGGGTGCAAGATGCGTACTGTACCCTTCCTGGAATAAGCAGCAAGCAGTAGCAGCTGCAAGGAATAGGAACTGTACACGTCCAATGAATACCATGGCATGGCATGGCATTGAGTTGTGTACACCAGTAGCAACAGGCCATCGACTCTCCCGCTCGACTGACTGACTGACTTGGCTCGGCCAGCCCTTCTTAATAAAGTACTCGACTGACCCCACAACAAAGTTTGTCTCCTTTTTGCTTGTATTGCTGAAATAATAGATTGTATTCAATCGAAAGTATTTTAGTTCCAGATCCGTGTTATTTATTTTCTTTGGCCGATTTGTCCCCCTTTAGCGCTCTCTTTTCACTTTTTCTCTTTTTCCTTTGTCTTCCCCAATTCTCGTTCTCCTTTTTTCCTTTTCTCCTTTTCTCCTTCCTCACATCCCTTCCTTCCTTCCATTTCATTCATACCATATCCACCTTCTCTCCCTTCTCTCTCCTCTTCTCTCCCTTCACTCTACTCTTCTCTCTCTTCTCTCTACTCTTCTCTCTCTACTCGTCCCTCTTCGCTCTCAACTCGTCCCTCTTCTCTCTCTCACACCCTTGTCGTCACCTCCCTCAACCTCACTAACCACTTCCACCTCCACAACACTCAACCCTGAACTTCCTTTTTCAAAGACAGACACATACACCCTCCACACTCACTCCTGCTTTCACATACACACTCACACATAAACAACATAAACAAGAAGGACAGAATGCATTCGTTTGCCGACTGTCCACTCCGAACATTCTGCTCTATCACCACCGCAGACTATGCTCCCTTCCCAATCCTCAACTTAGACTTGCCCGCCCTCGACCTCATCCTCTCCTACTTACAATCCTCAACTGCCCGCTCCTCAGCCTCGTCCCTCTTCCACTCCTCCAACGATAACAATGCATCCAATCCTTCTGTCTCCTCCGAAGAAGCCATCCTTGCGCAACGGAGGACAAGGGCCCTGCAGTTCCTCAGAGGGCGACCTGTTGAGGATCTGTTGATTGTCGATCATGAGTCCTGCCTCACGTCGATCACTGGTGCAGACGGTGCTGTCCAATCATATATCCTCGCCGACAATATTCTCCAACAACTCCACTCTTATACTTTCAACATCAGTCGCTCCGACAGCAGCGTGAGCGGGGGATTCATCCAAAAACCCCGGTACACCACGAGGCGTATCCATGGATGTGTTCACTCCTCCGCCATCTCCCACACTTCTTCTCCGAACCGCCTATCCTCACATTCTCCCTTATTCCACTCGAGGACGATAACATCATCATCACCACCTTCGAGTTCACCGGCTCGCTCACAGGAGCAGCAGTTACTGGATCAAGTCGTCCCATCCTGGGAGGAGACAGACGAGTGTTCTACTATAGATCGATCCTTCACCGAGTCCCAGCAGGCCTGTCGGGTCTATGTCCTCAAGGATGTCACAGAGATGCACAGTCTCGCCCTTGCTGCCAGAGCAGACGCCCTGAAGAAGGAGCGCGCCTCAGCCTCGCGTCGATCGGCTGTATCAATGTGGACATATTCCCCTCACACGACTTCATCAACAACACCAGATCTCTCTAGTGCAACAACAACAACCCAACAACAACAACAACCTCAGACAAAGACTGCTCCATTGGCGGCTGGGCAAGAGCCGAACGTGACCAGACAAAAACTCTATCGCCCCAAAGACAACCTTGATTGGTCAAATAGACATTCCGCACACTGTCATTGGGCGTCATCGTCGCCTCCGTCCGCTTACTCCTCCACATCTGTTCCACCCTGCTCCTGCTCCAACACGTCGGCTATATCTTCTCCCCCGATTGAACAACAGCAATCAACAGACCCTGGTCTTCTCCTCCTCCACGTCACTCGCTTCGGCACTGTTGACCATGCCATCACCATTCCTCAACAAAAGCAACAACAATCGATCCAACCCCACCTTCTTGTTGACTCGCAGGATGGTCGTATGGTCACGGCTATGACCAATACTTCCGTTATGTCCTATGTTCATCCAGACGACACCCGCGCTCTCTGCCAGGGACTCGACCGCGCCTGTAAGACCCTGTACGCCGTCTTTCGCGTCCGCTGGCGTCTTGAGGTTCAGGAGCACCTCCTAGAGTCTGATCACCAACATTTCCCCGTGATCGCGGCCAAGACCAAGATGGGGTCTGTCCGCCGCATTGAGTTTCAGGGAGAGTCCTTTGAAGAGTATGTCGATCCGACCGCTGTTCCTGAAGCCTCGTTCACGTCCAGGGTCTCGAACGATGGTCACGCCTTGGCCAAGTATGTCTGGGCTGAGGTCACAGGAGTTCTCTCCAACAGTCAAGCCTTGCTTGTTGTCCGCCCATTGACCTCTGCCGAACTCTTTGATCAGGCCAAGGAGGCCTCTCTCGCGAATGCCGCCGCCGCAGCCGCAGCAGCCGCAGCATCCAGCAGCCTGATCACGTCCTCTCGTCGCAGCAACGCCCGAGGCCAGCTCATCCAGGAGAAGGGGTGGAAGACAAAGTCCAAGAGGATGGATCTTGAGGAAGGCATGAGGATGCCTAAGCAGCTCAACCTGTCGGCCTTCACGTGTCTCTCTCGCCAAGATGAGATGGGTCTGAGGATGCCCGGTTCCCTCCCCTTGTCGACCTCGACCTCTTCTCAGCAGCTGATGACGGCGACTCGATGCCGCCACCTAAGTGGCCATGCCAACCCGATGCCGTCCTCCCTCACCTTCTCCTCGAATGCGGCGTTGCCCTGGTCGGGCATGTTTGTGACGATTGCGTTGAACGCCTGGAGGCAGTGGATCCAGACCGTGCATGCGGGTCAGGCACAGTTCCAGGATTGGTGCGAGTACTTGTTGGAGACGACGATTGACCAGGTGATTGAGAGTTTGTCGTTGGGATTGACACTCCTGGGCATTGAAGAGGCTCCCCGATCGAACGGTGATACCAACACTGCTGTTACCGACGGATCGTATCATCAGCTTCAGGTTGAAGATGGAAGGCAGAAGGAGGATTCTGCGGTGCAATGCGTCCACCAGAAGGCCTTGGAGCCCGCTCACCCTGACACTACCACTACTACATATACTACCACGACCACCACTACCACTACCACAACGACCTCCACATTTTTCCAACAACAGCAACAACAAAAGGCCGCACGACACCAACAGACACTCTCGGGCCTCAACCGTGCAGGCAAGATCCTGCAGAGCAAGTACCCGTCGATCGAGGGCGTTGTCCGCAACATTGGCAACAGCTGGTTAGGCCAAAAGATCAAGACCCGCTTAGAGCAGAGGCTGGATGTTGTTGCGGATCAAGTCGTTGACTGGTGGGAGGCGGGTGCTGAGGTTCCCTTGCCTCTTCCTTGTACTCTTGCCTCGTGGTCTTCTCTTAACAGGTCTGCTTCTTCGTCGTTTTCATCGTCCAGTGGTGGCGCGACTGTGTCCGAGTTGGACGAGTCGGATGCGCTGTTCATGGCGGAGGAGGCTCCTGTTGTTGGTGTCCCTTGTGACAGCCACACCACCCCAATCCTTGTAGAATAGATTTCATTTTTTATCGTCTTGTAACATTATCCCTGTACCAACAACAATACATTGCTTTTTTTTTTTTTTTTACCGTTCTCTCTTTCTTTGTGGTTATTTTATTTTTTTAATTACGAAAAATAATAATACAAATCCAACGATACTTTACAAATTGTCATGTTTTATGCTTTGCCGAATGGTGGGGGTTCATGGTTCAGTTGTGGATTCATAACCGAGACGTTCTTCCTCCTCCTCCTTCCCCTTCTCTTTCTCCTCCTCCTCCTCCTTGTCCTCCTGTTGTCATTGTCGTTGTAGGGATCTTGTTGGACGACGCCGACGCTGAAGAAGAAGTACGTTTCTGCTCCAAACTGATCTTGGCCTCCTTCTCACTAGTCCGACGTTCAATCTCGGCAACACTTCTCCTAGCCTCTTCGACCTGCTCAGGGTCGGGCCCAATCTTGTTCAGGTCCACGTCGTTCTCAAACCAGGGGAATATCGAGTTCCGAGATATAGGCTCGTCAAACGGGCCCTTCCTGTCGTCATCATCTATCGTCACCACTGCTTGGCCTTGACCTGGGGCGCCTGAGGACGACGACGACGACGAGGAGGAAGATGGTGAATAGTAGGAACTTGCGGGAGGAGGAGGAGATAAGGGTCCTACTGGTTCTACTGGTGAGGTCTTGGACCATTGTGGTTGAGGTGGTTGAATGAAGGGATTGGTACTAACTGTAGGGGGCTGTTGCTGTTGCTGCTGAGGAGGGCGGGAAATTTTCCTGTCCAGTGGAAGAGAAGGAAGAGGAGGAGGAGGAGGAGAGAGAGGTCGACTTGTTGCCGCTGTACTCGTCTTACGGGAGAACGACACGAAGGGGCTGTTGTTGCTATTATTATTGTTGTTCTTTCCGCCGCTTCCACCTTTGCTTTGGTCGTTTGTGTACGTTTGGAATGGATTAGGGGTCTTGGTCGTCGTTTGGCGTTGGTGTTGGATGGGACGATTCGAATCCACACCATTAGTCCCTTGTATTGGTCCTTGCCCTGCTCCAAGACGAGCCTCTGAAAGCGAAAAAAAGGAAGCCGGTTCTCCTGCCAATGGGTGCTGCCTGGATTCGCCAAGAGGTCCTACAAGTGGGACGTCGGCAAGTAAGAAGGTGAGAGGAGGAGGAGAAGGAGGAGGAGGAGTAGGGGGGGAGGGTTGTGTCGCTGCAGCGGCAGATGTGGTCGCTCGGGGATTTATGCTGCTTGGACTGTTACTGCTATTGCTGGAAGTTATGGTCCTGGTCTTGGTATTGTTGCTGGTACGAATAGCAGAGGAGTGGGAAAAAGTGGAAAGTGTTACAGATTCTGCAGGGGGAGACAAAGATCGCCTAATGGCGGTGGTGTCCTCTTGTGTTGGTGTGGCCATATGCTGCTGTTTCGTGCCACCAGTGTTGCTATTTTTGCTGGAGGTGGAAAAGGGGGTGGATTCTGGACAGGAACAGGACCTTGCATGGTTGAAATCGATATTGTCGTTGAATTTGGGGAGTCTGTTGGGGTCCCGCACTTCTCCAAACGGCCCCACTTCCACTTCCAGGTCCGGATCCACGACCATGGCGGTTGTTATTCGTGGAACATTGTTGCTGCAGCTCTTCGCCTTGAAGGATGATGGTGGTGGAGACATTCGAGATGACGGCTGGTGTTTCATTGCCGCTACTGTTGCTTGTGATGGAGGTGACTGAGGGCTGGAGGGAACGACTTCTCCACCGGTCTGTGCTATTGTTGTAACAGCTCCTTCACGGTTCAAATCAACGTCCATCGCAAAGGCAGGTAGATCCTCCGAGTTCCTGGTCTTGTTCATTGGCCCCACGTAATTCTCACATCCACCTCCACTACCATCACCGGCGCAATAGTATCTGTTGCCATGGCTCGCGTTCATCGTTGCTCGACTAGAAGGCGGGGTCTGCATTCCTGTCTTGCTTGCCACTACTTCTCCACTCGCACCTCCACCTCCACCACCATCATATTTCTGTTGCTGTTGCTGCGGTTGTTGAGAAGTGGCGGAAAAGGAAGTCCTCTCGTCCTTGATCGCGCCATCATCGTCCACAAAAAACGGATATTGGACCATGTGGATATCGACGGATGGACTGCCGACTTTGGTCACATCACTGGAATGACTTTGGCGAGTGTGGTCCAGATCCAAGTATCGCGCAAATGCATCGGACGTGGCTGCCGTAATGTGATAATCGTAGTCCAGTTCGTAATCGTTGTCCCCCACAGTTGGCCAGGGCATCCTGAGACCTTCACCTCCTCTACTAGGCTGCAGGGCCAACATAGCGCTCGGGGAAAAACTGGCGTCGAAAGGGTTTGTCGAAAGGGGATGGTGCTGGTACTGGTAGTGGTGCTGTTGTTGCCACTGCCACGGTTGTTGCTGTTGCTGCTGCTGCTGTTGCTGAGGAGATCTTTGAGGAGTAGCTCGTTGCTGTGGAGTAGTGCCACCATTTCCGGACCTGGTCCGTGGGGATTCGAACCGAACAGTTGGTTGGTGTTCCAAGGCGCCTGTCTGGACAGTGTTGTCTTCGGAATAATGATGATACTGGTCCTGTATAGGTGTCGATGGTCTTCCTTGCCCTTGTCCACCGTCATGTCCGTGCATATGACCCCCGTCAGGCTGATGTTTATGGTCGTGCTTCTGTTGAATTGCAGCAAGAGTGCCACGTCGTTTCGCCAGCGCGTCGTAGTACCCCTTCGTGCTGTAGATGTACCCTTGCTGCTGTTGTTGATCCCCCGGGTGACTTCCTCCTGTAGTCGTCGTCGCGACTGCAGTAGCAGTAGCAGCAGCACCCGGATCCTCGGGCGTAGCAACCTTACTGGCCTGAATACCTTCGGGGATGTAACTCATCCGGCGGCCAATAACGCGTTGGTGGGGGTTCCCAAACTTGTCGACAAACATGATCGTCGCTGGCGCTGTTGTCATTGTCATCACCCCATCTGCGTTTCCTGATGGTGTTGACGCCATAGCACCGGTTCCAGCTGCAATCGCGGAGCCGGCAGTAGTGGCATTGTTGGTAAGGTCGGCGGGCGGTCCGCCGTGGGTTGCATAGTACTCGGCCTCCAACATTTGCTTGCGCTCCTTGGCGGGCACCAAGAGGATTCGACCGGAGGAGCTTCGTCGTATAGGCTTCGGTCCTGCTTGCTGCTGCTGCTGTTGTGGTAATGGCTGTTGTGGCTGCTGGTCCATACCGTCTAATGGGCGATGAGAAACCCGTTGACCCTCCAATGGACTAACACTGGCACCCCTGCCACTAAATCCACCACCACCCCCACCTCCGCTGTTCCAGAACCGAACGCGTTGCAATCCCTTGGGTCGGTCATTCTTTACTTCCCCTCCTGGTATGGAACTCCCTTGTCCAGCACCATCAGCAAAATCCTGCCCCTGATTGACCTTGAACGACTGCCGTTTCTGCGCCCACTTCAGCCCCTCCAATCCCAAAGTCCCATTCCACCCCAAGAACTGGTTATTAGGATCCTCGCACTGTTCCCAACCATACATCACGTCATCCTCCTCGTCTCCCTCGCCATCATCGACGAGATGGATATGTGAGGCCATGGTGGCAGAGAAGAGGGAGAGGATGTAGGCGAATACTGTGAGGCCGAGGAAGACGTAGATGTTCCAGAACTCGATCGATCCTGGTTCTGCAGGTACCATGTCTCCGAATCCCACTGTCGTCAATGTCACAAACTAGTTTTTGATAATTTTTTTTTTTTTTTTTTGTTGGACAGTTAGAACGCGTGAAACAGAAATTGGGGGGTATGTGAGCTCAAAAAACAATAAAAAAAGAGGGTCGCTGAACTTACGCAAAAGTAAAGAGAGTCGAGGTAAGACCACTCCTCAAACAAACAAAAGACCCCCGCGCCTCCGAACCAAAGTATAATCCAAATAATCGACATCCGAATAATCATATTCCGCTTCACCATCTTCTTGACCCGCTGCTCTTCCTCAAACCGAGCCAGCGGGAACGACATATCCTTGGTCGACATTCGAGTCTGGACACGGGAAATGTGGGCGGGTTTCGAGAACCGTTCGAGGAGTCGCCATTGGAACTGTTCGAGAACGGCGTTGCGGAGAGAGACGATAAAGTATCCGACGGCGCTGATCCCGATGATGGCGTAGAAGAAGAATATCACGCGTCCTGCTATCGTCTGTGGACTCACATTCCCGTATCCTAAAACAATTGATGAAGCGGTTAGTTAGCATGCTGTCTTTTTTCATTGTACCTTAATGCTCTGCACTTTAACGAGAATCAAAATCAAATACATACCGATGGTAGAAAAGGAGACGATACAGAAATTAACGGCATTGTCAAAGGACCACCCTTCGAGTTTGGTATAAGTCGCAGCTCCAATAATAATAACCGTCGTCATCAGAAACGATGAAATAATCAACTCCTTCAACGCGATCGTGAGACCGGGGCTAGGGAACCCTCGAACCCAATCGATGGTCAAGAGGATGGTGACCAGACAGGAGAGGATGATTGTCAGGATGCAGGAAAGGAACCCGTGGGAGTATTGGGCTCCTGGAAGTAGCTTGTTGTGAATGTGGTAATGCAATATTGCTGCTAGCGATAATCCGGCTTTTTTTTTTTTTTTTTTGTTGTTTGCGCGAAAATGAAGCGAGGTCGAACGGAAAAGGAGAGAGAGAAGAGGGGAAACGGACAGACATCAAGGCAAGGGTGACATAAAGTCGAGTTACTGTGCGTTAGTTTTCTTTTAGCTCTCTTCTCGCACTGTTGCTTTGTGATGCCTGTCCTCATTCCTTACGCTTGCGCGTGCATTCGAAAAAGATAACCTACTCTGTATGTAAGATGTAACCACAGGAGCCTTACGGATCCAAGTCAACCGATCCATAATCCGGAGCGAGAACCCAATGCAACTCAAGAACGCGCAAGTAATCGCCAATGCAAGGAAAATAGTCACGAATTTGTCAATATGGCCCAGGTGGTCGCCATCGTCCTTCCCTATCTTGTCGTTACTAGACTTCAGCACCATCCACGTCGGGTCAGCAACAGCACGAACGACTGTCAAGATATTGTACGATTGAATCGTTGCAATCGCGATGTGGGGTCCGACCTGACAGAGCCTCGGACGCGGTTGATTGGCATCGACTGGTGGACCAAGCGTCGAGTCTGGCGAGATGGTTGAATTGCTGCTTGATTCTGGTGGGTTCAAATCTCTTCCTCTTCCACCTCGTAATGTCGTATTATCCGATCCCTGATGCGCGACCTTCTTGTTGTTGTTGCTCTTAGGAGAACGAGGATCTCGTCGTGCGCTGACACTGGAGGAGAGTCGGATATCGTTCTTTTCGTCCTCATAGGCCTCGGACCCAAAGTCGGCACTGTCGACGAGGCGATGCCCTTCAAGAAGGATAGGGCGGATGAGTGGTCTGGATGAGCCACTGGTGATGTTGCTTGCTGCAGGAGACTGCTCCCCGTTGTTTAGTGATAGGCTAGTCAATGGGAAGGAAGGTGGGCGTCGAAGTGGCGGTGTGGGCATTCTCTCCCTTCACCCTTGAGAATGCAATGGTGAACAATTGGATGCGACAAGAATTGCGGGAGGGGGTGACAGGGGGGTGTATGTATGGTAGTGGGTCTGAAACATACAAAGAGAAAAAAAGAGTTTGGCGGTTGGACAGACACGAATTGAGGGAAGGAAAAAGAAGGCTGGGATGGGTTGCGCACAGACACACTACTTGCAGAAAAAAGAAAGAGCTTTTATGAAAGGAAGGCGAGGCAAAGCAAGAGTGGGTAGAGACGAAAGAAAAGATCCGAATCAGAAATGAAAAAAAAAAAAGAGATGTCGATGCAAAGACTGATCAACAGAAACAAAAAAAAAAAAAAGAGAGGACGAATTGACGAGGAAATAGGTAAGAGAGGGTGCAAAGGGTGCATGAATGAATGCAAGTGTGTGATAAGAAAAAAGGGCTGGCTACTTGTAGTTGTTGTTGGTTGTCAAAACCGAGCTAATGCAGCAAGCGATAGACGCAGGGGCGTGAAGAAGAATACGAGGAACAACACGAGGATGGAGTATGGTGTTTTAGAAAGTAAGATGAGTGCAATTGCAAAAAGAGAGAGAGAGAGAGTTTGAATGAGGTGAATGAGTGAGTAAACGGAATGAGTCGAGAGTGAATGTCAAAAAAGAGAAGGAAGAGACGCACAGTATTTAAAAACAAGGAGAGGGAGAGAAAGGGAGAGAGAGAGAGAGAATGGAGGTGGACGACAGAAAGAGAAAGAGAAAGAGAACGCAAAGTGTGATGATAATTGTCAAACAGACAGACAGACAGACAGACGAGAGGGAAGGAAGAGAGCATGAGCATGCGGAGCATCGTTAATGCGTGTGCTAGGAGCTCTTGTTCCTTAGGTCACTAAGAAGGCAGCTGTGCTGTGCCAGGACAAAGGAATAATGGGAAAGGGGACATGACAAGGGGATGGCTTATGTGAGAGCTATTGAAAGCATGCTAAGGCGAAAGAACTACTAAGCGCATGTTGCCCGAGGCGGATGACGCCGTCACCTCGGATCACGAATGACACAAAGGAGACAAGGTGCCCAAACGGACACAAGGGACCACCTCTTTCTTTCCGCGCTCTAAAACCGCGAAATAGCTGTTCCTTCACTCGCACACCTTTGATGAGGTACATCCACCATGGAAACCTACTGTAGGTTCCACCGACTTCCGATCTGGAGCTTGATCGTCCTTTACTTTAAAGTTTAACCTTCTTCTTCTTGACGGATGGACACATGCCAAACCATCGTTTCCCTTCTATTTCCACAGTATTTCGTTCTCCAGTCCCTCCGGCCTCCTTTTTTCTTTCCATTCGTGATTTTTAATAAATGCAGTCTTCTTTTCGTCGCGACTTGGTCTCGGTTCCCCAAAAAAAAAAAAAAAAAAAAAAGTGGTTGATCGACCTACGCGCCTTTAAATGTTATTCCATCTTTGCTCTCATCACCGGTTTGTTTCTACCGTCTCATCCTCATCCTTCTGCGCTACGATGCTCGCTACTGGAACTAAAGGCGACTTGAGTAAAGAATTCGCCTCGTCGATAGTAACATCTGCCTCCACATCCGCCATCATCGCCTCGGTCACCAAATCCCCATTTTTCGTTGTCCTTGTCGCTTCAACATCATCGCCACCCCCACCCTCAACCTCCTCTGCCGTCGCCGCCGTAGTAATCTGCGTCTCGTCCTGCTCCTGTCCCTGCTCATGCTCCAGCTCATGCTCCAGCTCATGCTCATGCTCCACCGTATGATGGATATCATCCTCCGAACGATGAACAGCACCAGTTGCTACCGACGAAGAAGAAGACTCCATAAAGGCATTCGAAAGCGACGAGGTTGACTTCATAGAAACCAAAGTTTTGGATGTTGTCGTTAACGAGATAACTCCACCCGCAATCCTACGACGCTGACGATTCGCTCGCGTACGACTATCCAACGATCCATGCTCTCCTCCTAGACCTCCAGCTCCCTCGTGGTCGGATCGAGGGCTCTTGCTCCTTTCCTCCTCCGCGTGACTGTTGGCAGAGTTGGACTCTCCAGTCTCCTCCTGACGCTGTTGCTGATGATGAGAGGAAAGCTCATCATCCTCGTTGGCGTGAAAATCGGCTGCGGCGACGGTTGGTTCCTTTGAACTGGCGGGAAAAGTCAGCGATGCAGCCTCATCATGGGTGCCTTCGAAGAGGTTGTCCCCCAATTGAAACACCACCTTGGGTTCGGAATCGGCTACTGCTGCACGAGAACTCCTCGTCGTCGCCGCCGCCGTCATCGTCGCTGCTGTCGTCGACAGTGAGGGTAAACTTGACGTCGATACTCCGAAAGAGGGCAGCGAGCTATTGGAAATTGTCTAGGCGATTAATTGGTTCAGATGGTTCCAGGAGGTGGGTTCGTATGATATGTTACTCGTCCAGTCGTCTCTGATATTAAAGAGATTCTTATGTCGCGCACACAGCAAAAGAGAAAATAGCGAAATAACCAATTGCAAAAATATAAATGTTTTACCTTGTCAAGTTCCTGGATGCTCACGGATGCAACTTCGTCTGAACTGCCACTTTTACTTCCTACGCTGGCTGCACTCTTGGAAGATGGGGAGACAACATCAGCATCGCCGTCCTGAGGACTGTCTTTGTTCTCAGCATCTGTGGGGGAAGGATGTGATCCGCTCAAGAATCCGGCCAGAGACATCTTTGCCTTGGCAGCAATCGCAGCCATAGTCTCATCCGACGCCTCTAGAGGTGAAAGAGGACCAACAACATGTTTGGGAGGGCTTAGTGCTGTAGGAGTCTTGTCGCCCGGGAAACCAGAACCTGCTCCTACTCCTGCTGCTTCGGCGGCGAGGTCATGGTTGACATGCCCTGACCGGTCGACTAGGATCTTGCGTTTCCGTGCCTTCCCGATCACATGCGGTGGCGAATGCGAATCTCCAGATCCAGCAGGCTTGGCCATCATAAAGGGCGCAAAGGGGTTGAAGGAAGAAGACAAGGCGGAAGGCGAGGTAGCTGCCGATCCTGGTCCAGAAGCTGAAGAAGGAGGAGACAAAGCGGACTCGGCACTGACTGGTGACTCGCCAGCGGTAATGAGAATGGTTTTGGTGGTGTCCTGATCATCCTTGCTGTTGCTGTCTGCACTTGGTTCAGACTTGGGTGAGAGGGAGTCGTCCGCGATGTCGTCTGAGACCGGTACTGGACCAAGGCTGGCAAATTGCTTCCTTAGAGCGTCCAGGGTAGACATTGCTGAAGGAGCAGGCTCACTAAGAGTCGACGTGGCGACAGGAGCCGCTGGGCTATCACCAAAACCCCACTCGTCCTCCTCATTGCCTTGCTGGAATGGCTCAAACTTCTTTTCAGAGCTGTGGGGCTTGTCGCCGTCGTCGTCTTCTTTGCCCCATGGATCGTTGTCAAAGTCATTCTGAGGTGACTTGACAGACTCGGGTTTGCTCTCAACATCCTGCGTGAACGCCTTGGATTCATGGACGAGGCCCTTGACCTTGGTCATCAGACTATCGAGCTCGTCATCATCGTCGCCGCTCCACAGTGCCTTTCCTTTGTTCTTGAAACTGCTGCTTGTTGGGGTGCCAAGATCACCGCCGGTTTCATCATCATCATCCGAGGCATCCTCAGGCTGAATGCCCAAAAACTCGAAAACGTCTCGGGTCCGTTGTGGAGATTTGGTAAATGATGATCCGCTGGCTCCCCTTGCCATTCCGGGTCGACTGCTTCCACTGGGGCTGGGGCTGTTGTTGTTGTTGTTGTTGTTGTTGTTGTTATCGTCGTCCGAGTCGCCAAAGAGCCCTCTGCTGTCATTGGCGTCATCATTTAAAAGCTCATTCATGATGTCGTTCACTTCCGATTCTGAGACTGGGGTCCGGGTCCACGCAGGCCTGGTTGAGCTCTGAGTTGGCGTCAAAGGTGCCGAGGATGGTTCAAAGTCGTGCTCAGGTTGAATGACTTGCTCAAACGATTCGTCCTGGTCGACATCGCCCGCCAACGATGCCGAGTCGTCGCTCTCGTCCAGATCCATGGAGGTCTCATGAACAGGGAGTTCCTCGCCGTTGAAAAGTGGTTCGATCTCCAAACTCTCGTCAATGAGCTGCTGTTTGTTGAGGAAGGGGCGTGACAATAACCAATGATGGAGAGTGACATCGCCAGCGCCAAGAGAGATCAAATCCCAGACAGGGCTCAGGGGTGTCTTCAGGCCATCGACCTGCACGGGCTCACGGTGTTTGGTGTGCGAGACGGTTCCTGACCGAGAGTCTGTCTCCTGACGGTCAAAGTTTCCGGGGTCGTTGGATTTGCACTGCAGAAGCAAAGCCGTGACGGCTGACAGCTTCCTGGCTCCTGGCGCAGACAGCACAATGTCGGTTGATCCACCAGATGACTCCTGTCCTGTAAGGTACGACTGGATGATCGACTTGACTTCATCCTGGTGGTACCGCATCCAGGGGATAGCGACCATGGCATCCCGACCAACATCCTGAAACGCATCCAGTTTTTGGATCAGAGCACCCTTGTAGCCTCCTTCCGCAGCCTGATCCTGGTAAATGGCTACCAGTCGACGGTAGGTATCCTTGGTCTTAGAGGGAACACCCGACCACAGCTTGTGCATCCGTTTGATCTCGGGACTCGTCAGCGCCCTCATGAGCGCCCTGAAGCCATTAAAGTTCCTGTAGACGTGAAGGAGGATGTAGGCAATCCTGATCGTGTGAGCAACAGCATTGACGGGTACATGACTGTGGTTCTTGGATGCGGCTTGACTTGATGCTGGCGAGGCTTGGCGAACAGTGATCCATTCGAGGAGCAAGAGATGGGAAAAACTGTGGGCGATATAGTTTTCAAAGTCAATGCAGGTTTGAGCACGCGAGTTGTGGTGGTGACGATCAGCACGAACGAGGTCTCGAGGGATGGCGACGTCCTTGAAGAGCTGGGTGTCGATGATGGTCAATTGTTTGGCGATGGTGTCGGGGTCCCAAGAAGTAATGTTCGAGGAAGCGACAGACTGGATTTGGATGCTGACGGTATCGAGCTTGGCACGCTGGATACGAACATCCTCGATCAAACGTCGCAGGTGCGCGAGGTCTCTGTTGCCAGAAAGAGATGGGCTCCCAGCTCCTGACTGTTGATGTTGTTGCTGTTGTTGAGGATTTGACCCCTGTTTCGCCTGCTCCAATTTCTGGGTGACCTGTGAGAGCGCATAGGAATGCAAGAGCGATTGCTTGGTCAGGGGTGAGATGGGTATCATTGGTATATTCTTCCTGGTCCGCTTGTAGTTCTGTGTCGTGTTCGTGGCGGTCGTTGCGACGGAGCGTTGGGAGGGCCGAGAGGGTCCCAGTCCTGGCCGGATAGGCGGCGAGATCGATGATGGTTTGGACGACTTTGCGCTGCTGGTCGAGGTTGGGACTGCAGGTGAAGAGGATGACAGTGATTCATGGCTCTTGGAGAGATCGACAATGTCCTTGAGTCTGCGAAGGATCTCTTGTGCGTGGGCGAGTAGCTGGGTATAATTGCCAGGTGCAGACTCAAGCGAGTCTTTTTTCAAACACATGAGAGGAAGAGGAGAGTGAGTGCTCAAATCATTTTGTTTTTTGCTCATTCATATTCAGGTGTCGTTGTCACCCTTCAAGAAGGCCAAACAAGGGATGGATGAAAAATACCTTTGTCTTTGAAGACGACCTTTGAACTGAGGATGTGAATAATGACACCATGTGCCTCCAGATATGTCGCATAGGCAGCCTTATTATCACAATCAAACGTGAATTTAAGAGAAAATCAGTAACGTAACTCTTTCTACTTTGGATTCTTGGCATTGAACGCATAGCATGCTATCGCGGTGAAGAGACGAAAGACAGAAAAGAAGAAAATGATACCTTGAGATCGCCTCGACCCTGTTCGGCCTTGGCTGCAGTCAGCAGGGTGGCATACTTGGAGAGGTCTCGCTCCCTATCCAAGGTCATGATGGCTGAGATAATGTCGCTCCTTATTCCTCGTTCTTGTTTATGCACCCGTGTCGTGTTCTCTGTCTTGTTCAGCTGTAAGTGTGAAGGAAGCTGCTAACGTGTGTTTCGTGTGTCAAGGAGTATAAAAGTAAAAAAGAAGAGTGGCTCCGAGTGTTTGACGCGGGAGAGTGTGTGCTGCAAGAAAGGACAGATGTGGTAAATGGACAAGAGGAGAGTAAAGAGAGAAAAAGAGAATGACCCATGGAGAGGGATCTTCTTGTCTGAAGGCGAACCTTGAAGTGGAGTGGCTTTTTTTAGAGCTGTGACGCGATTCTCGAATGGGGGGTCTAACAAGCACACCTATCCCATTGACATCGACGATATGCCATTGCTATGGAGTTGCAGCTTTACTCCTGTTGCCATGACAACACAGCGTCCTCGCTGAAATCATCCTTCAAACAACCACATATACAAGGGGAACAATAGTTGGGTAATGGTACAAAATATAATGAGCTCTATTGTGGTAATAATTATGCGTTGTGGATAGAAAACGAGAACAAGTCTACATTCCCCCGAGGGAGACAGCAATGACAACAACAGACAGAACAGCACCCCAACTAGCCGACGCCATCAATTGCTCCAAACGACTTCCAGAAGCCCCGCTAGGTGTTTCTCTACCATTGGCAGTAGTATTGCAGACCTCATTCATGGCCTTGACCTCCTGGTTGGTGACATTGTACAATGTAGGGACAAGGAAATTGAGCTGGCCGGACGAACGGAGACAGGTACTGCAGTGCTGAAGAGCTTCGATCATGTTGTCCGGGCAGATGCACTGGTAGAAGGGCAGCACCTGGGTGATCATGGTCAGGTTGGCGGTCTTGGGGATCCTCTGGACACAGGCGCTGATGATGTTGTAGTCGGGCTTGCAAGCTTGACAGTCGGTTGAGGTCGTGAAGACAGGCGTTGGGGTTGGGGTGGAGACAACTGGTACGGTGCTGGTAGCTGTGGGGATACCGGCAGAAATAGAGTCGCTTGGAGATGGGATGTCGGTAGGTGTAAACGATGGAGAGGCGGAGGGTTCGGGGGTGGGGTCAGGTGTGGGTTCAGCTGAGGGTGAGGGTTCGTCTTGTGCGGCGACGGAGAGGATGAAGAGAGAGAGGATGACGAGGAGGATGACTGTGAGTCTCAGCCTCTTGATGAAGGCGGCCATTGTCGAATGCGGATTAGTGTTAAGGCGAAAGAGTGAGTGGGCGAGTGTGGATGTCGCTGTGGATGCAGATGTGTTTGGTGAATGGTGTAAGTAAAAATGGAGACTGAAAAACAAAGGAAGAAGAGGAAGGATGGACACTTTTTGTTGTTGTTTGTAGCCACTCCAAGGGACTATTTTTAGGAAGTGAGGAAACCTGCGGGTGCTTATTTTGCTCTCACACCCCCTCAGGGGTATCAGGTTGTCATAACATCGGACCTTGCATCTAATATACTGTGGATGTTGGATAATCCCAGCACGCACGGGGAACTGTCAGGGTATTGAAGCATGCATTAGTACGATGTCTTCTCTTCGCCATTATCGATAGGGTTCAGGGCTGGTGCACGTTCTTCTGGACAATGTAGGGTCGAGATAGATCAGTCCTAGTAATAACCCTTAGCAGATACCATAGATCTCATGCCTGCTATCATAGACCTGGCCCTGGCTTGCAGTCGCTGTTTGTTTGCAACCATCACCTGCCTGGCTACCATTGGTCCCGGCAATAATTATCTCTGCTTCAGCAAGATGCATGCATGCGAGAACGGCCTCCAAGGCCATTGCAGGTGGCGTAGTTGTAAAGATTTCAGTCGCATGTGTTGCGTGCGCACCATTGTTCCCTTCCTTTCTCCTTTCCATCAATGTCCAAGCGGAAGTGGAGTCACAAAAAAATTGAGTATTTAAGTGGTGCACCGGCGCTGAATTCAAAGAAAGTGGGAAGATCATCTCTTTCTTCTTCTTTTCCTCATTCCTCCTCCCCCTACACACCACACACACCTTCCACACAAAACACACTCCTGCCACACCCTCCCTTACACACTTACACTATCTCTTACACACTCTCCTAATCACCCTTCCCCCAACCCGATTGTTTGCTCTCTGCCATCAGATCGCAACGATTCTTTTTGAATATTTTACGGGGCACTTGTCTCGCCAGTCAAGAACCTATTTACCTTTCCAGAGGGACCACGTCAGTCAAGAGGACAAGATAAACAAAAGCGACACACCCACACACATCGCAGCAGCACCCGCACCCACAGGAAGACAAGGATAATTATACATGTCTCGACACGACAGTGACCGTGACGAGGACGAGGAATACGAGAACCTGGGCAAGGCGCGCGATAACAGGGACGACGATTCTGATCTGGAAGATTCGCGCAGAGGACGCAGCAGCTCCAGCAAGCATTCAAACAACCACCGCAACAGTAAACGACAAGACGACGACGATGATGACGAGGACGAGGACGACGAGGACGACGAGGATGACGAAGATGACGAGGACGAGCACGACACTGTCGCTTCTGTAAGTCCAGTTTTTAGCCTTTTGTTCAGTGTTATTGTTTCGATCTCCTGCATCTTGCAGGTTTTACTCAGACATCCGAGCCGATTTGACTCTAATCATCTTTTTATCCCTTCACATTGTTTTTACCAACAACGTCACAGAGGCGCCACAAGAAACAAAAGCGCACCGTAAATCCTTTCCTCGATATGGAAGCCGAGGTCGACGATGAAGAGGAGGACGAAGACGAATATGATGACGAGTATGGCGGAGGAGATGGTTTCATTGCAGATGAGCAAGATGAGGCCGCAGAAGCAACCAGGGCATCAAAACACTTGGATCTGGACCGTAGAAGACGGGAAGAAGACGACGTCGATCTGGAAGAACAGGCCGCCCGGTTCAAGGAACGTTATGGTCGTCGCGACTATGCTCCTCGTCGCGCATTTCAGGGACAGCAGGAGGATATTCCACAGCAACTTCTCATGCCCGATGTCCAATCGCCACATCTCTGGATGGTCCGCTGCAAGCCTGGCAAGGAAAAGGACTTGGTCTTTTCGCTCATGCGCAAGTTCTTTGACACCGAATACTCTGCCCAACCTCTCGAAATCTCGGCTGCGTTTTCGCGTGAATCGCTCAAAGGATACGTGTACATCGAGTGTATGCGTCAAGCCAATGTCCAGGCCGTAAGTTCACTTTACTCATGCACAGCCTCGTTGTCGACGTGTCATCTTTACTTTTTCACAGTTGCACCTAACATAATACCATCGACATTGCTCGCTCCGTAAAATAGGCTTTGAACGGTCTTAACAACGTCTTCGCCTCCAAGCTCACTTTGGTTCCCATCAAGGAAATGACAGATGTGCTCAAGGTCAGGCACAAGGAATCGGACCTTCGCCCTGGAACCTGGGTTCGTGTCAAGCGTGGTAAATACGCCATGGATCTTGCACAGGTAATAACCACAACTCAGCTCGTGCATGCTCTGGTTGGTTCTTGATGCCCATTCTTAGAGGAGTGCCGAAGCTTACAATCTCCAATCTGTCGCGTTGATGGGTACCAAATTAGATCTTGGACATTGCAGATTCTGGAGATACTGCCAAGGTCAAGCTGATTCCTCGTTTGGACATGACCCCTCGCACAGATGCATCATACGTCGCTGGAAACAACAAACGCAAACCTGTCAACAGTGCGCTCGCTGGACGCCCCCCACCAAAGCTGTTCAACGCTCGTGAGGCAGAAAAGGTTGACAAACTAAACAAGCCAACATCGAGAGGCCGCGGTGTTTTCCAGTGGAACAACGAGGTTTTCAGGGAGGGATACCTGGAGAAGGACATGAAGATCTCCAGCTTGATCACGGAAAACATCAACCCTACACTTGACGAGATTCAAAAGTTTGCCAAGGGTGGTGTCGACGACGAGGATGGTGGTTTGGATCTGTCGGCTGTCGCTTTGTCGGCCATGAGCGCATCGGTCACGAGCCACTTCCAGCCAGGAGAGAAGGTCGAGGTGACAGAGGGAGAGTTGAAGAACGTTCACGGTACGGTCGACTCGGTCACCAGCGACATGATTATGGTTCGCCCTTTGGCCGATGATCTCAAGGGTAACATTCTTAAGTTCCCTCCCACACAGCTTCGCAAGCTCTTCAAGGAGGGAGACCACGTCAAGGTTGTCAACGGAAAGTACAAGGATGAGACCGGTCTCATCATCAAGATCGAGGACAGCGTCGTCACCATTGTCACGGACCTGAACGTCAAGGACATCCAGGTGTTCTCAAAAGATCTTCAGATGGCCGCCAACGTCGCTACAGGCACAGGAACCATTGGGCAATACGAGACCCATGACTTTGTCCAGCTCGAGTAAGTGTTGGTCTTTCGTTTTGTGTGAATCTGTGATTTTCTTTTGTCTATAAGGATGTGATCTAACCAAATGATACACATTGAACTTGTTGTGAGTAGTGCTGCCACTGTTGGTGTCATCTACAAGGTCGAGCGTGGATTTGCCCGTGTTGTGGACCAGTCCGGCATGACTCGTGAAGTCGAACCCCACCTTATCACACAAAAACGTGACTCCTCGCGTGCTATCGCTACCGACGCTGAGGGCAACAGTATCCAGGATGGTGACTCTGTCCGCGAAATGACTGGAGCCGTAAGTTTTATTCACTGCCGTAACTCTCCAGTTCTTGCTATCGAAGCTTGGTCGACGCATCACATCTAACCGACACTATCTATTCCGCATTATTGAAAATGTGAATTAGATGCGCGAGGGAAAGATTTTGCACTTGTTCAGGACATACGCGTTCTTGTACAACAGAGAGTACATGGAGAACTCGGGAGTCTTTGTTCAGTCGACTCGTCTTGTGGTCAGCATGGCTTCCAAGAGCCGCGCTCAGCCTGGCATGCGTCTGGATACCATGAACCCAGCCATGATGAACATGAACCGTGGCGGTTTCGGCGATCGTGGAGGTCGTGGACGTGGTGGCCCCATGATGATGGGCCGTGGTCGTGGTGGACGTGACCCTCTGATTGACAAGACTGTCACCATTATTCGTGGACCCCACAAGGGTTACCTCGGCATCGTTAAAGACGCCTCAGACTCTACTGCCCGTGTCGAGTTGCACACCAACTGCCGTATCATCACCGTCGAGAAGGCCAAGCTTGCCATCACCAAGTATGTTGTTTTTTTTTTGTTTTGGCGGATTTTTTCATTTATTGGATACTTTTCGACAATGCTAACCATGCTCGTTTAATTTTTCCGCTATTATAGCGCCAACGGTACAACTACACCTGTGTCGAGCATGTCGGATATGAACCCTCCTTCCACCCCTCGTGCAGGCAACTATGGCGGCTATGGCGGCTATGGTGGCATGACACCTGTCAGATCTGGTGATATGACACCGATGCACAACTCTGGATCGCGCACACCCGCTTGGAACAACGCAGGATCCAAGACACCCGCATGGAACGCAGGATCGAAGACACCCGCATGGAGTGCTAGTGCCAGGACCCCCAACCCCTATGCAGATGGCTCGCAGACACCCGCCTGGGATGCCGGTTCCAAGACACCACGCTATGGAGGAGGATCTGCCTGGGACAGTGGTAGCCGCACGCCAGCTCCTGCTTGGGACTCTGGAAGCAGAACGCCAGCACGTGGATCAGCTTGGGGCGATTCAGACTCTGGCTCAGGCAACCATAACGGGTCCAGTGGATCGGGTGGATACAATGTTTGGGGCGACAAGGCTGATTCTGGCTCTGGTTCAAGCGGATTCCCTCAGACACCTGCTGCCAGCAGCGATTGGATGAACCGCAGTGTTCCTACGCCTGGACCCTTTGGCGCTCCTTCACCCGCACCCTTCACCAACTACCCATACACCCCTGGCCCCAACTCTAGCTACGACTCTGCACCAACACCCAGCGGAAGCAATTTCCCCTCAACTCCTGCAGCTTCATCATCTTTGGGCTCAGGACCTGGTCATGGGGCCAGCGGCAGTGGCAGCTCCCTCGGTGCCAATGTAGCCACCCCTGGAGCCACTCCTGGCGCCAGAATGCAGTCGATTGCCACACCAGGCTCTCTCCAAACTCCTCAGACCCCTGCAGGTGGTCCATCTGCACCCATGACTCCTGCCAGCCACTTTCCTCAGACGCCCTTCATGCCTACAGGAGGCGACTACTCGGGCATGGATTCACACGGCCACTCTGGCCAGGTTCCTGGATACGGATCAGCTGCTGGTGGAGCTGCAGCATCGGGTCCTTCGTATGACTGGTTGGCGACGGATATTGAGGTCCGCATTGGAACCGGAAAGGACGGATCACAATTCGAGGGTGGCAAATACCAAGACCAGTCGGCACGCACGATCAAGATCCCACCAAGAAGCGCATTATCGTCGACGGCCCTTTGCGATGTCCGTTTGTTGAGTGACGATAGGATGGTTCAGGTCCCAGCTCAATACCTCAAGACGGTTGCACCGCTCAAGAACGACGGCGTCAAGGTTTTGTCGGGCGAACATCGTGGTGCATTGGGTACCTTGATGGGAGTCGATGTTCAGGATGGTATTGTCAGCTTGAGAGGTGAGAACATGTACAAGGTCTTGACCATGTCAGTTCTTGGCAAGTATTTGGGCGATTGAGGTGGGCGAACTCGCTTGATAGGCAGGGAGAGAGGCGGAGGTACTTTTTTTCAGGATGCGGTTGACATGATTAGCATTTTTTTTTCTTAAAACACACACACAACAACACAACACAACACAACAAAAAACGCACGCGAAATAAAACACACTACGAGCGTTATGAACGACACCTTGAAGGTTTATTATGTATTCCGTATCCTGTATTCAGCTAGAGATGAGGAGTGTGGGCTCTACCGGATGATAGAAAAGCCGGTGGAGGAGGAAGGGCTGAAGGCAAGCAAAGTGGGTGGGGTTTAGCCCGTGATGATCGTGGTGGATGAATCTGTTTCCACAAGGATGTCAAGGGTTGAGGGGGGGAGGGGGGTGTCAGATATGAAGAATTTCCCGCGACCTCGCAAAAATATGTTTTTCCCATTTGCAATGACTAGATAATGCTAAAAAAAAATGATACTTCAAAAAAACCACTCCCCCGCTTATGCCTGCTCAGTCGCCTCAGGCATGGTCGAGTCCTCCTCGGGGGTGGCCTCAGCACTCTCAGTTTCAGCTTCAACGGCGGCAGCAGCAGCAGCGGCGGCCTTGGCAACCGTACCCTTGGCCCCACCCTCAACAACATGTGGGGCATCCACACAATCAACACCCAACCGCATCGCTAAACTCCTACGCTCCTGCTTATTCAACAACATATTAAAGCTCACCTGAGCCTTCCAAACCGGGAACACCAATTTTCCCTTCACGAAACCCGTCAAGCCCTGACCCTCCCACCGAGGATTAGGCTGATCCTTGTTCTCTTCCAGTTCTGGGTCGAATTCAAAGATACAGCAACCCGTTTGGAGATCTGTGAGCTTTTGTTGGATTGGTTCGGGGAACTCGGAGATCTTGGGGTAGGGCGATTGGAGAAGGGTGAGGACTTCCTTGAGCTGGACGGCCATCACGCGGGCGGTCGAGACGAATTGACGCATGAGGGCGATGCCCTCGCTGTGGACTCTGAATGAGCACTCTGTGGGCGAGTTTGAGTCCTGACGGATAAATGTCCTGACACCCGTGTTCACCACCTATTAGAACAAAAAAAACCCCCCCAAAACATGAATTTGTTAGTGACCGAAATTGTGTTACTTGAACCATTGTAAACAAAAAAAACCTAGCCACACCATCATATCAAATTATAAACAAAGAAGTACCTTGAGGCGGTGGATCTCCTCAGACTGGAGGATGCTCTTGACAGCCTCACTGACAAAGTAAATCGTCTTGTTCTTCTCGCCCTCAGACCGGACCAAGAACTGGTCTTTGGGGAACTTCTCATCCAACCCATAGAACTTAGAGAACAACTGCACATCGGCGTTATCAGCATCCAAGAACAAGAAGGGTTCCTCCTTGGGTCCGGGAGCACCGAACCGCTCAGCGCGCGACAAGCGGGGCTTCTTGGCTGCCGCGGTCTCTGTGTTGTCTGATCCGGCTGGAGAGTCCAGCTTGTGCTTATCTCCAGTGGCGGCCTTCTCTTCTTCTTCTTCCTGTGTATCCTCCTGTGTGTCCTCTTTGACCTCTGACATGTCCTCAGAGGCGGGAGTGGCAGCAGCAGAAGAGGCGGCGGTAGCGGCAGCAGCAGCCTCGGCAGCCTCTGCGGCGGCGTCGGCGGCGGCAGCTCTACCAGGGTTGGGAACAACAAATGGTGCAGTCTTCTTCAAAACAGCAACAAAGAATCCTCCAGTATCCTGCAAGTGGGGGTAGACACGCAGACTAGGATATCACGAATGAAAAAAAACAAGCATTAATACATGAACTGTCATCATCTTTACGAAAGACAAGCACCAAAAAAAAAAGAGTGATAACGTAAACCTACCATCTCTCCAAGTGAAGCTCGCCAGCGTTGGCGGGTGCCCACATACTGGGATAGAACCTGCCCTTGGCATCTGCGGGGACATCCTCAAACTTCTCAACAACCTGACCCTCCTTGGTGAACATCTTCCAGGACGAAAGACCAGGGCGGCGCTTCAACAGGGGCAGCTCGTGGCTGACATCGACCAACTCCAAAGATCCGTTGGCGCGGTTCAACATCTCGGCAACAACTGCCTCGTTCTCCATGGGGTTGAATGAGCAAGTCGAGTACACAATACGACCACCAACCTTAAGCATCTGAACTCCACGCTGCAAAATCGTCACCTGGGTTCTAGGATATTGAGGTTCGGTTAATATAATTCATATCGCGCTTGGCGCAGTTGAACCAATAAATGACCGATCTCCCAAACTTACTGGTGAAGTCCCATGGCGCCTCCATGAGTCCACTTGGTCCAGACCATAGGGTTCTTGCGCAAGGTAGCGTCACCACTGCAGGGGACATCAGCCAAGACACGGTCAAATTCAAAAGGAATGACCTCTCCTGACTTGTTGGGGGCCAACTTCAACGAGGGCATCATCGAGGCGTCATGGTTAGTGACCATCAGGCAGGGACTCTGAAGACGCTTGGTCTGGTGGATCAACATATGGCTGCGTCTGTAGTCGGCATCGTTGGCTAGAATTAATCCAGCTGTTTTTGTTGTTGAAATTCCAATGAGGTTTCCAGTATTCCATGCGTGTTCGTGATATCCATAGTCCGATGTGTCCAGTACAGCATGTGATGTTAAAGTAAAAGGAGGATTGGTATTAATAAGGCGTTCATGAAATGTAATATGTTCCTGGGTCATAAAGTCAACAAAGAGAGTGAACAGGCCTTCTTACATGGAACGACCTGGTGTTGCTCGTTGGCGTGAACCATCTCAATAATCTGAGCAGTCTTGGATCCAGGAGCAGCGCACATATCCATGACCTATATGATATCCGATCCAAAATTTGCTCATTAACGTTAGTCATTCTGTGCACAGGTTGCGGATAGAGTCCCATGTTCGTCGTCAACCAGATCACCCATCAACTCAAAGCAAGGCTTACCCAGTGCTGAGGCTGGACATCAAGAAGAAGAGGAGGAATCATCGAAACAGCCTCCTGACGAGAAATGTTTCCAACCTCGGTCTCGGCGACCAAGAACTGATGGAACTTTGCATACTCGGGCGACTTCTTCAAAAGCGTACGGGGAACATCGTAGTGCCATCCCAGATCGTCGGGGTACCAGGCCAAGGGGCGTGGGGGGTCTGCGACGGTGCCGTCGACGGAGATATTGCTCAGGTGGGGGACGAATGCGTTCTTGACGGTGTCACGGATCTCGACCGCGTGGCTATCAATAGGATCAATTGGGTAAGAGAGGTAAGACTGATTAGATACTTGATCAATTTGATCACCAAGGTCCATACCCCTTTCATAACAAGCAAAGAACGAACACAATAAAACGACAAAAAAGAGGAACAAACCTGCGGGTGCCGGTGATACGGAAGGTGGTGGGGAGGGTGACCTTGAGGTGGTTCCAGAAGGTGGGCCATTCCTCCTCAGACATGATGTTCTGAGCCTTGTAGTACTCTTCCATCTGTTCATTCTCCTTCTTGACCTCGGCGTAGACCTCGTTGGGATCGCGCTCCTTGCGTGGAGGCGCGTTCTTGCGTTTTGAGAATCGGCGACCCATCTTTTTTTAGTTTGGTTTGTTGAAGGAAAAGGGGAGGAGGGATGTGAATGGAAAAAAGAAGGGGAGGGATGGAAAGAGGAGCGAGCACCCTTTGACTCTTTCTTGACTTGAACAGAGGAAAAGAAAAAAAAAAAAAAGTGCGCCTCCAATTCGAGAAGCAGTCACTTGTTGTTGTTGGTGTTCCTTACCACACTTCGGGCGAACACTGCAACCCATTCGCCAACCCCTTCTACATTCACAACACAGCTCCCATGCACAGGGTCATATACAGGATACGGCAGGGTCCCCCACCAACACGGACAATAGGTGCCGCAGCCAGGACATCCTTTAATTTGGCACACGACCGTTCCTACGCCATAATATCCTTCGACCTCCTCCTCGTCCCTTCAACTCCAGGAACGAACCTCTTCTCAACTCGTCCACTCAACCTCGCCTTATCTCCGAGCGCGTCAAGCAATGGCAGATACCGATACTCGACCAATGCACAACAAGCACTCAACGTACCCACAACACCCATATCACAACGGCAACAACAACAACAACTACAACATCTCTCCTCCTCCAATTCTTCAATATCATCCACCCCCATCCCCGCCTCCTCCTCAAAACCAGCGCCTTCGCCCTCACCACAAACACTACCGCGCAAAAAAACCGTCTACGAATGGACCCCAGAACTGGACGCCATGATCGTCACCATGAACCGGACCCACTCCATCGACTGGCGGACCATCGGGAAGCTCCTCGATCGCCCCTACACGACCTGCTACAGTCGGTTTCTCAACAGTATCAAGCCTATTCTTGAGAAAGGCGGTACGCTGGCGGAGATTCGGGATCGGGAAAAATTGGAGAGGTGGGTTGAGGAGGGATTGGAGATTATTCGGGAGAGGAGGGACGCGTCGGCTGCGGCTTTGGCGGCAGCAGCAGCAGAGGCAGCAAAGACGAGTGTAGCCCAGAAGGGTCGACCTGTGGGTTCAGGAACTGGAGCAAGAGCAGGAGCAGGACTCTCTACTGCGCTGTCGCCCGATGACGAGAGTGAAGGAAGCGCTGTTACCAGAAAGCGGGCGAAATGGGACGCGACGGTGGATCAGATGATCAAGGATATGGTCGCAGCAGGGAACTCCTGGCCCGAGATTGGACGCGCCGTTGGACGGCCTTTTTCGTCCTGCTACTCGCGCTACCATGCCAACCTGGATCCGGACTTGGGAATCACCTGGTCCCCCAAATCGATACAACGACTCAAGGAGTTGGCGTTACAGGGAGAGTCGTGGAAGAAGATTGCGCAGGAACTCAAGATCAAGTCGGTGACCTGTAAGGCCAAGTGGGCTGATATTGGGCTTTCTGAGTCGAGAACCGCAGCTGCAGGATATGACAACGACAGTACATCTACGTCAGATCAGGACGGTCAACAACAACTTTCAACGCCAGGAACGGCATTGGAACTGACCAGCAGAAAGAGTAGTACCAGCAGTAAGACCAAGCTCGTGGTGTTCTCGATTGAGGAGTCAGCCCTGATTCTGGAACTGGCGGAGCGACACGGTGCCGAGAACTGGGAGATGATCTTGCAGGACTTCCAGCAACACTTCTTGGACGACACCACCTTACCATCAACAACCACAAAGTGCGGCAAGGGCAAGGGCAAGGGCAAGGGCATGGGCAAGGGTACGAAATCTTCCCGAGACCGGATCCTCTCGATTACAATCCCACACCTCCGCAAACAATATCTCCGCGTCAGCCGCAACAGATCCTTCTGGAATTTTGACCAAGAAACCGCGCTCATTCAGCAAGTCCTCAAATACGGCACTAGCGACAACAGCAACAGCAACGATAACATTGACAACCACTGGGCAGAAATCGCCCGCCAAACCGGCCCCCACTCACCAGAAGAATGTCGCACGCACTGGAAGATCCTCGACATGCCCGTCATGCCCAACCTCAACGCATGGACAAAAACCGAACAAGGGACCTTCTGGTCCGCATGGCGCCAATTCGGCTCAGACTTCAAACGGATCTCGAAATTCTGCTCCAACCGAACTGCGGAAGATTGTCAGAGATACTTTGAGGGCATCACCAAGGAGTTTCCGAGCCCGGATCTGGAACCAAACGCCTTCGCGGAGAGGATTGCGGGGCTGCAGGAAAATCTTCCTTACACCCGACAGAAGTATCTGTTCACCAAGGAGCGGTCGCAACGGTTACAGCGGACGATGCGGTTATGTCATCAGCGCTTCGGGGCTTCGCCGACCATGCATGCGGGAACCTGGCAATGGATCGCCAACAAGGTCCATCGTGGACTCTCCCCCACATCCTGCATGGAGCATTGGAGCTACCTCCGCCAGAACCTTGATGTCATCCATGGCCCACTCGAGGAAAACCAAACCACTCCAATCAAACCAACCACCCCCATTTCATGGTCCCACGAAGAATCAAAACTCTTGGACCAAGGGATCCGCGAACTAGGGGCTAACTGGTCAGACATCCAACAACGCTTCCTCCCTTGGCGAACCACCCGGTCCATCCGCCAACGCTGGTTCATCATGTCCGACAAGGCCACAAAAGTCACCGAAGACGAGTACTACACCATCCTCGCCGCAGGACCCACAGCCGACTCGATCGATTACGAACACTTGACACAACACCATCTCCCAGGCTGGAATCTTTCCCCCTGTCGTCGTGTCTTTGAAACCTCGTTCAAACACATTGTCAAGAACACGGTCTGGCAACCGGACGAAGACAGGTTACTGTTGGAGAGGACGATCGAGGAGCGTGCACGGGACTGGAACGTGATCGCGAAGAGCTTCGAGGGGATCCAGCCGGCTATGGCCCCTCTTTACGACCAAGCCATGCAGCGCGAGCGTGAAGAGAATGGTGGCAAAGAGACCTCAGGACCAACAAGGACACAAAAGACGGCATGGCAGTGTCGCCTCCGCTGGTGCCAACTGGTCGAGCCCCTGATGCCCAAGGCCCCCATCGTCAATGTCACCGAGCACGCACGAAGCAATATCCTCCGCATCTCCAAGAAGCTGCTTCAAACCCACTCCTCCCCCTCCACTCCTTCCCAATAAACCCCCCCTAATCTACCACGCCTAGTTAAGCGTTTTGTTGCTTGTTTGTTGACATGACTGCATGCATGCTTCCTTTTGAGTACAAAAACATCATTGGGAAGTAGGAAATAGGGAAAAGGATAACAATAAGATATTCATAAAACTAATCTACTTATGTCTCGCTACGCGTGTTTTTTTTCTATACATAAAAAAGGTGGGTGTGGATTTACCACCTCAATTTGTTGTTCCAGTCCATGCCTGGTCCATCTCCTCCATCCTGCTTAGATTTTTTCTCCCGGACCTCATTCCTTCTTGGCTCACGGTTATCGGTCTCATCCTCGGTGTCATCCCCACCAGGCAACTCCTTACGCCAGACGTTGTTACCCTCATTCTCCGACACAGAATCACCAAAGACAACCTTGTAAACATCCTCGTACCACGCCGCAGGGACGCCCGTCACGCCCTCCTTGACATTCGCAGGGAGCTCTTCCCAGTCGGGCAAGTTGGCCTGAGGGAAGATCAACGTCTTGACACCAGACCGCTTGGCCGCAATCGTCTTCTCCTTCAACCCACCAATCTTGAGCACCTTGCCCGTTAGCGTCAACTCTCCCGTCATCGCAATTGTAGGATCCAAGGGCTTGTTGAGAGCGAGGGACAGCAACGACGTCGTCATCGTAATACCTGCAGAGGGTCCGTCCTTAGGGGTAGCGCCCTCAGGGACATGGAGATGGATCGCCGCCTTGTTGAAGAAACGGTTTTCGGGGAAGCGACGACCAACCAGGTTCTTGGCAAACGTGTATGCGATCGATGTCGACTCCTTCATCACATCACCCATCTGTCCGGTCCTCAAGAAGTTGGGGCGCGACTTTTCAGTGAGGCCACCGTCCAAGCACGACTCGATATAGAGAGCAGATCCTCCCATCGACGTCCAGGCAAGACCCATCACCACTCCAGCAGGAGTAGCATCGTAAAGTCGGTCGGCCTGGAAGACAGCCGGTCCAACATAGTCCTTCAGGTTATCGGCAGTGATATCAACCTTAACATTAGACGAGACCTCGGGCTTGGTCTTCTTGTCTTCCTTCTTCTCGCCCTCTTGCTGCTTCAAGACATCGGTATCGTCCAACAAGGTCTCGTCAGGAGTATCCTTCACAATTCCTGCCAAAGGCTTGAAGTCACCGTCGATGGAATCGGCCTCCTTCCTCTTGGGCTCCGCACGCTCGATCTCGGGCATCTCCTGGACAATCTTGAACGCGGCCTTGCGGAAAACCTTGTCGATCTGCTTCTTCAAGTTGCGGACACCAGACTCCCTGCAGTAGTTCTTGATCAGGGCCTCAATGGCATCGTCGTGGAGCGTGACATTGGCGCCCTCCAGACCTGCTGCCTCCTTGGCAGTGGGGGCCAAGTAGCGCGAAGCAATGGCAATCTTCTCGTCAGAGATGTATCCTGAGAGCTGGATCACCTCCATACGATCCAGAAGGGGACCGGGAATGGTGTCGAGAACGTTGGCTGTGCAGACAAACAGGACCTTGGAGAGATCGATTGGCACATCCATGTAGTGATCCAAGAACGAGCTGTTCTGCTCAGGATCCAACAGCTCTAGAAGAGCAGAGGCAGGATCTCCTTGATGTCCACGTCCAACCTTGTCGACTATCATTGTAATGATGTTGAGTTAATATCAGTCAATGATTTAAAAGTAACACATGTCGCCAAAACTATAACGACGACGACGCAACTGTAACCTACCCTCGTCGATCAAGATGAGTGGGTTCTCGGTCTGGACACGCTTGAGGGCCTGGACGACCTTTCCGGGCATGGCTCCGACATAGGTACGACGATGACCCTTGATCTCGGCGACGTCCGTCAATCCTCCGACACTGAATCTGTAGAATTCGCGATCCAATGCACGCGCAATCGATTTACCGATCGACGTCTTTCCGACACCTATACACAAGAAATGATGGTGTTAATTCCAAATTTGGTCATTTTTCGATGAGTTCAGTTATCAGTGAATAATCACAAACACCCGAAATAAAGGCATACCTGGTGGTCCGACAAGACAGATGATCTTGCCCTCAACGGTGCCGCGAAGACGACCCACAGCAATGAACTCCAGAATACGATCCTTGACATCCTTAAGTCCATAGTGGTCCTCATCAAGGACACGAACAGCATGGCGGATGTCGTAGTTCTCGGGAGAGCGAACGCCCCATGGGACATTGGTCAGCCAGTCCAGGTAGTTCCTTGTGACGTTGAACTCGGACGCCGCTGGCTCCAAATGCTCGAGCTTGGTGATTTCCTGGTAACATAAGAACATTCAAGAAAAAAACCGTCAGTTGTCTGTGCAGAAGACATAAACAAAGCAATTGAAAAGTAAAATAATTTGATGCTGAATATATAGCACATACCTCGTCGAAAACCTTCTTGACTTGCTCAGGCATAGCCAACTTGATACCCTTCTCTCTGAACTTCTCAATCAGCTTGTCCTTGCCGTCGGATTCGATGCCCAGCTCCTTCTTGATTCCCTTGAGCTGCTCCATCAAGTAGTACTCGCGTTGACGCTTAGCAATCTTGTTCTCAACATCCTTGCTGATCTTGCTCTGAAGCTGAGCGTTCATCAACTCCTTCTTGAGGACCAAAAGAGCCTTCTGCATCCTGTCCTCGATCGAGAGAGACTCCAAGACAGACTGCAACTCTTCGGGATCGCCCTGGGACACAGCGGTCGCAAAGTCGGCAAGCTTGGCGGGCTCCTCAAAAACATTGCCGGCGGACTGTGACATCGAAAAGTTGGCGATCTGATCACGGAAGAGAGGGTTCAGCGAGGCGATATCCTTGAAGACGGCGACAATCTCGGAAGTGATGGCACGGATGACCTGGTTCTTACGGTTGTAGGGCTCGTCGACCATGTTTTCGACATTCGAAAGGGTGACTGCATACTCCTTGGCCAAGAAGGCGGTTGGCAAGTGCTGAGGATCCGTTGAGGCATCTGAGGCAGCAGCGGCCTCATCGACAGGTGTTCCATCAATGGCTCCTGCTTCTGCTCCAGTTGGCTTGTCGACGACGGTTGAGGTGACCTCTGGCGTGATTGTAGCAGCGGGAAGAGCATCTGCAACCTTAATGGTGAGAGGCTGAGATTTCTCCGCGGCTCCTTCGCCAGCCTCTTTGACGAGCAGTCCTTCGCGTGGAGCTTCGGATCCGTCGGGAAGGATCAAGGGAGGCAACAACTCCTTGATTTTGATTCTCCTATGTGGATAGAGCACGGCTGTGATCGAGCCCTCGTCGCTGCCTGCGCTTGCGGGGAAGACGGTTGTGATCTGAGCAAATACACCGACAGAGTGAATTTGGTCCATGCTTGTGACGGTATCGATGTCGAGGTCCTCGTCCTTGAGCAGGAAGGCACCAACATATGGCTGGCCACGCTTCATTAACTCCTTGATAGCATTGGCGACGGCAGGGTTCTTGATAACGACGGCCTTGTAGAACCCTGGGAAGAGAGGACGGCGACCGATGGGGAGGGTCAAGACTTGGGGGTAGACCTCGGGAATGGCAGGCTTGGAGAGGCCGTTCTCGAGAATGTTGGTTGAGGGTCCTCCAGATCCGACATCAAATGTGAACTTTGTGACCTTGCGATCGTTGCCACCCTTGCCGTTGCCGTTGCCACTACCCGATCCACTCGATCCTGATCCTGCACTATTGCCTTCAGATCCGGATCCAGATCCAGACGAGGAAGACGATCCAGATCCCGAGTCCTTGCCGTCACCACCCGATCCGCTCTTGCCATCGTCGCTCTTGTCCTTGAGGATGCGCGCAGAACTCGAAAAGGCACGACGTGACAGAGGCAAGACACTGGAAGAAACAAGAGAGTTGCCGCCCTGGAGGGTTGAAAGACGACTGTTCAAAAGAGCAGCAGGCCGGGTGGCGTGAACAAGACTGTGAAGACTGCGGGGACGCACCTCTTGGAGGCGGGCAGCAGCGCTGTTAGAGGTAGAAAAAGGGCGAAGGTGACCGTCAAAGGCGGACCAAGAGGCGGGAGTTCTTGCGGCGGAGTGATGGGTGAGAGTGGGGTTGATTGAGGTACGGGAGAGGGCGACCTTGAGGATGTCGACAGTGGGCGAGACGCGCTTGGTGATGACTAGCACGGCATTGGACGCCATCGTAAAGTTTCGTTTTTGTGAAAGTAAGAGAGGAAGGGTGTAAGAGGGAGGGTGAAGGAAAGGGAAGGTGAGGCGTTAGAGTAATAATAATAATAAAAAGAAGAGAGTGGAGTAGTGTTGAGAAGAAGGAGGGAAAGAGGGAAAGGAGTTGTTGAATGCAACAAAAGGAAGAAGAAAGAAAGGAAGGGTTGATCGGCTCGAGTAAGGGAGAGTGTGAGAGTTTTTGGGTCCAAGGCAGGCGGAAGACGAGGAACGAGAGCAAGAGCGAGAGCGACGCGCAATTTGTCAATTGGATGACTGCTTCTTTGCCTGCCTCTGACAAATTATTGGTCTTTTTTTTTCCTTTCTTGCTAGGTTGTCTTTCTACCAGGCACCACACTCCCACTCCACAACACTCGATCAAGACGTCACCTTCTGAATTGGAAACAGGCGACCAAGTGGCGAAAGTGCACGCACCCCACTCCCGGATGCCATGACCCCCCCTACATATGGCTTGGAAAGAGAGACTCAAGACTCCTCCGCAAGGAGCGCCTTCGCTACCCTGATGTTGTGCTTTCGTTCCAATACTTTCCAAACTGCCTTTGTGTGCGTGATTCCATATAACGGTCACTTAGAGCCATGTTAGCCCACAGTTTGTTCCTAATATGAAGCGCAACTCTATTGGCTGCAGTACATGCACAATTGGAAGGCTTAAGGAAGGGTATAAAATCAATATCTCCTTTCCTTCCCATGCAATTTCTTTTCTCTCTCTCTCTCTCTCCTCAATCCCCCCCCCCCCCCCCCCCCCCACCTCCTCACTTCCTCTCCTCTCTTTCCTTCTCTTTTACTTTTTCGCTGCCAAACCTAGCTCGCCTTCCTTTCTACTACTTTGACAACGTACGCTCTACTGACAGCAACCCAACATGGGCAAACGTCGACAGAACCAAAGCCCAGCAGGCAACCAGAGTCAAGTGCCACAGCCAAAACGACGCCAAACCAATACCACTCAGTCGATGCCTCTTGAACCGAAGAAGATCTACTCCACGCGGAACACAAGAGCACAGACACAGTTGAGCGCCAACTCCTCCGTTACAACCTCTGCGACCTCTGCAACCACTTCGATCGCTTCAGCCGCTACAACCATTCCAATCGCTGCATCCTCTACCACCGATCCTACCAGGACCACTACGACTACTAAGGCTACCAAATCCTTTAAGGTTGCCAATGCCCCCAGGGCCAGCGCTCCCAGTACCAATGCCCCCTTTGCCAATGCCTTCAGTGCCAGTGCCGGTGCTTCTAGTGTAGCCAGTGCCTCCAGTGCCAGTGTTACAGTCAAGGCTACCCCTACGAGGCGAGCGCGCAAAGATTGCGAAATAACAGGTATGCATCCGCAAAACAATCTTTGACAAGATCAATAGTGGAATATTTCTGGCCTCATGTTTAACAATGCAATGTTTAACAATGCAATGTTTGCTGACATGCTCTCGTGGAGAAAAACGTACTTAGAGGTGGCACAGGAGAGGGCCTCTACTCATGATGAGGACGAATATGAATATGAGAGCGATGAAAATGCATTTGTTTCCGGTTCTGAACGGTCTGTGAGTGAGATGATACTTCAGTCTGAAACCCCTTCGAAAGGTATGTTTCAAGTGCATTGAAATGTAAGGATTGTCATCTAACATGAGCGCTGTGGCAGCAAAAAATAGGTCGTTAATACCAATCCTTATTGCAATTATAATAGAAAAGTATCGATTGGGCGGCCAAAAAGCCGGTGTATGATAGAAGTCTTGTGGGAGGTATCCATCGCGTCGAGCATGTCGAGAGGGATGAAAACGGGGAACTGATCAGTTCAGGCCGAGATATTTCAACAAACAGCAACGCCACTAACTACTACACTGTTGAAGAGCATATCCGATGCTTGCTCTACGCATGGCGGCAACCTGTCCACAGTCGCAGTGTTATGATTCGGGAGCACTTTGGACTGGCGGTACGACATAGTATGCTGTTGAGGGACGAGAATGTGCGTTTTCTGGATATCTCCGACTGTTCGATGGACACCTTTATAAAGCAGCCTGGTGAAACTCAGGAAGTGGTGGCGTTGGTCTTCTCTATGAGAAAAGGGAAGACAAACACAACCGGAAATGTTGAACTTGGCATAGCCGTACGACATACCGATGTTCGTCGGTGCAGCGTCGGCGCTTTTGCATTTTACATGTTTGAGCGATTCCAGGTACACATTTCTGTTTTGGAATATGCTTAATGATATCCAGTCCATATCTTTTTTCTTTTATTAATAAAACTTACTTCTTTGCTTTCTAGGTTAATGGTGAGCCGTGGCTTGATATGGATGACCCCGAATGGACAGCAGTGAAGGTGCTTGGACGGGGCGAGAAAGCTCCTATGGTGTACACCACAACTCGGGAGAGTACACTCACTGTGCTCAACTCACAGCATGTCTCCTGCACCAGCATTACCCAATCTGGGCGCCACAGCGGAGCCAAGGAGGCGGCGAGGTTGAAGGTTGCGGAAGAAGACACTCGGACTGGCGGGCGTTGGGGGCAAGGGACCGGCAAGATGCACCAGGTGTACTTGGACAAGCAACCCATCACCTTTGCTTTGGCCATGGCAGGGTTTTCCGTCAAGCCCTTTCATCTCCGGCGGAATGAAGTCGCTCCGTCCCTCGTACTGCAACGTCTCATATTTCCGTTTATCGAAGAGGCAATTGGGGCCCCTGGCTCCCGTGAGAATGAACTGTGGAGAAAAGAGTGCGATTTGGAAATGCAGGAATTCGACCCGAACGACAGCGATAACTTGGACGACGTCGAGCCATACGCGTTTGAACCCAACCCCAACCCCTTGAAGATGAACAAGGCGACCGCTCTGGCGCAACGCTCTAAGAAGCATGTGCTGCGAATGATGCTCCGATTACGCCGAGTGCTGTTGCAGGACGCTGCCGAATATCTCTATCGATACCCTGATATAGCCCTGTCGCCGCTGCTGGGGAAGTGTCCTGAGGTGTTCGAGAGTCTGATGTTTGATGCCTTCAAGGAGAACGTTGCGATGTCTCTAAAGCGGCATGAGATGTACGTGCCCATCGATCTTCCGCCCAACCTGATGGCAGCACTCCAGACCTGGAACTTGGCGCAAGCAAATGGGGTTGCAGATATCAAGCGAGCACTGGCCGACATCCATGTGAGGCTGGATGCCTTTGAAAAATGTTTCACAATCCAGCACAAGCAAAACAACTGGGTGAACGATGGGTTGGACGAGATCGAGAAGATGTGCAAGGACTTACAGAAAGCGCTTGACAGACCGCCGCTTGTTGGGCTCCAGCCTTATTTCACGGGAATTCAACCTTTCTTCGGTCACGGGATGCCGGGGCCAAACCCCTCTCCACCTTTCCAGTATCAGCAAGATCGACAGTCGACCGTACATCCTGGTTTACAGCGTCCACCATCCTCCAAACCCGGCAAACGCCAACCTCAAGCTATTCGACCAGCTTTGTCAACTGCTCAAGCGCCACCAACAACAATGCATGCAACTCGGAGATCCAGGCCGGAAGGATCTTTGCCCGCATCCTTCAAAGCGACAGAGAGAGAACCCAGCAGTACAGGGCCAAATGAGTCAGGAGATCAAGCAGCATTAACGAGTGTCCAAGCGGCAGCCCAGTCAGGGACTGGTTTGTCAGGAACAATTACCCCGCCAACACAAAGTCTGTATTTGACGAGCTTGAGTGGTACGACAAATTGCTTGCAGAAAGGAAAGCCCGGGGACTACCAACAACACTCTCAGGCGCCACAACCAAGAACCTGAACAACAAAAGGAGGATCCATGAGCAGGTCTTGTTTTTGATGGAGAGGAATAGAATGAACACGTTGATGACCGAGGAGGAAGCCCTACGTGCCGCCTTCGTGGAGATTGATGCTGTGGCTCTGCCTATTTATGGCCGCAAGAAAAGGTATAATTTTTTCCCATGTGTGGAATATTGTAAACGTCAAAAGTATGCACGCGAAGGGCAAAGGGGGGGTAAGGTGACCAAAGGCAAAGGGAGGAAACAGGACGATGAGCAGGAACAGGAACAGGACGGTGAAGAGGAACAGGATGATGAGGAAGAGTGAACAGTCATAGAAAGATTGAGCATCTATTCCACTATTGTTTAACTAAAAGAATTGTTAGAAGAAAAAATTCCTCGACTTTAACTTTGAACCACGTAGGAGTCAGAAAAAGGAAGTAGGAAAGATGCTAGAGGAGGAGAACGAAAAAAGGCATAAATCGAATGTGTTTGGTGAAGTGCGCGCGTGCGCGCGCACTTATTTCTTGTGTGAAATGCACGATTTCCATTCAATTCTAACATTTCCGTGTCTCGTACAAAACCATCCAATGGTTGTGTTCCAGATAGACCTTTTTTCAACTTAACGTTCGTTCCCTTAACGTCGGTACTTTGAGGGCTAACGCGCATTCAGCGCTCAAAGCCAAGCCCCACCTCGAACGATGGAGCTGGATTACCGGACAAAACCGCTCCGACAATTGGACTGGGATTGTTGGTTGAGATGGACAAGGCTGTCGGTGCGGATATGGCGGTAGAGGCTGGCCTGATCGAAACATCAACTGTTCAAGTCAAAGTTGGTGTGGCAGAGCGGGCTGAGATGGCCAACGCTGTAGTCGATTGTCTGAGAGGCGCTGCTCGCCAAGCCTGCAAGGTCAAGAGACGGTATCGGGCGTCTTTGGGTGGTATATAGAGCGAGTGACTGCGGGCGAGGTTTCTCCCACTGACCGTCGGCTCTTGGACCTTATCTGCCCCAGCATCCCTTCCCAAGGACTTGACCAGTATGGATGGCACTAATCGGAAACAGGGCGATGACGACCACAAAAGGACCAACAGGAAGCTTTTATCGGTTGTTTTATGCGTTGTCTGTACTCAGGCAAGGCCCCTGTCACTTCTTACTATAGCGCTTCGACGGTTTCTTCTGGCAAGACACCAAGGAATTCTGGGGTGGGACATAGCGTCATGGAGTTCATTACACGTCTCAAGCAGCTGAAAATCCTAGAGTCGCGCGACCAACCGCTGATGAAGGAGGGTCCCGAGTACACTCCTAACCTTCTTGTCCGATCAATTGTCATCCAGCTTGCAGCCGAGCTGAAGAAAATCTACCACATGGAATTTACGAGCTTCAGCAACAGGTAACAGGCAAACTCGGTGTTGCTTTTTAACAACTTTTATATATTTATTACATCTCCATTTCACTTATAGGGCCCGATCTCTAGGCTATACTGTTGTCGGCGTCAATGAGTACTACACCAGCGAGAAGTGCCCGACATGCGGAGAGAATGGTCAGACTTGTGAAGCCTTTATGCATCGAGACGTTATGGCTGGCCACAACATGTGCAACATCGTCAAGACCCACCTATTGATGCAAACAAGACCGTTGTATCTGCAGCCGGTTGATGTCGAGGGACATTATCCATGGGTGGAGGGTGGTGAGAGCAACAGGATCGATCTAGGCTCCAGCAGCACATTACTCAAGAACAAGGCGAAGAAGCCGGCAAAGGATCGCAAGGCTGCAGTTGGTCCAGCTCCAAGAGTCATCAAGCGCAATTCGAGCGATGATCCCATGCATGGAGACATCTCAGTTCATTAACGCAAGAAGTGCAAGGCAGTGACGAACCCACAAGCCAAGAGTGAGCCAACCCCGAGGTTCCAGGAAGCGTTCACACAAGTCAAGACGAACACGACTATGGCTTTTTTTTTGCTCTCAAGTACAACAAGGCTTGCTTTTGACTACGTACGAGCGAAGTTGCTCTCTGCGCGATAGACCCGTCTTTGTTTATTTTACGAATCCCCACTGACAAATGTCTTTACTCTTCCTTGGGGTACAATTCTTTCAAGGCCACCTCGAAGTGTTCCTTAAATTTAGTGCCGCTTCCAGCAAACCGGACTTCATTGTCGACCACCAATACAATGCAGGGAATTGCTATGTACTCGGTTTTACGGAAAATCGCTAGATTTTAAGAGAAAGGGCAGAAGATCGTCAGTCTAGAAATGATAGCGCCAAAAAAAATCTACAAAAAAAAAAAAAAAAAAAAAAAAACTTACTCTCTCTGACATATTCATCGGTGTTGTCAACATAAGTTGAATAACGAAAGTTTTCTTTTTTAGTCTCGATGAACTCCTTAACTCCTCCCAAGCCCATCATCGCGGGATGACGACCAATCATGCCTTCATTGTTGATACCAATGACTGCCACCTGTCCTGTGTGTTTCTCAGAAAGATCCGAAAGCTCTAGACCGAGGTCAATACATGGGCAGCACCTTTGGTATCCAAAAAATTGACTTGGTTAACATTCTTTTCACTCATTTCCCTAAAAAAGATTAAACTCGAAAACAAATAAAGAAAGGTCAAGTTTTCCTTACCAAGTTGCCCAAAAATCAAGGATGACAATACGCTCTTTACCCTCGTACTTTACTCCTCGGACGTGGTGAATGACCTCAAGGGCGGACAAGACATCAATCTTTTCTCCGGTATAGGGACTTATCCAGCCCTCTCGTAAACAGGCCGGAGGACCAGCCTTGAAATTGTCTCGGATTTTTTCAAATGTTTCTCTGCCACTATAGGACTTTAAACGTTCCAATGGATCGTCGTATCCAATTTCCTTGACTTGAGCCTTGAAAACCTCGACGGCTGCCCAAAACGGTTCTTCTAGCCATTTGTCTTCGTATTGGCCTTTGAAAGGACGGTGGAGGGTAGCTAGATAGAGGTCATTGAACTGATCTTCTTTGGTGCGGAGGACGTTTTTGGTGGACATGGTGTTTGAGTTGTTAGAAATTGGAGAGGTGAATGGGAGGGGAGGGGATGAGATGGGTTTTAGCGATGAAAAAGAAAAGCAAGTTGTCAAAAGAAAGAGGCCTGAATAGATATATGTTTGTCAAATACTTTGAAAAGTCGAACCATTTTTTGATTGGTCCTTGGCTTTATGTGAGATGCCCCTGAAAAGTAACTGCAGTCCAGCTGGATCTAAACAGGAATTGAGTTCGCGAATCAGGCAACGCCGCGCAGATGTAAGCTTCGCCATCACAGTAAACAAGCTGCACGACGCCTTGATCTTGTGCCGGAAGAATAGTCTCTATCTTTCGACTTTCGTTTTGTGTTTATGACTGGAGGTTGGTGGGAAAAAAGGCATGCTTAAGTTTGGGCTGAAATGATTGTAAGTTGGTATGCATGTTCTTTTTCGAGAATATGCTCGTCCACATCCCTGTGTGCGGTCAAAAGTGGATCATCCAAACAAAGGGGCATTTTTGTGCTCAGAAATTCAAAAATGCGTCAGATTTCAGAAACGACGATAGCAGTTTTGAAGCAATACTACCTCTCCTCTCACGATTCCCAACTAGCAGGATGCAGGAAAGTGACCGATCTTTGGACTTGTATGTGACCTCAGCTCTTTGGAGCTGACCATCGTGTTGTCATTGTTCGTTGTGGTGAAAGAAACTGAGGAGATGAATGGACCAAATGGGGAGTCATATTGGTAGGCGATGTCTCTTGCAGGGAAGAAAAGATGACAGTGTGGACATGAATGCCAAGCAAGACGACAAAAATTTGGAGCTTGAAGTTTTCTAGCACTTTTTTTCTGCTACCTTTTCCCGTCCGCGTTTTTTATTATTTTTTTCCTTGCTCACGAAGTTTATTTCACCTCTGGATGTCGAGCGGAAGAGAAGCTCGGCTAAACAGACTCAGTGATGAGCGATATTGGTCTTTCTCCACATCTTGTCAAAAAGGCGAAAAGGACCACAAATTCGATTGAACCAATCGTAGTGATGTTCTTTTCCCACTCCTTGCACTTGGTCTCTTAAAAATGGAGACGTAATGAGGACGTTCTAAATAATGAGGCATTTTTTTTTATGTTGTGCTCAGAAGCTCGTGTCGCTTCTCGGTGTTGGATGTCGAATGTTTAAGAAGCACGGTTATACTGACCTCAATGCTGTGCGACATTGATCACGTTCCATTTCTTGCCAAAACGGCGAAAAAAGGTGGCATGCGCGACTGAACCTACCATAGTGTTGTGCGTACATTGGTCTACTGCCATTCCCTACATTTGCTCTCTAACAACTGTATCGGCTAACAATCTGCCCTGCCCAGTCCTTTTTGGCTTGGGTGCCGCTTTCATTGATATTGGTGGAGTAGGGGCGAGGGCTGTCGTATGAGGTGAACTTAGCACCAATGCAGTCCGAGTGACGCTTTAGCCAGTCCTCAAAAAGGCTGCCGTGACATAAAAGCTCAAACAGCGAAATCCATTCTTCTCCACCAGGGCAATCCGTTTATCTTCCGGGAGTCAATAGGCTTCAGCTGTGATATGGATGTATGGGTCGTTGAAAAGTGAATCAGGGATTATTTTGAGTACATTCCGCAAGAGGTCAGCCGCCAAAATTGGTTTGCCTCTCTCTCACGTTTGGGAAGGCCTGGCCATTCTTAACACTCACTCCGCGGACATCCTCCACACTGCTGTCGGCACCTGCGGTATACTCTCCGGAAGACATGGCCTCGACGTGCCCGGCTCCGCCGTCTTGTACACTCTCGAACCTTTCGCCTCCTTCAACCTTGGGTGAATCGTCAGCCGTGTCCTTGGTCTGGTCGTCCTCAGCCTGACTGTCCTCAGTGAGACTGTCCTCAGCGGGGCTAGAGTCCATTTCAGCGAGATGCAAGATCTTTATTAAAGTGAAAAGGCCAAGTAAGCGTGAGTAAACCAATATCGCGTATATCGGCCGCATTGTTCCTTTATGGTGTTTGTGGTGCACACAGCGTATAACATATATTAAAATAGCTTACCAGAGAGCTTGACAGCTCCAATAGCGTTTGATACTAGGGTTCTTTCGAACTGTCCTCGGAAATCATCTAGTCGACTGCCTCTTGAATGTTCATGACGCGAAGATAACCAGGAGAGGAACGCCTGTGCATGCGATAAGGATGTTCGCTTCGGGGGAAGTTTCATTTTCCGTCAGCCCGCTGGGGAAACTGTCAGAACCCTCGAGGCCCAGTGTTTTTGCTTAATTCCCAGATCCGGACACCATAGAGGGAAACTTCGCCGCTCTACCTGAGAGCACTATCGACAGATGGGCATTGCAGAGCCTTAAACCGACCACATGGGTGTCCAAAAGAAGTCAGATTTGTGATGTGCGTCGAGGATCCAGCGCCTTTGTCAATGATAAGGGAAGGTAATGAGAATGTTGCATCAGGGATATGCGTGGTTGGAGACGAGATGATAATAACCATGTGCAAATAATAATTATAGTAGCACTGTTTTCAACTTACCCTGCAGTATGAATGAAGGCCTTGCAATCTATCCTTTCACAAACTTGCTCATCTCCTACAGAAAGTTGTTCTACTGTTCGATTTGTTGATATTTGACTTGAAGTGATGCTGATACAGATGACCAATACTCATTGCCACTGTTTCGCTGCAGAATGTCATATTTATGCTGTAGACTAGCTCGCTCATGTAATGAAATTTCAGTTGATGACAATAGTACCATGAAAGTATCATGAGCATGTTCCCTACAACTATAGTCAAATTGATTTACAAAAGCAGGCATCGTAAGAGGTCTTCCGTAGGCATTTAGGAGCCACTGAAGAGGTGACATTTGAAATGGATTTGTCTAAAATGTGCTCAAATAAAACCATGTAAATGTGTGTTAGCTACCAATCTAACAACAATTCCCAAGGATAATAATCATTATAATGTAGAGTGATAGAAATGACTCCTCGGCGCAGCTAAGACATGCCAACGATGGCCTTCTCTAATCCTACCACACTCCACTCTCTCTCCCCCTGTCGCCGCAGCGTTACACTGATGAAATAACTTATCCATGCGTTACGTAGCTTCGGTGACGTAATTTAGGCGCCCATTCTCCTACTTAATACTTGACAGCCTCTTACTTTAGCTACCACTGTTCACTCTCCCATTCAAAGTCCAACTCGAACAACCGGCACTGGTCAATTGATAAAATAACCAAACCGACACGAATTGGAACCAAAAAAAAACGCGTTTATCGATAAACACGTACATTACATTATCAGAAGGTGAAAGACAGTTGTTAGTTGCCAACGCTACTTTGGCTCGTATGGGTGTCAGTTGAGGAAAGAATGAAGAAACCCCAGTATCCGACTTGTCAGAGTTACGCTGCTCGACTCTGAACTGTAACATGAACAGGCTGTATGCATTGTTGTTGGATTGTGTGAGCGTGCGACAGGGCATTCATGTGTGTCGCCCAGAAGATATGAATCGCGTCCATGTGTTCACACAGTCACAATATCATTTGCACATTAAAAGGCGCAAGGGTCGTTTTCATTCGTACGTTTCTCCCTTTTGTAAAGTCATCACTTCCTCCTTGTTCACTCCCTCCTCCCACCCATAAAGAAAAAGAAGAAACAAACACCAAAGTACAACCATGACCCCCTCAAAATTGTCAGTCATCACCCCCGTAGACTCGACCGTCTTCGCGACCGTCCAGATCTCCTCCTCTGAACAAGTCCAAGCCGCCGTCGAGCGTGCCGCCAAAGCCCAAAAGTCATGGAAGCGAGTCCCGCTCAAGCAGCGTGTCGAGATGGGCCGTCGGTTCCTCGAGGTCTTTGGAACCCGCAAGGACGAACTTGCCAAGGAGCTGACCATGCAGATGGGTCGCCCCTTGAGGTACACTCCTGGAGAAATCAAGGGAACTCAGGATCGTGGGAAATATATGGTCGATGTTGCCGAGGAGGCCTTGAAGGATGTTGAGATTGTGGAGGCCGGTCAGGAGGGCAAGTTTAAGAGGTTCATTCGTAAGGAGGCCGTCGGTGTCGTACTTATTGTTGTTCGTAAGTCTCCGTTTCTCTTTCCTTGGTCATTGTTGTTACAAAAAGTATGTATGATGGAGGATGACGACAAAAAGACACCAGGATTTCTCACTACTTTTTTTATGCATATCACGCTTGTCGTTGTGCATTGACACTACTACTCGGTTAGCCTGGAACTACCCTTACTTGTCGTCGTTGAACGGAGTACTGCCCTCGATCATTGCCGGTAACTCTGTCATCCTCAAGCACTCCTCCCAGACTCCTCTCTGCGGCGAGCGATTCGGCGAGGCGTGGACTGAGGCTGGTCTTCCCGACGGCGTCTTCCAGGTAAGCAATTTCGTTGTTGGTTTTGTCTCACTGTCTTTCTCCTCTTTTTACTGTTGTTCCTCTCGGCAAGAAGATTAGCAATCGAATGTGAGTGGAGAAAAAAGGAGTCAGTAAACGGCAACTCAGCAGGACAATACGACAAACAACACAAAGGAAGGAAGGGCGGGCCACTTTTATTTTCCTTTTAGGTGCTATGTGACCAGGGACCCTTTATGCAAACACATGATCGTTTACATTGCAAACAAACAAAGGAAAGGAAAACTTTGGGCGTTCGACCAAACAACTTCACACGCGTATGTGTTGTACAGTACGGGAATAGGGATATGAAGAGGGAGGAGGTACATATATGGTTTTCTAACGAAAGTGGCAGGCAAATGGGCGCATTTCTAAAATTTCATCCGGGAGAGAGAGGGAGGAAGCTTGTTATGACCACGGGAGACATGGATCAAATGTGACAAAGACTCTCCTTCGTTGTACTTGTACTCTCACTTACGAACCCATTGATCTATCTTTCCCTCCTTTCTCTTCTCGCTTGTACGACGGATATCGACTAGTGCATCCACATGTCTCATGCCGACACCGAGGCTCTGGTCAGGAACCCCCTCATCAACTATGTCAACTTTACCGGATCCGTTGAGGGAGGCCACCAGATCCAGAAGGCTGCAAGCGAAAAGTTCATCGGTACGTTCATCATTGGGTCAAATCCACGTCACTTCCCATCCTGCTCACAACCTCCTTACTCCATCCCTCTTTGCATTGGATCGTCATGCACCCCCTGACTTACTTATCCCCTCAAAGGATTCACAATCCTCAATCACTCAGCCCATTCATCATCCATCCTAACATGCCTTAACTCCCTCTTTCCTCCTCACAATATGGAATAGCGACGGGATTGGAGTTGGGAGGCAAGGATCCAGCATACGTCCGCCCCGACTGCGACCTCAAATACACGGTCGAGACTCTTGTTGACGGCTCCTTCTTCAACAGTGGCCAGTGCTGCTGTGCCATTGAGCGCATCTACGTCCATGCCGACATCTATGACGCCTTTGTTACCGCCTTTGTCGCCGAGACCAAGGTACTCCACCTCATTCTTGTCACATTATTCATTTTTTTCTGTTACAACTGTGCTTGTAGGAAGTACGTTACAGAAGGTTAACTCTTCTTACGTTGATGATGGACAATATTGATAGAACTACCGTCTTGGAAACCCCTTGGAGCCCGAGACGACTCTTGGACCTATGGTGAAGACTAAGGCCGCCGACTTTGTTCGTGCCCAGATCGCTGAGGCCAGTAAGTCATTCTATCTCATTGGATATTGATCAAACTGGTAGACGCGTCTCTCTCTCTCTTTTATTTTTTGTCTCTTCGCTGGGACAAGATCCTCTAACACCAAATCACATTTTTATCTTTCTACCAAATAGTCTCGCAGGGAGCAAAAGCGCACATCGACACCTCCCTCTTCCCCGCCGACAAACCCGGAACCCCTTACATGGCGCCCCAAGTCCTAACCTCCGTCACCCACTCCATGCGCGTCATGACCGAAGAATCCTTCGGTCCCGTCGTCGGCATCATGCGCGTCACCTCCGACGAAGAAGCCATCCATTTTATGAACGATTCCGATTTCGGACTCTCGGCTTCGATCTGGACTAACGATGCGGATGCGGCTTTGAGGATTGGAGACCAGATCGAGACGGGGACTTGGTTCATGAACAGATGTGATTATTTGGATCCTGCGCTTGCTTGGGTCGGTGTGAAGGACTCGGGTAGGGGTTGTACTTTGAGTAAGTTTGGGTATGATCAGGTTACGAGGCTGAAGTCCTTCCATTTGAAGCTCGTCACCGCTTAAAGGAGGGAGCATTCTTGGTTACTCTACTCTGTCGCCTTTTTCTCACGTTTCTTGGGTACATATACTTTTCTTTACACATACGCCAGAAGTAATAAACACAAAACGAGATTGTTAGGAAAAGAAGACAGTTGTATGCTTCCATTTTTTTTTCACTTCTGTGCGGGGTACGGTACGATATAATTTACAGTTTGGTGCCCATGGTGATATGACTCCTGACCATCAACAGCCGATTCACAGCCCTCCCATCCGTCTGTCCAGTCTTCACCTCTTCCTTGGCACTCTCAACAATCTCCTTCAACACCCTCTCCATCTCCTCCTCTGTCGCATCACCACCTCTTCCCTCAAACTGCTCCTTCAGAAACCTATCCTGCTCGGCTTGTGTAGCCTCCAACGACGCACCCTCCTCACTCTGAACATCCTGCACAAATGGGCGACTCCACACGTCATCCGTATACGTCCCCTGCTGTAACAGGTACGAAACAATGTCCTGTCGCTCACTCGGCAAGTGCTGGATCAATTGTAATGTTGAGAAAATCGAGCGTCCTGTAGGGCCGGTGCCGAGGTTGTCCTTGTAGGTATAGACAAACTCCCTCCGGTCGTGTTGATGTTTCTCGATAGCCGCCCCTGCAGAGTCAATCTCGTCGACGTATTCGGAATAGGATGTGGAGTTCAGGAACGCGAGTACGTCTCCGCCGTCGTGGTGTTGCTGGTTTTGAATGTCGTTCGAGAAAATGGGTCGTGCCATCGATGTTCGTGGCGGTTGGTACGGTTGGTATGGTTGGTAGGGCTGGTGTTGAAATTGTGGTGGGGGCGATTGACTTGTCGTCGTTGCCGAGACGGGTGTTGCATTGGCTGTAAGTGACGCAGAAAGTGGTGCCGATGATGACGCGGTAGCGGTGGTGGTCGATGCGGACGCGGATGAGGATTGGGTAGGGTAGGCGGTCGACTTTAGGTATTCCAGAAAGGCAGCATGATTTGCGGGGGTGAGATTCATTGGCTGGGACAGGTGAGCCTGGTAAGTATTAGGGGCTTGTGAATGTGAGGCAGGTGCCTCCGCGAATTGCCGTCGTCCTTGTTCCTGCTGGTAAGGCTGTTGTGAGAAATGGTCGTGCCGTTGTGGCGCTGATGGAGCTGACACTGGTTCAGGATCAGATAAGGTCGAGAACCCGAAGGAAGCCATTGACGGAGGCTTGTATGGCGTACTATCCTCCTGCACTGTCGACTCGGAAGATCCCAAGAAACTGTCCCAATCCATCATTCCTCCCGCACTTTCTACTGTAGACGAAGCGGGTTGTCGGAACCCAGAAGAGTATCCCGTCCCTGATCCCGCACCACTAGTGCTACTACTGCTTCCAAGGGTCTCAAGGGCGTTGGTGGTATGTTGAAAGGCCCTCGAAGCCGAAGAAGTCGTCGCTTTTGAACTCGAGCTGCCAATCCCTCCTTGTGACGATGATGAGGACGAGCCGCCTCCGAAACTGTGATGTTGTCTCAACGCATCTGCCTGCCGTGGATCCAGCGTCGCGGCGGCATTCCTGGCCGATGCGACTATTGACCCTAACAAAGTCGACGACGACGACGTGGTTGTGTAAGGGGTGGTTGCACTAGAGGAGGCAGTCGCGGCTGTTGTTGTCGAGTGAGCTCCTCCTGTTGATGTGGCGGCTGTACTACCAAGACCCACCCCTCCTGCTCCTCCTGATCCAAAAGTCGACGACGACGTGGTGGTGTTCTGGTCGTGTGGCAGGCGACTTTGATTTTGACTTTTGCTTGGCTGTTGGGGGTCCATCTTGGCAGCTTGGAATATGGGCTGTGGGCTGTGTTTGTTTGGATATTTGGTTTTCGACAATGCTACACGTTAATAATAGCCGAGACAGAAAGGTTAGAAGGGGAGCTCTGATCACGCCAGGAAGTGATGTCCGGGGTGAGAAGGATGGGATGAGGTGCATGTGTCGACTTACGTATTGTGTCGTATTGTGTCGGTTGGGAGATGGGCGGAGTGGAGTGGAAAGGTGATCAGGGAAAAAGAAAAAAGGAAAAAAAATTCAGGAACATATTGAATGATGACCATTGATGTTCACGTGCAAGGATCCGTCGAGTCAATCGGTCGAGTCAAAAAAAAATGGGACGGGATGGGATCTGGTTGGATTTGGTGGCACCCTTCAATCTCCCATCTCTGTCTACAGTCTTCAGCCTCCGCGTTTCGATTCTCTAGGCAAAGGGCGGAAGGCAAAGTAGTTGTACCGGTGCAAAGGTCTAGAATCTAGGCACAATAGTTAGTCCGAGCAATGATGCGGAGAGAGAGTTGAGAGGATGGGTGGATGGATGTAAGATGACAACAGCAGGTGCCAGGGGGTTCTCTCCTTGAATACTACTATCTTTGCAACTCCTCACAAGCCAAACATCAAGAAGAAAAGACAACAGCAAGGAGGTAGCGGGATGAGAAAGCCGAACATGCGCATTGTTGTTCTGAAGTCAACCCTTTTCTTTCTTGTTCGCTTTCGCTCTCGCTTGAGGGTTAGGATATGCTCTAGTTCTTGGCCAAATCATTTACTACTGCGAACTGCGAACTGCGAAATGCGAAATGCTCAAGAGAGTGAGGCTCTTGGTTCTATTTTCTTAAACAGCCTTTTCAACGAGAGAAGTAGGCTGTATAGGTTGTCAGAAAAATAAACAGAAAAACCGAGAGCGGTTCCCTTTGCAAGTAGGGTTCCCCGACCAACGTGGTGGCAAGTGAAATGAGGTGGCAAAGTATTTGGTGGCAAGAGTAGCTAGCTAACATGGATACACGAATGGCTTTTCCCCTTCCCCTCATGTATACAGGTTTGTTTATTTCAGTGGCAATTCAATGTAGTCTTGCAGTGGTGGCAAAAAAAAAATGAGTGTTCGATCGGCGGACGCCGTGCATGTCGACAAAGAGCAACGTCAGAGCGGACTTTTGTTGGGTGATTCGGATTTGTGGTTTTGCCAACGCATCGACGATACATTTCATCCAAGGAAAGGAAAAAAGGGAAAAAGGCCATGGGTGTACGTAGAGGAAGGGTACCGCAGCCACGTCAGCGTAGCTAAAGAAGACGTGTCCCAGATAGGTAGGTGAGCTAATCTCAGATCTGGCTCCGGAGAGATCAGTCAGTCATGACTGGAGAGGTGAGTAAGTGAGAGACATCGAGTGACCCCATTTGTGAATGATTGGTTGGCTTGTCTGTCTACTTGGCCTGCTGGTGAGAACCTTGCGAGCTGCTGCGGTGTGACGAGTCGCAGCAAAATTCGAAAAAGCGCAGCCAAGAAAAATGGAGGGAACCTTGGATTGACGGACTTCGTGCATTTACTGAGATTGCAGACTTAGAAAGCATTATCAATGCTACTCATCTCCTTGCAAACTGCAAAAGAGAGATGCAGAATTGCGCAAAAAACGAACGAGCATTGGTAGCAAGATGAGTGTCTGGGCCTTGTCCGAAGAAGAGAAGGGCCGCTCGTTTTCTTCGTTCTTCGTTGGCCACCAAAGTGAACCAGCCCATTGTGCTCAACTGTGGGACGTTTATTCCTTCCTGACGTCTGTTTGTGTTTTATTCGTTTTTTCCGCTTTCGGTGCCTGAAAAAACAACCAAGGCGACTCTTCTTCTTTTTTCCTTTTTCTCTTCCTTCTCTTCCCTTCTTTTATCAACTCAATTCCCTTGCCATCGACTGTTGCACACATACTCGCCTCCACTTATTCCTCGCCACAGTCGATCTCAATCGAATCGATCTTCATTCCCTTCCCTCACTCTTCATTCCGCATGCTCTTTTAAATACAACAACCCGTCTACTTTCCAGTTCCTTTTTCTACCCTTTTTTATTACTTTTCTGTTCCCTATTCATAACAATATGTCTTTTACCTTCACTAACGAGTCTGCAAAGAGAATCTAAACAACAAAAAAAACAAAAACACACCTTAAAAAAAAGCAACCCGATTCCGTCGACCTTACTTTTATTTTGTCTTGTCACTAGCTATTAACCAACAAAAAAAAAGGCTATCAGCTCCAGTGGCAAAAGAACCAACAAAAAAATCAGATTCTCTTTAAACTCTCTTCAACTTAACACCTTCACCACCGCGCCTCCACCTTTAACTCAGCTAGTGCAGTTATCGCACTTGCTCCATCAAAAGGTAAGAAAAAGAAAACCTCAAAAAACTAGAAAAGACGGAAAGAGTTCAAAATAATTTTACACCACTCCTCCCATGACGAAGTCAGTCAAGAATTCAAGCAGTCAGTTCACCTTTTTTATTTTTGCATTTGTGGCTCATATGGGTTCAACGCACATTTTTGATTATTTTGCCTTCGGGCCGGCAAACCCGTTTTCTGCATGGGCCAAAACTGGATTCACCAAAAAGAGCGGATTGTGCGAGGAACATCAGGGGGTTCAGGTTCAGGTGGCCTGGGTGGGATGGGTGTCGATTCGGTTCTTACTACCCGAGACAACGTACACAAAGCAAAGCACAATGGATATGAGGTGGGATGGGATGAGGGCTCGTCCCACCTGCAATCTGCAGACAGTATTTTGCATTTTTACATGGCCGAGGGTTTGTGTGCAGCATGTATGAGTAAGATGATGGGAAAGAGGTAAGAGGTAAGAGGGAGGGCTGGTAAACCATTTGACAAGGGGTCAATGGTATCTTGCATTGCTGCATTTGTGACGGGAATGCTTTTTTTGGGATGGTGGATACTCTTCTTTTGAGTGAAGCGAGCGTCAATTGACCATAGCATTGTTGATAATCACACGCGCGTGCATGTTTGAAAACAGATGGTAGCCGAGAGGGAGGGAAAGTGGAGAAAAGAGAGTATCCGAGATCCGGATGATGATGATGATGATGATGGGATGACGGTAGTAGGTTGTAGTACCTTGTAGAAGCAATTGTCTACTCTCGTGTTATCTATTTACAACACATTAGTGAGCGGGTTTGAGCATGGGGCAAGAAGAATAGAAGAGGATCCAGGGAAAGCCAAGCCGAGGTCGACAGGGATTTGTCAGTCGTTAGGATGTCCGACTCTTTGGCTGGAAGGACTGGGTGGACTGGAAGAAACGAAAAAATCTTTTTTGCAGGAAGGAGGGGGGTCGGAGAGAGTATTTCGAGGATTTGAAGGGGGTGCGATTAGAAATCTTGTTTATTTGCGTGTCTGGTGGTGCAGCAGAACTGTGTTGAGATGGGTAATCCAAACAGGCATTCTGCCCGTGGGTCCATGTCCCAATACAAAAAGAGACTTTTCCAGACACTATTCTCACAAGTGTGACTGCGTAGATGTTTCACTCCCAGCTCACCCTTGCCTGTGTCTCCGCCTCCCATAATCAACCAAGCCGCCCTTTTTTCACTACTCTATATTTGTACTCTTCTTCTGTGGGTCGATTGAGTCGTTCGAGTGGATGATTGGACTGATGATGATTGATCCGACTATTCGACTGATTGGATGACATATGTGTCTTACTCTCAGACATATAAAAGATCACTCCCTCCCCCAAAATGAAATCCTTATTTTACCTTTTCGATTCGTTGTACCATATACCCTCAACCGGTGTGACACTCTCTCTCTAACCACTCACTCACCCCACTTCTTCCTTCTCACTCTCTTCAACCCTCTTCACCTTCACCTCTTCTTCCCCTTTACCCATTCCCTTTCTCTCCTACTTCACCTTTTCGCCTTCTCTTCTCATCAACAAAGTAGTCGACTCAACAACAACAACAACAACAACAGCAGATCTACTCCCCCTTCCCTCCACCTCCCAACCAACAAACACACAGCCTCCACCTCCAAAACACCATGCTTTGCCTCCCTGCCCTGAACCAGTCTGAGTTCTCCGGGAGCCCCATGGCTGCTGCTGCTGCGTCCTCCATCCGGGCGCAGCACTGCGGTTACCTCCCCTCCGCCTCCACACCTACACCCGCACCCGCAGCCCTCAACTCCTCCTATAACAACTCCCCTTCCTCCTCTTCCTTGTACAGTCTCCCCCTTCCTCCCCAACCCCAGAACCTCGACTCTTTCTCCCTTCCTTCCTCATCCACTCCCTGCTCCATGCCCGCTGCTCCCTCATGGCAATCACAGGCTGCCGCGCCCAACAGCAGCAACACCACCAGCATCAACAACACGACTACCCCTAAGCAGCCCTTGATCCTCGACTCGCTCACTGCCAGCAAGATCAGCATCGTCGAGAACCTAGTCGGTAAGCACGAACTTCTTCCCCTCCCTTTCCTACTTCCCCCTTTCCTTTTTTCACACTTGCGATGACTCTTTTGTGTGTAAGCAAACTTGTTTGCTAACAAGAGATCCTTTTTTTTCCCTTTTCCCTCCACTTTTCTTTTCTTGTGTACGTTTGGGCCTTTTCCTTGTGAAAATAGACACTGCTGCATTGATTATCGAATCCATTTGGCCCAGTCCTGTGGGAGCGTCATGCACCGCCAAGACTCCAGTCATTCCACTCCATATCTTTGTCAAGGAAACTCTCCGACGCTCTCGCACCACCCTCTCAACCCTCCAACTCGCTCTTTACTACGTCTACAAGATCCGTAACCAGGTCTTGGCAGCTCAGGAAAAGATTCGTCACGACCACCTCCAGCAGCAGCACAGACAGCGTCAGAATATGCAGAACCAGCACCAGCCCCTTTCGCCCAACGGCTCCTTCGACAACTATTGCTCCGACGATGATACCAGACAGCAGCGCGACTACTTCCACTCCATCTCTGCCGCGCATGCCAAAGCGCAGATCCAGAAGAACTCTCTCCCCTTGACCCCTCCTGGTGCCAACCACACCCCGACCGCCCTTTCGCCCCTCTCCCTCTCCGCCTCAACATCGACCTCGCCTATCCTCGCAAAGTCCGAGCCTGTTGGATGTGGCCGTCGCATGTTCTTGGCAGCTCTCATTCTTGCCTCCAAATTCCAGCAGGATCGCACCTACTCCAACAAGGCGTGGTCCAAGATCTCTGGGCTGCCCGTTGCCGAGATCAACCTCAACGAGATCACGTTCTTGACACTGATTGATTACCGCCTCTTTGTCTCCCAGACTGTTTTCCAAAAGTGGGTCACTATCCTCACAGAGAAAGGCAAGTGCAGAGACAGATCTGCCTCGGCCAGGACCTTCAACTCGGATGTCGCTGTTCAGCAAACCACTCGTCGCAACTCGATCCAGTACTGCAACAACACTCTTCCCTCTCGTATGACCTGTGTTACTGCCTCTTCTCTGGAACAGCAGCAGCAGCAGCCTCAGCAATCCTCGATTCCAACGGCTGCAACGGTGGCTCCTCACTTGCCCTCGTTTGCGTTGTTTGTCGCTGAACAGCAGAGATCGTTACAGTCAACTCCCATCTGTGAAAAGCCATCGTTCCAGTTCGAGATGGTTATTCCTCTTGGCGCTCCAGCCTTGTCGAAACAAGCGTTGGATGCTCACAGCTCGGCCAATGCCGTCAGCGGTCTCGTTCAGCCAGAGTCGGCGCCAAGACAGCAGCAGGGAATGGGCGCCAGCATGACTCTTCGATGGGTTCAGGATCAGCGTCGCGAGTTTATTCGCTCTCGTCTTCTCTCGATGGGCTACACTGTCAACCAGCAGCAGCAGCCTTCCGAGTCACCATCTCAGGCTCAGCTTGCGCACCGCAACATTGTGGAGAACTACAAGAACAACGTGATCATGTACTCCCAGTCTGGCACCTACTCGCTTAACATGCGCCACCAACAGCCTCAGCAGCAGTTGAAGATCGACACCGCCAAGGCTGCCGGTGTTCAGACCTTCTTGCCTTCGCCCACCTCGTCTGGATCGCCTACCCAGTTGACTGGATCGAAGCGTCGCATGACTGACTCTGAGGAATCGGAGGAGATGAAGGACCAGCGTAGCCTCGCCCGTAGACGTCTCAGTGTCTCCTTCCTCGTCGACTGCTAATAGTCGTCACTTCACTTTTTATTTTTTCGTTTGGAAGGAAAACACGATTTTCATCTTGCCATCCATCTCTCTGTTCGTACTTTTCTTTTTTTTTTTCCTGTCCTTTTTTTATTATTCCGTTGCTTTGTTATGCTGTGTTGTTTGTATCTTTTTCCATCCTGTCTGTTTTTACCCTACACCCATGTACCATTGTACCATCGCCTTTCTTTTTCTTTCTCTTTTACCCTGTTGTAGCATACCTTTTATCTTAGCACAAGCACCCCCCTAATCTTCATGACCAAACTACAAAAAAATGTACTTTTACCCATCCCATCTAAAAAACTTGTGTTTCCCTGGCCCCATTGGGCGTTGGTTAAAGACTAGAGTAGAGACGATACACATCATACACGATGAACGAGCAACAATAATGCGAGAATTGGACTTCCCAGAGAGGAGGACGCGTCTTGCTCCCAGTGGTTGGAAAATAAAGAACGTATGCACGTGAATACGGTTCCCTTCCCCCCCTGTGTGTATTTGTTTGTGAATGGGTCAAGGATGATGTGGAGAAGGAGACCAGACTGACAGTGCGGCGGACAGTCGCTCGAGGCAGAGAGGGTGACCAATAGTGAAGCAAAAGAGAGGAAGATGGGACAAAGTGTATCTATCCCTTTCTCCTTATTCTTTTGTCCTTTTCTCACCCACACACCGTTTGCTGTTCATTCTTCCTTTCCTCCTCCTCCTCCTCCTCCTTCTCCTTCTCCTTTACTATCTTCACCTTCTACTCCTTCCACACACTTCTCCCAACACGCACTTGTTATTTCTCCACCCTCCCGTCTTGTCCTCCTTTCAACCCTACACCTTCTCCCCCTCCATCTCCACAATAACCCCACACCAACCAACCTCGTCATCAACAAAAACTCAAAGACACTATGATGCGGTCCAACAATCCGTCGATTCCCATCCCACGCACCGTGCCATTACTCCCATTGCACGACAAGGTCCTCCTCCCAGGAGTAGTTACTCGACTCCAAATCTCGCGACGGGATTCTATCCCCCTGTTTGAAAAGATCCTTCGCTCTTATGATAGCAAGGACTTGAACAAGTGCATCATTGGTGTATTCCCCGTCCATACCCCTGTCTCTCTTCCTGGTGGCAAGACTAACAAGCACACTTCCTCCTCTGCGGCTGACAAGAAGTCGAGCAGTATCAGCAGGAGTGATTATGGCGGATACCCCTTGACGGATGATGGTGTTGTTGTTGGCAGCAATGCGGGTCAGGTGGTTCCGTTGATCGGCGGCCCTGGCAATGGCGGAGGTCAGGTCCCTCCGGTGGACCCTGCGCATATTCATACGACGGGGTGTGCGGCTCGGTTGGTTCGCCTTGAGCGAGCCGTTGGTGGGTTTACTGTTATGCTTGAAGGTAAGTTTTCTTTTGGTTTCTGATTTTTTCAATGGTGCTGCATCTGCTATTGTTACTTCTCGCTTTGTTGTTGTGCATCGTTGTGGTTGTGAACCATTGACGAGACGAGTTTCTGTGGAGGAGTGTGCTACCACGGACCAGGTTGCTGTTGAGACAAAACGAACAAAAAAAACCAAACTCCGAAATGCTATCCCTTTCCCCTCTTCTCACTCGCCTTTTGCTCATGCTAATGCAAACATCCCTCTCTAATACTAGGTGTTGTACGACTTCGGCTGAACAAGATCATTTCCCAGACACCCTTCTTTGAAGCAGATGTCACACCCCTGCTCGACAGACCCATCGACAAGAACGACCAAGACCTGCAGGACCAGATCGTTACATTGAAATCGACCTCCAAGGAGTTTGTCTCGTTGTTACAGATACTCAAGTTGCCCGCCCCTATCCTGGTCCAACTTCAAAAGTTTCTGGAGAATGTGGGTGTAATTCCTGGACAGGTGGTTGACCTGCTGATGAGTACCATCGAGAGCACCAATGAGGAGAAGCTGATGATCCTGGATGCTGCGGATTTGAAGGAGCGGATCCCCAAGGCCATCGAGTTGTTGACTCGACAGATTCATGTACGTTCATTATGTTGTTGTTGGGGAATGGAACAGATGATCGTGAACGGTTCAACTTATACCCTCTCCTGCCAACTCAACATTAGGTACTGAAAATCTCACAAAAGGTGCACGACAACGTGGAGGGAAAGCTGAACAAGAAGCAACGCGAGTTTTATCTTCGACAACAGATTGCGGCTATCAAGGAGGAATTGGGAGAAAAAGACGCAGGTGAGGAGGACGAGATGACGACCATCGAGAACCGCCTCACCGCCGCTAACTTGCCCGCCGAGGTTCAAAAGGCGGCAGACCGGGAGATGAAGCGTCTACGAAAGATGCAACCGGCGTCGTCCGAGTACTCTGTCATCCGAAACTACCTGGACTGGTTGGGCGATTTGCCCTGGAACAAGTCGAGCGAAGATAACCTGGATGTTGAGCGGGCAAGGAAGCAACTAAATGATGATCATCATGGGCTGGAGAAAGTTAAGCGCAGGATTTTGGAGTACCTGGCTGTGACAAAACTGCAGCTGCTTAAGGGTGATGTCAAGGGTCCTATCCTCTGCCTTGTCGGACCCCCTGGAGTAAGTCTCATGCCAATGCTCTCTTTTTTTATTTATTTTGTGTGCAGTATGACTTGGTGTGTACATGTAAGAGGAGGAATGCATGAAAAGGCAAAAATGCCTAAACAGTTTTTCATCCCTCTCAATTATTCGATAGGTCGGCAAAACCTCGCTTGGACGATCGATCGCAACGGCAATGGGGAGAAAGTTCCACCGGATCTCTCTTGGAGGAGTGTGGGACGAATCCGAGATTCGAGGACATCGTCGGACGTATGTCGGTGCGCTGCCTGGGCTTATCATCCATGGACTGAAGAAATGCGAAGTCAACAACCCTGTATTCCTGCTTGGTAAGCTATTGCGCCCTTTTGGCTGTGAATTTTTTATTTGTACCCTGTGCTAATCCAATGAGAATGAATCCCATGGTATGACCACATAAGAAAAATCTTAACCTTCTATTGTCCCTGTTTGCGCTCTTTCAATATCGTGTCTGGTGATGCTGGATGAACGGATGAACGGCATGAACGCATATATGTCTATGTTTATAGACGAGATTGACAAGGTTGGATCCCGAGGACATCATGGTGACCCTTCCGCGGCCTTCTTGGAGGTTCTCGATCCCGAACAGAACAACACCTTCGTAAGCATAAGCACTCTGTCTTCAAATGGAACAAGCGGGTAGATACAGGACTTATCTTTTTTTTGGGCTATTGTCTCACTTTTTTAACCCACTTTTCTGCCCTGACATGGGACCATGGGAATAATTTGTAGACGGATCACTACTTGAATGTGCCGTTTGACCTGTCCAAGGTCCTGTTCATCGCCACGGCCAATTCCCTCGACACGATTTCGGGTCCGCTGCTCGACAGGATGGAGCTCATCACCATCCCTGGTTATACCTATGCCGAGAAACTGGCCATCGCTACCAACCATCTCCTGCCCAAACAGATCCGACAGCACGGACTCAACGACGACGATGTCGAAGTCACTCAGGAGGCACTCCTCAAAGTTGCGACGGGGTATACTCGTGAGAGTGGAGTGCGCCATCTGGAGCGCGAGATTGGCTCCCTTGTCAGAGCAAAGGCTGTAGAGTACGCCGAAGCGCAGGAGCGTCGACTGGCGAATGATGGGGGAGCGCTCTTGCAACCCGACTACCACCCTTTGGTCTCAGCCACTGATGTGGAGGATATTTTGGGGCAGGAGAAATATGTTAACGAAGTGACTGAGCGTACACCGACACCAGGAGTAGTAACCGGGATGGCCTATAATGGAATCGGGGGAGGGATCCTGTTCATTGAGGCCTCACAGATGCCCGGAAAGGGCAACTTGCAGTTGACGGGCAGTTTGGGTGATGTGATCAAGGAGAGTGCACAAATCGCGTTATCTTGGGTCAAGGGACATGGGTACGATCTGGGTCTTACGACGGATCATGGACAGAATGTGATGGAGAAATCGGATGTCCATATCCATATGCCCGGCGGTGGCACTCCTAAGGTACTTTTACTTTTGAACTGTCTGTCTTCAACCCCTTTATGCTGGTGTTTATGCATCACTCGGAGATTATTATTTAGGTGAAGGACGCGAGCATTAACTTTCTCGCGTTGCCTGTTTTGTGTATGTGAAAATAGGATGGACCGTCAGCTGGCATCGCAATGGTATGTGCCCTTGTCTCAATGTTCGCTCACCAGACCGTGCCTGCTACCACCGCAATGACGGGCGAGTTCACCTTAAGAGGCCTTGTCATGCCCGTGGGCGGGATCAAGGAAAAAGTCATTGCAGCCCATCGTGCTGGTGTCCGAAAGATTATTATGCCCTTGAGAAATCGGAAGGATGTGGTGGCGGATGTTCCTCCGAATGTCCGGGAAGAGATTGAGTTCTTTTATGCGTCCACGGTGTGGGAGGTGTTGAGGGAGGCGTTTGAAGGCCGGGTTGCTGCTCGGGCTGGGAGTGTTGCTGCAAGTGGGGTTTTGGACAGTCGGATATAGTCTTTTTGTGTTGTTGTTTTTTTTTGTACGGTTAGGATTCTTTGACCCCTTTTTTTGTTTCGCCGAAATATTAAATGGAGTGTTTTTTAGTGCGCATGTTTCTCCACACGACCATACACAATGGTGTTGCTTATTTTTTTTTGTTTGTTGCATGAAGAGCATGTGTTTATTCAAGGTATTTTACATTGTGCTTGTTAATGAGAGTGAAATGTTCATGAGGGTGTGATACAGTTACAGGTATGAAAAAGGAAGGAAAACCAAAAAGGAGAACAAAACAAAAAAAGGAAAGCAAAATAATTTAGACGTTGCCGCTCTGGGCTGCAAGACCATAGAACAACCCATCCTTCTTTTCCAACAGGTTCGTAGGGGAATCAAACTCTGCGACGCGTCCCTGGTCGAGAACTAGGATTTTGTCACTGTCCATGATCGTATTAATACGATGGGCGATCGTGAGGACGGTACAGTTCTGGAACTCTCTCCTCAAAGCGCGTTGGATGGCGTTGTCGGTCTCGACATCAATGGCGGCGGTGGCTTCGTCAAGGCAGAGAACACGGGTGCTCTTGGCCAGCATCGCGCGTGCAAGGGACATGAGTTGGCGTTGACCAAGGGACATGTTCTCGCCACCATTTTCGATCACGGTTGAGAGACCTTCGGAGAGGGTGGTGATGTAGGGCTTGAGGGAGGCGGATTCGAGGGCGGACCAGATCTCGGCGTCAGTGTGGGATGAGAAAGGGTCGAGGTTGAGACGGATTGTGTCGCCAAAGAGGAAGGGCTCTTGGGGGATGATGGTCAAACGGGAGCGGAGCTCGTGGAGACCGAGGGTGGAGATGTCGATCCCGTCAATAGTGATAGAGCCGGTAGCAGCTTCGATGATGCGGAAGAGGCCGAGGGTTACACTGGACTTGCCGGCGCCTGTGCGGCCGACGATTCCGACGCGCTCTCCGGGCTGAATCTTGACACTCACATCCTTGAGGACCAAGTCCAGACCTTCACGGTAGCGGACACTGTAGTCCTTGAGTTCGATCGCACCATTCTGAGGCCAAGCGGGGTCGGTTTTGGAATCAGGGATGACATCACGGGCCTCGGGTGTGAGGTTTGAGTACTCGCGGACACGTTCGACGGAGACGATGGACGTTTGGATCAAGCAGGAGGTGGAGAGGATGCGGGACATGATGAGGGTCAAGACGCCGATGTTGGAGAGCATGATTGCAAAGTTGCCGGCGCTGCCTTCGCGTTGGACGACTGCCATTAAGCATACAAAGCCGAGTGTGAGGGTTGAGAGTTGGTCGATCATGATTTGGAGCCAGCGGTTGGTCATGTTTGTCAAGTAGCCTGTGGTTTGGGACCGGTCCAGGAGGGTTGTTGCTTGAATGGCGAGGCGTTCTGTATCGTTGAATGCGCGGATTGTTACGAGACCTGCGAGGGTTTCTCCAAAGTGGGCATACATGGGCGAGCGGGCTGCCGAGTCGAGACGTTTGAGTTCCCGGGAGGAGACGAGGAAGAACCCGCCGAGGATGTAGTAGCAGATTCCGAGAGGGACCATGATTGCGAAGAACCAGCGGGTGGCGAGGATACAGAAGACAAAGATTGAGATAGCCATGGTGGAGATGAAGAGCATGTTGACGAATTGGAGAGGAAGCTCAATGTCGACGGCGTTGATGTCGTGCGAGAACCGGTTGACGATCTTTCCAGAGGATGTGATATCAAAGAAACTCATGGGTGCGCGGACAAGAGGGCGGAGCATGGCGGCGTGGAGGAAGTGGGAACCCCGCTGGGCCATGACAATCATCGACAATCCAATCGCTCCGGCGAGGGTGATACCGCCCGCAAGCACCCATGCAAAGTACGAGACGACCCAGTAAGTATCCGAGTGCGACTCGGGTGCCAGACCTGCCGCGGCCATCTCGGTACTATTACCCCACCTCTCGAGCCAGAGTTGTGTCCCGACCAGGACAGCGAGGTTAACAAGAGTGGAGAGGAGGAAGATTGTGCAGGATACGATACCGATGGAGGTAATGTAGTACTTGTAGACTTCCCATCCTACGCGGCCCTCGGTGGTGATCTCTTCGTCGACTTCGTTCTTTTCGTCGATCTCGAGGTGGTGGTCGTCGTCGCCCTGTTTGTTAGCTTTGGAGGATTTGGCGCGCTTAAATGTCGGGCGTTTGACGGGACCAGCTGGGCGATCGGTGGTGAAGGTAGGAAGGGACTCCTTCTCAGAAATGGAGGCGACAATAGATGCCTTATCCTCCTCCAACTCGGACTCAGAAGCTTCCGAAACTGATGACGATGATGACGGAGCATTATCCTCCTTACTAGCGACCAGCTTGGACTCCTGGATCAGACGGTATAGATCACCGTCAACGTTCTGGATAAGGTCCTCATACGCGCCATCCTGTGTGATCCGTCCTTGTTTGATAACAATGATCTGATCGACCTCCTTGAGGTGATTAACGCCGTTGGTGACCAGGATACGAGTCTTGTCGGCAAGGATGGTGGTGAGTGCGTGTTTGAAGATGTGATGATCGACGTGGGCGTCGACGGCTGAGAGCGGGTCGTCGAGGATGTACACGTCTGCGTTGGCGTAGACTGCACGGGCGATGGAGATGCGCTGCTTCTGACCACCCGACAAGTTGATACCCTATTGAGATTGAGTATGCGGACGAAAATAATTATGTTAAGTTATGGTGACACGAAAAGAAAACATAAAATCATGACATGAGGGCAACATGGCAGAAGTAATTATTGTTACCTTTTCACCGATGACGGTCTTGTCACCACTGACGAGCATCTTGAAGTCGGGAACTAGGGCACAAGAACGGATAGTCTCGAGATAGCGCTCCTTGTCAAAGGGACGACCAAACAGAATGTTCTCGCGAACAGTAGCATTGAGAATCCAGGCTGTCTGACTAACATAGGCGAGAGAACCGAAGGAGCGGACTTGACCAGAGTACTTGTACATTTCACCAAGGAGAGCGCCGACAAGCGACGACTTTCCCTCGCCGACACGGCCAACGATAGCTGTCAAGGCGCCACGACGGATCTGGAGGTTGATATCGTGCATGACAGGGCCCATGCTATCGCGGGTGGCAGGTAGGGTTTCTGAGGCGGTGTGGGCGGCTTTCTCATCAGTCACGGTGGGATCAGATTTCTCGTCCAAAGTGGTGGAGGACTCGAGTTCAGCGGTGGCGGGGGCAACAGGTGCCTTCTTGTTCTTCTTGTTCTTCTTGGCCTCCTCTTTGGCCTTCTTCTCATCCTCCTTGGCCTTCTTTTCGATCGCGGCATCGATAGCTTCGGGAGTGTACCATCCAAAGGTTCCGTTGGTGACCTCAAAGGCGATCTCCGAGGCAGTGGCATCTGGGTTCTTGATAACATTGGTCTCATCAATCTCTTCCGAGTTCAGGAACCCGCTCAGACGACCGTATGCGACTTGGCCGGTGACGATCGCAGACATTGAGCTGCTCAACAGACCCACTGGGTCCTCCAACATGCCGATCAGAGTAATGGTCGTAAAAATGCGACGGATATCCAGGGGTGCATCTGCGGGAGCGACGGAAGAATAAACGGCGAGGGTGACGAAAATCACAAACGGGTGGATCATGTTGATGACTGTAACGACAGCAGTGATCCAGGAGAAGAACCGGCGGAGGTACATCAATTGCTCATTTCTGGCGGTCGTAATCTTCTTGACAAAGTACTCCTCCCATCCGTACAACTTGATCGATTTGATGGCTCCCACGAGTTCTGTGATTAGTTTCATCCGATGGTCCGAGGCCTTCATGGAGGCCTTTTGGTTCTTGCCAACCGCGGGGGAGCAGATTCCGACGATAATGATCATGACGACGACGACGCCGAGGGAGGCGAAAATGGTGTAGCGGACTTCTTTGTAGAGCATTGCGATGGTAATGATGACTTCGACGAGGGCTGACCAGAGGAGGTGAATAATGTCAAAGAAGGCCACGACCTTGTCAACATCGGTGGACATGTGGTTGACGATCGAGCCCATACCCTCCTGTTTGTTGGTGGAGCTGAGGCGGAGGGACTTGCGGTAGACGAGGGTGACAAAGACGCTGCGAGCCTTGAGTCCTGCGTTGTAGTTGATGAACTGGAACTGTCCGTCAAAGAGAGAGGAGAGGATCGAGGCGGCGACGACGGCAATCACGTACCCAAACCCAATCCATGGCGCGAGTGGTTCAATCCCCCTCGCCTTGGAAGCAGGCGAATAACTAGAAACAAAGGCCACCAACTCGGAGAACAAGATCGGGCGGATGTAATAACAAACGATATAGAAAACCCTAGGAATCGCGGCTGTCATAAAGGTGTATCCGACAGTGTGGAAAATCGTCCCGGAAAGGTTAATTTTTGGCGTGATTCGTGTCGCCACCTTCGTGGTGTCGCCAGCCTCCTGGGACTTCTTGACAGCTGCTGCGTCCTGGGCCTTGTTATCGAGGGCGATGGCTTCGTCGGCGTGGAGTTTGGCCGTGGTGGTGAGGTAAAGAGGGTAACTGAGGAGTTTTGGGTTGAGGTTGTAGAGATCGTCCATCTTCAAGGTCCGCGACTTTCCGAGGCGGAGGAGAGGGAACAACCAGAAGAACGTTAACCTCTTAAAATAATTCGAATGCGGTTCCGGGGAAGGATTGGATTGTTCCGGGACTGGGACTCCACCGGATCGCACCAACGACTTGTAATTGGGCTTCGGGATGTTCTCAAGGATGAAAGCGAAGAGGGCGAGGATTGAAAAGACGAGTTTGAGGGTAGGGAGTGTGGCAGAGAGACCGTCGGGGGTGGTTTGGATCCAGGAGCGGGTAGGGAAGATGGAGAGGAGGGTTGTGAGAAGCCAGAAGAGGAGGAGGGAGGAGGAGGGGTTTGGCATGTTGTAGTGTTCAAACCAGTGCAGCAACAACGCTCCCGCCTATTAGTTGTAGGAGATGTGGATAGACGTGACGAGGTCGAGGGGTTAGTTGATGGGTTGTGGGGGAGCATGCAAATTCAGGGGTGATGGCCTCGGCGTAGTAACAAGGTGTGGATCGATTCCGCATTTGGTGTTTTTTTTGTTGCAGGTAACAGCCAGCTCTTCAAAAGGAAAAAATAATAATGTTGCTCCCATGCAACAGAAAAACAAAGAGAAGAACCATAAGAGCATCTCGGAGAAAGTGGAGTGGACGGAATTGAAGAGAAGGAACGATAGAGGGGAATGGTGAGAAAAAAAAAGAATGAGGTGAAGAACGAAAACCTTACCAGTCCAGCCAAGTAGACGGCGGAACTCAAAATGCTGGAACCGCCATAGAGGTCATTGTCGGAGATAACCTTAATGAGGATTCCCAGCTGGACAGCGAACGCAGCAAGGGTGGTCAGCATCTTGACAACAAAGACAGGGGTTACTTTGACACCCTCAAGACGACCCTTGCCGACGACTGTTAAAAGGCGAGGGGATATGAAGATCATCAAGAACACGCTTGGGATGAGTGTCACCACACTATCGGAGATGGGAGGAAAGGACGATGGTGGTGAGTAAGCGCTTGTTCATTCATTTCCGGTCCAAGGGTCCACCGAAATGTCCGAGCAGAAAAAAAAAAGATACCTGTTCTGGAAACACAGGGTGAAATCCATGGGGCGACTGGTGCTGAAAACAGCCCAACCCTCTGCATCACAGTAAGACGGCATCGATCTGTGAGTGTACGATTGCCGATTAAAAGGGATTGAAGAAAAGGAGGGAGATATATGACGGGTGAGGAAAGCAAGGATGGGGAATGATTACGACAAGGGAAACTATGCAAGTAGTGTACAACTGAAAAGAAGAGAAAGAGAAATGAACGATGATGAGAAGGCAATGAAGAAAGGAAAATCAAGGGAGAAGTGACCTTTATATAAGCGGCGTGAATCAAGAAAGGAAAAGACTGGCGAAAGATGAAGAGAAGCGTGTGGACTCGACTACAGAGGGATTGGCAGTTTGGTTCTGCCACTGCCTCCCTTTCAATCTTCTCAGACGTGCACTTTGCAACACAGTGCAATCGAACCCAAATTTGGGCGACAATATAGTTCCTGGGGATGCATGAAGCCAATCATAACTGTGCAATCTGACGTTTCTCTTTGTTTGTCTTTTTTGCCAAGAAAGCCAAAGCAGAGAGAAGAAAAATGAGAGCCGCGCAGAAACAATAGTCCAACATACATACAGAAACAAACCAAACACGTTGGAGACACTGTAGCGAGTGGAGGCGTGGGCGCGGGTAATGGACCAGACTCCAATTGCTCCCAATACGATCGATTCTCTCTCTCTGGCTTCGAAAACAGGGGTTGGGTTTGCCCAATTTTTTTTCTTCTTTTCTGTGTTATCTTCATACTTGTATATGCTTCCTTTTTGAGGTTCAGAGAAACGATGTCGATGGTATTTTTACTTGGCCAGAACTCTATTCTATCGACTGCCAAGGATCGGTGTGACTTTGCCACGCCTTTTTTTACAAAACCACTTCTCGCTATTTACCTTATCTTTACCCTCCCGAAAGACTTCTTCAAAGCCAATCAACTCCTGCTGAGAAACTCATCGACGTGTTCGACTATCACTTCGTGGAGGGAATGGATTACGATTCTCATCCACTTCTGGACGTTCAACAAAGGGACTTCAACTCTACGACGATATCAGCGATGGCGACCTGCAAACCACTGCCGATATTCGGAGACAAGGTCCTTCCGGTTTCTTTTTCTCACGGCGGACTCAGGTTGTTAGAACTGTTGGAAGACACACAGAGAGATAGATCGATAGAATGAATGAATGAGGGATGATGGGGTAAAGGAAGAGTTCTTGGCTTTTCATATGCTTCTCAGCGTCATTCTTTTGACTCCGTAGTTCTCCTTCTCTTCCATACCTTAAACGTCCTTGATGGGAATTATCGGACTCACGCGTCGTCGTCTGTGGTCCTACGGGATGGGGGTTTTTTCACATAGAAAAAATAAGGTGTGACAACGCGCAGTAGAGCGCCTTCGCATTCTTTCTTCAAGAGAAAAAGTACTTTCCATCACTTCGAACCGGAGTGTAGTAGAACAATTAAGCTTTTTTTTTCACAGACTCCAGAAAAGGAGAAAAAGCGGGCCTGTGCAGTAGACGGCTGAAGGGAAATAAAGTCGACAAGCATGGAAATGGTTCGGATGTCCAATTTCCGAACAGTCTGACAGCTCAAGGCCAAAGGGAGAAAAGAGGAACGCACATAAATGGGAAGGCCGCTGCTTGGCGGTCAGCTGTTGTTACACTAGAATTTTATTTTTCCTTATTTTCTCGTAGTGTTTGTGTTTTTCGCTACTGCTTGTTCATGGTAGTGTCTAGTCGAAGTGCCGTCCTGGTTTACACTCTCCCTAGATCCAACATGCCTCTCGATTCTCCAAGTGCGTGTCGGCTTTTTCTTTTGCTTATGAACGCGTGGCGCTTTTCGCCCCCTTGACCTCGTGGATGCAATACAAGGATAATCCAACGCATTGTTCACTTCATATACCTCACACCACAAACCGACACAACCTCTGTCCTTTTTTCTCAGCTCAATCTTCGATACTCGAAAACGACACACACGCACAAACATAGTGCCTCAAATCAGTCATGAATGACAGTGAGAGAGGATTGACAAAATGCACAGGCCACGATCAAATTGATTGTTGATCAGCAAGCGAAACAGAGATAGTTGGTACCTGAATTGGTCATGGGCGAAAATGCAGTGTGTGACGTTAAAGATCTTGGTGTCCCGTAAACGACACTATCTTTCATTTGCATGTCGCGCGCACCTTTCGTAAATAGATATGCATAGTTTATTGTAGTTGTATAGTACTTACAGCTGGGCGACCTTGTTACTTGGATGATATTTATTTTACTATGTTACAAAGACAATGTGATGCCCGAGGTAAATTATGAATGTGTATTACGTTTTTGTATTCACTCTATGTGTATGTGAGTTGTGCGCCAAGGGCGGAAGAAGGAGGTGTTAGATATTAATAAGGAAAAGGAAGAGAGTAATTAGGCGTTTCCACTCTGAGAAGCAAGGCTGTAGAACAACCCGTCCTTCTTCTGCAGGAGAACAGAGGGGGAATCAAACTCTGCGACGCGTCCCTGCTCAAGGACTAAGATCTTGTCACTGTCCATGATGGTGTTGATGCGATGGGCAATTGTGAGGACGGTACAGTTCTGGAACTCGCGACGTAAGGCGCGCTGGATGGCGTTGTCGGTCTCAACATCGATCGCGGCAGTAGCCTCGTCCAGGCAAAGAATACGAGTGCTCTTGGCCAGCATCGCACGAGCAAGGGACATGAGTTGGCGTTGACCCAGGGACATATTCTCGCCGCCGTTCTCGATCACGGTTGAAAGACCTTCGGAGAGGGTGGTGATGTAGGACTTGAGGGAGGCGGACTCGAGGGCAGCCCAGATCTCGGCGTCGGTGTACTTGCCAAAGGGGTCGAGGTTCAGACGGATAGTGTCGCCGAACAAGAATGGCTCCTGAGGGATGATGGTCAAGCGCGATCGGAGCTCGTGTAGTCCCAGGGTCGAGATGTCGATGCCGTCAATGATGATTGAACCCTGGGCGGCCTCAATGATACGGAACAGAGCCAAAGTGACACTCGATTTGCCGGCACCGGTGCGACCAACAATACCGATGCGCTCACCAGGCTGGATGGTGACGTTTACATCCTTGAGGACCAAGTCCAGACCCTCACGGTAGCGAACACTGTAATCCTTGAGTTCGATCGCACCGGACTGGGGCCATGCCGGATCAGTCTTAGAGTCAGGGATGACATCGCGTGCCTCAGGTGTTAGGTTGGCATACTCACGAATACGCTCGACCGCGACAATAGCAGTCTGGATCTGGCAGGCGGTGGAGAAGAGGCGAGACATCATATCGGTCAAGACGCCAATCTGGGACAGGATGATACCAAAGTACCCCTCGCCGCTATTGCCACGCTGGACGACAGCCATGACGCAGACGAATCCCAGGATGATGGTGCTCAGTTGGTCAATCATGATCTGGAGCCAGCGGTTGGTCATGTTGGTCAGGTAGGCGGTTGTCTGGGATCGATCCAAAAGAGTGGTGGCCTCGATGGCCAGGCGATCAGCATCGCTGAAGGCACGGATGGTGACCAGACCGGCAAGTGTCTCACCGAAATGAGCATACATGGGCGAGCGAGCCGCCAGATCCAAACGCTTGAGCTCACGAGATGAGACGAGGAAGAAACCACCAAGCCAGTAATAGGCAACAGCCACGGGTAGCATAATAAGGAGGACCCAACGAGTGGCGATGATGGCAAAAACAAAGATACTGAGCGCCATGGTAGCGAGGAATAACAAGTTGGTGAACTGGAGTGGGAGTTCCAAATCGACGGAGTTGATATCGTGCGAGAAGCGATTGACGATCTTGCCGGACGACGTGATATCAAAGAAGCTCATAGGCGCACGGATCAATGGGCGGAGCATGGCGGCATGTAGATGACGAGAACCGCGGAGAGCCATGAAAACCATCGAGAGACCAATGGCACAACCGAGAGTTAGTGCGCCGGCGACGACCCACCCGAAGTAGGACATGATCCAGTACAGAGTTGAGTGATTGTTGCCAAAGTCCTTCGAGTTGCTGTCACCCCATCGTTCCAACCAGAGCTGGGTACCGATCAGGACTGAAAGGTCGATAAGGACGGCACAGACGAAGATGAAAACGCTGCCTAGTCCGATGCTGGTCATGTAGTACTTATAGACTTCCCATCCTACGCGGCCCTCGGCGATGATCTCTTCGTCGACTTCGTTCTTCTCATTGATCTCGACCTGATCTTCCTCCTCGACCTTAGACGATTTGGCGCGCTTGTAGATAGGGCGATCGGCTGACGGAGGTAACGCCTCCTTCTCAGAGACGGCGGGAACAACTGAAGCATTATCCTCATCCGCGTTGACCTCCGACCCAGACTCAGCCTCAGATCTCAATGAGTCAGAGCTATCCTTGCTGGCAACCAGCTTGGACTCTTGGATCAACCGGTATAGATCACCGTCAACGTTCTGAATAAGGTCCTCATACACGCCGTCCTGTGTGATCCGTCCTTGTTTGATAACAATGATCTGATCGACCTCCTTGAGGTGATTAACGCCGTTGGTGACCAGGATACGAGTCTTGTCGGCAAGGATGGTGGTGAGTGCGTGTTTGAAGATGTGATGATCGACGTGGGCGTCGACGGCTGAGAGCGGGTCGTCGAGGATGTACACGTCTGCGTTGGCGTAGACTGCACGGGCGATGGAGATGCGCTGCTTCTGACCACCCGACAAGTTGATACCCTATTGAGATTGAGTATGCGGACGAAAATAATTATGTTAAGTTATGGTGACACGAAAAGAAAACATAAAATCATGACATGAGGGCAACATGGCAGAAGTAATTATTGTTACCTTTTCACCGATGACGGTCTTGTCACCACTGACGAGCATCTTGAAGTCGGGAACTAGGGCACAAGAACGGATAGTCTCGAGATAGCGCTCCTTGTCAAAGGGACGACCAAACAGAATGTTCTCGCGAACAGTAGCATTGAGAATCCAGGCTGTCTGACTAACATAGGCGAGAGAACCGAAGGAGCGGACTTGACCAGAGTACTTGTACATTTCACCAAGGAGAGCGCCGACAAGCGACGACTTTCCCTCGCCGACACGGCCAACGATAGCTGTCAAGGCGCCACGACGGATCTGGAGGTTGATATCGTGCATGACAGGGCCCATGCTATCGCGGGTGGCAGGTAGGGTTTCTGAGGCGGTGTGGGCGGCTTTCTCATCAGTCACGGCGGGATCAGGTTTCTCGTCCAAAGTGGTGGAGGACTCGAGTTCAGCGGTGGCGGGGGCAACAGGTGCCTTCTTGTTCTTCTTGTTCTTCTTGGCCTCCTCTTTGGCCTTCTTCTCATCCTCCTTGGCCTTCTTTTCGATCGCGGCATCGATAGCTTCGGGAGTGTACCATCCAAAGGTTCCGTTGGTGACCTCAAAGGCGATCTCCGAGGCAGTGACATCTGGGTTCTTGATAACGTTGGTCTCATCAATCTCTTCCGAGTTCAGGAAATCACGGAGACGAACATAAGCGACCTTGCCGGTGACGATGGCAGACATGGAGTTGCTGAGCTGACCGAGAGGGCTCTGGAGCATGTTGATCAAAGTAATAGCAGTGAAGATGCGGCGTGAGTCTAGAGGTGCGTCAGCGGGCGCAATGACTCCATAGACGGCGAGGGTGACGAAAATAACAAATGGCGTGATCATGTTCATGATGGTAGCCAAGACAGTAACCCAGGAGTAGAATCGACGGTAGTACACGAGCTGCTCATCACGGGCATCAGAGATCTTCTTGATAAAATACTCTTCCCACCCATACAACTTGACCGACTTGATAGCTCCGACCAGCTCGTTGATGATTTTCATGCGTCTGTCCGAGGCCTTCATGCTGGCTTTGTTGTTCTTGCCCAGGAAGGGGGAGATGAGACCTCCGAGGAAAAACATGACAGCGACGACACCAATACTGGCGAAAATGGTGTAGCGGACCTCTTTGTAGAGCAAGACGATCGTTATAATCATCTCGACCACGGCCGACCAGAGGAGGTGGATGATGTCAAAGAAGGCCACGACCTTGTCAACATCGGTGGACATGTGGTTGACGATCGAGCCCATACCCTCCTGTTTGTTGGTGGAGCTGAGGCGGAGGGACTTGCGGTAGACGAGGGTGACAAAGACGCTGCGAGCCTTGAGTCCTGCGTTGTAGTTGATGAACTGGAACTGTCCGTCAAAGAGAGAGGAGAGGATCGAGGCGGCGACGACGGCAATCACGTATCCAAACCCCTTCCACGGTGTCTGAGGCTCGGCATTCTTCATGCCGGCTTCATTGTAACTGGCAACAAAGCCGACCAGTTGGGAGAAAAGAATGGGTCGAATGTAGTAGAAGCAGATGTAGAAGACACGAGGGATAGCTGCCGACATGAAAGTGTATCCGACGGTGTGGAAGATGGTTCCTGCAAGGCTGATCTTGGGTGTGAGTCGTCTCGCTGCCGTATCATCGCCAGCTTCCTTGGCCTTCTTGATAGCTGCTCCTGTCTGCGCCTTCTCGATCGCGATAGCCTCTTCAGCATCCAGCTTAGCCTTGGTAGTGAGGTAGAGAGGGTAACTGAGGAGTTTTGGGTTGATATTGTAAAGATCGTCCATCTTGAGAGTACGAGTCTTGCCGAGGCGGAGAAGAGGGAGCAGCCAGAAGAAAGTCACACGCTTAAAATAATTGGTGTGTGGTTCGGGCGAAGGGTTGGACTGAGCAGGGCGATTGGTGTTGGGTCGAGTCAGAGACTTGTAGTTGGGTTTAGGGATGTTCTCGAAGATAAACACCAAGAGGGCGAGGATAGTGAAGACGAGCTTCAGGATTGGCAGTAGGGAAGAGAGACCCTCGGGGGTGGCCTGGATCCACGACCGGGTGGGGAAGATAGATATCAAGGCGGAGAAGAGCCAGAAAACAAGGAGGGAGGAGGCAGGGTTGGCCATGTTGAAGTGCTCGAACCAATGCAACAGTCCAGCTGCAGCCTATAGATAGTGGATGTAGATAGACGGATGGGAAGATGGTCATGGTTAGTTCATATGCCACAGACAATTGGATGTAATGCTATTGTGAAATTGAGGACATTGTACTGACGAATGGAGAGAAAAAGGAGAGATATACGTACTAAGCCAACCAAGTAGATAACTGTGCTCAGAATACTGGAGCTGCCATAGAGGTCGCTGTTGGAGATAACCTTGATGAGGACTCCCAATTGAACAACGAACGCAGCGAGCACTGCCACCACCTTGAAGAGAAAGACGGGGGTTGCCTTGACACCTTCGAGACGACCCTTACCGACAACTGTTAACAGGCGAGGGGAGATAAATATCATCAGGAGCACGTTTGGGATCAGCGTTACCACACTAGCCAGAGAGTGTTACGAGAAAAGTTGGGTTGATCGTTAGAACGCGAACATTGTTGTTTGTTTTTTTCGTGTTCAATCACAATCCAGTGAAAACAAAAGTACCTGTTTTGGAAACACAATGTGAAATCCATCGCGCGGCTGCTACTGAAGACAGCCCAGCCCTCTACATCACAAAAGGATGACATGGTTGATTCTTTCTGTATTGCGTCGGACTACCGAATGTCAGTATCACACAACAATGAAAAGAGAGGAGCCAACACTGAAGAAAAGTATGATGTGGTAAAACGAAGTAGAGGGACGTAGAGAGAAGGAGCGAGAGAGGAGGAGGCTAGCACACCGGACAATAAAAAGAGACATATGGTGAGGCGCATCTTTTATACATTTCCATTTCTCTGTCTCACAACAGCCAGCGCCCAATTGTGCACTCGAACCCAAATTAAGGAGACAATTCGTTTTTTTTTCCAGGTGGCACAATGGCAAAATGGTCAGTCGAATCAATCAAACATGCACACCCAAACCCAGCAGACACACTCACATCCCTTCTCATCTGCCAAGACTGGCTCATTTATAGTGCCAAGAGGCACTTACCCGCAGTTACTGCGGGGTTATACACCATCCGACGCCGCCCATGGATATGAATTGTTCTTTTCGGTTTTCATATCGCCTGCATGTTTGATGGCATTCTTCTCGCACATCATAGTCAAATTCACAGACTATAAGGAGAAGCACATCATTTCTTGCTCACGGAAGAAGAATACCGAGATTCAGACTGCGCCAATGGTTGTTGCCTGTTCATGAAGATTTCCTCTTCCAATTGACGTCGTCACTATGCTGACCCCCTTGTAATACAGCCCACCAAACCGTGCTCAAACAAAAAGAGATGTCGGCTTTGCCTGGAATACCCAAAAGAAAAATAAAACTCGAAGAAATTAACTTCTGTTTGAAGAATCGTTGTCTTTACTTGCGTTAGTTCCTGAAGAGCTGTGTCTTTGATCCTGCATACCAGCAACTCTCACTGCCACAGGCTCTTGACGTTATGTATCGTCCCTTTCGGAATTGTTGTAGGTGACCATCCATGGTGTCTCATATTTCGCAGTGTTTTTCTTTCTACGAATTCTCCTTTTTTCTCAGCGTGATATGTTGAATGTAAAGAACACTACGGGTTTCATTTCATAACAATCGACCTCCACACATTCATGTCATCATATTTTCTTGCAGGACGTCAAGTGAAAAAAAAACTCAGTGCTTGCTCTTTTTAGGCGCCAACCTCTCACTCCGCGGACTGAGCAGGGTAGAGCTTTATCATCAGAACACTCCTTTTCGCCTCTGTTTTCATTCTTTTGCGCCCTTCTTCCTCCATTCGGCAACACATCCGCTTTTTTCGAGACTGGTCAGTCATATTAGTCCTTCCCTCTCTCTCCTCTTCCCTAGCAAAACAAGGTTTCCTTTTTTTTGTAAGACCGCAGAAATGCCAAGAAACTTTATTTCTCTTCGTGCACATGGTGTGACCATTCTTTTCGTCTCAAAATCGAAAAAAAAAAGCTAAGAGGGAAGGAGGAGAAGGAGAGAACAAAGGACCCTTTATTCGTGTGGCTGTTAATCGAGCCGTCTGGTCTTCCCCTTTTTTGTTCTCATTAACATAACTGTAGTGTTCGCCCTGCGTAACCGCCAAGTTTCTCTGCGTCCATTTTACACCCAGAACAAACAAAAATATTTCCAGCCACTGATGGATTGAACTGGAGAACGAAGGCCCGCAAACATTGATCAGTGACCGGCAATGTGAAACTAAGTTGGTACCTGAAATGGAGGCGCCTCGGTCTCTTTTTTTTTTGTCTTGATCAAAAGAATTCATGGTTCAGGGAACCTGAACCCCGTCCGTCCTTTTTTTTTTTTTTTTTGGGGGGGGGGGGTTGATCTGCTGACAATTTTATTCCATTACTATGTTACAAAAGCCGAAGCGATGCTGGGATGTGTTACGGATAAAAAGAATGGTATGTACAAGGATATGGCTACAATTAAGCGTTTCCGCTCTGAGAAACAAGGCGATAAAAATGCCCGTCCTTCTTCTGCAGTAGAGCAGAGGGTGAATCAAACTCGGCGACGCGCCCATGTTCGAGGACTAAGATCTTGTCAGTGCCCATGATCGTGTTGATGCGATGGGTGATCGTGAGGACGGTGCAGTTCTGGAACTCTCTCCTCGAAGCGTGTTGGGTGGCGTTGTCGGTCTCGACATCAATGGCGGCGGTGGTTTCGTCTAGACAGAGAACACGGGTGTTTTTGGCCAGCATCGTGCGTGCAAGGGACATGAATTGGCGATGACTCAGGGACTTGTTCTCGCCGCCGTTATCGATCACGGTTGAGAGGCTTTCGGAGAGGATGGTGATGTATGATTACGATTATGATTATGATTTTGAGGGATGCGAATTCGAGGGCAGACTAGATCTCAGCGTGGGTGTACTTCCCAAAGGGGTCGAGGTTCAGACGGATTGCATCGTCGAAGAGGAACGGTTCTTGAGGAATGATGGTGAGGCGGGAGTGGAGTCCATGCAGACCGAGGGTTGAAATTTTGATGCCGTCGATGAAGATGGAACCTTGAGCAGCCTCGAGAGTCCTGAGTAATATGTCTTTGTTTGATAACAACGATCCGATCGACCTCTTTGAGATGATTGACGCCGTTGGTGAAGAGGATACAAGTCTTGTCGGCAGGGATAGTGGTGGGGGCGTGTTTGAAGATGTGGCGGTCGTCGAGGATGTACACGTCTGCGTTGGTGTAGACTGCACGGGCGATTGAGATGCGCTGCTTCTGACCACCCGACAATTTGATATCCTATTACACAGGCGGATCAAATTATTACAGTTAGAAGTTGTTGCAGATATCAAAAATGCACATTCAGCATGAGGATTAGGTATTGTTGGTGTATCTTTGCACCCCGCCATAGAAGTACTGTCATGGAACCTTAATTTTTTTCTTCGTCTTCTTCTTTTGACGATTGTGCCTGGTGTACCCATTCTTCTCATCTAAAATCCAAAGGCAACCAGAGGGAAGGAGGGAGAGGGAAGGCCAACAGCAATTATTGTGTGGTTGACTGGCCGCCTCAATCACTCGCTCAATGGATACCGACGAGTGGGAATAAAAATAGGTCCCTGCTTCCACTTTCATCCCTTTCATCATCGTGACCATTTTCGATTTCGTGGCGCGTATCGTTATTGATACGCATCATCACGCGACTAAGACATTGAGGACACTAGCTACTGGCAGCTCAAATCTTTGCTGCGATATAAATTTTTTCTAAAAAACCTGGCCCTTCACCCGGCGCCTCTCGTTATATCATCATCTATCTGTCGACATCCTGGTTTTTTTTTTGACCATGCTTGACCCTATTACTTTTTTCTTGTTTGCACTTTTTTTATTTTTCTTCTTCCCATATCTCGCTTTACTTTCTCTCTCCCCACTTTACTGTCCCCACACCTCTCAGGTTTTCCCACTCCTTCTATCCCCTCATCGTCATTTCTTGTACATATCCCTTTGTAAATACTCACCTCATCCTTCTCGTCGCCATCCACATAACCAATTCTTTCTCCACACGGCGATAAAAACGCCGTTAATACCAAACCAATACTACAACACATCGCACACACAACCCCTGTTACACACAATCGCATCAAGTCACTAAAAGTCGCCCATAATGAAGCTCCTCGTCACATCTATCGGTATGTCGCTTGATCCCATATTGTCGTTTTCGCATGCACTAACGAAAACAATGTATAATGCAACTTTAATTTTTTACCCTACTTGACAACCGCGGCGGTGGCATTGGTCATGGCCACAAAGACACAAAAGGTTCAAGCCCGCGACTCCTGGTTCGGACGCAAAAACAACCACGCCGCCGCCGCCAATGCCGGCATCAAGGTTGACAATGCCTTGCATCAAGACATGCTTCAAGCCGCCCAACCCAAGGTCTCCAAAGCTTATCCAGTCTACACCTCTTCGATCGGTCATGGTACTTATCCTTTCTTGACCCGACCCCAGACGGCGGCGTCGGCTGCTGAAACGAGTGCACCTCCTGCGTCGGGACCCCATGACCCCTTGGCGACGATGGTTCAGCCTGTTCAGACGGCGGGTGAGCCTCAGTTCAGGTATGGGGTTGTGATGGATGATAACCGTCATCGCCCTATGAAAAGTAATAAGCGAGCTCAGGAAAATGAGACCGAGCGTGTGACTGAGAAGGCTGAAGTGGAGGATGAGGGCGATGAAGAAGAAGATGATGAAGAGGACGACGATGATGATGATGACAATGATGAGGATGAGGATGAGGATCAAGAGGCAGAGGCAGAGGGAGATGGCAAATTCCATATCCTTCCAATTCTGAAAAAGTTTCGGCGTGCGTTGCAGGCCGGCGAGGACTACGAGGACTACGACGGCCACGAGGACGACGAGTACGAGAATGAGTTTGTGGACAAGCCCGAGACCAAATACGCCTACCGCCAACCCTCACTCGATTATGACGGCGAGTTCGTGGACGATATCGCCAGTACCAGCGCTACCCCCGGCAGTCCTCATCGAAAGAAGAAGCACCCCGAGGAAAGAGACGAGATGGGTCCAGTTCGTCCCGAGAGTCACCTGAATCGCGCCTTGCACCATATCCTTCACAAGACTAGCCCCACTGATGAGATTGTTGTCGAGAAGCGATCGATACCAGTTGAGGAGAATGCAGAGAAGCACCAACATACCGCCGCCCAGGAGACACTTCTTCACCAGGCTGAGCAAGTTTTCTACGACACTCAAGGGACTGCCGACCGTCTCAACGTCCAGGCCGCCCGTGCTGCCAAGGAGACTATCGATTACGGCTTGAACCATCCAGATATCAACATCAACAACAAGAAGCGCGGCTGGTTCGACTTCGGTAATAGGAGTAACATGCAGGATAGGCGGTCGATCGTCAAGGATGCTGCGGACAAGATTCACAATGCCAAGGAAGCCGTATATCATGCCGTTTCTTCTGCCTCGCAATCCGTCCATGATTCTCAAGAGGCCGCCCACGACGCTGCTGCTCGATCCCTCCATGATTCCCAAGTAAGAATGCTCCCTTGTTACAAGGGTCCTCAACCAATGCACATAGCGATCGGAGGTCAAAATTTGACCAACTGATTTGTTCCTTCGTCTTCGCCAACACTCATATTCTTACCCATTTAGGACGCTGCATACAAGGCTGCTGCCTCGGCATCCAAGGCCTTCCACGACAAGCAGGACACAGCCTACAACGCTGCCGCAAAGTCTATCCACGACTCTGAAGATGCTGTCCTCAATGCCGCCCACGTCGCTCAAGATTCGATCCATGACACCCAACACGCCGCCTACAAGGCCGCCTCGGCCGCCCAGAAATCTGAGATGCAAAATCTTGAGAACCTGCAGAGCACCAAGGATGGCGTTCTGAAGAGTATTGTGCATGCCAAGGATGAGGCCTGGAAGTCGTCGTCGTCTCATATCCCTGAAGTCATCGGATCCACTTTATTGGATGCCAAACTTGCTGTTCAGTCGACACTTGACCGCCGTGCCCAAGATGCGAAGCGGAACTTGGAGGAGCTCACCGCTGAGGCCCAACAGGCTGCCATCGAGGCTGAAAGGGTTGCAGAGGAGGCCCACAAGCTTGCGGGGAAGAAGGCCACCGAGGCCCAGAAGCTGTTCGAGAAGTCGTCCAAGCAGGCCGAGGAGAGTGTCTACAAGCAGACCGAGGAGGCCCACAAGGCTGCAGAGCGCAAGCAGCACGAACTCGAAATCTCTGCCAAGGAGGCCACCAAACTTACCGAGAAGCTCCGTGCTGAGGCTGATGCTCAACTAGCCGCCGCAAAGCTCGAGGTCAAGAAGCGTGAGGCTGAGATCGATGCTGCTGCAAAGAAGCGCCAGGCCGAGATTGAGGAGGCTACCCGAGTTGCTGCTCAGAAGGTTGAGGAAGTCCACGCCGCCAGGGCCTTGAAGGAGCGGCTGTTGAAGGAGGAAGCCGATCGTGAGGCCGAGGAGAAGGCAAAACTCGCCCGCCAAGCCGCCGAGAAGAAGGAACAGGCCAAAGTCGAAGCCCAACGCCTCGCCGCCCAGAAGGCCGCCGCCGCAAAGATCGAGGCTCAACAAAAGAAGGACGCCGAGGCCCAAGCCGCCTTGGAAAAGAAGCACGCTGCCCTTCGAGAAGCCGAGTTCCAGAAACAAGCCATCAAGATCGCCAATGCAGAAGCCGCAGCCAAGAAGAAACGCGATTACGAGGCATCGTTGATCGAAAAGGAGATCTTGGCCAAGAAGCTCGCCCTTCAAGCCAAGCTCGACAAGGAGGCCAAAGCTCACCAGGCCCGCATCGATGCTGAGAACAAGAAGCACCAGGTCGCTGTCAAGTTGGCCGAGGCCAAGATCGCCGCAGAGGAGAAGGTCGCCAAGGCTAAACTCGCGGCAGCCGAGAAGGCAGCCGAGGCCCAGGCCAAGAAGCAACGCGAGGCTGACAAGAAGGCTGCCGCGGCTGCGGCAAAGAGGGAGGCAGCCGAGGCCAAGAAGCGACAGCAAGAGTTGTCGAAACGCGAGGCTGAGCTAGCAAAGGCTACCAAGGCCAAGGCAGAGGCTGAGCGGTTGGCGCATGATGCTGTCCTGAAGTCTAAGCTTGCCGAGCATGCGGCCAAAGTTTAAGTCTTTGTCTTATTTTTATAAAGTCAAACTGATATTTTTATGCATCGCTACCTTTTCGTTTTACCTTCGGTATTTGGGACCAAAGGCATTAAGGAAAAAAAAAGGTTTCCATTCAACATAAAACGCTTTGATCCCACGTATCATCCAGCCATACGAACATGGCCAACTAAAAAATGCAGATGGCGATGTAACGTATATGTGAATCAAGAGGGGAAGTCCTATTGAGGGCGTTATATTTATTATATAAGTATATATTTTTTCAACTACAAAACCTCCATGTTCAAGAGTAAGGCGAGAACCCAGAGAACGACTCCTTTCGGGACCGTTTAGGTTGTGGGGGCCACTCGCGCTGAGAAGCAACCTGACTCGTCCGCTTGATCGGACCACCAACGCCACCTCGCATATCCTCATACATCCCACCAGGTCCGCCATGTATCCATGGACCACCATCCGCACCATGACTATATCCAGACAAGTGCCAAGGCACAGCGGGCATTGGGTGATCCCATGTGTTAGATCTCGCACGGACAGAGGCTGGTGGGGGTCCGCTGGTCAACCGGTACGACTGCGACTGCATGTTATGCCCTTGTTGTCCCGCACAGAACTCGTAAGCAACCACCAGAAGCGCAGGCCGCTTGATATCCTGGAACAACCTATCACCCCTCCTCCTCTCCATCTCTTCCTCCTCATCCTCCTCGTCATCGTCATCCTCATCCACCTCAACTGTCGCACCAGGAGGCAAAGCCGAAAACTCTTGAACAATCGTCAAATTATACAGGAACGACTCCATCTCCTCCTCCCGACCACCCTCCCCAACCGTTTGGAGGTAATCCTGCAACCACCCATCAACCATCGCAATCCGGTAGACATATCGTCCATTGAAATACTCTGCGGGCCGGGTCTCCTTGAGGTTGATGACCTGCTTCCCGAACGAGTAGACATTGGTCACACATTGGACTGTCATCCTCTCTCGAGACTGGAACATGTTCCTGGAAGAGAGGTTCACCTGTCTGTACGAGCAGTCCTTCAGATTCAATCCGAGCTATATGAGAAAGAAAAATGTCTATGGATTAGGTTGTTGCGCACAAATACAAAAATATTGGGCTATGGTTCAGGCAATTAATTGCGTTTTCGTACCTTAGTATGCAAGAAGAGGGTGCCTCGCTTCTCGTTAAAGAGCTGCTTGATATATGGGAATCGTGGCTCGTCCAACACACTCACATCCCTGCAAGGGAGGTGGTCATAAAATGGCGTCAAGTTCTCAAACAACACCGTCGATCCACCCTGACCCTAACAACAATAATAACAGACAACGTTAGTTAAGAGCTATGGAAACAGACATCAGAGGACAGACAATAGAACAAGGAGAGAAAAAAACAATTACCTGTGATGGGTCCTCCTCAAGGATCAATTGGTACTGACAAGGCCAGAAGGGATACCGCTCGCTGAGTTGTGAGCGTGTAGGGTCGTAGGTATAGTTTCTGTTATGGGCATGTGGTTGTGGTTGACTGCTGGGGCGGTCCATGGACGAATGGTATCCCATAGGTGCCTGACCTTCAACAACCACATCCAGCTCTGGTGACCTCGAAGGAGACTGTCGTGATCCATGAGACGCATGCCACGAGGCTCCAGATCCAGTCCGCGAAGCCATCACGGTATAGTCCTGTCCATAATGCTCCTGGTGCCAGCTCGAAGGTAACGCCTCATCATGTCGGAGTTGTATCGTGAGCTCGGGGGTGCCACGGCTCTGAGGGCTAGAAGACTGCATGTGCTGGTTACGCTGGCTGCTATTGCTGTGGTGGTGGTCATCTTCAGGTTCGGGGTTAAGAATCGAGGCGATCGAGAGTTGCCTGTTATGAGTCGGCCTCCGCTCCTTATCATCGTTGTGCGCTGAGGTCGTGGTCGTGGTATGGTAGCCCATGTGGCTGAACCTCTCATAGATGCTATCGGTCGGGGAAATGGGTGAGACAGGCGAGGGTGGGGTGTCTTGAAGGGTCTCTTCGTCAAAGATCTTGCGGATCTTGGACATGGCGGCCTCGAGCCATTCCGGGTCGTTACTCTCATCGGGCGACGCATCCGACAACAACTCCATCACTTGCGTGTGTGAATTGAAAAGTAAAAGGAAAAAAATCGGTTCAGGTCAATACATCATGGGAAGGAGGGAGATGGCTAGTACACCAAAGGGAACAAAACGGAGAGAAGGAGGGCAAGAAAGAAGGAATGGCAGACACTTACGGACGAGATCGTCTTTCCTAGTGTTCTTGAGGACCTGGATGTGGGAAGAAACCTGTTTACGTGTCCGCGACTGCCCGGTCTCCTTGAGGATGTACGCAGCAATCAACTCATTCCGGCCTAATAAATCATACCAAGAGTCGAAGAAAAAAAATACAAGAGAAGAGGCGCGAGAATGGTACAATACAGTTCAATTAGTTAGTTCGGTAATTTATGATTTTTTGCTCAATTGAATCAGATAAATGACAGGTACTTCGGGTGTAGTACTGTAACTGTAGTACACCCCGAACACACAGACATCACAGATCGATCATATACACAATGGCACATACCATAGTGCTTCTCGTTCAGAGGCACCTTGCGCCGGCCGAGTTTTGGAATCTCCTTGATGGCTATGTAGTCGGAGGAAAGGGGTACAAAATATTTCAGGGGAACCAGCAATAAAAGAAAAATGTCAATTAGCGAAGGTTATACTTTGAACAGTCCTAGGTTATTGTAGGGGGAAAAAAGTTTGGGTTTTGTGCTGGGTAGGGTGGTAACTAAGGGACTGGTTTTTCATTCCTGTCTGTTTGTTTGTGTTGTGTTGTGTTGGGTGCAGGAGTCATATTTTGATGTGTCAGCAGGCAGGTCCCTGGATGACGCCCTGGTGCGTGTGTGTTTATCGCGTGTGCGTGTGTATGGTTTTTTATGGCATGAGGGGGGAGGTGCTTCGCGCACGATCAACGAAGGGTGGTTATGGGACGTGATGGAAAAAGAAGACGCGCCCAGGTACAATCAATGATTGAGCTTCCTCTGTCTCTCATCGATACATCGACCATCAGTAATGCAACATCACATCACTGATTATCTTCATCTTAGCACACTGAATGAAGTAACCATATTCTTTCCTCGATTGCTGTTGCTTCTTCTCGTTGTTCTTTTGCTCTCACCCAATTCCCAGTTACCACGCGCGCGTCGACTTCTTTGGTCCCTCCATTCTTTCATCAGCCAATCCCCAACGAACAATTCAAAAAAGTCAATTAATCTCCTCCTTCGTAAATTGCAATAATCAAGGAAAGTTCACATCCGTGGGGAGGGTGCGTGGCAAACACACATGTGTACACGCGTGGGTATAAATGTGATGAGCGTGGCCCCTCAAGACGGGCTGCCATATGGGAAGGTGAGTGAAAACCCCACGTTGGTTGTTGTTGTTGTTGTTAAATAAATCACAAAATACTACCCCACCACCACAACATGCTGTCCATATTATCAAATAACGCATGGCGAACACTTTGTTGACCACAAATAAAAACGTTCTTAGTCAACAACAACAACGCCAATAGCTGCATGCCTATCCATCCATCCATCCATCAGATGACCATTATTGATCCAATCTCACAAACCCAATCCCAACCCCCAATCTCTAATCCACCTCACATGATAAACAAACACAACAGCAAGAAGGGGACACGCTCCGACCATTCTGGTACTTATATTTTAACCAACTCCCTAATGTGTATTGCTGTCAAAGCCTCATTCCCCTTTCCACGACCCTCATTTTTCTCCTTTGTAACCTGCCCTGCGCCTCGCTTGCCCACGGACAAAAAACAACAAACAAATAAACAAACAAAAGCGCCCAACTCCACTTGCTGTTGTTTGAGTGAGTAATTGCGAAATGGAGGTATGTAAGGGTGCTGGTAAGGTATGAATGTATGTCTTCTTTACTCCCCAACCACCTTGTTGTTGTTAATGTTTTGATTGCATGTATAGGTTAATGAGCATTAGTGATCGCATTTTCTCTCCTTTCTCTCCATCACATCGCCACTAAAGTTACATGGCCCACGACCATGTCCCAAATGCCAAAAAAATAAAATGCTCTCAATTCCATCTTGTATCACCACACAAAACATCATCCCACATTCTCTACGTCCACTCTTCATGGTGTTTTTTTTTCTTTTCTTTGAAGTGTGTGCGTCCAGGGACAATGATGGAATGCGGAGATAAGGTTGTTATGCGAACAACAACAACAACGCCCTCACAAAGGACAATGGAATGTGAACTCTGGCACACATACACATACGCTCTCACACCCACGCCTCCAAGCCCTCCAAAAAAATAATTCTCTCCGGCACATTCGGTGAAGACGGACAAGTTTGAAAGTGACCAATGTTGCTTAGCTTACCTTCCATGAATGCATTCTCGACATTTTCAGGCCACACCTATTAAAAAGTCACAAAAACAAAAAGTAGTTGAATTATGTTAGCAAATCTCATTAATTGACGGCTACAAGGGGTGGAGGGATGATCGTTCCTCCTCGGGTGACGCGCGGACGAGGATATGAGTTGCCATGACTAACACGAATGCCATGTAAAATGAGTTGTTTACACGGCGTGGTGTTACACGGGTTGTAATGAACGCAATCAAATCAACCAACAAGCCCAAATCACAACCACAAACACAAACATAAACATAAAAGTAAAAAAAACAAACAAACAAGCTGGGTCAGCTGGGACCACTTTAAAATGATCTTAGTCAGATCCTTTCAACAAGGTGCACCAGCTCAAATGGCGCTCGATCCTTGTTATTGCACCTCTTGTTATTGATTGCGATGTGTAAGGAGGGGATGTCAATGATTGAGCAGGGGATGCACCCAATGTCCGGTGTTCAACGCGGGCAGGGGGTGTTGTGAGTGTGAGTGTGAGTGCGAGTGCGAGTGTGTGTGTGTGTATGTATGTATGTATGCAAATATGCAAATGTGGGACGCATATTATTATTGTTGGATCCTATCCCCACCCCTGACTTCGTAGTTGCGCTATTGTTGTGTGGTGTGCACATGCAAATAACACAGTACCAGTGGCAAACAAAAAAAATAAAACGCCAGGGACCCGGGAAAAAAATAAGAAGACGAGAGCCAGAGCCAAGTGGAGAAACAGAAGAAGGTAGACAAACAAGGCCGAATGGATCGTGAGACAACAACAAACAGCAGCAAATGCTAATGCTTAGCAACGGGTTCCAATCTAATAAACACCAAGGTAAACAACAAAACATTATATGCGCGTGTGGCTCTCGTATATATTTCATGTATTTTGTTTGTTGTTCGCTCTTCCGCGCAGGTCCCATTTTTTTTGTCCCTGTTCTTCATTCTTCGTTTCATCTCCGTCCTGATAATGAATTAGAGCCAAGGGGTGGAGCGGGCACTGCTCAAGAGGAATGATGGATGGGTTGTCTGGTGGTCAGGTATGGGACGTACCCTCCCTCCGATATTCGATGAAATAATTCGATATGAAATCGATACAAGGGGAGCAGTCGAGAGCCAGAGAGAGAGACAGAGATGAGGGAGGGATGGATGGAAGGTAATTGCCCAAATGGTAAAAAGGAGCGAGAAAGAAGAAGAGCGAGGAAATGCCAATTGTTTGATGTGTATTCACATTAGATTGAATGTTTTGTTTGTGCCCATTGTCCTTATAGTCCTCGCTTGGTATTGGTAAGGAACAAGCACTGCCAAGGGTCGATGCCATTAATGATCGATAAAGTAAATATTAAGCAAGGGATGAATTCAAAGCAGTGAGCGCGCGACCAGACCCGCATATCTTTTTCTTTACGCAATTACTGGGAAATGAACAAATGAAGGAATGAACCTCCTCTACCCATCCTCTTATCCAATCCACACGGACACAGACACAGACACATAGGTCTATTGAGACCACAAAGCGGCCACGGATCGGTCGAGATGCGGTGTGGGGGCCAAATGTAAAGGGAGGAGGCGATGCATAAGCATAGAAAATATGTTGTCCGCACTGTCTGTTTGTCTACCCGCCCTGCTTTTCTTGGGTATGTTGTTGTTGTTTGTAGACAAGTACATGCATGTTGACCAAACCATGACACGCTTGCAACAGAAATAAGAATATAGCCGTGCCTGAAAAAAGGCGAAAAACAAACGCGCATCATGCTTGTGCATGTCAACAAAAAGGGGGAGGGGCAAGACAGAGAGGATTGGGCTTATTTCCACCATTGTTCTTTTTTTTGCTTTGATGTTGTCGTCGTCAAGGTCGTTAAAGATAGGGTGAAGGGTCCATGGTCATCCGATCAGTGGAAAATTAATATCAAAAAAGGCCTTACCTCTTCTTTTGTCCTTTTGGCTCCGGTGGCCATGTTGGGAGGTGTAATGGTGCGGAAGGGATCTTGCGCGGAGACTGAAGAGACTGGCGAGGAATAGGATATCGGCTGGGGAACAGATGGAGGATGTGAGTGAGAGGGAGCAGAGGATGAGTAATAATGCTGATGCTGGTGTTGTTGCGGGTGGTGTTGGTAATGCTGGCTGTGGTTCTGGCTGTAGTTGTAGTTGTGGTTGTAGTGGTGATGCTGGAGTTGATGGTGGGGGTGAGGGTTTGGTTGAGAGTGAGGTGGGGGATGGTGTTGGTAAGTGGAGGATGATGCGGTTGAGAGGGACGAGGAGGAGGTGGAAGTGTGGCTAGCCGGGGAATGGTGTCTGTCGAGGGTGTTGATGCGTGCAAGAGTCATGATGGATGATATGTATGCAAAAGAGAGAATGAGAAAAGGAGTGAAGTAAGTTTTGTCGTGAAGGTGAAAGGAGAGTGGATGAGATGTGTTCTATCGGTGATGAAGATGCAAAGTGAGAAATGAAAGGAGAAGGAGGGAAGGAGGGAGAAGAAATATAAGATTGTCAGAACAGAGAAGGAAGAAGAAAAGAGGGTTTGTCGAGACAGGGTGAAGAAGAGAGGAAGAGAAGAAGAGAAGAAGAGAAGAGAAGAGAAGAGAAGAGATCAACAGGAAGAGGATAAAAGGAAAGCAAAGAACAACAACGACTAAGGTCAAGTCGGAAAAATAAGCATACGGGACTCTCAAGCAATTGAATTGAAGTGAGTAAATGAAAGAGAGAACCGGTGCGTGGGTGACTGTGAGTGTGCGAGCGAAGCAAGAGGGAGGCGAAATGGGGCGGATGGCGAATGCAAAAAAAAAATGGGCCACTTTGTAACAATGAAGAGTGCAATGCATACATGTATACACACATACGCACACAGACACAGACATAAACAAATATACTTATATATCAGACGATAGATATGACAAAAGTGAATAAAACACTCATCAAGAGCGGAATATACCGAAATATTGTATCGCTCACACTTCACTTTGGGGGGAATGGGCATGCGGAAAAAAAAATGGCGGATGGTAGTAGTGTATTAGATGCAGATTGATGGGGGTGTAAGAAAAGAGCAGCGTGTGTGTAGTAGAGCAGAGCAGGGTACAAGGTACAAGGTAGGGTACAGTACAGGGGCAACACAAAAGTGCCGATTGATCGTGGAGTGGAGGATGGTGAGGGATACGGATACATGTCATGTACGAACGTATATTAAATACGCCGATGTGCTGTTTTAAATCAGATGGATAGCAGAGTCGGAGCAAGAGAGAAAGGGTGAGAGAAGGAAAGGCGTGGGGAGATGAAGATCTTACCTACGCGACACTGCTCCTTGTTTGCTTCTTTTCTTTTTTGTGGTCCTTTGTTCTCCTTGTTTCCTTGGCTGCTTGTAGTTGGCTAGGGTGTGGTGATAGATCGAG